AAGTTTCAGCTTTTTTGGAATCAAAATTGCGCCCATACTGAGCGAAACACTCTGATATTATACTAGGCACCGGTTTTGAAAAAAGGTGAATTAGTGATGTCGGAGTGAATTGACAAGACATATACCATTCGAAAGGTAACCTCATAAGATTTTTGCACGGCAAGTTTCAGCTTTTTTGGAATCAAATTGCGCCCATACTGAGCGAAACACTCTGATATTATACTAGGCACCGGTTTTGAAAAAAGGTGAATTAGTGATGTCGGAGTGAATTGACAAGACACATACCATTCGAAAGGTAACCTCATACGATTTTAGCACGGCAAGTTTCAGCTTTTTTGGAATCAAATTGCGCCCATACTGAGCGAAACACTCTGATATTATACTAGGCACCGGTTTTGAAAAAAGGTGAATTAGTGATGTCGGAGTGAATTGACAAGACACATACCATTCGAAAGGTAACCTCATACGATTTTAGCACGGCAAGTTTCAGCTTTTTTGGAATCAAATTGCGCCCATACTGAGCGAAACACTCTGATATTATACTAGGCACCGGTTTTGAAAAAAGGTGAAGACATATACCATTCGAAAGGTAACCTCATAAGATGTTAGCACGGCAAGTAACACTCTGATATTATACTAGGCACCGGTTTTGAAAAAAGGTGAATTAGTGATGTCGGAGTGAATTGACAAGACACATACCATTCGAAAGGTAACCTCATACGATTTTAGCACGGCAAGTTTCAGCTTTTTTGGAATCAAATTGCGCCCATACTGAGCGAAACACTCTGATATTATACTAGGCACCGGTTTTGAAAAAAGGTGAATTAGTGATGACGTAGTGAATTGACAAGACATATACCATTCGAAAGGTAACCTCATAAGATTTTAGCACGGCAAGTTTCAGCTTTTTTGGAATCAAAATTGCGCCCATACTGAGCGAAACACTCTGATATTATACTAGGCACCGGTTTTGAAAAAAGGTGAATTAGTGATGTCGGAGTGAATTGACAAGACATATACCATTCGAAAGGTAACCTCATAAGATTTTTGCACGGCAAGTTTCAGCTTTTTTGGAATCAAATTGCGCCCATACTGAGCGAAACACTCTGATATTATACTAGGCACCGGTTTTGAAAAAAGGTGAATTAGTGATGTCGGAGTGAATTGACAAGACACATACCATTCGAAAGGTAACCTCATACGATTTTAGCACGGCAAGTTTCAGCTTTTTTGGAATCAAATTGCGCCCATACTGAGCGAAACACTCTGATATTATACTAGGCACCGGTTTTGAAAAAAGGTGAATTAGTGATGACGTAGTGAATTGACAAGACATATACCATTCGAAAGGTAACCTCATAAGATTTGAAAAAAGGTGAATTAGCCTCACCGGTTTTGAAAAAAGGTGAATTAGTGATGACGGAGTGAATTGACAAGACATATACCATTCGAAAGGTAACCTCATAAGATGTTAGCACGGCAAGTGTCAGCTTTTTTGGAATCAAATTGCGCCTGCCCGAGGCGAAACACTCTGATATTATACTAGGCACCGGTTTTGAAAAAAGGTGAATTAGTGATGTCGGAGTGAATTGACAAGACATATACCATTCGAAAGGTAACCTCATAAGATTTTAGCGCGACAAGTTTCAGCTTTTTTGGAATCAAATTGCGCCCATACTGAGCGAAACACTCTGATATTATACTAGGCACCGGTTTTGAAAAAAGGTGAATTAGTGATGTCGGAGTGAATTGACAAGACATATACCATTCGAAAGGTAACCTCATAAGATTTTAGCGCGACAAGTTTCAGCTTTTTTGGAATCAAATTGCGCCCATACTGAGCGAAACACTCTGATATTATACTAGGCACCGGTTTTGAAAAAAGGTGAATTAGTGATGACGGAGTGAATTGACAAGACATATACCATTCGAAAGGTAACCTCATACGATTTTAGCACGGCAAGTTTCAGCTTTTTTGGAATCAAATTGCGCCCATACTGAGCGAAACACTCTGATATTATACTAGGCACCGGTTTTGAAAAAAGGTGAATTAGTGATGACGTAGTGAATTGACAAGACATATACCATTCGAAAGGTAACCTCATAAGATTTTAGCACGGCAAGTTTCAGCTTTTTTGGAATCAAAATTGCGCCCATACTGAGCGAAACACTCTGATATTATACTAGGCACCGGTTTTGAAAAAAGGTGAATTAGTGATGTCGGAGTGAATTGACAAGACATATACCATTCGAAAGGTAACCTCATAAGATTTTTGCACGGCAAGTTTCAGCTTTTTTGGAATCAAATTGCGCCCATACTGAGCGAAACACTCTGATATTATACTAGGCACCGGTTTTGAAAAAAGGTGAATTAGTGATGTCGGAGTGAATTGACAAGACATATACCATTCGAAAGGTAACCTCATAAGATTTTTGCACGGCAAGTTTCAGCTTTTTTGGAATCAAATTGCGCCCATACTGAGCGAAACACTCTGATATTATACTAGGCACCGGTTTTGAAAAAAGGTGAATTAGTGATGACGTAGTGAATTGACAAGACATATACCATTCGAAAGGTAACCTCATAAGATTTGAAAAAGGGTGAATTAGCCTCACCGGTTTTGAAAAAAGGTGAATTAGTGATGACGGAGTGAATTGACAAGACATATACCATTCGAAAGGTAACCTCATAAGATGTTAGCACGGCAAGTGTCAGCTTTTTTGGAATCAAATTGCGCCTGCCCGAGGCGAAACACTCTGATATTATACTAGGCACCGGTTTTGAAAAAAGGTGAATTAGTGATGTCGGAGTGAATTGACAAGACATATACCATTCGAAAGGTAACCTCATAAGATTTTAGCGCGACAAGTTTCAGCTTTTTTGGAATCAAATTGCGCCCATACTGAGCGAAACACTCTGATATTATACTAGGCACCGGTTTTGAAAAAAGGTGAATTAGTGATGACGGAGTGAATTGACAAGACATATACCATTCGAAAGGTAACCTCATAAGATTTTAGCGCGACAAGTTTCAGCTTTTTTGGAATCAAATTGCGCCCATACTGAGCGAAACACTCTGATATTATACTAGGCACCGGTTTTGAAAAAAGGTGAATTAGTGATGTCGGAGTGAATTGACAAGACATATACCATTCGAAAGGTAACCTCATAAGATTTTAGCGCGACAAGTTTCAGCTTTTTTGGAATCAAATTGCGCCCATACTGAGCGAAACACTCTGATATTATACTAGGCACCGGTTTTGAAAAAAGGTGAATTAGTGATGACGGAGTGAATTGACAAGACATATACCATTCGAAAGGTAACCTCATAAGATGTTAGCACGGCAAGTGTCAGCTTTTTTGGAATCAAATTGCGCCTGCCCGAGGCGAAACACTCTGATATTATACTAGGCACCGGTTTTGAAAAAAGGTGAATTAGTGATGACGTAGTGAATTGACAAGACATATACCATTCGAAAGGTAACCTCATAAGATGTTAGCACGGCAAGTGTCAGCTTTTTTGGAATCAAATTGCGCCCATACTGAGCGAAACACTCTGATATTATACTAGGCACCGGTTTTGAAAAAAGGTGAATTAGTGATGTCGGAGTGAATTGACAAGACACATACCATTCGAAAGGTAACCTCATACGATTTTAGCACGGCAAGTTTCAGCTTTTTTGGAATCAAATTGCGCCCATACTGAGCGAAACACTCTGATATTATACTAGGCACCGGTTTTGAAAAAAGGTGAATTAGTGATGTCGGAGTGAATTGACAAGACACATACCATTCGAAAGGTAACCTCATACGATTTTAGCACGGCAAGTTTCAGCTTTTTTGGAATCAAATTGCGCCCATACTGAGCGAAACACTCTGATATTATACTAGGCACCGGTTTTGAAAAAAGGTGAATTAGTGATGTCGGAGTGAATTGACAAGACACATACCATTCGAAAGGTAACCTCATAAGATTTTTGCACGGCAAGTTTCAGCTTTTTTGGAATCAAATTGCGCCCATACTGAGCGAAACACTCTGATATTATACTAGGCACCGGTTTTGAAAAAAGGTGAATTAGTGATGTCGGAGTGAATTGACAAGACACATACCATTCGAAAGGTAACCTCATACGATTTTAGCACGGCAAGTTTCAGCTTTTTTGGAATCAAATTGCGCCCATACTGAGCGAAACACTCTGATATTATACTAGGCACCGGTTTTGAAAAAAGGTGAATTAGTGATGACGTAGTGAATTGACAAGACATATACCATTCGAAAGGTAACCTCATAAGATTTGAAAAAAGGTGAATTAGCCTCACCGGTTTTGAAAAAAGGTGAATTAGTGATGACGGAGTGAATTGACAAGACATATACCATTCGAAAGGTAACCTCATAAGATGTTAGCACGGCAAGTGTCAGCTTTTTTGGAATCAAATTGCGCCTGCCCGAGGCGAAACACTCTGATATTATACTAGGCACCGGTTTTGAAAAAAGGTGAATTAGTGATGTCGGAGTGAATTGACAAGACATATACCATTCGAAAGGTAACCTCATAAGATTTTAGCGCGACAAGTTTCAGCTTTTTTGGAATCAAATTGCGCCCATACTGAGCGAAACACTCTGATATTATACTAGGCACCGGTTTTGAAAAAAGGTGAATTAGTGATGACGGAGTGAATTGACAAGACATATACCATTCGAAAGGTAACCTCATAAGATGTTAGCACGGCAAGTGTCAGCTTTTTTGGAATCAAATTGCGCCTGCCCGAGGCGAAACACTCTGATATTATACTAGGCACCGGTTTTGAAAAAAGGTGAATTAGTGATGTCGGAGTGAATTGACATAGTGTGACTCCTCGCTTTATTATGTCGATCTCGTCATGTTTCGGGCATTCGAATTCTGTTGGTAGAGTCCATAGTCTGGGTTGGTGCATCTCGTAGCACAGGTATCCAGTTTCTTGGCCGTTTGTGACGTTAAGTTGCATGGGGACATCCGACTCAGGGCGGCCAAACTCCCGTGAGCCTGATGTGCCTTTTTTGACTTACCTTGGGCTGTTCCGTTTGTTTTTGGGCGGGCCTGGCACTTCCTCGGGTTATGACATTAATCATCAGGGAGCTGGAAGCGTGCGTAAGTCTTCTGAGTGCTGGAATGTATTCAGTCTTTGAATCGGACTCACCTTCGTTGGCGGAGTCCACATCTGAGCAGCTTGAGAGAGTTTGCATCTCCTCGGAGATTAGACAGGAAAGACCATTAACAAAATTAGACGACTCATGAGTGTGAGTTCTCTTCTCCTCAGAGAAATGGCCTGGATGGCCTAAAATACGACAATTCACATTGAATGTTCCCAAAATGTCCCAAGAATTATTCCCGATAATTTTCCCAATAACATAAGCTGGGGACGTGCCCCTAAAGTTCCCGTGAGTTTCCCGAGAAGGGTGGAGTGAACTCGTCGGTTTTTCGAAATGACTTGGCTTCTCAATTCAACGATGATGTTGTAGTTAGTCGGTAGAAGCGGACGTACTTCTCCTGCTAACGCCTCCGGGGCCTTCTCGATTTCCATCTTACGCTGAGACTCGGAGTTGTTTCAACCAGGTTCTGTCATCATTCAGTTCTTAGGAATTCCGGATCTGGGTAACGTCGAAGGAGGATAGCTTTTCGTGTATGAGGCTTGGCAGTGCACACGCTCTATCCGGCATGACGACGTTGGCGGCCCCCAGTTGTTGTCGCTGTTGGGTGATCCGAAGGAAGTCCGCACTCAGTTGCAGATGCTGGAGTCTTGGCGGCATTAATGCCAGGAGTTGAGTGTCCGAAGATAAGGCGAGCGACATCTCTGGCTGTATTTGGATGATTTCCACCTTTTGGGGTTCCAACTTCAGATTTCAGCTGGATGTCCGAGGTCACGAAACCGTTCGGGATGGTTATCGTTTTGGCCGGATTCGGAATGACAAACTGAAGTGGCTTGCGTTTCAGTTTGGGTTGGCCTTTGGAGGTTACAGAGATGGAGTGGCCTGGGACCTCCGACAAAAGCCCTAGGACAGTCCTGACTTGTTTGTCTTGTCCGATGAGTTCGTATTGTTCCGCCACATAGGCATACGAGATGGTCGAGGCGAACAATTTGACTTCATCCCCAAGAGAAGTGTGAGGGCGGTTCGGCAACTTGGAGATGCGGTTTACCCGAATGTTCGCCAACAAATTACATTCCATTGGTGGGTTTCGGAGTGCCACTGGACCCGGCAGGCTCTGCTTGTCGTGGACAGCTCTAACATCCGCGACAGCCACGGCCATCGATGTAGTTGACTGAATTACCATCATGACGAGCGGTGGATTGAATTCCAGCGTGTCGTTGTTCCTCTTGATTTTTGGAGAATCCAAGACATATCGGAGAGTGAGCGCTCGAGAGGTTTTGCGGCTTCAGCACTTGACGTCTGGGCAGATGGCGCGGCTCGCGAGTAAAGACGTTTCGGCGTTGAAGCTTGAACGGAGCCGGTTGGGATAGTGAGCATCTCCTCGGAGATAGTGCAGTTGTCTGACGACTTGGTGCTGGTTTGGGCTGTTGTGGATGGCTTGGGGGCGGCCAGAGTGGAGCTGGTGAGAGAAGATGTCTCCTCAGAGACTAACAACCCCCCCCTTGAGTTTCATAAAACCAACACTGAGCCTGATCAAGGCAGAAATTATGCAGCGCTTTCCGATCGGAGAACGCTGGGTCGACCCCGCGTCTGTCTTCTTTTGTGCTTTTATATAGGCCTATCGCCCGCCTTTCTCAGCGTCTTGTGGCCAAAGCGGGGGCGCCGTTAAGTGATGGCGTCTTGTGGCCAGATCGGAAGAGCCGATAAGCGATGGGAATCGGGCTCATCGGAATGTACCGTAGTCGTGGTTCTGTCGTCTCCGCAGAGACATGGGCTGGGGCCGGGCCATTGCACTGTTATTCATCATACCGAAGCACGTTATGGTGGCAATCAGGAAGGTAGTCAGGGATGACGATCTAAATCTGACATGTGGACTCGGGGATCGTGTGCTATGACTGGTCGAGCGTGATCTGGGGTGGTCATCAAAGTTTCTGTGGCGTTGGTGGCGTTGTCTTCGATCGTCGTGTCTGTCATTCTGAGGACGGCGGTTTGGTCTTCGCGGTTCTGGATTTCGCCTTTGGTTGTATCGTCTTTTCCTACAGTCTCGTATTACGTGTCCTTTCTTCTTACAATAGAAGCATTCTCATTCTTCTAGGTTCCGAGAGCGCTTCTACCGCCGATGTGATTGATGTTGTGGTTGAGTTCGAGTTGATTTGTTGTTGCAGCACCAGTTCTAGGTTTAAGGCGTTTTCGTACGCGTCAATGAACGATTTCGGGCGAGACAGTTGAACCTGGTATCTGAGATCCGGCTTCAATTTGTCCACAAAAAGTTGTAGTAGGATTTCCTTATAATCCGCGTCGCTCATCGTTGGGTATGCTGCTCTCCCTAATTTGGAGGATCGCTGCGTGAATGTGAAGACTGTTTCATCTGGTAGTTGCCGGCATAGACTTAAGGCCTGGCGGGCACTCGTTTTTGAATGTGTATTCTGGAAGGCGTCTCGGAGCTGCGAAATGACGTCGTCGTATGTAGCATCTGGATTCATGTCGTTTAGGAGTTCTCTGGCCCTGTCCGTGAGGAGAAATTTCAAGCGCGCGATCTTCTGGGAATCATTCGAGTTTCCAGCGAGGCTAATGTAATCGTTGAATCGCTGGAGGAAGCTGTCGAGGGACTGTTGGGATATGACGCTATTGAATTTGGTGATGGTAGTCAATAGATTGATGCTGTCGTTTTCGGTGACCATCGTCTCCGTGAGCTCGAAGTTGGCGAGCTTCAGCTGTATGCTGGATATGGTGCTTTCCATTTCTTCGAATTTCTCTTTGACTTCGGTTTCCAATAGCGATAGGTTGCGGTTTGTCAATCGGATGTCTCTGTCGGAGGCGTCTGCGAATTCGCGGAGTTGGCTCAAGAGGGGCCTATATAATTCGACTTGTGTGGGGGGTGTACTGGGCTTCTTCAAACTTCTGCGTCCATGCCATTTCAGCGCGGACTTCTGGTAAACTCTGGGCGTCGTCCGGGTTCAGTCGTAGGCCAATGCACCAAATGTAGAGACTCAATAACAGCCAAGGTCGGAATGATGATGTTTATTACTGACGGTCTGATTATTTATACTCATATTTTATCTTATCACTGAGGGGATGGGCGGAGACTGATCCAAGTCGTATACGACCCGTATACCACTTGATAAGATGAGGTTAGTGCAACTCCCAAAAAACTTAGCTCAAGTGAAATTTTGTTTGAAGGTAGCCGGAAACGGAAGCTGCGCGTTAGAGACAACCTTAAAAGGCCGAATTAACAGAGATATGAGAGTCACTCGTCTGGGGTACTCGCCAGGCATGTTCCATACAGATTACCACCTTTTCAAGGAGCCGAAAAGATTGCTCATTTTTTCATTTTTTACCGGTCGATTATGCGGTTTTTCATAGTTTTCTCTCTGATTTCGTCGGTTTTTGGGGAACTTCGTCGATGTAGGCCCGAACTTTCAAGTGAAAGAGTGCTTAATTAGTAAGTCATGGCTTTAAAAAAATTATTTATATTCATTGTTATTTTCGTACTTATAACATGTTCGTCATTTTCAGCTCATTTTTCACGCCGGAAGACTGCGATCTCTATGACATTGATATTTTTTTCGAAGAGGAAGTCAAGTTTTCCTTGGATATTGACAGTACAAATTGTGAGAGGAGAAGTCCTGAGGCTCTCATGACAAGGTAAAAAAATTATTCGGAAATATAAAAAAAATATATATTATTTTAGGTTCAAAATCGACCTTGACAAGAGACATTCGGATAATTATGTGTTCATCGAATATCAACCCGCATATCGAGTGTTTGGGATCCGAATGAACGAGGAGTGAGTTGAGCATTAGTCGTTCCAGAAAGTGCGTCGACTTTTTTCGGCCTTTATCCGCGAAATTTTTGACAATTTCCTGCACGGTGCGGATTGAATTTGGAAAAAGTTCCTTATTTTGGCCACAACAAAGGTACTCCGCGAACTGCGCCCAAGCTTGGGCACTAAAGTTAGGAAAAAACGCTTCGACCTAGCTGGCACTGAATTACTATAATAGCCCTAGTTTTAAGGGTACCTACGAAGGCTGCGACGACTCATTTAGTTCCATACGGAGGCAATAAGTTTAGTTCCCGACATGTTTCATAGTATAAAGTGTAAAATCACAGGCTGCAGCCGTTTTTGAAGGGTAAGGTGGTACGTAAAAAAGAAGGTACCTCACTAACTAAATCCACTGTCCGGGCATTGACAACGATGAATTGAGCGTGCACGCTAAATTTGGGCTAATTCCGACCAGTTTCCGCAAAGTTATAAGTTGTGGCCAAAATAAGGAACTTTTACCTTGAATTTTTTTAAAGTTACACGGTGATTTTTTTTTATTTTTAGGCTTGCCGCCAATTGTTTTACCGGGGAAATCCTCAAGTTACGTGTGTTTTCCAACGGCGCTGTCTCCCTTTTGGAAGGAACATCATGCAGTCAAAGGAGGAATGTGGAGTGAGTTTTGAGCAGAAAATGGAGCAACAGTAGTTTAGCCTCTGTATAACGTACGTTGAACCGAAAAATGTGTTCGCTTTGCCAAGGTTTTGATCGTTATAGAGAGGTTTTGTTGTACAGAGATTTATCATGGGCTTGAAATGGGTCATAGGAGCCTTGTTTGTCATAGAGAGGTTTTGTTTGTTATCGAGAGGCTTTGTTCGTAATAGACAGTTTTTGTTCGTTTAGAGGGATTTTGTTTGTTATATAGAGGTTTTTTGGCTTAGAATTGAATTTTGTCACCTTTGTTTGTTATAGAGAGGGGCGTTTGCTATAGCGAGGTTTTGTTGTACACAGGTTCAGTTTAGCCTGAAATTGAGGCCTTTGTTGGCTATAGATAGTTTTTGATATAAAAAATGATAACTTTTTTTCAGAGTTCCCAGCTTCAAGGAATCGGATTTGCTCAAAATTTCGATTCAACTCGATTTCTCGGGCCTAAAATCGGATCTAAAAACCTGTATTAAATTCACCATCCCTCAGGGATTTCTGATGAACCAGAATAATAAAAAGAAGGCGGGCTCAAGAAATCGCATTCAAATCGGTGTTATGATGATTATTTTGCTTTTTATTTTGTGAAAAAAATAAATAAATCGAATAAAAGTTTAATCGAAAAAATGACTTTTTTTTTATTCACGTATCCTCCCTCCTAGACCCGTGCTGATTATATAATTTCCGGCCGGCTTCTCGTCGAATCTCCTGCTCCATTTGGTAATTACAGTAATCCGTGTCGTTGCAGTAGCATTTGTTGAGATTCGGCTCCATTAAACATTGAGTGGGGACCGGCTTTTGAGGCACGCATAAATGAAAAAAGTCCACGTCGCTGTGTCCCTGCCGGATTTCAGTGGAACAGTCTGGAAAGAGGACAAATGTTAAGTTATATTAACAAGGGATGTCCCAAAATTTCCGGCTCTGGCGCCCGGAGCCGCTCAGAGCCGGAGCCAAGAGCCGGCTCCGGAGCCGTGGCGATCTCTGCGAAGGAGGTGCGATGTACAGGGTTCGCGAGCGGAAAAAAAGCATTTTCTGCGCGAAAAAGGACGCCCCCAAAGGTAAATTTCTCTGCCGTTTTTGATTCTTGTACTGTCTCTTGGGACCTTCCGTTCTTGCAAAAAACGATGAGATTGGAATTTCTAAAACGACTCCCTTCAGAGGTAAGTATTCGCATTTTTTCTTTCCCAACTAATTTATATTCCATTTTGAGATCAGAGAAGACATTTCGGACAGGATTCCCCTACCTGTTTTGCTTAATTTCATCAACAAAAATGAGACCGAATACGAAGAAAGGTTTAGGTTGATGTGCCGAGACAACGATATTCGTCCATCGAGCAACGATAAGTGGTCGACAGCATTCAAAAAGTGAGTAGAAATGACCAAGATTTTTATGTCGAAAGTAGGCAAAAAGGCGACACTTTTGCGCAAACCTTAGGATGGAAAATTTTATGCTTATTTCCAACGTAAAGAGTAATGTTTCCACACAAAATCAACTTTTTCCGCATGAAACTGGCGAAGATATGGCCTGAAAGACTTTTTCTCTCGGACCTCTCTGTTCCGCGTACTCTCTCGCCGGCAAACGCCGTTTAATTTCTCGGCTGGCGCTGCAGAACTCGAGCTAATTTTTTTGGGAATTGAATCGAGACCTAGGACCGATGCGTTGCAAATTTTTAATTTTTTTAAAATCATCTTTGGGCTCTTCAATTGTTGGAAATGTTGCTTTTTGCCCATAAATTTTTTTACAAGGAAAGTACTTTTATGGGGGCTCCTACTTTTTGACGGGACATACCTCAAAAAATCAGAAAAAATGTGCTGATCAAGGATATATAAATCTTAGCTGCCCATTTTAGGTTTTTAGGGGTGAAAACTCAATCGGAAGTTGACTTAAAGTCCTATATGAACCCCTTTTCGCCTAATTTTTCACAGGTTTACAATTTTTATTTTGGCTTAAAATGATGTTTATTGAGTTTCTAAGACGTAATAAATCAGTCTTGGCCCAAAAATTTATTTTTCCGACCTTCAACTTCAAAAAAAGTTGATTCAGCCCAAAAGCGAAATCGAACCCGTGCGGCGTTCTCCCTCTTGATTCCCAGACTACGGCACTAACCACTCGGCCACACCGCTCTCTTCCGAAGGAAGAGACCGACTGCGCTTTTTATCGTTTCGAATGCCTGCGCCTTTTATAGGGAAATTAAGCCAGTTTTTGGGCATTTTCACCCATAAAAACCCAAAATGGGCAGCTAAGATTTATATATCCTTTATCAGCACATTTTTTCTGATTTTTTGAGGTATGTCCCGTCAAAAAGTAGGAGCCCCCATAAAAGTACTTTCCTTGTTAAATGCATTAAAAAATTTTAGACGCCTTCTGATAGTCAACAAACACAAACTCTGTACTAGAGTCTCTACAAATTTGCTTTTTGTTCAGCCTGGGCCATGCAACCACGAGTTGGGGAAGGGTGAGTTCGGGTCGATGCAGCATTTGACGTGGATAACGGGAAAGCCTCAGCGAAAGTCTGCTGCTAATCGTAGACTTTTTCTATTAGCAGTTTCACTCGTCGCAGCGAGCGACCGGGGGCCGGACTGTAAATATACAGGGTCTTTCAAGAAATGTGAAGGAAAGTAGGAGGCTATAACTTTCTGCGGAGGCGGCGCAGAGACTTCGTATTTGAAATATGTATTTTTAAAAGACATTAGTTTTTGTCTACGATATAACAAGATTTTTAAGTGCAAACTGAGGTCGCTACAACCTTTTGAAAAAGGGCTCTCTTACCCCGAAAACCAGGGTTTTTCGGTTGAAAATGATCGGGAAATTTCAGAGTTTTTGGGTTGAAAATCACCAAGAAATGTCGGATTTTTTCGGGGGTTTCGATAGAGTTGACGTTGAAAAAAGGGAAGGATGTTGCCAACACGTTGAAAATTAAGCAAATATAATAAATCGAGCTCAAAATACGCGGCGACGCAGTTGAAAAAAGCTTACGTCGCGGCGATTTTCCAATTGCACAGTGCGAAAGCAAAATGCACAGTGCGAAAAGGTTTGCGGCAAAAAGTGTGCTTTTGGAAGTATCCTAACAAATGCATCGTCGACCCGAATGTTTGTAGTGCCCCGGGACGCGCCAGAATTCGACGTTTCGATTGGAAAGTTATATACCACTCCTCATTGCGACGAAGGGATCCGATACATCATTGTTGAATTGAGATTGGCCAAGGATTTGCGCGCCAAGGGCAACTCAAACTTTACGGTCTTGGAGAGAAAGTTTTTTTACGATGGTTCTATGATGAATTTGACGATGATTTTGGGAGATCGGCATGAGGTGGCGTTGCGAAATGAGTCCGAAATTGATTCGTTCCTAACTAAAATTAAAGTAAGTTCAGAAGTTTTGGAAATGCCATCAGAGTTTTTTACAATTTATTTGTGCACCGTGCGTGAAAGCGGAAAAATAGACGCACTGTGCAGAAAAACAAAAAAAAACTTGATTTTTTTTGCACTGTGCGATCATAAAACCTTGCAGAATTTACGACACGGTTCAAAAACTTGGCGATGAAACGGTGCAAGGATTGCACCGTGCAAAAGGTCAAAAAATACTTTACGCACCGTGCACAAAAATTAATATCTTTAAGCCATCTTGAGCCACTATGTACAATGTTTTGGCCAAGTCAGTAAATTTGTCATAAATCCGTCATCATGACATATTTTTCAAAAGTATTTTACAAAGGGGTTCAAGGTATTATTTTTACTCAAAAAATGGCATAGTAAAATTCTACCGTCACCCCCGGTCTAAATTATGGCGAATCGTCTTTTCAATTGCAGGTAACCAACGACACCCGTTGCTTGGGATACGACGCAAACCACTGCATTTATTTTTACAAACGCTTCAGCAGCCTCGGAGATCTCAATGAGAACAGAGACGACGCGCAATTTACAAACTTTTATCGAAAAGATTTACTGTCCAGGAATGAGCCGGAACTATTGTTTCGACTGGACGGCCCATTCCACGTCCACTCGATGAGCGTCTCCAACAATAAACTCTTTATATTGTACAATGTGATAACCAACAGGCACTCGGATTCGACCCTGCTCTGTTACGATCTTCGCACTGGCCGCCGCAATGCACTGACCATTTCGCCGTACGTCAATTATGTGAGTTCCTTTTTGGGAGCCGTGCTTTTTGATTTTCCGCACTGTGCGGTAAAAATTTTTGATAAAATTGGCGATCGCGTTGTGTAAAAAAGTGATAGGGTTGTGAACATCGCATCGTTTTTTGACTATCACAAGATTTTTTATGAGCTTTCACAGTGCAGCAAGATCGAGTTTTTTTCTGACCGTACGGTGCAAAAGCAATTTTGATCCCATTGCACAGTGCCGAAATGTGTTTAAGTTTAAAATGACTATGTCATTAACCGATGAAGTCATTCTACCTATGAATAAATTTTTTTCGACCTGACTAGGCCACACGCTGCGATGAAGCCGCAGATTTTTTCTGACCGCACAGTGCAAAAGAAATTTATCGCATTGCACGGTGCAGACATGCGTTCAGGGTAAAAATGAATATGTGGTGAACTGACGACGTCATTCTACTTGTCAATAAACCATTTCAATAAAACGGGGCCGCACAGTTGAATGAAAAAATCTTTTTTTTTATTGCAGAGTGCAAAAGACTTCTCAATTTCAGAAACAATCGATGATCTCGCATGGGAACACTTTTCTGTGCTCCCGCCTTTTCGTCCAAGACATCCTGCTCTACACAATCACCGAAAACGGGTTTGAGGAGCGCGTCGTGCAGTGTTACCGAAGGCAGCAACTGAACAAGGACACCCATATTATAATTCAGAAGGAAGGCGAGAAATTGGCCGTCAAGGTGGGTTCTAAAAGACGCCAATAGTTTGGGGAGTCTCGTGTTGTTCATGTCACATTTTAGACCATGTCCATCATCGAGGATGAGCCCGTCTTCCGCTTTGTCCAGTATTGCCATGCGATGTGCGCGTTCGGCCGAATAAGCAACAACTTTTTCTGGGTTTTCGAGCGGAAAAAACGTTGCTTTTGGTATCAGGAAGGTCCAACATGCAAGTTTGTTCGCCTCATTTTTGTTATGCCAAGACCTTGGTAGCTTTGCATTCTGCACTGTGCAATCCCAAAAAACCTTCAATTTCATTTTTGCACTGTGCAGTACACAATGTTTTTGTTTTTATTTTATTGCACCGTGCGGACTCAAAAAAAAGCTGGACGGTCGTTCAAACTAATTAACTTTTTCATCTAATTTCGTATAAAAACTTTTCTTCTCTGCAAAGCGTCCAAATTTTTTGAAATTTTTCGGCCGCACTGCGCGAACAAATGACCTTTCGTTGTTTCTCCGGCTGCACAGTGCAAACTGATCATGAGATTTTATTTTTTTGCAGATTGATTTTATTACGAAAAAGTTTTTTTCCAAGTCTTTGCATCATTTTGAATGTTTCAGTCGCCCCATACCTTTTGCATTCGGACAGCCAACCAACAAGAATAACCGGATATCGTGTGCAGCAGACACTGAAAAACGAGTTTTATTTGTTGTAATAGGCGTTCCATAAAGTGCGTACACTTTTTTCGGCCCATTTTCTCACCGCACAGTGCATTTCGTGTTTTCTCATGGTGAATTTGAGACAGGTTTTTAGATCCGATTTTAGGCCAGAGAAATCGATTGAATCGAAATTTTGAGCAAATCTGATTGAAGGGAGACTGAATATGAACCGAATGAATATACAGGGTGTCCAGAGAAATTCCGCGGAAAGTGTTTGCCGATTTCTCGGCGCTTAGACAAGATATCCAAAAAATTCTTTTTGCATTAGAAAAAAGAATATGGGCGGTTTTTTTGCCGAATGTTTGGTAAACATAAAAATAAGATAACATTATCTTCTTAACCATCAGAAATCGTACTGAAGCCTTTACGATTGGTGTGATGACCAAAAAAGCGATCAAAGGTCTCCGCCGAATAGAGTATGTTCCGCGTCGGCGGACAAAAAATCTTGTTTTAAGATTAGACAAAAAACCGCCCATATTCTTCTTTCTAATACAAAAAGAATTTTTCGGATGACTTGCCTGAGCGCCGAGAAATCGGCAAACACTTTCCGCGGAATTTCTCTGGACACTCTGTATATGAACCGGTCACAAAGTCTTAAGTCGGCAGCGAAGGCTTAAGTGCTTAAGTCCGCACTTTCGGAATTTGGTGCTGAAAAAATTAAGTCGACGCCAATTTTTCGATTTGGGCGTCGACTTTTTTTGTGCACCGGAAATCGCGATTTGGGGAAAAAAATTTTTAATATGTATATGACCACCTTTATATTCAGTCAGTTCATATTCAGTGTTTTCATATTCAGTCCTTCATATTTAGTCAGTTCATATTCAGTCAGGCACTTATGTCATTTACCATCCCGCATGGATTTCTGATGAACCAGAAGAAGAAGAAGGCGGGCTCAAGAAATCGCATTCAAATCGGTGTTACGATGAATATTTTGCTTTTTACTTTGTGAAAAAATAAATCGGAACACATTTTTTTTATTCACGTCTCCTCCCTCCAAGACCCGTGCTGATTATATAATTTCCGGCCGGCTTCTCGTCGAATCTCCCGCTCCATTTCGTAATTACAGTAATCCGTGTCGTTGCAGTAGCATTTGTTGAGATTCGGCTCCATTAAACATTGAGTGGGGACCGGCTTTTGAGGCACGCATAAATGAAAAAAGTCCACGGCATTTTGTCCGGGCCGGATTTCAATGGAACAGTCTGGAAAGAACCAAAATGCTAGGTTATGTTATCGACATAAGTGATGATGAGGAGGAACCACCCCTGGACCTATCGACCCCGCTTCGACTGCTCCTTCTCCCGGCCTGCTATCGTTGTGGATTTAACCCTTCCTGCTGATCTCATCGAATCCTCGACTACCGCCCATATCCCTCTTCCGACGTCTGCACTCTCCCTCCACCCGAAGTTTGACATGGTTGCTGATTATGCATGTTCCTCGTTCGGCACGTCAATCTGAAGTATACCATCCACGATGACCTTCCGGAACTGGGACGATTGGGGAAAAAGACGATTGGGGAAAGGGACGATTGGGGAAAAAGACGATTGGGGAAAAGTACGATTGGGGAAACCGAAAAGTATTATTTTTCTTCCATGCAAATGTCGAAGTTAGGATAATAGAGGGTGCTCATTTCGAAAATGACATTCATTTTTTTGATTCTTACTTTTTTCCGTAAGTAGTACTGTAAAGTAGTAATTTTTGATTTTTTTTTCATAAATACTCGATTTAGGGGTTTTCGAGGGTGCTGATTTCGAAAATCATGTAAATTTTTCCTGTAGTACTACATAGTACTATTCTGATACTATATAGTACGAAGTGAAAATATGGCTTTTGACGTTAATGGTGTTGTTTTGATGCTTAGTACTCTTCAAAAACACGTTTTAAAGACTTGGTGCTATATAGTACTGTCTGATATTATGTAGTACGAAGTAAAAATAGGCGTACTAAGCACCAGAACAACACCACGAACGCCTAAAGTCCAACTTTACACCTCGTACTACATAATATCAGACAGTACTATATAGCACCAAGTCTTTAAAACGTGTTTTTGAAGAGTACTAAGCATCAAAACAACACCATTAACGTCAAAAGCCATATTTTCACTTCGTACTATATAGTATCAGAATAGTACTATGTAGTACTACAGGAAAAATTTACATGATTTTCGAAATCAGCACCCTCGAAAACCCCTAAATCGAGTATTTATGAAAAAAAAATCAAAAATTACTACTTTACAGTACTACTTACGGAAAAAAGTAAGAATCAAAAAAATGAATGTCATTTTCGAAATGAGCACCCTCTATTATCCTAACTTCGACATTTGCATGGAAGAAAAATAATACTTTTCGGTTTCCCCAATCGTACTTTTCCCCAATCGTCTTTTTCCCCAATCGTCCCTTTCCCCAATCGTCTTTTTCCCCAATCGTCCAACTCCGTGACCTTCCATCCCTTCGATGAATTTTTGACGCAACAAGACGGACGGCCCGTCGTTATGTTGGATTAGACGGGAAACATGGTTCTGCGCCTGAACCGATTTCTTTCCGCCGAAGGCTTCGAGTTGGGGAATCATCCTCCTCCGACGATTCCATCAGTATCCAGTGAAGATTTAAAGAAGATGTACGATATGAAGTGTGCTTTCTGTTTCTACTCCAACCGCAACGTATTCGTAATGGTAAATGTCAAGCTGGAGGAGACTACCAGCAAGCAAGAGATGCTCAACATGCACTTGAAACTTGAGAAAGGCGAACTCGATGACCTGTTGGCTTCGATCACTGAAGGGAGGAGTCTACAAGCTCAGACGGGGAGACGGCTTCTATACATGCAGTTGCCCTCATGGTCAAAAGAGTATAAAACAGTGCAAACACACCATTCTGATGTACTATTATCTAATACAAAGTAAACCTGATGGCTTTCCCTTCATCAGATCGTGACCCACACATTGTACAGGGTGTTTCAAGAAATTTGGAACAAATGATTTGCTTATATCTTTGTGTTCTTTGCAGCTATCAACGAATTTCTTTTTGCTTCTAAAAACTGACAGCGTGCGTTTTTAAAATCTCAAAAAAAATTTTTTTTCGTCGGCAGAGGGCCCATTTCTCGGCGGAGAAAATTAGGGCCTTTTTTAAAAATCACAGCGTATTACGTGGCGGAAACGCCGTTGCAACGGTTGAAATCAAGTTTACGTTACACCTCCGTCGATTTTACGGTATGCATTTTTTTGTTTTCGATTTTACGCGCACCGCGGAGGCGCGGCGGACACTTCAGATTTCGGCGGACCTTGTTTTGGGCCTTCGGCTGTTGCAATTCATGTTGGAAAAGAGTTTGGGGTGATTTTTTGTTGTCATCCGATGCACAGATGGCAAAAATTTCGTGCTTTTTTTCCCCGGCGGAGGACTCGGCGGAGGCTTTATCAAAGGGTCAAAGCAGTCTTACGAGTCCGGAAAAAATCTCAGCTACAAGAATCCATCAGAGCAGCATTGTCTTTCAAAGATTTTTGATTTTTTTGGTCCGGCGGACAAATCGGCGGAGTTTTGTTTTTACCCTTTGATAAAGCCTCCGCCGACTGCTCCGCCGGGGATAAAAAGCACGAAATTTTTGCCATCTGTGCATCGGATGACAACAAAAAATTACCCCAACCTCTTTTCCAACATGAATTGCAATAGCCAAAGGCGCAAAACAACGTCCGCCGAAATCTGAGGTCTCCGCCACGCATCCGCGGAAGTGCGTAAAATCGAAAACGCAAAAAAAGCATACCGTAAAATCGATGGAGGTATTACGTAAACTTGATTTCAGCCGTTGCAACGGCGTTTCCGCCACGTAATACGCTGTGATTTTTAAAAAATGCCCTAATTTTCTCCGCCGAGAAATGGGCCCTCCGCCGACGAAAAAAAAATTTTTTTGAGATTCTAAAAACGCACGCTGTCAGTTTTTAGAAGCAAAAAGAAATTCGTTGATAGCTGCAAAGAACACAAAGATATAAGCAAATCATTTGTTCCAAATTTCTTGAAACACCCTGTACAAGCGACACGTCGGGGAAGGGCCAGAAGAGCTCTGAGGGGTGGGGCATTGTCCCAACATTAGCTGACGATGTTATAGCGGAAAAGATTGGGAATGTCCGAACGGACGGACCACAATGATACCTGCGGCGTTATGACATCACGGTTCAGCAAATTTGAGGGCAGCTTCACAATTACCCAAATTAATGGTCCCCAGGCATTATTTTTAAAAAAAACTTAAACTTACATCCAGTATCATTAACATTACACTCCTTGTTGATACACGGAATTATAGCTCCCTTATCAACATAATCAATGTCACAGCGACATTTTAACGTCCATATTAGCTTGATGTTCAACGTCAATGCCAACAAAACGCAATAAAACCGCATAAAAAGCGGGGATTTTTATAGTAAAATTGGGATTAAAAATGAATATGATGGTAATTTCCCAAAATTTCCAGCTTTATATAGAATATTAAGACGAATGATGTAGTTTGTCGCCTTTTATTCGTCTTGTCTCCATGGAGACATCAAAAATGTAGCACAAAAGTGAACTAGTTGAACCCGAAAAAAGTAGGAAAATGAAGGGCGGGAATGAACTATGAGCCCTTTTGTGTGTTTTTATGAAGTTATTAGGACAAGTAGAGCTTATTTTGGAAAAGATTTTAGCACAAAACTAAAAAAAAATAACATTTTCGAAAATTTTTGTGCAATTTTTTGTATAACTTTTTGAACCGCGCAATTTTTTTTTCTACAGAATATTTAAAAGCATATTTATTTTTGTCACAATCTCGTATTGTTAGAGTAATATGCAAATATATGAATGTAAAAAAAGTTGAAATCTGCTTTTTGTTTGTATAAATTACTCCTCTCGGACTGGAGGCTGGAAGGCGGTGAAGTTGAGGTCTTCTCCTTCATTGGCGTCTCCGATAACATGATCCGGAGCATCCGGAGCCGGAGCATCTGTCTGCTCCGGGGCTGGAGGATCCTCCGCAGGCGCATCCGGAGCCGGAGCATCGGTTTGCTCCGGAGCGGGAACATCTCCGCCTTGCTCCGGAGCAGGGGCATCCGGAGCGGGAACATCTGGAGCAGGAGCATCCGGAGCAGGAGCATGAGGAACGGGAGCACCTCCAGCCGGAGCTGAAGGCTCCTCCGCGTCAGCATCGTGAATCAGCACAATTTTCCCGGTATGCCCTGGGGCCTCCAACAAACTATGAGCATCAGGAAGATGTTCCAATTGGAATTTACGGCCAACATATGGAGTAATGTGGCCTCCGTTCAGCAAGCCGATAAGACGCTCAGCAATCCGTTGATAGTCCTAAAAATCATTTATTTTTTGATGAAAATTTTGGAAATTTTGAGGTTTTTTGGTCGGAAAATGCCTCATTTTTGGTTGAATTTCCGTTAAAAAACCTGGAATTTTCATTTTAAAGTCAAAAATTTGTTTTTACACTAATCAATTTCCTTTGTGATACAAGGAGACATTTTATACGATCAACCATGTTTCATCGTATAACATGTCTCCTACCGTGGTTTTTTCTTTTTTCAAAATTAAAAATTCGCATCTGGCTTGTAATGATGAATAAAAACCTTTTTTTTAAATCTAAGTGTCTTTCTCCAGTTACTCACCTCAACATTGGTGTCATCAGTGTAAAGTCCAATAATGGCCGCCTCCTTAACAATGGCGTCATCGGGGTTGATCTCGACATTGCCTCTGTTTCCAACAACTACAACTCTTCCATTTCTGGCGAGCAATCGGAGGTCGTTGGACAGATTTACATTCCCCAACATCTCAAGGATAATATCGAAACCTGAAAAATTATTGGTATTTTTTTACTGCAGAATAAAATTTTGGCCACAAAAAAATCGATTTTTCCACATTGAATTCGCGAAGATACCGCCAAAAAGTGTTTTTTTCTCTGACCGTTACCTTGTGGGAACTCGGCTTGAATCCGGTCCACGTATCCGGCCTCGTTGTGATTCCAGGTCCTCTCGCAAGAGCCGACAGTTTTGGCCAGTTGATCGCCGGCCTCGCTTCCCGCCGTCCCGAACACTCGCAGGCCATGGGTCTTGGCCAATTGGCACGCGGCGAGGCCAACGCCGCCCGAGGCGCCGTGAACAAGGACGCTTTGGCCGGCCTGCGCGTGGGCTTTGATGAAGAGGGCGCGGTAAGCGGCGAAGAAGGCGATGCCGAGGGTGGCGCCTTGAGCGAAACTGATTCCTAAAAAGTATATTATCAGTATGTTGGGAAAATAATGAGGACGATGACGCTGCGCCTATTGCCTCGCTGAAATGAAAAAATATTTGCTTTTGCCGCGATACAATTTATTTTCCGGCGATGCGATTTTCAGAGTGCTCATTATTTTCCCCACAGACTGATTGCTTCCGCACAATGCATTTCGAGCCTTTCCCAGGCTTGTCGCTAACGCAAAATGTCAATTCTTGACACAAATTTGTCTGTGACTTACTAGATGGCAATGGGAAGACAAAGTTGGAATCAACGGCGACCTGATCAGCATTGGCTCCATTGTTGCTGGAGACGAAGAAAACCCGGTCCCCGGGATGGAAAGAGGACACTCCTGGGCTGACCTGAAAAATTTTAGTATCAACAGAAAATCTACCAATACGAGCGGTAACTCAAAAAAAGGTCGTAGATTTATTTACCTGCTCAACAACTCCAGCGCCATCACGGCCAAGAATAATTGGGAGTTGTGGGATGTTCGGGACGTGGCCTGCACGGATCAAGGCGTCCACACGGTTGACACTTGAGGCTTTCACTCTGATCAGCACCTGAAAAATCCAAGAAAAGTAATATAAATTTGGCCCTTTTTTAAAATTTCAAAATATTTTTTTTTTCAAATTTTTTAGCAAGTGCGACGCTCAAATTTCCTCTAAATTTTGTACACATTCGAGCATAGCCCACATATCAATCTCTGAAAGTTTCAGCATTTGCTTTCCATAAGAAGCCGGGATATTCAACGATCTTTGCCGCCGAGAGAGTACGCGAAACGCGGAGAGTGGTCAGACAAAAACACTTTTTGGCCCTAGCTTTGCCAGTTTCGTACGGAAAAAATTGATTTTTGTGGAAACATTACCCTCTACAGTAGAAATAATTATGAAACTTTTCATATCAAAATTCGCAAAAAGAGTGTCCAAATTTTTGCCAAATTTCGAAAAAAATTACCTGATTTTCTCCCAACGGAGGAGTTGGGACTTGTTCGACCAAAATTGCCCCAGGGCCTCCATGATTTCTCAGCAATCCGGCTCTCATTTTGTTTCTTCACCTAAAACAATGTAAAAAATTTGAAAAACATCGAGAAAAATCAAATATTTCGAAGCCAATTGAATCATAATCAACAAAAAAGCCCTAAAAATGTCTTGTATCGTAAAACTGATAACATTTCATTGTTTTTTTTCACTTGTTTTTCCTCGAAAATCGAAGAAAGCCGGGCGAAACTTGAAACTCAAATAAAGGCGGCCGTAAATAAACGGGTTCGGCCGCTTGATCCGCCCATCTGGAACATAAACAACAGTTGGCCGAGGGATATTCTCATCACCTGCCCTCCAGGTTTTTGGCAGATCTCTTGACGGATTTGTGTTCCGATCGCCGTGAATCATATAACAAATGACTTTTCGGAGTGGTAAACACGATCAAAATGATGTAAGCGAGGGAAAAAGAGGTTATAAAAATACATGGAGGTGTTTACGGTTATTTTTAGACAAGATTAAAGATTTTGGACAAGAAAATTTTAATTTTTTTCAGATTGAGATTTTTTGAAAACTTTTGAAGGATAATAGCTTTAAATTTGCCTAAAGGCGTTTTAAGCAAGATTAGATACGGTTTTGATGAAATTTTTTAAATTTTTTTTGAATTTTATTCAAATTGAAATTTTTTGAAAAACGTGGATAAAAAATCGCTTTAAATTTTCCGAAGGGTGTTTTTAGAGAAGATTAAAGATGTTTAGAGATCAACTTTTCAATTTTTTTGAGGAAAAATTTTTTCGGAAATTTTTTTTCAAATTGAGATTTTTTTGGAAAAAACTTGCTAAAAAACAATGGAATGGTCCTCAACTTCCTTTCACAGAAAAACATTAAAAAATCGACGCAAAAAATTGTTGATATCTCAAAAATTTTTTACTGATATCACATTTGCTTTTTGATGCCTTACCTCTTCGGAAACTTTATCTCAAAAAGAAAAAAAGACAAGTCTGGGTAAACAAGCAAGTACGTAAAAACAAAAAGACATACAAATCAGTCTGTTTTGGTATGTTTTTGATTTGCAAAACACACAAATATCGTCATCATTCTTAAAAAAATAAAAAAAAATAATATTGCACTTGATTTATTTTAATTTTTGTCTTTTTTGTTTGTTAACTACAGCTAAAATCCGTATTATTTCATCACTACATGCCCCATGAAGCAGTCTGGGACCGTTTTTAACCTCTTCCAGTCATCTTTAAAAAATCCAATGTTTTTGTGGCACTTCGTCACAAAAGTCAATAATTGACATTCCGCCACAAAAAAATTTGCAAAATCTCGAACGAAATTTTGTTCGTGATCTCAACAGCAGCAAGATGCCGCTCTATGAGGTAACAATGATCCCAAAATCCATGGCCAAGGTGAGATCTCTACATTATTTTAGATATCAGTTGATCTGATTCGTATTTTTTTGATATTATACTTGATAAACTTGCAGCCGGACCTGGTGAATGCTATAAAACGAGTTGCAGTCACAATGTTGGATAAAGGCGCAGTGATTGACAGCATGGAGAGTCTGGGACATCGAGATTTGCCGTTCAGAAGGAATTCAAAGTTGCTGAAGGAGCCAAATTATTCGACAAAGTGAGTATTCATTTTTTTGTCTAAATTTAGGTCTTGGAGACGCTTTACACCTCATGGCTTTTCGTTTTCAGCATGTTTCTATTCAACACATACATGCCAATCAAGACCATGCACGATGTGATCGAGGTCCTCAAGAACGACAAAGACCTGCTCCGAATTTTCGCCGTTTCCGAACATGATATTCCAAAACAACCTGAGCAATGCACACTTCATGAGTTCCTCAAACCTCCAGCTTACCGAAAAACAGTCCAAGAGCTGAGGGAGAACCAGAGATTAGGGCATTTCCCGAGAATGAGGTTGTTCAAGAGGGTTGAACGAGAATGGAAAGCAATTCCGAAGAGTTACCCTATTCCTCCACCTCGAAAATAATCTTGTTTACATTGTTTTAGCCTTTTAGGTTGTTATAAAGCTATTTTTCATAAAATCCTCTTCTTTCTTGGACAATTTGACAGGTTTGACCCTGGTGTTATTTTAGACCTCATGACTAATATTATTTTTGATTTTTTGAGCAAAAATTTTATATTATTTTAGATGGGAGGTGTCTTTTCGAAAAAAGAGAAGAGTAATGTCTCGGATATACAGAGGAACATCTTGGTAGGTCGTCAAATTGTTTTCAGATAATGATTTTTCTTTTCAGCAGTTGAAATTAGGTAGAGATCAATGCAAAAGGCGGATAAAAGCCTTCAACAACCAGCTAGATCAACATAAAGAGATGGCCAAAGAGCTGTTGAAGAATGGGCGAAAAGAGTAAGGTCTTTACTATTTGTCTTTTCGGTTTTTAGACAAATTTTGGACCTTATCCATGATCAAATTTAAACTTCTCTATTTTCAGTCGAGCACTCTTGATGTTGAAGAGAAAACGTTTTGTGGAGACTCAGATGGCCCGAGTAGAAGCCCAACTGGACAAATTGGAGCAAGTGATAGCCGATGTTGAGCACGCACAGATGAATAACATGATCCTTGCGAGTCTGGAGAAGGGCCGAGATGCTCTGACTGAAATTAATAAGGTAAATTTACCCTCTCCTTCATTTTGCTTGTTCTTTAGGCATATCCGATCGAGCTTGCACAAAAGATTCTTGAAGATTCGGAGGAGGCAGCGGAATATCAGCAAGAAATCACTGAAATGTTATCAGGTCAACTAAACGAAATTGATCTGGAGGATGTGGAGAAAGAATTTGATGAACTAATTCATGTTGAACTACCCGACGTACCCGAGACAGAGTTCGAGGAAGCCAAAGAGAAAGCTGGAATCAAGAAAAAGACGGCCGAAAAGCGAGAAAGAGTTGCTTTGGAGGCTTCATGATGGATAATATAAATTATATCAAAATTTCCCCTTAATGCTATCGGAAATAACCTCAAAAGTTGTATATTGGCTATTCGTAACCTATGTGATATACCAAGTATATGTAAATTTTAGTATTAGACATAAATTATATTGTTATAGACATCTGTTTGAGTTGATGGTAGAAATACCATTTTTATTGACGGAACACGCTGTTTTTGATGTGAAATTTTAGGAGAATGAAGAAGAGAAGCTCCCAGGACTCTGTTCCGATTGTTGAGAAGCTTTATAAGTGAGTTGTTATACATTTTTTGCGGTGTTGGATATAATTTTAGGTAAAAATTGGATTTTTTTTTGTTTTCTTTCCAGGAAAAATCAAGAAGATTATGAGAAATGTGGAGGATTTGAAGAGGATGATGATGCGGAAGAAGAGAGAAGAAAAGAAATAACGGAAAATGCGCAGAAACGTACGTTTTTTATATTGTTTTACCTTCAAGTTTTAGGTCGCGATCTTTTGGCCAAAAACAATGAAAAGCCGGATCTTTGCATCGAATGCAATAAGACACTGGGTCCAGCGTACCTCTGGGACATCTATAGTCACCCTGTTTGTGATTTGTGCAAGTAAGAAAAAAGTTTTTGGATCAATTTATCTTATCCTTTAGGGACATGAAAAACAAGCATCTGGTGATCTCCAGAACTGAAGCCAAAAAGCGCTACGCTTTGAAGGACGAAGATCTTGACCATAGGAAGCCAGTGTTGAGGTATCAAGCCAAGAAGAACCCACATAACCCACGTTATGGCGACATGAAGTTGTACTTGCTGTCTCAGGTGGAAGAACGTGCAAAACAAGTGCATGGATCGTTGGAACAAGTCCAATTGACGAAGGATGAGAGGAGAGAGAAGCGAGAAGCCCAGGCGAACAAAAGGTTTGAGAATCGGATCAAGGCCATGAGAAGAGAGGCGAGTTTTTCGATTTTTTTGATGTTACACTTGGAAAATTTTGTTCATGACTTAAAATTTTGTTCGATTTTTGGCAAAATTAGGGCTGTAATAATAGAATACGGTTTGCAGATGCGGCCAGACGTTGTTTTGTCCAACAACGAGATCCATGAACATGAGTATGGCCCGGAAGAATCGGATGGAACAGGGAATTTTTGGATGATCTGTAAAACCTGTGAATATAAGAATGAATACGAACGTTTGTAGATGTTGATTGTGTCAAATATTCCCTCTCGGTGTTGTTTAACTTATTTCGATTGTTATCTCGGTTCACATTGAGCTTTACCTCACCGATCTTACACTTGTAATATTGATCATGTTGAACATGTGGAAAGTTTCTATATGTATCTTAAACATTGTAAATATATATATAAAAAGGTGTGAAATTATATGAATTTTTAATAGAGAGTTAGTTTCATTCGAAAAATACTTTGTAAATTGTGGTTTGAAACATTTTTGTCAAGTGTAAGGTAGTGGTTTTAATGGCGGAATCCGCTGATGGTGCGGTCCGAAAACTCCGCTCAGATGTGGCGAGGCAAATCTCAACGGGCCAAGTGATTGTTTCGTTGATGGGAGCCTGCAGGGAATTGATTGACAACGCCTTGGATGCAGGCGCTTCAACTGTTGGTAGGTGAAGATGATTTTTGTCTAAATTGGGTTGAAATAAGGTGTGCAGGCGTCGTAAAATAGGATGAAAATTGTGTCTGAAGTCTGTAGAGTTTCGGAGAGGCAAAATTTTCGAAAAACGGGAGAAAAAAATTTGGAGTTGGATAAGGGGGGACCAAGGCAAGAAATTTTCAAAAATTTTTCGGGTGGGGTTGATTTTTTTTTTCTAACTCTCACTGGATCATTAGTGGACAGTATCATACCTGAATCGAAAGTTCTTACTTTTAGTTTGCTTTGAAATTGCTGAAAATTGTCTCTTTTTTCCAGAAGTCCGTCTCAAAGAGCACGGTGCGGATGCGTTGGAAGTCAGTGATAATGGCCATGGAATTTCGTCGGAAAATTTTTCATCCCTCGGAAAACCTCATGCAACCTCCAAACTCACCGATTTCAACGACTTCAACAGTCTTTTGACTTTTGGATTCCGAGGCGAAGCACTAAATGCACTGTGCGCTCTGGGGTAAGAGATTTTTTTAATTTTTTTTCGGTTTTTAGGTCCGAAATTGTGGAAAATGAAATCAAATAGGATTACAAGACCCTGCAAAAAATGTATTTTCTCGGTTTCAGCAATGTTACAATCACCACGCGCCATAAATTGGCCAAATTGGGCACTAAATTAACATTCTCCCCGACTGGCGAAATTTTCTCGCAAACCGTCGCAACTCGACCAATAGGCACTACAGTTTGTGTGGAGAAGCTGTTCCACGCATTGCCGGTGAGACGAAAAGAATTTGTGAAGAATGCGAAGCGAGAAATGCATCGGTTGTTGGGCGCAGTTCAAGCATTCGCATTGTCCAGAACGGATGTCCGATTCACGGTGAGCAATGGAAACGGAGTGTAAGTTAAGCTGGCAGTTGAGAAAAGACTTTTTTCTTGAAAAAAATTTCGAATCAAAAAAAATTTTTTTTTCAAAAAATTGCCGAAAAATTTCAAATTTTGATTTTTATTGTGTCATTACACGGTAAATAGTTCTGTTATAGCACTGTAGAATCGGTTTTAGAGCCTATTCTTAACTTTTCGATTTTTTTTCACTCCTGCACAGTGCATTTTCTTGTCTTGTAATTGATTGCACTGTGCGATGACAACTGCAAAAAAGTTGTTCAATATCTCGGTTGCCACTGCACACCAAGAGCTAAAATTTTCGCTATTTAATTAGCGGCCCATATAGACTCTTTTTGCAAGACTTGAAGGAAATCGGAAGGTTACACTTGGCGCACTTGCCTTTGTGTCTACTACAATATAATGAAAAATAACGCCAGCCAAGGTGCGCCTTATGAGTGTGTATTTCAAATTCAAGACAAGCTCATAGTTAAAATCAAGGCGGCCTGGAAATGATCACTTGTTTCTCATCACAAAAATCCACAGGATGAAAATGAGCGACACCGCCACGGAGGTCATTACATATGCCTGAAATTGGCAAAGAATCGAGGGTATAGCTTTGGGGAGGCTCAAACTTACAAAGCAGACGACAAGAAGGGTGATTCGTGGTTGGGGCAGGCCTGCAACTCCATAAAGAACCGTTTCAACCACGCCCAGCAAACTGGTGAAGGCATATCCGGACATAAACTGGAAAAGAAAATTTAGTTGGGGAAATTAGAGGGATAAAGAAGAAAAAATAGGTGTTGAAGAGTTGATTCCGAGAGAATACAGTGGCGGACCTGATACAGTGGCAAAAAACCTATAATTTTGCATCCGGGAAGTACCAAAAAATGTAGCAAAATACCTCCCTCTCCAAGTGAAAAAACTCCGATTTCAAAATCGCGCCCGCCCTTTTTGTGAGGGCCCTTCAAACGGAGTTTTTTCACTTGAAGAGGGAGGTATTTTGCCACATTTTTTGATACTTCCCGGATGCAAAATGGTACGTTTTTTGCCACTGGATCAGGTCCGGCAGGTATGTTGTCAATTGGGAAAGTTGGCAATTGGGAAAAGATACAATTGGGGAAACTGAGAAATATTTTTCTTCTTGCATGTACAGTGCCGGACTTGATCCAGTGGCAAAAAAATCTACTATTTTGCATCCGGGAAGTATCAAAAAATGTGGCAAAGTGCCTCCCTCTCCAACTAAAAAACTCTGTTTTGAAGGGCCTTTGCAAAAAGAGACCCTTCGAAATCGGAGTTTTTTCACGTAGTAAGGAAGTATTTTGCCACATTTTCTGATACCTCCCGGTTGCAAAATGGTACGTTTTTTGCCACTGGATCAGATCCGGCACTGTAAGTTTTCGAAATGAGGATAATCGATGGCGTTGATTTCAAAAATCATATTCATTTTTTTTGATCGTTACTTTTTTCTTAAATAGTGTTGTAAAGTAGTAATTTATCGATTTTTTTCACAAAAATGCCCGATTCAGGGTTTTTTTCGATGGTGCTGATTTCAAATCACGAAAAATGAATGTCACTTTTGAAATCAGCACCATCGAAGACCCCTGAATCGAGTATTTGTAAGAAAAAAATCGAAAAATTACTATTTTACAGTACCGCTTAAAAAAAGTAACGATCAAAAAAATCAATATGATTTTTGAAATCAACGCCATCAATTATCCTAATTTCGAAACTTACCTACAAGAAAAATAATATTTCTCAGTTTCCCCAATTGTCTCTTTCCCCAGCTGTCAACTTCCCCAATTGACAACGTTCCTATTCTCTCATAATCAACCTTCCCAACCGTCGCTCCGCCGGAGAGAAAAAACCCACCACAAACGGCGGAATCCTATCCTTCATCCTGACGGAGGAGTACATAAAGTGGATAAAGATCAGTAGAATGGTCGAAATGCACGTGAAACTGAATGCCACCACGATTTTCACATCCGACTGCCAGTCATAGAGGAAGAGGACCAGAGTTATGGGGACTAGACGGGTTTGCTGAAACAAAAAAATGTTAGACTAGGCGTAAGCTGGGCCTGAGTGGCTGAACTGAAGTTTGAAGCCCGGCTTGGTTTTCGGAGCGGAATTTTTGTTTGATCTGTGTCCAAAAACGTCTCCAAATGCATCCAGCAGACATTTTTAATGCTTCCGCATGCCTTCTTTTAGTGATGAGCATGCGGAAGCATTGAGAATGTCTCCTGGATGCATTTGGGAACGTTTTTGAACACTGCACTCAAACTTTTGTGTTGCAGGTGGACAGTTTTTCTTTTTTGGTCAGAAACAAGGGAGTAGAACCTCCATTTTCTGGCCCGTTCAAAAAAAAACAGCTTTTTTTTGTATTTTCCGGGCTGCGCCCGAGGAGTCTTCCTTCTTGGCCAAAAAATGTTCGGGAACCTGGAATTTTAAGGGCAGAATGAAGGGATGTAATGTTTTTGACTTGTCTGCCATCTCATATGGGGTGAAAAATTTGAGGACTAGCCAAAAGCGAGTTTTTAGTGAAGGCTCGGGCGCAGCTCGGAAAAAATTTTTTTTTGTGGCGGGGCAAGAAGTGAGCTTTTGGCTTTTTAACTGGGTGAAGGCTTTGCCTGAAAGTGAAGAAAAAGTTTGAGGGCTAGCCAAAAAACAGTTTTGAATCAAGGCTCGGGCGCAGTTCGGAAAAAATTTTTTTGGAATGAGCCAGACAAGTAAGCCAACAAGCAGTTTTTTTTCGAGTAGTTTAGAGAAGGCATAACTTACAAAAATAAACTGGCTGAGAAACGACTGAATCCGCAGTCGCATCGTGCCCGGCCTGGCATGGACCGGCGGCATTGTCCGCGCCGTGCGCTCACTCTTCTCGACGTTGGCCTTTTTGCCCTTTCTGCTTCTGGCGGAACTCCGCTGACTCCGTTTCGAACCGTTCTTCATTTTTGATATCCAACGGAATTGCGAGAAAAAAAAATTCTTGAAAATTTTTTCGAAATTTTTTTTCAAATTTCGAATTAAAATTTTCGGTTTCAGAAAATCCTTTCAAATTCTCAACTCGCCTGGCAATAATTCGCCCGTAATGCAGGTGATGACCTCGCTTTTTGGGGCTTCGGTGTCCAAAAAATCTCTGATTCCGATCAAATCGGCCGAACCGGATGAGAAATGCCTCGAAATTTACGAACTGCCCAATGACGAGGCGGTGAAAAAGGAATGCGAACAGATCACGCTGACTGGCTATGTGAGCAATTGTGAGGCTGGTAGGTCATTTGTAATGACGATTTGAGGTCATCGAAAGAAAAATTTTGAATTTTGCTCAATTTTTTTTTTTTTTTTTTTTTTTTGAGTTTTGCTCGATTTTTTTGGATTTTTCCTTTGTTTTTTTAAATTTTTTGATTAAAAAAGCAAATATATCACGTTTTTATAGGAAATGGACGGCATGTAAGCGATCGACAATTTGTCTTTATTAATAAACGACCAGTCGATCATGCCAAAGTAAGTGAATAAAAAAGTGCTCTCGATTTTGTTCAAATTTTGCATGGATACTCTAAATAGACCGTATATTAATCCCTGAAAATTTTGTCTCACCCTTTGCATCCACAGCCGAGATATTAGGCAATCTTTTTTTTCGAGAGAGCACGCTAAATGAGGAGAGACTGTCAGAGAAAAACGACTAGCTTTTTTGGCTATGTCTTCGCGAATTTTGCTTGGAAAAAATGATTTTTTATTAGAATATTGTACTCCCCATATGTAACTGACTTTGTTTTAGTTGAAGCCAAAAATTTGAAAAAAAAATTTTTTTTGGGAATTTTTCGAACTTTTTTTGAAATTTTGGGCTTCAATAAACCAAGATTTGGTACATGTCTGGAGCATAATTTTTCTACAAAAAATCTATTTTTTCCGAGCAAAATTCGCGAAGACATATCCAAAAAAATAGTTTTTCTCTGACTGTCTCTCCTCGTTTTGCGTGCTCTCTCTCTAAAAAAAGATTGCTTAATATCTCGGCTGTGGGTGCAAAGCGTGAGACAAAATTTTCTGAGATTAATATGTGGTCTATTGAGAGTATTTATCCAACGTTTGAAGAAAATCGGAGGGTGTTGTTTTGGGGTACCCCAGATTTTTTTTGATTTTGAGATTTTTAGAAAAATTTTTTATTTTTTTTTTGCTTTTTTATATTTTTTGAATGTTAATTTATTTTTTATATTTTTTAGCTCTGCAAAATTGCCAACGAGCTGTACAACGTCTTCAACAAGAATTCCTACTGTATTTTAGTCCTCTTTATCGAAGTTGATCCATGTGAGTTCAACGTAAAATTATTTATGTTTTTCCAGCCCAACTGGACGTGAATGTCACCCCGGACAAGAGGATTGTCTACTTGCGGAATGAGAAGGAGCTTTATGCCAAATTCCGAGCCTCTTTGTTGGCCACGTTCGAAAGTGTGGCGGGAAAAAATACGGTGGCCAGAGAGACGTTGCCCACACAGAGCCAGATGTTCACCGCGAAGGATTGTGAGTCGAAATTTGATGTGTAAACAAAAAAATGAAAAAAAAAATTTTTTTTGGTCGAAAAAATTTTTTGGTCGAAAAAAAATTTTGGTCGAAAAAAATTTTGATCAAAAAAATTTTTTGGTCGAAAAAAAATTTTTGGTCGAAAAAGAAATTTTGGTCGAAAAAAAAATTTGGTCGAAAAAAATTTTTGGTCGAAAAAAATTTTGGTCGAAAAATTTTTTTTGATCAAAAAAGCTTGTAAATATACATTTCCTTATTTTTTTACCTCACATTTTGCATAAATCATTGGAATTTTTTGCCAAAAAATTTCCAAATTTCCCATTTTTCCAATAATTTTTTTTTCAACTTTTAGTCCCCGCCAATGACAGTAGAACCGATGACTACGACCTGTATGGATCGCCCGCCTCTTCACCACGCCCAGAACCCGTCAATATCTCGGGAATGTTGAGGAATGAACGGGAGGAGAAGGGCAAAAGAGGCAAAGAAAAACAACGAAAGGAACGGTCGGAAAAAGGACCTCCGCCACTGAAAAGACCCTGCACCATGGACAGTTTTGTCAACAGGCTGAGCAAAATGGTATGTTTAGGAGTTGTAGGGGATGTAGAAGGCAAAAAAAATGAAGGAGGTTTAGGTGAATTTTGAGAATTTTTTAAAAACGCGATTTTTCTCTAAAAAATTGAAATTTTTCGATTTTTACTGCGGATTTAGCTGTGGTTGACCCTAATTTTTTAACTAAAAATTGTTTCAGGGCTTGGTTTATTGTTGAGAATGAGTTTTGAGATAAAATCCGCAAAGGTTGGGCAAGGGGGACCAAAAAATTTTTTTCTGAAAACTTGGTCCCATCTTACCACACTTTTTTCAAAACGTGTTATTGAGTTTCCTAGGCCTTTATTATATCATTTGCGATGTCTTTGACAAATTTGGAGTAGATTTGTCATCAAATTTTAGAATTTTTTTTGATTTTCCAAAAATTTTTTCTCCCAAAAATAAAATTATTTTTTCGTTTCAGGAAGATGTTGTTTCGTCTCCCCGACTTACTCAAACAGTCCAACTACAAAGCCGCTTGAATGCAGATGACTTTCACAGCGAAATCGACCGCAGCTTTTTGGCGAATTCGACGGCTTTGGACGAGGTTATCAACCTGGAGAATGATGGGGAATTTAATTCAAATCGGATCAGTGGAGGTGATCAGGGTGAAGTTAGAGGTCTTACAGAAGAGACATTGTCTCAGGATAGTCGAAATGACACGACATTTGAGGATATTCCAGTGGGAAGTGGGCTAAAATTGATCCCGATATTATCCATGCCACCTGAAGAAAATTCGAAAAATTTTGATGAAGATTGCGTTGATGGTGAAGATAATGATGATCAACGCGACGAAGAAGGATTTTTGGGGCTCTCTGAGGAAGATTATGTCCCGTTGTGGAGGGAGATTGAAGAATCGGACGTCAGATCGGAGGTGTTTTCATATAACTTTAGGTCTCAAAAGACCCAAAACAACTTGGAAGAAGAGCACGAAAAGTGTTGTGAAGAGTCTACAAGCGATTTGGATGTAATTTCCAACACGGATTTTGACGAACCACCCGAGAAAGCGGAAGAAAAATTGAATTTGATGCTGAAGTAGGGTCAAGTGTGATATAAAGTGAGATAAAAAATTTTGTTCCCTTTTTCAGAGCAGAAAACTTTGCGGAGATGGTGGTGATAGGCCAATACAATAATGCCTTCATATTGGCTCGACATGGGCAAGAAATTTTTTTGATTGATCAGCATGCCGCCGATGAGAAGTACAACTTCGAATGGCTGCAGAAAAACGCGAAAGTCAAGTCGCAAGGAGTGTGTGAGTAAGTGTTTTGGACTGTTTGTTGGTTTTTAGGAAGTCGGAGAGAAATTTGGAGGAGAATTTTGTAGTAATTTGGTAGTCGCACTGTGCAGAAGTTTGATTTTTTTGGTCGGAAAATTCAAAAAAAATTGTCAGATTTTGATAAAACTTGGCTGAAATGTGGAATAAAGTGGTTTAAAGCGACTAAAAAAAGTTTTAGGCCGCGTTTTGCAGAAGTCAGGGGTTTTTTGATCAAAAAATAAAAAAAAAAATTTTGAAAATTTTATTTTTTTATTCGAAATAAAAAAAATATCTTAAAAAACAAGATTTTTATCAAGTTTTCCCCTAAAAATCTCGACTTTTTGAGAATTAAAAAAACATTTTCAAAATTTTTTTTTCCAGCCAACGTCAAATGTCCCTCGGCCCCGTGGAAGAAGCTGTCCTTATTTCTCACCTGGACATCCTCGCAGCCAGCGGCTTCGAATTCGAAGTGAATGAGCAGGCTCCGTCCGGCCAAAGAGTCCTGTTAGCCTCCGTCCCAACAGTTTGTGGCTGGCACTTCGATGCATCAGACATTGAGGAGTGCATCTCCGCCCTACGCCAATTCCCCTCAACCATGTATCGACCGGTGAAACTGCGGAAAATTTTCGCTTCGAAAGCGTGCAGAAAATCGGTCATGTTCGGGGACACATTGAGCATGGAGAAGATGGTCAAAATTGTCAGACATATGGGCGCTATGGAGCAGCCGTGGGTGAGTAATAAAATTTTTTAAAAAAATTTAAAAAAATAAAAAAAAAAATGAAAATTCACAAAAAAAATTTTTTGAATAAAACAAAATTAATTTATTTCTCAATTTTTCAAATTTGAAAGATCGACTAGTCCGTCCAGAAATACGCCGGACTGATTTTTGCCGTTTGCACTGTGCGAAAAAAAGTCAGGGTGCGAGCGACAGCCGAAAAGCGATTGCACGGTGCAAAAAGCAAGAAAATTGCACGGTGCAAAGAAAACCTTTGTTTTGTCGCCGATTTCAGTCCGGCGACTTTGCGGAAGGCAATTGCACTGTGCGAAAAAAGGTCAGGGTGCGAGCGACAGCCGAAAAGCGATTGCACGGTGCAACGAGCAGGAAATTGCACAGTGCAAAAAACAAAAAATTGCACAGTGCAAAGTGAACTTTTGTTTTGTCGCCGATTTCAGGCTGGCGACTTTGCGGAAGGCAATTGCACTGTGCGAAAAAAGGTCAGGGTGCGAGCGACAGCCGAAAAGCGATTGCACGGTGCAAAAACCCGCAAATTGCACGGTGCAAAGAAAACTTTTGTTTTCGCACAGTGCATGTCGCCGATTCCAGTCCGGCAGACCTTGAAATTTGGAAAAATTGGGAAGATAAATTAATTCTATTTTATTAAAAAACCTTTTTTGTGGTAATGTGATAAAAATTGGTTTAAATTTAGTGAAAATTTTTCTAAAAGTATATTTTTTTAAAATTTCCAAATTTTTCGGTCGAAAAAAATCGACATTTTCAAAAAAAAAAAAAAAAATTATTTGATTTTCACAAAAATGAATTTTATAGCAATTTTTTACTTGAAAATCCCCCAAAAAAATGTTTTAGAACTGTCCCCACGGTCGCCCAACAATTCGGCATGTTTGCACGTTGAAGGATCAGATTGAAGCTCCACTCTCCGAATGCGATGAACAAGAAGAATCGTCGCAAGAAACGGATATCACTTTTGATATCAGCATGGATGAGGAGACGTTTGAGAAGGAAAATTTGAATGAAACGCAATATGAGGGGGAAATTTGTGAGTTTTTTTGATTTTTTTTTTTTTTTTTGAAATTTGCGAAAAAAAATATATATTTTGATTTTTTAAATATTTGGGATTTTAAAATATTTTTTGTCAGTATTTTGCAGAAATAATGGGGATTTTTAAACCCAAAAAATAAAAAAAAATTTTTTTTTTTTGAAATTTTTTCTGTTAAAATTGAAGAGAAAAACTTATAAATTTTGATGGAGCCTAGCAAAAATTTAGATTTTGTAGTTTTTTAAGACAAATTTAAGATTTTTTGCGTCTATTTTGCAGATACAAATCCGTTCGGAAAGTCACAATTTTCGCACGGTGCAAACGGCTGATTTTTGCTGTTTGCACTGTGCGAAAAAATTCAGGGTGCGAGCGACAGCCCGAAAAAGCATATTGCACTTTTTGAAAGTTCTAATAGCAGCATCGAGATTTTTAGGTCGATCTTGAAACTTCTGGGGTAAAAAATTGAATTTATTTGTTTTCAAAAAAAAAAAAAATAATTTATAAAGTACTTTTTCTTGATCTATCCTTCAATTTCTCACCTTCTAAAAACGGCTCCAGTCTACAAAAGGATGTGGTTCAGACGCTGTTTATTTGCCCTGTTCCCAACATCCAAAAACTGAATGTGGTCGGTCCCGAATCGTGACCTCCAAAAGTCGCACGTCTCTATTACTTTCTCACCTTTTTTTTGGTTTCTTGGTGCGCCAAAATTCGGTCGATTATGTTTACTTTTTGCGCGGTAGGTGCTGTTGAAAGTAAAATAGGGTAAAGTCATGGTTATGACGTTGGTGGAGCATGATGTTTTTCAAAATTGAAGGCTGAAGACGGTAGAGTTCTTGAGAAATTGGTGTCCTCTCAGCATAATTTTTTGGTGATTTTAAAGGTTTTAAAGGCATGTTTCAGATTTCTACGTCGTATTTTACAAGGCCCACGGGGATTTTTAAGTTAAAGCTTCTCTTTAGGGAGAACAAATTTTGATTTTTTTTTGATTTTTGAGGAGAATTTTGCGTTTTGCGAAACATTTTTCTTACTAGCTGGCCAATAAATCACGGAAGAGAATTCGATAAATTTAGCTGTTTTTTAAAATTTTGCGAAAATTTTTTATTTTTAAAAAGTTTCTTGGTACTCACAGGCATGACTTTCTCAGTGAATCACGGATTAATCTCTTACGCTGCCTCAGGCTAAAATCAAAAAAATTACGTAAAACGCGAAAAAATATTGAGCTCCTATGGCTTAGAATACACTATTTTCTACTCCAAAAAACAATGACTACCTTGTGGGGATTATGGCCTTGTTGTTTTATTACCACAATTTCCGGTCGATTTATCGGCTGAGAAAACGTCGAGACAAGGCGTAAGCAGATTGATGGATAACCTGAAGTCGACAAAAAAGTCGAGAAAGAGTTCGAAATAAGCCTGGGTTTGTGATCAGAAAGTATCACTGATGCAAAAAGAAAGCTTTAGAAAGCTACAGTGAGGGACCAGATCCAGTGGCAAAAAACGTCTCATTTTGCATCCCGGAAGGGACCAAAATGTCTCCAAACCTTTCCCTTCTCTAAGCTAAAAAACCCCGCTTGAAGAGCCCGCCTTAACGGAAAGGGTGCGCTTTTCAAAGCGGAGTTTTTTAGCATAGAGAAGGGAAGGGTTTGGAGATGTTTTGGTCCCTTCCGGGATGCAAAATGGGACGTTTTTTGCCATTGGATCAGGTCCCTCACTGTACTGCACTAAATTAGGTGATAGTTGTAAGGCTTTACGTGATGCTTTCTGATCTCAAACCCAGGCTTATTTCGACCTTTTTCTCGACATTTTTTGTCGGCTGAAGATTACCTATGTATCAGTCTGTTTACGCCTTGTCTCGACGTTTTCTCAGCCGATAAATCGACCGGAAATTGTGATAACAGAAGGGCAAGACAATAATCCCCAAAGGTAGTCATTGTTTTTTGGAGTAGGAAATAGTATATTCTTAGTCATGGGAGCTCAATATTTTTTCGGGTTTTGCATAATTTTTTTTGATTTTAGCCTGTGGCAGCGTAAGAGATTAATCCGTGATTCACTGGGAGAGTCATGCCTGTGAGTAACAAGAAACTTTTTAAAAATCAAAAATTTTCGCAAAAATTACAAAACAGCTAAATTTAGCAATTTTTTCAGCGAAAAAATTCCGTTGATTTCTGCAAAGCGCGAGCTAAAAGGCTCAATTATGGAAAAAATTTTAAAATAAAAAAATTTTTGACTAAATTTTTGCCAATTTTTACCGAAATCTAAAAGCTTTTTGGCACAGTGCAAAAAAATTTTTTTTTCAACTTGCACTGTGCATTTTGAAAAAATGATCTCCTTGCAAAAAAAACCTTTATTTACACAGTTGGAGCCCATTATTTTGCCTCTATCCACGTAAAATTCAAACACCGTTGCCTACTGTTGTTGACCTTTTAGCTTGCGGACATGTCTCCCGCCGAAAACCCGCGTGTATTTGCTCAAAATCGACCGTAATCTTCGAAAAAAGTTCGAGCCCGGTGGGGTTCCGCACGTGGCAAAACAACCCGAAAGAGAAGCCAGGCGCTCTGCCAAATGTTGACTCAAACGTTGTTGTATATAACAAAACAATACCCATTGTTACAACAAACAGGAAATTTTTTTCTTTTAAGGTGGTCTTGGCTTGATCCCGACATGAAATGCGACCGAAAACGGCCCGAAATCGCGGTTGAAATTTTGGTTCCGGATTTTTGTTGTCTCAAAAAAAGATTTTTTTTCGGTTTTTTGCACTTATTTTGAAGGTATTGTAGTCGAAATGCACGGTAGTATAAAGTAAATATTATTTCCAAAAAAAAAATTTGTTACGAAAGTGGATTAAGTCAACGGGTTTTTTGAAGGTATATAAACGCGAGATTGTATTCATATTTTCGAAAAAAGAATTTTCGAATTTTAAGTGTGCTAAATTTAGAATATGAAGTGGACCTTAGTTGTTTTGTTCGTAATTACGATGATTTTGGCGGTTAATGGAGAGCAAGGTTGGTTGTGTTACTAGTAGGGGTTACTGAGTAAAAATAGGGCCTAATAAGCTCATAGTTTTGAGCCAGAAAGATGTAATGGGTCAAATTTCAAAAGTTTATGCTGATTTTTTGGCAAAGGAAGTGTTCAAAGTCCGACGCTTAGATTTTTTTCAAATTTTGAGCATGCATTGTATCTTTGCCACACATTAATTTCTAAAAATTTTGGCTCGAGCCTTGCAAGAACAGTCGAGATATTCAACGATCTTTGCCGATGAGAGAGTACGAAGAATGAGGAAAGCGGCCATAGAGAATTGTATTTTTCGCTTATATCTTTGTGAACTTGGCATTGAAAAGAACGAGTTTTTGTGGAAATGTTGCTCACCATATCAAACAAAACAGAGTCCTATGGGAAGTCAGAATACTGTATATGTATTGCTTCTCATATGGTGAGCAACATTTCCACAAAAAATCCTTCTTTTCCATGCGAAGTTCACAAAGGTATGAGCGAAAAATACATGCTATTCTCTCCGCCGCTCTCCTCCGTATCCGGGAAGTATCAAAAATGTGGCAAAATACCCCCCTCTATGACTGAAAAGCGCCTTGGAGTTTTTTTTCACTTGGAGGGGTATTTTGCTACATTTTTTGATGGCTCCCGGATGCAAAATGGTACGTTTTTTGCCGCCGGATCAGGTAGTATCAGATAGCTGTGTAATTTAAAATATTTTACGTTTTCTTTCAGAATTCTCGGTCCTCCGCTCCATCCTGAAACGGCACGCGGACTCGGTGTGCGGATGCCCGCCCAATCATGCCTGTGTAATGTACAAATGCATTCCTCCCGTACCGGGTCATCAGTAATCTCAATATTTACCTCCTCGTTCTTACTCATATTGAAATTCACACAACTTGTACAGTAAATTAATATGGTTTTCAAATTTATTTTGTAACTAAATTAATTTTAAGCCGCTGTTTATTGTTGTCGAGTTTCGAAAATCCGATTTACGATCGAATTCGTGAATACATGCCGCCCACTTTGGCGGGCCCAAAACACGATCGGATCTTGAAATTGGGCACCAGATGCTTAGCCTTGAAGTCGCAATCCTCTCGGTTCGGCCAGATTCGGTGTCGCTGGTCGTTGGTCAACGTCTCTTTCAAGCCGTTGGTGATGAGACATTCCTCTTCGACCGAGAGGCACATGTCGTTGCGGTAGACCTATAGAATGAAGGGTAATATAGAAGATTGAAGAGGAAATTGCTTAGATTTTGATGAACCTTTAAGAAACCTGTGGTTTTCCTTTGACCGAACGTGCGGAGACATTTTATACGACCAAACATGTTTCGTCGTATAAAATGTCCCTTATGATGTATAATTAAAAATGGCCCCTTGGAGGGCTTTTTATAAGTAAAGATACACTATTTCAGCAAAAAATTAAGTTATTCGCAGTTAAATTCGCAAAGATATGGCCGAAAGTTTCTTTTTCTCTGACGGTCTCTCCTCATTTTCCATTATCTCTCGTCTGCAATGATTGCTGAATATCTCGGGAGGCATAAGACAGAGATTATTTTTCGCAATTTTTAACACATTCTTTGAAGTGTCGGATGAGATATTCAACTATTTTTGCAAACGAGGGACCGTGGGAAATGAGGAGGGACAGTCAGAGAAAACTCTTTTTTTTGGCTGTGTCTTTGCTAATTTTGTGCGATATGAATTGAATTTTTTTGTGGAAATTTTACGCTCCACATGATATACAAAACGCCAATTTCCGTAACGAAAACCGCAAAAAAAAATTTTTCTAATTTTCTGCATTTTTCGATCTAAAAATCTCTATGATTTCTGCAAAGCGTGAGCTAAGATTTTTTGCAGATATATAAGAAGCCCTAATCTTAATTTTCCTCAAGTTTCACCAAAATCTGCCCATAATTCTTGCGTTATTCCCGTTTGAACTTGACTCACCTGAACCCTCTTCATCAATGCGATATCTTCCGCGGTCCATTTGTTCTTCCTGCTGAAGTCCGCAATCGTTGCCGCCACCACCTGCTCTCTCACAGCATTCAACTTGTAATAGGCGTCACAAGCGGCCTGCTCTCCAGCCCGCTTGCAGAACGACCGTACCCATTCGTCGGCGGCGGATCGGCTCATTTCGGATAAAAGTTTGGGGTAGTTGCGGCAGAATTCGTTGAAATTGGATTCATTCTGTATTCTCTTATGGAATGGGCCATAACGGAAGCTGCGGTCGGGAACACCGCCTTCTAATGTGACCTGGAGTGGAGCGATCGCCGAGGATACCTGAAATCCATACGACAGAGTGCTCATTAATTTCCCGACAGACTGATATATTTATATGACAAATGTAATTAATGTAAAACTTACTGTGGCCAGCGCTGCCAACGTGACAATCACACCCGTATCCAGCATTATTCACCGAGTGAAATTCGAATTTCATTTCAGACACGTTTCGAATATATACCGCTGAATAAATTACGGGTTTATTGTTATATTATACAGTAAATATCGCTGTCTCGAGTTTACGATATTGTTCCTTTTGATCTTCCCATTCTTTTACGAGCCATCCGTTCAACGATTGAACATACCGTAGACGGGAGTGTTACAAAAGAAATTATTCGTCTGGCCAAAGAAGAATTGGTCTTCGCAATCCCTAATTAATAGTCACAATGCATCGCGATGCCAAGAAAATTGTCGTAGCGAATTTGGGACATTTTATACGATGAAACACGTTTCATCGTATAAAATGTCTGCGTGTATTTTTTGTCGGAAGTTTGAAGCCTAATAGAAGTCAATTTGAAATTTTGAAAAAGTTATTTTGAGTGACATTTTATACGATGAAATTATGTTTAATCGTATAAAATGTCTCCGCATATTTTTTGCCGAAAATTTTTATTCGTATAGAAGTCAATTTGAAATTTTGAAAAAGTGATTTTGGGTGACATATTATACGATCAAACATGTTTCATCGTATAAAATGTCCGTGGAATTTTATATGCGTATTTAAATGAGTAAGGATTGTAATATTTATTTTCAAAAGAAAATATTCGATTATTACCACCCATAAAGCCAGATTGGATCCAAAATGGAGCTTCATTCCAACTTTGCCGCAGTATCTGAAATTAAAAATACAGTAATCAAGTTTGCAAAAACCCCAAAAATTTTAATTTACTTGCATTCTTTATACAATTTCTTTTTTCTTCCCAACGCACAGCAGCTGAAGATGAGGATCGTCACAATCAGAAAGGTCAATTCAGCGATGGCCATTGGGAAAAGGACTCCGACAATTTGGGCTCGTCTAAAAAAATGAGGTTTTTTTCGAAATAATTTACCTATGAGTCCAATTGGAGCATTGCTGGACAGGTTCGGTCAAGTTGGGCAAATGACTCTGAAAAAATTTTTTTTGAAAATTTAAAAAAATTTGAAAAAAAAAATTCTTGTAGTCTACTGTAGCTTCCTATTACAATAACACAACAAAAAAAACTTCTTTCCGAGCGAAATCCGCAAAGATACAGCCAAAAAACGTTTTTTCTCTGACCGTCTCTCCTCATTTTGCGTGCTCTCTCGAAAAAAGATCGCTTAATATCTCCAGTCCCGCTGCAAATGGCAAGCTAAAATTTTACAGAATTGATTTTCGACCCATAAAGAATGCGTATGCCAAATTTGAAGCGATTTTAAATTTTTGCCCTTAGGCATTCTTTCCAGTTTTCCTACCTTCTCTTGGGAGAACCACTCATCATTGACCAGATCGCTCCTCATCCAAGTGTATTCTCCGCCTCCGGTGGACGCGAGGTCCAAGAAACAAAAGAAAAGCGAGTTTCCGACCCCGGAGATTGGCTCGCAGACCTCTGAAAGCCAACAAATTAATCTTTTTTTCTCGTCCGTAAGAATAATCAAGGATCAACATGCGACATAGCAACTATAAACGTCTCATAGGAACCCTTAAAAATTTTGGCATTTACTTTTCAAGGTAGGAGACATTTTATACGATGTACCATATTTCGTCGTATAAAATGTGCCCTCATTAAACTTCAAAATCCGGCGGAACCCAACCCTAACAGATTTAATGGACCATATTTCCACTTCTAAAAATTTTTCTCTCGCTGGAGAGATGTTATACGACGAGACATGATTCATCGTATACAATGTCCCCGAAGACAATTAATGCAAAAGACTCCATATTCATTATTTTAAGAATTTTTTTACTATTGGAATCTCAAGCTTACCAGTAAAATTGTCGATTTTCTTCTCAAAATACCCGAACCGAATTTCGCCGCTCCTCTTCACCGCCACCATAATCTTCTCCTCGTTCTCCCAATACGAGTACAAAATCGAACCGGCTTCGAACGGGGTGTTCGTAGAGCCAGTGGAGTTTAATCTGGTGAGCATTCGGACCCTGGCATCGCCGCCTTCCATCGGGATTTCGAAGACTTTGGCTTCGACATTTAAATTCGGTTCGATTTGCTGAAAGAGAACCATAAAAAAGGTCTAAAAAATAACTTTTGTTGAATTTAAAGCAGTTTGGACCCATTTTGTCACCATTTTTTACCCTCAACTCCAAGCTCGGCGCTATTCCAAACAGTCGGTTATGGATGTTGGCATCCACATAAATAGGCACTCCCGGTGGCGTGTAGATCATCTTCGTCGAATAGACCACACTTCGAACGAAGGCTTGGACATGTCCGCAGGTCACTTTAATGTAGAGTGTGCGGAAGTCCATAAATGCGCTGAGCGATTCCGATCTTAGGCTGCAATCGTCTCCAAGAGCTAAAACAATATCTGATCAATTTTCTGGCGCCAAAATGACTTCTGCAAAATTTTCAGGGCATATTTTATGGCCTATAAGAGCAAATTTTCGATACTTATATTATGCGTAGACTGACATTTTATACGATCAAACATGTTTCATCGTATAAAATGTCTCCGGCTATTAAAATATGAGACATAAACATTTAGCATTATGATACACGCACAAAACGCAATATCACTGCAAAAAATGGTACGCAGAGACATTTTATACGATCAAACACTTTTCATCGTATAACATGTCTCTTTGAACAAATTGGTGAATATTTGACTGTGGAGGAAAAACAAGCAGAAAATGGATAGGAATATCGTACGTTTGTTGGCTTGTCCTCAAAAAAATATTTTATTCAAAGCTCGGGCGCAGTTTGGAAAAAATATTTTTTTCTTGTAAACAATCATATCTTTGATTGGTATGTTTCCTTTTTTTGGCAATTTTCCTTACCGTATTCCAAGGAGGCACCATAGAACTTCAACATCTTTACAGAGCCTTCTGCTCCTTCCCCCCGTTCTCCATCCAAAGTCGCATATTCGATGGTCTTCGAATCTTTGACCCTCAAAATCAAAATTGAGGACTTATCGATGTAAACAGTCGCCAAATTGGTGCATGGGCTAAAGAAATTTTTGTTTATAGACGTTATGTTACCCATCAGTGATGGTTGAAATTATTCGCGTCGCGACAACGGAACAGTCCGGCGCCAATCGAAGATAATCCTCCCTAGCGAAGACATTAGCAAAGAGAATAAGAAAAATAAGGAAATTTCCGACCATTCCTCGGAGATTTGAAGTTTGTCAATGAAAATGTGGGAAAATGAGGTAGAAAAGCTCAGAAACGATGGGTGGCACTCGGTTATCGCATCCAAAACAGTCCATAAACGGTCAATTCTCCCGTCATGAGCAATATATGCAAGGGAGTTACAAGGTGGACAAGTCATACGACGAAACATGTTTGACAGTATAAAATGTCTCCGCGTAAGTTTCTTCTGAAAATTTGCACCCACACACTGCGATGGAGAACTATTCTTCGATTTTCAAGTGATGATTGCAGGGGACATTTTATACGATGAAACATGTTTCATCGTATAAACTATCTCGGCAGAAAATTAAAAAAAATAGCAGGATGAAGATAATCTTAGTCAGCCATTTGACGAAATGCCTGAGGTTGAATCTTTCTCTCTCTTTGAAAATTAAACGCTTAGACATTTTATACGACCAAACATGTTTTGTCGTATAAAATGCTACACTTGTGGACTATCTTGGCTCCCATTGAAAAACATGAGCTAAATTTGTCTGGAGTCTAGCGTGTTGTTGTCGTCTCGTTTTAACCCGTAACTTTTCGTTCTCTGAACTTTCTTCTCTCTCTCTTTGTAATGCAAGAGGGGTTCCCCCGAAACCGCGTGGCGATCGCGACGAATGTCAACGACAGACGCATGGGAAACACAGAAAAACGGCGGGTTTTTTAGGAAACCCAAATAAACCTCGATTTCATGCAATATGATTTCATTTTGCGTTATTTTCCGGCTGGTTGGTTTAAAACGAGATTTTTTGTTAAAACTCTCTCCGAAAATCTTGTTTTCCGCTTGTTTTTGTTTTTAGTGCAAACTATACGATTTTTAAAACATTTTTAAAATTATTTTGAGTTATTTTTCCTCGAATTTTTTTTTTAATTTGTGCTACCCTTCATTTGGGGCAGATTTCATTTGTGGCTTTTCGTTTGAGGCAGATCGAAAGCGGATGGGGAATTTCGGTAGCAAAGAACGTGAGTTTGAGAAATCGAGCGAAGAAATACCTGGAATTTTTTGTAAAAAAATCCGAAAAACGATTTTAAAAAAATATTTTTTCCTCAATATTTTTTACTTTTTTTAATTTGGCTACCCTTCATTTGGGGCAGATTTTATTTGTGGTTTTTCATTTGGGGGCAGATCGGGTATTGGCCCAATACATACACCCAACGTTGTAAAATTCTTTGACCCGCAGGGCGATGGGTTGAAATCATAACTAAACTTTTTAATGGCTAGCCTAAAACCTTTATCGGCTAGCCAAAGTGTCAAAATTGGTTTAAAATCTCGAAAAAAGCCAACCAGAAACGATTTTGACACTTTGGCTAGCCGAAATAGGTCTTAGACTAACCATTAAAAAGTTTAATTATGATTTCAACACATCGTCCGGTTGGTCAAAGAATTTTGCAACATTGGCTATATTTATTGGGCCAATACCCGATCTGTCCCAAATGAAAAGCCCCAAATAAAATCTGCCCCAAATGAAGGGTAGCCAAAATTAAAAAAAAAGAAAAAATCGAGGAAAAATAATCCGAAATGATTTTAAAATATTTTTAAAACCGCTTTTCGATTTTTTAACAAAAAATTCCAAATATTTCTTCGCTCGATTTCTCAAACTCACGTTCTTTGCTCCCAAAATTCCCCAGCCGCTTTTCTTCGGCCTTCCCGTCTCTCTTTCTCTCCGAAAAACCTCGCGGCCAAAGGGAAAGCCCTAAAAAATTTTGTGGGGAAACGAAAATCAATGGCTAGGGGATGTTCGCTTTACTATTCCTCCATGTTTTGTCATTTTCTTAAAAAACAAAGTCTAGTCTGGTGGAAAATATAATTTTTGGGAGAAAATGTCCACCGAATTTCGAGGAAAACGGCTTTTTTCAACCTTTTTTTTTGCCAAAACTCCTTCTTTTTCGAAAGTCTCGAGTTTCTGGCGTTGAATTCTGACGAAATCTGGCGCAAATTTAGATTAGATTAGTCTAGGACATATGCAAGATCTTTAGCACGCGGTTTTCAAAAAATAGCGAAATTTTCAAACAAAAAATAAAAAATAAAATATTTTTAAAAAATTTTGAAAATAAAAAATTCCCATTCTGTTCGAATTGAGGTACATTACTATCAAAAAATCACTGTTTTCCACGCAAAATTCCCAAAGATACAGCCAAAAAAAATTTTTCTCTGACCGTCTCCTCATTTTTGTGCTCTCTCGGAAAAACATCGATCAATATCTCGGCTACACTTGCAAATTGTGGACTAAAATTTTTAGGCATTACTGTGGCATATCTACAGTATTTTCCCAAAATATGAGGCAAATGTGAGTGTCGTATCTTGACAAATTTTATTTTTGAAAAATCCAATTTTTCTTTGAATTTTTGTTCAATGTCTACAAAACATTTTCTTTTTCTCTATTTTTAGCCCATTTATATCATTGTGATTATTAACTCTGAGGGCAATATTGCTTTATCAGCAAAAAATCGGGGTTCTCGGAGATTGTAAATAACTTCCCCGCCGTTTATCATCCGATTAACTTTCTCATTTTTCTCCTTTGTGCTCTCGGAACGGTTTCCCCCGACCTCGTGAGCCAAACACGCCCTGCAACAAGAAGATTTAAAGGTCGAAAGTCACGTTAACGAACGCTTCTTTCCGAGTTGTAGTGTAATGTAACGGCGGAAAAAAAATTATAGAGTAGTCGCATTTTAAATGCTCGGATTTTGATGAGACTTGGGATTATACTTCTAAGAGTAACTTGATACTTTTTGCTCTTTCAAAATTTTATTCGGAGACAGTTTATCCGATGAAACATTTTTCATCGTATAACATGTCCCCCTTAACAAAAATTGTTGATAATCGGGATTTGACATTTTTTCTAGATGTAGAGAGCAAACACCATATAAAAATATTTTCAGAGACATTTTATACGATAAAAAAATTCATCGTATAACCTGTCCCCCAATGAACCGCAATTTCCAGCGCATGATTTTTACTCCGCATAGACCCTAATTTTATGTTTTTGTCAACAGTCCGCGCGAACACAACCTAAATTCTTACAATTTGCTCCAACTTTTATTAAAATTCCGGCTTTTTCAGGTTAAAACCGCAGCTCGCGGCCCACAAGCCGTTGATTGTCAGCCCGTGCCCAACGAATACCCTAACATTCGACACCGGCGACAACTCATAACCCATTTTTTATAATCAAGTTATTATTTTTCTTCAACTCCACAGAGGAAAAGCAGTCGTTCCGCAGCAAAGATGATGGAATTTCTCGGCGCCTTGTTGTTGGTGTTGCTCAAATGGCCCATCTTTATTCCGCTGATGGCAATTGCAGCGTATTTCATGTTCAAAAATAGCCGAAAAACTCAGCATACGGTAAGTTCTGTGGTAAAATTTCTTGTTGCACAGTGCAGAAAATTAGCGGTCAATTTTTTGCATGGTTAGACTGAGAAATAGGCGAAAATTGCCATTGCACCGTGCGGAAATTCCAAAAAGTCAAATCTGCACGGTGCAATGGCAAAAAAAAGAAATTTCAAACTTCACAGTGCAGAAAATTAGCACTCTATTTTCTGCACCGTGCACACTGAATTTTCGATGATTTCGCAAAGTGCAAAAAAAACGAGAATTCAATGTGCACGGCGCGAAAAATTGAGCGATAATTTTCTGCACTGTGCAGTTTGAAATTCCTTTTTTGCCATTGCACCGTGCAGATTGGATTTTTTGTAATTTTTGCACCGTGCAAAAAGAAAATCTAATCTGCACCGTGTAGTGGCCAAAAACCCACATAACTATCTAAAAACCACTAAAATAATTTTAATTTCCCCATTTCAGGCTGATCGTTTCTTCGCCGACTTCAAAGTGGGTGGCCACAGAGGATCGCCCAAACTGGAGCCCGAGAACACGATCCCATCCTTCGAGCAGGCCAAAAAAGAGGGCGCCGATCTCATCGAATTCGATGTGTCGTTGACCAAGGACGGCGTCGCGGTCCTTCTTCATGACGACACTTTGGATCGAACCACCAACATGACCGGCCCTATTCGCGACTACGAACATTCGGAGTTGAAAAAAGTGAACTGTGCGGCGAAATTCAGCGCGGAAAACAATAATTGCCTCACAACGGAGACCCACATGCCCACTATGGAAGAGCTGGTCCAATGGGCCAAGCAAAACAAGATGAAAATGTTGTTCGATGTGAAGGACGCGGATCAAGTTTTGGTCGACCAGTTGGAAGACATTTTTGCACGGTGAGACTTGCAATTTTTAGCTTATAGACTGGACAGCCGGCCCTGGAAGGTCTACTTTGCTAATAACTTGGGAAATAATGGATCAAAAAATTATATTTTTTGGAGCAACATCCAAAAGATATAATTTTTGTAAATTCTGATCCATTATTTCCCAAATTATCAGCAAAATAAACCTTATAGGTCGCGCTGGCACTTATATTAAGACTTATAGGGTCTTCAGCAGCCTTTTTTCAAATTTTTTATATTAACCACCTTTTTCAGCTATAACATCCACGAAATGGGTATTGTTTGCTCATTTTTCCCCAGTGTTGTCTATCGAATCAAACGGCATTCGCCCCGGATTTTGACAGGCCTCACTTGGCGCCGTTGGTTCTTCTCGTACAAGGATTTGGAAGCTACAGAACCCCGGTTTTTCGGTCCAAGACTTCTTTTGGCAACCTTAGTTGATGTCCTTTATATCTGGTCACTTTTAACCTGGCTTCCATCCTTTTTGGGAGTGGACATGGTCCTAACTGAACGTAGAGACATCTCATCGTAAGTTTTTGGGGTTTGGTATCAAAATTTCAAGTTTTTTTGATTTAGACCTCAAGTATAATATAAATCTTTAAATTTTGGCTAATTTTCGGTAAATTGTTGGCAAAGTATCGGTTCTAATGGGTTTTATAAGGCTTAACTATTCTTTTCAGCACCTTTGTGAAGCAACAACAGCTGGCAGGCCGCCGAGTTTGCGCTTGGACCGTGAACGACCTGAGCGAAGCGATCTGGATGCGAAAAGTCCTCGATATCCCCATCCTGACCGATCTGCCCGTGATGTGTCAGAGTTTACATTAGCTATTCAGCTTAGTAAACTCCCAAACTACCCTTGATTCGCATTTGTCGCCGTAAAGTACGGCAAATTTGTTATGGGCCGTGCTCAATTACTAATACACTGCTCCACGAAATGATAGACGCACCCTGTTTTTAGCGATTATCTTCCTTGTACTAAATGATATCGAATAATGTTCAACAGATGAAATGTGGCAAATTAAACGAGAATTCATGTCCCGTAGCGATTTTGGAACAAAATTTTGCCTTGACTGAGATATGACATTTTTAGACTTTTTTGGGGTCCACAAAATGATAGACGCAATTAAGTAATTTTTTGTTTATTTAAAAGAATTTTGAGTTAACCTGCTCTTATTACACTTCCTCGTGTTCTCTGTCGTATTAGAAAGGTAATTACATTTATATCCGCTGTACTTCATCGACGCAGTGGCCTTATGAGCCATTTCCGACCTTGTACATGGGGTAAAAATTCGTTTGAAAAAAAATTTGATTAACGATTTTGCTTTCGCCAAAAAACCATCTTAAACCATCATAGATTACTAGTTGCAAATATAAGACATAAAATAAACCAATACCGATTCGCTTGAAGTCATTTAATCGACCATTAAGTTACCGTATACCTTCTACAGTAACCTTCAAAGGCTCTAAAAGTACAGAAGATTACTATCGATGTCAATATTTTGCTCAGAAAATCAAACTCAGCATGTTAACAAACCTAAAACCGCAACTTATTGCCTGCTTAAATGTCATGATGATTGACAGATGATTGATTAAAGATAAACGTGTAAAAACAAGCCTATTTTTGTGAACTTTTTTTTGTCGAACGACGTTACCGACCAAAGGTATTCTGTAACGGCTGATGATTAAAACATTACGTTTTCAGGCATGCTCAGTTCGAATTTGCAAATTAAATTTTGTCATTCTCTTTGATCGCCTTGGTATTTCGGGGGTCTAAAAGTATTAAGGTAGCTAGTTGTTGAAGATGATATGCCAAGAAAATGCTCGGGATCCTTGAGCAAGCCGTTTTTTTTCATCAGTGAGATCTACACGTATAATGTGATAGTATTAGCTAGTTTTTCGCCCAAGAAAACAGAATCACCTACAGTTTTTTTCAAACCGAATATTTACCTCATGTACAAGGTCGGAAATGGCTCATAAGGCCGCTGCGTCGATGAAGTACGGCGGATATAAATGTAATTACCTTTCTAATACTACAGAGAACACGAGGAAGTGTAATAAGAGCAGGTTAACTCAAAATTCTTTTAAATAAACAAAAAATTACTTAATTGCGTCTATCATTTTGTGGACCCCAAAAAAGTCTAAAAATGTCATATCTCAGTCAAGGCAAAATTTTGTTCCAAAATCGCTACGGGACATGAATTCTCGTTTAATTTGCCACATTTCATCTGTTGAACATTATTCGATATCATTTAGTACAAGGAAGATAATCGCTAAAAACAGGGTGCGTCTATCATTTCGTGGAGCAGTGTACTATTAGTTACCCAAATAAAACAGTAAATCAGAATCCGTCTTGATTTATAAATCAAAGAAAATGAGCAAATCCAACAGCCAGCATGCTGCAGCATCTGTATTTAGCGGCAATTTCCAAAACCGCCGAGATTTAAAGCGGGAGATAAAAGATTTTCTGAAAAATTTCCGGAAATTTTCGATTTCGGAGAGTCAAAAAACATTCTTACTCCGAACGACAAATTTTTGGAAAGTTGGATCAAAAATGGCTCGCCAAAAGGTCGATCCGCAAAGTTGAAACAAAAATGGCTCGCCCATTTTGGCTGGTGAGTAGGATGCCGTTTTTACTCACCTGCACGCCAATTTATTTTCTTCAAAACTATTTTTGCGAGCTGCGCCCGGGAATTCCAGATGTGTCAAATTTCTCTCTCCCGGAAGAAACGTTTTGATTTTTTTTGAAGTTGTGAACCTATTTTCTCCACGAAGATGGGCTGAAAAGTGATCAAGTAAGTTAGCATTAGCAAGAGGAGATGTACTTTTTTCATTTGACACCAAAAATTTTCCTTTTATTTCAGAGAAAGGTACAAATTTTTTCCAATTCGTAAAGCTTCATGACCATGGATAATGTAAGTGCGCTTATCGCGTTTTTTGTTCCGTTATTGGAGTTAACAGTTCTAGGCTGGCGAGTTCTAGAGGACACCTCACTTTAGTTTTGTTATATACTCTATCTATCAAACGCCACCAATTTCGATTTCTAGGTGTCATGTACAATATCGAAATCCGCTCAGATCTGCCGGATTTTTGCCACGAATGCGTTCTAAACTGAGGTAATAATGTAATAAGGCTCAAATAACGTTGTTACAATAACTTGAAGATAGTTTGCATAGGTTTTACTTTAGTATAACATACTTTTGGAAAGTTAGTATAGTATTTGAAACTTTTACGTCGTTATTCCTCAAAATTTATGGGGTTTCATACATGGAGAATATACATGAGAGTGGGGTCTCCTCTAAACGTTTCCCGACTTAGAATCTTGACGTCGTAGCAAAAAAGGAGATAATCTCACTTACATTATCCATGGTCATGAAGCTTTACGAATTGGAAAAATTTTGTACCTTTCTCTGAAATAAAATGGAAACTTTTGATGTCAAATGAAAAACGTACATCTCCTCTTGCCAATGCTAACTTACTTGACCACTTTCCAGCCCATCTTCGTGGAGAACATAGCTTCACAACGTCGCACAAACGTAAAAATAATTTTTTCGGAAGAGAAAAACTTGACACATCAGGGAAAGACTTGGCATCAACCTTGCAACCTGCAGTGCGGGGCCAAAAAGAGGAATAAAGTAAAAACAAGCTCTGACTTTCGGCGACTCCGAGAGGGGAGTAAGATCCGGTCCTACTCCCGACCTTGAAGTCGGAAAGCCAGAAACAAAATTGACTTTTTTTTGCATTTTCCTTGAAGTAAACTGAAAATTTACTTTTTTTTTAAAAAAAAAGTAAAAACAGAAAAATTTCAAAAATTTTTCAGAAAATCTTTTATCTCCCGCTTTATTTCGTCGAGAAAATGCAAATCTTGCCTAAAAGCAACACTTGACACCTCGGGTCAACTCTTGTCTAGAATTGGCGCGATTCGGAAAAACTAAAACAATATTTTTGGTGCGCTCGTTGGAAATTCGTAGCCGTCTGTCGAACTTCGAAAGATGTCGGGGAACTTCTCAATTTTCAATCCAGGAAGGCCAGCGGCACCGAAATCCGACAAACCGAAACCGGCAAATCTGCCTTGGGTTGAGAAATAGTAAGTTTGCATTGTAAATCTTGTATTTTTTCTGCCTTTAGTCGTCCAAGCCAAGTCCAGGAGATATCATATCAAGAAGAAGTTGTTGCAGCGTTGACGAAATGCCTGGAAGGAAACGATGTGAGTTTGGATTCATGGATAATAGAAATTTTCGATTATTTTTGCGATTTTCTTGGGATTTTTGATGGCAAAAATTGATAAACTTCTCTAAGACTCTGTATACAAGCTTTTTATAGCAAAATTTTTGTTTCAGCTGCCTCACATGTTGTTTTATGGACCTCCTGGTACTGGTAAAACAACTGCAGCTCAAGCCGTTTACAAACAGCTATTCAAGGATCCAGATACAATTGCCGATCGGGTATTGGAGCTAAATGCTTCAGACGAACGTGGAATTGGTGTTGTCCGTGATCGAGTACGTTTTTGATGTTAAACTTGATATTCGATGTTTAGATCAAAGGATTTGCCAAGCAGAATGTGCGGAGTACGGCGAGCAAGAAATGCGCGGCCTCGGTCAAGATTATCATTCTGGACGAAGCTGATGCCATGACTTCATCTGCCCAAATGGCATTGAGACGGATTATGGAAAGTGAATGTAGGACAACTCGATTCTTCATTATCTGTAACTACATCAGCCGAATTATTGCCCCGTTGGCTTCTCGCTGCGTGAAATTCAGATTCAAACCACTTCCAGCTGAAGCGCAGATTGATCGGTGAGGATTTGACAAAATTTTTTGTCTCACTTTATGTCAAGTGCAAGGTCAAAAATTATATCGGATTTTGTGTTTGTAGATTGAAGTACATTGTGGAGAACGAGAATCTCAAAATTACCTCCGAAGCCCTCAATCAATTGATCTCATTTTCGGATGGAGACCTGCGCAAATCCATCACTCGGCTTCAGTCTTTGAGTCTTGGCTTCGACTCGATTGAATCGCAAAATGTGGCCGATATTTGCGGTCAAATTCCCTACGAGCAAATGGAGAAGTTCTACAAAGCGCTGAAGGGGAACCGAGTGGAGATTGTGGAGGAGAAATCCCGAGAATTTATTCGCAATGGATTCTCTCCGAAGCAATTCCTCGAACAAATTTCGGAGCTGATTTTGAAGGATGATTCGTTGAGATCCGTGGACAAAGCGAGGATTTTGGGGAAGATTGGGGTATGTTCTGACTAGTGGAGGCTCTTCGTTTCGATTGGATTAGGTTTTATCAGATTTCTGGAAGATTTCTATATTGTACATGACCCCTGAAAAAAAAAATTTTTTTGAGTTTGTTTTTGATATTCCTCGTTTCAGGAAGAAGATGCTCGACTTCTGGATGGTGCCAGCCCACTTTTGGTCATCACTTCGCTTTGCCTTTCCATTTTTAATATCAATTCTTCTACCTAAAGTTGATTCAAAGCCCAGTATGATATACGTGTACTAATAATAAATTAAATTTGGTTTTTATCATGATATAGTGTCATAATTTTTGAAAAAATTTTGGTTTTGCTGCAATCCGATTATTTTTTACAGTAGGATCTAAAATCCAATAATTTTGTGACACTTCGTCATAAAGCCAATAATCTGTGGCGTTTCGTCAAAGGAAAAAAAATGTCTTCCGAAAATCTCGGATCCACTCGACTCGTCTCCAAACAGCACGTAAAGACGCACTTTTGCCAAGGGTTTAATACTTTTTTTACTTATTGTCTTTTGCGGATTATAAGTTTTTGTAATCGCCTTTTTGTTACATGAAAAACAATGTAAATGGGGCCATTTTCCTCCTCTTTCTTCTGATATTGTTTGCAGATGCTAATAGAGTTATTTTGAAGCACTTTTGAATTGATAATTTTGGGGAGATTGTTGTTTTCTTTTTGATATTGGATGTGCTGTCAAGTACATGGTCAGAGCGTCTCTCCTCCCTTCCTAATTTGTTTTCTCCCGTGCCCGCCAGCACAGTGATGCATCACGCTCTCGCAATTCTCGATTTGAAACTGTCGTGAGTCATTCGTCACGCCAATGTTTCCATTGCACTGTTCTTCAACGTTTATCAGTGGTAGCTACGGGAAAAGCGCTGATTTCTCGGTGTTCTCTGCTCTCGCGTCTCACCTGATCAGCCCGCGGAAGACGCGGCAGTTTGATGAGAAGCTCCAGGGCTTGTGGGTTTTATTGACTGACACTTGGCGAAATTTTTTGGAATTGGATCCGCCTGCTGGAGTGGTCTTATTTTCGGAAATGATTTGTGGCGAAGAAGAGGGAGTGGGTTTTATATCGAAATTATGGTTTTTAGTGTTTAGGGTGACGAGAGAAGATTTGCGAGGGTTTTGGGGTGTTATTGACTTTGTAAACGTCTTGTTTTTTCCAAAAACATCAAGGTCAACACCTTGTTTTAGAAAAATTTTATTTTTTGTTTGAATATAATGTATCAGGTGATGTAACGGTGGCTAAATTGAAGAACAACTCATATTTTGTCTGTAGAAATAAATTCGATCCCATATTCACTCAAATTTACCGAGTTCCGATAATTTTTCGCCATCTGACATGATCAATATTGTTGATCAAAAACATGGCAAAATTTTTCGATTATTTCCAGGTGTATGGGCAAGATCTCCACAGAATAGCCCATTCGCAGACCGGCGGCGCCTTATTCCAGTTCAACTGAACCAGTGCCATAGTGGAGAGTGCGGCCGAAAAAACGTCGCGTTTATCGGCCCTTGAGAACGGCGGCGAAACCGACAGACTGGTGGAGATCCGCTCGGAGAACGTGGAAGTGGTCATCGAACGGCGACAACTCCTCGCCAACATCTTCGAAATGCCGGTTCAGACACGTGCGCGCCGACTGGTCGGCAGTCAGAGCCCAATTCAACAGAAAAAGGCCTTTGTAAGTCACTTTTTGATTATTGTTCTTGAATTTTAGGTTGGAAGACGGTGAAATGTGAAGTTAGTAGATTAAATTTACCGCGAAATTGATTTTTATTGCTGAGAAAGCGATTTTGATATTATTTCTGCTGGTAAAAACACATTAGGTTATTTTGATGCCTAGTGTAATATAAAATATTGTTTTTATTGATGTGTTCGCCCGCGAAATGTGAACTATTGAGATATTGAGAAGGTTGAAGGTTGTCGGCAGCTGTTTACCGCGTTTGGACTTCTTTTACTATTGAAAAAAAACGTCGAGATTTATAGGTCTATTTTAAAGTGCAAATCTGACCGTAATAGTCTCTCTGCCGCTAGAACTGATAAATTTTGATTTTAGACAGGAAATAGAAGGCCTAAAGCTACGAATAGACATCAAATGATATCAAAAAATTTGAAATCAATTTGTTTTGACAAGTTTTTTGTCCTCGATCATGTATAATATTCGAAAAACGTTTTTTTGAGGTAGTTTTTTTGCACGAACCAACTTCCTATTGTTTTCAGAAGATCTGGCAGTACCTTCGCTCCACCGTGGACAACGTTTGCGATGCCTACATCGAGAAGGATTGTCGTTTGGATCCGCAACAAATCCAACGTCTCAGCGACCACAAATACGCCTCGTCCGGCTACAGTTTTTTGGACGACCTGTGCATGCAGAGGTTTTGGAACTGGGTGGTGGAGTTCTATCCCATGTGGTTGGCTCCGAATTTGATCACATTGATCGGACTTATTATCAATCTTTTGACCGTCCTCGTCCTCTCCCACTACTGTTATACGGCGACGGAAGAGGTGAGAAAATGGATTTTTATGAAGTCTAAGAGGTTATAGGGGCTTTGAAATTTATGGATTTGATTTTTGAGACTATTGTTTGGAGGATTTGATCACATTTGCCTAGTGTAATATAATTTTTTTCGAATTCAGGCCCCCCGATGGGCGTACCTCCTCGCCGCCGTCGGCTTATTCGTCTATCAGACGCTGGATGCGACTGACGGCAAACAGGCACGCCGCACCGGCACTTCCAGCCCCTTGGGCGAGCTTTTCGACCACGGCTGCGACTCGATGACTCAGGTCTTCGTAACGCTCAATTTATGCTACGCACTGCAGCTGGGCTTCATAAAAAACATGGTCTGGATCGTGGTGATCCTGTCGGTGTCCACGTTTTACCTCGCACATTGGTCCACCTTTTGCACTGGGCATCTGAAGTTCGGTCGGTTTGATGTGTCCGAGGCACAGGACACCATAATTGGAGTGTTGCTGACGACCGCAGCTTTCGGCCCGCAGATTTGGGACACTTCGGTGAGTTTGGAAGGAGAATTGGAGTGAAAATTTTGGGTTTTTGAAAATTTGATAGCAGAGGTGGTCATGGATGACCGCCTACCGGAAGTTCGAAAAACCCCAAGTTCGACAACCAAAAGTTCGAATGCCGCAAGTTCGAATGCCGCAAGTTCGAATACTAGAAGTTCGAAAAACCTCAAATTAGAAAAACCAAAAGATCGAAAACCGGAAGTTCGAAATATGAAAATATAAAAAATGCAGAATGAAAAAAAGAATCGAACTTGCGGTGGGTCTCCGAACGCCTACCGCAAGTTCGAAAAACCCCAAGTTTAAATCTGCCTCACACGCGATTTTTTTGCCCTGTGAAAAAAAACTGCTGCTCTGCTCGCAAAGCCGTTTTTTTTGGTATCCAAAAAACGGTTACCCACCGCAAGTTCGAATCAGCAAGTTCGAAAGCCTAAAGTTCGAATGACTAAAGTTCGAACGACCTCCAGGGCCCAGTTTAGTATCGACCTTCAAATCCTTCATTTAGTGCAACATTTGAATAAAGCCCGAATTTTGCTCATTTATGGGAAATTTTCAGTCTGGGTGAGGTCGGTTGACTGCTCTCTCAGAGCTCTGAAGATTTTTCGATCTTCAGAAAAAATTGTAAATACAAATAAAAAACAAATGTTAAGTATACCTGAGGTCATGAACAACATCTCCTGGGGGTTCTCTGACATTTTCAATAAATGAACTATAATATTCGACGAAAAAGAGGGTACCACAATTTCTTAGTGGGCTTTTTGCTCGGGCTTAGATTACATTTTCGTGATTGACAGGATACAGGCATATTAGACACTTTTTATTTGCAAAATCAACGCATTTTTAAGATGAACTATGATGAATGAAGTTTTATATACGTTTGAACTGTAAAGACAGATAATCTGAATGAAAGCGATTGTGTTAAATATCAAGCATCTCGTATTTTTCACATTTATTACGGTTATTGTGCCATTTACGAATTGTTTCATAACTTCGCAACTCTTTTTCACCCAAAATTTAGATTTTTTAGATCTCTGAAAGAGCGGTCAACCGACCTCCCTCAGAATGAAAATTTCCCATAAATGAGCAAAATTCGGGTTTTATTCAAATGTTGCACTAAAGGAAGGATTTGAAGGTCGATACTAAACTGGGCCCAGTTCGACAAACCTAATCCAGTTCGACAAACCCAAACCGAGAAAGACACAGTTGGATTGGCTCCATGACGAATATTGACCAGGTCGACATGAAGAACAGCGCGTTCGTTGCCGGTCAGAGTGTTCGGACAACCAACCTCCATCGTAAAGGATGAATGAATGATTGAAGAGGAAGTGTATTTTGCAAAATAATTATATGCAAATTATAATTTAAATATTAATTAACTTTTTTTTCATTTTCGAACTTTAGTCATTCGAACTTTAGGTCATTCAAAGTTACGGTCATTCGAAGATTAGGTAGTTCGAACTGGAGGTCGTTCGAACTTTAGTCATTCGAACTTTAGGCATTCGAACTTGCGGATTCGAACTTGCGGTATGTCTCCTCATGGATAATATAAAAATGGCTGAGATTTTGTTTCTAGGTCTTTGGAATAAGCTTGAAGCTCATCATGCTGGCCGGTGGAGCATTGGGCATCGTAAATCAAGCCGGCGCATATATCAAGAGTATTTTGTCGGAGGGCTCGGGGAAAAATGGATCAACGGTTGCGGTAAGGGCGATTTTTGGGAAAAAATGTATTTTTTTATTGGAATTTTTGATTTTCAAATCCGCATTTTTTGCACTGTGCGGATTAAATTTTTTTTCCCAAATTTTCGCACAGTGCAATACCACCAAAAATTTTGAAAAAATGTATTTTTTTATTGGTTTGTTGAGCATTGGCGAACGTGTTTTGTAATTTTTGAACTGCTCTTTGAATCATTGTGCAATGAATTGTGTTTATTTGGAATTTTTTTGGTGTTTTGTCTTTGTTGATTATACTTTTTTTTTGTCATTTTTGTTGACATTTCACAGTGCAGAATGGAATTTTGGAATTTTCGCACGGTGCAATGGAAGTTTGGCTTTTTGTTGACGCACTGTGCAAATTTTTTTTCGAATTTTTATTAAACTTGGCGAAAAATAAGAGTAAAATTTTTTGAGACATGGCGAAGATTTTTGGCTTGTGATTTGGAGAATTCATCGAGATTTTTAGGCCGGAATTTGACAAAAATAATCAATTTTTTGTCAAGTTTTGACTTAAAAATCTCGGCGAATTCTCCAAATACCAAGCTAAAAAACTTTCACTATTTCTCAAAAAAATTTACTCTTAGTTTTTGCCAAGTTTAATAGAAATTTGAAGAAAAAATTATTTGCACAGTGCGTCAAAGAAAAAATCGCGAAATTTCCATTGCACCGTGCAAAAATTCCAAAATTTCAGTCTGCACTGTGCAATGTCAACAAAAATGATAAAAAAGGTCTAATCAACAAAGACAAAACATCAAAAAATTTCCAAATAAACACAATTCATTGCTCAATCATTCAAAGAGCAGTTCAAAAATGACAAAACACGTTCGCTAATGCTCAACAAACCAATAAAAAATACATTTTTTTCGAAATTTTTGGTGGTATTGCACTGTGCGAAAATTTGGAAAAGAAATAATCTGCACTGTGCAAAAAATGCGGATTTGAAAATCAAAATTTGGGTTGATCTTGAGGGTTTCACCTGGGGTCAATGCGCTATCTGAAAGTTTGCTGAAAATCGTAGGGCGCAGCTCGGAGAACTTGCACGGGCGCAGCTCGCGTCTTGGGCGCAGCTCGAAAATAAGCTGAAACTTAGCTCCGTCGAGCTGCGAAAGCTTGTTTTCCGAGCTGCCCGCGAGCTGCGCCCGTGCCAGTTTTCCGACCTGCGCCCTACCATTTTCAGCAAACTTTCAGATAGCGCATTGGCCCCTGTTAAAAATTCAAATGGATCCGTTTCCAGGACACCTCCGTCATTTTCCCGCTGTTCCCGCTGCTCGCCGTGATTCTGCCCTTTTGCATGATCTACACCAAGTCGACGAGTGGCGTCTACGACGCGAACATCACCCTGTTCGCCCTGTGCTTTGCGGCGGTGGGCGCGAAGGCCACAAATCGCCTAGTCATCGCGCACATGAGCCGCTCCGCCATCGGAATCTGGGACTGGATCTACGTGTCGCCGCTGCTGATGATCATCAACCAGTACTACGACTTCTACTTTGATGAACTCAAAATCCTCATCATTGCCACCATATACGCATATCTGAGTCTGTTGGTGTTCTGCGTCCACATTTGTCACCAGTTCTGCAATTACTTGAACATTTACTGCTTCTTCATCAGGCCCGGCCCACAAAATAACGTCCAGTTTGGGAGAAAGGCGTCGGAATCGAAGAGAAATCGTTGAATTGAAGAGTAGAGAGGGTAGTTGAGGGGTTTCAAAGGGCGTGGGAGGGATTGGAGAAGGGTGGGGTAAGGGGGGACCGTGAAAAAATTTTTTTTTTTTTTTTTTTTTGAGGATTTTTTGGAAGGGGGTGTAATTTTAGATCAATTTTTGGGAAAAGTAGACGTCAGATTGAAGTAAAAAACTGGCAGAAAGTTGAGTTTAGGCCTTTGTAAATCCACGGTAAAAATTTTGGCCCCCAAATTTTTTTTAGGTCATTGCGGGTTTTAGCCCGAAAAATGACGAAAAAATCTCATTTTACCACACCCACCCTCAGTAGACGCTTTTACACGCCCTTGGAAATTGTTGTATATGTTTTTTTACCCATTAATTTTGCGGCTTTGAAGAAAAATTGAAAATGCTTTTTATCTCCCTCCAAAATGGGATGATAGTAAGGTTGTAATATGGATAATATGTTTGCTAGATGATCATATTGTAATTTACTTACCACTCCGGCTTTGCAGCTCGTTTTACTTACTCTTTAACTATATTAAACTTGTTTATTTTGAAACATTTGAACATACATGGGCGAAATAGGGGGAAGGGAAGAGAGCTAGCTGTGAAGGTTTATTTTGCTAATAACTTGAGAAGTAATGGATCAAAATTTACAAAAAATTGTCTTTTTGACCTCTGGAGTTTGTATTTTTTGGCGTGATAACTCATGATTACTGATAAGCCCTCAGGCAATTCGCAAACGTCACTTTTTTAAATTTCTTTCATACCAAAGCAAGAAAACCTGAAATTTTTTGGTATTCTTGCTCTGGTATGAAAGAAGTTTAAAAAAGTGACTTTTGCAAATTGCCTGAGGGCTTGTCAGTAATCATGAGTTATCCGCCAAAAAATGGGAGCTCCAGGGATCAAAAAGATAGTTTTTTCGTAAATTTTGATCCATTATTTCTCAAGTTATTAGCAAAACAAACCTTTCAGATGGCGTGTTCCATAGACAAAAAAAGGAACCGTGGTTTTGAAAAGGGTTAAAAAAAGGGTTAAAAATGGGAGATCGTACTAAATTTGGGTGCAAAAGGCTTGAAAGCTTGGTTATAGCCGACGAGCGACCAAATACGACAACAAAGAGAGCGAAAACGGCACCAAAACGACGACTGCCAGTCCCGGCGTACTGTTACAGTAATCCCGGTTGTTGCAAAAGCAGTAGTAGTAGGTTTTCGGCGGACTGGCCCCGTCTGTGTAGTTGTAGCAACGGCCTGATTCGATTGTGGTCGTGTTTTGATAGGACGCAAAGGTGGTGGAAGCACTGGAATTATACAGTAAAATACTAATTGCTTCTCTGACCGCCCTCCTAATTTTCTTCACTCTCTTGTCTGAAAAGATTGTTGGATATCTCGGATATCCCTGCAAATTGCAAGCTAAGATTTCTAGGGGTTAAATTACGGTACATGAGGATTTTTTTGCGAACGTCGAAGGGTTTTGAGAGGAGACATTTTATACGACGAAATGTGTTTCGTCGTATAAAATGTCCCTGCATTAACAATTTCTAGTTGAAAATTGGCAGTCGAATCAAAGTGTACTCTGTATATCCACAACAAAACAAGTGGAGACATTTTATACGATGAAACATGTTTCGTCGTATAAAATGTCCCATCTACGAAAAAAACACTTGGAAAGGGTTCCGGAGGGCTTAGACTGTCTCTATGTGAAAAATGGAATTTTTTGAAATCAGTAAAGAATGAAAAATCACTTACTAACAATCGCTCTTGTAAGTCTTATATCCTTTGTGTTTGAAGATGGGGTCGATAATTTTCACACAGAATTGATTCGTTGTACAAGCGTTATTTGGGTTTTCACACGGATTCACGTTGACAGATCTGGGAGCATATCCTTTGCCGTTCCAGCCCGAGCATTGTAAACAATTTACGGCCGCGACTTCGGTCGAAAAATAGTGGAGTAGAACGAGCAGTGAAGAGAAAAACGAACAAATTTTGAGGGACAGCATCTGAAATTTAACATGAAAATAGCTAAAAAAATTTAGGACGAAAGAAAAAAGTTTTTAATAATAAAAAATCCAAAAATTAAATCCTTGATTGCCCAAGGCAAGGCGTTCGAAATGCCTTCAAATTTTGCATGAATAATCTTTCTAGGCCCCAAATCGATTACTGAAAATTTCAGCTCGCGCTTTGCAAGCAGAGCGAGATATTCAACGGTCTTTGTGAGACTGTGTAGATGTGGAGAGACGGTTAGAGAAAACTGAATTAAAATTTGCACCGAATCAAGATGATTTTTCGGCATTTTCTAAGGTTTTCGTCATCTGTAAACCCCAAAAAAGTAACTTTCGCTAAAAATATGGCCAACTTTTTCAAAAACCGCTAAAGTTCTCTCAACAAAAGGCTTTCGTAAAGTCGTCTGAAGGTTCTTCATCTCCAGAATTTTCGAAACAATCGCTGTATCCATGACGTCCGTAGGGGAATCGACTCGCTGGTTTTCCCCCTCGAATTTCGAAACGATTCAAATTAAACGCCCAAAAAGGGGGATTTCCAGCCTTGGCAACCAATGTGTCAACAGGTGCTGCTCTGTTTTGTAACAAACAAATCGGGTGATTTTTTTGCAGAGAAAAATCGAAATGAGCATTCTTGGTCCGAAAAATATAGCTACAGTTTTGAAGGTGACATGTTATATGATTAAACATGTTTTATCGTATAAAACGTCTGGCGTAATATTTACTTTTAAATATTTTAAAACCAGTCCTAATGGACTTTATTTTATTTCCTGAAAATTCAACGCATTTTTCAAGGAGTCACGTTATACGATGAAACATGTTTTATCGTATAAAATGTCTCCGGGTAAAATTTTTAAACAATGGCAAGAGGACTGCTAATGTAGATTGCCATAAAATATACTCCTTGGGCTGCCTAATCAAAAATTTCTATGCGGCGACATTTTATACGGCGGAACGTGTTTCATCGTATAACATATCCCTGAAAAACAAAAATTAAAATTTTTAGGGATTAAAAATATGGTTTATTAGGAATTGATCAGCTTCATCTTAAAAATCTGAGGTGGAGACATTTTATACGATGCAACATGGTTTATCGTATAACATGTCCCCATTAAAAACCGTTGGCCTGACAAAGATGAGCTTGGTCTTTACTGCTAAATTCTTGACATTTTTTCCAAAACCACTTTACTCAAACAATTTATTAACGATTACATGACATAATTCATCTATTCGAAGAAAAATTTACATAAAAATGCAAACAATCGAAAAAACAAAAAATAAATAAAATTTCTGAAAGACCATGGGTTATATTTTCGCACAGTGACTAGAATGTACATGAACAAATTCCACTTGTTTTTCCAATTTACGTCGATGACGTTGAAGGGAGAGCAATACTTCGGACCAGGCCTTTGGTCGAATCCTGGATGCTCCGAGCGGTCCCAATCGGCGGTAGGACATTTCTTCCGACCAGAACTTGATCCTGACTACTCGGCCGGCTATTTTCGGCGCTCTGTACTAATGAGGGACCTGAAAATTTTTTATTAAAGCTGAAGAAAAATTTGCACTGTGCAGTGGAATTGTTTTGGCCATTGCACTGTGCAGAGTGAAATTTAGAGGTTTTTTGCAGCCTTTGTAACAAAATTTTTTTGGCCGTTACACTTTGCAGTTTGAATTCCTCAAATTTTCGCACGGTGCTATGAGAATTTTGACTCTTTTTTCTACTGCACAGTGCAAAAAGGGGATTTATTTGCTGCACGGTGCAATGGAAATTTTATGTGAAGATTTTGATGAAACTTGGCGCAAATTCAGATTAGAATTTTTTTATAAACGGTTTTTGAACTCAACGCGTTGTAAGGAATGAAATTTTTTGAGTCTAAAAATCGCAAATTTAAAAAAAAATTTTTTTTTTGGATTCTTCGAGATTAATAAAAATCTCGACTTTTCCTGCATAATGCAAGCTAAAAATTTCGTATAGGCTTGAGAAAAACATAATTTAATTTTTGCCTGATTTCATCAAAATAAATTTTTTTTTTTTCAAAATCCTACCTGGTTTCACTTTGTGCGCCGTCTTGTTGAACCTACAGCAAGTTGTAGTCAGAAACAGCCAGAACAAAAACGCGATAGCAAACCAAAGCGCCAAATTGTAGCCGGCAAAGGAGAGGAGTTCGAAAAATGAGGGGTTGGGTTGGTGGATTTTTTCGATCAAATCCGTCGATTCGTAGGCCACGGAGAAAGTTGCGGTGTAATCGTTGGTTGTGGGGATTTGCTGCGTCGAAATTTTCGGGTTGTAGTTGACTTGTTGACAGGGCAGACGGGCTTTGCTGAAAAAAAAATTTTTTCAAAAAAAAAAAAAAAAAAATTTCAAAAAAAAAATCAAAAAAAAATTTTTTTTTATTTTTTGAAATTTGGTCAAAAATTAGCTCACAGTTTCCTAAGAAATCTCCGAAATTTCTAGCTCGAAATATTCAGAAATTTTCGAGATTTTTTGCTCAAAAATTCGAAAAAATCCCGAAATTTTTATTTTTTTTCTTCCTTTCTCCTACCTTTTACAAGTCCTCAGACTCGTGGCCAGTCGATTCCTCAACGTTGCGACCTCTGTATTCCAATAAGCAGGCCGGGACACCTCCATGAATGCCCTCGAGCAACGATCGTATTCACCGGCGGTGCAAATAGAAGTCGCATTCAGCTGGCTGATCAGTTGACTGAAAAATTCAAATTTGTCAAAGCTTTAACTGATATAAAAATGCATTCTAAGGCCTGCGAAAATTGAAAAATTGCACTGTGCAATTTTTTAAGAATCAAAATTCCAATTGCACCGTGCTAAAATATAAAAAAATCAATCTGCACAGTGCACCAGAAAGGCGCCCAAATGCACTGTGCAAAAAAATCCAAAATCCAAACTGCACAGCGCAATGCCAAAAAAAATTTTTTAATTTGCACTGTGCATCAGAAAAAATTGCCGATATTCCCATTGCACTGTGCGGAAAAAAGAAAAATCGAAATTGCACAGTGCAACGGAAAAAAAAGTTTTCAGTTTGCACCGTGCAGGAAGTTATCGTAATTTTGCACTGTGCGTCAGAAAAAATCGTCAAGATTCCCATTGCACTGTGCGTAAAAATCCTGAATCCAAACTGCACTGTGCAGTAGAGAAAATGGCCAAAATTCCGATTGCACAGTGCAATGGAAGGAAATTTTTCAGTTTGCACTGTGCAGGAAGTTATCGCTTTTTTGCACTGTGCATCAAAAATTGGAGTTTCCGCACAGTGCAATGGGAATTTTGGCTCTTATTAAAAACGCACAGTGCGAAAAAAGCAATGATTTCCTGCACTGTGCAATTTGAATTTTTGAATTTTTCGCACAGTGCAATAAAAATTTCAGGCTCAAAATTTGATAAAACAATACGAATTGATATTAGAATTAAAAAAATTTTTTTGGGACTTCAACTTCAATTTTTTGCTGCACAGTGGAAAAAAAGCAAAAAAAAAATTTTTTGCACAGTGCAGCAAAAACCTGCAAAATTTGAATTTTTGAATTTTTCGCACTGTGCAATAAAAATTTCAGGTTCGAAATTTGATGAAACAGTACGAATTGATATTAGAAAAAAAAATTTTTTTTTGGGACTTCAATTTTTGCTGCACAGTGCAAAAAAAAAAAAATTTTTTTGCACAGTGCGGCAAAAACCTGCAAAATTTGAATTTTTGATTTTTCGGCAAATACGAATTGATATTAGAATTAAAAAAAAATTTTGGGACTTCAATTTTTTGCTGCACAGTGCAAAAAAAGCAAAAAAAAATTTTTTGCACAGTGCAAAAAAAGCAAAAAAAAAAAATTTCGCACAGTGCAAAAAAAGCAAAAAAAAAAATTTTTTGCACAGTGCATCAAAAACCTGCAAAATCTTCCTCAAATCACCTCTCTTACCCGCTGAAATCGCCTCGATACACCCACAAGACCACACTCAACGGGACACATCTGCACATTCGAATCGACTCCTCCACCAGACATTGGGGAAGCGAGGGTTTCGTGGAATTGGCCGAGTCCTGGGAATGGGCGTCCTCCGAGGTCTGGCCACAATGCCCGCCCAAAAAGGAGGTGGTCTCGCGTTGAATCAGGGCGCTGACCGATTTGCCGGAGGGCAGTTCGATTGGCTGATCCAGCTCGGTGGCCAAACGAAGGGCACTCGAGTTGGGGGGCTTTATGAAAAGCTTGATTCCCGGATGACGGACTGGGCTGAAGCTGTCGTGGGCGATCTGAAAATTTATTTTATTAATTTTGAAAGCATCTAGACGCCAAAAAAGTTTCTTTTTGGCCTTTTTTACGATGCACCGTGCAAAAATATAAATCATAATTTTTTGCACAGTGCAGTCTAAATTTAGATTTTTCGAATTTTCGCACAGTGCAGCGGAAATATTTTTGCCGTTTTTTTTATTTTTACACATCAAAATGCCAAAACAAACGACTTTTGACCTTTTCTCTGATGCACAGTGCAAAAAAATACTGTCGTTTTTTTGCACTGTGCACATTTGATTTGGACTCTTTTTCGATACACCATGCAAAACAGCCCCTAATTTTCGCATAGTGGAAAAATACAAGCGATTTTTTGCACGGTGAACTCTGAATTTACCATTTTTTACCGTTGCACCGTGCAAATTAGAGTTTTCAAATTTTCGCACAGTGCAGTGGGAATTTTGCCTCTTTTTTGATGGACTATGCGAAACTACTAATAATTTTTTGCACAGTGAAAAATTCCCAGCGATTTTTTGCGCAGTGCAACCTAAAACCTGTCTTTTTTACCATTGCACTGTGCAGATTGGAGTTTTCAAATTTTCACACAGTGCAACGGAAATTTTTTCATTTTTTAGGGCTTCTGTCGCATAGCAAAAGCTAAAAATTTTAGGCATTTATTTCTGGTCTATGACAAGTTTCTACGCCAAATTTCAGACAAATCCAAGGGTTACTCGCTGAGATTTCAAAAAAAAAATTTTTTTACTTTGATGTCTATCGATAACAAGATTGCTCAATATCTCAGACGGTATTCTATAATCAGAGCTCAAATTTTCAGTGTTTGTTGTGAACTCTATATAGAGTGTTCGTGCCAAATTTGATGGTAATCTGAGGCGTGTGCTTCAAGATATCCATATTTTTTCAAAACCTACCTTAAAGTCCAATCGAATTCCTTGATCGACCATAAACCCTTCTTGTGTGACATTTGTGGCCTCAAACACGAAACACAGCCCCTCGAGCGTGGACAAGTACGGCTTCACGAAGCTGGCACAGCACTCGGGCCCACTCAACAGCGCGCCTTGAACCACACACTGGGCCAACAACTGAGGACAGGGCAGCAGAAAGCTGTCCAGATGCTGTTTGAACGAGTCTCCCAGCAGATTCTGGCTGATGATGCCTTCCGCAGCCGTGGCAGCACTTGAATTCAGCGGGATTGTCGAGGGATCGGCCCCGTAAGAGTGCTCCAGCCAGTGGCGGAGATATTCCAATACGATATCTTGGTTGAACGAGGCGCCGAAACGATCCAGATCCGGCTGATTAAACGGGAATTTGTTGCAGATTACGAGCGTTGGGAGGGGCTGATGGTCAATTGAGTGGCTGAAAAGTGGGGGAAATATAATTTTTTCGGTATGAAATCAAAAAAAAATTACTATTTTTATTGTCTAAAATTGGTAATTAACCTTAAAAGTAATTTTTAAATTTTTCGGAGACATTTTATACGATCAAACATGTTTCATCGAAGATATCCCTCTAACTGCCATTTAAATTCCGAATCATAAAAAAGCTTTCATTCACGTGCGCAGCACAAGATTTTTGCACACAATTTCATCGGAGGCATTTTATACGGCGAAACATGTTCCATCGTATAAAACGTCCCCGCACCAATCATTTGAAAGCTAGAAATTCGGCATTCCTCTTTTTGACAACAACAACATAAAATTTCAACATGAAAAATTGCGCGGAGACATTTTATACGGCGAAACATGTTTCATCGTATAAAACGTCCCCGCACCAAACATTAAATGCTTGAAATTCAGCATTCCTTTTTTGACAAGAACAACATAAAATTTCAACAGGAAAAATTGCGCGGAGACATTTTATACGGCGAAACATGTTTCATCGTATAAAACGTCCTTATAGCTGTCATTTAAATTTCAAATCTCGGAAGAGTCTTATTGACATGCATGGCACAAAATTTTTATAAAAAATTTGCGCAGAGACAAGTTACACCCTGAAACATGTTTCATCATATAAAACGTCCCATCGGCAAAACCCCCACTCACCGCGTATCCAGCACCTTCTGATAGCCTTTGGCATACTCGTGGACGAAAAGCAGCGTATGGATCGCCCACAACAGGGTGCAGACCACCGCCAGACAGAAGACGAGAAGCCAGCGTTTGCTCATCGCAAATACCCACGGATCGGGCAGAGCTGTGGAATATATATTTCGCGAAATCCTGACTCATTTTTCGTATGAAATGGGCGCGAGAAATGAGCAAGCCGAAAATTAGGATTATTCAATCAAGCCCTTTTTTGGGTGGTGGGGGGAAAAGTTGAAAGGAAATGGACATTGCTTTATAAAAAGGCCAAAGGTAGGGGTCTCTTTTGGGAAACACGACTACAGTTTTGTGCGAAAGGAAAGTAAAAGTTTTGAGGGGAGGGAAAATGGTAGTGAAAGCATAGTCCATTTCTGCAAAATGTTGAAAAAATGGGTTTAAAAAAAACTTTGGCAGCAAAAAAAAAATTCTGACAAATTGTGAGCAATTTGCTGACATTTTTTTCGCTAAAAAGGAAACTAAAATACCTCAAATGCGCTGCACAGATTTTCTTTAAATTTTGCACACACGTCGGACATAGGACACATATCAATTCCAGAAAAAATTAGCTCGCGCTTTCCAAGCGCTGCCGAGAAATTCAACGATCTTTGTGGCCGAGAGACCATGCGAAACGCGGAAAGAAGTCATAGAAAATACCTCAAAGCCATATCTTTTCTTGAAGCGAATTTGGCGTAATACTAAAAACATCTTCTATAAAGTTTGTCGGGAAAATAATGAGCTCTTTGTCGCATCGAAAATCACATCGTCGCGGAGAAAATGAATTGTGTCGCGGCAAAATCAAATTGCTTTTCACTTCAGCGACGCAAGCAAAATTGTGCTCATTATTTTCCCGGCAAACTAGCTGTAGTCCCTAAAAGTTCTAGTTTGCCTTTTCCGCGGGTATTCAACGATCTTCCAAAGGTCTCTCGTCTGCCAAAATCGTTGAATATCTCGACAGTGATGACATGCCACTAGCTAAAAATTTCATCGATTAATTTGTGGCTCATAGGGATTTTTTGGTCGAAATTTTAAGATTTTTTCTGGCGACATTTTATACGACCAAACATGTTTCACCGTATAAAATGTCTCCGCCTAAAATTTTTCAAATCAGGCGTTGAAACCTCTTAGGTTTCGGTAAAAACAGGTTTTTAGTCATTAGAAAGAGTTTGGCCGCAGTGTTGACATTTTATACGATCAAACATGTTTAATCGTATAACATGTCTTAGGAGATTGAAATTTTCAGGGATGAAAATTAAGCCTATATAGACTGTATGCAAAAAATTTTGAAAAATTTTATGCGATATTCTCCGAGAATTCGCCAAAAAATCTTACATATACCACCTAATAACAAGGCCTTATTAAATATCATAGCCACCGCAATTAACCCGCAATAACATTTACATATTGCGCCGCCAAAAACGAAAAGAGAGGCAAGTTTAACGAGCATACGGAGTGACCGAAGGGAGCGGCCAACCTGGCCCATTCTTAAACGGGCAAGCGCGGGGTCGTCAGGGGAGACGCTTGAAGGGCTTCTGGAAATGACCCGCGAATCACCGAGTGGACGAGATTATTATAGCCTCCGGCTACACTGGTGGGATTCTCCCGCCCAAATTGGCCGCTTCAAATTCCCAGTTTCAGCCAATTTGGGAACAGTCGACAAATGAGGTGCGAAAAAGGGGGTTTAGGCGGTGGAAAAGTGAGTTTACAGGGGAACTACCACAAGTTCGACCCGCAGATCTTGATGAACCTTGGCCTAGCTTAAGAACAATTTTTTCTAAAACAAGTTGGAGGCTCCTAGCTGGCGCTTTCCAGAAAAAATCGAGATTTTTAGCCCAAAAGTTGGAAAAAATGTGAATTTTTTTTTTTGCGAATTTTCACCACGAAAAGTTTCATGGCTATTTCTGCTGTAGAAAGTAATGTTTCCACAAAAAAATCAATTTTTTCCCCGCGAAACTGGCAAAGATATGGCCAAAAAAGGAGTTTCTCTGACCGCTCTCCGCATTTCGCGTACTCTCTCGGCAGCAAAGATTGTTTAATATCTCGGTGGCCCTTGCATAGCGCGAGCTAAAACTTTCAGGAATTGATATGTGGGCAGTACATAACATATGTACAGAATTTGGAGAAAATCTGAACGTCACACTTGGAGCACCTTCTGTTAGAGGGAATTGCATAAAAATTGGTGAAAACAGGACTGGAAAATCATTTTTTTTACCAAAACTTATTTATTATGTCTTAGAAACTCAAGAAACATCATGCAAAGCTAAAATGAAAATTGTAAAATTGTGAAAAAATTGGGCGAAAATAGAGTTTTATAGGACTTTAGGTCAATTTGCGATTGATTTTTCACCACTAAAACCCAAAATTCAGCAGCTAAGTTTTGCGTATTCTTAATCATCACGAGTTAATGTATTTTTTGAGATATCTCCGGTTTAAAAATTGGAGCCTCCATATAACAATTTTCCTAGTGAAAAGAAGTGGCAAAAATCAGAAAAATACTCATTGAATTTGATGATTTCAAGCTCTTTTATAGTGTTTAGCTAGCCGGTTGAGAATTCTCAAGCCTTGCAATACATTCCAAAAGCATTTTAATATCGAAAAATATCTAAAATGAAAAAAAAATTGGGAAAAAATCAACTTTTTTGGTAAAACATAGGGCAAAAATCAAAAAAAAAATCCTGATAATTTCGGATTTTCCGAGGATTTATTGCCTTTTCAAGGCTCCAAAAATACCTTGAACACAATTTTCAGCAAATTTTCATTTCTAAAATTGGCCAAAAAATCGGTTTTTTTCCCCAAAAAACTTGAAATTTTTTCGAAATTTTTCGAAATTTCCGGCTCAAACTTTGACAATTCTCCCTTGTAAGGTCAAAACCAATGTCCAGACACTTCGGACCCCACCTCTCTTTACAAGTCAATGGCGATTCGCGAAACTTGACAACCGCCGTTTGGGGTGTTTAAGCGCCGAAAACGGGCCCTTGTCGGGGAGGGGCGGCGGCCGGAAGAACGGTCGGCCGCACAAGGCCGAAAAAACTGCTATGACGACCGGCGCAGGGTCGAGTGTTCGGACAAAAGAATTCTTAGTGGACAATCGCGGGCTGGGGCTGGGTTTTCCAGCTGTGAAGATTGTGGCCAGAGGCGTTTTTGGCCGGGAAAGATTGGGTTGGAAGTTGTAAAGTTGGAAACAATTGTAATGTTGGGGAGTAAAAAAATTCGCAATTTTGGAATTTTGACTGTCGCTAATTAGTATTCTTGGGATATCTGGTCAAAATTTGAAGATTTCTTCTGCGGACATTGTATACGATAAAACATGTTTCATCGTATAAGATGGCTCTCCAATAGCAGTTTCATCATCGGAACATTGGCTATCATGTTTACATATGCACCAAAATAAATCTGCTTAAAAGGGGACATTTTATACGATGAAACATGTTTCATCGTATAAAATGTCTCCGCCTGAAATTTTTCAGGCAAGGCATTGGGAAATTGTCATTCTTTAACTTTCGGTTATAAAAACAAACCCTGTAGTCATTAGAAAAAGACTCGGCCGCAGTGGTGACATCTTCTACGATCAAACATGTTTCACGGTATTAAATGTCCCTTTTTTAGTAGAACTATTGCAATGTATGTATAAATATAAATGAAAATTTTCCGGAACAGAATAGCTATTTCAGAGCCATCTTATACTATGAAACATGTTTCATCGTATAAAACGTCTCCATACAGAGACCCAGAAACCTGCTTTAATCCGCCTTCAGTCTCTTCATTGTCCTTCTCGGCAAGTTTAAACCCCATTTATATATCGTACTAGCCATTTTTTATCTTACACTTGACCTCTGATCTTCCAATTGTCGAAAAACCCCAAAATAACCATCAAATCTTTATTCAAATCTCCTTATTTATACACAATATCCGCCAAGCCGACGCTGCACAGGTTGATCACCACTCGGGCGCCGTCCTCGACCAGCATGAAGGCGTTGAAGTGGACGGCGAACACGACGCCGAAGATGATCAGCATGAACTGGAGGAAGACGACGTTGGCGATCTCACGGCGGGATTGGCCGCGACAATAGTTTTGCACGAGGAACACCCAGAAGGCGAACAGCCCCATGGTCAAGCTCATCGTGGCAGCGTTGAGGTCGATGCCCAGCGTAGCCAACAAATCTTCGTCGTATTCGAAATTCCTCGCCGATGGAGGCCTTAAATTGTCTACATCTTAATTTTTTACAGAAAAAACTCATTTTGAAATAGGAAATATTCTTTATTAACAGTTTTGTGGATGTGACAGGTTATACGATGAAACGTCTTGAAACACGTTTCATCGTATAAAATGTCTCTAAACCAAATTTTTACGGAGTTTTTTGCACGTATATCTTAGTCTACTCTCTGAAAGTCATGGAAACTCGCCATTATCAACAATTTCTGATAGGGGACATTTTATACGGCGAAACATGTTTCATCGTATAAAACGTCAAAGAGAAATAAAAAAATCACTTTTTGAAAGCGAAACTCACATGTAGCACAAATAGATGGCAGTGAAAGCGTTGCACATGGCGATGGTCACGTCTGTCGCCTAAAATTAAAAAGAAAGATAGAGCGAAAATTGCAAAAAATGTCAAATTTTCAGAATATTTCGAGCTGAAGATCTCGGTGGTTTCTGCAAAGCGAGGTCCAAAAATTTAGCTACTTTCGTAGCAAGGCTTCTTTTAAATATTCGCGGAGTTTCATGAAATTCAAAGGTCGATATCTTGCAGAATTTTACAATTATATTCACCATACCTTATCAAAGTCAAAATATTTTTTTCGACTTAAAAATCTCGGAGGTTTCTGCAAAGCGCGATCCGAAAGTCTGGCTAATTTCCTCCCAATACCTCTTCTAAATATTGGCGGAGTTTCATAAAAATTCAATGCCGATAACTTGCAGAAATTTACAATTATATTCACCATGCCTTATCAAAGTCAAAATATTTTTTTCGACCTAAAAATCTCGGAGTTTTCTGCAAAGCGCGATCCGAAAATTTGGCAAATATTTTCTGAGGTCCTATTCTAAACTCCCTACAAGTTTCGGCGAAATCGAAGCAAGCCTGTTGTAGAAATATACAATTATCTTCACCATGACCTACTAAAACCAGAAGGACTTGAATCGCCATAATGCTCTTGTGTTCCGGCTGCGTGAAGTAGAAGATGATCGCTTCCGCACTCCAGATCAGCATCAACACATTGAACATGGACTGGCAGCGATAGAGATTCCACACAGCGAAGAAATCGAGATAAAGCGGGAAGAGCATGTTTGGAAACTGAAAGAAATTAAAATTCTTTATCTTAATTTCGATGAGACTTGTTGTAAATCTAAATAATAATTTTTTAAAACGTATCCAACGTTTTTAGCTCGCGCTTTGCAGAAACCACGAAGGTTTTTAGGTCGAAAGTTGGGAAAAAAATTGAATTTTTTTGCGAATTTGGGCAGGAAAAGTTTCGTGGCTATTTCTACCGTAGAGAGTAATGGCTCCACAAAAACTCAATTTTTTCCGAACGAAAATGGCAAAGATACAGTCAAAAAAGTGTATTCTCTGACCGCTCTCCACGCTTCGCGTGCTCTCTCGGCCGAAAAGATCGCTCAATATCTCAGCTCTCCCTGCGAAGCTCGAGCTAAAACTTTCAGAAATTGATATATGAGCCATGCTGAAGACATATGCAAAGTTGGAGGAAAATCCGAGTGTCGCAAGTAAGCAAACGACCATACTTACAGTAATCATAGAACGCCAAGAAGTATCTCGCTGAACCGTCTGGCCTTCCGCGATGGGGTCATCATTTGCCTGGTCCTCGATGCGTTCCATGATTCTGAGATGGTCGACCGATCTTCGCGACGGCTTTGGAGAATAATGAATCGGTGAATCTGTCTGTTCGCTCTCATCGTTTTTCACACTCTCTAGGTTTGCAAGATCGTCGAATATCTCAGCTGCATATGAAAGGTCTGAACAAAAATGTTCGGAGGTTAATTTATGGCCCGTAAGAACTTTCTCGGAGGAATCAAAAAGGTAAAATCCGGGGACATTTTATACGATAAAACATGTTTCATCGTATAAAATGTCCGTGAAATTTTATCTGAATTTCCGATCTATCAATTACTCCGATTGATGAATGAATTCAACACTTTTAATTAAAATACACGTAAAAATTTAGGCGGTGACATTTTGTACGATGAAACATGTTTCATCGTATAAAATATCTCACCTTTGTTTCAATTTCAAGTATCAGCCATATACATTGACTACTGAAGTGTAGACTTACACAAAAAATTATGCGGAGACGTTTTATACGATGAAACATGTTTCGTCATATAAAATGTCCGTGCGATTTTTCTTTAATTTTCAAAGATCAAATATTCATTTTGGCACCTGAAATCAAGAGCTACACATGAAAATTTCGGCGGAGACATTTTATACGATGAAACATGTTTCATCGTATAAAATGTCCACATCAACAAAAAACTACCTGACGCGACCTCAGCTCCCTCTGATATAAATTTTTTCATTTAATAAATCAAAAAGATGTCTCGTGAAACACTTTATTTCGCACCGCAATATTTATGTCATCAATTTCTCCCTGGCACTCTCGATTTTATCCTGTAATTTGTCCTGTAAACTTCGTCTCTCTCGCGCCCTCCGCTTTCGTCGAGGCTTTTTCGGGCCCTGCTCCTCCTCCGGATGCATACTCGACTTTAGAATCAGCTTCCTATCGGGGAATGCGGCCAACACCAAGGCCAATATGTACAACAACAGGATGGGATACAAAATTGTGAAGAAAGTTGTGACTGTGACCACTGAATGGGCCTGGGATTCGTGGCGTTGACGGTCCTCCAACAATTCCTGGACGAGTTTTTCCTCAGTCAGCGAGCGCAGTGGGGTGATTAGGTCCGTGCTCTGAAATAGGGAAATTTTTGGAAAATTTCGGTAAAATAATCGCATTTTTGAGCTAAAAAAGATGCCTAGAGGTGATAGCAATCCCGTAGTAGGCTCACAGGGATCTTTTACACAAAAAAATTTAAAAAAAATTTTTGAAATTTTTGAAAAATTAAAAAAAAATTACAGTAATCCATATTATGAAAATTATAAATATCTCAAAACATTCACGCCGTATTTTATCTGCCTTCGTATTTTACGCGCATTTTATAACCAAAAAATTAAGTTTTCTCAAAAAAAATTTTTTTTTGGAAATTTAGAAATTTTTTGATTTTTTGGAAAAATTACAGTAATCCAAACGCTTAAAATTATAAATAATAATCTTCAATGTAAAAAAATCGTATTTTACCCAGCTTCCAACATTTTTAAATCGAAATAAAATCAAATTTCTTCATTTTTCGACCAAAACTTGAAGAATTTTGTCCAATTTTTGAAAATGAAAATTTCTCAAAATTCAGCTCACCAATTTTCTTGTAATTTTGCCTATATATTCTTTCTACCTCACACTTCAATCGCTAAAAATTTCAGCTCGCCCTTTGCATTTGCGGCTGAGATATTACACAATCTTTTTTCCGAGAGAGAACGGGAAATGGGGAGAGCGGTCAGAGAAAAAACACATTGTTTGGCCGTATCTTTGCCAATTTTGTCGGGAAAAATTTGATTTTTTGTGGGAATGTTTTATATTAAACTTGAAACAGAATGCCAAAAATTTAGGAGAAAATCGAAAAAAAATTTTTTACAAATAAAAAATTTTTTTTAAATTTTTTGTTATCTTACCATTTGATCGGGATTTTGCCACGCAACCCTCACAACCATCTTCATAAATGTCTTCAATTTCGCCTTGATGTCGATAATTGGTGGGTTTATAGGCACGTTGGGTCCATTCACATCACAAATTCGTTGTTGAAACGGTCCTAGACGGATCTTCCCAAATCTCGAGTAGAATAGCAATTCTGGAGCATATCGAGGGGCAATTGAGGTGTTAAAAACCTAAAAAAAATAAACAAAAAATAAAAAAAAAATCCAAGATTTACCTGTAGCAGGTTGACGCTTTCTCTATGGACCTTGTATGAGCATGGTGTCATGTCTTCTTCGCCTTCATGGATCATAATCACAATATTATTACCAGGTAATTCGGAGTTCATCTGTAAAACAAACCTTGGACATGTTATACGATGAAACATGTTTTGTCGTATAAAATGTCACCGTTTAAATTTTTGTAGAACTAACATGCTCCACGCGCGGAAACTAATCCCTCGACTTTAAATGGAAATTGCGAGGACATTTTATACGATGAAACATGTTTGATCGTATAACATGTCTCCGAACAGAATTTTAAAAAAATTTGTCATCAGTTTTAAAAAAAAAGGATAAGTCTCCATTATCAGCAGTTTTGTGTAGGAGACATTTTATACGATGAAACATGTTTCATCGTATAAAATGTCCCCTCGTCAAATTTCGACAAAAAAAATCGGAATGGCTCACGAATTAAGCCCAAAAATTTCATCTTATCTCTGTGCAATCATCGATGAGATATTCAGCAATCTTTTTGGATGAGAGCTCAGAGAAGATGAAGAGAGCGGTCGGAGAAAAAAAGTTTTATTTCTATCTCATTTTTTCAATCTTTTTAAAAAATTTCAAAAAAAATCGCTCAAAAAATCGCCCAAAAATCTCACTTTTTTTACGGTAGGGCAAAGCTCATCGAAATCGACGAAACTCCTCTTCAACTTGGCGGAATACTCGCTGTCCTGGCTGAGGAACTTGTAGATAAGTTGGTACATCTTGGTCCGATTCGTTGTAGCGACCAGATGGATGTCCGGGGAAACACAGCCACCCTCCCGATGCAGGCAAACGACGATCAGCGACACGAGCAACAACCGCATGGTAAAAAAAAGGTGAGAAAAATGAGGGAACTTTGGAAGAAATGGAAAAAATAAAAATTTCGTAGACAGTAAGTTGAAAAGGGAAGTGCTCCAAGTGCGACGCACAGATTTGCTTGAAATTTTGCACACATGTTGGGTGTAGTAGACATATCAATCACTGAAAATTTTAGCTCGCAATTTGCAGGGAGAGCCGAGATATTCAACGATGTTTTCGGCCGAGAGAGCACGCGAAAAGTGGAGAGTGGCAGAGAAAAGCCCACTTTTTGGCCATATCTTTGGCGTCGCGACACTTGCGGGCAACCACTTTGCGGGCAACCAGTTTGCGGGCAAATTTTTTGCGGGCAGCCACTTTGCTGGCAAAATTTGGGGGGTCACATTTGCGGGCAGCTGAGACACTTGCGGGCAGCCTGGGACACTTGCGGGCAACCGACACTTGCGGGCAGCCGACATTTGCGGGCAACCGGCACCTGAGGGTTACAGGGTAGAGGAGGAAATATTACTGCGATATTTTGGAAATTTGCCGACATTTGCGGGCAGCCGACATTTGCGGGCAACAGGAAAAAACAATCACACAGACTGTATAGGAACTTTTGGGACTGTTGCCCGCAAATGTCGGTTTCCCGCAAGTATTGCCTGCCCGCAAATGTCGGAAAACTTCTAAAATATCGAAGTAATTTTTCCACCTCCACCTTGTTATCCTCAAGCGCCGGTTGCCCGCAAATGTCGGCTGCCCGCAAATCTTCCAGGCTGCCCGCAACTGTCGACCCTGCCCGCAAATGTCCCAGGCTGCCCGCAAATGCCGGTGCTGGCCGCAAATGTCGGCTGCCCGCAAAGTGGCTGCCCGCAAAACATTTGCCCGCAAACTGGCTGCCCGCAAAGTGGTTGCCCGCAAGTGTGCGCCCGCCATATCTTTGCCAGTTTCGCGCGGAAAAAATTGATTTTTTGTGGAAACATCACTCTCTACGGTAGAAATAAGCATGAACCTTTTCATGTCAAAATTCGCAAAAAATTTTTTCATCTTTCCCAACTTTTGAGCTAAAAATCTCGGTTGTTTCTGCAAAGCGCGGGCAAAAATTTTTGCGAATGCCTTAGAAAAAAATAATCTAAATTTCTACCAAGTTTCATCCATATATATAGAGAAAAAAAAAATTTTTTCTCAAAAATGCCCTCTGGCAATTTTCGTTTTTCCAAATTTTCCTTTCGATTTTTCAAAGAAATAACTGTAGTTTGGAGTTTAATATTTAATACACTACTCTTTCCTTCATTTTCTTATTACAATAAAAAACTACAAGTTATCCATCAACAGGTCTGCACCCCAAACCAAAGGTTGCGCGAGTTTTCCGAAAAGATCAGACCGTCTCTTTGATAAGATTATTTTTCTCCAAAAGAAGCGGTTTCCATACGGATCCTTACGGAAATATTTCGTGTTTCCCTTCTACTTGAAGGAAATGGAGTATGTTGTCAACGAGAATGAGGTGAGTATTGGTATGTTCAGAAAGTTCATGGACATTTTTTCGCTTTCGCACAGTTCATTTTTAACTTTTTCCCGTGCTTGTCGCCAGCATACAATATTTTCATTTTTTCTCTTTTCGCACTGTGCAAACCTCAAAAAGCTGTTTGCACGGTGCAAATTCTAAAAAATCCGAAGATTTTTGTCTCTTTTTTCTTGACTGACTGGAAATAGACCTTGCTTTCGGGTCGCAAAATAACGTTATTTGATACAGTGGGGGCACCTGATCCAGTGGCAAAAAACGTGCCATTTTGCATCCGGGAAGTATCAAAAATGTGGCAAAACACCTCCCTCTCCAAGTGAAAAAAAGTTTTGAAGGGCGCGGTTTTGAAATCGGAGTTTTTTCGTTTGGAGAGGGAACCATTTTGCCACATTTTTGATGCTTCCCGGATGCAAATGGTACGTTTTTTGCGAATGGATCAGGTCCACAACCGTACTTCTGTAAACTTACGGAGGGCCTATCAACGCTTCATCCCGGGTGCATTGCTAAGCTTTACAGCATAGCCCAGATTTTTTATTCCTAAAAACTCGGAAGTGTCGCCATTTCGGAAGGATATGAAGCAACTAATGTCAGGTCCCTGCATTGAAGTTTGAAGAATCTCAGAAAATTATGGGCAAAATTTTTTACCCAACCTAATAATGAAATTTCGGATTTTTTCACGTCAGTGACGCTAGGTGCTAATCATTTTCAAGACAGATTAAATGAGAATTTTAAGATTTTTTTTCCAGATGAAAGATTTCGTCATCCAGGCGATGACCAAAGTCGGGACGGACAAAGATCATGCCGCTCAACTGGCCGATTGTTTGATTTGTGCTGACAAAAGAGGGCATTATTCGCATGGACTCAACAGATTGCATGTAAGTAGGCTGGAAATCTCAAAAAAAAAAAAAAAAAAAAAAAAAAAAAAAAAAAAAAGATTATTTTTTGAAAAATCCATTTTTTCCAAGAAAAAATCAAACCAAATCTTTTCAGATCTACATTGAGGACACTCTGGGGAATGTCGCAAAATCGGGTACCCCAAAAATTCTGAAACAAAAAGGCGCCACAGCCTGGGTGGACGGCCAAAACCTTGTGGGCCCGATGGTCGGAAACTTTTGCATGGATTTGGCCATAAAACTGGCCAAAACATCGGGAATCGGATGGGTGGTGAGCAAAGGGACCAATCACTATGGAATCTGTGGGCATTACGCCTTAAAAGCCGCTGAACAGGGATTTGTGGTGAGATTTTAGTGGGTTAAAGGAGCGCAAGTCCTTGTAAGGGGCGTTGAATTGACAAGGGAAGTGCTCCAAGTGCCACGCTCAGATTTGCTTGCAATTTTGCACACAATTCGAGTATGGCCCATATATCAATTACTGAAAATTTTAGCTCACGATTTGCCGGGAGAGCCGAGATATTCAACGATCTTTACGGCCGAGAGAGCACGAAAAATGTGGAGAGCGGACAGAAAGGGAAACACTTTTTGGCCATAACTTTGCCAGTTTTGTACGGAAAAAATTCATTTTTTGTGGAAAGATTACACTCTGCAGTAGAAATAGATATGAAAATTTTCAAAGCAAAATTTGAAAAAAAAAAATTTTTGCGTTTTTTCCAACTTTTGATCTTAAAAATCTCGGTCATTTCTGCAAAGCGCGAGCTGGAAATTTCGCATATGTTTTCCAAACAATTGTTCTAAACTTGTCCCAAGTTTCATCAAAATCTGAGCGTCGCACCTGGAGTACTTACATGTTAGTAAAATGACCAACATGGCCTGATTGTGGCAGAAAAACGTACCATTTTGGATTCGGGAAGTATCAAAAAATATGGCAAAATACCTCCCTCTCCAAGTGAAAAAAAACTCCGTTTTGAAGGGCACTAAAAGAGCTGGTGCGCTTTAAAAATCGGAGTTTTTTCACTTGGAGAGGGAGGTATTTTGCCACATTTGTTGATACTTCCTGGACGCAAAATGGTATGTTTTTTGCCACTGGATCAGGTCCGCCACTGTACATACTGAGTATTATGTATTTTCCAGGGGATGAGTTTCACGAACACCTCTCCCTGCGTTTACCCAAACCGAGCCAAAGAACAGGCGCTGGGATCGAATCCGATTTGTTGTGTCGCACCCGCCAAGAATGGGGATAACTTTGCGTTGGATATGGCTTCGACGACTGTTGCGTTTGGAAAAGTGAGTTCATAAGTCTTCAGTCATCTTCAAGCAATTTTTGAGTACATTTTTTCTGGGAAAAAAGGATTTTTTCCAATTTTTTGAGATAAAAAAATGGATTTTTTGACCAAAAAGTTATACCTATTTCTACCGTAGAGTATAATGTTTCCACAAAAAATCAGTTTTTTCCGGACGAAACAAGCAAAGCTACAGTATGCGTCATAATTATAACCGCACTTTAAAAATGAGTGTAACTTTTGTGATTGTGAATAGAAATGTGTCATATTTGGCACCAATGTGCATCAGTGTACTAGAAAGAATGTCCCAAAAAGTTATTTTGAAGAGTTTCCGTATTTTAGAGAAAAGCTGCAAAAACCAAAATTATGATACTTTTCGGTGTCGCAAAATTATAACCGCACTTGCGAATTTGGGGTATTACCCTAATAAAAACACAGGATATCAATAACTGATGTTTAGTTACGCTCCCTGAGGCCTCAATAACGCCCATCACACGACCCGAAACCCTCTGGGCAAATTTTTTTGGCGCATACTGACCCATCTTGTCCCTGAATCGGAAAACGGCAGATTTTCGCTCAGCTAGACCGTTGGGCTCAAGTTGCGAGGAACTTCCTGGTCGTCTCGGAAGCCATTAACAAATCCAAATGTTATGGCAGACAAAAGTTTACCACTGCTTCTGGTTGAAGAGAAATAATCCGCCGGACTTCTAACTCCGCCATCTCTGGGGTTCACTTAAATCAAGAACTGAGCTTCATTAGTAGCGGAAGCACCGTGCTGAGGGTCGGAAAACACAGGGACGTCATCATAAGGTATTATGTGAAGCTGTGACCCTAGCTGACCCCGGTTTACGGCAATCCACAGCCGAAATTTGCCAAGGAGACATTCACAACAGAGGTTGATTAGTGGAAGGTCGCTGAAACCGACGTTAGACCGTTGCAATACCATATTCCTTGTGGATTGCGTAGTCACACGGTGCCCTGACGGTTTTACATACCAATGGCATGACATTAAAAACGAATCGCGTCGCTTCTCGCGCCGTAATTATAGAGGCCGCCCGTTGATGTCTTGGGGCGCCTTCAAAAAAGCCGGAGGCCTTCCGTCCGCGGCCACAGCAACTCAAATGAATAGCATGGAGTACTACGAAGTCTTAGGCGAACATCTGGTACCGTACTGGCAATCTGGCTATACTTTTGTTGGAGAATGCCCACGTCCATCATAGCAGGTCGACATACCAGTTCCTTTGACAGCAAGGCATTTGCCACCATAGACTCGCTCGCATATTCCCTGGGTTTAAATCCGATGGGAAACTTGTGGGGCCTCCTCGCCCGTTGATTACAAGCGGTATTCTACCGTAACTAAGCGAAAATCTGCCGTTTTCCGATTCAGGGACAAGATGGGTCAGTATGCGCCAAAAAAATTTGCCCAGAGGGTTTCGGGTCGTGTGATGGGCGTTATTGAGGCCTCAGGGAGCGTAACTAAACATCAGTTATTGATATCCTGTGTTTTTATTAGGGTAATACCCCAAATTCGCAAGTGCGGTTATAATTTTGCGACACCGAAAAGTATCATAATTTTGGTTTTTGCAGCTTTTCTCTAAAATACGGAAACTCTTCAAAATAACTTTTTGGGACATTCTTTCTAGTACACTGATGCACATTGGTGCCAAATATGACACATTTCTATTCACAATCACAAAAGTTACACTCATTTTTAAAGTGCGGTTATAATTATGACGCATACTGTATGGCCAAAAAGTGGTTTTATCTCTGACCGCTCTCCACATTTTGCGTACTCTCTCGTCCGCAAAGATCGTTCAATATCTCGGCGGCGCCTGCAATGGGCAAGCCAAAACTTTCAGAAATTGATATGTGGCCTCTGCTTAACGTATGTGCAAAATTTAGAAAAAATCTGAGCGTCGCACTTGTATGACTTTTCCTTGCAAAAGAATCAAAAATTATTAACAAGGAAAGTTACGTAAGTGCAACGCTCAGATTTTTTCTAAATTTTGCACACACGTAGGGCATAGACTAAATATCAATTCCTGAAAGTTTTAGCTTGCGGTTTGCCGACGCCGCCGACATATTGAACGATCTTTGCGGTCGAGAGAGTATGTAAAATGTGGAGAGCGGTCAGAGAGAAAACTACTTTTTGGCCATAACTTTGCTAGTTTCGTGGGGAAAAAATTGATTTTTTGCGGAAACATTAATCTCTAAAGTAGAAATAGACAGCAAACTTTTCATGCCAAAATTCGCGAAAAAGTCCCATATTTTTGCCAACCTTTGACCTAAAAATTATTGGGTTGTCCAGAAGGTTCGTTCGTTTTTTTAATTCTACAGTGAGGGACCTGATCCAATGGCAAAAAACGTCCCATTTTGCATCGCGGAAGGAACCAAAACGTCTCCAAACCCTTCACTTCTCTAACAAGGGATCGGCAAATAGTTGCACCCTGCTTTCTTAACGAAACCTATATCATTTAAAAGAGCATTAAAAATAGTGCACAGCGCAAAAAAAATTAGCTGCCCAATATATGTTTGGGCAAAGTTATGGCTAAAATACGTATTTTAGCCTAATTTCCGCGGCAATTTATAAGCTCTCGGAACGACGGTAGAGCTGTGTCTAGTTGGCCGAGTGGTAGTGACCCCACTAACAGGTCCTGGTTTCGAATCCGGGCTCTGCAACGTTTTTTGCATTTCGTCTCTTATATGCCACAAAACCATGGTATGTTGATATTTTTAAATAATTTTTGTTCCTTCGCAGTCAAAATACATTTTTACTGGATTTTTTCGAGTTTTCGGTTTTTTTTGCAATCACCACAAATTTGATGGTGATGAGAGTGGGGATGCCTATCGTATAATTACAAGGGTGTCATGCCTTTAGCCTGATTGATTATGATTACTGGACGATAATTCAATTTACAAGGGCCTATAAATATAACTTTTTCCAAAAAAATACGAAGAGAAAATTACAAAAGCGGCTAAAACACTATTGCTGACACAGTGGCCCAACCGTCGGTAAGGCTAGGACATAAGAAATTTTTGATTTTGAGATTTTTGTTTGTAAATGGCCACGACGATCATACAAATGTATTTCCAACGTTTTTTGCTCCAGTTTTCCCATTAACCTAGTTTTATTTACAATTTTTTGTAAATGGCAGTAATGCGACATTATAATGTCTTATAACTCATAGCCAACGATTGATAAAGCCATGAAACGACCGTGATAGACGTTTCGGGATACTAGTAAGACAATGGAGACAATTGCAATCCGTCAGGATTACTGTAATATAAGAAACCGGCGTTTTGGCCGCATATAACCCCTATCATAAAACGGCCATAACTTTGCCCAAACATATATTGGGCAGCTAATTTTTCTTGTGTTGTACACTATTTTTAAGGCTCTTTCAAACGGTATATGTTTCGTTAAGAAAGCAGGGTGCAACTATTTGCCGATCCCTTGTAAGCTAAAAAACTCCGCTTTGAAAAGCGCGCCCTTTCCTTCAAGGAGGGCTCTTCAAAGCGGGGTTTTTAGCTTAGAGAAGGGAAGGGTTTGGAGACATTTTGGTACCTTCCGGGATGCAAAATAGCACGTTTTTTGCCACTCGATCCGGTCCCTCACTGTATTGTTTTACGAGACTTTTTATGTTGTTTGACAAAGTGTACTGCACTTGGAGTACTCCCCTTGTAAAATCAAAAAATTTTTCAGGTGGAGCTCGCCAAAACCAAGGGATTCGACAAAATCCCGGAAGGTTGGGGCGCTGACGTCCACGGAAATCCCACGCGAATTCCGGACGACGTCCTCAACGGCGGAGGATTGGTTTCGTTGGGTGGGAGCGAAGAGAGGGGCTCGTACAAGGGGACTGGACTCGGAATGATGGTCGAAATGTTCTGTGGAATTATGGCGGGAAGTTCGTTTGGGAAGAATGTGAGGCAGTGGAGAGAGTCGAATGCTCCGGCGGATCTGGTAGGTCAAGGGGGGACTTTGGAAGAGGTTTTGAGGTCTGGGGGAAAATTTTGATTTTTTGAGAAAAATTTGAATTTTTTGGGGAATTTTCGTTTTTTGGGCAAAATGAAAATTGTTTGGGGGAAATTTGATTTTTTCGGGGAAATTTTGATTTTTTTTTTTTGGAAATATGATTTTTAGGGGACTTGATTTTTTGGAAAAAAAAGATTGATTTTTTGTGGGAAATTCGATTTTTTCAAAAAAAAATCGATTTCTTTTGGGGTTTTTTAATTTTTTGGGCAAAATTAGACTTTTCTGGGGAAATTTTGATTTTTTTTTGGAAAAATTAGACTTTTTTTGAAATCTGATTTTTTTGGGGACTTGATTTTTTTAGGGGGAAAATTTTATTTTTTTGAAAACTTGAATTTTCTTCTGGTGAAATTTTGATTTCTTCGAAACCTGATTTTTGGAAAAATTTGATTTTTTGGGGGGACGTCTGGATTTTCTTGGGGGAAATTTTGATTTTTTTAGCGAAACGTTGATTTTTTCGAGAAATTTAATTATTTCAAGAAACTTGATTTTCTGGGGGAATTTTTATTTTTTTGGGAAAACTAGAAATTTTTGAAAAATTTTACTTTTTTTTCGGAAAATAAAAACCCCGAAATTTCCCACCTTCAGGCCCAATGTTTCGTTGCGATTGACCCGGAATGTTTCGCCGACGGATTCGCCGACCGTCTTCAGCAATTCCTCGATGAAACGCGAGGTCTGAAGCCGGCGGATCCGGCCAAGCCCGTGTTGGTTCCGGGAGATCCGGAGCGTCAACATGAAGAGCGCTCCGCCAACGCCGGAGGGCTCATTTACTCGGAGAAACAGTTGGATTCGTTGGTAAGTTCTATTAATTCACTATGAAAATTATTTTTTTGTCATATTTTTGGCAATTTCGCACAAAAAAAAAAATAAAAAAATCGCAAAAAAAATTTTTTTTTTCAAAAATTTTTCGACTTAAAAATCTCGATGATTTCTGCAAATCTCTGGCTAAAAATCACATATAAATTTTATAGATACCTAGTCTAAATTTGTGCCAAATTTCGTCAAAATCTACAAGTTACATTAATTCAAAAAAATCTTTTTTTTAGAAGGAGGTCAGTGTCAAGTACAACATCCCATTGTTCAACTATCATGCTAAATGACGTCCTACCGTTCTGATAAATGCAAAACATTTAGCTCAACAAGATTTATCGTCAAAAATAAATAAAAAAAATGTAAAAAAATAACCGTAACCCGTTGATTATTCTACATCACAGAACAAATCGTATTCCTGATCGATTCCCAGGTAGGAATCGGACATAATGAACAAAGTCAAGGTGAGAGGGCCTCTGGAAATTTATAAAAATTAAATTAAATTCATTTTTGGGCCCTCAAAACTCCAAAAAAATGAAAAATAAACAAAAAATTGCAACAAATATCAAAAAAAAAAATTTTTTTTTTTGCAAAAATTTTTTAAAACCCAGTGCCACAACAAATCTCACAGGCATTATACACCATTTAAAACAATAATTCCCTCCAAATTTCCCTTAATTTAAAAAAAAATCAAAAAAATTTACAAAAAAGTGCCAAAAAGTATCAAAAAGCCTCCAAAAACCCGGTTTCTTACCTGACATCCGGTGCGAAAAAGTTGAGGAAGACGTGATGAGGTCTGTTGCCCAAAATGAGTCCGGTTTTTCGACAGGCCAACACTGTATTTTTCTCTTTTTCGCCCAAAATTACAATTAGTCCGGGCGATTTTTCCTTTGGAAATTTGGGTGCGAATGCCGATTTTTGGCTCTGAAATACCCCAAAAATCATCTCAGAGCAAATTTGAAGCCTCATTTTGCCATATAAAAAAATTTTTTAACTCACCGCCGCAGGGCCTGTGATCTGCAGGCTGACTTTTAACCGGAATTCTTGGCCAAATTCGAGGGGAATTGGGGGGTTTTGCTTCTTAAATCGCTGGAATGGGTCCAACGGGCACTGTAAAAGGCCTTTTTGGAACTTCAAATCGACCAGTCGGATGGTGGGCCATGAAAATAAAGCTTCGGTGATCTGTTTTGTTTCGAATTCATTCAATGGCAGCCGTTTTTTCATTTTGTTGTAGACGTCGGAGCGCTGTTTTTCCGTTGGCGGGCCTCTGAAAACGGGGAGGATTAAAATTCAGCAAAAAATGGGGCAGAGACATATTATACGACAAAACATGTTTCATCGTATAACATGTCCTCTAAACCTGATGGTTGATAATGCAGCCTTGGTCTGTTGTTAAAACCGATCACAAAAATTTCTTGTGCAAAAATTGTGTTCAGAGACATGTCATACGATGAAACATGTTTGATCGTATAAAATGTCTCCAATTTTTCGCAGAACTTCTTTTTTACAGAAAAATCGAAGTGTAAAGCTTGAAAGTCATGAAAAACCTTCATTATTAAAAAATTGTGTATTGGGGACATGTTATACGATGAAACATGTTCCATCGTATAAAACGTCGCCGGATATGAAAATGTTTTCTTGACGTTCATAGCACCCTTCTACGTAATTTCGAAGGCATTTTCATCTCTAAAGTCAACCAAACCCCTCAAAAAAACATCCTCTTTTCCCAGCAAACCTCAAAAAATCCCAAAACCCACTTCAATTTCCTGATTCCCAGCTCGTCCTGTAACTTGGGGATGGTCAACTCCGCTCCTAGAGCCTTTGCAATGGCGTGTGAGACATGTGGGAGGCAGGTGAGTGGGTGATCATCGAACCATCGGGCCTGGACGACCTGCTGAAGCAAGATGATCGTCGAGAGCGTCAAGTCGAGCCATCCCTTGATGGCGGAAAAGTCGAGGATTGCCTGGAAAATGCGCACACAGCTTTCGATCACACTCCGCTGGTCGGTCAAGTAGTCGACGGGGATTTGGATGCGCGAAAAGTGGGTCTGATAGAGGATCATTGTTTTGGAATGCGAGGACTCAAAGTCCGCATGTTTGGGCAGTGGGAATGGGATGACCTTGTTCAGGTCCTGGTTGATCAGGTCCTCGTTGTGTCGGCAGGGGATCTCGGCGTATTCGGGACAGTCCTGAAACCGGGAAATACAGCATTCGAATACATGAAAAATGAGATTTTTTGGGGCAAAAATTATTAAGAAAAGGGAAAATTTGAACTTTTTACGCGAAAAAAATCAACTTGACCAAAATTTTGGACAAGTTGGAATTTTTGGGCAAATTGATTTTTATAGAGGAAAAAGTAATTTTTATCGGCAAAACAGGTGAAAATTCGGGTTTCTACACCGAAAAAATCAATTTGCCCGAAATTTTGGGCAAATTGATTTTTTTTTGAAAGATTATTTTTATCGGTAAAAAACGGAAAATTCTGATTTTCACACCGAAAAAATCAATTTGCCCGAAATTTTGGGCAAAATGGAATTTCTGGGCAAATTGATTTCTTTTGTGAAAAAATGGTTTTTACAAGAAAATGAAAGGAAAGTTCGGGTTTCTACACAAAAAAAATCTATTTAGCCAAGATTTTGGGCAAAACGGAATTTTTGGACAAGTTCATTTTTAGGGAAAAATTACTTTTATCAGTAAAAAAAGGTGAAAATTCGGATTTTTCCACAAAAAAATCAATTTGCCCAAAATTTTGGGCAAAATGGAATTTTTGGGCAAATTGATTTTTTCCGCGAAAAAAGTAATTTTTCACTGTAAAAAAGGTAAAATTCTTTTACGAAAATGCAAAAATTCGCATTTTTACACCGAAAAAAATCAATTTGCCCAAAATTTTGGGAAAATTGTATTTTTGGGCAAATTGATTTTTTCCGGGAAAAACTTGACGAGTCTGCCTTTATCGACTCCCACTTCCTGAAAAAACCGCTCTACTCACCGTTAAAACCCTCAAAATTTCGTCAATCCCCATTTTGGGCCGTAAATTCTCGGCCAAATGTCTGATGGTGGTGTGTTCCAGATAGTACTTGCTGGCGAGTCGTCCAAAGGGTGTTGAGCTGAGTCTCTGTTCGTCTTTATCATACTCCACACACCTTGACTCAATGAGTTCATCGATGGTTTCATCGACGATTTTCGTCAAGAATCGGATCAGAGTTTTGTCGTTGAAATCGTCGATTCCATAATACGCAGGGTTGGCGAAAATGCGTCTGTACAAATAAGTGCCCGCCAAATAATCAACCATTTGTTGTTTGGACTCGATTTGCGCCGCCGACACCTCCGCATTCACGTGGTTTTCGAGGGCCGGCAGCAGGGCCGACTCCACCGGGAAGGGCTCGTACAGGAAGCGTTTGTAAAACTTCTTCTTCGTGTCCTGCACATAGACCACCGCCACCGCAGAGTCGTCGAACTGGGGGCGGCCGGCGCGTCCGATCATTTGCAGGACGTCCGTCACCGGGAAGTCCACGTATTTGTGGGTTTTGCCGTCGTAGAACTCGGTTCCCTTCACGATCACCAGATGCGCGGGGCAATTGATGCCCCAGGCAAGCGTGGCGGTGGCGATGAGCACCTGGAACGGCGGTTGAAAGACAGTTTTAGGGTGAAAAAGGCTAAAAAAACGCAAAAAATCTCAAAAAATTTGCGATTTTTGACTTCAAAATGGAAAAAAAGTGTAATGTAAAGCCGGAATTTCACCGAAACTTGTCTCAAACTCAAAATCAAACTTTTTGTGACACCTTTTTTGAGGTTGTGAGGAAAAATAGCGATTTTTTTGGGGGAAATTTTTGGAAATTTTCAAAAAAATTTGCGGAAAATCCCGAAAAAATTGTAAAATATCGGTAAAGAGAAGGTGTATGTAAAAAACAACGGGTTAAAATAAATTTGAAAGCTCTTTAAGGAAGTTTTTCGGCTGAAAATTAGCAAAAATGCAATTTGAAGATAGAATTTCACCGAAACTTGCCCCAAATTTAAAACCAAACTTTCTGAGACATTTTTGAAATTTTTGGCTTGTGCTTTGCAAAAACAACCGGGGTTTTCTTGGTCGAAAGTTGGTGAAAAAATATTTTTTTTTACAATTTATACTTCAAATTGCAAAAAAATATACTTTTTACCAACTTTCGACCTAAAAACCTCGGTTGTTTTTGCAAACCACAAGCCAAAAATTTCAAAAATGTCTCAGAAAGTTTGATTTTAAATTTGTGACAGATTTCAGTGAAATTCTATCTTCACATTGTATTTTTTCGCAATTTTCAGCCGAAAAACTTCCTTAAAAGGCTTTCAAATTCATTTTTACCCTTTGCTTTTTACATACACCTTCTCTTTATCGATATTTCACAATTTTTTCGGGGATTCTTCGCAATTTTTTCAAAATTTCCAAAAAATTTCCTTCAAACAATCGCAATTTTTCCTTCCAACCTCAAAAAAAGGTGTCACAAAAAGTTTGATTTTAAATTTGAGACAAGTTTCGGTGAAATTCCAGCTTTACATTACATTTTTCTCCACTTTTAAGTCAAAAATCGCAAATTTTTTGAGATTTTTTGCATTTTTTTAGCCTTTTTCACCCTAAAACTGTCCTATAGCGGAAAATTCTTGCCTGAATTTTTCGCTCAACAAACAATCTCTCTACAATCGAGCGTTCATAGCTCTGCAGGCCGGCATGATGCATTCCGATGCCAAACGGCAACGTCAATTTCAAGTTTTCGTCCCTCAAAGTTGAAACAATTTCGTGGAGTTCGGTCTGGTCCATTTTTAGCCACTGGCGGGGATCGGCTTCCAGCGCGAGCATGGAGACAAAGGCCATGGCGGTGAGGCGGGTTTGGCGGCGCGACGCGACGAACAGGAGGGTCGGCTTCGCCGGACTGAACTGTTTGATGGCCTGGAAGGCGGGCTTGTTCATCAGTGCCATGCGGGGACAGTAGTGTTGGCCGGGGAAGCCTTGGATGTGGACCTGGATGGGGACCGGTCGCACCGACGGGCGGAAATTGAACAAACCGCTCTGGAAATGGCATGGATAACATAAAGTTGTGTCGGAAAATCAATGAGAACTAAAAACTGAGGGGAGAAAAAACTCAAATTTTAATTTTAAGGCCAAAAAAATCAATTTGCCCAAAATTTCGGGCAAATTGGGAATTTTGGGCAAATTGGAATTTTTGAGCAAATTCAAAATTTTTAAGGGAAAACAATATTTTTAGACTGTTAAAAGGAACGAGTGAACAAAATGAGGGGCAATCTTCATGCTTCTAAAAAAAACTTTCCCAAAATCCCCAATTTGTCCAAAATTTCGGGCAGACCGAAATATTTTGTTTCTTAAAATCAAATTTCATACCATTTTTTAATCTATTCTTCTTTTTCCCCACCAAAAGTTTTTCTGTTTTATTAAAAAATCAACTTTCCCAAAATTCCCAATTTGCTCAAAATTTCAAGCAAATTAAAAAAAATTTCTTTCGTAAAATCAAATTTCAGACCATTCTGTAATTTATTCTTCCTTTCTCAACACCAAACATTTTTCTTTTCTATTAAAAAATCATCTTTCCCAAAATTCCCAATTTGCCCAAAATTTCAAGGAAATTAAAAAAATTTTCTTTCTTAAAATCAAATTTCAGACCTTTCCCTAATCTATTCTTCTTTTTCTCCTTCCAAAACCTCTTCTTTCCCCTAAAAAAATCAATTTTTACCTCCGGGACGCCCAGCCAATCAGCGATGTCGAAGGCGTTCGCCAGTGCCGTCGACAGGCCGACAATACGAACCGGGTTTTCTCTGTTCTTTCGCTTCGAAATTGACTTCAACCTGGTGACAATGGCTTCGAGGACGGCGCCTCTTTCCACGCCCAACAAGTGGATTTCGTCGATCACCACAAGGGTCACATCTTGGACGTATTGCCGGGTGTCGTAGCTTCTGGTGATGCCGTCCCACTTCTCGGGGGTTGTGATCAGCAGTTGGGCGGACTTGAGTTCGTCCGGCTGCGGCGTGGTGTCGCCGGAAACTTCCACAATACTAAAAAATTATATTATTTTAGGTAACAACAGTTAAAAAAAGTAAAAAAAACTTCAAAACAGCTATTCAAACTTCACGAAAACACAATACAAATCAAAACTAGACTTTTTTCGCGCCATTAGAGATGTTTTCCGCAGTGGGACATGTTATACGACGAAACATGTTTGATCGTATAAAATGTCGCCACACAAAATTTTCAAATTCGTTATAACATCAGAAATAAAATTCAAATAAAGCCCTAAAATTTCCAGCCTATACTTTGTAAACTGGCCGAGATATTCACCAATCTTTTTCCCTGAGACACTACAGAAACTTAGGAGAGCAGTCAGAGAAAAAGAATCCGCCTTACTTAACTCCCAATTGCTTTTTGAACTTCTCTGTCCAATCCAGAACCCGCTCTCGGACCAGCGCTTTCAATGGGGCGATGTAGACGCACTGAAAACATTATTTTAGGTACTAAATTATCAAAATTCAAAAATTTTTGGGTGAAAAATTTTAGGTAGGAAGCCAAAAATTTTTGTTTCGATTAAAAATTATATCTAAAACAATTCAACCTCAAAAAATTCAAAAAAATCAAAAAAAAATTTTATAAAAAATCCCACTTTTTTCTCGGGTCGATGTTGCAGCACTCTGAATATGGCCAGCTCCGCGCAAAGCGTTTTTCCCGACGAGGTGGGGGCTCCGAGCAGGACATTGTCCCAGGTGTTGTACAAGGCGAAGAAGACTTGAGTTTGGACGGGGTTGAAGTACTCAAATGGGTACAATTTCTCGAACTCGCGGTTCTTCAGCGCCGTCAAAGGCAGTGGGTCGAGGGGTAGGAGGTCGGTGTGGGATTTGATGTTCTCGGGGAGGACGAACTGGTTCAGGGAGAGGGTCAGATTGGTCTCTTCGACCACCCAGGAGTCGCTGATCAGACGCATTTTGAAATGATGGTGGATTTGGTGGTCTTCGATGGGGACGGTGATGTTTAGATGTTGCTCGGCTTTGGTTATGATCTAAAAAGTTATAAAAAATAAAAAATAAAATAAAATAAAATAAAATAAAAAAAATTAAAAATAAAAAAATCAAAAAAAAATTTTTTTCAATTTGAAATATTTTTTGAAAACCAACCTGTTTTTTATTGAACATGAGCATTTCATGATGCAAAATAAAATTTTCATCGCAATCCTCGATGATCAGCCAAAATCTTTCGGCTCCGCCATGGCCAAGAAGTCGGTCGCACCACGTGAATTCTGGCCAGATGATTGCGTCGACTCGAACGATCGTTCTGGAATCCAATAACTTTTTTTAAATTTTTGAAAAACCATTGAAGTTTTCCATCAAAACCTCAGATTTACTCCGCAAAAATATCAAGTTGCCCAAAAAATTCATATCCTTCCAAAACATGATTTTTCTCAAAATTAGGGGCAAAATAAAGTTTTCTTTACCCTACCAATTTGACCAAAAAGTTCCAACCAGCACAAAAAAAATCCTAATTTACCAATAAATTTCCATCTTGCCCAAAATTCCCTTTTCGCCCAAAAAATTCAATCTTGCCCAAAAATTTCCATCTTGCCCAGAACACTCAATCTCGCCCAAAATTTTTCATCTTGCCCAAAATTCCCATTCTGTCCAAAAAAATCCTAATCTTGCCCAAAAAATCCCATTTCGCGCAAAAAATTCCATCTTGCCAAAAAAATTCAATCTTGCCCAAAAAAATCTATCCTGTCCAAAAAATCCAATCTTGCCCAAAAAAAAAATCATTTCACGCAAAAAATTCCAGCTTGCCCAAAGTTCCCATTCTGTCCAAAAAATCCTAATTTTTCCCAAAAACCTCACTTTGCCCAAAAAATTCTCCACATTGCCCAAAAATTTCCATCTTGCCCAAAAAAACCCCCAACACATCCCAAAACCCCTATTTTGCCCAAAAGTTCCAGGCAAATACGACCCTTCTCTGTCCAAAAACTCCACTTCAAAACCTACGGGGTGATTGGTTTGATGGTTGCTTCCACATCCAAGGACGGGATGTACCTCAAGCAGTCGTACAAGATCCGTCCGTCACAATTGAACTGCGCGCCCAGCTCCTTCTCGTCGTAATCCAGGAGGTCCAGGAAGCCGAGGTTTTGTTTGGCTTCGATTTTTCGGACCACCACGTCCTTCAGCAGTCCCACGTCGACCACCTGGCGCAACGGGCTGTTGAAGTTCCAGAGGCGGCGGTTGATGTATTTCGAGAATTCGAGGCATTGGACGGCGGTGAAGGCCCAATTCTTGCGCAACGTGATCTCGAACAGGGCGCGGGCCACGCGGGAGGCGTTTTGCGAGATGTAGAACATCTCCGTTTGCAGCGTGAAGCTGGTCGGCTCGGCGCGGGAGATGTAATTCTGAGAGAAAAATCGTAAAAAACCAAAGTGAAAACTTTAAAAAAAATTAATAATTTTAAATTAAAAATTAAGATTTTTCAAAGCTTAATAAAAATTTTTTCAAAGGAAAGTACTTTTATGGGGTATGGAGTTACAGGTCGAGACATATATAAAAAAAATCGCAAAACTTTCCTGATTCAGAATATGAAAAATTAGCTGCCCAATTTTGGTTTGTAAGGGCGAAAAACCCCTCAGAACTTTTCTCGCAACACCACCATGCCTTTTTGACCAAGTTTTTACCAATTCAAAAGCTTTGTTTTGGGCTAAAGCAAACCCTGGCATCTTGACAAGCCTTAAAATATCAGATTCGATTAATACTAGGTGTAGTACTAATCAAGTTTGATACTTTAAGATTTGTCATGATGCCAGACTTTACTTTACAGTGGGGGACCTGATTCAGTGGCAGAAAACGTACCATTTTGAATCAAGGAAGTATTAAAAAATGTGGCAAAATACCTCCCTCTCCAAGTGAAAAAAAACTCAGATTTCAGAAGCGCGCCCGCTCTTTTTATGAGGGCCCTTCAAAACGAAGTTTTTTTAGCTGGAGAGGGAGGAATTTTGTCACATTTTTTAATACTTCCCGGATGCAAAATGGTACGTTTTTTGCCACTGGATCAAGTCCCCCACTGTAAAGTAAAGCCTGGCATCTTGACAAGTCTTAAAGTATCAAATTTGATTAGTACTACACCTAGTATTAATCGAATCTGATATTTTAAGATTTGTAAAGGTTCCAGGGTTTACTTTAGCTCAAAACAAAGCTTTTGAATTGGTAAAAACTTGGTCAAAAAAGCATTTGCGTGGTGTTGCAGAGAAAAGTCCCGTGGATTTTTTCGCCGTTACAAACCAAAACTGGGCAGCTAATTTTTACATATTCTGGATCAGAAAAATTTCGCGATTTTTTGACATATGTTTCGACCTATAACTCCACACCCCATAAAAGTACTTTCCTTATAAAAAAATTTTTTTTGAGCTGTGAAAAATCTTAATTAATTAAATTCAACTTTTCGCTTTCAAAATCGAAAACCGCCTACTTGAAGTAGACAATTGACTTTTCCTTGCGACGTAGCCAGTCCACCGCCTCTCAGGGGGAGCATGCAACCCGACATGAGCATGTCCAGGTCGGCCATTTCGGTTTCGCGACACTGAAATTCCAAAAATAAAATCAAAATCACAAAAAAAAATCGAAAAAATCATCTAGATCAATATCACCTCCAAAAATTTTTGAAAAATCCAAAAAAAAAATCACCTGAATTTGTGTGAATTCCGAGGAAGAGCAGATTAGGGCCAAAATATGATCATCAGTCATGTTCGGGGTCAATTTGATAGCTTCATGTCCATTCGTGAAGGTCTCGATCGACTCAATTGTAATGTAAAAAAGTGACGCAATTCGTCCCAAATCCGTCGAATTCAAGTAGCCATTGCTGAAATTATTCGATTACACTCTCTTACACATCATCTAGACACGAGAAAACCTCCGAATTCAGCCAAAAAATATCGAAAAGTGAGACTTTCGACCTTATACTTGACCTCTACTACACCCTAAAATTTTTTCCTTCAATTTCCCCCAAATTTAGCACATATTCTTTAGATGATCCCCAAATCCATCCCTGAAAATATTAGCTATTGCTTTGCATTCGCAGCCGAGATATTACACAATCTTTCCGGCGAGAGAGAACGGGAAATGAGGAGAGCGGCCAGACAAAAAACGTGTTTTCCTCTATATCTTCGTGAATTTCAGTCGGAACAAATTTGTTTTTTGTGAAAATATTGTACTCTCTATCTGTAATAAACACAGATTTTTCTGAGCCAAAAAAAAACGAAAAATTATAAAATTTTTCAAAATTCTGAAACAAAAAATCTTTATTATTCTAGCAAAGCGCAAGCTAAAAATCTCCCATATGCCTTCAAAAACTGTTCTAAACTTCCAGCAAATTTCAGAAACATCTAAACTCCAAAAAATCCCAAAAAAAAATCTTCGGACCTTCCACTTGACCTTTTTCCTCAAAATCCTCAAAAATATCCCCTCATCACACCCTCAAACCGTCCCTCCTGACGTCAATCCAAAATAGAAGAAAAAATTTCCCGCCCCTTTTTGGCGATTCGTTCAAAACGAAATGTCACTATCCGATAAAGTCCATTTTCTTATCTTTCTTCTTCCTTTTCGAGAAAAAGCAATTATTTCGGGCGAGAAAAGGTGCCGATAATTTCGCGACATTTCGTCTCTCTTTTAAATCAATGAAAACGATACAAAGTTTCGAAATGGTTCAGGAAATGCGCTGGATTGACGTGCTCCTTCCCGTCTCCACCTCCTTACCCCGCATCAAATCGTATCATTTGGTTTGAGTCGAGGCGTTGCGCGGCCGCATACGCCAAATCCTCCAGATAGGCCTGGAGGTCGGGGTTCTCGCGCATTTCCCGATAATCGATCCCATATGCGATGGGGTTGAGGCGGGCGCGGACATAAAAGTAGGTGTAGCGCAGCCATTCCACCGCTTCTGCGAGGTTGGTGACGGTGCCTCGGGCGACTTCGGCGTTCAGGTTGTCGTGGATCTTCTCCTGGAACTTGGACTCGATCGGCGTCTTGCGGATCAGCATGCCCAGGTACTTGTCCAGCTTGGCCATTTTGGTGATGATCACGCCGTGGCCGGAGGATTCGAACTGGGGGCGGCCGGCGCGCCCGAAGATTTGCTGCACGTCCAGGATGCCCAGGTCCGTGAACGTGCCCTTGTTGGGGTCGAAGACGTCGGTGCCGCGGATGATGACCGCGTGCGCGGGCAGGTTCACGCCCCACGCCAGGGTCGCCGTGCAGCACAGGACCTTGATGTGGCCTTCGGCGAACATTTGTTCCATCAGATTGCGGTCCTGCCGCTTCAGACCCGCGTGATGCAGCCCGATTCCGTACTCGAAAAAGAAGCGAAGCTCCTTGGAGGTGGCGTTCTTCATCTGCAAACATCAATTTTAGAGCATTTCAAGTCTATTCAAACACTATTTCCACCAGAAAAAAAAATTATCAAAAAATTTTTTTTTTTTTTATTATATTTCACCTTGGTCCCCCCTTACCAAAATTTCCCTCAAAAAAATCCGACTTCTCTCAAGATTCCCACAAAAAATCGCTTACCCTTTTGCAAGCCTGCGCGTAGATCGGTTTCCCAACGTGTTCCGATTCAAAGAGCGATCGTTCTTGCTAAAATTCACACCAAATTATATTGTACTAGGTATCCAGTATAATATGGGATAAAATAATATTTTAAACTCACATTATGTCCGGCCTGTTCGATCAAAAAGTTGGCTACTTGGGCTGTGGCGTTTCTCGAATGTACAAACACGAGGATCTGATGATTTTCGGACAAGTAGTCGATGCATTTGTCATAGCAAGCCTCGTCCATGGCTTTTTTGATGTCACCGGAATTCGGGTCAGATACTCCCACAAATCTGGAATGCAAACGGAAGATTAATCCATTATCTATCGAATAAATCCAATACCAATGCAAAATTCATTGCCTAGAAGTGATTTTCGACATAAAAAACATTATTTTAGGCAAAAAGTAGGTCAAACCTGGTAAAACTGCTCATTAATCAGCCATTTTTCTATTTCAACCTCCGCTATAGGTATTTTCAAGAACTCTTTTGTTTCCACAACCTACGTTTGAGTCAATGGAACCGGTCTGAAGCGTCCATCAAAGAAGAAAAGGCCTTTTTCCGGGTCCACTCGCAGAAAAGTGGCCACATCCAAGTAATTGGGTAAAGTCGCGGATAAACCCACAATTCTCACGGACTGTTGGGAAATTTCGGCCTAAAATCCAACAATCACATCACAAAAAATATTTTTGCACACCTGTCGAAGAGCTCTGGCGACAATTGTTTCGATTACGGGACCTCTTTCGTCATGGAGAAGATGGACTTCATCGATGATTAAAAGTCGAACCAGCTGCGAGAGGGCTTCATCATCCGCCTTTCTCGTCACCACATCCCATTTCTCGGGGGTTAGGACCAGCATCTACAACAATATGCCAAAAAATTGAAAAAATTTTTCTGATCCACCTACTACAATATAATTTTCGGCTCACCTGGGTTTCATTGATCTCTTTTCTGCTCAGCTGAGTGTCTCCAGTCAATTCTCGGACCGTGAGGCCTAGTTTGCGCAATCGTTTCGAGAAATTGTTTGTCATTTCGGCGGCCAGCGCCTTCATCGGCGCAATGTAGATGATCTTGAAAGTGTCCTTCAGAATTCGTCCGTGCTCGTCGCAATGGTCGCGAATGGTCTTTAGAATCGACAGCAACGCCACGTTGGTTTTACCGGCGCCAGTTGGGGCGCAGATCAGCAAATTCTCCTTGGTGTTGTAGGCCTGCTCGAAGACAATCGATTGGATCGTATTTAGCTTCTCAAATCCTTGAAAGGCGAGTTGACCGAGCTGCAAACGTGTTCGAAATTAAATTCAGATCATAATTCGTCCATTTTCGGACAACTTTTTGCCTACCGGATCCAAATTATTGACCATAATTGGGTGCACATCCATATTTTGGCTCCGTTCCTGTGGAGGTACTGTAACTTCCTGAAGTCTCGAGGTAATCCGACGGGTTGTGCCTTCAGGCAACGAGTATTTGCTGCCGAACAAATCCACGTCCTTCATTGGGGTCGAGGAGAACGCGTCAAAGACAAACGGGAGTTTTCGGCGCACGGTCTGACCGCCAAACTTGCTCTGGAAATCGTTCGCATCCTGCAGCTCGCGCTGCCGTTGCTTCAGTTGTTCGGCGCGCGCCAACTCCAGCGCCATCTTGTCCTCGTGGCCCATGGTGAGGACCAGCTTTTTGAACTCCTTTTCCGTCTTCTTCTCCTCTTTTCGCATCTGTTTTTGGAGCTGGGCCTCTTTTTTCGTGCGGATCGTAACACTGCCCGCGTAGCGTGAGGTGGGATCGGATGGGCCCTAAAACACGACAAATTACGGGTTGATTCCATAAAACATCCAGTTGTCGACAACTTTGGACAAAAGGATAATTTTCGAGACAAAATTTATATTACACATGACATCACTTACGGCCTCTTGCCTCCTTTGCTCTTTGACTTTGTTCATCAAGAAATCGGGTAGCTCTTCGGCTAGTTGCTTTCGTGATCCGATAATCGTTTGGAGAAGTTCAAAATTTTCCATTCCAAGAAGGTCTACCAGCTGAAACAAGACCATCTTCCACATGCAAAATTTTGATTTTTTTATATTCTTACCTAAAAATCGAACAAAAAAATCATTCAAAAATCCACTTACCTCCTGCTGGATCGCTTCATCCGATTGTCGACCATTCAGCAGGTTCGAAAGCCGCTGCATCAGCATGTCTGGCTGATCATACTCCATCAACATAACATACAGATTTTCGGCACTGATCCCATCGCTTTTACCATTTGTTTGCGGCTCCTCAACAAACTCATCGGTGAAATCGATCTTTTCCAACATCGAATTCCGCCATTGAACTTGTTCCGGATCGAATTTTATCGGGTCTGCGGGCTTCTGTCCAACGGCCGAAATTGAAATCCCGAGAAGTCGTGAAGCTTCGTTTAAAATACGACTTCCTTCTCCGGGAAGCATCCCGATCTCACGGTCCAAGTCTGGCTGAGATTTTTTGGTGAGGGAAACAGTCGGTGGGTCGATTAGACATGCTGGATCAAGGAGGGCTTCTTTGAAGAAATTTGCGACTTGTTCGTGTAAATGCTTGATCCCAACTAGGGTTCTGACTCCACTCACAGCTGTAGAATGATCCATAGAAAAGTCGTATAAGAATTTCAGGCGAAAACATTGGGAAAAAGGATACTTTCGGCAAGAATTATATTATACTAGACATGAACAAGGTAAAAAAGGCCATTACAAATCTCTTATATTAACTAAGTGCTGAGACACACTCAAAATATCTTCGTTAAGCCCTTTAGCAACAATTTCTGAGCAATGAAGACATGAATCATCATCTAAACCAAGAAAACACTAATAATAAAGCAACTCACCTTTGCACAAACTTTCCGCTGTCTTCTCGCTCAGACTTTCGGATAAGTGAACTCGGAGGTACTCCAGTTCGAAAGAGTTGGGTTTATCTTGACAATCAACCAAAGCTTTGAACACAACCAGAGATTTGTACAAAACATTGTCGGCACCTAAAGTCATACAGATAAAATAAATAAAACCGCTTACCAACAACACTAACCGTCTTTTCAACAAAACTGAACAACTTTGACAGTGAGATTGCAGCGTCGACATCATCGTAGGACAGGTATTCAAAGACTTTTCGCTTGAAACGATAGTAAACATGAAGTTCGACCTTCTTGTCCTTGAATTTCAGGTCAAACGCTCTGCCCGACATCGAAGTAACAAATAATCCTGAAGTTTTATGTTGTAAATAACCGGCAAGTTGATAAAAATGTAGAAAAACTGAGGCAATTTTCTGAAATTTTATTTTTTTGATTTTCCGAAATTATTTGGACACTTCGCAACAAGCGAAATGTCAAACAAAAATTCTGCGGAAAAATATTTTTTGAACTCTCTAGTGGAAGATCTTGGAGGTTTTTGCACGTTTTGAGCTAAAGATGTGATAAATTTATTGTCTTACTGCTTCTCAAAATTGTTTTCATATTATTCTTGACTTGCCTAGAAATTTTTTGATTTTTTCATAATTTTAGGTATCAAATGGACTTTGCAGTAATCGGCACGGATAAACAAGTGGTTAAGGGTGCTTATGATCCATTTTTCAATATCAAAATAAAGTAAGTTTTCCTTGTTTCGTTTCTTTTTGTTTAGGTCCACCATAAATAATATAATTTCTCTTCAGTAACCCGAAAGTCTCGTTGGAAGTGTTCAATGTGTATTGTGGAAGTCTAAAGAAGATCAAGCTACGAGCTTTGACCGCGAACGTTGAGGATCCCAACTTTGTGACCATGGGTGTAGTCGTTCAATCTTCAGGGACCATGAAGAGCGCAAAAAATTCGGAATATGTGATTTGGACGCTCGACGATTTAATGGTGGGTCTTGTAGTGCTTTCTGGTTCTTTGGGAAGAGTAGTGGGACCATTCCGCCGATGTTTTCTCATTTATTCAAAAAATTTTTATATTATCCCTGCCAATTTCTAGGACGATCGAAAAATCAAGATATTATTGTTCGGAGAAGCCGCAACTGCCCATTGGAAGATCCAGACCGGCTTCACCGTGGCTTTGACACATTTACAGCCGGCGACGAGCGATAGTCAACAAAAAAATTCAATGTTAACCTTCAAGGTGGTCAAGGATATTCAAGTGGTTGCTCTGGGATTCTGCCCGGATTATGGGATTTGTCAAGTGAGTGAATTTGACGTCTGATGCCTTTGCTGTGCGATGAGTCGTTTTTCTCTTTATTTTTTTCGGTTTTTAGGGCATGAAAAAGGACGGCGGTAGATGCACCAACTACGTCAATATCTCGATCACTCCCAACTGTGATTTTCACATTCAACAAGCCGCCAAGAAGTTCCGATCGCAGCGCGGTGCATTCTCGGCCATTTCCAACGAACGCCCAAAGTGTGCGACCCCAAGGGAGCCCAGACCGTTCATCTCGCAACGAGAGGATTATGGAGATGTAAAGGTGGTCAAACTGGATCAACCCTGGTATGTTTTACAAAACTTTTTTGGAGAATCCTGGTCTATATGAATTTTATAGCACGTCAAAAGCAACGATGCGACCAGGAGACCGCGCGTTGATCGCTTCCAGAGCTGTGAGTTTGATTTTAGGTATCAATTTTGAGTTTTCATATTTTATCTCACGGCTAGATGCTCAGAGTAGGGAAAAATTTGGCTGAAATTTAGATGATCATGTGGCGAGACGATGAGAGATTTTTTTTGGATGGCTGAGAAAATTTTTTTTCATCTCAGGTTTTGATCGATACTATAATATTTTGTAGATTTACCCCAAAATTTTCAGAGATTGGGGCAACGAGCTCTCACCGCATTGGCTGAAAACCAAGCCAAAGCCGTGAAAGAAGAGGAAAAGGACAGGAAACCCGAACCGGCCTCGATGAAAGCGTTTTTAGCTGTGAAAACGGTAATTTTTTTGATTTTTGATCGATTTTGGTTTTTAGAATTGGATGAATTGTTGATTTGCAGAAAGAAGAACGTCTCAAAAAAGCGATCCTAAAGGCGGGCACCCCTCAACTTGGCCGAAACACGCAAAGGGGAACAATTGCCGATCTAACCTCACCTCAAAAACCAATACTAACCAAACGACCTCTACCGCAGAAGGAATCCGCGGCTAGGGTGAGGAATTGCCCTCGTAATTGAATTAGCCTTCTGTTTTCAGCTAAAAGCCGCCGCGATTTTCAAGAAATCGTTGGAAAAAACGGGAAAAGTCGACGGCCGAACGGCCCAAAAACGAAAAGCCGACAACGAAGAGGACATGCCCTTGGCGAAGAAACAAAATTTGCTGACGAGCACGGAGAAGCAGGCGGGCAATCTGGACGAAAGAATCAAAAAGTTGTTGGCCAGAAAGTCGACTCATCAGAAAGATGTTGATCAGGAGGTCCAAGAACGAGAAAATCGGTATTTTCAACAAAAGGAAGTGGAGGAAAAGGTGGAGGGAAGAATGACAACACTCATGGAGATGAAAGACGTCAATGTGGTGACTTGTAAAGTGGTAAGTGGTGTGTTAGTTGGGTTGGGAGGGGATTCTTGGTTGTACTAGGCAGCTGAAAGGGAAGAGGAATTGAAGGTGATTTGACGATTAAATTGAGATAAATGACGATGCATAAGGAAGATGATGGGTAAAACTTTCTATATTTATTTTGCGTAAGAGTTTAGGATCGTTTGCGTTGGGTTAAAAGGGAATTTTATATTGTACTAGGTGTCTGGATGGAGAAAGTGGAATTGAAGGTGTTTGTGTGATAAAATTGGGATCGATGTTGAATACGAGGGAAGCTAGTAGGTGGTGCTACGAACTAAAGCTATTTTAAGTTGTTTTTTTTTCTTGTTATTTCGGCTTAAAACTTGGTTTTATATTGTACTAGACAGGTGGAAGGTGAAAATTGATTTTTGAAATTATTTGGGCGGGAAATTGGTTCCAATATGGGGTATTTAGAAGGTAATTTGTCCAAGAATAAAGTCCAATAAAAAAGTTTCCGAAAAATTTGATGCCTGTTATGTTAGACGTCATTTTTAGTGCGATTACACGGCTCCAACGCCCGCGGATCTTTGCCAACAATTGTGCCATGAACTGGTCCGTCATAAAGCCCGGAAACGATGGTTCAAATGCAAAGAATGTCAAGTGAGAGCGGCGGTGTACACGATGTTACCCACCAAGCCATGCACGGTAAGTTACAACGCAAACCAAGAATTTTTTTTAATGGGTTTGAATGTAAAACAATGTGCTTTTAGAAGTGCGGTGCCAAAAATTTCGAACGAGTCGCCATGAAAGACGAAAAGAAGGTCCAGCTCCGCCCGAACCTCGAAATCCGCGGAGAGGAACGGAAATTTGTCAATTTTTAACATTTTTTAAATGATTATCATATTTTGAATTGCATCAAATGCACATGTAGAACTTGAGTTTAATTTATTTTCGAATAATTGTAAATTAAATTCGGAGTTTTTGCCTTTCAAGCCCAAATTTTTCCGCGTCCCCACCTTTCGGATCGAGACTTGTTCGGGTCAGCACAAAATCGATCGGTATGGCAGGTGGATACCCAAAAAAAGGTTGTAGGAAGCGCTTACGAGGCCTGGAAAAGCCATTAGATGGAAGTCAAGAATCCCGGGATTCTTGACTGTTGACGTAGTCAAAAAAAAAAAAAGTTTGAGTGTTGACCCAGTCAAAAAAGTTTGACTAGGAGAGGCTCCGAGTCAGGATTTGCAACAAGTTTTGATAAGGGGGCGGGCCCACACTTGCGGGCAACCACTTTGCGGGCAGCTTGAAAAACAACGGAGATTCTGCGGACATGTTATGAAATCAGCCAAAATTTGCTGACAACTGGAAATTCAAACGATGGGTTTGACGATTAGATGTTGCCGATTAAGTTTCCAGGTGTACAAGTGGCTTGAATAGTTACCATAAGCTTATCCAGGCATTTTTTACCATTTTTTGAAAACAAACTCCCATAACTTTGAAAGCAGTGGATGAATTTAATAGATTTGTGTACTTATCAGTACCAGGGAGTTGTCAATGTAAAATTTCTATCGTACTACGTAGATTACGGGAGGGAAATCGTAATTCTAATCAAAAAATGTCGGCTGCCCGCAAAGTGGTTGCCCGCAAGTGTCGCGACGCCGATAAGGGCCCCTCGAATTACTAACGCACAAGTCTTATATCTTACAAGGAAAATGCTTTTATGGGGGCTCCTACTTTTGGACGAGGCATACCTCAAAAAATTCCTGTGATCACGCTGATCAAGGATATGTAAATATAAGCTGCCCATTTAGGTTTTTAGGGGTGAAAAATCCATCGCAAGTTAATTTAAAACAGAGTTTTTTACAAACTGAAGCTTCCCTCCAAGGGGCCCGGACATTGTTGCAACGACCATCACCAAATTTCTTGAAACTTGGCCAGTAGAAGGGCCTGAGCATGTTGATGAAAAGCGAAGAAGGGTTTCGCGAAATTTCAATCAGTCCGGGATTACTGTAACAATTTGGGTTTTGTAAAGCAGCCGCTGTCGTGGGCCGATCGACAGCCCTACGGGGCTGAAACTTCCTGTCTGTATGTTTTCGAGCATGGCCAACATTTTTCTAATTGAAACTTTTTTTGTATCTTTTCGTCTTTCGGTAGTACCGTAATCGTCATGATACCATATCGATTACTGTAAAAAATTGGAGCGAGTGTAACAAATTTTTAAACTTGATTATAAAAGTTGGACACCCTTCCCGTAAAATAAGACAATAAAATCAAAAATAAAAATATAAGTTTTTGAGATATAAGCGTTCAAAGTTGCTATGTTCGGTTACTGTAGGACCAAAATAGAGACGATCAATTTTTAAACTTTTCCATTAATCGCTACGGTTCACATATTAATAGAATGACATAAGAGGAATGTTTTCAGGTTGAAAAATTAATAATTGAGTTTTTATTTTAGGGTTTATACAAAGGTTACTGTAATTTCCAACTTTTATTAAGTTCGCTAACAATTTTATTGGAATGACGAATTTAGACAAGCTATCCGGGTCAGAAACGCGCATACATCATGGAAGACAGAAATCAGAATCGTAATACTACCTATTCCTGAAATAGTGGGAGATTACGGTAGCCGTACCCACTTTTTTCGCCGCTTGGCCGCGGCATTCTTTGGGACAGTTAGTGTAACAACTTTTGAGGCCTGAAATTCATTCAGGATGGATAGAAGAGTATTTCAGCAAAAAATCGCGAAAATAAAAATATAAGTTTTTGAGAAAATCCTGGATTACGGTCATTTTAGGGGGTTTTTGGGCCGTCTGGCCGCGGCATTCTTTGGAGCTGCTAGTGTAACAACTTTTGAAGCCTGAAATTCATTCAGCATGGATAGAAGAGTATTTCAGCAAAAAATCGCGAAAATAAAAATATAAGTTTTTGAGAAAATCCTGGATTACGGTCATTTTAGGGTGCTTTTGGGCCGTCTGGCCGCGGCATTCTTTGGAGCTACTAGTGTAACCAGATTTGAGACTGGAAATTTGTTCAGAATATATAGGAGAGTCTTTAAGAAAAAATAGGGAAAATAAAAGTATAAGTTTTTGAGAAAATCCGAAATTACGGTCATTATAGGGGATTTTCTGTCCGGAACTACCGTAATCCGGGATTTTTTCAAAAACTTATACTTTTATTTTCTCGATTTTTTGCTGAAATACTTCCCTTGTCATGCTGAGTAAATTTCAATACTCAAAAGTTGTTACACTAGCAGCTCCAAAGAATGCCGCGGCCAGACGGCTCAAAAACCCCCTAAAATGACCGTAATCCAGGATTTTCTCAAAAACTTATATTTTTATTTTCGCGATTTTTTGCTGAAATACTCTTCTATCCATCCTGAATGAATTTCAGGCCTCAAAAGTTGTTACACTAGCAGCTCCAAAGAATGCCGCGGCCAGACGGCTCAAAAACCCCCTAAAATGACCGTAATCCAGGATTTTCTCAAAAACTTATATTTTTATTTTCGCGATTTTTTGCTGAAATACTCTTCTATCCATCCTGAATGAATTTCAGGCCTCAAAAGTTGTTACACTAACTGTCCCAAAGAATGCCGCGGCCAAGCGGCGAAAAAAGTGGGTACGGCTACCGTAATCTCCCACTATTTCAGGAATAGGTAGTATTACGATTCTGATTTCTGTCTTCCATGATGTATGCGCGTTTCTGACCCGGATAGCTTGTCTAAATTCGTCATTCCAATAAAATTGTTAGCGAACTTAATAAAAGTTGGAAATTACAGTAACCTTTGTAAACCCTAAAATAAAAGCTCAATTATTAATTTTTCAACCTGAAAACATTCCTCTTATGTCATTCTATTAATATGTGAACCGTAGCGATTAATGGAAAAGTTTAAAAATTGATCGTCTCTATTTTGGTCCTACAGTAACCGAACATAGCAACTTTGAACGCTTATATCTCAAAAACTTATATTTTTATTTTTGATTTTTTTGTCTTATTTTACGGGAAGGGTGTCCAACTTTTATAATCAGGTTTGAAAACTTGTTACACTCTTTCCAATTTTCGGCAGTAATCGATATGGTATCATGAGGTTACGGTACTACCGAAAGACGAAAAGATACAAAAAAAGTTTCAATTAGAAAAATGTTGGCCATGTTCGAAAACATACAGACAAGAAGTTTCAGATCCGTAGAGCGGTCACCTGGTTCACGACAAGGGCCGCTTTATAAAACACAAAATGTTACAGTAATCCCGAAATAATGCAAATTTTGGGAAAACGTTTGACGCTTTTGATATATGCCCTGTGGGTGTTCTATGAGCCAAATTTGAAGAAATTCGGTGATGGTCACCGCAACAATGTCCGGGCCATGCTTCACTTTGTAAAGTCCGTTTTAAAGTCCTATATAAACCCCTTTTCGCTTAATTTTTCACAAGTTTACAAATTTCCTTTTAGCTTAAAATGATGTTTCTTGAGTTTCTAAGGCATAACAAATCAGTTTTGGCACAAAAATTTATTTTTCAGACCTTTTGCTGACAAATCTTTTGCACTTTCCGCGGAAAGTGCAAAAGAAAGCCACGGACAATTTATTTTATTTTTAATCAATAAGTGACATTTTGTTGTGAACGAATCGACAAAAAGGAGGGCGGGAAATTTTTTCGGGAAAATGTTTTTCGCATAGAAATAAAAATGCTTTTTCTTAGAAAACTTATTTTTAGAAAAAATGATTTTTTTTCATAGAAAAAAACATTTTTATTTTAGAAAAGAATGGTTTTTCCTTAGAAAGTGCAACTTTTAGTAAATTTGTGTATAATAATAACAAAAATTGATTTTAAACAGTAACTAGTAGTAAACTTTGTTAAGTAATGGGGTAAAATAGTAAGAGTAGTAACTTTTTGAGTGGATATTGGGGACTGGGGTATTCGATGGTGCTGATTTCGAAAACATAGTTCGTTTTCTGTGATTTTGACTTTTTTCTTAAGTAGTACTGTAAAGTTAGTATCAATTTTGAATTTTTTGATTAATTTTTTAATTGAGTATTCCTTCTAGTTCGTCAGAATTTGTTTGAAGTCATATAAGGGTAAACCCAAGTATGAGCAATAAATCGATTTCAATCGACATTGAGGCATAAACAATACAAATTGTTACTAATTTACAGTACTACTTAAGAAAAAAGTCAAAATCACAAAAAAACAAGCTATGTTTTCGAAATCAGAACCATCGAATATCCCAGTACCAAATATTCACTCAAAAAGTTACTACTCTTACTATTTTACCCCATTACTTAACAAAGTTTACTACTAGTTACTGTTTAAAATCAATTTTTGTTATTATTATACACAAATTTACTAAAAGTTGCACTTTCTAAGGAAAAACCATTCTTTTCTAAAATAAAAATGTTTTTTTCTATGAAAAAAATCATTTTTTCTAAAAATAAGTTTTCTAAGAAAAAGCATTTTTATTTCTATGCAAAAAACATAGACCCAATTTTTTCTTCTATTTTGGATTGACGTGCGGTCCTCCTTTCTTGTCCTTGTGTCGTCGAATGAGAAAAACGGTCAGTCCTATCAGCAGTAAGAGGAACACCAGCGCTCCACCAATACCTCCTCCTATCATCGCCCAATTTGTCTTGGGTTCATCTTGGACCGTGACATCCTCAGAAGATCTAAAAAAAATAAATCACAGAAAGGGAAGACTCACTCACGATCTTCTGTTCGGATTGTAGAGGTAATTGATGTAGGTGTTGTTCAAATACTCGGTTACCTCAGGATCAGGTTGCTTACATCTTTCCACCGAAAATTTAATAAGAATGTAATTCTGAAAACAAGAATTAGATTACAAACATGTAAAACAAAAACAATTTTGGAAAAAGTTCCTTATTTTGGCCACAACAAAGGTACTCCGCGAACTGCGCCCAAGCTTGGGCACTAATGTTAGGAAAAAACGCTTCGACCTAGCAGGCACTGAATTACTATAATAGCTCTATAGTTTTAAGGGTACATACGAAGGCTGTGACGGCTCATTTAGTTCCACATGGAGGCAATAAGTTTAGTTCCGGACATGTTTCATCGTATAACGTGTAAAATCACAGGCTGCAGCCGTTTTTGAAGGGTAAGGTGGTACGTAAAAAGGAAGGTACCTCACTAACTAAATCCACTGTCCGGGCATTGACAACGAAGAATTGAGCGTGCACGCTAAATTTGGGCTAATTCCGACCAGTTTCCGCAAAGTTACAAGTTCTGGCCAAAATAAGGAACTTTTACCACAATTTTTTTTCACTTACTAATGGAAAAAGTAGGAAGTTCTTTGAATTCAACTTGAATTTATCGTCCTTTGCGCATTCCGACGGTTTCCAAACGCGATCCGCAGCCCAATCTATTTCTTTGCAGACGTCCTCTCCCTGATTTTTGAAGACAATCTTGTCTCCAAACACTGCTAGCTTGCTCGAGCAGTTGTACTGGTCCAGGATTTCGGGTAAGTACCCGGCAAGATGGGTTCCGTTCAATTTGAACGGCAAAACAGGTGTGTCCTCACACCCAACCCTCACCAAATCAGGCCCCAAAATTTCGTAAAATGTTTTTTCCGCGCAGTACCTTCGCTCGAAAACTTTGTTGAATACGGGGCAGAGCCTGCAAAGTCACAGATGAGTCACCTCAGAGGCGTGCAGAGGTCGACTCTCTGCCTTGCCCCCCCCCCCCCCCTGTTCCCTTTCTTGTTGTAAAAATCTGCATGGTACTAAAAAAATGTACATTTTTAGTTTTCTTATCAAACACCAGACATTGCCTACAAAAAAATATTGTCAAAATAAAGCCCTACATATCATCCTTGGATCCAGAAACTGCGGTGATAAGCTCGTCTTCTTCCAGCGACAAGTGAATGCGGTAACTTTCCAGGCCTGTCTTTTTGTCAACCAAGTCCAACTTCTCGTGACTGAAAGTAAAATTTGATGTTGATAAATCTTTCTCAAGTTCATCGCTCGCACACTAAATGCGTCACATGTAATCCCTCAGAACTTCACTTCCTAATCTTCCAGCGAAGCAAAGTGGCGGACCTGATACGGTGGCAAAAAACGTACCATTTTGCGTCCGGGAAGTATCAAAAACGCAGCAAAATACCTCACTCTCGAACTAAAAAACTCCACAAAATTAGGGTCACCTACTTACTACAGGGTGGGCCACTCGAAACTGACAAGTTGTTTCTTTGAATTTAAAAAAAAACGTTTATAACCCACGGTTGCCCAAATAGACTAAAATCGGAGAAAAAAACGGACACGGCCTTCGCAGCTCGCGCCCTATCCTTTAAAAATTGCTGAGAAGTGCCCCTTAAAGTTGATGCTCAAAAAGTACAAAGCGCTTATTATCACATAAAACAATCTTGATAAATATTTTCTTTGAATGTCTGTCATCTATTTAAGCTATCATTCATATCGTTGCCATTTCTGAATCGGGAAATCTGGGCCCCTCAATATCAGCAATTTTGATGTATCTTGTACAACATGTATACATTCGAAGAAGCGAAGTGAACAAAATTCCATCTATAATTCCATGGGAATGTTGCAGATGATGCTCCAAAAAAAGTTTCGTCCAAATTGGACAATTTTTTGGGGTACTTCAACGTTTCCCACTGCAAATGGAGCATTGCCTACTTGTGGAGCCCCAGTTCTCTTTGAAAAACCATAAATTTGTTGGTTTCTTTGTGTTAATTAACACAGTTGTTAGTCTATTAGTAGGCTAGATACTCTTTACAGCTTCAGGAATGAGAAAACAAAAGTTATGTTGAAATTTGTAAAAAAGTGACAAACAGGTCCCCATGTACAATATCCCATAACATAGGCAAATAATAGAATTTTTTTAAAAACATCTACAATTCCACAACAAACCTATTGAACGGTGTATACGCAAATTTTCAGACCTCTAGGACAATTTTTTGACACACTTCAACGTTTCCCATTGATTTAAGGTGAAATTTTGTACTTTTTAATTCTATCGTTTTGCGATCCCCCGTGAGGGGAAGAAGGTCGATTAACAATTTCCTAGTTCTAAAAACATCAAAACATGCTTATGGGTGCTTATTGGACTCGTCTTAATCCAATTTTATCAAAAGTAAATATTGATGATAATAGGTATGTAATGTGACTTGCCACAACAAGCTAAGATGTCTGATTTTTGAAAAATGCATCTACAACTCCACAGAAAACCGCCTGATGCCTATATGGTCTAAATTTCAGCTTTCTAAACCGAGGTTTTGACCATGTTCAACGTTTCCCACTAGGCAAGCTCAATATCTGGAAATTACAAATTTCGTAAATTATATAAAATAAGCCTTAGTGTAAGGTAATGCAGGGTGTATATGACACTTATTAGCTAGTCTTTTCGATTGAAGACAACTTTCAACATTGCATCATTCAAAAATATTGAGTTACCCCCGATAATTGATACAGTTCACACATACATCAATATCGAAAATATTTGATGGGGGACAAGGCTCGGTTTGCTTCGAAATAGAAGATTACGATAAGTACTAATAATGACACACATACTCGTTGCAATGTTTAAGCTTTTTGATAGATTTTGTGAGATTTCACAGGCAAAGTCATGAGATTTAACCCCTTGGCTCGTGGCAAGTATAGTATTCGCGCGTAAGTAAGTCGGAGTGGCCGTTGATGAACAAAGTTTGTGTACTATTATAATCAACCAAAACCTATTCTGAAGCATCGCTTTAAGGCAACATCCACGTAGTATCCATGTTTACCAAAATTCATTAAATTTAATGTCCAAAAATGATATTTTTGTGGTAATGATTTTTTGTGGTATGTGCGCGTTGATGTAAAATGGGTTTTCTACCAATTCCTATCAATATCGACAGTTCTGCTTTCATTCTGACACAAAATAAGATTAGAAATGTTTCATCGTATAAAATGTCGCTAATTCCTCTTTGGACGTTTTTTTCTCCATTTGGGCAAGCCGTGCACCTTCTCAGAGCTAAAAATTCAACCTGTAACACAATGCCAAAATACGAAATTGGCATCCCAATTTTTCGTTTCAAGACAAAAAAAAATTTTTTTTTCCACCGGGCCTCGGGCTTTTTTTGGCACCCTTGGGCCCGAAGCCTGGGCCCGAAAAAAAACGTCGAGCCCGGAGCCCGGCCCGATGAAATGTAGGCCCGGCCCGTTTTCAAAATTTCCAAAGCCCGGCCCGGCCCGAACGGGCCGGTTGCCATGTCTGCGCGTCCCACTTACGTCAAATTTTTCTCGGACGGATTGTACGTGTATCGAATAAAAGCTCCATCATTATCCATTGCATGGGTTATTACCTGGAACTCGTTCGGGACTTGACCCTCAAATTTCGTGGTCAAGTTGAGACACTGCAGAAAGGTCGTTATCGAGGAGTAGAACTCAGCTTTCGAAGGAGTAGCCATGTCGGACGAAGAGACGACAGTATGAAAAAATGAAGGGACCAATTTAGATTTCAATAGTGAAAAATTTGCATAAAAATAGAATTCGGCGGCATTTTCATGCCTACCCCGAGTTATTTTAACAAGGACAGTACTTTTATGGGGGCTCCTACTTTTCGACGACACAGATCTCAAAAATTGTGCTGATCAAGACTTGGCTTTGAGCCAAGTCTTTCCCTAGGCAGGCGAAATTAGAAAATTGCTCGCCGCGAAAGATTTGCTCGCCGTTTCGGTGAGCGAAATGAAAGAATCGCCTGCGAGCCAAGAAGTGAGCAAATTTAGGGTGCTATTTGAAAATCCGAAATAAGGACTTATATCTTCACTCTTAAATAATTTAAAAAATCAATTTTTACTTCCCACCTGTATAGTACAATATAAAACCAAGTTTTAAGCCGGAATAACAACAAAACAACAACTTAAAATAGCTTTAGTTCGTAGCACCACCTACTAGCTTCCCTCGTATTCAACATCGATCCTAATTTTACCACACAAACACCTTCAATTCCACTTTCCCCATCCATACACCTAGTGCAATATAAAATTCTCTTTTAACCCAACTCAAACGATCCTAAACTCTTATGCAAAATAAATACAGAAAGTTTTACCCATCATCTTCCTTATGCATCGTCATTTATCTCAATTTAATCGTCAAATCCCCTTCAATTCCTCTTCCCTTTCAGCTGCCTAGTACAACCAAGAATCCCCTCCCAACCCAACTCAGACACCACTTACCACTTTACAAGTCACAACATTGACGTCCTTCATCTCCATGAGTGTTGTCATTCTTCCCTCCACCTTTTCCTCCACTTCTTTTTGTTGAAAATACCGATTTTCTCGTTCTTGGACCTCCTGATCAACCTCTTTCTGATGAGTCGACTTTCTGGCCAACAACTTTTTGATTCTTTCGTCCAGATTGCTTCTCCGTGCTCGTCAATAAATTCTGTTTCTTCGCCAAGGGCGTGTCCTCTTCGTTGTCGGCTTTTCGTTTTTGGGCCGTTCGGCCGTCGACTTTTCCCGTTTTTTCCAACGATTTCTTGAAAATCGCGGCGGCTTTCAGCTGAAAAACGAAGGCTAATTCAATTACAAGGGCAATTCCTTACCCTAGCCGCAGATTCAGAGGTCGTTTTGTTAGTATTGGCTTTTGAGGTGAGGTTAGATCGGCAATTGTTCCCCTTTGCGTGTTTCGGCCAAGTTGAGGGGTGCCCGCCTTTAGGATCGCTTTTTTGAGACGTTCTTCTTTCTGCAAATCAACAATTCATCCAATTATAAAAACCAAAATCGAACAAAAATCAAAAAAATTACCGTTTTCACAGCTTAGAAACGATTTCATCGAGGCCGGCTCGGTTTCCTGTCCTTGGGGAAATCGTTCCTCTACGATTTTACCCGCTTTTCTCTGTTTTGATTTCGAAAGAAATCGTTCTATTTTCGCCGAGTGGCGAGAGGAAGAGGGCGCACGCACAAAAAGGAAGAGAGCGGTGAGAGAATAAAGAAAAAAATCGGTTGTTGCTTTTCGCTGCGGCCCCTCACGAATTTTCTTTTTTCTTCTATTTTCATTCTGACGTGTGCGGTGGGTCAGCTGAAATTTGAAAGCTTATGCAAATCTTGCACTAAGAAGATTGAAATCTGAATTGGTCCCTTCATTTTCTCATACTGTCGTCTCTCCGTCCGACATGACTACTCCTTCGAGAACTCAGTTCTACTTCTCGATAACGGCCTTTCTGCAGTGTGTCAACTTGACCACAAAATTTGAGGGTCAAATCCCGAACGAGTACCAGATGATAACCCATGAAAAAGATAATGATGGAGTTTTTATTCGATACAAGTACAATCCGTTCCAGAAAATTTTTACGTAAGTGGGACCCGGATGCAAAATTTCAATTTTATGTGCTAGAATACATCTAGTAAGTAGAGGACCCTAATTTTATGGAGTTTTTTAGTTCGAGAGTATTTTGCTGCGTTTTTGATACTTCCCGGACGCAAAATGGTACGTTTTTTTGCCACCGTATCAGGTCCGCCATTTTGCTTCGCTGGAAGATTCGGAAGTGAAGTTCTGAGGGATTACATGTGACGCATTTAGGGCGCGCGCGATAAACTTGAGAAAGATTTATCAACATCAAATTTTACTTTCAGTCACGAGAAATTGGACTTGGTTGACGAAGAGACAGGCCTGGAAAATTATCGCTTTCACTTGGCGTTGAAAGAAGACGAGCTTCTCACCGGAGTTTCTGGATACAAGGGTGAAAAGTAGGGCTTTATTTTGAGAATATTTTTTTTGTAGGCAATGTCTGGTTTTTGATACTAGTCGTTCCAGAAAGTGCGTAGACTTTTTGTCGCGGTCCGCACTGTGCACAAAATTCCCTTTTTGCGGGGTGCATTTGACCTTTTGCACCGTGCAAGTGCACTATCGCGGCGACGCAAGCTTTTCTCAAGGGAGCCGGCGCGACTTTTTTGAAATTGCACAGTGCAAAATGTTTCAAAAAGGATCGCGTCGCGTGGGAAACAGGAAACTTGCACTGTGCGGTCCGAAAAAGGGCGGAAAAAAGTCTACGCACTTTCTGTAACGACTAGTAAGAAAACAAAAATTGAAGATTGTTTTATTAGTATGTACAGGTGGGCCACTCGAAACTGACAAGTCGTTTCTTTGAATTTCTCCGCGAATACTCCGCCAGCTCCAGAAAAATCGAAATGTTAGAAAAATCGGCGGAGTCTCCGCGAAGAAATTCAAAGAAACGACTTGTCAGTATCGAGTGGCCCACCCTGTAAGTTTTTACAACAAGAAAGGGGAACAGGGGGGCCAAGGCAGAGAGCCGGCCTCTGCACGCTTCTGAGGTGACTCATCTGTGACTTTGCAGGATCTGCCCGGTATTCAACAAAGTTTTCGAGGAAAAGAACTGTCGCAAGGAAACATTTTTCGAAATTTTGGGGCCTGATTTGGTGCGGATTGGGTGTGGTTCAGTAGCATCTAATGTCCTGTTCAAACTGAACGGAACCAAGCTTACAACATATATGCCCGAAGTCCAGGGACAGTTCAACTGCGAGAGCAAGCGAGCAGTGTTTGGAGACAAGATTGTCTTCAAAAATAAGGGAGAGGACGTCTGCAAAGAAATAGATTGGGCTGCGGATCACGTTTGGAAAGCGTCGGAATGCGCAAAGAACGATAAATTCAAGTTGAATTCAAAGAACTTCCTACTTTTTCCATTGGTAAGTCAAAAAGATCGCGTCCCACTTTTCGGATCAGGGAGAGATCGGGTCAACGACATTCCGGGTTAACGATACCGTTTAATGTTTCCGCTTCGGGACTAGGAAAACAGAATTTTTTGAAGTGTTTGAACAAAATTTTAAAATTGTATGCCTCGGGATTGGAAAAAAAAGGATTTTTTGGAGAATACAAAATTTTGAAATGTTTCCTCTTCGGGACTACACAGGGGACTCGGATTTACTTATAAGTAAAATTTTTTACTTATATTTACCAATAACTTACATATAAGTTAAAAAAGGCGGGGCTTATTTATTTTTACTTATATTTACGTTTATTTACTTATATTTACAAATAGCGGTACTTATATGTAAAAAACGGGGCAGTTCGTTCATTTTTACTTATATGTACATATATGAGCCTCGAAAAGAAAACTTTTGAGCGTCAAAGACGCTTTTTGGTTTCTGCACGCGTTGGCCGGACTTAGAAAAATTCTAAGTTTTTGGAGCATCAAAGAACGTATCTCAACCTTGGATCGAATAAAGTAAGTTGCTTGTAGTCAGTTTTTTTTCTTTTACAGGGTAACAGAGTGCTCGGATCAAAAGTTGCGAACGCGAGAACCTTCCCGAGCATGGAGCATGTTAACGTCAAACTTCACGCAGTTCCCAAAAATCTATGAACAAGCACTATGAGGAAAGAATTTGGATGAACAACTGTGTGCTCAGACTTGGTAGGTGTTTTTTAACTGTTTTCACACTTCATAAAACCAAAGATTTTTCCAGACATAGTTTTGCTATGTTGTACTAGGTCCAGGTGAAGCCTCTACGTTTCAGATTATCGAAAAATTGGTCGTGGAGGGTAGTAAATGGACAATGTACACACGATCCCGGAAAAATGGCACTCGGATGATTCAGGTATGTTGAGAATATTCACCTGGACCTAGTGCAACATGACAAACTTGGTGTCTCGAAATTTCATTGGCAAACTTGGTGAACCTAAAACTAATTTTTTCGGGGTGCAGAAGCACAAACAATTGAGAAGGGCTTATAGTAAATATCGTCAAACGACCTTATCTTCTTAATTTTCTGCTATTTTCAGTGAATCCAGACGCAGAAATCGCCATAGAAGATCCCGAAAATAAGCAATTGATGCCTCATGAGGACAACAACAGATGAGAAACCTATCCGGAGCACACAAGATGCGTTACCGACTTGTATTTGTCGTTTTTGAGAATCGAAATAAACGTTTATAATATAATCTGCACTGTGCTTAATTCTGGGTTACAAATAAGTAAAATATCCTTATTGGTAAATATAAGTTAATTCGGAGCGCGCCGAAAATAAAGTTTACATATAAGTAATTTCAGAATTACTTATATGTACGATTATTTACTTATATGTACGTTTATTTACTTATATAAACTTCAATTTCATATAAGTAAAAAAGGCGTACATATAAGTAAATCCGAGTTCCCTGTGTAGGAAAAGAGAATTTTTTGAAGAATTTGAACAAAATTTTTCACGTTTACATATAAGATACGTCTTATCCTAACAGTTAGCAGCGGGATAGTTTATCTAAAAACATCCAGAAATAACATTTTTACCTTACCCGAAGCGAAAACATTTCAAAAGTTTGTTCAGTTTTCGCAAAAATTCTTTTTTCCAGTCTCGAAACGAAAAAATTAAACGGTTAAAGTACGCGCTTCCGTATAACTACGTACACACTTGGCAAAAATGCAATAAGTCGCGTTGAGACTCAAAAAAAATAATTTTTGTACGGTAGAAAAATAATATTTTTTTGTGGCTGGTGCCGAGAATTTTTTTGTTTGCGGATGGAATGCACGATGTTGGAGCTTTGGCGTCGTTGTAAGTTTATTTCATGTATAATAAATATATTCTTTTGTTTTTCATGTATATTTTTCTTGATTTTATCTTCTTTTCAAGAAAATTTCTGATTTTTTTAGATCTTATTTTTCTGACTCGTCAAGAAGCGTGGATTCGAATTCGTCTACATGAACCCATTGATGAATACGGTGTCCAGTAATTGAAGGTAGAGCTCTTCAACTCCATGAAACGAATATAAGGTCACGATTGAAAAGCCGAAAGATCAATGAGGTATGTTGTATTGCTTGCTTTAGGTGTTTTAGGTATCAAAATTTTGACGTAATGGCGTAAAATTGCATGTTTCTTTCAGGTTTTCACAAACCCCTTTCCTGGAAGTCGTCAACGAGGTTTAGAACTTCATCAAGGGCACCGAATAGAAAGAACCCAAGCAAGCCATTGCCTTCGTTCCAATTTATGGATTCAACCGGGACAAGATTTTTTGTTCAAACAATGGGCAGTTGTTCGTGTCCGTGATCACCAAGAATATTATATTCATTCCTCTAACATGTTTATAAATTCGTAAAAGGATACAAAATAAAAGTTTACGTTGAACCCAATTATTTTATTTTTTATTGTAACTAATTCTCAAATGGCAAAATGAAAAAAAAGCTGAAAGACAATCATGTAAACAATGTTTAGAACACCATTTCTGGACCTTTTCGTCAGAGATGTCCTACATGACCTTGCAAAGGCTTTTCGATGTTGACCTTGCCATCGTCGACCTTCTGCTTTTCCACTTCCAATACAACCGTTGAAGAAGGCGACGAGACCGTTTTTCTACATCGAAGGACTCATCAATGGGTTAGACCATGTAGACGACCTCAAATCCATGCTTCTTGACGCGTCAGAAAAATTCGACCTAAAAAATCAAAATTTTTCTTGAAAAGAAGCTAAAATCAAGAAAATATACATGAAAAACAAAAGAATATATTTATTATACATGAAAAAAAACTTACAACGACGCCAAAGCACCAAAATCTTGTATTCCATCCGCAAACAAAAAAATTCTCGGCACCAGCCACAAAAAATATTATTTTTCTACCGTACAAAAATTATTTTTTTGAGTCTCAACGCGACTTATTGCATTTTTGCCAAGTGTGTACGTAGTTATACGGAAGCGCGTACTTTAACCCGAAATGTCGTTAACCCGAGCTGTCCCTGACCCGAAACGCCGTAGCCCCAAAAAATTGTTTTTGTTTTATTTCTAATCTAATTTTTGTTTTCAGAATTACATTCTTATTAAATTTTCGGAGGAAAGATGTATTCAACCGTATCCTGAAGTAATCGATTATTTGAACAACACCTACGTCAAGTACCTGTACAATCCGAAGGGAAGATCGTAAGTTCTCGCTTTCTGTGATTTATTTTTTTTAGAACTTCTAAGAATGTGACGATTGCGACGGTCGAAGAAGAACCGCTGAATAAGGCGGCCTTAGGAGGAGGTATTGCTGGAGCGCTGGTGTTCCTCTTACTGCTGATAGGACTGACCGTTTTTCTCATTCGACGATACAGGAACAAGCAATATCGGTAAGGAAAGTTTTGAAAAGCAGATCTGCGGTTTCCGATTGAGTACGGAAAGGTCCGCTAAAAAAAGAAAAGAGGAGGGCGTGGGAGGGGTGGGGGAGGTTTTTGATGGCGCTGATTTCGAAAATCATATAAATTTTTTCTGAATTCTACAATTTTGCTTAAGCAGTAGTGTCATTTTTGCTGTAAAGACGAAAAAAGCGTCATAAGTTTTCTCACAGTATCATACAAGTTTGACAAAGTTTTTACCAATTAAAACATTTATGCCCGGTAGAAATCAGGCCCGGCCCGGTAAAAGCCCGGTTAGGGCGCGAGCTGGAAATTTTCCTTTGATCTTACCGGCTCTATAGTGCTAAAATCTGCTAAGAACTATCCTATATGTATTATATGTTCTAATTTGGATCTTATATTATAACATATATGCAAAAAAGTACTACAAAGTAATAAACTATTGTAGAACTTGATATACTAAAAATACAAACCTATCCAAAAATTTTTCCGGCGCGAAAACATTGAATGCCAAACGCTTGGCATTTCGACAAAACCGGGCCGGGCCTGAAAATGGCTCAGGCCCCGGCCCGGCCCGATTCAAAATTTGTCTGGCCCGGCCCGGTGGCCACCCCTGCAAAAGAAATAAAATACATCCGAGAAAAATATTTTTCGGTGGGAAAAGCTCACGAAAAATGTTACGTCGCAGCGATATTACAAATACACAGTGCAAAACCAAAAAAGGTGAGTGCACGGTGGAATCCTTAGATTGCGACCCAAAATGGGGTAAAGCGACTTCGTTTTTTTTTATTTTTTTCCGGGAAATCTTTGGTTTAGGGGTTTACGAGGGTGCTGATTTCCAAAATCATGTTTATTTTTTTCTGGTTGTTACTTTTTTATTAAGCGGTACTGTTAAGTAATGATTTTTTGAATATTTTCCGTTCAGCCGTCATCCCGCGTCCCACGTCCGATATGAGTTCTCCGTTGCGATGGGAATGAGAAAGCCGAAGAAGTGCAAGGACGGCTTCGATGTAGTGAGGCTGAAGAGCGGCAAAAAACTTGCCGTCCCAGTGAGTTTTTTGATTGTTTGTGCTTCTTTCATTATTACGAATAACGAGCTTTGTTTCAGAGGGTGATTGATTATGCCGCGGCGAAGCGGATGGTCGCCGAAGGCGAATTCGGCGCGTTTTACGAATACGAGTCCCAGGGAACATCGTACTGGTACAAGTTGGAGGCAAAGCTAGGCTCCAGATTCAAGCAACCCCTCGCCAACGAGAGCGGCGTCTACAAGCTGGTGGAGAAGTACTTCAAGAACCCAGAAAAACAGTAAGTTGGATGCGAATGCCACATTTTCGGCAAAAAATGTTTTTGTGCTGCTGGAACCGGCAAAAATTGTTAGCTTCGCAAGCCGAAAAGAATTGTAACAAGGAAAGTACTTCTATGGGGTATGAAGTTACAGGTCGAGAAATGTATCAAAAAAATCGCAAAATTTTTCTGATTCAGAATATATAAAAATCAGCAGCTTAATTTTGGTTTGTAATGGTGAAAAAATCCTCAGAACTTTTCTCGCAACACCACGCAAACTTTTAACCAAGTTTTTACCAAATCAGAAGCTTGTTTTTGAGCTAAAGTAAATCCTGGTATCTTGACAAGCATTAAATATCAAATTTGATCTATTTATACTACGCGTAAAGCAATATAAAAAAGGGGCATTTGCGTGGTGTTTTGAGAAAAGTTCTGAGGATTTTTTTTCACCCTTACAAACCAAAATTAGGTAGTTAATTTTTACATTTTCTGAATCAGAAAAAAATTGCGGTTTTTTTGATATGGGTTTCGACCTGTAACTCCACACCCCATATGACGTACTTTCCTTGTAAAGCTAAACTTGGTTTTCGTGGTGGTACAAGCAATAATTAGCACTAAAAACGACGTACTGCGTCGGCCGTTTTCGCTGCAGGAAAAAAGCATTTTCCGGGTGGCAAGAAGAGCGTCCCTGATTAAAAAACTTTTAATCCCTGTTTGTTTCAGCTTCATGTACTATGGCGGCATGCTCGGATGCTGCCAGTTCTCCGAAGGCGTCTACTGCATGCGGGTCGAACATTTTGGGCCAAGCGTTCGCGAGATGCGCGGGGGACAATTGATGGCTCCGCCCGAGGCGAAGAAACTCTTTTTCCAGTTGCTTCACTGCATCAGAGCGATGATTAAGTACGGGATTAGCCATCGGTACATCAAGGAGAGTGCTTTCTACGCGAAGCAAGACGAAGACAAGTATTGGGTGAGTCGAAGTGTAAAACACCAATAGCGAAGAGTCTATTCCGGTCACCGGACTCCTCAGTTTGACGTGCGAGGGTCAGTTTGTACACACTGAGGGGCTTTTCGGAAAAAATGTTTTTAGGAGTGAGCCTAAATTTATGGCATTTTTTTTTGTAGATGAGGCCGTTTAATACAATTGTTTTTGCAGTTCGTAATCACCGATCTCGGCTATGCGATTAGAATGGGCTCGGAACGCTCCGCCTTCTATCCAATTCCAGAACTGGCCACCACTCACATCCACGCGAAGAAAGCGTTGAAGGTGGAAGACGCGGAGAGCTTGCTCTTCATGATCCTGGGCATGATGGCCCCACTGCCTTGGACGGGAATGGAGGATATGGAGGAAATTCGAAAGACGAAGTTGGAATGCACTGACGAAAAGTCGATCGCGATGGAGTTTAAAGACATTCCCGAAGCTGTAGAGTTGTGTCGCATGAGGGGTCTGTATACGGACGACGTGGCGTGCGAAAACCCGGCCGACAGCCTTATCACTTGCTGCCTTCAGGTATGTGGAATTTGGGGTTAAATTTAATTTTTTTTTCTACCTGCGCATCGGTGATTAAGCGACAGCTTTTATCCGAGTTGCCGGGGTTTATCCTTTCTGGAGATGGATTTGATTTTATGAAAAACTCTTTCAGACCACACCGTTCGAAAAAATGTGCTTACCAGTTCTTTTTCCAAACTCTAATGCAAAATTGGTGGGCACTTTCCAGTCGTATGGCTCATGAGGAAGAACCGAAAGGACAGTGTATTTTTATTATCTAAGAAGAGGGAAGGAAATAAATATTTGTATGTGTGGTTTTTTTGATCGGCCATCTAAAGTCACTATTCCATGTCGTCCCAAAAAGGCGACCCATAATGTCTTGACTTCGCTAACGTTTTTATAATAAGTTGACGACAGATTTTGTACGTTTAACATTAGTCCGTCATGAATATTTTTCATAGCAACATTTGCGAAAAAATGGCAAATTTTTGCCCAATTTCGACATAAAAAATCTCGGTCGTTTCTGCAAAGCGCGAGCAGGAAGTCTCACATCTGCCTTAGAAACAATTTGGGCCAAGTTTCACCAAAATGACTCTTTCTTTTTTACAATATTTAACAGTCTGTCCGGAAAATAATGAGCACAATGTGGCTGCGCCGATCAGGTCGCTGAAATGAAAAGAAATTCGATTTTGTTGCGACACGATTCATTTTCCCGACGGCGATGCGATTTTCGATGCGACAGAGTGCTCATTATTTTCCCGACAGACTGAAATGTAGTCCTGGACACTACTGTAAGAGATTATCATGTTTATTTCCTTCAAATCATTTAGTCCACGGAATAAATGGACGCTCTTTTTGCATGTGTGTGTCCCAGCTCGCGCAGCTGGCTCGACTCGCTCTGAATCGACAACCTTTTGGCCTGCAGCACTTGGCCCACCTTCTCCTTGTCCCGCAGCTCGCTCGCGCTCAGCTCGAAGACTTGTGGAGCTGGTGGGGCGCCGGAGGGCACGGGATTGTCGGCCCACGGACGAACCGTAACTTCGGCTGTGCAGTTGAAGATGGTCGTAACGACGATCACCAGAATTCCTGTCGCAATGAAGAGGCGGGCCCACTAAAAAAGAGACCGCAGATTCATCAGAAGTTTAGAGAAAATTTTACCGCCGCAGTTGGGCCCTTGTTAGTCGTATTTTTTAAGCCACATTCATGCAATTTTTCGACACTACTTGGCACAAAAAGTCCTGATGTGAGAATTTATCGCGCCCTCAAATTCTGTCGCACACTGAAAAAATGTTTTGTCGCTGCGAAAAACGAGAATCGCGCTCAATTTTTCTTGAGCTGATCACATTTCTTTGATCTGGCCATGTTTTTTTCGATATGCCCACATTTTTCTTTTGTCAATACCCGAAGGTCAGTTCGGGGGCTCGCGGAGCGCCACCCCCCCTATATTAACCGCCCTAGCTGTTTTCCTCTTAACGTTGAATTTTTTTGGTTTTTTTGACCCCATCGTGTTGTCTGATCCTCTGTGACACCCAAATGACATTTTTTTAGTCGATAAAATTATCGACCGCCAAACGCCGGAGAATTGAGTTTTTGACTTTGTCTCTGGAGCTATGCTGCCAATTTTTTTTCATCGTACGCAGAATGATCTCTTCTATCTGAAAATCATACTCGTTCTTTGTGTTGTAGTTGCGCGTTGCGGAGAAAAGTTGCGAAAAGTGCACTTTTTCAAAAAATACCCCTTTTTGCACAGTGCGCTGTGACCGCTGCGTGCGACGTGTACAGGAGCGGAGATGGCGGGTAGCGTATTTTTATGTCAAATTTACGTTCTGAAAGTTTCATTCATTTTCATCGCGATTTCGCGCAGTTACAACCAAAAAACGTGTTTTTCGCACCTGCAAAAAAAAAGTTTTTCGCGTTTTTCTCAAAATTTTTCGCCTATTAAAAAAAAGTTTTCTTCATGCGCTATAGGTTATTTTTGGAGGAGAGTTTATATTTCACAATTTTTTTTCCAGAAAATTTGCATATTCATGATGTCCGGATTTCAGAGTGAAAAACCTGAGTTTGCATATCTCGGGAACTAGGTCCTTAATCAAAAATCGTATCGGCTTAAACTTTCTAAATTTTTTTCTGAGTCCGTTAAACGTGTTTTTTCCCATATTGATACAGTATCCGTCTCAGGAAAAGTCGCACACTGATTTTGGGACATATTCAAAAAAATCTCGCGAGCGAAGCGAGCGCCGAGTACCATTCCTTCTTTATTTTGCATAGTTTTTAATACCAAACAGCTAACTAACTGACTATTTTTTTCTATCTGTACTCTCCGGGATACTGTATTTTTATTTCCTCAGGCATTGTGCATAAATGACGGAAATTCGAAATTCTGTTTACAGATTCAGAATCAGCATGAAAAACTACACCATAAACTGGTATCATTTGTCCCATATCTCGCAAATTTTTTTCGGCATACTGTAGGTTACGGTAGTTTTCGCGCCAAAAACCGGTTTTTCGCCATTTTCTCAGCGTAGACGTAATCGCGCCGGACAAAATTCACAGGACTGTTCGTACTCGTCATTAAACGTCTTTGAAGGTGTATTTCACGGTTCCAGGTCTGTCGCTCCGCGAGGGATTACTGTAACAAGGGCCTTGACTTTAAGGTACCGTATCTCGGTCAATTTTGATCGTATCGACCCGCCTCAAAAAGCATTCTACTCAGTTTAAATAGCTCTTCAAAAGATTAGTTGACACGTTTCCGCCATTTCTTCAAACCGGGTTACTGTAACATCGTAAACATAAAAAGTACTGTAACTTTTCAACGAGTAGAGATACGAAGACGGGACCTGGCTCAATCGTTCGGAAATTAAAAATTCGATCAGGATACGTGTAAGAATCTTGGTATTTTTCTAAAATACGGCCTGGCCGAATTTAGTTCTGGCCAAATTTTCCATTAATTATTTCACCCCGAAAAAGTCAAAACTTTTGGGTAAAAAACCCAAAATATGACGGCCCTCTAATTGTACTACAACGTGGTATAATTTTTTTTCCGGGGGATTGAACCTCCAGAGACTTCAGATTGCCAGACTTCCGCGCTAACCACTGCGCCATGGGTGGCTCTCTCGGAAACGAAAAGGGACCGAGCGCGGGGGCCTCCGCACTGTGCAAAAGCACTTCGAAAGGCTTTTGTCGCGGAGCGACAAAGAATTTTTGCTTTGTCGCGCAGCGACAAAGCCAAAATTCTCATTTGCACTGTGCAAATTGAGAAAAAGCCTAGCTCACTGGGTAAAATGCAGAGTGCACGGTGCGTCTGGGGGGAAAATGGGAAAATCAAAAGGGGGGTGCCTGGGAAAACGTTCGGAGGGTGTTTTTCGCACTGTGCAAAATGAAAAAAAGCCTACGAACGTAGGCTTTTTTGTTGATTGCACTGTGCAAATTTTTCCAAATTTCAGGTTTCGAAGGGGAGTGTCTGCAAAATATTTTGCGACACTCCGCCAACAAATTTCGCACGGTGCAAGTGGGAAAAGGCTTCTTTGGCAAGATTGCACTGTGCAAACCGTGTCGCGACGTGAAAAAAGGGGCGTGGCAAAAGTTGACTTTGCATTTTCGTGAGAGAGCAAAAATTTCTCTAGCTTTCTCGTCGATTTCGGGTCCCAGCATTTTTTCGAGGGCGATATCGGTTGGGTTCGCGCGGGTTCGAAATTTTTTTATTTTCTCCGGGTTTTCGCGAGTGCACTGTGCGATGAAAAGGTTCACTGTGAGTTTATAAGCTGCACTGCGCGGTGCTTAGCGCATAGGCTTAGGCTTAGTTTGCTTAGCCGCTTAGGCTTAGCTCAGGCTTAGTTTGCTTAGGCTGCTTAGGCTGATTTTTTTGCAACACATGCGCGGGCAACCGCGGCGGGCCGGACCAAAGACATGACAAAGTCATGTCTTTGGCCGCCCGCCGCAGCTTGTCGGCCTGCTCCGCAGACCCCATTATAATAAAGGCCGAGGGAGTTTTTTACTTAGCGTTGAATTTTTGCAGTTTTTTTGACCTCATCGTGTTGTCTGATCCTCTGTGACACCCAAATGACATTTTTTTAGTCGATAAAATTATCGACCGCCAAACGCCGGAGAATTGAGTTTTTGGCTTCATTTTTGGAGCTATGCTGCCAATTTTTTTTTCATCGTACGCAGAATGATCTCCTCTATCTGAAAATCATACTCAATCTTTGTGCTGTAGTTGCGCGTTGCGGAGAAAAGTTGCGAAAAGTGCACTTTTTCAAAAAATACCTCTTTTTGCACAGTGCGCTGTGACCGCTGTGTTGAAGGTGTACAGTTCCGTAACGGGCAGGTAGCGTATTTTTAAGTCAAATTTGCTCTCCGAAAGTTTCATTCATTTTAGTCGCAAACTCAGGGAGAAACTAATTATAAACCGCTTTTTCGCACCTGCAAAAAAAAAGTTTTTCGCGTTTTTCTCAAAATTTTTCGCCTATTAAAAAAAAGTTTTCTTCATGCGCTATAGGTTATTTTTGAAGGAGAGTTTATATTTCACAATTTTTTTTTCAGAAAATTTGCTTATTCATGATGTCCGGATTTCAGAGTGAAAAACACGAATTTGCATATCTCGGAAACTAGGACCTAATTCAAAATTCTACACACAGAAACCTCTGACAAAGGTCCCATAAACCCCAAAAAACTCATTTTCAGACTCATTGATACAGCATCCGGTTCTAAACAAATCGCGAAGTGATTTTTCGACATATTCAAAAATATCTCGCGAGCGAAGCGAGCGCCGAATACCATTCCTTCTTTGTTTTGCATAGTTTTTGATACCAAACAACTAACTAACTGACTATTTTTTTCTATCTTTACTCTCCGGGATACTGTATTTTTATTTCCTCAGGCATTGTGCATAAATGACGGAAATTCGAAATTCTGTTTACAGATTCAGAATCAGCATGAAAAACTACACCATAAACTGGTATCATTTGTCCCTTAACTCGCAAATTTTTTTCGGCATACTGTAGGTTACGGTAGTTTTCGCGCCAAAAAGCGGTTTTTCGCCATTTTCTCAGCGTAGACGCAATCGCGCCGGACAAAATTCACAGCACTGGTAGTACTCGTCATTACACGTCTTTGAAGGTGTATTTCACGGTTCCAAGTCTGTTTTTCCGCGAGGGATTACTGTAACAAGGGCCTTGACTTTAAGCTACCGTATCTCGGTCAATTTTGATCGTATCGACCAGCCTCAAAAAGCATTCTACTGAGTTTAAATAGCTCTTCAAAAGATTAGTTGACACGTTTCCGCCATTTCTAGAAACCGGGTTACTGTAACATCGTAAACATAAAAAGTACTGTAACTTTTGAACGAGTAGAGATACGAAGACGGGACCTGGCTCAATCGTTCGGAAATCAAAAACTCGATCGGGACACATGTAAAAATCTTGATATTTTTCTAAAATACGACCTGGCCGAATTTAATTCTGGCCAAATTTTCCATTAATTATTTCACCCCGAAAAAGTCAAAACTTTTGGGTAAAAAACCCAAAATATGACGGCCCTCTAATTGTACTACAACGTGGTATAATTTTTTTCCGAGGGATTGAACCTCCGGGGACTTCAGATTGCCAGACTTCCGCGTTACCCACTGCGCCATGGGTGGCTCTCTCGGAAACAAAAAGGGCTCGAGCGCGGGGGCCTCCGCACTGTGCAAAAACACTTTTGAAAGGGTGCACTGTGCGGATTTTTGCTTTGTCGCGCAGCGACAAAGCCAAAGTTGGGATTCGCACTGTGCAAATTGAGAAAAAGCCGAGCTCACAGGGCACGGCAACCCAGGGAGTCTCCCGCCTCGTTTCGGCACTTCGCCCGCCTAGTATCGGTTGAATTCAAACGAAATGTCAAAAATGAATTTTTCGTGTGGTTTTCCGACCGAAAAATATTTTTCTCGGAATTATTTTATTTCTTTTGTGAATTTTGACACTTCGTTTGGACGAAATTCAAAAGTGGGCGGGAGACATTTTTGTTCTATTTTGGGTTGCCGTGCAGGGTAAAGTGCAGAGTGCACTGTGCGTCTGGGGGGAAAGTGGGAAAATCAAAAGGGGGGTGCCTGGGAAAACGTTCGGAGGGTGTTTTTCGCACTGTGCAAAATGAAAAAAAGCCTACGAACGTAAGCTTTTTTGTTGATTGCACTGTGCAAATTTTTCCAAATTTCAGGTTTCGAAGGGGAGTGTCTGCAAAATATTTTGCGACACTCCGCCAACAAATTTTGCACGGTGCAAGTGGGAAAAGGCTTCGTTTGGCAAGATTGCACTGTGCAAACCGTGTCGCAACGTGGAAAAAGGGGCGTGGCAAAAGTTGAGTTTGCATTTTCGTGAGAGAGCAAAAATTTCTCTAGCTTTCTCGTCGATTTGGGGTCCCAGTATTTTTCCGAGGGCGATTTCGGTTGGGTTCGCGTGGGTTCGAAATTTTTGTATTTTTTCCGGGTTTTCGCGAGTGCACTGTGCGGTGAGAAGGTTCACTGTGAGTTTATAAGGTGCACTGCGCGGTGCTTAGCGCATAGGCTTAGGCTTAGTTTGCTTAGCCGCTTAGGCTTAGCTCAGGCTTAGTTTGCTTAGCCGCTTAGGCTGCTTAGGCTTAGCTGCTTAGGCTAATTCGGTGGCGCTTTGCGCGCACACCCGCGTTGGGAATGTAGGCTGACGAGTCGCGTAGCGACGTAGTCAGGCTACATCCCAACGCAGCTTGTCACCCATACTGAACTGCAAATGAAACATAAAGAAAATCCCAGCGCTTCAACAACATCTCCCATCGGAATTTAGGGAATAAACTCACCTCCTCGGCACTCCCATTGGGCGCAAAAACCGCGACCAACAGCGGAATCAACAGGACCACGATGCTGAATATGAACATGTTCAAGGACATGAGGAAGTGGACGAATCTGCCGGAAATCTAAAGCACAAGCTCCTCGATTCTCGCATTCCCTTACCAACTGACAGCTCTTCGTGACGCCAACCGCATTCAAGCCGCTGAAGACGACGGCGGCGGTGAAGAAGACCTGCGACAGGACCTGCTGCGAGGGCGGCAAAAACGCCAACGCGAAGAAGCACGCCGCCATCGAGTATTGGGAAATGGAGGAAAACAGGATGACCCGGGTTTTGTCGCTGACGTACGGCACACTGTCGCTGCAAGGGCCGAGCATGAACTTGACAATCATGGACAGAATAAAGGGCAGGGCGGCTGCGAGTCCTGTGTCCTTCACGTCAAAGCCTTGAACCTGAAAAATTGTTGGTTGGGGAGAAAGAGAACACTCATCTTGTCTACAAGCAGATTTTTAGGTACGCTTTGCGCAAAAAAATAAGATTTTTTGTGCAAGCTTTGACTTGAATTCGACTAGATTTGAGAAAAGTGCAAAAGTTTCTGCTTTATTTCACACTCTTCGTGCTTGGCGAACACCGTGAATTGTACTCGTCGCCGGGCAGTCAGTGGCGCCAATAATTTTGGACACAAATTGTCGGGAAAATAATGCGCACAGCTGCGTCAATCGCGCCGCCGAAGTGAAAAGCAGTTTGATTTTGCCGCGACACAATTCCTTTTTTCTCGACCTCGATGCGATTTTTCGATGCCACAGAGAGGCTCATTATTTTCCCGACAGACTGACACTTGCCTGATTCAAATAAACCGGCCCATACTGGAAGAAGAATTGAAAGCCCACAGTCGCTCCAAACAACGAGCAAAGCACTCCAATGACCGGTCGATCGGTCAGAATCGCCTTGTACGGCGTTTTGTCGACCTCATTCTCCTCCAGCACCCGCACAACCTTGTTCTTCTGCAGTGTTGTGAGCTCCTTTTCGCTGACATTCCGATGAACCGAGGGGCTGTCCTCATAAAAGAACCAGAAAACAACAAAACACGCAACAGTAATTGCTCCTTGAAGATAGTAGAGAGCCGGCCAACTCAGCGAACTCGCGCACAGCGCGCCCGCCACCGGCATGGTGAAGATCTGCGAGAGCTGAAGATGGCAGGAGACGATGGCTATGAAGGTGCCCGACTTTTTCAGCGTCGCCCATTCAGCGATTACTGAGCCCATCGCGGGGAAAGAGGTGGCCACAGCAGAGCCCTGAAAAGAAAGATGAAAAAATGATGACTAATGTCATGAGCAATAAAATTACCTGCAGAAATCGGAGAAATAGCACTGGATAGAAGCCCAAAGACACAACAGCTGGCAGAAGTAGCGTTGAGATGGCAGAGATGGCGCCATAAATTGTAAATAGCCGTCTGAAAGTGGGAAAATTCATAAGGGAAATCTCGAAAAGCCAAGATCGTGTTTCCCTCAAATTTTGCGTACAGAGTGTGCTTACTTCATTCCAAATCGATTTGTGAAGACAGTCAGTGGTATTGTCCCCACCAACGTGCCGATGGCGATGGCCGAGAACAGCCAGCTTTGCTGCAGCTCGCTGTACAACAACGGCGGATGACCGGTCTTGTCGAGGTCTGGAAAGAGGAAAAATTTGAAGTTATATGCTGGTTACAAGCAGTTTGCTTCATATAAATATTAGCATCAGTCTGTCGGGAAAATAATGATCACTCTCTCGCACAGTGCGAAAACCAAAAAAAAAGTGAAATGCACGGTGCAAAACAGGGTTTTTTGTGCACGGTGAGGGTCACGACAAATGTCCATGCATTTTATGAAAATAACATCAGTCTGTCGGGAAAATAGTGGGCACTCTGTGAAGAAAATCAAATTTCTTTTCACTTCAGCGACGCGATCGGCACAGCGACATTACAATGCATTCTGCTCATTATTTTCCAGACAGACTCTTAAAAAAACCAAAGGCTCGACTTACCAGTCGAATTCCACGTCCCATCATCCTCTTTGAACATGCAAATGACAGTGAAATTCAACGCCAGCGAGTTGCTCAGAATGCAGGTCAAGCACAGGGTTGTGAGAATGATGACCAACAGACGGGTCTTATGGGCGAATACCACATTGGATTTGGCGACCTTTGAAGCCTTATCGGAGACCTTCAGGGCGCCTCTTTCGTCCAGAATCGAAATCGGATCGATTTTGGGTGTTATCATGGCCTAACGTTGAGATTGAGCAGTCTGAAAGTGTATTTTTATCCACCTGTGGTCCAAATGATTACATCAAAGAAATTCTTGGCAGAGACATTTTATACGATGAAACATGTTTGATCGTATAAAATGTCTCCATGCCAGAAATTTTTATAAAAACAATGTCGGTAAAAAATCTTCTTTTTTGCCGTAAATTTTGGGTCTTTTTATGTTACGATAATTCGGGGGAAACTAACGTTAGTAATAGCTAAAAGTTAGAAAAAGTGGTCGTATTGCAAGTCTCCGCCGAGCCTTCGCCGAGCCTTCGCCGAGTGTTCCCGGAGAATCCAATAGCTTTTCCAGGACTCTTAGGCACTTCCTACAAGCTTGTTTTGGGTATACACCGGCTCTACGCCCCTTTTTGACCGATTTTGCGTTGACCCGACCTGTCGTAGGCCTGAAAAGACGGGACGCGAAAAAGTTTTGTTTCCCGGGATCCCAAAGATAAAATGCCTTTAAATTTTTGTTAAACACGAGCTAAAATATTCAGGAATTGAATATTTTAGTAATATTGCCTATGTCCGCATGTGAAATAAAGTAATGTATATTAACTTGTGGTAAGTTTCATAAAATTTGGAGTGTTATTGTTAGAGCATTTCACCTGTAAAATAAAAAAATTCAAAAGTCAAAAATAATAAAATAATAATAATTTTTCTTGAATATTTAAGGCATTTTTTGTGATTTTTTGCGGTAAAAATCGGAAAAATTTTTAACTCTCTAAACGTGAAAAAAGATCCTTGAAGATCGCAGAGCTCCGAAAAAACTCGACTTCCAACGAGGATTACAACGAACCTCATGGTCTAAACAAGCATTATGTACTGTTTGAGCTGCCCTAATTTGCATAATCCGGCAAGTTCCTCGCATTCATTTCGCGTCCCCACGTTTATAATAGGGTGTTTGTGCAACAGGCGAAAAGTGTAGCGACCCTATGACGTCATATTTAGGGAATGGCGGATTTTTTTGCGGAAAGACACGAGCTTTTTTCAAATAGTTTGTGTTATTCGGAGAAGTGGAATCCAACCGTCAAACTTTTCATTTTTAAACCTCGAGGCAACATGCATTCCAACTACAAAGTAGATACTATCTGCCTGTCGGGAAAATAATGTGGGTTCGTCTCGCTTTGAAATCTCCATTTAATGTTTTGCGAAGGCTAGCTGGAGATTTGGTGCGCAACTGCGGCAAGGCGAGATATTTTGCTGCGGCAAACCCACATTATTTTTCCGACGGAATGATACACCATAAATTTAATAAATAATGCATATATATTTTTTTCTGCTATAAACTGGAGATACATAAATTTTTCTTCTGAAAAAATTATAGATGATTAAATTACAGTACCCAAGTACGACGCTCAAATTTTAGTGACTTTACACAGACACCCCCTTTCTTGGGGGGTTTCGATATGAGTGATGTTGAAAAAGAGGAGGAAAGTGCCAACACATGCAATTTTTTCGACATTTTCTTAAAGACTATATCAAGAAACCCCCAAAAAATCCGACATTTCCTGGTGATTCTCAACCGAAAGGGTCCGAAATTTGTCGATCATTTTCAACCGAAAAAACTTGGTTTTTGGGGTGGAGATGCCTCCACTTCAGAAAGTCGTAGCGACCTCAGTTTGCACTTTAAGAGCTTGCTACTTCGTAGACACAAACTAATGTCTTTTAAAAATACATATTTCAAGTACGAAGTCTCTGCGCCGCCTCCGCCGGAAGTTATAGCCTTCGTCTTTCCTTCACGTTTTTTGTAAGCCCTGTAGAATAATTTTTCTAACCAAAGATTTATCCAATTCTCTAACTCGTGCTTTGCAAGAGTCACGGAGATTTTTGAGGGGAAAGTTGCCAAAAATATGACACTTTCTCGAGAATTGTAGCATGAAAATTTCGTTACCTATTGCTACCGTGGAATCAGCCTCTAACGGGTATTCCAGGCCTTGTAGACACTTGTATAGCGTCAGCTAGCCTCTTGAGAAATGGATAAACGGTTTTCATGCCTAATTCTACCGTTAGTGTATAGTGTTTCCCCAAGAAATCAATTTTTACCAGACGAAACTGAGAAAGATACGGCCAAAAAGCGTTCTTCTCTCTGACCGCTCTCCGCATTTCCTGTGCTCCATCAGCCACAAAAATCGTTCAATACATCGAGCAAAGCGCGAGCTAAGAATTTATGGAATTGGTATGTCTGCTCGAAGAGTGTACAAAATTTCGAGGAAGTCTGAGCATGACATGGGGTACTTTTCATGCATGGCGAAGAACTGGATGATCAAAAAAAACTTGCCTTTTTCTGCTGTGCAATTCTTTTTCGACTTCGTACCAGTTGTACCATTCTGTGGGCAAAATAATTAGCACTCTGTCGCATTGAAAATCCCATCGCGGGGGTGAAAAGTTGTGTCGCGACAAAATTAAACTGTTTTTTCCTTCAACGACGGCTCAATGACAATGTGCTCGTTATTTTCCCGACAGACAGATACTTTGTGATTCATTTTCGGCCTTTCTGATCGCTGGGCATTCTCAGCTGTTGCCCTTTTCCACAAACCCCACATATATACACTTTTCGACATGTTCGATATGATGGGATCAGAGTAGACGTTCTATAGCCTGAACATGCCTCTCAAGCTGATCATTGTACGGGCTACGGCTGTGTGCATAAAAGTAAACCAAAAACAACCGACGCCGCGGCTGTGCAAACGGTCTTTAAGCCCGAAACGTTTACGCAAATAGGACGGAACGCTGTATTTAAGCCCGTTGAACCCTGTGGGATATATCGAATCTTCGAAATGAAGCTTGTGGTAGCCTTGGCGTTGTTTGGGTTGGCCAGTACGGTGGCTGGAGATGCTGTCGCCACAACTACCGGATATTGGTAAGGAGAGGGGCTCAAGACTTTTATAGCTGGGCCTGGAAGGTTTATTGGACACAACGACTTTCCGGGTCACTATGGATTGCGTTGGTGCGACGTTGCATGCACGGAAGAGGCTAGGAGAAGGTTTTTTTAGTAGAAATAGATAATAAGATTACTCGGGTCCTAAGGTAGCCATAAAAAACGTATATGTTTTGGGGTATTTTACATGTACTCAAATCAATATTATCTAGAGAAAAGTTACAGATCTTCGTTTCTTGCCCTAAGTTTTGGTCTTTTATATTTTACGATCACTCGGGATAACGAAAACTAACGTTAGTAATAGCTAAAATTAGAAAAAATGGGCATATAAGTCTCCGCCGAGCATCCGTCGACAATCCAACCCACCAGGCACTTTAAAAAAATACTATTATAGTAAATAAATCTTTTCAGTTTCGGCTAGCCACTCTTTAATTTCTTTCTCCTCAAGTTTAAAAATCCCTTAATCCCACCTCCCTTCAATTCCAGGGACTGCTGCAAGCCCTCGTGCGCGTGGCCAGGAAAGACCAAGCTGAAGACCCGCCCGTCCCTGGCCTGCGACATCAACGACAAGCCGCTGGAGGACGCGAACGCCTGGTCCGGCTGCGGCGACAAGGGCGTCGCGTACATGTGCTCCCACGAGCAGCCCGTCGCCGTCAACGACACCCTGTCCTACGGATTTGCGGCCGTGAAGATTGCCGGACAAGACGAGAGCGGATGGTGCTGTGCTTGCTATGAGCTGACCTTCACCGAGGGCCCGATTAAGGGAAAGAAATTCGTGGTTCAAGTGAGTTTGGGGGCTTGGAAAATTTGGGGATTTCTTGGTGGGTGATTTTTGAATTTTTTTAAAATTCTGGCTAGAACATTCCTATGGGCTGAAAATACATTGCTCAAAATTTTAGCCTTTACTCTCAAATTACAGCCGAGATATTCGACAATATTCGAAAAAGTTAAACTTGCCCCTTTTCAGGCGACCAACACCGGCGGCGATCTCCAAGACAACCACTTCGACATGGCGATTCCCGGCTGCGGTGTGGGCTACCTGAACGGCTGCACCGCCCAGTACAACGCACCGAAGGACGGCTGGGGCAAGCGTTACGGCGGCATCAGCCAGGAGAGCGAATGCAGCCAGCTGCCAGCCAAACTGCAGCCCGGCTGCAAGTGGCGCTGGGACTGGTATCTGGGAGCGCAGATCCCGCACGTCACCTTCAAGCGCGTCAAGTGCCCCAAGGAGATCACGGACAAGAGTCAGTGCATTCGCGAGGATGACGACTCCTTCACCGCCTAAATCGCGAGTTTTTTTGGGAATTCAGTCAAGACGAGAGGAATTTGATTTGCTCAATTGTTGATCCATTTATTTATTTCCTTTTTAGCCAAGTAAAATGCGCGCTGATCATTTTTTGGGCGATTTTTTGGTAGATTTTTTTGGTCGATTTTTTGGTCGATTTTTTTGGGCGATTTTTTTGGTCGATTTTTTGGGCGATTTTTTGGTCGATTTTTTGGTAGATTTTTGGGCGATTTTTTTGGTCGATTTTTTTGGCCGATTTTTTTGGGCGATTTTTTTGGTCGATTTTTTTGGTCGATTTTTTGGTAATTTTTTTGAGCGATTTTTCGGTCGCTTTTGTTGGACGATTTTTTTGGTCGATTTTTCGACCAGATTTACAATCAAACCTGTTGGAAATCGGGAGTAACATTTTTAAGATATTTGCCAAAAATTTCAATTACGAAGACTGATACATAATGCTTATGTAATTTGTACAGTGGCGGACCTGATCCAGTGTCAGAAAATGTACTATTTGGGATCCGGGAAGTATCAAAAAATGTGGCAAAATACCTCTCTCTCCAAGTGAAAAAACTCGGATTTGAAAATCGCGCCCACTCGTGTTGTAAGGGAAAGGGCGCGCCTTTCAAAACAGACTTTTTTTTTAGTTAGAAGGGGAGACATTTTGCCATATTTTTTATACATACTGCTTGAATGCAAAATGGTACATTTTTTGCCACTGGATGTATATGAAGTTGGGCCAGGTGACTGTACAAACTACATGTGTATTAACCCGAACATGACATCATTCAAAAATACCTTTAATAAGTACCACGAACAAGATGCAAAATGTAGTACGAAAGGCAACAAAAGTTCAACTTTTTGTTACTCAGTTTACCAGCAGTTTTGTAGTCAGAGGTTCCCACGCGCATGTGTATTATTAAACTTCCACTCTGAATGCTTACATTATACCGAAAAGCCATTCATTTGACCCTTCGAGAATGCCCGAAAATTGCGTAAACTATACGAATCGCGATGTGTTCCAAACGGTCTCTGTGCTGGCTGTTGTTGCGAATGGCTTGTTGTATCGATTGATACGGAAACACACTCCGTTTGTGATGAGTGGATACAAGAAGGTGCTGTACACGTCCTGCATTTTCGATGGGCTAGCGGCGATCTCGCACTTCTCCATATTGTTGGTATGTTTTTTGGTGAGCAAACATGACCTCATCGCTTGGAATTTCTGGATTATGACCCAGGATTGAAATCTTCCAAAGTGTAGCCAAACTTCAACTTTTATGTCACCTGAAGTCCATAAATCGGTTAAAATTTTTTGATTTTTCAACGGTTTTATTGCCGTTTGTCCAGAAAATAGGCTAACAATAAATCGAAAAATAAGGGCCAAATCTTATAAAATGTGGCCATGTTTTTTTGATTTAGCCATATCTTTTGTGACTTAACCGAATTTGGCTGCCATGGTCAAATTCTTTAGATTTGGGCTTGTTTTACAAGACTTGGCCATATTTTCAAAAAAGTTATCAGATTTGTCACGTGGGCCGCATTTTTTCAATTTCGCCGAGATTTATAAGAGCTGTTCTGCGATTTGTTCATATTTGGCCACAACTTCAACGTTTCTTCGTCTAGGTCTAAAATTTTCGATTTAGTCACGCTTTACAAGATTTGGCCATAATTTTTATGAATTGATCAAATTTGGCCACATTGGCCATATTTTTTGCGATTTGGCCGAGTTTTTCAAGATTTAGCTACATTTTTTAAATCTTGCCAAGTTTGGCCAAAATTTACAAGTTTTTTGTCTAGGCCAATATTTTTCGACTTGAACGGATTTGGCCATATTTTTTATGAGTTGACCAAATTTGGCCACAATTTACAATTTTTTTTCTGTCTAGGCCAAAATTTATAATACCTGTCCATATTTAAAAATTTTGCCAAATTTGGCCATTGGTTCCCAATTTTTTCGTTTTAGCCACAATTTGCAAGACTGGGCCATATTTCGAAATTCTTAGTAATTTTTTGTGTGCCGGGGTCGGCTTGGTCCATTCTGAATCGCCATCGATGAAATCGTTATCGTTTCTATTTTCTTCAGCGTCCATCAATGGAGCAGGACGTTGCGGTAGCAAACTTTGACGGACCATTGCCTCACTTCATCGACTCCATGGGCCTCTTACAAGACGGTCGGCTTGCGTATCTTATGATTGTCGAGATGGCCTTTCAATTCAATACTTTGGTCTATTCTTTTGTTCCGTTTACCTACAGATACTTTCATATTGTCCGGTATGTTTATAAATACAAGCTCAAAATTCATACTTTTAGGAATGTTCGTTTCACAAACCTAAAATTTGCATGTTTATGTGTTGGCTATGTGGCGCCGACAATTTTGTTGGCCACAGTTCATCCACTTCTTGCCAAAGAGACCTACGAACACATGGTGTTGTATTTGGGGCCGGCGACGGGCGGGTGTCTTCGGCGAATCCCCTTTTATGACAGCAGGGTGTTTTACGAACAGGTCAGCCTTTTTATGTTGTTTTATTTTATCTTGAAGCTATTTGACGGCAATTCGAAATGGAGGAAAAATACTTCAGTGCTACTTTAAAGTTTCGTTTAGACCGATTGGTTGTCATTCTCTGTAGAATCATGGTTGATTCATAGACGGTTTGACCTCAAACCCTCTATGAAAATGCCGCGCAAACTGACAGCTGCTTGGCAACACACGGCATCCCTTTTGCGGGTGAAACTTTTCTTGCGAAGCTCTATGCCTAAGGAAAGATAAGCCTAAGCAAGCCTAACAAGCATAAACCTAAGCCAATCTATGCAAGGTTAACAAGGGAAGTACCCCAAGTGTGACGCTCAGATTTCGATAAAGTCTGGTACAAATTTAGAACTATGCAAGACCTTCTCAACGATCGCACATGTGGGCTCTCCCTCGCTGACCGCTTTTTTTTCGTTGCAGGCTGTTTTTTATTTTTTTGTTGGGTTCGTTTCGCTATTGACTTTCAATTTGGAAAAAAAAAATTTTTTTCGTATAACATGTCACACCTTATCTTTTTCAATTTTCAAAAAAGAACTCATCGTATAACATGTCACATCTTCTCTTTTTCGATTTTCAAGTAATTTTTCACCGTATAACATGTCACATTTTTGTTATTTTCAAAAAAGAATTCATCGTATAACATGTCACACCTTATCTTTTTCAATTTTCAAAATGAGGGGGAGGTTCAAAAACGGAGGAGAATTCGGAAGGGGGAGAGTTCGGATTGGGGAAGAGTTCAAAAAGGGGGGAGTTCAAAAAGGGGGAGAGTTCGGTAGACCAATGGGGGCACCTGATTGTCGTAGACCACTGGGGAAACTTGACCACGGAAATTCGGTCTTCCACGAATGAATTCCGAACCAACCAAGGGTGTCCCCTTACCACTGAAAGAAAAATAAACTTTCTGTGAGAAAAGAAAACGAATCATCGATATCGAACTAGCAAGCAGACTGCTCTATTTGCCGTTGACCACTTACCAGATTACCAACTTTCAGCCATATGTTCTCATTTCGTACTGGGCTTTGCACGGAATGTGGTTCGTGATGTTGTTTCCGCTGATCTCGCTCTTCTGCGCATTTCAAGTGTATCGAAAGCTAAATCAGGATGTTCAACGGGCAACGGCGTTGAAGAATTTGCAACGGCAAATCACAATTGTTCTCACGGTGCAGGTAAAATCCTTCTCATTATTCTTGCAATTTTACCATGGGGTGTTTGAATAATCGTCCGTTCCAGACCGCCGTTCCTTTCGTGTCCGTGGCGCTTCCCGTCGCCTACGTCATCTACCATCTGACCACACAAGGACACTCCGAGTCCGAAAAGAACTTCGCGCTGCGCCTGTTCTTTGGGTCGTTGGCGGTGGTGCCGTTGAGCAACGCGACGTGCATCATCCTCTTCGTCAAGGAGTACCGGATCGCCGTCCTTCGAGGGCTGCGATTGTACGAAGACAGACGGTTGGTTAGCACGACCATAAGTTCGTTGGTTGCGTCTTCGAAAGTGTTCACGACAGTCGCATAAACGGGGAATGGGGAATATTCTTTTATTTACATGTACGTCACATTCGCTGATGATTGGTTTTTTACACGACGGAATAGATGCTTCTTGCGGGCAGCCGACCTTTTCCGGTTAGAATTACGATTTTCCTCCCGCAATCTACTGCTGCATTAACAACTCCCTGGGACCGACAAGTACAAAAACTTCGCCACATCTAACAGCCATATCCATCGTTTGAATTCCTTGTTGTAAGCGAATGTAGGCTGATTTCCAAACACTTCTTTACGGCAATTTATCAATAAATAACAACAACAAACAGAGCCTCTATATGCTTCTAGTGGGACTAATTCCCATTCTACTTTGCTTTGGCTTATTGCTATGCGCTTCGTCGAACTGCAGCTCAAGCTGGTTGAAGTACAACTTGGTCGCAATCGCGTTGCTGTAGGCGGTCTCGCACAACTCCCGCTGCTTGCCGAAGGCCTCCAATCGATTGCAGTAGACGAGCATGGACACGGTGCAGGAGAGGATGGCGAACTGAAAAAGCACTCGACTTTCAAGGGAATGTGGTTGAAGAGGGATGCTCAGATTTTGATGAAACTTGGCACAAATTTAAGGTCGTCCAGAAAGTTTGTTCGTTTTTTTCATTTCTTTGTTTTACAAGGATTGTTTGTTATTTGGCAAATGGAATGTATAGTTATAAAAAACAAATATATACCATTTGCCAAACAACAAACGATCCTCGTAAAACAAAGCAATGAAAAAAAAACGAACGAACTTTCTGGACGACCTAATAGAAACAGTCTTCTCAAGATGTATGCTGAGATATTTCTTGACAAGACTTTTTAGTATCTCGCTTTTCCAGGCCTACTTACGTTATGAATAGATATCACCAACGACCGAGAGAACACCTTGTCCTCGTTGATGGCCTGCAAGTTCTTGGCGATGAACGAGCAGAGCAGATAGAGCACGTACAAGGCGGAGTGCGCACAGGCGACGGGGAAGACCAGTCGGCTGGTGAAGTAGTTCTCGCGGATTTGATACGAACGCGAGAGGGAGTAACGGTCGAATATTCTGAAATGCCTTGTTATTACCGCAATTTTGAGAAGAAATTGACGGCTTTATTTTTTTGTCACTTTTGGCATTGTTTTGCTATACAGGGCGTAAAAGAATTTCTTTTAGATACTTGCACATTATGTAGTTTAGAAGGGAAGTCTTCCAAGTGTGGCGCTCAGATTTCGTTATAATTTTCTATGGGGGTTCTGGGATGGTCACAGGTTAATACCGAAAACGTTTTAGCCTGCACGCCAAGAAAAAGTGAAAAAACAATGAACCTCGGATCAATGATTTTTGACGAAATGTCACCGAATTATCGGGTCACAAAAGAAAACTTTCCCAGTGAAAAAGCTCTTTTTCGAGAAAAATGTTTTTTCGACGACAGAAATAATTTTTCGAACTCGATAATTCTGTGGCACTTCGCAAAAAATCAATGATCCGAGATTCATTGTTTTTTCAATTTTCTGAAAGATTTTTTTTTGGCGTGGCCTGCGCTTTTCAGCTGCGGTCGAGATATTCTGCGGTCTTGAGAGAGCACGTAAAAGGAGAGTAGGAGAGATAAGAGACGGGTTTTTGCCTGTAACTTTTCCGCTTCTGCACTAAAAATTTTTATTTTTTGTGTAAATATTATACGCCTCATCTGTAGCTGATCCTGAAAATTTTAGACCGCAAATCAAAAAAAAAATTGTAACTTTTTTTCCAATTTCCGATAAAAAATTCTGGAAACCGCTAGCTAGGATTCGCACATCTCTTACTGTAAAAAGCCCAATATTTCTGTAAAATCTGACTTTATTCCCTGCGAAATTCGCAAAGACATCTCCCCCGCTCTCCACATTTCACGTTCTCTCTCGGCCGCAAACATCGTTGAATATCTCAGTTTCCACTGCAAGCCGGGAACTAAGATGTTCAAAGGTTATGTTGCAAACCATTTCAAAGGCAACTGCAATATTTTAAGAGGAGACATTTTATACGATCAAACATTTTTTGTCGTATAACATGTCACCTACACTCACAATTGTGGATGTGAAAAGCTGGCTTTCTAGTAGTAGCGAAAAATCAAATTCTGCTACAAAAACTTCGTTCGGAGAGATTTTATACGACCAAACATGTTTCATCGTATAAAATGTCTCGACTGCTCCTGGAAAGCGCGAGTTGCCCCAGACATCATTGTCTTTGGGGAGATCAGCAAAATTCTCCGCCCGAAACTTACATCTGCGCCGATTTCTTGTTGAAATACTGTAACATGAGGTCCGAAAACGTCGTAATCATCTCGATCCCAAACAACACCATCGAAACATAGGCTGCTTTGGGCTGATCTTTCATTATTTGACTGTCACAATAAGGCATTCGATAGGTGAAACTGGGCGGTTTGCACAACTCGTAATTGATGAGAATGGTGACTAGCCACTGAAAGGATTTAGTAGTCGAAAAGTGGCGCTCAGAATTTGATGAAATTTGACGTCTATGCGTATGACTTTTGGCTAGGCCAATTTTTAATTCTTGAAAATCTTAGCGCGCGCTTTCCAAGGACGACCGAGAAACTTGGAAATGTTTGCAAAGGGCAAACAAAACGCAGAGCGGTCGGAGAAAAGTACGTTTTGACTCTATCTTATGCGTAAAAGGCTGATTTTTTGGGAACATTTTTCTTCACGGTAGAAACTACGCATATCTATGAAACTTTTCATCACCAAAGTTTATCAAAAAGCGTCACATTTGTGCCATACGTGTGTACAATTACCGACTCCTATCTCTGCAAAATTTGCCCTGCTTTGAGGCCGTAAAATGGCACTTTATGAAAATACAGGGTGGGCCACTAAAACCTTTCGTCCTCTTTCTTTAGATTTTTCCGCGGAGACTCCGCCGATTTCCATGAAATTTAGATTTTTCTGGAGCTGAGATGCGCCATTTTCAACCGGTTGAATTTGAAAAAAAAATATCCTGAATTGACCTTTCTATGCAATTCCAAAGTTTTTGAAAATGATTTTCGAGCCAAAACCGCTAAAACTTAGAAAATTTTTGGAATGATTTTGAAAACTTGGTCATTTTTTCGGGTTTTTGGGGGAAATGTTACTCGTTTTGCCTCATATATAGAGGACGGAAGGTTTTAGTGGCCCACTTTGTACTAAACATTCAATAACTTACCGCCACAAGAACGGCCGTCATTCCGAAGCCCCGTCCCTTCCTCTCGTAGTCATCCTTGTACATTCGCGCCATAATTCGCTCGATACAAATGAAGAAATGTAGCATGGTAAGGGTTGTTGTGGTCCAAGTCAAGGGCCACTTGAGGAGTGCGCCCAGCCAGAACGGATAGACATTTGTGCAGTACTCGATGTAAACAAAGGCACGGATGAAAATGACCAGATTGGAGATCATGTTGGTCGAGGTTTGGATCAGAATTACTATGGCGAGATTGGTGATTATCACCTGAAAAATTTTATGGGGGTTTCTTGATCTTTGGTGCTAGGAGTTTTTGAGTCATCGACAGTTTGGGTTGACAATACTTTGAGCAGTCGCAATTTGTTGTTGTATGCATGGGGAGGCTAGCTGAAGGCTTAGCTAGTAGAAATAATAATAAGATTGACTGGGTTCTAAGACAGTTTATCACTTATCTTGAGGTATTTTGCGGGCATGATTACAATGATATCCGGATAAAATATTTCTTTGTTTTTTTGAAGTAACTTTTTGTCTTTTCTATGTTACAGTAGCTCAGGGTCAAGAAAACTAAAGCTAGCAAGCGCTAAAATTCGAAAAAGAGGTCATACTGGAAGTCTTCGGCTCCACCGATCTCCCGTTGAACCTTCGCCGAGCCTTTGCTGAGCCTTCGCCGAGCATCCGCCAAGCCCGTGACAAGTCTTCGCTGAGTCTCGAACGGCTTTTGCCAGGTTTTGTAGACACCTCTATAGCGCGAGCTAGCCTCTTGAGGAATTGATAAATGCCTTTGCCAAGCCTTCGCAAAGTTACCGCCAATCCTTCGCTGAGCCTTTGTAAAGTCTCTGCCGAGCACTCGACAAGTCTTTGCCGAGTCTCTAGCGATTTCGCCAGGCCTTCTGGACACCTCTATAGCGCGAGTAACCCCTCTAGAGGAATTGATAAATGGTTTTTCCTGCCTATTTCTACCGTAGAGGTAATGTTTCCACAAAAAATCAATGTTTTCCGCGCGAAACTGGCAAAAATACGGCCAAAAAGTGTTCTTTCTCTGACCGCTCTCCACGTTTTGCATACTCTTTCGGTGGCGAAGATCGTTGAATATCTCGACTGCCCGTGCAAAACACAAACTAAAATTTGCTGTAGCTTATATTAGGGTGTCCCATAAGTCTTGCAAATTTTTGGGTCGTCGATTTGTGTGAATTACTGTAAGCTTTGAGACGCATTACGGAGTATGTTGGATATACGGGTTTGAAGCTCAGGTAAAGCGTTTTCAAATGGTGTATGACAAGGCCACATAAGGTTCACCTGCTACCCACACTGCCCCGATATTGTACTAGACATTAAGAAAAATTTTGCTTGCTGATTTTAAAATGGATATATGCGTTGTAGAAATATGTGGTCTATGCCCAAAGTGTGTGCTAAATTTCACCAAAATCAGGACGTTGCACTTCGCAAAGCTCGCTGTCAACTATATGTATGACACATAACAACCTCTGTTACCTTAAAATTGGGATGAGCAGTCAATTTTTTCTTCCGCGCAAAGACGCTGATGAGCACGATGAATCCAATGAATGAGTTCAGAACAGTGACCAACTCCACGCCTCGACTGAACGCACTCTTGTTGTAGGCCTCGGTCAGCTCGCATAGCTCATCGCTCATCGCTCGGAGCTCCTGAAACAGGGGCGTTAAAGTGGATGGTGCCATTCGGACATTTTTAGCTTCGATTTTGCTAATGACTTGAGAAATAACGAAGCAACATTTAAGAACAATATATTCTTGGGATCCCCGAGGTCCCGTTTTTTGGGCCATGAATTTTTTTCTGATATTTTGATCATAGAGAGCAATCTTTCCACAAAAAAATGAACTCTTTCTGCCCGAAACTGGCAAAGATACGGATAAAGTGTTTTCTCTGACCGCTCTCCGCATTTTGCGTACTCTCTAGGGGTGCAAAACTCGTTAAATATCTCAAAGCGCAAGCTACAATTTTTATGAATTTATATGTGGCCTATGTCCGAAATATGTGACTTGTGCCAAGTTTCATGAAAATTCGAGTGTTACACTTTGAACATGTTTGTTGTATTGTTAATAAATTCATGAAACATGTGCATCTTGTCGGTTTTAAACTTTAAAAAAGTCTAATGTTTAGCTCGACAAAACAGTCGGAAACAAAGCGAATTGCAGGTGATATTCTTGAGAGATCAGAGATCTTTGAAACGTCATGTCTTTCATTGGAAGGCAAATTTAAAAGACCTCAAAAATTCCCATTGTTTACACCTTGTAACACCCCCAGACATTATAAAAATTAATTCAATTTCGTGGTGTTCAAGGTGACAAACGCAATTAATAGGCCATGTTACGATGTGCATATTGATTAAATCTTAGTCGGGAAATAGCTTCAACTTCGATTGGATTGACGTGATATTGCAATAAGAAACTGTATGGCCAAAAAAAGGCGATCCTGCGTGCCCAGAAATACAAGTTTTGTAAATTTTGGTACGTTTTTTTCCCAAGTTATTCGCAGAATAAACCCTCCCGGGTCGGTTGCATGCAGGAAGCGACAATTGGGGACACTAAAAACTACTCAAATAACTCGGCCCAACTTGCACATAAAACTATATAAAATGATATATATATTTTGCTTAAAACGGGCTAAAGATTTCACAGCAATACATTCACCGAAAATTACAGCAAATTGACTACTTAGAGCCTCATTTTTCAATTGCTCTTCCCCCTACAATCTAACGACAAGAACGCATCAACAACCTCTTACCTTTGCGGAGATTTCACTGAGTAAAAATCCGTCCATTCGGCGAATATATTCGAGTATTTGAAAGTGAAATGTGGCTTAGCGGAACATGCACTACAAATGTTAAACAGCAAGTTTCAGCGCAAGCCGCCGGTAGTTTGATAATGGCAAGTCAAACATAAGGCCTTAATATCGTCAGCCTACTCAAATAACTCGATTTTGGAAGCAAATGAATTATGAGTAAAGCGTACTCAAAGAACCCTTATAAAGCACCAAGTTAATCAATTTAATTTTAATTTTTAACAAGTAAAGTGGTTCAAGTGCGACGCTAAACTTTAATGAGAGAGACATGACATACAAGGGTAAGACTCCTTAGAATTTCTGTATGTTTTGCATACATATTAGAGATGGGCCAAGTAAGAGATTGGTGAAAAAAAGCGCTACGATTTTTCATAACTCCAAAAAATAAAAAAATGATGACTTTTTTGTAGAACCATTACTCACTACAGTAGAAATAGACATGAAATTTTACATGCCAAAATTCGAAAAAAGTGAATAATTGTGTGATTTTTTTCGAGCTGCGCCCTAGATTTTTCCGAAATTTTTTTTTTTAAAATTGAATTTTTTCTATTTTTTCTCCTTGAAAAATGAAAAAAATGAAATCAAAGAACCTAAAAAAAGCATTTTTCAACATTCGTTTCATAGCTCATTTCCAAATTCCCCCCGTTTCCCAAGATGGTCGGTCGTTTTCTGGTCGTTTCTTTTCTGTTCTCCTCGCTTATTTCCCTTTCATCTGCCGGTAATTCCACATCTCCGGAAGTCCCGAACCCACAAACCTCACCGGTCCCGGCGCCGGCCACAACTACCACACCGGCCACAACTCCCACAACTCGCAAGACAACCACGACTCGCCAGACAACCACAACTCCCACAACTCGCAGGATCCCCACAACTACCACTCCTCCCCCCAAGACGGGTTTGAAGAAATGCACCTCGGACGAGGACTGCAAAGAAAATGGGTACATTTGCATGAAAGACACCGGTCTCGCACGGTTTTGCATCCCAAGTGGGTTCTTTTTAATGCTTTTTATTATTTTTTTATTTTTTGGATTTTTTTGACGAAAAATAATTTTTTTTGGATGTTTTGGTGAAATAAAAGTTTTAAAAAAGCCAAAAAAAATTTCAAAAATGCTAAAAAAATTGGAAAAATATATATTTTTGAAATTTCTCTTTGAAAAGAAAAAAAATAAAAAAATAAAAAAAAAATAAAAAAATCCAAAAAAAAGGAAAATATCGTTTTTTTTGTATTTTTTTGAATTTTTAACGGAAATACAAAATTTAAAAAATAAAAAAAAACAATTTCTATTTATTTTACAATTTTTTCAGAGATCCCTTGCCAAACGCATAAAGACTGCCCCTCGTTAAACTGCAAGACCAACCACTGCTACCCATGTAAGTTTCAAAGCCGCTATGCAGGAAATTAGACTTCTATTTAGCGTGCTCGAAGTGCACGGTTTTCCATTACCAGGGCGCAGCTCGCCTTGGAAAAGCCTTCAATCTCCGGGTTGATTTTTCAATCATAATTGAAAAATCAATCATAATTCTCAGGAAAATAAAAAGTGCGCGACTTGCGGTCGATATTTTGTACGAAGAAAAAAGTTGGGAAAAAGTTCCTTATTTTGGCCACGACAAAGATACTCCGCGAACTGCGCCCAAGCTTGGGCACTAAAGTTAGGAAAAAACGCTTCGACCTTTCTGGAACTGAATTACTATAATAGCTCTATAGTTTTAAGGGTACCTACGAAGGCTATGACGACACATTTAGCTCCATACGGACGCAATAAGTTTAGTTCCGGACATGTTTCGTCGTATAAAGTGTAAAATCACAGGCTGCAGCCATTTTTGAAGGGTAAGGTGCTACGTAAAAAAGAAGGTACCTCGCTAAGTAAATCCACTGTCCGGGCATTCACAACGATGAATTGAGCCTGCACGCTAAATTTGGGCTAATTCCTTATATTATAACTTCCGCAAAGTTATAATATAAGTTGTGGCCAAAATAAGGAACTTTTACCGCACTTAGGCTTATATTTACGTGGTCGCAACACAATGTCTTCCTTTCTCTTGGCGCAGCTTGCATTGATTTCTTTCGGTGTTGCCAATTAATCCAGGAAAAGCACAAAGAAATTTCTTTTGTTTTTACGATTTTTCTCCTTTTTCAGTGCGTGAATTCTGCCTTTTGGCCCCAGAACCGAATCCGTGCGCGGGCAGAAAGAAGTGTCAACGATCCGCTGTTGTCAATGACATTGGAGAATGCGTTACCACAGATTGAGTACGGAAAGGTCCGCTGCGGAAAGGTCCGCTAAAAAAAGGACAGAGGAGAGCGGGGAGGAGGGAAGGGGGAGGTTTTCGATGGCGCTGATTTCGAAAATCATATCGATTTTTTCCGAATTTTACAATTTTGCTTAAGCAGTAGTGTCATTTTCGTTGTAAAGACGAAAAAAGAGTCATAAGTTTTCTTACAACATCATACAAGTTGTTTTTACCAATTTTTACCAATTAAAACATTTATTTTAAAGAAATGAGAAAGATGGGCAAAAATTCAGAAATGGATACAATTTTCAAAATCAGCACCACCGAAAACCCCGAAATCCATTATTCAAAAAAAAAAATTTTTTTTGGTACAATTTCCTTTTTCTGGCCCCGCCGAAAAGCAAGAATTTCCGGTTCGCGCCCACAACTTTTGCTAACTGCGAAACACGGTTTCGCACCTTTGCTCGTAGGAATTTCAGGCTTAGGCTTAGCCTCAGGCTTAGGTTTAGGCAGGTTAGGCTTAGTCTTAGGCTTAGGCTTAGTTTAGCGCTTAGGCTGTTTCCTACTTTTATTCGCAGCCTGCAGAGAAACTGAGGCGCAAGCTGCGAAGCGCGGGGCCAGAAAAATTATAGTTTTCCTTCTTTTTAATTACTATTATAATTTACACTACTGCTTAAGAAAAATTGTAAAATTCAGAAAAAATGGATACGATATTCGAAATCATCGCCATCAAAAACCTCTCCCCTCTCCCCTCTCCCCGCCCTTTTTTCTTTTTTTAGCGGACCTTTCCGTCCTTCGTGGTTACTCTAATGTATAATTTTTTTTAGAAATATTTTGATGAATAAATGTGCGTGATGACTCTTCGGATTTTTTATTTTATTTTATATTTTTGCAATAAACTTTGGACAGCATTGATGTCCGATTCCACCTTCGGATAGAAAAGAAATTCAACGATCTGGCTAGTGGTCTTGCGGTGGTTTCCTCTGTCGATTACCTTGCACAACTTATTCTACCTGAAATTGCTCGGCCTCCCAGGTGGAAGGTTGCGTATGTGGATGTCGGGTAATCGAAAGATATCGTTCCCCTGTAATATGGACACGAGAATAGAGAATGACCAACACGAATAAATGATTTATCAATAAAAGTAAACAATACAATAAAATAAGCAATACAACACAACTCTACAACAACAAAACTACTACACTTCACAACTACACTTCACAACACGCTCGACAACACTACAACTACACTCCACAACAACGCCAACAACACAACTACCAAGTGAAGATGGGATAAAACCTCGGAGAAGGTTACGGTGTCGTGATTCAGGCTCTCCGCTTCGGGATCTCTCCACCAAACATTCTCGAACATCGGGGAAAAACAACTGGGGAAACAGTTGACACAGGGACACCTCTCTCTCTCCATAAATTCCATCAAGTTGACACATCGCGGATAACTCCAGGTTCCGTGGAATCTGACAATTGATCATAGCACAAAATCAAGAAGTGTGCGCAAAATTTAGGAAGATCTGAGCGCCGTATTGGCCACTTTCCTTGTTATAATCTCTTCCAGCTTATGTCCAAATGATCGTCAGCTCTTTCTGATAAACAAATGTGTTATAAACCTTGATTTTTCCTATTATATCGCCATCAATTGTTTTGAAAATGATTTGTTTTGGCCTCTATTTCTCGATGCTTTTCATAATTCCCCTCATAAACGCGTGTGAGCGAAGTTCTCCGGCTTATAAAGAGAGTTCAGTGTAAGGAAAGTGATCATTTTACCTTGAATTTCGCTCGTATTTCAGTCACGACAGCATTGCCAACTGCAAAGAACAAGAAGAGTAAGTTATATCGGAACGTCTCTAGGTTATTTCACCCTAACTTTTCCAGTCCATTCCAATGCGTGGCCGACCTAAATGTGCGCCCAGCCAACTTGCTGATGAACTTTGGGCATGCTGTCGGGTTCCTGGACAAGTACGGCCACTCGAATGACATCAGTCACGAAGCGCGGGCCTTGTACGACAACTGCACGAAAAGCCTGATCCATCAGATGCCGCATCATTTTAGAGTGAAGGTAATGAACGCTCATTTCATGGTCTCTTTATTGTGTCAGGATTTTGGCCATATCTTGGTGAACGTTTTGTAAAAACAATATTTTTTGTTGAAATGTAGCCCTCTTGGCCAGTGATAAAAGCTGAAATTTTTGGTGCCAAAACTTCCAAAAAAGCGTTGCGGCAGAACTCTCCCCCTTTTCTGAACTCTCCCCCTTTTTGAACACACCCCTTGAATGAACCCTCCCCCTTTTTTGAACACCCCCCCTCATTTTGAAATTTGAAAAAATGAGGTGTGATATGTTATACGATGAAAGTTTTTTTTTTCAAATTGAGAAAAATGAGGTGTGACATTTTATACGATGGATTTTTTTTTCAAATTGAAAAAATGAGGTGTGACATGTTATACGATGCAAGTTTTTTTTTCAAATTGAAAAAACTAGGTGTGGCATGTTATACGATGAAAATTTTTTTCAAATTGAGAAAAATTGGGTGTGACATTTTAATTTGAAAAAATTGCATCGTATAAGATGTCACACCTTATTCTTTTCAATTTCAAAAAAAAATTTTCATCGCATAACATGTCACATCTCATTTTTCTCATTTTTTTTCTTTGCACTGTGCAATTTGTTGTTTTTTTTGCACCGTGCAATAGGCTTTTTTTGGGCTGTCGCAACATACCGCTATTTGTACAATGCACACTCCAGAAATCACTCCAGCAACTTTACAAACTAACTATTATTTTTAAAAAATTTCATCTAAATTTTTGCCAAGTTCCAACCAATTTTCCTCCGAAATCTCCCTTATTCTCTAATTCTTTATAAAATTTCAGCTGCTAAAAATTCTGAACGTGAAGACGTACGAGAAACAGTGCTGGAGCAAGGATGAGATTTGCGAAATGAACCGCAAATTTCTATTTCCGTTTGTTTGTCTGGCTCGAAGAAAGTGTAGCGAGTACTTGACGGACTCCTTTTATACGCTAACCTATGCCCATCAGATGTTGCATTTGGAGACGAATGATGCGTTAAAGTACGTGCAGACATAAATTTAATTTTTAAATGTTTTTTTCTTGTTGTGCATAGGTCACGTAGCAATCCTGGAAAATTTTATTGGGTCACGCTCGGCAGGAGACATGTTATACGACGGAACATGTTTCAGCGTATAAAATGTCGTCGCATAGAACTTTGAAACAAAGCAGAATTAAGGCTTAGCGGGCCGTATAGCAGCTCCTGAAAATCTTCGGTCAATCTCTACGGGTGACATGTTATACGATGAAACATGTTTCAGCGTATAAAATGTCTCCGCATAACATTTTGAAGCACAACAAAAATAAGTCGTAGTAGATTATATTTCAATTGCTGAAAATTTTAAGTCACACTATTCAGGGGCATTTTATACGCTTAAACATGTTTCATCGTATGAAATGTCCCCGGCTTGGCTTCACCAAAATTTTCAGTAATTGATACACGTCATCTTTTCACTTGCTGCAACGACTTTTCAGCTGCTCCGAAACCGATGAGACAGACGTTCCCGAGGCGTTGTTCGAAATGGCGGCCACCTTCCCAGCCCACGGCATTTTGAATCATCATTTTTGTCAGCACATTTCAACCCCACCGAGACTGACCTTAAAAGAGTCTTTTACAAACAACCTTGTCATTTCAGTTGAGGTCGATTTTCATTGGCCATAAAGTGTTTATAATATGTAATTTAAAAATACTAATAGTATTAGTGTGTCGGGAAAATAATGTGGACTTGTCGTGGCAAAATTTGTGACCTCCTTGGGAGGCGCACATCAGATCTCCAGCCTCTTTTAGCCTTTGCAAAGCGCTGATAGGGGTCTCCAAAATAATCCACATTATTTTCCCGACAGAAAAACTGAGTATCCGCATCTCCCCCATTCCTGATGACCGTGCGAAAACGAAGAGCCGATTAACCGCAATAGTCTGAAGAAATTCCGAAAAAAGGGAGATGTTTGAGGAGGAAACTCGGAGAAACGTTTCGAAGACCTAACCAAATTTCGCGGTTTTCTTGCCTCAGGCCCTGTTTTGAGACGATTGCGCACGTGGCCACGGGGGGTTAGCACTTCGTTTTAGTGCCTGTTTAGTGATGTCCTAGAGGTGAGAGGAAACTTTGTATAACTACTCTAGAAGGGTGGCATTTTTGTTGGTTTTTTCACGTGGAATTGGCAATGATGATATGGTCGATTTTGCCATGAAAAATTTCATATATATTTCTACCGTAGAGAGTGATGTTTCCATAAAAAATCATTTTTTTCTGTGCGAAATTTGCAAAAAAAAATCCGAAAAAATCTAGGGCGCAGCTCGAAAAAAATCACACAATTAATCACTTTTTTCGAATTTCGCCATGAAAAATTTCATATCTATTGCTACCGTAGAGAGTGATGTTTCCATAAAAAATCAATTTTTTCCGCACAAAATTGGCAAAGATATGGCCAAAAAGTGTTTTGTTCCCTAACCGCGTGAAACATCGTTGAATTTTTCTTCTCTTACTGAAATTTGAGAGCTCAAGTTCTCGAGGATTGAACTACAGTGGCGGACCTGATCCAGTGGCAAAAGACGTACCATTTTGTATCCGGGGAGTATCAAAAAATGTAGCAAAATACCTCCCTCTACAAGTGAAAAAACTCCGGTTTCAAAAGCGCGCCCTTCAAAACAGAGTTTTTGCAGTTGGAGATGGAGGCATTTTTCGCATTTCTTGATACTTCCCGGATGCAAAATTGTACGTTTTTTGCCATTGGATGAGGTCCGTCACTGTACTCGCATTGCGTATTCGAAATTTTTTGAATCTCCCGCGACGTATAAAATGTGTCAGCTAAAAGTTTTGGACATCAAAACTTTTCATCAGAACTTGCATTTACATCCCCGTCGAATTTTTGTTTAATTTTACAAGGGAGACATTTTATACGATCAAGCATGTTTCGTCGTATAAAATGTACCAATATTGGAATTTTGTAATAAAATTTCCCCATGGGTGCTCTAATTCTAATTTCCATTACATTTTTCGCAAATTTCACGAAAGTGACATTTTATACGATCAAACATACTTGATCGTATAAAATGTCTCCCATTCAAATTTTGTGGCAAAATAGGTATCTCCAAAGTGCGCGCAACATTTGAAGAAAATCTGAGCGTCGCACTTATGTTTTTTTTTACTTCGAAAATCCACAAAATTTCCCCAAGATATCCGGCCTAAGGTCTTCAAAAAAAAGACGCGAGAATCCTCATAAAATTTCCTCCGATTTCCCGGCGAAAAGGAGCTCAAGAGAAAAAAGGAAGCGCTTCCGTGTAATCCGCGGAAATGACCTCTTCAGAAAACGTTGAAAACTTGGCCGAAAAACGGCAACCGTGAAATTTGCTCGAGACCGTTTATTAGTTATTTCTTGAGGGGTTTTTGGAATTTTCGAAACCTATAAACAAGTGTATTTCACAAGGATTTGAAGGGGTTTTTTTATATATATTTATTTTGCCGATAAGTTGGGAAGCAATGGGAGAAAAAGGTCAAAGAATATATGTTTTCAAGATCGCTAGGTTTCACAATGACTTGGGAGAAACCCAAAATGACTATTTGCCCTCAGGCAGTCTATAAGAGCCGATTTTAAAAAAAATTTCCGTGTACTCCTTCAAATATCAGTCTGTCGGGAAAATAATATGGATTTGTCGCAGCAAAATGTCTCGTCTATTCGCGGTCGTACACCAAATCTCCAGCCGCGGCACCATCTTCGCAAGGCGAATTCAAAGGCACGACACATCCACATTATTTTTCCGACTGATGAGGAAAATCGAATTTTTTCAAAAACAAAAAAAATTTGCCGGATTAACAGGTTAAGGACGCCAATTTCGATGCTCAGATTTTTCCAACGGGCACGTGCCACTTTATACGATGAAACATGTTTAATCGTATAAAATGTCTCCGAATAGGCTTTTTTAGTGATATCAGTCTACAGGTCAAAAAAGCCAGCTTTTCATGTACAAGATTGTATTTGTAGGTGACATGTTATACGATGAAACATGTTTGATCGTATAAAATATCTCTCTTTAAAACTTTGCAAATTACCTTCAAAATGGTCTACAAATTAACCCCTAAAGACCTTAGTCCCCGGTTTGCAGTGGGTGCTGAGATATTGAACGATCTTTGCGGCCGAGAGAGTGCGTGAAATGTGGAGAGCGGTCAGAGAAAACACTTTTGGCAATATCTTTAGTTTTGTGGGGTAAAAATTATTTTTTTGTGAAAACATCACCCTCTATGGTAGAAATGTGCATGAAAATTTTCATGCCAACAATTGCAAAAAAACGTAATTTTTATGCCAAATTTCGGCCTAAAAATCTTGGCCGTTTCTGCAAAGCGCGATTTAGGAGCTTCGCATATGGATCACAAAAAATTTTTTCAATTTATGTGACAAGTTTCATCAAAATCTCGGTTTCGCTTCAAGCATTTTCCCTATAAGCTTGAAGAAAAAACTTTGAATTAAAAAAAACCCCTGAGGCAATATTGCAAAAAAACTATACCACCAAAAACCTGAACCCTTTTTGATTCCCCAAACATAATTTTTATAAATTTCCCTCCATTATTTCCCAAGTTATGGACAAAAAACCTCCAACTATGACTCATCCACCATGTGCAATATAAATTTTCCATTTCCACGTTTACGCTATGCACGGGATATTCGTAAAAGTGGGTCCGCTCGGCTTGGGGCAATCTGTTTTCTCAATTTTTGGCGCGCCGCATGAAGATCCGCGTCTGGGGAATTGGAGGCGATTACGCGATCCCTTCCGGCACAATGCCGCGCTTTATGGGCGCCCAACAGATTATTATTTACAACGTTCCGGCGGAGATTTGCAGTCGTGCAACTGGCTGGTATTTAGAGATTTTTAGAAATTTGAATTTTTGGTCTAAAAAATAAAACAATTTAGTTTTCAGAGACCAAACTTCAAAGGCCCGGAAGCGTTTTGATGATTGACACCTCAGACGCCATGCTACAGACAATCCGAGGACACATTGGACGAGTTTATTTGGTGAGTTGATTTCATTTTTTTTCTATTCAAAACTATGGGGGTTCGGTATAGTGCTAGCCCGTTCGCAATGTCACTGGAGTTTATCAGAAAGAGATCACGGCCTTCTGGAGATAAGCTATACCTTGTTAATATCTCTACTATAGAGGAGATTTTAACAAGGAAAGTGTCCAATATAACGCTTAGATCTCTTAGATCTTTCTTAAATCTTGCGCACACTTTGAGCGTGGACCACATACACAGGGTCTTACAAAAAACGTGAAGGAAAGTGGAAGGCTATAACTTCCGGCGGAGGCGGCGCAGAGACTTCGTATTTGAAATATGTATTTTTAAAAGACATTAGTTTTTGTCTACGAAATAACAAGCTTTTAAAGTGCAAACTGAGGTCGCTACGACTTTCTGAAGTAGAGGCATCTCTACCCCGAAAACCAGGTTTTTTCGGTTGAAAATGATCGAGAAATTTCGGACTTTTCGGTTGAAAATCACCAGGAAATGTCGGATTTTTTGGGGGTTTCTTGATATAGTCTTTAAGAACACGTAAAAAAAATTGCAAGTGTTGGCACTTTCCTCCTCTTTTTCAACATCACTCATATCGAAACTCCACTTTCCTTCACGTTTTTTGTAAGACCCTGTATTTTAGTCTGTCGGGAAAATAATGAGTCGCAACGCAGCCGAGAAGATGAATTGCATCGCCGCAAAATCAAATTATCTTTCCATTTCAGCGACACGATCAGCGAAATTGCGCTCATTATTTTTCCGACAGACTGGTAAATACTAAGCCGTTTGTAAAGTCGCTCTAGTGATTTGGACACTGCGCGGAAACTAAGGTCTACTTTGCACTCTGAAATTCCTTGTTTTTTTGCAAGGAAAACGTGCTTTTTGGCTAGCGCTTGCAATAAATCTTTCTGCAAGCCTTTAGCACTGTGAAATTCGAAAATCGCCGCAACGACAATTGCAGCGTGCGAAAAGTGGCAAAATGGACTGTGACAAAAAAATCGCACTTTTCAAAAAGAGTGCTGATTATATAATTTTCGGCTGGCTTCCCGCCGAATCTCCCGCTCCACATAGTAATTACAGTAAGCCGTGTCGTTGCAATAGCATTTGTTGAGATTCGGCTCCATTAAAAATTGAGTAGGGACTGGCTTTTGAGGCAGGCATAAATGAAAAAAGTCCGCGTCGTTTTGTCCGGGTCGGATATCAATGGAAGAACAGTCTGGAAAGAACCGAAATTTTACAGTGGCGGACTTGATCCAGGGGAAAAAAAGGTACCATGTTGCATCCGGAAAGTGTTAAAAAATGTAGCAAATAACTCCCTTTCCAATCGAAAAAACGCCGGGTTCAAAAGCGCGCCCGCTCTTTTTGTGAGGGCCCTTCAAAACGGAGTTTTTTTTATTTGAAGAGGGTCGCATTTTGCTACATTTTTTGACACTTCCCGGATGCCAAATGCTACGTTTTTTTCCACTATATCAGGTCAGTCACTGTACACTGTTTAGCCTTAATCTCTCGATTTCCTATAAAACGGTATCGTTGACCCGAACTGTCGCGACCCGAGCTTTCCCTGACCCGAAAAGTGCGTCAAGACGTCTGTTTTTGACAGCTCAGTTTTGAGATTTCTACTCCTTTTTTTTGCGGGCGCACTAAATCTTGCGCTTTTACATCTTATGAGAATGTTTGCTAGGCTCAATGACTCAACTCCCAGCACTAAGAAACAGGTTACCTTGGCGCTGAGTCTCAATTGTAATCATGCCAGAGGTAAGAAGACTAATTATTGAAGTACCCCAAGTGCAACGCTCAAATTTTAATGAAACTTGGCACAGATTTAGAATGATTTTTAATAAGATATATGCAAGAATCCTAGCTCGCGCTTTTCAGAAACAACCGAGAGTTTTGGATCGAAAGTTGGTGAAAAGTTAACATTTTTTATCGAGTTTTGGCACGAAAATTTTCATGCCTATTTCTACCATAGAGGGTAATGTTTTCACAAAAAATCAATTTTTTCCACGTCAAACTAGTAAAGTTATGGCAAAAAGTGTCTTTTCTCTGACCGCTCTCCGCATTTCACGTACTCTCTCGGCGACAAAGATCGTTCAATATCTCCGCTGCTCCTGCAAAGCGCGAGCTAAAACTTTCATGAATTGATATTTAGTACATGCCCAACTTGTATGCAAAATTTAAAGAAAATCTGAGCGTCGCACTTGGAGTACTTCCCTTGCAAACTCAACAGGTTAAACCCGCAATTTTCCCCCTCTAATTCCCCTTTTTCTCGACATTTTTGCTGCGCTATATCTTCTGCTTTCCCCGTTCCCCCACCCGCATCGTAATTTGCATAGTTTGAGCTGTTCGTTCCAAATGCCGGCGGGCGGAATGGGCGAAACCGAGCGTCTGCACCGGAAGCGCCTGTAATTCGGAGGATGCTAATCAGTTTTCTTTTCAACATTCAGAAGTTGAAAGGGGAGATTCTGGAATCTTTTCCTCAAACTTCGTTGTTACTTTTTGAAGGCCAGGCGTTACTCTAGTTATTCGGAGCGAAAATCTATCGTAAATTTATGTGAGACGAACCCAAATGGACCGTATTCCTACTTCTCTGGGCTTTTTACGTATTCAGAATCGTTAAAGAAGCTGGATTCTTCGTCTCATGCCAAGGATAAGACTCTAATCCTGTCATAAATTGGATTTAATCGCTTGCTAACCCGTTAAATATTCGGGATGAGCGATGATTCTGATGGTTTCTCTCCTAAAACCCCTAGTAATCCTGTGGCTACCTCAACGGGTGAATTTAGCCCCGCTGCAGCGGCGTCAGATCAAATTAAGTTCAATGCAGAGCCCGCAGTGCCCTCAGATCAATTTAACCCCACTGCAACACCCGCAGCGCCTCTGCAACGACGCCGAACCATCGTCCGTCAAAAGCGAGTGGCCGAAGTCAAGCCCAAGCTTAGCATGGACCTGCGCGGCCTTACGGTCGCCGACAGCGCGCCCAGCCAACTGGCGTGGGACTTCCTGCGTCGCAAACTCACTCCCCAGCCCCTCAGCGTCGACCACTCCGCCACACTGTGGGCGCGTCGCCGCTCCAGTCAGCCCAGCGCCGACTGGACCGCCTCGCAAGACGCCAGGGTCGGGTTCGACCTGCCCGAAGGCCTGAGCTGCGACTCCGGCTCCATGGCGCGCCGCAAACACTCGCTGTGGGGCATGAGCGCCGCGCAGCTGCAGTTCCTGCGCGAGCAGCACGAAAAGGAGCGCGAGGAGCGGCAGCGGTCCGCCTACGAGCAGGAGCTGCTCGAGCTGCAGCTGCAGCACCAGTACTGGCTCATGCAGCAGCACAACTACCGCGCCCCCAAACATCAGCATCTGCTGCAGAAACGCTCCCAGCCCCCCATGTATTATCATAATGTGTCTGCAGTGATCTCCGGCCCGTACGCGCAGAACCCGGCGCTCGTGCAGCACTCGCAAACACAAATGTTCGGTGGGAGGAAGGCGACCCAGGCCGGCTTCTTGAATGCGTTGCCGATACGCGCCGCGACTGTCGCGGGACCGGGTAAGCATTGATGTTGTATTATGTGGTGTTGTACTACGTATACTCATCTCGTTGTCGTTGCTTCAAAGTCCTCTTTTTATCAGTCTGTCGGGAAAATAATGAGCACCCTGTCGCATCGAAAATCGCTTCGCCCCCGAGAAAATAAATTTTGGAGCGACGACAGAGCGTCATTATTTTCCCGACAGACTAAAATCAGTCTGTCGGGAAAAGAATGTGGATTTGCTGCGCCTTGGAATCCTCCCATCATCCCTTTGCAAATGCTGCTGGACATTTTACGAGACATTTTGCTGCGACAAATCCACATTATTTTCCCGACAGACTGATATTTTTACTTGTCTTTTCTCAACTGACAAACACTTCATTTCAAAAAAATATCAAAAATGAGAGCTAAACGCGATGTGCATTGGTGGTTCAGTGGTAGAATGCTCGCCTGCCACGCGGGCGACCCGGGTTCGATTCCCGGCCAATGCAACTCGCTTTTTGATGGATTCAAAAGATTTTTGGGGTTTCTTTTCAATCTGAATATATTGTAGAGTACTTCTTTTTACTTTTTACAAGTTTTAATAACCTTGAAACACTGTTTTTGAACGCAAAGTTTTAATTTTTTTGAATTTTTTCGAATTTTAAGCAAAGTTTCGGTTTTTTTCTTCGTCTTTTTGAAAATTTAAAATGTTTTTTTGCCTGCCAATTACACTTTTGACGTACTCTTTTTCTAAATTTTCTTCCCCAATCGCATTTCAATGCTATTCGAAGTCTTTCCGATTTTCAAATCAAACATGTTTCATCGTATAAAATGTCCACAAGCTCTATTTCGTCTTAACTGTTGCATTCCACCTGCTCCAAATGGTTTCCACATCTCAGTTGTCGTTCGTTTCGACCCGCACAACCTTTTAATCCCATTTTTCTGACTGTTTAGGTACAGCAGCGGCCGCGGCGGCCGCCGTCGCCGCCGCAACCGCCTCCTCGGCGGGGGCGTTCCGGACCGCACCCAATGGCGGGATATTGCCTCCGAATAAGCGCGATTCCATGGCCGCTATCGCGGATTTGCTGGTGGCAACTGGAGGCGGCAGGAAACCGCCGAGATACGGTAGGTTTTGGGGGAATTTTTGGGGAAATTTTTAAAAAGAAAAAAAAAATAAAAAAATGTAGTGTTATCTCATCTATTCCTGAACCCTTTCCCAATAAAATTGCCGACTTCAAAAGCAATACAATGACGGACTTGATCCAGTGGCAAAAAACGTACCATTTTCTATCCGGGAAGTATCAAAAAATATGGCAAAATGCCTCCCTCTCCAACTAAAAAAACCTTCGTTTTGAAGGCCCTCAAAAAATTACGAGCGCGCTTTTGAAACCGGAGTTTTTTCACGTGCAGATAGATTTATTTTGCCACATTTTTGATACTTCCCGGATGCAAAACGGTACATTTTTTGCCACTGGACCATTTCGGCCACTGTAACTCAAGAAGCGCAAAGCGCCAAAAATGGGAGTTATCCCGGAGATTCTGAGCCCGGAATCCGATAAAAAACAGAGCAAAATGAGAGCATAATCAAGTGTGCATTGGTGGTTCAGTGGTAGAATGCTCGCCTGCCACGCGGGCGACCCGGGTTCGATTCCCGGCCAATGCAACTCGTTTTTTGATGGATTCAAAAGATTTTTGGGGTTTCTTTTCGATCTGGATATATTGTAAACTACTTTTTTTAGCTTATTGCAATTATTAATGCCTTTGAAAGTATGTTTTTCAACACAAAATTTGGATTTTTTCACATTTTTTTCAAACTTTCAGCTTTTTTTGGAATTTGTCGTCATTTTTGATGAATTTCAAGGCTTTTAGCTGTATTTTCATATCACTTTTCCTCATACATTATAACAGAGAAACTTTCACTTGTTTCTAACGGCAAAAATACAGTTTTTTCTTTAGAAGTTATTTTTTGCCACTTTTCTCGAATTTTTCACTTTTTTCAATTTTCAAATAATTTTTTGGCTTTTTCTGATAAAAACTGAACTTAAATCTTCAAAATAACCTTAATTTTTCCCAAAAATTTTCTTGCCACCCTCAATCTTGCCGTACATTGTCCAAATTTCACGCATTTCCCCGCGGCTTCCCTTGTCTTGGCTCTGTTCCGTCTAATTATAACATTTCCTTTCAATTTTCCCCGCTTTATTAATTCCATTCGCCCTTATTTGGCGCATTACTCATCCCGCAAATTGGCGGCGCATCTTTGGCCTCCACAGCCAGTGGGTTTATTCTCGGCGGCGTCTCGGGGGGATTCGGTTATTCTTCAAATTTGCCCGCGAAAAAAACAATCCGCCGATATGCCTGTTGAACTTTGCGCCTGAGGCGGAATTCGTGGGTGGTTGGAAGTGCCCAGAGGACTGTTGGGGAGGCCATGTTTCGCCTGTGTCATGTGTAATATCAGATATTTGGAATGTTTGGGAAAAATGATGACGTCATGTTTCAACTGAGTATTTGATGACATTACCAGCGATTTTTTGGCAATTTCTTTGGAGTCAATGATAGATTAAGACTTGAACTACGATATTATCAACGGTTTCTCCATTATCTACCGGACCTTTAAACTTTATCGACCAAAGAAGATTAGATGTCATGGATAATATTTTGATGTCTCCACTGCTCAATAACTGATATATAATCGGCCGAAACAGCCTGTAAATCGTAGCAAAATGCATCTGCTACATCCCACTTACACCTATAATGGAGGACACTCGCCGCAGCAATTTTATCCGGCCTTAAATCTCCATCTTCCACATCCGGTACAGGCTATGATCTCGTCGATGGAACAAAGCCAGGAAAAAACGGAAATCAAGGATATTTGTGAGTTGGATGATAAATTAGCATTGGAAATTATTTTTTTCCGATAAAAAATAAAGCAAGATGAGAGTAAAACAAGGCGTGCATTGGTGGTTCAGTGGTAGAATGCTCGCCTGCCACGCGGGCGACCCGGGTTCGATTCCCGGCCAATGCAATTCGCTTTTTGATGGGTTCAAAAGATTTTTGGGGTTTCTTTTCGATCTGTATATATTTGTAAACTACTTCTTTTAGCTTATGACAGCTTTCTACGTCTTTCAAGCTCTGTTTTTGAATACAAAATTTGATTTTTTTCGAATTTGAACAATCTTTCGGACTTTTCCCCCATTTTTCATAAATTTACGGGTGTTTTAGGTTGCCTTTAGGTATTTTTTAATTGTAAACAGCGTGTTTTTAATCAACACGTGGTTTGCAACCTTCAAACCTTAAATTTTCAACAACAACATTGATTTTTCTAATATATTTTTTTATTTTTTGCATAAAAAAAATTTAAAATTTAATATTGAAAATTTGTTTGATGTTTAAATTTTTTACAAAATTCTCATTTAAAAAAATAAAACTATTAATAGTAACTTTTTGTTAAAAAATTTCCATTTACTCCAATTTCCCCCCATCTTTATTCGAATGAGTGTGCGCAAAAAAGCCGTGCCCTTATTTGGAGCCGTCTTCATTACTTTCAATTTTGCATTCCCGTCCCATCAGTCTTAATTCCCTCAATTCGTGCTGTCCCCGCAAACAAAAAAACTATGCTCCATGGCTTTTTTCGGGATAACATCACGCATATTTTTATAGGTTATGGGAACGGTGGTTGGTGAAATTAATAATAGTATAGTATAATAAAAATGGCTTTTAAATTTTTATTTTTTTAGGGGCTAGTGATAACTTAGTAGTGCTATATTTTAACATAGGTTTGAAATAAAGATAAATAAAGTTTTTTTTTAAAATATTTTTCGGATTTTTTTGGATATAATATTGTTTTTTTTACTTTTTTTAAGATTAAAATTAAATGAAGTCAAAAAAGTCTAAATATCGAAAAAAAAACTTTTTCTCACATTTTTTTACTTTTTTTATTTATTTATTTTTTTTTTTTTTGAAATTTAATAATTTTTATTTTATTTTTAAAGATGTAAAGAAACAAATTAAAAACATATTTTTTTTATTATATTTTTTTTATCTTTCAAATAAAAAAAAGCCTAAACATCGAAAAAATTGCAACAACTTTTTCTCACATTTTTTTACTTTTTTTATTTTAGTTATTTTTAGAAATTCATTTATTTTTATTTTATTTTTAAACATGTAAAGAAACAAATTAAAACATCCTTTTTTTATTTTTTTTAACCTTCTCGACATTTTCTTTTTTTCATATAAGAGTGAAGATATAAGAACGCAAGAGCCATTTTCAAAAAGCACCCTGAATTTGCTCACTTTTTGGCTCGCAGGCGATTCTTTCATTTTGCTCACCGAAACGGCGAGCAAATTTTTCGCGGCGAGCAAATTTCTATTTTTGCCTCCCGCGGCGAGCAATTTTCTAATTTCGCCTGCCGCGGCAGGCTAGGGAAAGACTTGGCTTTGAGCCAAGTCTTTCCCCTTGGGTGGCTCTTCTTCCCAAAAATTTTTTTGTCAAGATTGCTATAAATTTCTTTATGGTGTACTCTACATGCATCGACAGGACAATAACTCCAAAAGTAAGTTAAATTATCCCTCTTTCTAAATATGCCATGATTTTTTGCATTGCATAAGCTTATCCTGGCGCATTTAGCCATTGTTGTAGGTATACAAATTTAGCTGAATGCTGTTCGTTCTTGCGATTCCATGTACGAAATTTAAGTCTTCCACGCAAAAGAACCGGCGTCGGGCCTGCTTCGTGCCAGAATTGTTTCAGCATGAAAGGATTTTTTTCTTGATTCGATTTTCGATATTACACTAGATACTTTTATCAAGTTGCAGGCAAAATCTAATGTTTTTGAAGTTTAAACCCGAATCTACAAAGGTGAGCCATTACTAAACCGTCCCCAACATAACTATTCTTTCAAAACTCGGGTTTGAGATGTTTTAGGGCCTAAGTGACCAAGTATAACGTGGATCTAAAAAAAGTCACAAATACCTCTCATACTGTTCTAAACATGGTTTAGATCGACCACATAGCTTTGAAATATGGTTTGCTAAGTATAAATACGCATCTATGGTACGTCAAAATTGTTCCATACCTAAAATCGGAAAAAAATCAAAAACGTACCTAGTGTAATATCTAAAATCGAAGCAACAAAAAAATCCTTTCATGCTGAAACAATTCTGGCACGAAGACCCCGACGCCGGTTCTTTTGCGTGGAAGACTCTCAAATTTCGTTCATGGAATCGCACGAACGAACATCATTCAGCGAAATTTGTATACCTACAACAATGGCTAAATGCGCCAGGATAAGCTTATGTAATACAAAAAATGATGGCATACTTAGAAAGAGGGATAATTTAACTTACTTTTGGAGTTATTGTCCTGTCGATGCATGCAGATTACACCATAAAGAAATTTATATTAATCTTGACAAAAAAATTTTTGGGAGGAAGAGCCACCAAGGGGAAAGACTTGGCTCAAAGCCAAGTCTTTCCCTAGCCTGCCGCGGCAGGCGAAATTAGAAAATTGCTCGCCGCTTCGGCGGAGGCGAGCATTTTTGAAAGTTTGCTCGCCGTTTCGGTGAGCAAAATGAAAGAATCGCCTGCGAGCCAAAAAGTGAGCAAATTCAGGGTGCTTTTTGAAAATGGCTCTTGCGTTCTTATATCTTCACTCTTATATAAAAATTGTCACTTTTTAATTTTTTAAATTTTTTTCGACCAAATAGGTCAAATTTTAGAGAACTATTTTACTTTTTATATTTTTTTCTATTTTAAAATTAAAAATTTTTAAAATAAAATAAAATAAAATTCAATTCCTCTTTTTTTCCAGACAAAAAATCGTTTCCCCAAAACTCAAAAAAAGTCGAAACATCTTATCTTTGTTGGGCCGGCCCTCCGAAATTAACTTCATTAGGAGCGCGAAAAAAGCTCACCAAAGAACTCGGGCCCCCGAGGGGGGCGGCATGAAATTAACGCCGCGAAAATGAGGGGCCGGAAATCGGCTAAAAAATTAGGCCCAGAAAAGGTCACTTATAGTTAGGCGAGATGTTTATGGCCGTTTATTACTTTGGCCAATTTTCTCTTTTTTCAGTTTTTTTTGGGGAAAAATGTTGAGCGGTCAACCGAATATGGTCAAAATTCGTGTCTATTCGGCTTTATTTGGGTCATTCTTGGGCAAAGGGCTCATCCTTTTTTACTCTGCCTGCGGAAGCTCTGTAAATCTTCAGATTTGGGTCAATTTCCGATATTTTTTTGATTTTTTTGGTTTTTTTTATTTGTAAGTTAAATTTCTTTATTTAAAAACAAATTATAATTTTTAATAAAAAAATTTTTGACGGAGACATTTTATACGATCAAACATGTCTCATCGTATAACATGTCGCCTGTAAAGGGCACGGTAAAATTTGACACTAAAATTCATAAGATTAATTTTTGTTTTGAAAATTTTAGTCAAAGACATTTTATACGTTCAAACAGGTTTCTTCGTATAAAGTGTCGCCGGCAAAGAGTTTTTTAAGATTTTGCTAAGACATTGAGAAGCTCATTTGTGGTGTATTCGGACTCTATTTACTATGTTCAAAATTTGTTGTGAAGACATTTTATACGATCAAACATGTTTCATCGTATAACATGTCCCAGTTCGCATAGAATTAGCTAGGACTTTTAACAATTTATTATTAGCCTTTTTCTAAAGGATTTAAAAATTTCTAGGCAATCCGTGGAACAATTTCTTTTTTTCTTTTTTTAAAATTTTTTATTTTTCCCCCTTTTTCTCATTTTTCTAATTAATCTTTTAATCCCCTTATTTTTCTCGTGTTCCATTCTCCCTCCAAAAAGATCAAATTGCGCGAAAGAACGAAAAAAATTTTATCGCAGCCCTGAAAAATGTCATTTCGGATGGAATTTGGGAGCGCCGGCCCGCCAAGTTGGTGCAGTGCGACCGAAGCGACCCTCAAAATCACCGAGTTGCGGAAAAGCCTGCAGAAATCGCTGGACGACAATAATGTCAAGACCATGTGCTGTATGTTATGTCTCTATTCGAGGGGGAAGAATCAAAAGTTATGCTTAGAAAGTGATTTTTTTGAAGGGGGAGACGAAAAATGGATGAAAATTTGAGAAAGTGGTCAAAAAATTTGTTTTTTAAAGAAAAAAATAATGTGTTGCTGTCTAAAAAAGATGCAACAGGGCAACTGCTACAATCTGACATGTATTGCGGCACAGGAAATGCGCTAAAAACAAGGGAAAGTCCAAACAATATCCAAAAACTCACAAAAATTTGAAAAAATCCAAATTTTGTGTTGAAAACATTATTTCACAGATGTTAAAAGCTGTATTAAGCCAAAAAAAAGTAGTTTACAATATACACAAATTGAAAAGAAACCCCAAAAAACCTTTGAATCCATCAAAAAACGAATTGCATTGGCCGGGAATCGAACCCGGGTCGCCCGCGTGGCAGGCGAGCATTCTACCACTGAACCACCAATGCACACCGCTTTCTTTTCTCATTTTGCCCTGTTTTTTACCGGATTTTGTCTCAAAACAAGTCAATTAGCTATGAAACACACTTCATTTATAATATTTTTAAAAAATTTTCTTGAATTCCACCATTTTTTCATGGAGAATTCGTCTTTTTTGGGGGTAAATTGATATCACTAATCTCCGGGATGGCCCGGCGCTTTGTGCTTTTTGACTTATTGCTTTTGAAGAATGCGCGGCGATTTTATTGGAAAAGGGCCCACGAATAGATGGACAGGGTCGGTTTAAGCGGGAGGGACAATAAAAAATATTTGCTGAATTTTCATACTTGAGCGTTGGGTGCGTGCCTGAGGCATGTATGAAGATGAGGGTCCTGTTGTCACATGTGAGTTGAATGGTTTTTCAACGATACTGTTAATTTTGTAGGGGGGGGGGGGGGGGATAGGGGAAATAAAAAATATTTATTGGATATTCAAAAAAATTTTAAATTTTGATGGTATTTTATCAAGGATTAAATAAAAATTTGCTTATGAAATTGTCCATCTTTTTTGTGGCGTTACACAGGGATTTTCGAGATTTTTTGAAAAAAAATAAAAAAATATTTTTTTTATTTTTTCTATTTTTTTCTGATATAAAAAATTTTATGGTCTTTTAGATACGATATGCAAATTTATCTACAAAAAAAATTTTTTTTCCAGCGAAATTCCCCCGGAAATCGACAAAAAAAAGTCTTTTCTCTGACCGCTCTCCCCATTTTGCATGCTCTCTCGCAAAAAGTTCAATATCTCGGTTGTCTTTGAAAAACATTTCGTAAAAGTTTCAGAACTTAATATACTACAACCACATATCATATATACCAAATTTTAAGGAAAAATATCGTACTTTATTTTTTTTATTTTTCAAAAAAAATTTTTTTTTTCACAATTTAAAAATTTCATTCCAAAAAAAATTCCAGTCGCAAATAACAGCATGTGTGTTATTTCAAGCCCACTAAACATATGCAGACACAATTTACAAGGGAAGAGGAAAATAACAAGAGATTCGCCGGAAAAGTCCAATTTGGCCTCGAAAGAGGGAGGGAGAATAAAAAAAAAATAAACTTGGGTTTCTTTTATAACTAAAAGTATTTTTCTCACTCTGTAAATTTATTGGAAGTGGAGGTTTTGGAAGAGGCGTGTTGAGAAGTAAGGGAATTTTCGATTTTTTCGATTTAAAATTTTTTGTTTTTTTTTAATTGAAATAAAAATTTTTTTGCTGTTAACCGTGAAAATAGAGTGTCAAAATCGAAAAAAATATGGTTTTAGAATCTCTAGGGTCTCTATATTTTTTCAAAAAAAATGTATTGGCCGAAATGCCCTCCGGCGATTTGAAAAAAAATCGGTTTTTTTTTTATTTTATTTACTTCGGAAATAAAAAATGATAAGTCAGAATTGATTTAGTAGTAAAAAAAAATGATTTTCAAGAAGCTCCTGAGGCGAAATTACAAAAATTTTTTTTTTTTTTATTAATATTCATTTTCAGAAAGTGCATAGAAAAAGTTCAAAATGCACTCAATTTCAATTTATTTACACTAATCACATGCAAAAAATCATGGAGTGTATCTGTCAAAATGCACTGTGCGAAAGAAAAAAATGTCCATGAACTTTATACATAAAAAACTATTAGTCAAAGAACGTTTGGGAGACTTTTAAAAAATCAAAAAAAAATCAAAAAAATCAAAAAATAAATAAAAAAATAAAAAAATATCTTTTTTTGGAAACTTCTCTGCTAATTTCACTTTTTTAGTGTTTGTGGACACAAAACATATGACATTTGCCTTGAAAGTGGCATGTTTTGTCTCACTGATCACTGTATGCCTTCACACTCCAAAAACTCTCGAGTATTTACCGGTGCTGGAGATCCCGATTTTAACTGCCGACTTCTTCGCGACCGCCATTTTCAGCCTCGAGGCATTGCTGAAGGTCAACAATATGGGGTATTTTATGGTGAGTTGGACACTTGAAACTTGGCAAAATTCTTGGCTGTTCTTTTATAAGACATATGCCAGACCCTCCTAGCTCGCGTTTTGCAGAAATAACCAAATTTTTTTGTCCGAAAGTTGGAAAAAGTTGAATTTTTTCTTGCGAATTTTGGCAGGAAAAGTCCCATGGCTATTTCTACCGTAGAGGACAATGTTTCTACACAAAAATCAAGTTCTTCCGCACAAAATTGGCAGAGGTATGGCCAAAAAGTGCTTTTCTCTCTGACCACTCTCCGCATTTCGCGCACTCTTTCGTCCGCAAAGATCGTTGAATATCTCAGCTTCCACTGCAAACCGAAAATTATGGCTTTTAGGGATTGATTTTTAGGTCATTTTGAAGGGAATTACGAAGCTTGAAGCGGAGGCATTTTATACGATCAAACATGTTTCATCGTATAACATGTCTCCTACGATAAAAATTTTATGCATTAAAAGCTCGCTTTTTTATAGAAGTGCAAAACCTAAATAACTGAAAAAAAACGTTTATGCGGAGACATTTTATACGATCATACATGTTTCATCGTATAACATGTCTCCTACGATAAACATTTTATACATTAAAAGCTAGCTTTTTCACAGAAGCGCAAAAACTGAAATAACTGAAAAAACCTTTATGCAGAGACATTTTATACGATCATACATGTTTCATCGTATAACATGGAAGCTACACCTTGAGGGCTTAATTTTATATATGTTGGCGGAGTTATGATTTTAATTAGATTTTTCTGCCAACTTGCTGCAAAAACGCTTAAAATTTGCCAAAAATCGCAAAATTTGATAAATAGCCTTATATTCATTTTTTGATGACTTTTTCAGAAACCCACCGCGTACTTTCGCGATCGTTGGTGTCAGTTCGACGCCTTTTTATTGCTCGCCCATTGGCTTTCGCTTCTTTTACATGTCTACAAATTGGCCAGCCAACGGCTGGATTCGAGTTTGGTCTATCACGAATGGTTCGGGATCATCCGCTGTGTCCGTCCCATGATCATTGTGCGATTGTTACGGTTGTTGTTGACGTTCAAAGTGCCTACAAATCGAATCGAGAATTTGTTGAAGTAAGTTGAGTTTTATTTTTTCTAAGCTTGTCGGGAAAATAGTGAGCAAAAAATTAATTTTTGTCGTAGCGAAAATCGCACCGCCGCCGAGAAAGTAAGCAGTGTTGCAGCAAAATAGAATTGCTTTTGACCGCAGCAACATTGTGCTCTTTATTTTCCCGACAGACGAATAAAAAATAAAAAAATTTTCTCTTCTTTTAGTTTGAAAATTGGAACATTTCAAAAAAAAACCAAGTACAATATTCCGTATTTTACATTTTTAATTATTTTTTACTTTAAAATCCCCTTTGAAATTCAAAATTCATCCATTTCCCGCGAAAAGTCTTTCAAATCCCGAGACCCTTGCAATGTGCATTGGTGGTTCAGTGGTAGAATGCTCGCCTGCCACGCGGGCGACCCGGGTTCGATTCCCGGCCAATGCAATTTCTTTTTTGATGGTTTCGAAAGTTTTTTGGAGTTTCTTTCATCTTTTAGATTGATATAACGGCGAAAACCCATGTTTTCCTCTTAAAACCCTACTTTTTACTTTTGTTTCAAAGTTTTTGCTATTGCAGAAAAAAAGTTAACGCTATTTTGTTTATAAAATCATTAATTTCAATTGATGGCGGCTCCATGCCCTTTGAGAATATCTTTTTTCCTTTTTAGACGTTCAAGCGCTCAGATCCAAAATGTTACAGTATTCCTCGTGTTTTTCATGGTTTTATACGCGATTATGGGTATTCAGTTGTTCGGTCGGATGGACTACCGATGTGTTGTGCCAGGTGAGATTTTTTAATTTTGGCTCCGCCTATTCTTAATATAAGCTCCGCCCACTTAAAAGCAAAACCCCGCCCATTTTTATATAAGCTCCGCCCACTTTAAAGCAAAGCTCCGCCCAATTGTTTAAAACTTGAACCTAGCTAAATTACTATTTAAAAATTTTTTTCGCAGTGATTTTTCTACATTAAAAACGTTTTTTCTTGTTTGTTTTTTGAGATTTTCTATTTTTTTTTAATTTAGGTACCGACCCCCGGAACGTGACGATAAATGACCTCGCCATCCCCGACGCAATGTGTTCCAAACCCGGTGGCGGTGGGTATCAATGCCCTCCGGGTACAGAATGCATGAAATTATATCTAAACGCCAAAACCGAAGGGTTTTATGGGATGTTCGATGATTTTGGTGAGTCGGGAATGCAGAAAATTTAGATTTTTAATTTTTTTATTTTTTAAGGCAAGTAGTGGAATAATTAGTTCTTTATATTTAATTTTTTTGTATTTTCAGAAAAAAAGTTTTGTCAATTTCCTATTTTTTCAAATATTTTTTCCTATATTTTTTAGGTCACAGTGTCTTCACAGTTTATATGGCAGCCAGTGAAGAGGGCTGGGTGTACGTTTTGTACGATTGCATGGACTCGCTGCCCACTCATCTGGCCATCCTCTACTTCATCACGCTCATCTTTTTCTTGGCCTGGCTGGTGAAGAATGTGTTCATTGCCGTGATCACCGAGACTTTCGCCGAGATTCGTGTCCAGTTCAGCGAAATGTGGACCAAGTCGGAGGTCAGCGTGGAGGAGGACTTCAAACAGGTGAGACAAATATAGGAAGCACTTCCATTGTAACGCTAAATTTTTCAAGGCAATGTTTAAAACTTTTAGGACGTGTATTGCAGAAGTAAACGGTATTTTTAAAAAAAAATGCGAAATTCAAAAAAAAAACTTTTGCGAGTTTTGGCCTCAAAAGTTGCATACCTATTTCTACTGTAAGGGGCAATGTTCCCACAAAAAATTATTTTTTTCCGCTTGAAACTGACAAAAATATGGTCGAAAAGGTGTTTTCTCTGACCGCTCTCCGCCATTCGCGTGGTCTCTCGTCCACAAAGATTGTTGAATATCTCAGCCTCCCCTGCAAATCGTGAATTAGGGCTTTCGAAGGGTTGATTTGTAGACTTTTCTGAAGATATTCCAAAAATTTTAAGGGGAGACATTTTATACGATCAAACATGTTTCATCGTATAACATGTCCCCACTCACAATTTTGGTTTGAGCTGAAACTTTTAGGATGTGGCCTATGTCTGATGTGTGTGAAAAATCAAAGGAAAATTCGAGCGTCGCTAAAATACGAAAAAATTTTTGAAATAATTGTAAATTTTTTTTTTCAGAAAATCGAAAAGCACGATGGAGTTTGGAAGATCGTGAAATTAGACACTGACCCCAAAATCAATCCGCGCGTTCTTCGGCTCCAGAATTGCCTCCGGAGCATCGGTTTCCAATGCTGTGTGGTGGGATTTGTCTTGGCCAATTCGATTATCAACGCCTCATTTGTGCATTATCATGATGAAAGCGACTCGAGAAGACGGGTGATCTACTATTATATTGAGGTGAGTTTTTCCGGGTGATAAAAAGAATTTTAAAAGCAGATATCGTTGAATATCTCAGCTTACACTACAAAGTGAGAGCTAAGGTTTTCAGGGATTCATTTGTAGTACATTTCGAAGACAGTCACAGAATTTGAAGAGCAGACATTTTATACGATAAAATATGTTACATCGTATAACATGTCTTCTACGCTCACAATTTTGAACATGACACCCTGGCTTTTTAATGGATGCGAAAAGTCAAACACCACTGTCAGTGTTTTGAGCGGAGACATTTTATACGACTAAACATGTTTCATCGTATAACATGTCCCATTAATTTTTTTCTATTTAAAAATTGTAAGAAACTTGAATTTACGTGTTCAAATCAAATTTTTCAGGTCGGATTTACAATCGCCTTCAACGTGGAATGCGCTGTAAAAATTTTGGCATATGGATTTTCGAAATTTTGGAAACGGAATATCTACAAATTCGAGTTGATTTTATGCATTGGCAGCTCTCTCAACATTATTCCGTATCTCTATGAGAGGAATTACTTTACTTATTTTCAAGTCTTTCGATTGCTACGGTTGATCAAAGCCTCTCCAATGCTGGAGGACTTTGTTTATAAGGTGGGTTGTCGGAAAAAGTGAAAAAAAAAATTATATCACTAAAAATACAGTATCTAAACATATTTAATCGAAAAAAATACTTTTTGATTTTTTTATTTTTTAAAAATTTTTTATAGTTTTTTGCGATTTTTTACATTTTTTTGCATTTATACAACATTTTACATTAAATACCTATCGTATAATATTTACAAGACACATGCCAAGTTTCATCAGAATCTGAGCGTCGCACTTTTGGCGCTTCCCTGGCTAGATATCAGTCCGTCGGGAAAATAATGTGGATTCGTCGTCGCCTTGAAATTGCTCATCATTACTCTGCAACTGTTAGCTGGAAATTTGGCGATCGACAGCTACGAGTCGATACATTTTCCTGCGACCTATCCACATTATTTTCCCGACAGACCTTAGTAGACCTCTTTTATTTGCCTCACCAATATCCTTTCCAGATTTTCTCCCCCGGCAAAAAGCTTGGCGGTCTTGTGATCTTTACCATTCTTTTTGTGGTCACCTCTTCCGCCGCGTCCTTGCAATTGTTCTGCTATGTCCCACATCTCCATCATTTCGAGACATTCCCGCAGGCATTCATGGGGATGTTCCAGATCATCACGCAAGAGGGCTGGCCCGAGCTTGTTGTGGAAGTGCTGCGAATGTCGAACGATCGAATGGTTCCGTTTGTGGCCGTTTACTTCGTGGCCTATCATCTGTTCGTTACACTGGTATGTGGATGAAAAGTGGCGTAGAAAAAGTTTTCGGGGGCTTGGATTTTCTTCAAATTTAGGGTACATGATCTGTCTCAATTATGGATCAATTGCTGAAAATTGTAGCTCTCGATTTTTATGTTAGAACATTTTATACGATGAAACATGTTTGGTCGTATAAAATGTCTCTGCAATAACTATTAGATTTTCTTCAAATTTGGCATGCATGATCTCTTTTGGCCATAAATGGATTTGTTGAATATCGTAGCTCTCAATTCTTATGCGGAGACAGTTTATACGATGAAACATGTTTGATCGTATAAAATGTCTCTGAAAATACCATTTCGAGTTATAAGATATGAATTTTATTATACTGCAGTGCTGCATAAAACTGCATAAAAAATTTTTTGGCAGAGACATTTTATACGATAAAACATGTTTGATCGTATAAAATGTCTCTAAAGCTTTCAAATGCTGTAAAAATAACCGGAAAGGTCGTAGACATTGCAAAAAATAGTTAATTTTATGTCAAGTCCACACTATTTTTCTTTTCAGATCGTCTTGAGTTTGTTCGTTGCCGTCATCTTGGACAATTTGGAGATGGACGAGGAGCTGAAGAAGGTCAAACAGCTCAAGGCTAAAGAAGCGGTAGGTCAACAAGATTAAATTTTTTGCTGAATAAGGCTCTGTCCATCGGAAAAAAATACACTAATTACCGTAACCTCCCAACCTTTCAGACCACAAGTATGCGAACAACTCTTCCGTTGCGCCTTCGGATCTTCGAGCGTTTCCCAACTCGCCCTCAAATGGTGAAGTTGAAACGGGTTGACAGCGAGTTCCAAGTGCCTCGAATGCGAGACAGCTTCACTTACCACTTCGTCAACAATGTCGATGAGGTCGCAACAGTGGACCCGGAAGGTATGTAATCGGCAAATGTTGCTGGATATATCAGTTTACACTTCAAACCATGGGCTAGAGTCTTCAGGGTTTGATTTGTAGTCCATTTCGAGGATACTACAAAAGGTCAGACATTTTATACGATCAAACATGTTTCATCGTATAATATGTCGCCTAGAGTCACAATTTTAAAATCCATGGAAAAATGGTTTTCTGAAAGATGCATAAAAACTAGTACTATTGAAAGACATTTATGCGTAGACATTTTATACGATCAAACGTGTTTCGTCGTATAATATGTCGCCTAGAGTCCATATTTTAAAATCCATAGAAAGCTGGGTTTCTAAAAAGTGCGTAAAAACAAGTAATATTAAAAAGAGTTTATACGGAGACATATTATACCATCAAACATGTTTAATCGTATAACATGTCCCATACTCCCGTAAATCGTCCAAAAATCCCGTTTCAGACGTGGGCTGTCGAAAAGTCCTTCTAAAATCCATGCACACATATGTCCGACACCGTCGACACGACGTCACAATGCGACATGTGGGGCAGCTCTCGATGAAATCCTCGATTCAGGCGCTCGTCCACAACTCGAGCAACCAGAACAAGAGAGACTCGTTCAGAGCCAACCGGAATCGCATGAACCTGTACGAGAACATGACTGAGAATGGGGATGTGCTGCGGTCGTATGAGAATTCGGCGAGAAAGGACCTGAAGTTGGGAGAGATCGATATCCGCGCGTTGCAGCACAAACAACAGATCGCGGAGATGACAAGGTAAGAGAATTTCAGTGCTCCAAAGTGCGGCGCTCAGATTTTGATGGGGCTTGGATCAAGTTTCAGAATAGGTTTTTCTAACAATAAGGCATATACGAGAGTTTCCATTCTACTCAATTTTCAGAACCCGAATTGAAGAGGAGATGCGAGAGAATCACCCCTTCTTCGATCGACCCCTCTTCCTTGTCGGCCGCGATTCGAAGCTCCGAAGACTCTGCAAGAAACTTGCTCATGCTCGGTACGACCAAAATGGCGATGGGCAAAATACGGCCAAGTCGCAACGAAGGAACAAGCATTTGCAGTGAGTGGTCGACACATCATTATAGTCATCAAAAAATTAGAATCTCACAAAAATGAAAGTTTTCAGCGATCTGATTGGAATTATGCCGTACATTGACTGGTGCATGGTCATTGTAACTCTGATGTCATGCGCGTCAATGCTCTCCGAAAGCCCATGGCCCCCAACTGGAGAGAATTTGGTGGTCAACAACTTTTATCTTCAGGTAAGTTGAAGATGACATCAAAAAAAATTTTATGGAAACTTGGCATAAAAAATATTGGAGGAATTTTTTCTTTATTCTGGATTCCTAGCTCGTGTTTTTGCAGAAAAAGCGAGATTTTTTGGTCAAAAGTTGGCCAAAATTCAACTTGCCGGGCCGCCCAAGGGCCTACGCCTCCAAATTGGCCCCCAATGATTTAAAATATGCATGGAAAATCTCAAGCACATTTCTAACTAAAAAGACAACGGTTTCACAAAACCTCAAAGTCCTGAATTAGCAAAGATATCGCCAAAACTCGCTTTTCTCTGGCCGCTCTCCACATTTGAGCGCTCTCTTGTCGGCAAGAGGTCTTGTTGTCTTGAGGATGTCTTGAAAGGTTTTCTCGAATTTTCAGCTAAATTTATCACAAGCACTTCAAGCATCGACCATATAGACAGGAAAAAATACAGGGTGTCCAAAAAATTAAAACTTTTTACATAAGTCCTGGCACGGAATGTAATTTTTTTTTCAGATCGCCGACTACCTTTTCGTGCTCGCAATGACAATCGAATTGGGTCTGAAAATCACAGCGGATGGCCTTTTCTTCACGCCAAATGCGGTGGTCCGGGATGTGGGCGGAGTCATGACAATCTTTATCTACTTTGTAAGTGGTTTCGAGAGAAATTTTATTCATAAAAAATTTGAATCCATGGGCAAATACGCGTAAATTTTCATATGTTTTTAGTCTGTCGGGAAAATAATGACCACTCCGTCGCATCGAAAATCGCATCGCCGCTGGGAAAATTGTTTCTCACTTCTGCGACGCGATTGGCGCGGCGATATTGTGCTCATTATTTTCCCGACAGAATGAAAAAAAAATTTTTTTCTTGTTTTTCATAATTTTCTTAAAAATGTTCGTTTCAGACAAGCGTAGTCTTCCTCTTGCTCATGCCCAAGCACATTGAAATCAACTCGTTCGAGCAGTTTTTGATGATTTGTCGCGCCATGAGACCGTTGCGCATCTACACGCTGGTCCCGCACATCCGCCGCGTGGTTGTGGAGTTGTTCCGCGGCTTCAAGGAGATCATCTTGGTCACCATTTTCATGATCGTCATAATGTTCATTTTTGGGAGTTTTGGCGTGCAAACGGTTGGAGGGAAATTGGCGGCTTGCAATGATCTGAGTATCAGCTCGAAAGTGAGTTAGATTTTGGAATTGGGGAAAAGTTTGGCGCATGTTGTTGTCACAATTCTTGACGAAGGGGTAGTGGGCAAAGAGGAACTTCTCCTCCTTCACTCCGGCGGCTCAGGATCAAATGTTTTCGTGTTACGACAATGTCTTCGCAGACACATCAAGTCATTTTGGCACATTTACTAGTCGCTCAAGAAAGTGCGTAAATTTTTTGTTCATAGGGCGCACATGCATAAAAACCCCTTTTGCGGCGTGCATTTGATCTTTCACACCGTGCAAGTCCAATATCGCTGCGACACAAGCTTCTCTCAACGGAGCCGGCGCGAATTTTGGGCGCACGAAATGAAATTGCACAATGCAAACATGTGAAAATGTTTCGCAAAGGATCGCGTCGCGCAGGGAACAGGGAACTTGCACGGTGCGGTGCGAGAAAAGGCGGAGAAAAAATCTACGCACTTTGTGGAATGTCTAGTATCAGTCTGTCGGGAAGATAATGAGCAATTTGTCGCATCAAGAATCGCATCGCCGCCGAGAAAATGAACTTCAGCAACGTGATCGGCGCAGCGACATTGTAATCATTATTTTCCCGACAAACTGACAGCATATCTCTTTGAAGTTTTGTTTCCTTTGACCCACTTTTTGCTTTAAAAAAATTGCATATTTTTTGGACCAGGGTTTTTGCCATATTTTTCATTACAAAATATTTTTTCTCCTATATCATATTTTTTGTCATAAACTTTGTCCCTTCAGGAAAACTGCACCGGAGTTTTCTGGTCCAAAGTTTTCGTCACGCGGATGGACGTGGCCGGCAAAGACGACGACGAGGCGCACCCGAAGATCCTGGTCAGCCGAGTGTGGACCAATCCGCGCAACTTCAACTTTGACCACATTGGGCACGCCATGTTGGCGCTGTTCGAGGCGCTCTCGTACAAGGGCTGGAACGTGGTGCGCGACATCCTGATGGCGCGGATCGGGGCGTGGGCCGTCGTCTACATCCACATCTACGTCTTCATCGGCTGCATGATCGGGCTGACGTTGTTCGTGGGCGTCGTGATCGCGAATTACACCGAGAACCGCGGCACGGCGCTGTTGACGGTCGATCAGCGACGATGGCATGACTTGAAGGCGAGGCTGAAGATGGCGCAGCCACTTCATGTGCCGCCGAAACCGGCGGAGTCGTCGATTGTGAGACGCCGGTTTTATGAGATCACCATGAGCAGATGGTTCAATAAGGTGAGAAATGAATAGATATGCAAACGAAAATGTAAAAATATGGTTTAAAGTTGTTGAGAGATACGTAGGGAACGCAAAACGTCTACTCAAACTTGTTATTAAGGCCAAAAAGTAAAGACAATCGAACTAAATCCGATTTAATAATTTTTTACCATTAGGACATTTTATACGATACAAAATTTGAAGGGGAGACAGCTTATACGATCAAACATGTTTCGTCGTATAATATGTCCCCCACATTCACAATTTTTGAACCAGCTTTCTGATAGATGAAGAATAACTAACATAACCAAAAAGTTTGTGCGGAGACATTTTATACGATAAAACATGTTTGTTCGTATAAAATGTCTCCACATCATAAAATTTTGCAAAAACAATATCAGTCTAACTGGAAAATTTCTCACACAATTTTTTTCCCATAAAAACTTTTATTTTGAAATCAGTTTGTCGGGAAAATAATGAGCACTCTGTCCCATCGAAAATCGCCGCCGAGAAAATAAATTGTGTCGCGGCAAAATTAAATTTTTTACCCCTCATTATTTTTCCGACAGGCTGAAATTGTTGCTAAAAAAATTTTTCTTACGTGGAGACATGTTATACTATCAAACATGTTTCATAGTATAAAATGTCTCCGCCAAGGGCGTTTTTAATGTAATCTTGTGCGCCACGGGTGAATAGAAATGCCAAAGCTGTCACAAAAGTCATGCAAATATATGGCCAAAAGACGTTTTTTCTCTGCCCGCTCTCCGCATTTTGCGTACTCTCTCGCCGTTGAAGGTCGTTGAATTCTTAGGCTTTTTTGAAAAATTTGGAGTTTTAAAATACACATTTTAGACTTCAAAATGCTTGAAAGATAGAGAGTGCGCGAAAAGCGGAGAACGGTCAGAGAAAAAAGTTGCATGTTTTGAAAAAAATCTATTATATTTTTAACAATTTGAAATAATTTTTTTAGGTCTTCGCCTACCTGGTTCTAATCAATTCGAGCACTTTGCTGGTTCCATGGAGCATCGAAGAAGAGGAAGCAATGAATGATATTCTCTACTTTCTAACCGCCGTCTCCGGAGTCTGCAATGTGCTGTTTACGGTGGAAATCTTCTTCAAAGTCATTGCATTCACAATTTATGGATTTTGGCAGGTGGGAAATTTTTGATTTTTTAATAGTTTTTTAAGATTTTTTATTTTTTCTATAAATCGTTTTGACTTGGTTATTTAATTTTTTTTATTTATATTTTCATTTTGTTTGATTTTTTGTTTAAATTATTTTCATTTTTTATTAAAAAAAATTTTTGTTTTAACTTTTTTTATTTTAGTTTTACATGTTTTTTATTTTTTTATTCTTTTCCAGGAAATTTTTTTGTTTTAATTATTTTTATTTTAATTTTTCATTTTTTTTATTTTTTTATTTTTTCCGAAAAAGTTTCTTTTTGTTTTACCTTTTTTTTATTTTAATTTTACATTTTTATTATTTTTTAATTCTTTTCCAAAAAATTTTGTTTGTTTTAATTTTTTTTATTTTAATTTTTAATTTTTTTTTATTTTCTTATTCTTTTCCAAGATTTTTTTTGTTTTAACTTTTTTATTTTAATTTTCCATTTTTTTTTATTTTTTTATTCTTTTCAAAAAATTTTTTTTTATATTTTAATTATTTTCTTTTTTTTTAATATTAAATTTGTTTTTTTTATTTATTTTTTTTGGACTTTTTGCTTGATTTTTTTTTATTTTTTTATTATTAAAAATACTTATTCAGAGCCGTCGCAACCGCATCGACCTCCTAATCACGGCTCTTGGCTGTCTCTGGGTGACTCTCCACTTCTTCGTCGCTCTTCCGGCCTCGGTTGTGGGCGGGGAGACGGGTCTCAAGAAATTCACATACACTTTTGGCTACATGGTTGTGATTCTTCGGTTCTTCACCATTGCCGGCCGAAACAACACACTGAAGATGTTGATGTTGACGGTTGTCATGTCAATGTTCCGCTCGTTTTTCATCATCATCGCGTTGGCGATGCTGGTGCTGTTCTATGCGTATACGGGGGTGATTCTGTTTGGAATGGTGAAATATGGGCAGGCTGTGAGCAAGTAAGTGAAATATAAAAAAATACATTTAAAAATTAAAAAAAAATAGGTAAAACTAATTTAAAAAGCTGAAATTAAATTTATAAAAAAAATTTAAAAAAATATTAAAAAAAAAATTAAAAAATTTCAAAAAAAATCTCGAATTTTACCATACTTTAAAAAAAAGCTATTTAACTTTTTTAATTTTTTTTCATCGTTGTAAAAAATTTTAAAATGGTCTATAACATAAAATTAAAAAAAAAATAGCGGTAAAAATAGTACAAAAAAATAGAAATGAAATAAAAAAAATAAATAAAATTTAAAAAACATTTTTTCGTAAAAAAAAATCAAAAAATCCCAAAAAAATCTCTAATTTTACCATACTTTCAAAAAAAATATCTGTTTATTTTTTTTCTGCCCCGTTACTGCAAAAATTTAGGCTACTATAAATATATTGCACAGTGCAAATATTATAAAATTTCTTGTTTTTTGCACTGTGCATTTATTATATTTTATTTATTTTTTTGAAAAAATTTTTTTAGACACGTAAACTTCCGTTCCGGCTCGGACGCATTAGTTTTGTTGTTCCGCTCTCTAACCGGCGAGGACTGGAACGATATCATGCATGATACGCAGAGAAGTGTCCCGTTTTGCTACTGGCGACCGGGCCAGAACTATTGGGAGACGGATTGTGGGAATTATTACAGCGCTGTCATCTACTTCTGCTCGTTTTACCTGATCATCACGTACATTGTGCGGAATCTTCTTGTGGGTGAGTTGAAACAAGGGGAGCAAATGTTTTGCTGATGATATGATCTCAAGTGTTATGCTTCGATTTTACTAACTTGGCACATAAATAAGGAGTAGGACGCGTGTCAGTCCCCGAATTCATATAAAAGACATGTTATACGATGAAACATGTTTGATCGTATAAAATGTCTCCGGAAAAAACTTTATAATTACTTTTAAAATGGTCTATAAATCAATCCTTGAAAATGTTAGCTTTCCGTTTGCTGGAAGAACTGAGATATTCAACGATTTATATAGGAGACATTTTATACGATGAAACATGTTTGATCGTATAAAATGTCTCCGGTGAAAACTTGTAATTACCTTTAAAAAAGTGTATAAATAACACTGAAAATCCTAGCTTTCGCTTTTTAGGGAGAGCTAAGATATTCAACAATTTATATAGGAGACATTTTATACGATGAAACATGTTTGATCGTATAAAATGTCTCTGCTTCAAACTTTGTAATTACCTTTATAATGGTCTATAAATTAACTTCTGAAAACATTAGTTTCCGATTTGCAAACACAGCCGAGATGTTCAACAATCTTTGCGGCCGAGAGAGAACGGAAAATGCGGAGAGCGGTCAGAGAAAAACCCACTTTTTGGCCGTATCTTAAGGAATTTCGGATGGAAAAAATTTATTTTTTGCGGAGACATTACCCTCTACAGCAGAAATAGGTACATAACTTTTCATGCCAAGGTTGGCCAAAAAGTGTCGCATTTTTGCTGACTTTTGATTTAAAAAATCTCGGTTATCTATGGAAGATACGAGCTAGGAGTCTCGCATAGGTCTTATAGAATATAATTTTTGCAAAATTCGTAAATTTCCCCATCTAAACCCTACATTTTCAGCTATAATCATGGAGAACTTCTCGCTCTTTTACTCGAGCGAAGAGGACGCATTGCTCAGCTATTCGGACATTCGCAACTTCCAGATGGTCTGGAATATGGTGGACATCGAGCAGCGCGGGCAAATCCCGGTTCGGAGAGTCAAATTTTTGCTGCGATTACTGAAAGGGAGACTTGAGGTGGATCCCACAAAGGATCGACTGCTCTTCAAGCACATGTGCTATGAAATGGAGAAGCTGCACAGTGGTGATGAGGTGTCCTTTCACGATGTTTTGTAGTAAGATTTGGATATTTTTGGAAATTTGTGGATTTTTTGACAAGGAAAGTACTTCTATGGGGTGTGGAGTTACAGGTCGAGATATATATCAAAAAAATCGCAAAAATTTTCTGATTCCGAATATATAAAAATTAGCTGCCTAATTTTGGTCTATCAACGAGTTTTATCAATAAATGTGTTTCTCGAGGACAAAAATCTGCGGCAACAAAAGCGCGCTCGGTCTCTTCCTTCGGAAGAGAGCGGTGTGGCCGAGTGGTTTGAACGCTGGATTGGGAATCCGAAGATAACGGGTTCGATTCTTTTTGCCACACTAGAACCCATTTTTTACATTGGAACTACTTTTAAGGTGTAGTTGTAATACAATTTGATATTTTAAGGCTTGTCAAGGCCTCAGAATTTATTTTAGCACAGAAAAAAAATTTTTATTGGTAAAAACACGGTCAAAAAGACACTTGCATGGTGTCGCGAGAAAACTTCTGAGGACAAAAACATGTCGTCAGACCAAAATTAGGCAGCTAATTTTTATATATTCTGAATCAGAAAATTTTTGCGAATTTTTTGATATATATCTCGACCTGTAACTCCACACCCCATAGAAGTACTTTCCTTGTGAAAAAAAAATTACGTTTTTTATCCATAATTGAATTTTTAAAAAGCATAAAATTCGACGTTTTTTTTGCATAAAATCGAAAAAATTATTTTATTTTTATTATCATCAATTTTTGTCATTTTTTCAAATTTTTTACGTTTCTTGTCCATAATTTAAATTTTTAAAATGCATAAAATTTGACGTTTTTTGCATAAAATCGAAAAAATTATTTCATTTTTATTTTTACCAATTTTTGCTATTTTTTAAAATTTTTTTCCGTTTCTTGTCCATAATTTAAATTTTTAAAATGCATAAAATTTGACGTTTTTTGCATAAACTCAAAAAAATATTCTATTTTTATTATCATCAATTTCTCAGTGATTTTTTTACAATATAACAGAATTACTTATATTAAAAAAAAAATTTACGTTTCTCCTCATAATTCATAAAATTTAACGTTTTTTCTCCGCAAAACTCGAGAAATTTCCCTTTAACCATGCCCATTTTTAGTATGCTCTCCTATCGAAGTGTGGACATTCGAAAAAGTCTTCAACTCGAGGAATTGTTGGAAAGAGAGGAGCTGGAATATATTGTGGAAGAGGAGGTGGCCAAGCAGACCATAAAGACCTGGCTGGAATGCTGTCTACGCAAGATACGATGTCCGGACCGCGGAGTGGACAGCCCCAAGGCCAGCTTGCTGACTACCAGCGATTGTGAGTTTTGTTTTTTAGATTTTTAGGCAGGAAAAACGTTAAATTTGGTGGAATTTATGTATAAAGACGTAAATTTTGAAAAATTCACGAAAACTCGTAGATACCATAAAAATTTTTGTTTTAATTTCGAAAAGCTTTAATGAAAAATGTTTTTTTATCGATTTTTTCTTAGAGTTTTGCACTTCGCATAGCAAATACAATACTTTTTTTCTAAAAATTTCGATTTTTAAAAATTTTTTTTTTCATTTTTTAGTTGTTGAAATTTCTAAATTTCTAACAAATAGTCTTGAAAATAGTCGAAAATTTTCAGAAAATTGAATATCCCAAAGCTTTGCGCCATTTCTGCAATTCTTTTATTTTACGTTTTTTTGCAAAATTTATTCATAAAATTTGACGTCTTTCTCCATAAATTATCGAGACTGCACACCATGAGTTTTAAAATTCGGTTTTTCCAGCACTCGCTGTAGTTGCTGAGATTTTTCCACAATTTTTTTTCAGTGCCCGATGGGATTCTCCGCCGCTCCAAACTCACCGGCTCTCCCCAGCCCAAGCTGTCCAATGCCAACTCCGCCAAGACGACGTTCGTTCGAGCCAGCACCATGTCGGCGGCGGACGCGGACGACCACGAGAAGGACTCGCTGCTGCAGCGCCCCGTCTCGCTGCACAAGCGGAGTGTGGAGGACATCCTGGGCAATCATGTGGAGAAGCGCCCGATTCCGAACCTGGTGCCGCTCAAGAAGTTGTCATTGCGGAGTTTGACGGGCGCTAAGGAGGCGGGGATGTTTCATACGGCCCAAAATTCGATTGAGACGGTGACAACTGTGGGGAGCAATCGATTCTTGGGCGAGGAGACGGCACAGAAGCCGTTGCAGGTGAGCAAAACGTGTATAAAATACTGATTTCTTGGTTTTTGGACGTCTCATATGTGGAATCTCCGATAAAATTACTTTTTTCCTCATTAGGACGTTTTATAGGATGAAACATGTTTGATCATATAAACTGTCTCCACATTAGAAAATTTTGCGAAAACAATGTCAGTCTGCAGGAAAAATGCGGAATATTTGATAAAATTACTTTTTTTCGTTATTAGGACATTTTATACGATGAAAAATGTTTGACCGTATAAAATGTCTCCACATAAGAAATTTTGTAAAAACACGAAGCGATACTGTGCCAATTATTTTCACGACAGACTGATGTTGTTTTTACAAAATTTTCTGACTTGCAGACATTTTATACGATCAAACATGTTTCATAAAATATCTAATAATTGATTTTTTTCAGCTCTCAGCCCGCGAATTGCCGGATCTCGAAGAAATTTACGAAGACAACTCTCCATACAACAATCATGGGGGCCTTCGGTCGTTCGAAGACGAATATCAACGCTCTCCCACCAGCGATACGTCCAGTTTTCGGCCGATTTCACCGAGTCGACTCAATTTGGGTGAGACAATTTTTTTTATTTTTTCAACTTTTTTAGAATTAAAATTTCGTATTTTACGACAAAAAAATTATTTTTAGAAAATTCCAAGATTTGTTTTAAGAATCTTCAAAAAATCAAACTGGAACAAATTTCGTATTTTACATTCTTACATATTTTTTCACTTTCCACTTTAAAATTCCGTTTAAAATCCAAAAAAAAGAAGTTTTATCAGCCTGTCGGCAAAATAGTCAGCAAAAATTATCGCATCGAAAATCGCATCGCCGGCTCGGAAATAATAAATTGTGTCGCCGCAAAATCAAATTACTTTTCACTTCAACGATCGGCTCAGCGACATTGTGCTTATTATTTTCCCGACAGACTTATTAAAAAATTTTTTTTGCTCTTCATTTTGAAAAATTGGAAAATTTCAAATATGTAGAGTTAACAACAAAGAGCGTATTTTACATTTTTAAATATTTTCCCGCTTCAAAATCGTATTTGAAATCCAAAAAAATCCAAAATTCATCCATTTCCCGCGAAGAGTCGTTCGAATTTCGAAAGCTTCACGTCGTGCATTGGTGGTTCAGTGGTAGAATGCTCGCCTGCCACGCGGGCGACCCGGGTTCGATTCCCGGCCAATGCAATTCGCTTTTTGAGGGGTTCAAAATATTTTTGGACTTCCTTTTCAACTTGGATATAATGTAAACTACTTTTTTTGGCTTTTTACAGCTTTTAACATCTTCGAAGGCTTGTTTTTTGAGCACAAATTTTCATTTTTTTGGGTTTTTTCGAGTTTTTGGCTATTTTTCTGACCTTCCCTTTGTTACCACTATAAATTTGTTGCTAAGCCTGAGGTTTTATCGCAAAATTGCTTTTTATATGCAGTATAAGGTCATTTTCCGTCAAAAAAATAAAATTTTTACAACTTTTTCCGAATTTTTTTGAAATTTATTTTTGCAAATATCTATACAAAAATAAGTGAAAATGGTCCAAACCTTAGCTAATATTGATCCTAAAAACTGTCTTTCTCATAAATTTATCCAAAACTCAAAAAACATGAATTTCAATTTTCAGGTCAACGGACTCCTAGACGAAAAGCCAGCTCCGTGTTGACGAATCCGGTCCAAGAGAAGGCCACAGCGGCCTCAATCAATCTGTTCTACCACAGTGAGCCGCTCCATAATGTCATTACGGACATCAAATCGTGGTGGGCGAACAATTTGCTCGAAGAAGACTCGTTTGCTGCGGAAAGCGAACTCAAAACCGGTGTAGCTAATTAAAAACCATGTTTTTGACTGTTTTATGTCATTTTTTGTACATATATGTGAAAAAAATAAAATATTTTTCGAATTTTATTTTTACGTTTTTTATCCATAATTAATCCAAAAATTCATAAAATTTAACGTTCTTTCTCCATAAAACTTCATTCATAGTCGATTCCACTAAAACATGTTGGTACAGACCCCACCAATGCAGTTTTGTAAGGGCTTGCAGCCACAGTCGAACGAATGGTATGGGTAGGGATTGCAGCCGCAGATCGCACTCCCACCAAATGGGATCCAACCACCGCGACGGAAACGAGAGAGCGATGCTGGCACAGCTGAAATTAAGGTATGAAATTAATATATACATATTATTATATAATTGTTCGGGCGACCCTCAGCACGGCAACTCAGGGAGTCTCCCGCCTCGTTTAGGCGCTTCGCCTACCTAGTATCGGTTGAATTCAAACGAAATGTCAAAAATTAATTTTTCGTGTGGTTTTCCGACCGAAAAATATTTTTCTCGGAATTATTTTATTTCTTTTGTGAATTTTGACACTTCGTTTGGACGAAATTAAAAAATGGGCGGGAGACATTTTTGTTCTATCTTGGGTTGCCGTGCTCAGGTTCTCCTTAATTATATAACAGCGCGTTTACTGCTTCTCGACTTACTGTATTACAAATTTTTATAAAATATGTATTTCAGCCATTCATAATTAATTGAACTCATTAAAACTACATAGCACCTTGGAATCATGCCGTTTTTCCGTGTAATTATGTAAAGAACGCAGAAATATTGCATAATCAAAACATTGCTTGGCTTGGCGCGATCATTCAAGCTCTTTTTTTCGGGCTGACAACATCACATTTGTGCTCCCAAACTAATTGCTGTGACTACTGTCTTCATTCTACTGCTTTAATTCTACTGTGGACTAAACTAATAATATTATCATCGCTTTTGTTATTAATATTCTTAATAATAACAACCATTATTCCACTACCTATTATTCCAAAGTATTTCCGTCAAATTATTTCTTATTTCTGCGTGTATATTGTTATATTGTTACCAACCCTCGACAATGGATATCACTAACACTGATTGAAGAAGCCTCTTTCAAACCTGTTGCATTGCCGTCACAACGTCGAGCGAAGTCTACGAGGTTTCTGGTGCCCCATCCAGACGACAACGCTTTGGTATACGCATTAACCAATGGTGGAAAAGCTGATAGAACGGGAATTCTCCGATACGTCTGTACCTACTGCCGTGCCGTAAACGACAAAAACCGGGGGAATAAAGAAGATGTCACGCATTCGCTTCCAAGTTGGATGTATGACCCAAGCATTAACAGATTTATCAACGATCCCCTGGAGATGGCGCCATCCGACCACATTTGTTGTCCAAGAAAGATAAAGTGAGAAAAAGGGCGGGCGCACACTTGCGGGCAACCACTTTGCGGGCAACCACCTTGCGGGCAATTTTTTTGCGGGCAGCCACTTTGCGGGCAGCCGACATTTGCGGCCAGCACCGGCATTTGCGGGCAGGGTCGACATTTGCGGGCAGCCTGGGACATTTGCGGGCAGGGTCGACAGTTGCGGGCAGCCTGGAAGATTTGCGGGCAGCCGGCATTTGCGGGCAACCGACACCTGATTGTGAGGGTAACAGGGTGGACGTGGAAAAATTACTATGATATTTTGGAAATATGCCGACATTTGCGGGCAGCCGACATTTGCGGGCAACCGGGACTTGAGGATAACAAGGTGGAGATGAAAAAATTACGGCGATATTTTGGAAGTTTTCCGACATTTGCGGGCAGGCAATACTTGCGGGAAGCCGACATTTGCGGGCAACAGTTCCAAAAGTACCAATACAGTATGTGTGATTGTTTTTTCCTGTTGCCCGCAAATGTCGGTTGCCCGCAAATGTCGGCAAATTTCCAAAATATCGGAGTAATATTTCTACCTACACCCTATAACCCTCAGGTGCCGGTTGCCCGCAAATGTCCCAGGCTGCCCGCAAATGTTTCAGCTGCCCGCAAATGTGACCCCCCAAATTTTGCCCGCAAAGTGGTTGCCCGCAAAAAAATTCCCCGCAAACTGGTTGCCCGCAAAGTGGTTGCCCGCAAGTGTCGCGACGCCCGGCGCATATTGTTGAATACGGTAAGTCAATTATTTCTCATTTTTAGGTTGCGGAAACCTCTGGAAAAGTCGCCTCTATACATGCCCAGACTGCTAATATTTCCAGCAGTAAACTTGCTTGCCCCTTTTAATCGTTTCTGCAAAATTTTTATACGGAGCGATGAAACATGTTTAACCATATAAAATGTCGTAGCGAAAAAAGTAATTTTACCGGATTTATGTTGACCACTGAGAGATTCCGTGAGTAAAACATCAAACAATTTTTCACTTCATTAAATAGGCAACGTTGGAAAATTAATGAAATCAGAATTTACCTCGCCAAGAACAATTTAATACTAGCAAAAGAATCAACATTGATTTTATTAGAGAACTCATAGCTTCTACTTTAATGTAATCAAGTATTTTTCTGATACTTGCAAAGCCTTTATACGGGCCGGTAGAAATTATTTCTCAATAAGGGCTTAAAAATCACAACGCTACTTCCCCAATAACAAATATGAGGAAAAATGCAGATTTCCGTTTTATCGTAAACCTTTGTCGCTGTGAGAGTGCACAAAGTGAGGGCAACGTATCTTCAAATCAAGCTTGACATAGCAATCGCACGGACATTTTATACGAACAAACATGTTTAATCGTAAAAATTGTCTCTTCTAAAGTAATTTTGCTTGGAATGACGCGAACCACATCTTGATAAGAATGGTAATTTTCTAATTTGAGATTGTAGTTGTAGGGATATTTTATACGATCAAACATGTTTCGTCGTGTGAAATGTCCTACTGGCTGGAAAATCATATTCTTTGAATTTAAATTGACAATTCAAATAGTTTTACCCCAAAATTCCTAGAAAAATCACCATATTGCTCAGGCATTTTGCCTTAATTTTCAAAAACTCACCAAAATTGACCAAAATTAGGAGGAAAAACAAAATCAAAGCCTTAGAAGCCATCGAAAACAACGTGATCTGTCTGTTACAGGGTCAGCGGGCTCACTTTACAACAAACACATTAAAAACACCCCGCAAAAATGTTTTCATTTGGGGATTTTCATAAATTTGCGGGTTTTTGAGCCCACACTGGTAATATTAGCACGGTGACGCATGGTAAATTTGCGTATGCAATGAGTAATCGAAATCCAAAACTCGAAATTGATGGAATTTCACATTTTTATGGACAAAAAACGTTAAATTTTATGCATTATGGAGAAAAAACGTAAATTTTTTATTCGGCCGAACATAAAAATTTTATAAAATTGAGTCTTTTTATCATCCCCACTGTCCCATGGATTGACAAACACCGGCTATGCACGCCTGCAACGGCTGACATCCGCATTTGACTCCGGCCGGCTGCGAGTAGGGGAACGGAGAACATCCACAGACTGCGGCTGGATAGGGTGCCTGCCATTGCCGACGGAAACGGGATTCTGAGAGTCATAATGTTTAACGGGGATCAACAAACATTCGGAAAAGCTATAATGCAGTGACGGGTCTAATGCAGCGACAAAAAACGTACTATTTTGCGTCCGGGAATCATCAAAAAATGGAGCAAAATTCTTCCCTCTGCAACTAAAAAAACTGCGTTTTCCACGACACGCCGCACGTCACACTGAGGAGTCTGGTGACCAGAATAGACTCTTCGCTATCGGTTTTTTACATTTCGTCTAAGAGAGAAAAAAGACACGCAAAAGCGTACTCTCTCGCCCCAAAAATTCCCCATTTCTTCCCCGACAAAACGTTTTTTCGCGTCTTTTTTTGGCAAAGTGCCAATTCATTCACCGGACTGTTTTAGCTTATCTCGGTTTGACGTGCGCCGTTTCCCTCACAAAAAGCGCTTTTGAAGTCGGAGTTTTTTCACTTCGAGAGGGAGGTATTTCGCCGCATTTTTTGATACTTCCCGGATGCAAAATCGCACCTCTTTTGCCGCTGGATCAGGGCCGCCACTGTAACTATACGCAAATGTTCAATATTGTAACACCAGCCTTGTAAACCCCACTAACTACCATGAATTCACATTAAGTTTCGAGCTTACCTTGAGCGCATACAGTTAACATCAGCAAAATTATAAAAATCAATTTCATTAGAGAAGCCATGACCTCTAGTGTAAAGTATAAATATGGTTTGTTTCTATATTTCGGAACGTTTTGTAAACTTTAAGCCGTAAAAAAACATTTCTCGACTTTCGAAGTGTTGTTTTAGAGATAACAGGAGTTGCGAAAAAATCCAAGTTTTGGTTTCAAATTTTTTTTAATTTCTTCACACACACATAACATAAATATAAATTTTACTATACAGAAAGACAAATAAAATATTTGTAAAAAAAGGCTTGCTAGTAAAAGGTCGGAGGTTTTTGGAGTATATAGTTACACAGTAAAGCGGGAATTACGTTAAGGAAATAACAAAAAATGAGCCGAAAATTGCATAAAATTTTTGAAGGTGACAAAATGACTAGAAGAAATGCAAATAAACGTGAAATTTTACAAGGGTTTTTCATCGAAATCTGAGCGTCGCAACGCAAAAATTTTCCCCATTTTTGGGCGTATCAGTCTGTCGGGAAAATAATGACCGCAAATATCGCCGCTCCGATCGCTTCGCTGAAGTGAAAAACAATTTGATTTCGCTCTGGCCGCTCTCCGCATTTCGCGTGCTCTCTCGTCAAAAAAGACCGTTAAATATCCTGAGTTTTTATGCAAAGCGTAAGCTAAAATCCTCAGCTATGCTTTTGTAGCCGATTTTTATTGTTTTAGGCAATTTTTCTGTGTGGAGACATTTTATACGATCAAACATGTTTCATCGTATAAAATGTCCTAGTGGCAAAAAAATCAATTAAGTCGCGACACAATTCATGTTCTCGGCGGCGACGCGATTTTGGTTGCGTCAGAGTGCTTATTACTTTCCCGACAGACTGATAACGACGATAAAAAGCAATAAAAACTGTCTAATTTTCAGCCGCTCTGCATTGATGCCGCTTCATCAGGTCGTCGGTGGGGAAAGTCAGCCGACACTTCTCACACTGCAGTTGCTTCGTGTCCGCCGTAACGCAGAAGACATAGTCCTGCAGCAGGCTCTTGTCCGACAACATTTGGCTCTCATTGTCGGCGCGACGCTTCGACATTTCGTCGCCGTGCGACGTGCGCAGATGGTTCTTGATGCCGCGCGCGGAATAGCCTTTGTAGCCGCAAAGCAGACAGACGAACGCTTGGACCAGCGAGTGTTTATGGCGAATATGTTGAGCGAGTTGGGCGTGCGTGGCCGGAACGTAATCACATTGGGAACAACGAGAGGGCACCTGAAAAGAGGAGGGGTGAAAATGGGAGTTAGGGGTGGTATACTTGAGAGTTTGGAGCCAAAAAAAGTGGAGTTAAATCTCTGTACAACGAACCGTGAGGAACGAAAAAAAATATTCGTTATAAAGAGGTTTTGTTGTACAAAGGCTTGGTCTAAAATTGGCCGTTGGGGCCTCCGAAATTTGTTGGTTATACAGAGGTTTGTCACTATCAGTCCGTCGGTAAAATAATGAGGACTCTGTCGCATCGATAAAGAAACGTATCGCGGAAAATTCAACTTGCTTTTCAATTCAGCGACCGATGGGCGCAGCTACATTGTGCTCATTATTTTCCCGACAGACTCATGCATTTTTCTGTTTATGACCCCGCTAGGTGTAGGAAAATCAGAAAAAAGTATGGCGAAATCTCGTAATATGTCGACAATGCCGCCAAATTTGGTTAAATCGCAAAAAAGTTGGCGAATTGTTGAGAAATATGGCAAAATCGCAAACAATGTGGCCAAATCTTGTAATAAATGGGAAATTTTTTAAAATTTGGCCAAATCGAAAAAATGTAGCCAATCAGCGAAAAGTGTTTCCAAATTGCAAAAAAGTTGGCCATCTGGGAAGAGATATGGCCAAAGGGCAAGAAAAGTGGCCAAAATATGAAAAATGTGGCCATCTCTTGCAATAAATCTGAAATCTAACCAAACTTGGCCAAGTCAAAACAACAATGCCAATTTGGCCAAAATGGCCACATTTTTTTCAATTTGGCCACATTTAGAGCTAGTAAATTTTGGCCATGTTTCACACATCTTTCTCACCAACCTAACATTTTTTCCTACCTTCCTCGCCGGTTCCATCTCCTCAATCTCCTCGATGGTAACTCGGTTTTTACAGTAGTATTTCCGATGACTTGTTAGCGTCTCCTTCGACATGAATGCAACACCACAATCGCAGGCGAACGGTTTCTTGGCCTCGGCGTTGGCTTTGTCTTCCTCTTTTGGACCGTTCTTTTGCGACAAATCCAAGGGTCGACTTGAGGATTCGGCCGAATCGCAAAATCGCTTGGATGAGGAGGAAGAGGAGGAGGTGCGCATTCTAAAACAAAGGAATTTTTTGGTCAAATCTTTCGAATTTAATTTTTATTACCCCTTTTATTACCACTTTTTTGAAATAAAGTAGAAAGTTCAAAAGGAAATTGAAAGAATCTTGATTTCAAAACAAAACCCCAAGGGAATTCGCGAAAAAGTTATGTGAGTAAAAACCGGATCTTTTGCAGATTCAAAAAATATAATTTTTGTAAATTTTCATCCATTGTTTTATCTGATACGGCAGTTTTAGAAAGTGCATAGACTTTTTTTCGACTTCTCAGTTTCACAGTGCAAAAAGCTTGGCGACAAAAAGGTCTACCCACTTTTGGAAAAGCGTAATGCTAGTCCGTCGCACGGACCCACCTTGCACTGTGCAAATTCTTGCTTTTTTTGTACGGTGCAATAGGTTTTTTCTCGGCCACAGGACGTTTTATACGATGAAACATGTTTGATCGTATAAAATGTCTTCGAACAAGAAAATCTTGTAGAAACATCGTCAGTCTGTCGGGAAAATATTCAGCGGAATGTTGTTGCGCCGGTCATGTCACTGGAGTGAAAAGCAATTTGATTTTGTCGCGACACAATTCATTTTCTTGGCGGCAATGCAATTTTCGATGCGACAGAGTGCTCATTATTTTCCAGACAGACTGATTGACTTTTTCATAGTTGTTTAAGAACGTTCAAACTCGCAATTGATGATGATCTACAATGCCCAAACTCGAACCGTTTTGACCTACCGTTTCCTCCCCAGCAGCGTCGGGTTCAGCTCAGTGCCGCTCAAGATTGTCGCCGTTGCCGTCACATTCCCGTTGCTGGTGCTTGGTCCATTCTGGCTGTTCAGTTGATGAACAAACGCCAAGGGCAAACCGAACTCGCCGGCCTGCGGGTTCAACGGGAACTTCCCGTGAATTGGGAGCTGAAGTTGAGAGGCGAAGGCGGAGTCCAGAAGGAGGGAACGGGAGGTGACCGGGACTTGACGACTAATCGCCACTGGGATTATCGTCTGCGCGGGGCCCACCACCTGAAATTTGAAGTTTCGTGGAGGGCAGAATACGATGTAAAATTGTAGTTTTTCAGAAAAAATAATTTTGACACTCCGAGATGTCAAAATCAGCAGGTCGGGAAAATAATGTGGATTTTTCGCGTAACTCAGCTGCCGTTGCAAGACATAAACCAGCGTTTCAGGGTTCGATTTGTACATCATTTGGAAGGAGGTTACAAAATTTGAAGGGGAGACAGCTTATACGATCAAACATGTTTCGTCGTATAATATGTCCCCCACATTCACAATTTTAGAGCCAGCTTTCTGATAGACGGAGAATAACTAATATAACCAAAAAGTTTATGCGGAGACATTTTATACGATCAAACATGTTTCTTCGTATAATATGTCCCATACAATATAACCTCTGACATAGAAAGCCGGCTTTCTGAATCTATCAGAAAGCCAGCTTCGGATATAACCAAAAAAGTTTATGCGGAGACAGCTTATACGATCAAACATGTTTCGTCGTATAATATGTCCCCTACATTCACAATTTTAGAACCAGCTTTCTGATAAATGAAGAATAACTAATATAACCAAAAAGTTTATGGGGAGAAATTATGAATATTGATACGATCAAACATGTTTCATCGTATAATCCGTCCCAGTGACGGATTATACGACTGCACCCCCTCCCCTCTACCAAATCTCTCACCTGAATAACACTGGGATCGCTTTGGCTGTGATAGGCCACCGGCAAAATCAACGTGTTTTGCGCACCCACGCCCAAAATATTCGAGATTGCCTTCTGTTGTTGCTGTTGTAATTGCTGCTGAAGCAAGAGTTGTTGCTGTTGCGCTTGTTGCTGAACAATGGCGGCAATGGCGTCGGCAAAGTTCGGAAGATTGGCGGTGGCGTTGAGGAGGTTTTGGAGGCTGGTTGAAGAGGAGATTGTGGTGGTGGGGGTTTTGTTCGGGGCGCGAGGCTCCTCTTTCGGGGTTGTGGTGCTTGTTGGGACTGAATCTGCAAAGTTTTTGTTATCAGAAAAGCAAATGAATAGCTATTACAATCGGAAAAGTAAAGCACAACTTTTTTTATCTATTCATTTGTGTATTGACTGATTAAAAAAAAACAAAAAGTTTCTTTGTGATTGCGTCAGAATTGGTTGCACACCCCGCTAATCACTTCCTGAATTCGCTGCAAACCGAATATCAGTCAGTCAGGAAAGTAATGAGCACTTTGTCGCATTGAAAATCGCATCACCGCAGAGGAAATGAATTGTGGCGCGGCTTTATTGATTTTTTTTATTTTTTTCGCCACTAGGACATTTCATACGATGAAACATGTTTGATCGTATAAAATGTCTCCAAACAAAAATTTTATAGTGGGATTTGGCTTTCCGCATCAATCGGATGGCCAACTTTTCATGTCTAAAACTGTGAGTGTAAGGGACATTTTAAACGATGAAACATGTTTGATCGTATAAAATGTCTCCAAACAAAAATTTTTATAGTGTTATTTGGCTTTTCGCATCAATCGGATGGCCAGCTTTTTATTTCTAAAATCTTGAGTGTAAGGGACATTTTATACGATGAAACATGTTTGATCGTATAAAATGTCTCCAAACAAAAATTTTTGTAGTGGTATTTGGCTTTCCGCATCAACCGGATGGCCAACTTTTCATGTCTAGAATTGTGAGTGTAAGGGACATTTTATACGATGAAACATGTTTGATCGTATAAAATGTCTCCATACAAAAAATTGCGTAAACACAATAACAATCGGCTGTAAAAGTATAGCTGAAGATTTTAGCTTTCGCTTTGCATAAAAACTCGGGATATTTAACGGTCTTTTTGACGAGATAGCACGCGAGATGCGGAGAGCGGCCAGAGCGAAAGACACAGAGAACGCTCCGCCTTCAATTCAGCAACTCGATTGGCTCAGCGAAAGAATGCTCATTACTTTCTTGACAGATTCATAATGATGAAAAATAATTTTCAAAAAAAAAACTCACCACTTCCATTCTCTTCGGTTTTGCAGTAGAATAGTTGATGCCGTTTTAGGGTCTCGTTTTGAGTGAATTTTAGGCCGCAGTTTTGACAAGAGAGTGCTGAAAAATAAAAAACAAACATTATTTCTTATCTTTTTGGGTTTTTAAAAAAAGAAAAAATTATATCAATCTGTCGGGAAAATAATGTGGATTCGTCGCTCATCATCGTTTTTCGATAGCTAGCCGCGGCTGGAGATGTGGTGTGCCACTGCAAAGAGGGGGTCATTTTTTAGCGACTAATCCACATTATTTTACCGACAGACTGATAATGAATAGCAAAAAAAATTTTTTTTGGTCATTTTTTTTTTTATTTTTGAGTTGTAAAAATCTCTAAAAATTCCGCTAACACAAACAAAACATCAAAACAAAAACAAAAATTTCCTTTTTCCCAAAAAATAAAACACTTTTTTTATATCAAAGATCGCCCAAGCCTCCCAAAAATCCAAAAAAAAACTCACTTGGCTCTTCAGTTTTGACGATGGAATGGCCTGCGGTCACATTCATACTCAGCGTCTGGAGCGCCGGCATTCCGGGACCTGAATTTTCGAAGTGTACAGCGATAAATATCTAATTTCCGATCAATTAGTTTTCGAGGCGCTCGTAAAAATCAACAAATTAATTGTCGAAAAAATCGGGTGGATGACTCAGAATCAACTGAAACGATGATAAATAAGCAAGGAGGACATTAGGAGACGGAATAATTACGGAGATACACGGAGAATAACCGGTTTCTGTTTTCGCACAGTGCAAAAATAGAAAACTGATTGCACTGTGCGGAAAAAATAAAAAAGAAAACTTTTGCACTGTCCAATCAGAACAATTGTGACTGCACTGTGCAATCTAAAAAAATCTAAAAAAATGATAATTGCACTGTGCAAAAGTAAAAATTTGATTGCACAGTGCGGAGAAACGCCGAAAAAAATTTTGCACTGTGCAATCTAAAAAAATTGATTGCACAGTGCGAAAGTAAAAAATTGATTGCACAGTGCGGAAAAATTATGAGAAAAGTTTTGCACTGTGCGATTCAAAAACAATAATTGCACAGTGCGAAGCAAAAAAAAATTATTGCACAGATTAGAACTATTTAGGGGTAGTTCGTGAGGATAAGATCCGGGGATCTCCTAGAAACGACTCGCCAAGCACGTACGAGTGATAAGTTTATCCAAACCAAACGATACAACTGGGGAAAATACCAAAACAAGAGTAAATAAGTCAATGAACCAAGACCAAACTGTAACAAACAGATAATACTCGGGCTCACGCCCTCGCGCGTCCTTCTTCTGTTCTCCTTCTATCCGTCTTCAACCTCTAGCCAAATCCTGTCCTATATCTCCATCTATCCTTTGTCTAATATCTGAATTCCTTCTTCTTCGTGGATCCTATTGTAGTTGCTGCAGAATGCCAATAAGTGTTTCCGTGGTGAGACCATTTCCGGGTATCCATGCGGGTTGCTCTTGAGGTTCCGCTGGCTCCAAAGGTGTTGACGGGCTCCAAATGTGTTTGAACTTGTGATCGTTGGTCATGGTGCTGGCCTAGGTCCTACTACAGTGCGAAAAAGTCGATAAGAAATTTTTTGCACAGTGCGATTGAAGCGATTTTGATTGCACTGTGCAATCAAAAAAAGTGATAATTGCACTGTGCAAAAGTAAAAATTTGATTGCACTGTGCGGAAAGAAGGATAAGAAAACATTTGCACAGTGCGATTGGAGCGATTTTGATTGCACTGTGCAATCAAAAAAAGTGATAATTGCACTGTGCAAAAGTAAAAATTTGATTGCACTGTGCGGAAAGAAGGATAAGAAAACATTTGCACAGTGCGATTGGAGCGATGTTGACTACACTGTGCAATCTAAAAAAATGATAATTGCACTGTGCGAAAAAATGATAAGAAAAATTCTGCACTGTGCGATTGATCGGAAGGGTTGAGACTGCACAGTGCAAAAGTTAAAATTTGATTGCACAGTGCGAAAAAGTCGATAAGAAATTTTTTGCACAGAGCGATTGAAGCGATTTTGATTGCACTGTGCAATCAAAAAAGTGATAATTGCACTGTGCAAAAGTAAAAATTTGATTGCACTGTGCGATTGATCGGAACGGTTGAGACTGCACAGTGCAAAAGCAAAAAAATTATTGCCCAGTGCGAAAAAGTGGATAAAAAAATCTTTTCACAGTGCGATTGAAGCGATTTTCACTGCACTGTGCAATCTAAAAAAGTGATAATTGCACTGTGCAAAAATAAAAAATTGATTGCACAGTGCAAAAAATTGATAAGAAAAATTCTGCACTGTGCGATCGATCGGAAGGTTGAGACTGCATAGTGCATACAAAAAACGATGATTGCAAAGTGAAAAAAATAAAAATTTGATTGTGCGCAACAAAATGATGAGCACTGTGAGATCGGAAGTATTATTGTAACTGCACAGTGCAACCTAAAAACGTTCATTGCACTGTGCAAAAATCGCAAAATTGATTGCACTGTGCAAAAAAAGGTAACCAAAAAACTCTTGCACTGTGCGATCAGAGCAATTGCCACTGCACAGTGCGAACTTTTGAACAATCAAATTTTGAATAGTGCGAAAAAAAGAAAAGAAATTGCACCGTTTATGAGGAGACATTTTATACGACCAAACATGTTTCGTCGTATAATATGTCCCCTACAATTACAACCTTTGACATAGAAAGCAAAAAGAAAAATCGAAAAATTTTATTTTGCACAGTGCGAAGGACCAAAAATCCCAAAAAATTTTTTTATCCCAAAAAATTGACAAAAATTCGACGTATTTAAAAGGTCAAAGTGCGTTGTAAAGAGTCATCATGTTGACCAGACACTCGTATCGCCCGCAAATTTCGATAATTCCGGCGAGTCTGACAGCCCCTCTCTCCTGGAAATCGACAGGTTTTGAGCCGATAAACGAACCAAAAGATGATCGTCCTATCACTCGCTGGACATAAAGTTGAGGGAGCGGTTGATAAGACAAGCTGCCACGTCGATAAGAACCAAAAATGGAAAGGGGAAGATTATTCCATATGGTCTATAAGTTGATGAGTATTCGGCTATAAAATTGCGATGAGAATTGATCAAAATCGCACTCAAATCATTATGAACTTTGAGGAAACTTTAAATAAAATTTTGTCCACGATATTTTCAAGATTTGTGGACCGCGGTTTGCAGAAATAACAGAGATTTTTAGTTGGAAAGTCAATAAAATTTTGAAATTTTTCTGCTACTTTTTGCCACGACAAATTTAGGTCTTATTTCTACTGGACAGCACAACATTTCCACAAAAATTCAATTGATTCCGTACGAAATTGGCAGAGATATCGCCAAAAATTAATTTCCCTTTGACCGCTCTCCGCCTTTCGCGTACTCTCTCGCCAAAAATACCGTTGAATATCTCGGCTGTCTCTACAAAGTGCAAGCTAAAACGTTCAACTACACTTTTATAGCCTATTTTTAGCGTTTTTGCAAAATTTTCTTGATGGAGACATTTTATACGATCAAACATGTTTCATCGTATAAAATGTCCTAGTGGCGAAAAAGTCATCAAATCGGGATTAGTTTGGTTTTGGTAAAAATATTTGACCAAAATTTGCAAAAAACTTGGTCATAGCCTCAGGTATTTTGCGATAATTTTCAAAAAAATCCCTAAAATGATTGCTTTTTCAAAAGGGATAGCTAACAATAACATGTGTAGGAATTTATAATACAAAATATACACATTTTTGGCCCTAAACACACCCAGCAAAAGAAACTTTCATGCGACGGCTAATGCCCTCAGGCAAACCCATTCTCCCGTCATCGTCATCCCATCCCCCATCGATTACCGTAATCACGTCATCGGCGCTAATTACAAAGCGCCGCTTCCAACACGCTCCATCACACCTTCACTGCGGCCCAAAAATAGCCGGCCGCCCTCCAACACCCCCGAACAGACGTCAATCGCTGATAAGCCGCCGACCGTATGACTCGCCTCGATTACAATTTGTTTTGCCGAAGCCGGCCCGGCCGATAAGGCGCGCTGACTTCATGACGCAAATCGCCGCAGCCCGATATCGATTGATAGAAGCGGTCGGCGGGGCGATAAGCGCGTGGAATGTGCAGGAACATTAAAACGTGGCAGGTCGGGCTTTTGGAGGCTTCGAATCGAGCCGCTTTCTTGTTGGAACTAATTGATAAGGCGCCGCGACAGCAATGACACTCGGTATTTGGCATTTTTATGACGGAAAAATGGGAAATTTCCAGGAAAAACGCAATTTTTTGGAAAGTAATTATCTCAAACAACAATATTCGAATCTAGTCCAAATTTTGAACAAATATTGCCTGAGGCACTCTTATTAATCGCTGAAAATTTCAGCTCACAGCTTCCCGAAATAGCCGAGATATTGAACGAACTATGTGGACGAGAGAGTACGCGAGAAGCGGAGAGTGGTGAGAGAAAAACCTCTTTTTGGCCATATCTTGGCCAATTTTGCGGGGAAAAAATTGATTTTTTGTGGAAATATTATACTTTACGGTAGAAATAACCACAAAGATTTTTGAACCAAAATTTGAAAAAAAAAATTTGAATTTTTGCAAAATTTCTGGCTAAAAATCTCGGTTATTTCTGCAAAACGCGGTATAAAAATCTCAAACATTGCCTTGAAATTTTTTTTCCAACATTTTTCATATTTTTTCATCAAAATCAGGTCGTAAAAATTTCTTTTTTTTTTTGCACAGTGCAGTCTCAAATTTTTGAAAATTGCACTGTGCAATCAAATTTGCCAACATTTTGCCGGCCAGACGTTTATTTCCCGCCGCTATACGAACCCTATATGCTGTATAGTTTACCTATATGAAACGCGAAAGTTTGGGGAGAGCCTGCTTATCAATCGCGGCCTCAATCAGCCGCTGATAAGACAATTTTGAAATCACGGTGCGTCGTATGATTCAAACAATTTTTTGGCGAGATTTAATCTCAATTCAAAATAATATTATGAATGGTATGAGTCAGTGGGGATTTTTGAAACAATAAGGAGATTTTGGGTGGCCTGGAAAATAGAAAAAAAATATTTTAAAAAATTTTGAAAAAATAAAAAATTTAAATAAAAATTAAAAATCCAAGGAAACAAAATTAATTTCAAAATACAAAAAAACGAAAAAAATAAAAAAATTTAAAAAAAATAAAAATTTCAAAAACAAATTAAAAAATAAAAAAATAAAAAAAATCAAAAATAAAAAAAACAATTCAAAATAAAAATTTTTTAATTTCGAAAAATCCCAATAAATAAAAAAAAACTCGAAAAAAAAATTTTAATTTCGTTTTTTGAAAAATACAAATTTTTTTAAAAAATATAAAAAATAAAAAAAAAATAAAAAATTTAAATAAAAATTAAAAATCCGAGTAAACAAAATTAATTTCAAAATACCAAAAAATCTGAAAAAATCTTAAAATAAAAAAAATAAAAATTTCAAAAAAATTATTAAAAAATAAAAAAATTAAAAAATCAAAAATAAAAAAATATTGAGTTGATTAAATTTTTTTAATTTCGAAAAATCCCAAAAAATAAAAAAATCTCGAAAAAAAAACTTTTTGATTTTTACTCAACCTTTCCCGACAAATTCCGTCGCCCATTCGTGTGTTTAGAGCCCTTATCAGAGCCCGTTTCCCATCAACAGGCATTTGATGACTTTTTCGGTTTGATAAGCGATAAGCACTGGAATCGGGAAGAAGAAAGGGGCGAAAGACTACAAAAGAAACAATAAAATACAAGTTGTGCCGGCCGAGTTTGTGTGTTTGCACGAAACATGAGCAGCAATTATAATTTTTTTGAAGCAATTAAAATTTTTTTTTTTTTTTTTATGGAAAAAATTGCTTTTTTGGGCAGATTGGTCTTTTCCGTGGAAATACGCCAGAATTTTTATGGGTAGAAACGCAAAAAATTTTGAAATTTTGGTCTTTTTTCGGACTAAAAATCTCGGTTTTTCTATCCTAAATTTATTTTTATTTATTTTATTTTTTTTTTTATTTGTTTTATTTCTGCAAAACGCGAGATAAAAATTCAAAAAAAACTTAAAAAATATTTAAAAAAAAATTAAAAAATTTTTTTTTTCACAAAAAATTTCAAATTTTAGCCAATTTTCTGTCTAAAAATCTCCATTTTTTCCGCAAAGCGCGAGCTAAAAATCTCGAAAATATCTTTAAAAAATACTCTCCAACTTTTCCTCAAATTTCACAAAACCCTAATCTCCTTTTCCACAACCCTTTTCCCAGCTGAAAACCACTCTTTGACCCAACCCAGCCCCTTTTTCCGGTGGCGTCATACGCCGCTTTAGTCATTTTTTACCCTCTTTTGCCTCCGGCGAAACAATCCCTTATCGGGGCGGCGAATCAGCGGCCCAAGTTTGGGCCGAGAATTTTATCAGCGCAAGCAATCGGGCCAAGATAAATGGCCAGAGGCCAACGCGGCCGCTAATACCAATAAACGGAGTTGATATGGGAATATTGTTTTTTTGACGGGCCTTATCGAGATTCCTGGTATTGCACAACGGAAGGGATTGTTGAGGAGTTTATACTGTAGAGGGCTTGGAAAAATGGAGAGGTTATATCAGTTATATATCAGTGTGTCGGGAAAATAATGAGCACCTCATCGCCATCGAGAAAATGAATTGTGTCGCAACAAAAGCAAATTTTTTTCACTCCTCATTATTTTTCCGACAGACTGACAGTGTTGCAAAAAAAACTTTCTTACGTGGAGACATGTTATACTGTCAAACATGTTTCATCGTATAAAATGTCTCCGCCAACGAAGCTTTTGATGTAATCATGTGCACCACAGGTGAATAAAAATGCTGATTTTACAGTTTGAAATGGCTGTTGCAAAGACATTTTATACTATCAAACATGTTTCGTCGTATAAAATGTCTGCGCCAATGATGTCGTTGATGTAATCATGTGCACAACAGGTAAATAAAAATGCTGATTTTACAGTTTGAAATGGCTGTTGCAGAGACATTTTATACGATCAAACATGTTTCATCGTATAAAATCAAATTGCTTTCCACTTCAGCGACGCGAATGGCGCAGCGACATTATCCTCATTATTTTCCCGACAGACTGTTTATTACTTTGCGCAAAAAGTCCTGAGAATTCATCGCGGCCACGAATTGATGCGATTTTCGTTTTGATAGAGTACTCGCTATTTTCCCGTCAGACTGATAGTTTACAAAAAATATTAAAAAATGCTAAATTTTATTATATTTATGGATAAAAACGTAAAAAATTTATAAAATTTCAAAAAAAAATTAAATAATATCTTTAATTCATGAAATAATCTCCACGTCCCTCTCCAAAAAAATGGCCATTTTTTATCTGATTTTCTCAAAATTTGGGCCTTTTTTGAGGCTTGCCCGCCTCCAAAAATATCTCCGTTTCAAGTCGAGATCGGGGAATGATAAGATCCGGCAAAGAGAAGGGGGGCCATCCAGGAAATAAGGCAATCAAATTCGAAGGGAAAGCGTTATTTTTCCGGACAGACTGATAGTGAAAAACCCCTCTATAACGAACAGTTTCAGAGGCCCCAAAAGTCAATTTTCGGCCAAGCCTCCGTACAACGAAACCTCTCCAAAACAAATCATTTTTTTCGCTCCTTACGGTTCATTGTACAGAGATTTGGCTCCATTCTTTGTTGGCTTCAAACTCTCCAACTGTACTACCAAAACACCGAAGCCTTGGTTGATAATACAAACATTTCCCTTTTCCTTCGATTGCGGCAAACGCAGATTCTAATCTCTGCCTGCCTTTTCCGATCAGATCACCGTCAAAATCGGGAAGGTCGCGGTCAGGTCAATCTAGTGTAAATGACACGATTAAAGAAGGCAAAGCGTTTTGGTAAGGTCACAGGTGTTCAGGGTAAAATACGGAAGAGCAGAATTAAAGTAGATTAGTTATTCAAATCGACCAAAAGAATTGAGTAAAAAATCGACCGAAATTATTGACTAAAGATTGACCAAAAATTCGACCAGAATTGTCGACTAAAAACCGGCAAAAATGGGCAAAAAATCTGCCAAAATTATCGACTCAAAAATCGACTAAAAAGATCGGGGTAATCGACGGTGCCGATTTCGAAAATGATTCTTATTTTTTGTGATTTTTACTTTTTTGTGGTCAAAGAGTGCATTGAAGTGTACATCGACACCCTTTCTTTGTCATCTTTTGCGCCGGGAAGAATAAGAGAACTGATCCTTCTTTTCATTGGGAACAAAGGAGATCCAAGAATACAAGAATTCATCACATATGTTTTTGTATAAATCATTATAATTCTTAATTCAAAGAGTTCGAAACAAAGTCGAGCGAACCCGAGCTTGCAAGACAGCGACGTAGAAGTCGAAGATGTAGATGCTCCTGTTCGTCAAGAAATTGAAAGTAATGGAAATAGATTCAACCGTTCAGCCAGGCCCCGACACGAGTATCATGAAGTCCAGCGGTTTGAGTCGGCAGAAGCGTTTCAAGAGTGGTGGGTATCAACAGGGAGTGAAATTGGAGTCAGAAAAGAAGCACACGACTAGCGAGACTACGCGGAAAACAGATTTAAAGTAAGTCTTTTGGATTTGGAATAATCCGAAGTAATTTTAGGTTTTTATCGTCTCAAAATCCAGTATGCGCTTTACATGCACATGCCCCGAAGGTACCAAGAAGAACCGATGTCAGCATGCAGTCTTCATCGAATGCAAGCTCAACTTGGGCAATATCCCCCAGATGCCATGGCACCAACTTCAGCCAAAGAAGAAAAGAGGCCGTCCACGGAAAGCAATAACGCAAAGTCAAGCTTCAAGATCCAGAGTACAACTTCAGTCCCAGTTCGCAGCTTCCTCGCCAAGACGACTTCAAACTGATGCACCCTCGACATCCACAGGTTTTGGATTTTCCGTATTCTCCATTGAACCCTCATGAAATTAGTATCACGTATTTTAAAACGTGTAATATGCGTAATTCTTGCAAGCAGCGTTTTCAGTAACTCAAGCTTGACAATTTTCGGCAAAAAAAATGAAAATGATACTGCTTCACCACACTCTTTGACCACAGAAAAGTAAGAATCACAAAAAATAAGAATCATTTTCGAAATCAGCACCGTCCATTACCCGTATTTCCAATATTTCCTCAAAAAACTTACTGCAAATACTATTTTACACTACGATGTAACTTATTTTACTTGTAAAGTTACTTATTAATCAATTTTTACTACTTCCATGCATTATTTTTACAAAATTATGCTTTCTGGGAGAAAATAGTTTCTTTTCTGGGAGAAAATAGCATTTTTTCATACATAATTTTCTTTTCTGGGGAAAAATATTTTCTTTCTGGGAGAAAATATATTTTTTCTGGGAGAAAATAGGAGTTTTTCTATAATGCTCTTTTCTGAGGAAAAATGTTTTTAATTCTGGGCGAAAATATTTTTCCCAAAAAATTTACCCCAAAAAATCACCTGCGAGCATTTTATTACGATAAAAATTCAATAAATTACTGTTTGAGCACTAAATAACTTTTCTCCGTTTATAATCACAGTCCATTTTTCATACAAAAATCGACCAAGCCTCCAAAACATTGCTGTTTATCCGGAGAAGCTGTCCTCATCGGCCCGAATGCATTGACTCTTGTCCGTGATAGCCTTGGGGCATTTGACACGTTTGAAGGTGACGTCCGGGATCTGCGCCCCCAAATACCAATCCCAGCGCCATTTGCAGCCTGGCTGCAGTTTCTTTGGCAGCTCGCTGCATTCGCTCTCCTGACTGATCCCGCCATAACGCTTTCCCCAGCCGTCTGGCGGCGCGTTGTACTCGGCGGTACAGCCATTCAGGTAGCCGACTCCACAGCCGGGAATCGCCATGTCGAAGTGGTTGTCTTGGAGATCGCCGCCGGTGTTGGTCGCCTGAAATGGAGAATTTTGGAAAGGAAACGAGCTTATGTGCTTTCAAGTTAACCTTGTGCGGACAAGGTTAACTTGAAAGGCTTATTTTGACAATAGTCTCGCTTCAATAACTCCTGAGTTTTTTGAGATTATCACGCCCCCGAATTATGTCGCACTCTGAAAAATGACTTGTTGGCGACAGCGTGCGAAAAATGGGATTCACAAGCGATGCAAACGTTGTTCGTGGGTCAATTGCAACGTGCAAAGCACTTCTTTCGCGATTTTCGCAGCGACACGGAAAACCCACACAGTGCAAATTTCTAAGGACTTTGGTCTGAGAGTATAACTTGGGAAATGATGAAGCCCGCATAACTCACTTGAACCACGAATTTCTTTCCCTTCACTGGGCCCTCGGTGAAGGTCAGCTCATAGCAAGCGCAACACCATCCGCTCTCGTCTTGGCCGGCGATTTTCACAGCAGCAAATCCGTAGGCCAAGGTTTTGTTGATGGCCCAAGGCTGCTCATGGGAGCACATGTATGCGACGCCGTTATCGCCGCAGCCGGACCAGGCGTTCGCGTCCTGGATTGGTTTATCATGGATATCGCAGGCAAGAGAAGGTCTGGTTTTTAGTGAGGCTTTCCCCGGCCAGGCACATGAGGGCTTGCAACAGTCCCTGGAATTAAATTGGGATGATTTAAGAAGCTTTCAAAAAATATACGCCTTGCCATGCTATCATTGTTTTGCGACGATAACGTAATACTCTGTAAGACCTCCCCTCTTCTTACCAGTATCCCGTAGTTGTGGCGTTAGTATCTCCAACGACCGTTCCCACCAGTCCCAACAAAGTCAAAGCCACTACAAACAGCTTCATTTCGAACATTCAACATACCTCGGACCGTTTCGATTTAAATAGTATCTTTATTCTGTTTATTTGACCCTTGGGGACGGAAAGCGTTTGCTCAGCCGTGCAAACGCCTCAATCTCGGGAGTTTCCGCTGTTTTGGGACTTAACTTTGTTGGATCAGCTACAAGTAGTTTGGGGGCAAACTCAAGCCTCGGAGGGTCGTACGGACCAAGTTGTATCAAACCTTAAGCAAATGATTTGAGGGCTGAAGTGGAAGCATTTGAAAATTAATTTCACTTTATTTTTCTGTAGGTATCATGAACAATGTCTGGCAGGAACGCCTTTCTCTTGAGTACAAGCAAAAGAAAGTCTTATGATTCTATTTTTTTAATGTTTTGCCATCTTGATGGATTACGACCGATACAATTAGACATTTGGTCTCAAGAATGTTAAGTAAGTCCGAGAAAAGTCTGCGGCTAAAGCTTGGTAAGAAACGAATTCAAGTTGACAGTAAAGCGTTGTTCGAATACACTGACATCTTCTTCATCGTAGACGGGGAACTCGTCGTTGACGAGCTCAATGTGGTCGTCTTTAGAAAGCCGCACTTCCGCTGCGATTGGCATTCATAACAGCGAGAACAAAACAAGACGCGTGGTCAACATTAGGGTTTGAAATTATTGTGGATTCATGCTCGCCTTTTATACCCGCTATTCAAAATTTCTGCGGAAAATTTCTGCAGTTTGGGGTGTGTTTGTTTTTTGAAACAGAGAGAAGAAATGTCTGCGCTGTTACGCAGAGCCGCGTTTCTTAAAGCTTTAAAAATTTGCCTTTTCAACAGTGCTGTTTAGTGCCGCACATACAGAGTTATTAGCTGGTGGGTCATCAAAAAATTTTGTTGGATTTGGTATTTCAGCGAGTTCGATAGTGGCGATGCCGGGGATTATTTATTACGACAAATAAAAAAATCAATAAATTACTATTTGAGAAGATAACTTTTCACCGTCATGTAATCACAATCCATTCGCACAAAGATTAAAGTTCCAAAAAAATGGCGATTTATCCGCAGAAGCTGTCCTCATCTTCCCGAATGCATTGACTCTTGTCCGTGATTTCCTTGGGGCATTTAACGCGTTTGAAGGTGACGTCCGGGATCTGCGCCCCCAAATACCAATCCCAGCGCCATTTGCAGCCGGGCTGCAGTTTGGCTGGCAGCTGACTGCATTCGCTCTCCTGGCTGATCCCACCGTAACGCTTTCCCCAACCGTCTGGCGGCGCGTTGTACTCGGCGGTGCAGCCGTTCAGGTAGCCCACACCACAGCCGGGAATCGCCATGTCGAAGTGGTTGTCTTGGAGATCACCACCGGTGTTGGTCGCCTGAAAAGGGGAATTTTTTATTTTTTTGGGAAAAAGAGTGGCTGTGATTTTAGCCAAGACAAATTTCAGCCTTATTTCGGCCTTGTTTCTAACGGAGAAGGTAACATTTTCATAAAAAAAACACTTTCCGCACGAAATTGGCAAAGATATGGCCAAAAAGTAACTTTTTCTCTGACCGATCTCTGCATTTTGACTACTCTCTCGTCTGAAAGATCCTTTGTTTTCTCGGCTGCCCTTGTAAAACAGAAGATAAAATTTTCAGCAATATATTTACTGCCCATATCGATGTCATGGACAAAATTTGAAACAAATCTAAACGTCGCAAGCCGAGAAATCCCTAAATTTTCCAAAAATCTCCTACAACTCACTTGAATCACGAATTTCTTTCCCTTCACCGGACCCTCAGTAAAGGTCAGCTCATAGCAAGCACAACACCATCCGCTCTCGTCTTGGCCCGCGATTTTCACAGCAGCAAACCCGTAGGAGAGGGTGTCATTGATGGCCCAAGGCTGCTCATGGGAGCACATGTATGCGACGCCGTTATCGCCGCAACCGGACCAGGCGTTCGCGTCCTGGATTGGGTTATCATTGATGTCGCAAGCAAGAGAAGGTCGAGTTTTTAGTGCCGCTTTCCCTGGCCATGCGCATGAGGGCTTGCAACAGTCCCTGGAATTGAAGGAAGATGTTTTTCGAGAGGGAAATGGTTTAGAAAAGACGAGTTGAGATCCCTTGGTGATGACAAGGAATGGTGTTCTAAGTGCGAGTTTTCTTAGTTTTCTTTAGATTTTTCGCATTCAGCAGAGTGCGAAACAAAACCGGACTGTGCAGTTTCAGGTGTTTTGGCCCACCTTATTTCTCCGTCGGTAAAATAATGTGGAGCCTTAGAACCCTTCCATTATTGCTTTGCGACTGCTAGGCGGGCTGGAAATTTTGCTGCGATAATCCACATTATTTTCCCGACAGACTGATGCTCCCCCGATACTCCATAGGCCCCTCTTGCCGCCTTACCAGTATCCCGTAGTTGTGGCGTTGGTATCTCCAACAACCGTTCCCCCAAATCCCAGCAAAGTCAAAGCCACCACAAACAGCTTCATTTCGAACGTTCAACACACTTCACACCGTTCTGCCTTAAATAGTATCCTTGTTCTATTTATTTAAACTTCGCGGGCTGGGAAAGCGTTTGCTCAGCCACGGAAACGCCTCGGCTCCCTGGGTTTATGACTGTTTTGGGACTTAGCTTTGTTGGATCAGCTACAGTAAACATTTTGGGGGGAAGTTGACGCTTCAGAAGTTCGTTCGAACCTTATTGTTATTATAAAAAATTTATTTGAAGGCTACAATGAGAAAATTTAAATTGTACAGTTGAACAGATTTTTCTGTAAGTGTCACCTAATGCCTCCGATCCTTGGCATAGTAGAGGAACACGGTCTGGCAGGAACGTCCTTTCTCTCGCATGCAGGCTGAAAACAAGAAATTGATTTTAACCTTTAAACACGAAAATTGTCATAACTAATATAATAGTTATGATAATTAGTCGCAAACGCATTATAAAATCGTTGAAAGGTCCGAAGATCTTTTAAGATGGGTGTATGCGTCAAAGAGGTCATAATATAGCTAAAAGTGCCCCATGTGCGAGGCTCAGACTGATGATAAATTTTTCAAAAATCTCGAGATAGATCATATTGTAAACTTACGGCTCTGACACAAGCAATCGCAACCTCCCGGATTGCCATCGGCGCACTGCTGAATGTACGTTGAGGACCCGCAAAACTTGGCGCACTCCGCGCCACATTCCTTCTCGGTTTGGCAGGAGCCATGCCATTGCGCGGTTGTGAGCACAAGCGCGGTGAGAACGACGACCAATGAGAGCAATTGCATGTTGCTAAAAAAGGAAATTTTAATATCAGTCCGTCGGGAAAATAATGGGGATTCGTCGCGTCTTGGAATCGGCCTTCATCGCTTTGCGACGGCAAGAGATTTCAAAAGGAAATAAAATTGCACGGTGCGTCAGCGACAAAAAGGCAAACTGCACTGTGCGCCGCGACATAAAGAGAAAACTGCACTGTGCATTGGCGACAAACGAGGGAAAACTGCACTGTGCGTTATAGAAAAAAGGCAAAATTCACCGTGCGCCGCCACAAGAAGTCTACACACTTTTGAAAAAACACAGTAAAGCAGTTTTTTCAACAGAAACAATTTCAGAAACCTACAAAGAACTAAGTGCCTTCGAGTTACCAAAGTAAAACTGCGTCCAGATTGTAATTCCCAACGCTTAAAAGAGCGAACGGCCCAGATCTTGATAACGAACTCCGGCTCCCTCCTTTCTTGTCGTACGCTGTAAACAAGCGTAGACTGGCCGAGGAAAGGTTTTTTGAAACGCTGATTACGAAGAACAGACGGTTACTTTTCGGCGCCACGACGTTTCGGGTCAACGACAGATACTTTGGGTTGCCTCGATTCGGAGATGTATGAATGGTGAAGGCTGGAAAAGCATATATAGTAGAAAGAATCCGATTTATCAAGTCCTAGAACAGCTTGATTTAGAGGTATAAAAAATAAAATAAAAAAATAAAAAAAACTTACGGATCTTCGGTTGGGTCCTTCCATGCTAAAGTAGCTCAGGGTGACAAAAAGAGTTAACAAACGCTGAAATTAGAAAATTGTCATACTGTAAGTCTCCGCCAACTCTCCGCCGAGCCTTCACCGAGCATCCAAAATTTTCGTTAGGCCATAGGCGCCTTCTACCACTTTTTTATCGATCTACGCCTGCGTTACTCCTCGGATCGAATGGTCTTGTGTTGACCAGAACTGTTGTCGACAAGAAAAGCCTGGTAATTTTTAATCCAAAGGATAAAAAGCCAACATATCATAGTCATGTGGAATTTCCATCATTTAAGAAATAGAAAACTATAGTCGATCCTTTCAGAAATACAGAGGACCTCGAGTAGTACTTTGCATCTTGAATGCTCGTTGCTCCCAGATTTCGGTGATGTCAAAAATTTTGGCTTTCAAATCCCTGCAAAACAATACTACAAACAAGAATGCACAAACTATTCCACGAAAAGCTCGTCTCAGTTCCCCCGAAAAAGCCGTCCATCCGCTGAATATGACGTTGTAGGGCCACTGCGCTTTCGCCTGTTGCATCATCACTGTATAAAATAGAAGGACTGCGACGATTTCACTTGATTATGCAAATTAGCGAAAGCAGAACGTGAAAAAGTAAAGCATGTATGGCTAGAGCATGAAGATCGTGATAATCCTCGACAAAAGTCGAGTGTTTTTCGAAATTCAGCGGTTTTCCAAACGGTTTTTTTACTTTCAAAGAATGATGAAAACAAAATTTATTATTTTTTGGCCAAAAAGTTCGTTGGGTACGAAAATGTTTCCGGAAAAAAGATCTGCAAAACAGATTTTTCCAAGCTCAGAGATATCTGGAGGGGTGTTGGGTAATCAATTTATCGTGCTGATTTATAAAATTCAAGCCATTTTTTTGTATATTTGCTTGACTTTCTTAAATGGTTTGGTCAGAAGAGCCCCTAACTTTTTCAAAGAGGGCCCCTGTATGAAGAGAGCACCTGGGTAGAGGGCAATGGGTAAAGGGGACATCTACCTTCTTCAAAGAAGGCACCTCGATGAAAAAATAATACAATAAGGGCGTAACAAGGCACATTTCTTTAGAATTAGAATAAAGTCTTTTTTCATTTGCCGAGAAAAGCCTTGGTCCTCCTTTACCATATCATTTTTTACACTAGGTGTCTTCGCCATGTAATCTCTTCGCCCAAATGCCGTCTTTGAAAAAGTTTGGTGCCCTCTTCGCCAATGGCCCTCTTACAATTAGTCCAGGTGCCATCTCCGCCAAGGTTCTTTATTTTCCCTCTCCAGACCGAATCACTTACATACATAGTAAAAGAAAAACAAGTAAGGATAAAAAAATTAATCTGTTTTTTGAAATCCACGCCATCGGTTACCCTAAACCCCGCACTACAAGTTGGCGCCGCGCCAAGCTTTTCCCTGATGTGTCAAGTTTCTCTCTCACGAAAAAACTGGGATCTGAACGGGCCCCCGTTCAGATCCCAATGGGGCAGAAAAAAATTCTTTGCGGATCTTTTTGGCTCTTGCAAAAAACATAGAAACATGTCTTTCAAACCTTTTTGAATTGCTGTTTTTTAAATATCTCTTAATTTTTTTGATGTGTGGTGTGTCACATTAACGTCAAACAGCCAAAATGAGATGTTTTATCGATGAAAGATCTCGGAATGACCTTATCTTTGTCGATATAAACCCCAAGAACGCCGAAAATATAATGCGTGCCATATTCATTTTTACGTTATAAGGGATGATTTCAACATTTTTTTATTTTCTCATTAAAATCAGGGCGTGAAATTTTGATGATTTTGCACAGTGCAAAAAATTTTTACAGGTGTTTGTTGTACGAAGGCTTAATTGTTTGTTCTATTTAACACATTACTTAAAAAATATGCCCTTTTAAAATTTACACTCTAATAATCCGCCCTTTGAACTGTTTGCCGACGGATTTCCTTGTCTCGGTTCTACAGCTGATAAATCTCTGAAAGCAGGGCAAAAAAAACTCTGAAGGAAATGAAAAAATTATTTCCTCATTCTCAAAGTTCACGTTGATCTTTTGCTTTGCTCTCTACAACTACACAGCTATCAGCGGGATTTGCATGCGAACTAGGGGGCTTGGCTGGCTTTTATTGACAAAATTTTTTACAAGGTCAAAGTTTGTTGGCTTTTTTGCGGCTTTAGGAGTGATATTATACTTCGTGGACGGGCCTAAAAATAATTTTGCTAATAAAAAAATTATAAAGTATCTTACAAAAATTAATATAGCGCCCTGAGGCAGTCTAGAAAAATTCGATTTACTGGTTTCGCTCAAAAAAATCGGCTGTTTTTTATCATTTTGTTGGAAAAATAATATGAAAATCATGCCGCTCCAAATTCTGGGGACAGATTCAACTTGGGCTACGTATAACGTTCTAAAAATATTAGCTCATTCTTTGCAGGCGGAGCCGAGATATTCAACTTCCTTTGCAGCCGACAGAGTATGCGAAATTCGGGGACGGTCAGAGAAAAAAAACGCATTTCGGCCATATTTCTGCCGTCTTTCCCCAAGTTATGCGCAAAATAAACCTTACAGCTCCATTCGTTTTGTATTTACTATATATTGAATATAAATTTCAGACCCCCTATTCCCCAGTGTAAGCCATGATTACACCGAAAATCGACCCAGTCTTGATTTTGGACGAGCGCGGCACCCTGAAAGCGGCCGATCAGGCATCCAGAGTCGAGAAATCGAATGTTGTTTTTGCCCACAAAACCCGGCATTTAGTCATCATTCTCACAACACTCTGCTTGACCTGCGTTATCAGCAACTCGTTGGCGTTGAATTTCACTGTGATTTGTATGTTCAAAGAGGATGATGGGACGTGGAATTCGACCGGTAAGTCGGTTAATTAAGCCCTTGGTATAGTATTGGTATTTTTATTGTTCTGTCTGGAAAATAATGATCGAAACGTGGCGGCGCTAATCGCGTCGCTGAAGTGAAAAAAAAATTTTTGATTTTGCCGCGACACAGTTCACTTTCGATGCGAGAGAGGGTGCTCATTATTTTCCCGACAGACATATCATTTTCATAAAGTGCATGGACATCTGTCGTGTCCCACACCGTGCACAAAAGAACCTCCGTTCTGCACCGTGCATTTCACTTTTTTTGGTGTTGGCACTGTGCGACGGAGTGCTCGTTATTTTCCCGACAGACTGATGCTAATATTTATATAAAGAAAACTGCTTGTTACTAGCAAAGATCTTGAAATTTTCCCTCTTTCCAGACCTCGACAAGACCGGTCATCCGCCGTTGTTGTACAGCGAGCTGCAGCAAAGCTGGCTGTTCTCGGCCATTGCCATCGGCACGTTGGTGGGGACAATACCACTGACTGTCTTCACAAATCGATTTGGAATGAAGTAAGCACACTCTGTATGCAAAATTTTAGAAATACGATTTTTGCTTTTCGAGAATTTGCCTTATAAATTTTCCCATTTTCAGACTGCTATTTACAATTTATGGAGCCATATCCGCCATCGCAACACTAATTCTGCCAGCGGTTGTGTCGCTAGGCTTCTATCCAGTCCTATTTCTTCGATTTCTGCAGGTAATTTTATTGCTCATGACATTAGTCATCATCTTCTCTATCTTTACTTTTAGGGCTCTGCAGTAGCCACCTCTTTCCCCGCGATGGGCTCAGTAATCGCTGAATGGGCGACGTTGAAAAAGTCCGGAACCTTTGTAGCCATCGTCTCCGGCCATCTTCAGCTCGCTCAAATCTTCACCATGCCGGTGGCGGGCGCACTATGCGAGAGTTCGCTGAGTTGGCCGGCTCTCTACTACCTTCAAGGAGCGATTACTGTAGTGTGTTTTGTTGTTTTCTGGTTCTTTTATGAGGACACCCCCTCGGTTCATCGAAATGTCAGCGAAAAGGAGCTCACAACACTGCAGAAGAACAAGGTTGTGCGGGTGCTGGAGGAGAATGAGGTCGACAAAACGCCGTACAAGGCGATTCTGACGGACCGACCGGTCATTGGAGTGCTTTGCTCGTCGTTTGGAGCGACTGTTGGCTTTCAGTTCTTCTTCCAATATGGTCCGGTTTATTTGAATCAGGTAAATGATCGACGAAATTTTGTCTAAACGGAGGTCCTATCAGTCTGTCGGGAAGATAATAAGCACTCTGCACGTCAATCGAAAATAGAAGAAAAAATTTCCCGCCCCTTTTTGGTGATTCGTTCAAAACGAAATGTCGCTGTCCGATAAAACGCATTTTCTTATCTTTCTTCTTCCTTTTCGAGAAAAAGCAATTATTTCGGGCGAGAAAAAGTGCCGATAATTTCGTGACATTACGTCTCTCCTCTCTTTTAAACCAATGAAAACGATACGAAGTTTCGAAACGGTTCAGGAAATGCGCTGGATTGACGTGCTCTGTCGCATTGAAAATCGCATCGCCGCCAGGAAAACGAATTGTGTCGAGGGAACATCAAATTTCTTTTAACTTCAGCAACGCGATCAGCGCAGCGACATAGCGCTCATTATTTTCCCGACAGACTCATCATACCATAAAGTCCGTAGAATTTTTTTCGCCGACATCGCGGGTGTGATCGCCGAAAAGTGCATGTCGCTAGTGCAAAAACGGGAAGTCGCAGCGGCGAGGGCGAAAAAACGTACTGTGCAAATTCTACGTACTTTATGTCGCGACTAGTATTGCCATTCTCTGTGTTAAGACAAGGAGCAGCAAAAATTCTATGACATTTCATCTTCCAAGCCGTAAAAATTCTGAGTCAAAACTAGCTGTATAATTCCCTTTATGGAAAAGAAATACCGGTTGCAACATGTTGTACTCTCCCCCTCCACTCATCTTCCTTCCATTTCAGGTTCAAGGATTCGACGTTACGGACACAGGATTCGCCGCGGCCCTGCCCTTTATCCTATCCTTGATCGTCAAGTTCATGCTCGGCCCTTGCAGCGACAGTGTGCCGTACGTCAGCGACAAAGCGCGCGTCATTTTGTTCGCCTCCATTTCGCAGTACTCGATGGCCGCGTGCTTCTTCGCGTTGGCGTTTTTGCCGCCCTCGCAGCAGGTCCTGTCGCAGATCTTCTTCACCGCCGCCATCGTGTTCAGCGGCTTGAATGCGGTGGGCGTCACGAAGAGCTGTCAGTTGGTAAGGGAATGCGAGAATCGAAGAGCTTGTTCTTTAGATTTCCGGCAGATTCGTCCACTTCCTCATGTCGCTGAACATGTTCATATTCAGCATCGTGGTCCTGCTTATTCCATTCTTGGTGGCCGTGTTTGCGCCCAATGGAAATGCCGAGGAGGTGAGTGGAACAAATGATGACAAAACCCTACAAGATATTGCCAACTCTGAAGTTCATTTTTCAGTGGGCTCGTCTTTTCATCGGCACCGGGATCTTGGTTGTAGTCGTTACAACAATCTTCAACTTCACAGCTGAAGTCACTATTCGACCTTGGGCCGACAACCCTGCGCCTTCCGCGAACGCTCCACCTCCGGAAGTGTTCGAGCTGAGCGCGAATGAGTTGCGCAACAAGGAGAAGGTGGGGCAGGTCCTGCAGGCCAAACGATTGTCCATTCAAAGCAACTCGAGTCAGCTGCGCCAGCTGGGACAAGCGCAGGCCAAGAGATTGTCCATTTATTCCGTGGATTAAGTTGTTATCGAAAAAATAAAACATCCCTTCAAAGGGCTCTTGGATTTCGACAGGTTCGGACTAGTAAGCTTCAGAGGTTAGCTCCTCGCTTCGTGTGTCGATTCTGAAAAAATGCCACTATCTCCGCGCACGACGAGATAAAGCGAACGATGCTGATATCTCATCCTTTCCCCATTATATTCCAGTTACGTAATTGGTAACCAAACATTACGTATTGGCCGGATATTTCCGCGCTGAGCGGGCGTCGGATGATCGGCGTCAGCGTATGATCCCGTCAAGGCCTTTAATCTCTGTCTCTTCGTCCAATGACAGATCTTTGCGTATGGACAGAGAAAAGTCCGTACGCAAGCGGACGACACAATTTTATCAGGTTTAAGCGTACTATAACGGGACGTTTCCTCGAGTCCTCTAGGTTCATGAGTGAAGCGTGAGGGAAGTTTGTTTCGACTACCCGAATGAGCCTTTTAACGTGACAATAATTTGGGGTTAACCCTGGAAGCATATCGCCTTAGTTCGCTCTTTGCAGGAACAAACGAGATTAAGAAAAAAAGCTGGCAAAGGCATGGCCAAAAAGTGCGTATGACAAAAAAATCTTTAGAAAAGGCACACCATTCAGTATACGATTTATTCACAAGTAAAAAAAGTGAATAAAATTGGTTCAAGTAGTGGAAGCGGAAGGACGCGCGCATGGGCATTTTTCCTGAAATAAATAAAATTTAGTCATGTCAAAAAAAATAATTTTTTTTAAGACCCCAATTTATTGATTTTAAGAAGATAGATCACCCTTCGGAAAGACTAAATAATCTTATTTTTTCAATGATCTAGAACGTGAAAAAGGTCAAGGCGGTTGTTTAAAATCACCCGAAAATAGTCCCAATGCTTTTTGTCATGCTCTACATACGATTTATAATGACTCCCTAGGTGAATTGTGGCTTACCTCATTTCTTTCCTTCTGGTTTACCAGGAAAGCGATGGCGGCGTCTTTCTTCTCTAAGGCAACCTGAAGTGGCAAGACTGTGACCTCGTGAGCCAACTTGTTCAGTTTCTCTTTGAGTTCGCCGCACTAAAAATAAATTTCATCTGACCCACATTTTTAAAAAAATTAATAAAAAATTGACTACACAAATGTTTTCCCCAGCTGCGCCCGAGCATTGACTTTCAAGTAGGGGCCAATGCGCTATCTGAAAGTTTGCTGAAAGTTAGCTGAAAATGGTAGGGCGCAGCTCGGAAAACTGGCACGGGCGCAGCTCGCATCTCGGGGCCAGCTCGGAAAACAACGTTTCGCAGCTCGCCGGAGTTAAGTTTCGGCTTGTTTTCGAGCTGCACCCAAAACGCGAGCTGCGCCCGTGCAAATTCTCCGAGCTGCGCCCTATGATTTTCAGCAAACTTTCAGATAGCGCATTGGCCCTAGGAATTGGCATCTGCCAAATTAAGGTCCGGGCGCAGCTCGGCGGAAATTCTTCCTGTTTGACCAGTTCAAGGCAGAACAGGTTACTAATTTTAACAAAACTTACGTAAGCCTCAGCTTCTGACTCATCCAATGTTCTGATGAAGTTTCTGGTAGGAACTGGGAACAGGAGATGCTCTCGTCTTTGAGCCTTGATTCTGATTTGTCCAAATAGTGGTGTTAACCTATCAAACTCCTCCAATGTTTCCACAGGGGAAATGTGCTCTGGACTTCCCGTAGCCGAGATAATGTCAGACGCCTAAAATAAGCAACACATAAAAAAATGTTTTTCGGATTTGCCCACAATTTTGCATACATGTCCTCAACTAGACACAAAACCATCCCCAAAAGTCTTAGCTCGCGCTTTCCAGTCGCAGCTGAGATATTCGCCAAACGTTTTTGCGAGAGAGCACGCGAAATGCGGAGAATCGGTCAGACGGAAAACGGATTCTGTTCATAACTTTTTCCTTTCCGCATGGAAAGTTTTTGTTTTTGTGTAAAAATTGTACACTGCAATAGCAACGCAGCTTAAAATTTCTAGGCCAAAACTAACAAAAAATTAAACTTTTTCGACCACTTTTAATCAAAAAATCTCGGAACGCGCAAACTCCGCGTTGTGCAGAAAACGCCATTTGCACGGTGAAAAAAGCAAAACATTGCAGTGCCAGAAATTAGGGGAAATTAAGTAAGCTTTTATTTTCGCGCAATAAACGTCGCCGCAAAAAAATAGTAAAATAATAAAAAACTAGACTCACCATTATGCCCGGAATTCCGCTGAATGCGACGACCATCGTGCCCTTCTCCAGCTTTACGAGATCCGTTATGTGTCCATAATTCTCCTTACGGAGATCGACCACAACCTGGGCCCTTGATTCGGCCATCCTCAGCGAGCACATCCAACCGATAATGAAGTTTTTTTGGGAATCGGAAAGCTCCGCCAGTTTATGCAAGAACTTTTTGAGAAAAATGAAAATTTGTATATTTCATGCATGGTCGGTTTCAATTTTGAAAAAAATCCCCGGGTCCTTATGTGAAAAAATTATGATGGGGCAGATCCTGCAAGACCGGGCCGACCCAAAAGGCTCGCGGCATAATTCTAGTACTCAGGCTCACAATGAGTCGATAAACTGTTACCTAAGAGCAGGCCCCCTTAATTGTGGTTGCACATTGTACACACGTTCTGGTTAAAGGTTTTCTGAATGTACCAGAATGGAGGGGTCCCGAAGGGACGGTTTTGTTCTCTTTTTTCTTGACATGGGCCGCACTGAAATCGGCGACATGCACTTGCGAGAAAACAAAAGCTTTCTTTGCGCTGTGCAGTTTGTTGCTTTCTGCACCGTGCATTAGGCTTTTTTGGACTGAGGTACCCCGGCCCCCCCCCCCTGGCATGACCATATCTGACCGGTCGATTTTTTGAGGAGCCGTCGAAACTGTTGAAGAGTTATCGAAGGAAGAATTGATTTTCCCATGGGAAATCAACCATCCCTTCTCATTCCACATTCATTCTCCCTGAAACGCCTTGAGATGGAAGGTTGCCAACTCCCTCTGCTCCTGCTGCTGGTCGTCAACGTTGATGTTCTGCAGGGACAAGTGGAGGAAAACTGCAGAGAGATGTATTCAGTTAATGGAAACGCCACTAAGCCGGCGTGCAAGCAAGGCGAGGTTTGTATCGAACTGGACGTGAAGAACTTCACCGTTTACGTGGAGGATCATAATGTAAGTGTAATGGGGCGACTACCCCAGAACAAAAAGCAAATGTTTTACAGTTTGCGGAACTTTTGGCCAACATTTTACAAACTTTTCCAAAAAAAGTAAAAACAGAAAAATTTCAAGGACAAATACTGTAAGGTTGCGCAGCGAGGTACGGAACGTATTTTCCGACCGAAAAAATATTTTTCTCGGAATTGTTTTATTTCTTTTGTCAATTTTGACACTTCGTTTGGACGAAACGTCAAGGTGGGCGGAAAATATTTTTCTTCTATTTCGAGTTGCCTTCCTCTTTTCATTTTCCCAAGGCTTGATTTTTTGGTTGGTGGTTAATCTCTGCGCGACTTGTACCAACTATTTTCAGGACTATGAGCCCCCGTTCGATTACATGAGCATTGTGTCGAGTGAGTTGTGTGTTCCACAGCAGTTTATGTATTAATACGAATTTAGAATACGAAGGCGGTCAATTCTACACGTATGATGGTGTGCAGCGGAAAACGGGCAAACGCTTGTAAGAGTTTGTCCGCGTCTTCGTTTAGGTTCGATTTTGAAAATACAAAAAGACATTTTAGTAATGCACCACCTCTTATTTGGTCTTCTCGTCACCAGATCCCCTCCAGCCATGACCCGCAGTTCTTCGCGCAGCTGTTCTCGGAGAGCGTCGAGATTGTCTCAATGGGGTAAGTCTGAAAAAAACCGGAGCTTAACGACCGCGGTGGCGGGTAGGCCCAGATCTCTGTTCAATTTTTTCCATGATTTTTCAGCAAACGAATCGCAAGACAACGGCATAACGATGTTTATCGCATCCAAACGTTACTGGACTCCCCGTTGACCGTTGATGAGGTGAAACGCGCCTTTGTCTACAAGGAGTACATGTTCATCAGTCCGACGAAGGCTGTCGACTTTAGAGTTCTCTACGAGAAGAGGGGGCCCTTTGAGGACGATATAAACAGACCAGGGCTGCTTTTGGAGCGCAATGTTGGCCTGATCGACCCCGCCGACATCCCCAACGAACACATCGACGTGAATTTCCTGACCCTGATCCTGAATCAATGCTTTGTAAGTTTGGGAAAAGTGCAGCTGTTGACCACTTCAGCCTGCCTGTATTTTCGTATTTCAGAAGCGTGATAAGTACTGTTCGTTGGATATCAAGACCGAATCCTTGGACCTGCAAGATTACCCAGTGGCCTTCACCAACGACGACCTGGTTCTGGAGTCGTTTTGGTTTCAGTAAGTTCACCTGCACCGTTCTTTATGCCCACGTTTAGAAGGCACTGCGAAATGAGTCCGATGTACCGTATTCGGCACAAGAAAACAGCTCCGAAGTAAGTGGGACTGGAACTGGGACGATTGGAGAAACCGAAAAGTGTTATTTTTCTTCTATGGAAATGTTGAAATTAGGATAATCGAGGATGTTGATTTCGAAAATCATGTTCTATTTTTCTGAACTTTACCAGTTTTCCTTAAGTAGTAGTGTTAAAAAGTAACTTTTTGAGATTTTTCTAGGAATACTGGATATAGGGGTTCTCGAGGGTGCTGATTTCGAAAATGACATTCATTTTTTTGATTCTTACTTTTTTTCCTTAAGTAGTACTGTAAAGTAGTAATTTTTGAATTTTTTTTTCATAAATACTCGATTAGGGGTTTTATGCTGATTTCGAAAGATAAGTGTCATCTACATTATTGGATTTATTCTTGGAGTTCATTTTTTCGGTCGTTTTTCGGTTGTTTTTTCGGTCTTCCCCGGTGTGTCCCAAAATGGAGTACGGTGTGGAAGAAAAAGCTTGGGCTGTGGTTTGGTACGGCAAGTACGGTTCGCCGACAAATGTTCAAAGGGAATACCGCATTAAATACGGCCGTAATGCCCAACTTCCAGATCGCAAGACAATTCGGCGTTGTTAATGAACATGATTTCCGAAATCAGCACCCTCGAAACCCCAAAAATCGAGTATTTATGAAAAAATTCAAAAATTACTACTTTACAGTACAACTTAAGGAAAACTAGTAAAGTTCAGAAAAATGAACATGATTTTCGAAATCAACATCCTCGATTATCCTAATTTCGAAATTTGCATAGAAGAAAAATAATACTTTTCGGTTTCCCCAATCGTACTTTTCCCCGATCATCTTTTTCCCCAATCGTCCAACTCCGAGTGGGACTTTGAGTTGGCTAATTTGGGATTTTTAGTGTGATCTTCGATTTCCCGGATGTTGAGAGCATCGTAACGCACGGAACGAATCTTTCGTGGGTATATTACCACTATGATGACCCTGATGGGTGAGTCTTTTCATAGTAGTTGCAAATCTTAGGGCTTCGGTGCAGACTTCAGACTTTGGGCACCGATTTCCAAAAACGGGCGTTGCGTTTAGAAAAAAATGCACCGGATTTCGGAATTGGGTGCCGAGAAAAAATTAAGTCGACGTCAATTTTTCGATTTGGGCGTCCACTTTCTTGTGCACCGAAAATCGCGATTTGGAAAAAAAATCCGAAATCTTATATGACCACCTTTATATATAGAAACTCGTAAACTTTTTTTCAGCGATTGGACAAGAATTCCATACACAAGACGTGGTATCCTGCCGATTATCCAGCCGAACGATCCCTTTTACGACTTTGTGAAACGGTACACCACTCCCGCCCCAACGACCAAACCCCGCCCGCCACCAACCACCACCACTCTGAAGCCTGTCCAGGCCGGTTCCGCCCCAAATATCATTGAAATCGAGGAGGACTCGGTGGACGATATTGTCGGCGTGATCGAACCCCCAATCTCGAAGAATGTACCGGCGATCTCGCGTCTTCCTTTCATCTATTACACGCTTGGTTATGCCACTGTCCACTTGAAAACTCACAATACGTATATGTAAAGTAATGGAGACGGTATTCATCAAGGCAAACCGAATAAAATTATTACACATACGGCTGATTGGAATCGATCTGTAATGCAATAAAATCCAGAGCTATTGTAGTCCATGGCGGTAGCAAGTCCCTGAAAAAAATTTCTAACAAGGAAAGTACTTCTATGGGTTGTGGAGTTACAGGTCGAGATATATATCAAAAAATTCGCAAAAATTTTCTGATTCAGAATATATAAAAATTAGCTGCCTAATTTTGGTCTATCAACGAGTTTTATCAATAAATGTATTTCTCGAGGAAAAAAATCTGCGGCAACAAAAGCGCGCTCGATCTCTTGCTTCGGACGAGAGCGGTGTGGCCGAGTGGTTAGAGCGCTAGATTGGGAATCCGAAGGGAACGGGTTCGATTCGTTTTGCCACACTAGAACCCATTTTTTACATTGGAACTACTTCTAAGGTGTAGTTGTAATCTAATTTGATATTTTAAGGCTTGTCAAGGCCTCAGAATTTATTTTAGCACAAAACAAAACTTTTTTATTGGTAAAAACACGGTCAAAAAAACACTTGCATGGTGTCGCGAGAAAACTTCTGAGGACAAAAACATGTCATCAGACCAAAATTAGGCAGCTAATTTTTATATATTCTGAATCAGAAAATTTTTGCGAATTTTTTGGAAATGGGGAATTTTTCGGGCGAAAGAGTACGTTTTTGCGTGTCTTTTTTTCTCTCTTTCTCTGGAAATCAAGACAAAAGGTAAAAAACCGATAGCGAAGTGTCTATTCCGGTCACCGGACTCTTCAGTTTGACGTGCGGCTTTGTTATATTTTTTCTTGACGTGCGCCGCACTGAAATCACACATGCACTACGAGAAAACACAAGCTTTCTTTGCACTGTGCAAGTTGTTGCTCTCTGCACCGTGCATTAGGCTTTTTTGGACTGCGGTAACCCCCCTCCCTTGGCATGACCATATCTGACCGGTCGAATTTTTTGAGGAGCCGTCGAAACTGTTGAAGAGTTAGCGAAGGAAGAATTTATTTTCCCATGAGAAAATCCTACCATCTCTTTTCATTCCACATTCATTCTCTCTGAAACGCCTTGAGATGGATGGTTGCCAACTCTCTCTGCTCCTGCTGTTGGTCGTCTACGTTGATGTTCTGCAGGGACAAGTGGAGAAAGACTGCGAATGGGTGTACGCAGTTAATGGAAACAAGGCCACTAAGCCGGCATGCAAGCAAGGCGAGATCTGTATCGAGCTGGACGTGAAGAACTTCACCGTTTACGTGGAGGATCATAATGTAAGTGTAATGGGGCGACTACCCGAGAACAAAAAGCAAAGGTTTTTTTGGGACAGTTTGCGGAACTTTTGGCCAACATTTTACAAACGTTTCCGAAAAAAAGTAAAAACAGAAAAATTTCAAGGACAAATACTGTAAGGTTGCGCAGCAAGGTATGGAACGGATTTTCCGACCGAAAAAAATATTTTTCTCGGAATTGTTTTATTTCTTTTGTCAATTTTGACATTTCGTTTGGACGAAACGCAAAAGTGGGAGGGAAACATTTTCCTTCTATTTCGGGTTGCCTTTCTCTTTTCATTTTCCCAAGACTTTATTTTTTTTGGTTGGTGGCCAATCTCTGCGCGATTTGTACCAACTATTTTCAGGACTATGAGCCCCCGTTCGATTACATGAGCATTGTGTCGAGTGAGTTGTGTGTTCCACAGCAGTTTATGTATTAATACGAATTTAGAATACGAAGGCGGTCAATTCTACACGTATGATGGTGTGCAGCGGAAAACGGGCAAACGCAAGTAAGACTTTGTCCGCGTCTTTGTTGAGATTCGATTCTGAAAATACAAAAAGAGGTTTTAGTAATACACCACCTCTCATTTGGGCTTCCCGCCACCAGATCCCCTCCAGCCATGACCCGCAGTTCTTCGCGCAGCTGTTCTCGGAGAGCGTTGAGATTGTCTCAATGGGGTAAGTCTGAAAAAAACCGGAGCTTAACGACCGCATAGGCGGGTAGGCCCAGATCTCTGTTCAATTTTTTCCATGGTTTTTCAGCAAACGAATCGCAAGACAACAGAATAACAGCGTTTATCGCGTCCAAACGTTACTGGACTCCCCGTTGACCGTTGATGAGGTGAAACGCGCCTTTGTCTACAAGGAGTACCTGTTCATCAGTCCGACGAAAGCTGTCGATTTTAGAGTTCTCTACGAGAAGAGGGGGCCATTTGAAGACGATATAAACAGACCAGGGCTGCTTTTGGAGCGCAATGTTGGCCTGATCAACCCCTTCGACATCCCCAACGAACACATTGACAGGAATTTCCTGGCTCTGATCCTGAGGCAATGCTTTGTAAGTTTGAGAAAAGTGCAGCTGTTGACCGCTTCAGCCTGCCTGTATTTTCGTATTTCAGAAGCGTGATAAGTACTGTTCGTTGGATATCAAGACCGAATCCTTGGACCTGCAGGATTACCCAGTGGCCTTCACCAACGACGACCTGGTTCTGGAGTCGTTTTGGTTTCAGTAAGTTGATCTGCTCCTTTTTTTATGCCCACGTTTAGAAGGCACTGCGAAATGAGTCCGATGTACCGTATTCGGCACAAGAAAACTGCTCCGAAGTAAGTGGGATTTTGAGTTGGCTAATTTGGGATTTTTAGTGTGATCTTCGACTTCCCGGATGTTGAGAGCATCGTAACGCATGGAACGACACTTTCGTGGGTATTTTACCATCTATATGGGTAAGTCTTTGATGTAAAGCGCGGAGCTTGCGCTCAAGTCCGTCCCATGAAAATTTGGCCTTTATGCGTTAGTGGCGTTGTTCTGGTGCCTGGTACTGCTATTTTCACGTCGTACTGTGTAGTATCAGGTAGTACTAAATAGCACCAACTCTTTAAAACGTGTTTTTGAAGAGTACTAACAATAAGCATCAAAGCAATACCGTTAACGTCAAAACCGTCGCAAAATGGCCGATTTGCGTCCGACGTCTTTTTTGGAGGTTGCAAATTGAGGTTTCCGCTACTTTTTGAAATTGGTAGCGAATCCAGCAAATATTCTCGAACTCGAGAAAAAATTCTTATTCTTTCGCTCTTATATTGTATATAGAAACTCGTAAACTTTTTTTCAGTGGTTCGACAAGAATTCCATACAGAAGACGTGGCATCCTGCCTATTATCCAGCCGAACGATCCCTTTTACGACTTTGTGAAACGGTACACCACTCCCGCCCCAACGACCAAACCCCGCCCGCCACCAACCACCACCACTCTGAAGCCTGTCCAGGCCGGTTCCGCCCCAAATATCATTGAAATCGAGGAGGACTCGGTGGAATTTGAGGGCAACATTGTCGGCGTGATCGAACCCCCAATCTCGAAGAATGTACCGGCGATCTCGCGTCTTCCTTTCATCTATTACATGCTTGGTTATATCACTGTCCACTTGAAAACTCACAATATGTATATGTAAAGTAACGGAGACGGTATTCATCCATACGGCTGGTTGGAATCGATCTGTAATGCAATAAAATCCAGAGCTATTGTAGTCCATGGCGGTAGCAAGTCCCTGAAAAGATTTTTCGGGATAATCACCATTTTCGTTGCGTGTGAAAATGTCATAAAGGCTAGACAAAAGGGACAATTTTCAAGTAAATGTTAGGAACCGCATTTTCCGTAAACGTAAACCTCGTTCGAGACAAGCTAACGATAAGACTGGAAATTGCAAATAATGTTTTACCCCCGAAAATCCGTTAGACCTTATACTTCAAAAAAGAGCGTTTTTTTTGAAATTTCAACTTACTTTTCAAGTTCTACGTATATGCATATTTGGGACATACATGGCACAGTTTTATTGAAAACCACAAAAGTTACAGCGATTTCAAAAGTTCCTTTATATTTTTGTCGAGCACTGTATAAAAAACGCTGTCGCTTGCTCTTTGTCCAATGACAAATCTCCGAGTTGCGTATGGACAGAAAAAAGAAGGCTACAGAATCCGTCAGCTTGTGGCCGAGTTTGTCGCACTGAAAATAAGTTCGTAAAATCAAAAGAAAAATTCGGGATTAGTTTTGAAAAAAATTGGTCCACTTTGAAAAAAAAATCAGCCATACAAATTTTCTCTAATTTTTCCCGAGCTGCGCCCGAGCGTTTCCGGCAAATTTTCAATTATAAATTGGCGTCATTGTCAAGGAAAGGCTAGGGCGCAGGGGCCAATGCGCTAACTGAAAGTTTGCTGAGAGTTAGCTGAAAATTATTTTTGGAATAGGTTAGGCTGAATTTTTCACATATTTTAACCGAACTTACCAAGTCTGCTCGCTCTGAAACTCTCATAAAGTCTGTGTGTCGAATTGGGGTTATGAGCGGATCCAGTCCCAGGATAATGAAGCCAATACTTCCGTCTAGGGGCGTGAATATGTCAAGGGATTCAGCGGACCCGAGCTGATGGAGATTATCCGGACACCCAGCTTCGAGAATTGTATCGGTTGCCTAGAATAAGGTTCAGCTGACGAGGGAAGTATTCCAAGTGCGTCTTTCTTTAAATTTTGCACACATTTCGGGCATAGGCAACACTTCAATTCCAGAAGATCTTAGCTCCCGCTTTGCAATTACAACCGTGATTTTCCGTCTTCTTTGCGGCCGAGAGAGAACGCAAAGGGGTCAGAGACCAGTTCCGTGATATGTCCATAATTCTCCTTACGGTGATCGACGACAATCTGGGTCCTTGATTCGAGTCACCAACAAGCACAGTTTATCCAAATTTTAAACTTTGTCGGGGAAGAAATGGGGAATTTTTCGGGCGAGAGAGTACGTTTTTGCGTGTCCTTTTTTCTCTCTTTCTCTGGAAATCAAGACAAAATGTAAAAAACCGATAGCGAAGAGTCTATTCCGGTCACCGGACTCCTCAGTTTGAAGTGCGGTTTTGTTCTATTTTTTCTTGGCGTGCGCCGCACTGAAATCGACGACATGCACTACGAGAAAACACAAGCTTTTCTTTGCATTGTGCAAGTTGTTGCTCTCTGCACCGTGCATTAGGCTTTTTTGGACTGAGGTAACCCCCCCCCCTGGCATAACCATATCTGACCGGTCGAATGTTTTCGAGAAAATTTTTGAGGAATTATCGAAGGAAAAATTGATTGTCCCATGGAAAAATGCAAATCATGTGGAAAGAGATTCTACCATCCTTTTCATTCCCCATTCATTCTCTCTGAAACGCCTTGAGATGGAAGGTTGCCAACTCTCTCTGCTCCTGCTGTTGGTCGTCAACGTTGACGTTCTGCAGGGACAAGTGGAGAAAGACTGCGAACTGGAGTACTCAGTGAATGGAAACAACGCCACTAAGCCGGCGTGCAAGCAAGGCGAGGTTTGTATCGAGCTGGACGTGAAGAACTTCACCGTTTACGTGGAGGATCATAATGTAAGTGTAATGGGGCGACTACCCCAGAACAAAAAGCAAAGATTTTTTGGGACAGTTTGCGGATCTTTTGGCCAACATTTTAGAAACTTTTCCGAAAAAAGTAAAAACAGAAAAATTTCAAGGATAAATACTGTAAGGTTGCGCAGCAAGGTATGGAACGGCTTTTCCGACCGAAAAAAAATTTTTCTCGGAATGTTTTATTTCTTTTGTCAATTTTGACACTTCGTTTGGACGAAACGCAAAAATGGGAGGGAAACATTTTCCTTCTATTTCGGGTTGCCTTTCTCTTTTCATTTTCCCAAGACTTGATTTTTTTGGTTGGTGGCCAGTCTCTGCGCGACTTGTACCAACTATTTTCAGGACTATACGCCCCCGTTCGATTACATGAGCATTGTGTCGAGTGAGTTGTGTGTTCCACAGCAGTTTATGTATTAATACGAATTTAGAATACGAAGGCGGTCAATTCTATACGTATGATGGTGTGCAGCGGAAAACGGGCAAACGCAAGTAAGAGTTTGTCCGCGTCTTTGTTGAGATTCGATTCTGAAAATACAAAAGGACATTTTAGCAATGAACCACCTCTTATTTGGTCTTCCCGCCACCAGATCCCCTCCAGCCATGTCCCGCAGTTCTTCGCGCAGCTGTTCTCGGAGAGCGTCGAGATTGTCTCAATGGGGTAAGTCTGAAAAAACCGGAGCTTAACGACCGCGTAGGCGGGTAGGCCCAGACACGTCAATCCAAAATAGAATAAAAAATTTCCCGCCCATTTTTGGTGATTCGTTCAAAACGAAATGTCACGATCCGATAAAAAGCGTTTTCTTACCTTTCTCCTTCCTTTTCGAAAAAATAAATTATTTCGGGCGAGAAAAAGTGCCGATAATTTAGCGACATTTCGTCTCTCTTTTAAATCAATGAAAACGATACGAAGTTTCGAAACGGTTCAGGAAATGCGCTGGATTGACGTGCCGGATAGCTGTTCAAATTTTTCCATGATTTTTCAGCGAACAAGTCGCAAGACAACGGAATAACAACGTTTATCGCATCCAAACGTTACTGGACTCCCCGTTGACCGTTGACGAAGTGAAACGCGCCTTTGTCTACAAGGAGTACCTGTTTATTAGTCCGACGAAGGCTGTCGACTTTGGAGTTCTCTACGAGAAGAGGGGACCCTTTGAGGACGATATAAACAGACCAGGGCTGCTTTTGGAGCGCAATGTTGGCCTGATCGACCCCGCCGACATCCCCAACGAACACATCGACGTGAATTTCCTGACCCTGATCCTGAATCAATGCTTTGTAAGTTTGGGAAAAGTGCAGCTGTTGACCACTTCAGCCTGCCTGTATTTTCGTATTTCAGAAGCGTGATAAGTACTGTTCGTTGGATATCAAGACCGAATCCTTGGACCTGCAGGATTACCCAGTGGCCTTCACCAACGACGACCTGGTTCTGGAGTCGTTTTGGTTTCAGTAAGTTGATCTGCTCCTTTTTTTATGCCCACGTTTAGAAGGCACTGCGAAATGAGTCCGATGTACCGTATTCGGCACAAGAAAACTGCTCCGAAGTAAGTGGGATTTTGAGTTGGCTAATTTGGGATTTTTAGTGTGATCTTCGATTTCCCGGATGTTGAGAGAATCGTAACGCATGGAACGAATCTTTCGTGGGATTTTTACCATCCCGGAGGGTAAGTCTTTGATGTAAAGCGAGGAACTTGCGCTCAAGTCCGTCTCATGAAAATTTGGCCTTTATGCGTTAGTGGTGTTGTTCTGGTGCCTGGTACTGCTATTTTCACGTCGTACTATATAGTATCAGGTATTACTAAATAGCACCAAGTCCTTAAAACGTGTTTTTGAAGAGTACTAAGCATCAAAACAACACCATTAACGTCAAAAGCCATATTTCAACCTCGTATTACGTACTGTCAGATACTACTACAGGGTAGGCCACTCGAAACGGGTAACTTTATTCTTAAGATTTCTCCACGGAGACTCCGCCGATTTTCCCGAAATTTAGATTTTTCTGGAGCTGAGACTCGCCATTTTTAATTGGGTTTTTTGATGCTAGCTGGATATTGTTTTAGGTAATTTCTGAAGGTTCAGATGGATACCTCCAAATTTTGCGCCGTCGCAAAATGGCCGATTTGCGTCCGACGTCTTTTTTGGAGGTTGCAAATTGAGGTTTCCGCTACTTTTTGAAAATGGTAGCGAATCCAGCAAACATTCTCGAGCTCGAGAAAAAAATTCTTATTCCTTCGTTCTTATACAGGGTGTTTCAAGAAATTTGGAACAAATGATTTGCTTATATCTTTTTGTTCTTTGCAGCTATCAACGAATTTCTTTTTGCTTCTAAAAATTGACAGCGTGCGTTTTTAGAATCTCAAAAAAAATTTTTTTCGTCGGCGGAGGGCCCATTTCTCGGCGGAGAAAATTAGGGCTTTTTTTAAAAATCACAGCGTATTACGTGGCGGAAACGCCGTTGCAACGGCTGAAATCAAGTTTGCGTTACACCTCCGTCGATTTTACGGTATGCATTTTTTTGTTTTCGATTTTACGCGCACCGCGGAGGCGCGGCGGAAACTTCAGATTTTGGCGGACGTTGTTTTGGGCCTTCGGATGTTGCAATTCATGTTGGAAAAGAGGTTGGGGTGATTTTTTGTTGTCATCCGATGCACAGATGACAAAAATTTCGTGCTTTTTTTCTCCGGCGGAGGATTCGGCGGAGGCTTTATCAAAGGGTCAAAGCAGTCTTACGAGTCCGGGAAAAATCTCAGCTACAAGAATCCAACAGAGCAGCATTGTCTTTCAAAGATTTTTGATTTTTTTGGTCCGGCGGAGATATCGGCGGAGTTTTGTTTTTACCCTTTGATAAAGCCTCCGCCGACTCCTCCGCCGGGGATAAAAAGCACGAAATTTTTGCCATATGTGCATCGGATGACAACAAAAAATCACCCCAACCTCTTTTCCAACATGAATTGCAAAAGCCAAAGGACCAAAACAAAGTCCGCCGAAATCTGAGGTCTCCGCCGCGCATCCGCGGAAGTGCGTAAAATCGAAAACGCAAAAAAAGCATACCGTAAAATCGATGGAGGTATTACGTAAACTTGATTTCAGCCGGTGCAACGGCGTTTCCGCCACGTAATACGCTGTGATTTTTAAAAAAGGCCCTAATTTTCTCCGCCGAGAAATGGGCCCTCCGCCGACGAAAAAAATTTTTTTTGAGATTCTAAAAACGCACGCTGTCAATTTTTAGAAGCAAAAAGAAATTCGTTGATAGCTGCAAAGAACAAAAAGATATAAGCAAATCATTTGTTCCAAATTTCTTGAAACACCCTGTATATAGAAACTCGCAAACTTTTTTTTAGTGGTTCGTCAAGAATTCCATACACAAGACGTGGTATCCTGCCGATTATCCAGCCGAACGATCCCTTTTACGACTTTGTGAAACGGTACACCACTCCCGCCCCAACGACCAAACCCCGCCCGCCACCAACCACCACCACTCTGAAGCCTGTCCAGGCCGGTTCCGCCCCAAATATCATTGAAATCGAGGAGGACTCGGTGGACGATATTGTCGGCGTGATCGAACCCCCAATCTCGAAGAATGTACCGGCGATCTCGCGTCTTCCTTTAATCTATTACATTCTGGGTTATATCACTGTCCAGTTGAAAACTCACAATATGTATATGTAAGGTAATGGAGACGGTATTCATCAAGGCAAACCAAATAAAATTATTACACATACGGCTAATTGGAATCGATCTGTAATGCAATAAAATCTATAGCTATTGTAGTCCATGGCGGTAGCAAGTCCCTAGAAAAAATTTTGGCGCTACGAAATTTCGGGTCAGGGACAACTCGGGTCAACGACAACTCGGGTCAACGACATTTCGGGTCAACGATACCGTTTAATATTTTCGCTTCGGGACTGGGAAAAAAGAATTTTTTGGTGAATTTGAGAAATTTTTCAAATGTTTTCGCTTCGGGACCGGGAAAAAAGAATTTTTTGGTGAATTTGAACAAATTTTTGAAATGTTTTTGCTTCAAGAACTGGGAAAAAAGAATTTTTTGGTGAATTTGAACAAATTTTTGAAATGTTTTTGCTTCAAGAACTGGGAAAAAAGAATTTTTTGGTGAATTTAAAAAAATTTTCAAATGTTTTCGCTTCGGGACTTGGAAAAAAGAATTTTTTGAGAGTTTGAACAAATTTTTGAAATGTTTTCGCTTCAAGAACTGGGGAAAAGAATTTTTTGGAGAATTGAGGTTTATTTTAAAAATTTTTTAGGAAAATAGTGTATAAGCGACGAGTAAATAAGAAAATCGTATCTATTGTCTATGTTTTTAACTGGAAGCACGGGATTTAAACGCAGACAGTGCCAGAGAGTGGAATAAGAAGATAGTCGTAATGATTGTATGCACATAACGATTTTCTTATTTGCTCCTCGCTTATAAACACTATTTTCCCAAAAAATTTTTAAAATAAACCTCAATTACCTCTAAAATAAACTATTTATCTAAAAAATTAAAGAAATAACATTCGTACCTTATGTAAAATAAAATTGTAACATTCAGAACAAAAAATCCTTTTCCCAATCCCCGAAACGAAAAGATTTCAAAATTTCGTTCAGATTCTCCAAAAAATTCCTTTTCCCAAGTCCCGAAACGAAAAAATTTCAAAAATTTGTTCAAACTCCACAGCGGACCCAAATTGACTTATAAAAACATATAATGACTTATAATGAAATGATTTTTTTATAAGTCATTATCTGTTCTTATAAGTCATTTTAAATGACTTATATGTTCATATATGATTTTATAAGGGTTCTCTGTGCGCTCTTGTTGAATTGACTTATAATTTCATATATGTTTTTATAAGTCATTTTATTTATAACCGCACCGTGCAAAAAAATGAACATTTATTATTTCAATCAATAACTCCAAATTATTAAGTGGCACAAGTAGAATAAGACTTCAATGCACGAAGGACCTGAGATTTTTTGATGGGCCGTTCGTCGCTTCTGTAGGCGGCCGTAGATGTATATTATTGCTTCTAATGCTTCTGGTTTCACTGAAAATATTTGGAGATAATAGAAAAAAGTTTTTTTTCGGGAAACTATAATATGAGTTTGGCTTAAACTCAATTTTTTATGCGTTACATACTAACAGTAAAACAGATGAATTTGAACTGCCTAAAAGGTTTCTGGCGGAAAAATTTTTAGACATGAAATTTGCGATATTGTACTAGGTCCAGGTGAATGCTATCAACCATACCTGAAGCTACCGGATGTCATCTTTCTATTCATCGTGTATACATTGTCCATTGGATTCCTCCATGACCATTTTTGCAGTTATCTAAAACCCAACGGGTTCACCTGGACCTAGTACAATATAACAAAACTTTGTCTTGAAGTTTTTTCGAGACCTCTGAAATGTGGAAAACAGTTAAAAAAACACCTACCAAAATTGAGCAAATGGATCCTTTAGCAATCCGTTGGTTGATCGTGCATGTTTATACATCTTCTGGGGATGGATCTTCTTCAGGCTGGCATGCTCCCTGCACGGGAAGGCTATTACGTTCGGGACTTTTCATCTAAACACTCTAAACTCTTGCAAAACAAAAAAAGGCTGATTAAAAGCATCTTACTTTGATCGATCCAAGGTAGAAATACGTCCGACGTTCCAAAAACTTAGAATTTCACAAGTCCAGCTCACGCGTGCACAAAGCAAAAAGCGTATTTGGCGCTCAAAAGTTTTCTTTGCAAAGAACTTATTTGTTATTATAAGTTCTTATTTGTTTTTATAAGTAAAGAGAAATAAGCCCCTCCTCTTTTGACGTTATTTTGACTTATAAGTCATTATCTGTTCATATAAGTCGTTATATGTCTTTATAAGTCAATTTGGGTCCGCTGTGTCTCCAAAAAATTCTTTTTTCCAAGTCCCGAAGCGAAAACCATTCAAAAATTTTTCAAATTCACCAAAAAATTCTTTTTTCCCAGTCCCGAAGCGAAAATATTAAACGGTATCGTTGACCCGAAATGTCGTTGACCCGAGTTGTCGTTGACCCGAGTTGTCCCTGACCCGAAATTTCGTAGCGCCAAAATTTTTTCTAGGGACTTGCTACCGCCATGGACTACAAATTTGAAATTTCAACTTACTTTTCAAGTACAACATACAGTGGGGACTTGATCCAGTGGCGTGAAACAAATTGTTTTGCGTCCGGGAAGCAAGTACGACCCAGGACCGTCCACGCGACCACGACTGAAGATGGAGCAGCTTCCGACCCAATTCAGCCCATATAGACCAATAACAGCGACCTGATCCAGCGAAGACAAGCCCGCCTACATAACCAAATGGTCTTGACACGAAGACAACCGTGGCATTCTGCCATAGTACGGTGGAAACCCTTCAGGAAGAGAACAAGGAGACAAGACAGGGGGAAGAACAGGGGAGGTCGAGGAGAAGGTCAGGACGAGGGCGTGAGCCCGAGGCCCCGTTTACTACTCTTTATCTTGGTTTTATTGTTGATCATTTATATTTTGCTTGGCATTTACCTTTTTTTATACTTCCAGGTGCAAAATGGTACGGTTTTTGCCACTGGATCAGGTCCGTCGCTGTATAACGGGACCTTTCCTCGGTTCCTCTAGGCTGATTAGTGTAGCCTGAGGGAAGTTTACTTCGCTTACCCAGCCTTCCCAATGTGGCTTGAATTTGGGGTTCTTTGCCAATTTTGCGTACAAAAACTTGATTTTTACAAAAGAGGTAGCCAAAAAGTCAGTACACAATTTATTGATCAGTAGAATTTATATATACTGTCATTCTTTTAGTAGAATGACAATAAAAAAACGCTGTCGCCAGCTTCAGACGGTGGGTTCGGAGGGGCCATCGATGCAGGGGAGTTGTGTGAGCTCGGCTACAGTAAACAAAAATTCGTACTGTTGATATCCGGTAGATTTCATAGAGGAATCGCAGTTTAAAGTTCATAAAATGCGTAATAAATTTCATAAAACTTTTAATTTTTTTGTCGAAATTTACAGAGGAAATGACCAAAGTTCTTGTTAAGATTTTAATGAAACTTTGCGCAAAATTACGGTAAATTTAGATAGTATCTCATTATATGTGAAATTGCATTAAATCTTTGGGTTTATTTCTACCGTAGAGTGTAATGTTTCTACCAAAAATCAAAATTTTCCACACATGCTGGCTAAGATATGGCCAAAGGTAAGCCTTTTACAAGTGATTTCTCCGGATCGTATGGATTTCCGGGCCCATTTCACGAGCTTGATCGTGTTTTGCGACGAAAAATTGAAGACGCGACAACCGCTCAAGGTCATCGACTGACAAGTCGGGTGTGTTTATGATCCACTCCCCTTTCTTGACCACCTCTTTGCCTCTCGTTTTTGCGTCGAATGCCCTTTTAGGAGACCGGATTTACCTTCCGAAGTGACGTCAGTCTCATTTCGGCTCAATTTTTTTAATATTTTTGGGAAAATCTATTGAATCATTGAAATAAAATTGACTTAATGGCTGAAAAAATATTTTCAATGTATAGATGACGTCATTTTAACACTTGCTTTGCCCCTTTTTTCGCTTGAAAATTACCTTTTTTCTTTTGATTTTTTGCAATTTGGATGTCGAAATCGAATTTTTCTCGCCCGGAATCCCCCTCCTCAAAGCGTTCGCCGAACAAAAACTCGCTTGGAATCCAACCTTTTCGCATGCAAGCCCTAAGGCGAGCCGAGATTTTTCCGAGTGATTTCGGCTCCGGCTTCTCACTCGATCCGCGAAAACGGGCTTTTCCGAGCGAAAACACTGATTTGAGGGGGCATTTTTGAAATGTTTGTTATTCCGGAATTTTTACTGGGGAAACGTTGTGACTTTTGGGTTTCAAAGGGCGATTTTTCAATTTTATTTTTACTCCACACAATGCGAAACCTAAAAAAATTGCGGTTTCAACATTCCCATTGCACTGTGCGAAATCTCAAAATCTCACACTGCACGGTGCAAAAAACTTTCGGGCTGCACTGTGAGAAAATTTTTTGATTATTTTTCACTGTGCGGTAAAAAGCGTCGAAATTCGTATTGCACCGTGCAAAGTACCAAAAGTATAATTGCACTGTGAAAAAGGCAAATAATGAAAATTTAGGGCTGTACTGTGCGAAAAGGTTGCATCCTTTCGATCACGGTGCGACTGAAAAAAAGCTCGTAAATTGCAATTGCACTGTGCGAAAATCCCAAAATCTAAAATTGCACGGTGCAACGGTAAAAAATAAGGAAAATGTTAGGTTGTGTGCAGAAAATTTCGGTCGTATTGCACGGTGCGGTAAAGAGCTCCGAAATTCACACTGCACTGTGCGAAACTTTCAAACTGCACGGTGCAACGTAAAAATTCGAAAATTTCGGGCTGGACTCTGTAAAAATTTGTCGTCGATTATTTTGCACTGTGCAACTGAAAAAAAGTTTCGAAATTCCAATTGCACTGTGCGCAAATCTCAAAATCTCAAACTGCACGGTGCAACGGAAAGATTAGTAAAATTTCGGGCTGCACTGTGCAAAAATTTGTCGTCGATTATTTTGCACTGTGCAACAAAAAAATTTCCAAAATTCCAATTGCACAGTGCGCAAATCCCAAACCGTCAAATCTCACGGTGCGGCGGCGACAAAAGTCCCGCCTGTTCCGTCGCTTTCCCGGGGGTTTCTCTCGCACAGTGCAGTCGAGTTTTCCCTGGGAAATCCAGAGGTTTTTTTTATAGAATCAAAAGAAAAAAGGGGGGCTGGGAGTAGAACCCCTGATCAAACGAGGCGCTCTTTTACCTTACCGGCTTATTTTTTACTTTTACGGGAACTGTGTCGGGGCGACGTTTTTGTATTTTACTTGGGCAAACACAACATTCGAGGGTTTTGGGCGAAAGTTTTGTGGAAATTGGTCAGCAATGGGGCTTCAAAGAGTTCAAATTGAGTCCTTTCGACAGCACGATTGATACGGCGGCTATTTTTGGGGGTTTGTGTCGAAATTTCGAACCATAAATTTTCGGTCTCGGCTGATCTTTGAGAGCGAAATAAGCGAAACTGATGACGTTTTTGGTGGGGAACGTTTTTCAATTGTTTCATAATTGAAAACAAAATCCTATTTTTTTTATTTTACTTAAATTTTTTTGAATTTTGTTGCCCGCACAGTGCAAAAATCGAAAAATTAAAAATTGCACTGTGCAATGGGAAATTCACTTTTTTTCAGAGTTGATTGGAAATTTGATTGAATTTAGATACCACTAAGTTATAAAGAATGAGATTTTGATTATTTTCTACCAACTATTTTTTCGATTTGATCATCTGCACCGTGCAAAATTTACAATTTTGCTTTTCGCACTGTGCAATCAACTTTTTCTTAGGTTTCGCACAGTGCAATGATGATAAACCAACTTTTTAATGCTAAAATTTATTCTGATGTTATTGTGTCTCAGCTTTTCGTTTTTTACAATTCAATTTGGCCCTTCGCACTGTGCAAAATAAATTTTTTCTCTCTGCACTGTGCAGTAACAAAAAAATTTGATTTTTGCACTGTGCGGTGAAAAAGTGCAAATTTTACAAATCGGTAGACGCTAAAATTTTGGAAATTTTAACACTACTCTTTTCAATTTTTAATTTCCGACCATCTGCACTGTGCAAAAACAAAATTTTCCTTCTGCACAGTGCAATATGAAATTTTTTGCTTTTTGCACTGTGCTATGGAAATAAATGAAATTTTCAAACATTACCAGAAGGGAAAAAGAATGAGGCTTCACTTTTTGTCTAGGACAATGATAATTCTTCACTTTTTGTCCATCATTTTTTGTCATTCGACAATCTGCACCGTGCAAAATCGGTTTCCTTTCCCGCACTGTGCAGATTTCGCAATCTTGTTTTCCGCACCGTGCAATGGAAATAAATGAAATTTTCAAGTTTGCCAGAAAGAAAAAAACGAACTTTCACTTTTTTGTCCATCAATTCTTGTCATTCGTCCATCTGCATCGTGCAAAAACTGATTTTATTTTCCGCACAGTGCAGATTTCCCAATCTTGTTTTCCGCACCGTGCAATCACAAAACATAAGGTTCAAACTTTACCGAGCTGTTTACATGAGAGTGTTTCCCCACCCACAATTACATTCTGTTTTTGGGGGGCTTTATGGGGAAACGACGAGTTTTTGAAGAGTAATTGACCATTGTAAAGTGATGGCTGCCGTTTCCCAAATTCGCATCGTGCGATTCTCCGCAAAAAAGACGTCAGCCAATTCATCAAGTCTTTTTTGCCCACTTTCTTCAACCGTTTTGTCCAGTCGAGGTGCAGAGTGGGGCTACTATTTAATGGTCCAAAAATTTGCGGGAGATTTTCCTTCAAATGCCCCAAATTTCGACTCAAATTCAGCTGAACATTCAGGTGAAAATGGACGTCTTCAACAACCAATTCCACCCCTCAACGTCGAATGCAATGTCCATCGGGCAATGTGCAAATTCGACGGCCAATTCGAACACAAATACGAACAGTTCGAATGGGAGCTTCGATTTCGGAGAGGCCAATTGCCAAGTGATCACGATTACGCTGAGGTATGGCGCTAGAAGCGAGCGGTTGGTGCTGGAGCGGAGTGCGAATCCAGAGGTAAGTCGAGGGCACTGTGCAGTAAAAATTTTTTGCACGGTGCGGATTTTTATTTGAATTTTGCACGGTGCAAATTTTTTCGGAAAAAGGTTTTGGGGAAAAATTTTTAGCACAGTGCAATATTTTAATTTTTCATCGCAGAAAAATTAAATTTTGCACCGAAGAATTGCATTGTGCGAATTTATATTGAATTTTGCAACGGTGCAAAATTTTTTTCGTAAAAAGTTTTCGCACTGTGCAGACATCGCCGAAGGATTGCACTGTGCAAAATTCGGTTTACTTCTGCACTGTGCAAGAAATATAAAAAAGCATTTTTGCGCACCGTGCAGAAGATGGCAGTTCGAATTAAAAATGAAATTTCTAGAAGTTCTTGCTTCAAAATTTCGGAGTTTGAAGAAAATCGGATGTTCCTGCACGGTGCAAAAAAAAATTTTTTTGAACAGTAAAAAATGGAATGGGATTTCGTGCTAATGTGTTTCTAGACTATTCAGATTATTTTGGCCAAATTTTAGCTGATTTTGAGAATTGCTTACTGAATAACGAAAAAAATTTTTTTAGATATTTTAAATTTTTTTTCAATTTTTAGGCGTTTGACCAATTCCGTCGACGGGCCTACAAACTGGTGGAGGAGACAGACGAGGAGAATGGGTTTTCAACCGATCCCAGAGGAGAACTCTTCCTTTTTCGACATGATTATGGCTCCGCCAACATGCTTCAGCGCCTCGCCAATCTAGCTGAACTTGTAAGTTTTGCTGTTTTTTTTACATTTTTTGTAGTTTTAAAAACTATTGCCTTTTCTTGGTGGCGTATTTTACAAATATTTACGTTGAATTTTACAATTTCCCTCTTCGCATAGTGCAAAAATCTAAAATGATTTTTTGCACGGTGCGGAAGAAACAAAATCTTACCGTATTCGATGTTTACTGTATTTTTGCGAAACGTTGGGGCTGAAATACATACTGGTTGGCTCTATATTTGATTTGAAATTACTTTGAAAATTCATTTTGCCCATTGCACAGTGCAATTCAAATTTTTTCAAATTCCGCACAGTGCAAAGAAAAATTCGCTGGTTTTTTGTTTACGATGAGACAACATCAAAAATTTTATGTATTTATAATACAAGGGCTTCATTTACAATGTTATTCTTTCATGTTCCTAATCTCTCTTCGCTTACTGCAGAGTAAAAAATTCAATTTTTGGTTTTGCACTGTGCGAAGAAAATTAAATCCAACAGTACGCAAAAATTACAGCAAATAAATTACAGATTTTTTCTAACATGATAGGCTAGTACTGTTGTCGCCACGTAAAAGCATTTTTATTTCTTTTTGGTTTTTACTGCACTTGCAAAATCAAAATTGTCTTTTCCCGCACTGTGCAGTCGAAAAACCCTTTCGCTTTAAAATTGCACTGTGCGATAAGAAAAACCAAGCCTAGAAATTGTATTTTCAGGACAACGGAAGTGTCGTTGAGGTGATTCGAGTTCCATCCGAGGAACGGCAAGAAGTCACAGTGCCTCATAATGTTCAAGTTCAAAGCTACAAAACTCCGACCTTTTGCGATTATTGCGGTGAAATTTTGGTTGGATTGATAAAGCAGGGACTGAAGTGCACATTATGCAAGTGAGTTTTTGTAATGAAGGTTTATTTTTTCGAATACACACGTCACTGGCCACTTTATACGATGAAAAATATTTTATCGTATAAAATGTCGCAGATGAAGGACTTTAGAGAAAAATATTTGTGCGAACTGTAAAATGAGCTCTGTTTAATGGTCGTATCTTATTTTTGTAATAGTTTGTTGCTTTGGAGACATGTTATACGATAAAACATGTTTCGTCGTATAAAATGTGCTAAATGATTGATGTTATGAAAAATATTTATGCTGATTAAAAAATGAACCATGTTTAATAGTTTTGTTTTGTTTTTGTAAAAGTTTCAGGGTTCAGAGACATGTTATACGATGAAACATAATTCATCGTATAAAATGGCTTTCAGTAACCTAAGATGGCAAATTTAGAAAAAAAACAGATTTTAATCACGCTAAAGCAACATAATGTAACATTTTCACCGTACTGTGCGTCCAATTCAATTAATTTTTTCCCAAATTTCAGCTGTAATTTCCACAAAAAATGCGCGTTTGCCGCCCGCAATAACTGCGCACGGAACGAAAACAGCACCCAAAATGGACAGCCAGGTAAGTTATAGTTTGTTGAAAAAATTTCGAAATTTTTAGGTACCCCAACAAGCCCGCAGGCCTATCAATTGCCCCACACCTTGTCGGTCCACAGCTATCGTACCCCGACGGTTTGCAAAATCTGCGACAAAATGCTGTTGGGATTGGTCAAGCAGGGAATGCGATGCAGGGATTGTAAGGTGAGACAGTAATTTTTTACTTGAGAAAAAAGATGTTTTTTGAAAAAAAATTGATTTTTGCAATATAAATTTTTTCAAAAAAAAAAAAAAAAAAATTAATTTTTTTTTGGTTTTTTGCACTGTGCATCAAAAAATTTTCGTTTCCGCACAGTGCACTTTTCTTTTTCTTTTTTTTTTGCACTGTGCGGCTACAAAGACAACAGAAAATTCGAAAAAATGTCAAAAATTTCAAAAAATATTTTTTTTGGTGACCAAACACAAACCAAACAAATTTTTTATGTATCATAATTTCACTGCACTCAAATGATTTCCGGATTTGAATAAATTTAGAAAAAAAAAATTTTGAGTTAAGCAAGACAAAATATGTGAATCATAGTTGGCTCATCGCCTACTCTGACGTAAATTTATGCAAATGGAGGCGGAAACTTGTATAAATAACTAAAGTAACTTGTTGTTTGGACTGTTTGAAAATTTGAGATTCATTTACATTTATTCTTGATGGGGTTTTTTTTTTTTTTTTTTTTTTGAAGGGTCGTATTTTAGCTATTTTTGATCTTTTTTTTACAAAATTGTGTAGAAAAATAAAAAAAAATCACAGTGCCGAAAATCATAAATCACATTTTTTTTTATTTTTCGCACCGTGCAAAGCAAAATTTTTCCAAAAAATTTTGCACCGTGCATACAAAAAAAAATAAAATTTCAAAATCCTTTCTCAAAATAATACCAAGTCCCGCAAAGACTCTCAACTCATAATTTCCTCAAATTAGGCCTTCATTCCAGGTGAACGTGCACAAGAAATGCGCCGCGTTTCTGCCGAATGACTGCCACATCGGGAACGGGATTGTCCCTCAATTTGATCAAATGTCCGTCAACGAGATGCCGCAGCCGGTGCAGAAGATGGAGGTGGAGAGTCAGTCGTCGTTGGGGATGATCCCGCTGGCCCGTTTGCCGGGCTCGGCCAACACTCGGACCGGCCAACAGGGCACCTTGTGCGAGGGATGGGTGGTCCATTTTTTGTATACGCAGCCAGCGAAGCGTCTGAAGCACTATTGGATTCTGTCGAATGGACAAATCTCTATGTACAATGAATATAATAATGGTGGGTGGAATTTTGAGGAAGGGACATGTTATACGATGAAACATGTTTGGTCGTATAAAATGTCGCTGAAGCCAAAAAATGTTTAAAAAACCTGTTTGTTGTGTCAAGCAGAATCTGTGTTTGCGCACATAAACTATTATTTCCGAAAGTTTTACGTCAGGAGCTTTTTATACGATGAAACATGTTTGGTCGTATAAAATGACGCTGAAGGCAGAAAATGGTTAAAAAACAGGCTTGTGGCTTTATGTACGATATCTAGCTTTTTATTTCCTAAATTGCTTTGAAGACATTTTATACGATGGAACATATCTTGCCGTATAAAATGGCTCTGAAGAATGGGACGCCAATATAAGTGATTTGTAGCATTTATTCTGATGTTAAAACAAGCGTTCGATGTACTGAGGGGTGTTTTTCTCCAAAAAACTGTTATTTGGGCATTTTATACGATAAAACATGTTTCATCGTATAGAATGTCCAGGTAACCAAACTTTAGAAGAATTAGAAGTGCGCTTTATAACATAAGCCCCGGTTAATATTCTCATTTTTTTTGTAAATTTTATTGCTTGAGAGACATGTTATACGACAAAACATGTTCAAATCTCTGAAATTTCAGTAACTGGTGTCAACCCATCTCGAGTGTTCAAGCAAATCTCTCTGGCTGATATTTTGGCTGTCGTCCCCTATAACGGACCTCCAATTGACACCCGTTTCCCGGCCCATTGTTTCGAGATCCGGGTGCGAGCCGCGGCCGAGGATCAGATCTATTGCGTGGGAGAGAATCTGGAAGCACTCTCCAGCGGCGGTGCTCCACCCTCCAAGCAGCCGCGCCAACAACAGTATGGGCTGAGCGGCAGCTGGCAGCAGTGGTTGAAAGCGCTGGAAAACGCGCTTCAACCCCCATCCTTAAGGTCCGATCCATGCAATGCGGAGCCGGCACTACAATTCTCCCAGATGTATCAGGTAAGAAGGCCTTCAGTGGACGAATCAACATTCTCTGTAATATAAAAACGAGCCGAAATTGATTTTTTGACACATTTTATCATTTGGCAATGATCAAAGAATCTTCTTCAGCAGTTGGACTTTTTATACGATGAAACATGTTTCGTCGTATAAAATGTCACCAGCAGGAGATTTTGGGCATAAAAATTTCCCCTGAGGAGTCTAGACAGCATATTCCTCAAATATGTATTGTGAGGACATTTTATACGATCAAACATGTTTCGTCGTATAAAATGTCTCTCAACATTAAATTTTGTTGATACAAATTTGCTATGAGGAGTGTAGGCTAAATTTGCAACGAATATTTACAGAATGTTATTGTAGTGACATTTTATACGATCAAACATGTTTCATCGTATATGATGTCTCTTTTCGAATTACAATGTGCTCATCAAATAAAGTAGTTATTTAGTCTCTGACCTTTTAATTTTTCAGATTGTCCGCGAAAAGGTCCTCGGATCCGGCCAGTTCGGCACCGTTTTCCAAGGAATTCACCGGCAAACCAGCCGCTCCGTGGCCGTCAAAGTCATCGCCAAGGATCGCTTCTCCAAAAAATCGAATGCCGGCGTCGAAACGTTGAAGTCCGAGGTCGCAATCCTTCAGGCCATTGATCATCCGGGCATCATCAAACTGGAGAGCATGTTCGAGACCAAGGATAAGATATTTGTGGTCATGGAGAAGATGAATGGCGATATGTTGGAGATGATCCTGAGTCAGGCAACCGGTCGATTGGATGAGCGAGCCACGCGCTTCTTGATCATGCAAATTTTGAGCGCTTTACGGTGAGATTTTGAGATTTTTTGAACTTAAAATGCGAATAATTTGTGTGATTCTGCATAACGCGGTTTGAAACTTTTTGAAGAGTCATAGGAAATCATTATCTTTTCATTATCTCTTTATACTGGCAAGTTTTTGGCTTGTTTGGAAATGAGATTTTTTGAATTGAAAATGCACGAAATTCGCTTAATTCTGCATAACGCGGTTTGAAATATTTTTTTACAGTCCTAGAAAGCCCTTATCTTTGTCCTGGCATGTTTTTGGCTTGTTTAAAAATGAGATTTTTTTAATTTGAAAATGCAAAAAAATCACTTAATTCTACATAACGCGGCTTTAAAATTTTTTAATAGTCTTATGTTAACTATCTTAAGTCATTATATTTGTCCTGGCATGTTTTTGACTTATTTTAAAATGAGATGTTTTGAATTTAAACTGAACATAAATGATTTAATTCTGCATAACGCGGTTATTTTTTACAGTCCTAGAAAGCCATTATATTTGTTCTGACATGTTTTTGGCTTGTTTGAAAATGAGATTTTTCGAATTCAAAACGCATAAAATTCGCTTAATTCTGCATAACGCGGTTTGAAAATTTCCGAAATTCCTCAAAAAATCCATTTCCCCTGTTATATACTATTTATTCCCCCATTAAAATCTCAAAAAACCCCATTTCCAGCTACCTGCATTCCCGCGCCATCGCGCACTGCGACCTGAAGCCGGAGAACGTGCTGTTGTCCGACCTCTCCGCCCACTACCCCCAAACCAAGCTGTGCGACTTCGGCTACGCGCGCTTCATCGGGGACGCGCAGTTCCGGAAGACGGTGGTCGGCACGCCCGCCTACATGGCGCCGGAGCTGCTGATGAAGAAGGGCTACAACCGGAGCCTGGACATGTGGTCGGTGGGCGTCATCATCTACGTCACGCTGAGCGGCACCTTCCCCTTCAACGACGGCGAAGAGATCACGGAGCAGATCCAGAACGCGTCGTTCATGTTCCCGGCGGACTTGTGGTGCAACACCAGCCAACTGGCCATCGATTTGATCCAGAGGCTGTTGAAGGTGCAGATCGAGGAGCGCCTGAATATCGATGAAGGAATTTCGCATCCCTGGCTGCAGGATGCACAAGTTTTTGCGGACTTAAGACAACTGGAGAGCCGGCTGGGAGGCCCCCGATATCTGACGAATGAGGCCGACGATCAGAGGTTCGCTCCGTTCCTGCAGCAGATTCAGAATACCCCACCGTTTTAGAGGAAAATCAGCGAGTTTCTCCTTTTTTTTAGCGTTAAAAATGGATTTAAAGTTTAAAATTCACTAGTCTACAGAATTTATAGACATTTTTTTCTTTTAAAAAAATAGTTTAGATGACTTTTTAGGCATTTTTTTTTTGAATTTTTGAGATTCATCATTTTTTTTAAAATTTTTTGAAATTTTTAATTTTTTGCACTGTGCAGTTCGAATTTTTGATTGCACAGTGCAAACCAATCTTTAATCTGCACAGTGCAGCATGACTTTTTAAATGCACAGTGCGGCTCGAAATTTGCGATGCACGGTGCAGATGAAATTTTAAAATGAACTGTGCAATTTCACTTTTTGACTGCAGTTTTCATTTTTACGTAAATTGGAAATTGAAGACTGTACGGTGCAGTTTTATTCTCAACCTGCACAGTGCAATATGATTTTTTGTTTGCACGGTGCGAAGAAAATTTTTGATTGCACAGTGCGAAGAAAATTTTCAACTGCACAGTGCGAAGAAAATTTTCAATTGCACAGTGCAGCTTCACCTTTCAACTGCACGGTGCTAAGAAAATTTTCGACTGCACAGTGCAGAACTTTTTTTCCACCCAAAAAAAATTTTGTTTGAGTTTGAATTTTTTCTGCACAGTGCACGTTGTGTATTAATTGTAAGAAATTTTTTATCTTGTCCAAATATTCTTCCAACACATTGAAGATAACCCAAGAATCTTTCCAAAGTATTCTGTTTTACCGTTTCCCCGACATATTCCTATCTATTCTTTAATTATTCCCCATTTTAGCAACAATAAATTCATTTTATTCTCGTTGAAGTTGCATATGATTCATCTTTGATAAAAAAATGTAATCTTATTGCCTCAGGTGGTAAGAGAAGTTTCAGTTCGAAAAAAAATTAAAATTTTGCTTTCCAATAATTTACAAGGCCAAAAAAATAAAAAAAATAAAAAAAAATAAGCTTTTTTCATAGAAAATTATTAAAAAAATTTTTACAATCATCTATATGATAATAATCAAAATTTATTTTTCTCATTTTTTCCTACCCCAAGCATCCGACGGCAGTCTTTGTGACCGTCTTGAAAGCTCGTTTGGTTAGGAAATCGGAGACGTTGAAGACTTTTGAAAATGCGATCAAATTTGAGAACCAAACATGGCAAAATCCACAGCCTAGATAACACTGAACGTGGCTTTGGAAGGCATCGTTGGTGAGTTGGTCACAATCAATTGTGGTGCGGTTCTGAAATTGAAATTTTAGAGGGAAAAATTGGGCTCTTTTCTGATTGCACGGTGCGAAATTGGCTTTTTTTCGTTGCACAGTGCAAAAATATAAGTTTCCTTTGCACTGTGCAAAAAAAAATAAAAATTTCCAATCGCACGGTCTTTGCACGGTGCAAAAAACGATTTTTTTCCCACGGTGCAAATTTTTCTTTTTTTTCGATTTGCACAGTGCAAAAAAAATTTTTGATGCCGCACAGTGCGAAACTGACTTTTTCATTGCACAGTGCAAAGAAAGGCGAAGGCGTATTTTGCACTGTCCAAGAAATACAAATTTCCGATCGCACGGTGCAAAAATATAAAAGTTTCCTTTGCACTGTGCGAAGAATAAAATTTCCGATTTTTTTTTTGATTGCGCAGTGCAATTTTTATTTTGCACAGTGCAAATTTTTCTTTTTTTTTTTTTTTGATCGCACGGTGCGAAATTTATTTCTTTGACTGCACAGTGCGAAATTCTTTTTGTCGCAAAATTTTTGCCAATTGGACCTGCACGGTGCAAAAAAAAATTTTGATGCCGCACAGTGCAAAATTTGTTTTTTGACAGCACAGTGCAAATTTTCGAAATTTTCTGTCGCACTGTGCAATAAACCCCCAAAAAAATGAATTTTTGTACAGTGCACTATAACTTAGGCTTACCGAAAAATACTCTTCCAAATATTGAGTCAGACAGACCATCGTGCAATTGATAAAAGCCTTTCCTTTGGCGTTAAAATTGCTGTAGAGCTCGGGATCAATGAAATTCTCGCAATTTCTCTCCCCATACCCGATTAAATATCCATCCGGACCGCATTGAGCCCGTTTTTCCAGACAAGGATACGTTTGGCAAGTGGTGCCGCAGTCGGTCTAAAAACAACTTGACCTTTTGTTACAGTAACCAAAATAAGTTTTTTTGTTACAGTAACCAAATAGAATTTAGATTTTTGTTACAGTAATCAAAATTAATTTAGATTTTGTTACAGTAATCAAAATTAATTTTGTTTTGTTGTTACAGTAACCAAAATAAATTTAGATTTTGTTACAGTAACCAAAATAAACTTTTTTTTGTTACAGTAACTAAAATAAATTTAGATTTTTGTTACAGTAATCAAAATTAATTTTATTTTTTTGTTACAGTAATCAAAATAAATTTTATTTTTTGTTACAGTAACCAAAATAAAATTTTTTTTGTTACAGTAACCAATATAAATTTAGATTTTTGTTACAGTAATCAAAATTAATTTTATTTTTTTGTTACAGTAACTAAAATAAATTTATTTGTTACAGTAACCAAAATTAATTTTATTTTTTTGTTACATTAGTCAAAATTAATTTTATTTTTTTGTTAAAGTAACCAAAATAAAGTTTTTTTTTTGTTACAGTAACCAAAATAGAATTAAGTCTTTTTTGCTACAGTAACCCACCTCAGAATTAACCGGCATAAAAATCGCTGATAAAACCACGACTTGAAGACTGATCATTCTAAAAAACGATGACAAAATTCTTGACGTCTAGTTGTTATGTTGCAACGGTCGATTTTTATCCTAATCATCGACCAAAAATAGTAATCTGAAAACGACACAATCAAAAAATTCGATATCCAAATCAAAAAAAACCTTTTTAGACCCCTGAAATACCTTCAAAAGTGGATAGATCCTTTTTGTCGCGGCGCACAGTGCATTTTGCTTTTTTTTGTACGGTACGGGATTTTCGGACATTTTGCACTGTGCATTTTTATTCATCGCTTCAGAAAGACTTACCTTGACAATGATCAAAGAATCTTCTTCAGCAGTTGGACATTTTATACGATCAAACATGTTTCGTCGTATAAAATGTCACCAGCAGGAGATTTTGGGCATAAAAGTTTCCCCTGTTGGGTCTAGACAGCATATTCCTCAAATATGTATTGTGAGGACATTTTATACGATCAAACATGTTTCGTCGTATAAAATGTCACCAGCAGGAGATTTTGGGCATAAAAGTTTCCCCTGAGGAGTCTAGACAGCATATTCCTCAAATATGTATTGTGAGGACATTTTATACGATCAAACATGTTTCGTCGTATAAAATGTCTCTCAACAAAGAAAGATTTACTGCAGAGACACAGTTAACAGAAACGGGAGAATTTCGACTGCACAGTGCGAAAACGCCAAAAAAAAGTATAATAAATCTGCACAGTGCAGTGGAAAATAGCCATAATTGACGTTGCACTGTGCGAAAAATACTCGCATGTTTTGCACGGTGCGGAAAGCCCAGAACTTCAATCTGCACCGTGCATTGTCAAATATGGGCAAATTTCGACCGCACTGTGCAAAATCTTGTCGCCTGTTTTGCACTGTGCGACAAAGAAAGACAAAAATTTTTATTGCACTGTGCGAAAATTCCAAAAATAAACAGTCTACGCACTTTTGAAAAACCGTCAAATCTGAGCAAAACATACTTGAACGACTGCTGAAAATTAAATTCCCTCTATCTTAGGCATCACAAAACATTATTTTTTGGCTGATTTATCAGATGTTTTCCGCTTACGTTTGTTTATTTACAAAATTTTCGTTTATTTTTTTGCCCTTTGACTGTGTCATCGATCAATTTGCGTCATATTATTATACTATTTCGCAGCGTTTATTCATGATTTTTTGCAAATTCAAGATAAAAATTATGAAAAATTTTTATTTTCCTTGGCCCGTCAGACATCCATAAAACACTTCGAAGACGGTTTTCACCGCATCAACACTCAAAAAATCTTTGAAATCGAGGACTTTCGCAAGTGTTATGAGATTGCTGAACCACATTCCGCAGAACCCACAGTCCAGGAAGCATTTTACATGGCTTTGCAGGGCATCTTGTTGCAGTTGTCGGCAATTTACAGAGTTATTGTGGGCCTGTAAAAAAAGTTTTTTTTGTTGAATATAAACACCAATTACATTAAAAAAGACTCAAGTTAAAAAAACGAAAATTTTTAGGAGTTGGACATTTTATACGATGAAACCTGTTTGGTCGTATAAAATGTCGCCATTTTCAAAATATGCGAAAAAATCAACAGAAGTAAGAATTTATCCTCCTTGAAAATCTTGTTTTGCCCAAAAAAGTTTGTAAAGACATTTTATACGATTAAACATATCTGATCGTATAAAATGTCGCTGTTTCATAAGTATATGAAAAAACAGCAGGAATATGAATTTTTACTCATAAAGGACCTTTTTCTTGAACAAAAAACTTGTGGAGACATTTTATACGACAAAACATGTTTCATCGTATAAAATGTCACCCCTGCGGCCAAGCCTTTTCCAATAACTAGAAAGCTTGTTTTTATGGAAACCTACTTCAAAATACTCTTCGAGCCAATTGGGTAGACAGTAAGTCGCGCAATCCGTGAAATTTTTCCCCTTTTGGTTGAAATCGTCGTAATGATCTGGAAAAAATTGATAAAAAATCAAAAAAAATTGGTAAAAAACCGACCGTTGAAGCTTAAACAATTTTTATATCCATATCCGATCAGATATCCATTGCTTCCACAGTGCGCAATGTCCTCCAAACAAACGTACGTGGAGCAGTCGGGCTCACCACAAGAGGAGCTCTAAAAAATTTGTTTTGTTTTTGGTGCAGCTAATTTCTGGACCGTGCAAGCGACAAGCCAAAATTTCCTTTTCGCACAGTGCAAAAATCCGAAAAGTAAGATCCGCACAGTGCAGTGGAAAAAATGTCTGAAAACACCGGACTGCACTGTGCAAAGAGTTATCGCTAATTTTGCACGGTGCGGAAATCCCTGAACTTCAATCTGCACGGTGCGCTGTCAAACATGAACAAATTTCGGCTGCACTGTGCGAAAAAATGTCGCTCGTTTTGCACTGTGCGGCAAAGAAACCCAGAAATTTTTTTTGCACTGTGCGAAAATTTCGAAAGTACAATCTGCACTGTGCAGTGGAAAATTTGTCATAATTTACGTTGCACTGTGCGAAAAATTGTCGCTCGTTTTGCACAGTGCAAAAAAATGACATGATTTTTTCCCTGCACTGTGCAAAAATTTCAAAAATGCATCTGCACACTACAAAACCGAAAAAATAGTTTTCGCGTATTTTACCCATATTTGGCTTACATTATTTTGTCCATTGACAAAAAATACAGAGAATAAAATCAAAGTTCCAGTGAAGCCAATCATTTTTCCGGATTAACTCTCGTTTTCTCTTCATTTTTTGAGTTTATATTGCCTTATTATCACGCAAATCCAATGTAAATCCGTAAAACACATTAAACCGAGGTCAAAAGTGTGGTTGAAATGATCTCGGGTTTGATTTTTGACAAAAAAAATAAAAAAAAATATCGTTTGTAAAAAAAAAATTTTACCGGTCGATTTCAAAATGTCGAAAATTTTTGCTCCGTATTTTGTTTTGCTTGCTATTATTGTCCAGTCTGCCCTAGTTGCTGGTGCAAAATGCCCTAAAAATACCCAGGTAAGTCCTACGCACAGTGCACTGTGCATTTTTTCAATTTTCACTTTTCGCACCGTGCAATCGGCCGAAACAAAATTTTGCACTGTGCAATCAATTTTTGTTGCGGCACAGTGCAGCAGCGACAAAAACATCGCATCAAAGGTTTGCACAGTGCAAAGATATGTCGTATCTTTCCGTTGCACTGTGCACTTTATAATTTTTCTCTCTGCACTGTGCAATCGGAAGAAAACAAAATTTTGCACTGTGCGGTCAACTTTTATCTCAGCACCGTGCAGCAGCAACAAAACCATCGCACTAACGACTTGCACAGTGCAGATTTGTGCTGATTATTCCAACGCACCGTGCATTTTTTCAATTTTCACTTTTCGCACCGTGCAATTGGGAGAAAACAAAATTTTGCACTGTGCAATCAATTTTCGTTCCGGCACAGTGCAGCAGCGACAAAAACATCACACCAAAGATTTGCACAGTGCAAAAATTTGCCATATTTTTTCGTTGCACTGTGCATTTTGAAATTTTTCTCTTCGCACTGTGCAGTTTTCAAAAATTGATTTTTTCTGCACTGTGCAAACGCCAAAACTGTTTGTAATTTATTTTACATTTTTAGCCTGACCAGGACAACAAAAACATGTGTGGTTGGTCAAATCCTAAAGTCGGTGTGGAATGCTCTTGCGCCATCGAAGACATGAATGGATACTTTTGCTTCAATCCCCGAATTTTCCCAGAAGCTGACGGAGACAACACGATGCCTTGTTTCAGAATGCCCGGATCCAGAAATATGTTGGAACAGGGATGTGCAAAGGAGGAATGAGTTTTTCAAATTCAAAGTTACATATTTGGGCTTGAGAAATAAAGATTTTTCCTTTAATTCACAGTGATCCCTGCATAATTCGGGTCGAAATTTTTTGAAAATCTTTTGGATCTCTCAATCTCCATTTCTCACAATTTCCAGCATGTTTTGGCATGGTGACATTTTATACGATCAAGCATGTTTGATCGTATAAAACGTCTCCGCACCGAATTTTCGACAATAAAACTTTTCGTCAGAACTTTAATTTACATTTCCGTCGAATTTTTGTTTAATTTTACAAGGGGGACATTTTATACGATCAAGCATGTTTCGTCGTATAAAATGTCCCTATATTGGAATTTTGTCATAAAAATCCCCCATGGGTGTTCTAATTCTAATTTCCATTACATTTTTCGTGAATTTCATTAAAGTGACATTTTATACGGTAAAACATGTTTCATCATATAAAATGTCCCTATATGATAACTTTGTCATGAAAATTCCTTCTAGGTGTTCTAATTCTCATTCCCATTAGATTTTCCGCGAATTTCGTTAAAGTGACATTTTATACGATTAAACATGTTTCATCGTATAAAATGTCTCCCAGCCCAGGATGACTTCTAAAATCATTTTAACACCATTTAGATACAAATTTATTGCTCGATATCAATTTACACTTTATAAACGAGGGAGTCCGGCGACGATTCCGCCCTCAATTCCACATTCATTGTTGCCTCTGCGGATCTTGAAGAATCCCTTCTCTCCCCACCCAGTTGTCCACGAGTTGGCGCACAGCCAGTACGGAATGCCATCTTCTACGCCCCATCCGAGGATCTTGATCGCATGTCCGCCCAGTTCATAGCCAGCCTTGTGCTGATAAACCCCGCTCTTGTACTTCATAAAGTCCTCGAAGACGGTGAAGCCGGCTTCAACGGGTCCATTCTTGAAGATCTCCTCGCGGATCTTCTTCTCGTTGCTGCTGACCTTGTGCGGGAAGCCGCCCTTGTTCTTGTCGGCGTCGTATTTGAGGTTGGCGCTCTCGCATTGGTGCTCACATTTGGGGGTTGTGACGGAGCCGGTGCACTTGTGGTTCTCGTACAAGGCGCAAGGCTTGATGGAGTAGGTGCGGCAGCCGTCGTGGGTGCCGTAGTCACCGCCGGAGACGATCCCAGTCCACCAGTAGTGGGTCCACGCCATATATGGGTAACCTCCCTCGCAACTGAAAAAGTTGGATTTTAGTGTTTTTTTAATCCGATTTTTATATTTTTTTTTACTTTTTATGCACTTTTAGGGCTCAATTTCCTTTTGCTTCGCCATTGCACAGTGCAAATTGAATTTTTAAATTTTTGCACAGTGCGAATAGGCAAAAAAATTTTTGCACTGTGCAATAGATAAAAATATTTTTTTTTTTAATTTATTATTTTTTATTTGTTTTATGCACTGTTCAAGCTTAATTTCCCGCTTTTTTCTCATTGCACAGTGCAAATAAAATTTTTCGAATTTCCGCACAGTGCAAAACAAACAAAAATTTTTTTGCACTGTGCAATAAAAAAAAATTATATTTATGATGCACTGTGCATGCAAAAACGTCGTCGCTCATTCGCACTGTGCCAAAATTTGAGAAAATTGCAATTGCACTGTGCAAAATTTCCAAAATTCCAAACTGCACTGTGCAGTGAAAAATAAGCCCAGATTTTCTTTGCACTGTGCGAAAAATTCCAATTTCTTATCGCACTGTGCAAAAAATTCGATAAAATTTCAATTGCACTGTGCTAAAAACTAAAAATTCCAAACTGCACAGTGCAATGAAAAATGGACCAAAATTTCCGCACAGTGCGAAATAAACGGAAATTTTTTTGCACAGTGCAACGAAGTCCTAATTCACAAGACTTGCTTTGCACTGTGCAAATAATTTCCGTTTCTTTCGCACCGTGCAAAAATTTCAAAATTCCAATCTGCACTGTGCAAAAAAAAATTTTTTTTTTAAATGAAATTGCTTCATTTTGGATATTTTTGATAGCCAAATTCAATTTTGATGTTTTTCGATTCCTTACCCATATCCACAAGTTCCACAACAGCTCAGCAAATCTTCAGCGGACACATTGACCTGTCTCGCTCCCTTGCTGTGAATGCAGATTCTGTCGGAGATGGCCTCCACCGCGCCGAAGGCCCAGCAACTTCCACAATTGGCCTGATCACGAATATGCTTGATGCTCTTGCAATCGGGCCAGTTTTCGCGGGCATCAAAGTTCTCGGGCAATTCCTCGGCCATCTCCAGCTCCTCCGAGCCCAGAACCACCAAATGCTCCAGTTCTTGGGGCATGTCCAACAGGCCGAGCAAACGTTTCTGCTCTTCGAGCGGCTTGCTGGTGATTACGGACGATTTTTCGGCAGTCCATGAGGTTTTCAGCGAGTTGACGTAGTCCACGAGAGCATCGCCGGACAGGGATTGGGCCTGGACGGGGAGCTCGTTGTGGCCAAGCAGATGAGGCGTGAACTTGCCTTTGGCCGAAACGGCGGCTACAAGAGCCAGAAGAGATAAGACGGTCAACTTCTGTAAATTTTTTTGGTGAGTTATAGGGGTTTTATATTGTTTGGGTGATTCCTTGAAGGACCGATAAAAATGGTGTAAAAAAGAACTTTAAATGTCTAACTAGACACCTAAAATAAGACTTCTACTCCTTGTAACCCTATATTTTCATCGTAGATATGTTTGAGCGCAATATGTACGGCAGAAGACATTGTATACGATAAAACATGTTTTGTCGTATAAAATGTCAACTACGGTTAAAACTGCTAAACAAGTTTTTTGGGAACACTTAACTAGGCTTACTTTAGGATTGAGTACGGAAAGGTCCGCTGCGCGGAAAGGTCCGCTGTACGGAAACGTCCGCTGCGGAAAGGTCCGCTAAAAAAAGGAAAAGAAGAGGGTGGGAAAAAAAGGATTTTTTGTGAAAATTGTAAAAAATTGAAATGTTTTCGCTTCGGGACTGGAAACAAAAGGATTTTTTGTGAAAATTGAATAAAATTTGAAATGTTTTCGCTTCGGGACATGAAACAAAAGGATTTTTTGTGAAATTTGAATAAAATTAGAAATTTTTTCGAGCTGACTGAGTATGAACTGACTGAATATGAAAACTGGGTTTCTGTTACTTTACTACCTTTAGGGATTCTTTTTGAAATTTTTTCGACTTATAACACTTAGACGTTAATGGTGTTGTTTTGGTGCCTAGTACTGCTTAAAAAACACATTTTTAACACTTGGTACTAAATCGTACCAGGTAGTACTATTTAGTACGAGGTGCAAATTTGGCCGTAAGGCGGTAATGGCGTTGGTTTGGTGCTTAGTAGAACCCAAAAACACGTTTTAACACTTGGTACTATATAGTACCAACTGGTACTGTTTAGTGAGAAGTGAAAGTTTGGCCGTAAGGCAGTAATGGTGATGGTTTGGTGCTTAGTAGAGCCCAAAAACACGTGGTACTATAAAAAGTACCAGGTGGTACCATTGGTTTTAGACAAAATTTTAGTGCTGGCGGCACCACAGTTAATATTCAGTCAGACACCCTTTTTTCTACTCCCGATGCGAAAAGATTTCAAAATTTTGTTGAATTTTCCAAAAAATTCTTTTTTTTCCCAATCCCGAAGAGAAAACATTTAAATTATTTTTCAAATTTCACAAAAAATCCGTTTTTTGAAGTCCCGAAGCGAAAACATTTCAAATTTTATTCAAATTTCACAAAAAATCCTTTTTTTCAAGTCTCGAAGCGAAAACATTTCAAAAAAAATTTTTTTCGAGACTAGTCACACCTAAAAATCAAAACACCAAGTACAATATAACTTACGTCTTTTTTTTAAAATTACTAGTTAACACTACTGCCTAAGCAAAATTGTAAGATTCAGAAAATCTTTGGATACGATATTCGAAATCAGCGCCTTCGAAAACCTCCCCCCTCCCCTCCCCGCCCTCTTTTCTTTTTTTTTAGCGGACCTTTCCGCACAGCGGACCTTTCCGCGCAGCGGACCTTTCCGCACAGCGGACCTTTCCGTCCTTCGTGTACTTTAGCGTTTCACAACTATTTTATAGTTTGTAGCCGTTAACGCGACATGTTATACGATGTAAAGTGTTTAATCATATTTAAGCGTATAACATGTCACCTAGAGGTTCATTAGCAACATAATTGCCTAAAGCTGCAAAATAAGGGACTATTTTACCCTACTAAAAATGTTTTCTGCATTTTGCGGTCAATAACGACAAGTTATACGATAAAACATGATAACAAGTCTCTTTAGCCTAGCATTAAATCAAAAATCATAAATTTTAAACCTACCATTGCAAGAAGTGATGACCAAAAAAATACACAAGTTCTTAGTGATTTGGACGCGTTTTATATACTGATACGGGAACAAAGAAAAAAGATAAGACCCAACATTTGCCCAACGTAGACAGTAGCGCATTAGCGGCAAACTGAACGTTGGGAATTGCTGATAATTGATAAACGAGAGTAATAATCCAACATTCAACAAAAAAATTTTCGAAATCTTGTATTTTGAACTTGTTCTCTGCACTGTGCGATCCGATGACGCAGTTCGACGATCGCACCGTGCGAATTCTTAAAAATTTTTATGCACAGTGCAGTCAAAAAGATGTTTTTTATGCACAGTGCAAAATAAATTTTGTTGCATTTCATCGCACTGTGCAGCCAAACTAAAATTTCTTCGCACAGTGCAATCATAGAAGCGACATGCACAGTGCAATTCAAATCCCTCCATTTTTTCATTGCACTGTGCAAATTTGAGTTTGTGGGTTTCGCACAGTGCAAAATGAGCGACAACTCTTTGCACAGTGCAGTCAGAATTTTTCCCGGTTTTTGTCACTGCACCGTGCAGTTTGAACTTTCGGAATTTTCGCACCGTGCAACGGACTTCTTGCTCCATTTTTTGTCGCACTGTGCAAACTCAATTTTTCTCGTGCACCGTGCGTATTGAACTTTCGGAATTTTCGCACAGTGCAATTGAAATTTTCTTTTGGTTTTCTGCACGGTGCAGTGGGAAAACTGCAGCCTTTTTTGTCGCTCTGCTCGAAACAATCGGCGATTTTTTGCACAGTGCAGTCAGAATTTTCCAGAGTTTTCTGCACTGTGCAGATTGAACTTTCGGAATTTTTGCACAGTGCAAAATCAAAAAAACTTTATTTTCTTGCACTGTGCAAGGAAAAATTCTTGTCGCACTGTGCAAACTTCGTCAAATTTTTTGTCGTCGCACCGTGCAAATAAAATTTTTGCCTTGACTTCACTGCACAGTGCAGTAAAAACTGAACTTTTTTTTGCACTGTGCGAAAAAAAGAGAAATTTTTTTTCTGCACAGTGCAGGCAAAAAGGATGCAGTTTTTCCCACTGCACCGTGCAGAAAATCGAAACTTTTTTTCTTCGCATAGTGCATTAAAAATGATGAAACTTTTTCAGTCGCACTGTGCAAAATTACAAACTTTATTTTCCTGCACTGTGCGATAAAAAATTCTTGTCGCACTGTGCAAACTTCCTCAAATTTTTTGTCGTCGCACTGTGCAAAATTAAATTTTTGCCTTGACTTCACTGCACAGTGCAGCAAAGACGGAAATTTTTTTCTGCACTGTGCGAAAATTCAAGTCATTTTGTATCGCACGGTGCGCTCTCAAAAACAATGTTTTCTCTTCCGTATAAGACTATAAATCTTCTACCCGGTTATTAGAGTTGTTGAGTATTGATTTAATAAACGTTTTCCAATCCAATCGTATGACGTCATTCCGCGGAATAAGCCGATTCTGATTCAATTAACGAGTAGTTTGAAGGACGAATCCGAGAATTCGTCTTGAACTGATAAGGTCATTGAGTAATCGACGATTTTCGTTGTGATTGATAATGGAATTAACTTTTATTTTTTTGATTCTTCTACTGCTGGGATTATTTTACTAAAAATAGCGAAAGGTTAAACATTTTTGATGAAATTTGATAAAAATTTTTTGCTAATTTATGGTTTTTATATCATCTGTATTTCATGTAGAATCTAACAAACGAACTGGCAAAAAAGTTTGCAATTTTTTTTGCTCCTGCGACATGTTATACGACAAAACATGTTTGACCGTATAAAATGTCGCCAAGTTCCTGAAAAGCCTGTCCGGTGCCATAAAACTGCACAGTGCATTGAAAAAAATTGGTTTGAAAATTGCACGGTGCAAAAAATTGTCGCTTTTTTGCACTGTGCGAAAATTTCGAAACTTCAATCTGCACTGTGCAATGGAAAAAATTTGAATTCCATCGATTGCGACCCCGCACGGATTGCGACCTCGCATCGATTGCGACCCCGCATCGATTGCGACCCAAAATGGGGTAAAGCGACCCCGGGATGAAAATTCTTTGATTCTTTTCGGGAAAAACTTGCTTTAGGGGTTTTCGAGGGTGCTGATTTCGAAAATGATGTTCATTTTTCCTCTAGTATTACATAGTACTGTCTGATACTATATAGTACGAAGTGAAAATATCGCTTTTGACGTTAAATACTCGATTTAGGGGTTTTCGAGGGTGCTGATTTCGAAAATGATGTTCATTTTTCTTCTAGTACTACATAGTACTGTCTGATACTATATAGTACGAAGTGAAAATATCGCTTTTGACGTTAAATACTCGATTTAGGGGTTTTCGAGGGTGCTGATTTCGAAAATGATGTTCATTTTTCCTCTAGTACTACATAGTACTGTCTGATACTATATAGTACGAAGTCAAAATATGGCTTTTGACGTTAATGGTGTTGGTTTGATGCTTAGTACTCTTCAAAAACACGTTTTAAAGACTTGGTGCTATATAGTACTGTCTGATACTATATAGTACGAAGTAAAAATAAGTGTACTAAGCACCAGAACAACACCACTAACGCCTAAAGGCCAACTTTACACCTCGTACTACATAGTATCAGATAGTACTATATAGCACCAAGTCTTTAAAACGTGTTTTTGAAGAGTACTAAGCATCAAACCAACACCATTAACGTCAAAAGCCATATTTTGACTTCGTACTATATAGTATCAGACAGTACTATATAGCACCAAGTCTTTAAAACGTGTTTTTGAAGAGTACTAGGCATCAAACCAACACCATTAACGTCAAAAGCCATATTTTGACTTCGTACTATATCAGTACTATGTAGTACTAGAGGAAAAATGAACATCATTTTCGAAATCAGCACCCTCGAAAACCCCTAAATCGAGTATTTAACGTCAAAAGCGATATTTTCACTTCGTACTATATAGTATCAGACAGTACTATGTAATACTAGAGGAAAAATGAACATCATTTTCGAAATCAGCACCCTCGAAAACCCCTAAATCGAGTATTTAACGTCAAAAGCGATATTTTCACTTCGTACTATATAGTATCAGACAGTACTATGTAGTACTAGAAGAAAAATGAACATCATTTTCGAAATCAGCACCCTCGAAAACCCCTAAATCGAGTATTTAACGTCAAAAGCGATATTTTCACTTCGTACTATATAGTATCAGACAGTACTATGTAATACTAGAGGAAAAATGAACATCATTTTCGAAATCAGCACCCTCGAAAACCCCTAAAGCAAGTTTTTCCCGAAAAGAATCAAAGAATTTTCATCCCGGGGTCGCTTTACCCCATTTTGGGTCGCAATCGATGCGGGGTCGCAATCGATGCGAGGTCGCAATCGAGCGGGGTCGCAATCGAAGGATTCCAAAAAATTTAGTTTGAAATTTGAGTTGCACCGTGCGAAAATTTGTCGTTCATATAGCGACAAATTTTCGCACTGTGCAAAAAAGTTGAAACTTTAATCTGCACCGTGCAATGAAAAAAATTGTTTGAAAGTTGAGCTGCACAGTGCAAAAATTTGTCGCCCGTTTTGCACAGTGCAAAAATTTGTCGCCCGTTTTGCACAGTGCAAAAATTTGTCGCCCATTTTGCACAGTGCAAAAGTTTGTCGCCCATTTTGCACTGTGCAAAAATTTGTCGCCTATTTTGCACTGTGCAACAGCCATAAATCTTGTATTTTTGAATGCACAGTGCAATAAAAAATAAAATCCTGCAAATCTGTTTTCTTTTCCAAAAACTCCGATTAATTACCTGGCATTTCAATTATTTTTCGAAGGCGAGGACAAAAAAATCACTCTCTTTTTGTTTTTGGCCCCGAAAAACGAAGAGAAAGGTTTTCTTTCTTGGCCAAACTTTCGTTTTACCTTTTCAATTAGGCCGAATTTCGGCTGTTTTTCCCGATTTTCGGATCGGATTTCGTTCGTTTTCTCGGGTTAAAACAGTTTAAAAAACTACTAGCCTTGTCATAAAACGCCTTAGGGCGATTCGATTTTTTAGATGGTGTTTGGGGGATCAATTGGATTTATGGGAGACAAATCGGAGATTTTTTGCCATTGCACCGTGCAATTTTATTTTTTTGGGATTTTGCACAGTGCAAAACGAGCGACAACTTTTTTCCCATTGCACGGTGCAAATTTATTTTTTGGGAATTCCGCACAGTGCAGTGTAAACTTTGTCGAGGTTTTCATTGCACAGTGCAACATGAGCGACAACTTTTCTGCCATTGCACCGTGCAATTTTATTTTTTTGGGATTTTGCACAGTGCACTGGAAATTTCGTTGAGGTTTTGATTGCACAGTGCAAAATGAGCGACAACTTTTTTCCCATTGCACGGTGCAAATTTATTTTTTGGGAATTTTGCACAGTGCACTTGAAATTTCGTCGCGTTTTCATTGCACAGTGCAAAATGAGCGACAACTTTTTTCTCATTGCACGGTGCAAATTTATTTTTTGGGAATTTCGCACAGTGCAGTGGAATTTTCGTCGGGTTTTCATTGCACCGTGCAAAACGAGCGACAAGTTTTTTCCCATTGCACCGTGCAAATTTATTTTTTGGGAATTTTGCACAGTGCAGTGGAATTTTCGTCGCATTTTCATTGCACCGTGCAAAATGAGCGACAACTTTTTTTCCATTGCACGGTGCAAATTTATTTTTTGGGAATTTTGCACAGTGCAGTGGAATTTTCGTCGCGTTTTCATTGCACTGTGCAAATTCATTTGTTTTCTGGGTATTTCGCACAGTGCAGTCAGGACTTTTCCCGGTTTTTGTCTCTGCACGGTGCACATTGGAAATTTGAAACTTCCGCACAGTGCAAAGACATCTTACTGCCTTTTTTGTCGCACTGTGCAACCTGAGTTTTTCCCATGCACCGTGCAGTTTGAACTTTCGGAATTTTCGCACCGTGCAATGGAAATTTCCAAACTTTTTTGTCGCACAGTGCAAAATAAGCGACAATTTTTTTGCACAGTGCAGTCTAATTTTTCTATATTTTTCCGTTGCACTGTGCGAAAAATTCGAAAAAAAAATTTTTCACTGTGCATTTTTTCGGGATTTTTATTCAAAAATATTATTTTTTATCCAAAATCAAGCATGATAAAGCTAAAATCGCCCTCCAAACATCTCAAATCATAATAAAATCCCCCGAAAATTTCCATACTAATAATTTTTCGCGTTGTAATTTTCGATTCCTCGTACGAAAAAAATATTTTTCCATGTTTTATTTGCTCTGAATCAGTTTTTCTTGCTTTTTGAGCCCGCTCTTCCCCGTTTCAGCTCCCAAATCTGATATGCAAATACAAAATTCGGGAAATATGTGATTGGGAAACGTGTCCGCAGGGCAAGAAATGGTTCACAAAGACGCTTTCGTGCCGTTGGATGAGTTCCCGGAGGTGAAAAAAGCGAAGAATAAGGGAATTAAGGGCCAGCTGTTGGACAAATTCAAGGTAAGGATTACTGTATTTTTTTTTAAATAATTTTTTTTGCGCTAGCCGGCCCAAACCTTCAGAAGTTCTGAACAACAACTTTTTCTTCATTTTTTTCAAATTTTAGCCAAATCCGAAAAATCAGGGCCATTTTATACGCCTAAATATGTTTTATCGTATAAAATGTCTCACGCCTTCAATTCTGGAGTGATTCTTTGGTTGTTTGATGATTCTGCAAGAAAATATTCTGATCTATCCTTCTAACGCAGGTTTTATCAAATTTTTTTAGTCAGAGATATTTTATACGTAGAAACATGTTTGATGGTATAAAATGTCTTACTTGTCATGCAGCCATACGAAAAGAGCTGCACTTGATAAAATACGGCATTTCTAAGTAATTGCTACTTAATTTTTGTGAATTTCTTCACGGTTGACCACCTTCTACGATGAAACATGTTTTTTCGTATAACGTGTCACAGAATAGTCATGTGTCTAAAAAAATTATGTTAACACGGTAAAATATGGCTGTCATCAAGTAGCTAAATTAAATTTTCCAAGATTTTTGGTCTCGGACATCTTATACGATGAAACATGTTTACTGGTATAAAATGTCTTCAGATAAAACACGAATATGGCACTATCGTATTTTACCACTTTTCAGCCTTAAAACTTCCCTATTTCAGAATATCCAGACCAGATTTTCACGGGATCTCCCCGCCGAACCAGTCCGCGCTCCATTAGCAAGGCCAGAAGAGAGTCGAGAATGCTCTGTAGCTTCTTATTATTGTCAGATCGAGGACACAACTGTCCGGGATGACCGAAAATCACCTCTAGCAAAATTGCGGAAACGGCTTTTGGCCAGAAATGATTTGGATCGGAAATTAATTCGAATGAAAAGTGATGAACATCAGAGCAGAAGGCCTCACAATCTACGGCAAATGCAATCAAAAAGTGTGGATGATGATCTGGAAGGCTCCACCGATGAATAGTATGTTGATTTTGGGTATTTTTGGCGATTTTATACGATCAAACATGTTTTGTCGTACAAAATGTCCACCGGACATTGAAACGGTGTAAAAATGGCTTTTATTGAGTTAATTTGGACATGTAATTCTTTTTAATCTGGAATTATTGGAATACGTTGTTCTATTGACGTTTTATACCATCAAACATGTTTTGTCGTATAAAATGTCCAAACCTTTCAACTATACAAAAATTTGCTTATCGATGACTTGGAATGAACATATCCTGTCATATTTCAAAATATTTTGTTTATGAGCCGATTAGCAGACATTTTATACGCTAAAACATGTTTGGACATATAAAATGTCATAACTGAAAGATTTTAAAATATTTTTATCCTTTCCTAGCCATTAATTGGCCGCCTAGAGCTTTGTCTCGCTATGAAAGACAATACTTTGCTAAAACCCTTGATTAAGACATTTTATACGAGAAAACATGTTTGATCGTATAAAATGTCGGGGATTGCCGAAACATGCCACAATGTTGATTTTTTCAGCACCGAGATTCCAATGGATCTGTCGATTCAAAGTTCGCCGCCTGACGTCGTATCTCATCGCTCAAATCGCCCCACTGCACCTCGTCCCCGCTCTCTGGACAAATTGCCGCCGGTCCCGAACGGAAAACATCGAATAATGGAGCGGAAGATACTCTCCGGATCATATCAAATCCGAGTAGTACGACGACCACATTCGTTGGACTTGGAGCGGCGAGAGATGACGGCAAATTCGTGGCAAAGCCAGACAAGCGCTGTCACCGAGGATTTCAGAGATTATAGGTAAATTTTGGGCGATTTTCTGGGTACTAAACGTCTTAGTTTCGGCTAAAGACATCAGGGATCATCATTTAGCAATTGGATTTTGAATTGCAAGGCTGGGAGACATGTTATACGATAAAATATGTTTCATCGTATAAGATGTCTGTAAGCCGCAAAGAGCTAAAAGATGGAGAGTTTTCCTCTAGTACACGCTATTCTTTGATAAAACAAAAAAATTTGCATAACGTTGGACATTTTATACGACCAAACATGCTTCATCGTATAACTTGTCCCACAGCGCTTGTTCAATATAAAATGCCTGAAGATTTGTAACTTATTTATCAGCAGTACAGAAAAAGCCAAATTTTAAAACCATAAGCCGTTTAGGAGACATTTTATACGACCAAACATTTTTCATCGTATAACTTGTCGTTCATCATCTGTTCTCGATTTTTTAGAGACGGAATCTTCGACGATATCTATGACGAAGTTTACGAGGAAAAATCAAAGCCTAAGGCCACCGTGGAGCCCATGAAAACCCCAAAAATACCAATTGAAAAGCCGGCTGTCACTAAAAACGAGCGAAAATTGGAAGATGTTCTGGAAGATGAGGAGCCGGAAGAACAATTTGTCGATGTCATCATGCGAAAACCGGAGGAGAAATCGATTTATCGGCTGAATTTGAGGCCAACGGAAAAAGTGGACATTGAAGTTGGCCAGGAAAATCAAAAAATTTCGTTGGAGAATGGTAAATTGAAGCATTTTTTTGTGTATTAAAATACGTATTTTACAATTTAAAACCAATCGCTGCACCGTGCAAACAAAGTTTTTCCGACTGCACTGTGCAGTTTTTATTTTGCTCAATTTTGCACCGTGCAGTAAAAAAAATTTGGAAATTTTTTTTTGCACTGTGCAAACTTCAATTTCGTTACGTCTTGCACAGTGCAGACCGAAAATTTGTCGCCACTGCACCGTGCAACAAACCGGTTTTTCCACTGCACTGTGCGGTTTTTATTTTTCTCAATTTTGCACCGTGCAGTCAAAATTTTTGGCGATTTCTTTTCTGCACTGTGCGAACTTCAGTTTCGTTACATTTTGCACAGTGCAGACCGAAAATTTGTCGCCGCTGCACTGTGCAACAAACTGGTTTTACACTGCACTGTGCGAATTTATTCCTTTTTTCTAATTGCACTGTGCGATACAAAAGCAAAAAATGGCGCAAAAATTTTTTTTTGGGGTCTTTAATTTTCTAAAATTTGAATTGCAGCTCAAACCAAGTCGAATAACGACGCAACTGAAGACTTTGAGAACACCGAAAATGATTTGGACAGTAAAATCTACAATTATGAGTGTTACAGTCCGACGCAAACCGCATTTTCCGGAGCTTCGACGAGAACAAGAACCAACAGTGAGACTTCGAGCATGATCAGTAATCTGGTAGGCCAAAACCTCAATTTTTCGCAAAAATTTCTTCTGCACAGTGCGAAAAAACTCGATTTTTTCAGCCCGATCCCTCGATTCCGGATGTCGATGAAGACGGTGTGGAATGGATTCACACGTGCCCAATTGTCACCACAAGGCTTATAAAGCAGGATTTGAACAAGTTTTATCCTCGTATTCTGCCGTACGGCATGTTATTGCGATGTGACAAGGGCTTTGTAAATATGCCAATTACCGAGTATTTTGTTATATGGAGTAATGGATATGTTGCGATGGGAATCATCAAGGATATTGAGGGATATGAAGGTCGGTTTTGAGAGATTTACGAGCTTTGGAGACGGGTTATACGATCAAACGTGTTTCATCGTATAAAAAGTCGCCAGGCGTACAGAAATTTTTAACTATCTGTATTTTGATAAGACATTGCACTTGACAGTCGTTTTTTGTAATAGCGACGCTACAGCGACAAGTTATACGATGAAACATGTTTCATCGTATAAAAAGTCGCCAGGGCGTCCAAAAACTTTAAACTTGTTGTATTTTGGTGACATATCACATTTGACTGTCGTTTTTATAATAACAACATGAAAGCGACAAGTTATACGACAAAACATGTTTCATCGTATAACATGGTTCTGACGACTTAAATATTAAAAATTTTGACTGAGACTTGTCACATTTAACGTATTTATTATTCTTAAAGTGATTTATGTATGTAAAAAGTTAAGCGACAAGTTATACGATCAAACCGGTTTCATCGTATAAAATGTCCCCCGCTAAAATCTGAAGTCAGATTTTAATTTCAGGTCAACCAGTGAGTATTCAAGTTGGCAATTTTCATTGCTCAAAGGCAGGCGATCTTTTCGTCGGCTGCACTGTGCAAGTCTCCCGTTACAGTAATGTAAAAATCAACGGGAAAGTCCGAAAACTAGTGCACCCCGAAGACTTCACCTTCGAGGATTTGAGTGATCAAAGCGGAATCCCAAAGCCCCAAGCGTTCGCCGTGAAATGGTCGATAAAAAGGGAGAATCAACCCGAACTGCTGAGGCACTTGGGGAAGATCGAGGAATTTCGCTTCGCCCAGCGGAAAAATGGAAGAGGATTTCGATTATTTGGGGTGGTTATGGACTCCGAGAACATGCAAAAGCATTTGGTAAAGGACGACAACTTTCCTGGATACATAAAAGGCGGGTTTTTCGGGTTTTCGAAAACCGCACTGTGCGGAGAAAAGTTTTGAGAATTTTGCACGGTGCAAGGGGAAATCGGATTATTTTTACAATTTTATATTGTAAATTGGAAGCATTTGATGATGCTTGCCTGAAAAAAATTCTCTAGAATCATCGTTGCACAGTGCAATATCCATTTTTTCAAACTGCACAGTGCAGTTTAATGTTTTGCAATTTTTGCACGGTGCAAGAGAAAATAAGATTATTTTTGAAGCTAGATAATATTGGAGAACCATTTCAAACCATATTTGCAATTCTCATAATTTTTCGATATGTTGCACAGTGCAAATTTCGACTTTTTTCAAACTGCACAGTGCAATTTAAAGTTTTGCAATTTTTGCACGGTGCAATAGACAGTACGGTTATTTTTGAAGCTAGATAATATTGGAGGACCATTTCAAACCATACTTGCAATTCTCATAATTTTTCGATATGTTGCACAGTGCAAATTTCGAGTTTTTTCAACCTGCACAGTGCGGTTTAAAATTTTGCAATTTTTGCACGGTGCATGGGAAATTCGGAAAACTTTTTTTGGCCACACGATTTTCAGGCCAGGTAAAATAATTTTATTTCATTTTCAATACTATTCAATTCTTTTGCACTGTGCAATTCCGATTTCTTTTCATTGCACCGTGCAGAATTTTACAAGCTGAAAATTTTATTTTTCCTTGCGAATTTTGATGTCCAATCTAAAATAGAACAATTTTCAGAGCCCTTAAAAGTTGGAGAGCCAGTAGTTTTGACGTTCGCTCGTCTGCCCGTCCCCTATTGTCATGTGAAATGTGAATTTAATGATCTCATCTTGCCCGAATGGTGTCAGCGGCTGGATAAAACGCTGTTGACCCGCGAACCTCTCGACTTTTTCCTCACCGTGGACACCCATTATGTATAATATTGCCCAAATTTAAGATTATTATTCAAATTTTTTATAAATTTTTCCGTTTATTTCGAATAAAATTACAATTCTATACTCTATATAACATAATGTTGTTGGGGAAAATATTAGGTAACTTAAATGTATATGTTGGGTAGAACAGGGAAATTGCTCTTATTTAGCGCGTTGCACGGTGCAATCGGCGAAAGGCTTTGCTTGCACCGTGCAACGAAAAAAACGTTCCGCCGCACGGTGCAGCGGCGACAAATTTTCGGTCTGCACTGTGCGAAACGCAAAGAAATTGTTTGTTTTGCACAGTGCAAAAGAAAAAATCGCAAAATTTCGAATGCACTGTGCAAAAACTAGACGAAAGAAAAACTGCACTGTGCAACGAAAAAAGTGTTCGTTGCACGGTGCAGCGGCGACAAATGTTCGGTCTGCACTGTGCGAAACGCAAGCAAATCGTTTGTTTTGCACAGTGCAAAAGAAAAAATCTCAAAATTTCGACTGCACCGTGCGAAATTTTGAAAAAAAAAAACTGCACTGTGCGAAAGACAAATTCATCAAGATTTCGATTGCACCGTGCAAAAATTGTCGCAAAATTTGGACAATGCGACAAAATAAAAATCTGCACTGTGCAAAGCAAAAAAATCGCGAAAAATTTTTCTGCACCGTGCATTTTTTAGAGAAGTAAAATTTGCACAGTGCAGTGGCAAATTTTGATTAAAATTCCGAGTGCACGGTGCAAAAATTGTCGCAAAATTTGCACTGTGCAAAAATTATCGCAAACTTTGCACTGTGCAAAAATTATCGCAAACTTTGCACTGTGCAAAAATTATCGCAAAATTTGCACTGTGCAAAAATCGGCAAAAATTTAAAATTACAGTATTCAAAAATGGACTTTAATTATCACTTTGACAATATTTTTGGGGGGTGTGGGTGGAAATGGGAGCGAATGAGGGCCCGTTTTATAAACAAAAAAAAAAGTTTAGGTTACAAAATAGGTACTGATTAGCTTATTTATTGAAGGCTTCGAAGACGGCCCAGACCACATTGTAATGAGGATTTGGCTGTTTTTCGGCTTCGGCTTCGAAGTCTAGTTCGAGGAGTTTTCGGACTCGTCGCATGGCTTCTTCGTAGTTCTGAAAATGGGAAAAGAATTAGAGAAAAAAAAAATAAAAATTTTATTTTTTCAAAATAAAAACTTCTTGAATTTACCAAAAATTCTCAGTAAAAAATTATTTAGACCTAGTTCCCTCAGGCGGTATTATTATTTTCAAAAAATCCAATAATTTCGCACAGTGCAAATTTCAAAAAATTTCGCACAATGCAACTCCGAAAAACCACTAAAATTTTGATTGCACCGTGCGGAAAACAAACTTTCCTACTGCACTGTGCAAAAATCCGAAACAAAAAACAGCACTGTGCAAGCCAAAAAATCACGTTTGCGATTGCACAGTGCAAAAAAAAATTTTTTTTTCTCCGCACTGTGCATTTTGGAGAAGTAAAATTTGCACAGTGCAGTCGCAAATGTGCAAAAATCCAAAAATTTTGCACTGTGCAACTCCAAAAACCATCGAATTTTTTATTGCACTGTGCGAAACTTCATTCTCAAACTTCGCACTAGACATGGCTGGGGGGCCGGGCCGGGCCGAAAATCGCGGCCCGGCCCGGGGGCCGGAAGAGGTCGGCCCGGCCCCGGCCCCCATCAAATTTTCTCGGCCCGGCCCGGCCCGGCCCCCTGGGGGCCGGGCCGGGCCGGGGGCCGACAGGGGGCCGAACTGTAAATATAAATACTGCATTCATTGCGAGATATAACACATTTTTTGGGGCTTTGGGTTCAGCTCCCCGCGAAAGGTAGTTCAAACCCCCACTGTTTTGCCCATTTCACACCCACCGTAATTAAAAAATTAGAATTATACAAAAAATGCAAATTAGAGTAAAATGACCCCAGGCGTTTTAGTTCAAAACCCCAGTTACCGTCCAAATTCGTATTTGTGGTTCAGGCAACGATGATCGTAGCCGAGAGAACCCAATCCCGAGTAGGCGCTTCAGATTGGATGAGGGGGGTTTATACTGGGTCCAAGGGGGCTGAACTGGGCTATCGAGTTGTACTACCTTAGCCCCCATTTTTTTTGTTATAACAAGCGACAATAAATTTTTGAAACAAAAAATTACCAACCATTGCCTAAAGTACTTCAAAAAACCCAATCGGTTCTTGGCTCTGCGTTTTATTTTTATTGGCAACCCTAATTTTCGCTTTGATACTGAGAATTTTAGTCATTGGGGGCCGATTGGGGGCCTGGCGGGGGCCCCGGTCGGCCCGGCCCGGGGGCCGGAAGAGGTCGGCCCGGCCCCGGGGCCTTTAAAACTCGTTCGGCCCGGCCCACTAGCCATGTCTACTTCGCACTGTGCGAATTCCCAAAATTGTGTTCAGTTCTTATTCTCAGTCTCCAATTGTTCTGGGGCTCGAGAGGAAATTACCGACGCTGTTGCTTTTGCTCCCCTATGAATCCGATACAGTATCCGTCCTGTTCGGGGATTAACGAAGAGCCTACTGTAACTTTTTCTGCCTACTGTAACTTCTTTTCTGCCTTTTCCCCGCTCAAAATCCGTCTTTAATTCCCGGTGGGACTCGAACCCGCGACCTTTCGACTACCAGCCCAAACTTTAGCCACTACACCATTCCGGTACATGGGTTCAAAGTGCTCGTTTTGGGTTGGGAATTGGGCGTACCTGATCGGAGAGGGGTCCGAATGCGTTTTCCAGGACGTCCGACGCGTGTGAGAGGATGATAAGTGACAGGATGCGTTTGTTCATGCGATGCACATCGTTGGTCCAGCGCTGCAGGACCGACTCTTGAACGCGCTGGAAGATAAAAAAAATGAAAAAAAATGTAAAATACGTCGCTGAAACCTATCAATTCCAAAAATCCCATCAATTTTCAACCTTATTTAAGACAAAAATCTCAAAAAAATCTAAAAAAACCCAATTTTTTCACATTTCCAAAAATTTTCAAAAATCCCCTGAGGCAATTTGCCTTCCAAAAGTCCATTTTTCAATGAAAAAATTTCACTTTTTCCCCAAAATTTTCCCAAATCTTCTCCAAAACTCACTCTGATCAGCTTCGATTTGGTTGCATTGTCATGAAGTGGGTGGGTGGTCATGTCGAAGACGAAAAAGTTCTGCTTTTCCGTGGTGAGGACGCCTTTCTCGACCAGGTTTTTGGCCAGTCTTTCGCGCACATTCCTCAGCTGATACCTCAATTTCAGCGGGTTCCAGGTCTCGCCGGAGAGGTGCTCGATCCAGGTGACCACCGTCTGCGGGGGCTGGGTCTCTTTGATGTGTTTCAGAGTTTCGTCCAGGATCACGTCGCCGGTGGGGTCGTCGTTCGTGATCACCACCTAAAATAAGGTTGAAAAATGTAAATTAAAAAAATTTTTTTTTTTTTTTTTGAAAAATTACTCCAGCTCTCTCTAGAATTATTAATGAGACATTATGATACCGGTATGACCCATTGCAACAAAAAAAACAGCCAAAAATCGCCAAAATTTAGCAAAAATACAAATTTTAGGTATAAATCACCTAAAATAAGGTCAAATCTCTCAAAAAGCAAACTCAACCAAAATAAAAAATGTTGTAGACTACTCCTTACTTCTTCATTCACCCTAAGAAACACTAATTTCCCTCGAAATAAATCAAAAAATTTTTCGCTTTCCTCTTTGCTACCTAAAATAAGATAAAATTCCAAAAAAATCAATATCAAACACGCCAAAATATCTCCCAAACCTCTCTAAACCACCTATCATCTCTAAAAACCCTCAAATTTTCCAAACAAAACAAAAAAAATCTCAAAAATGGATCTAAAACAATATCCGACAACCCAAATCAATACGACCTACATTTCTGGAGACGAGGCTCTTCTTCCTCAGCCCAACATTCTCCAATTCTATTCGTTTTCGGAGGGCCAATTCGATCAGAACGCATCCCCTGAGGCCGGGGGAGATGCAGTCGTTCCAGAAGGAGGTGTACCCCTAAAACAATATAAAAACAATCGCCAAATTGGTACTTTCACATCACAACCTCTCTTTCCTCTCGTATATGCTCTCAAACAGAGAATTTCCCATGCAAATTCGCATGGATTTCTACTTTTTCTTCAATTTGTTACCTAAAAACCGAAAAAACTTTTACAAAAAGCGACGTACCTCTCTGTCCTTGAGGCCCAGAAGCAGAATCTCTTCCATGAGGGTTAATTTGGGGGCGGAGCGGTCTTCGTCGTCGTCATATTCATCTTCCTGCACCTTTTCCTCCTCCTCTTCCGGCTTTTCTTCCTTGGCCGGCTTGCGGCGACGCTGCACCAAACCACCGCTCATGGTCTGAAAATCGAGTAGAAATGAGTCAATTTGAAAATTGAACTGAAAATTGAAGGGAAAAATAGTCACAAACTCGAATTATAAATAAAAATCGAAAATGTGAAAAAAATGAAAATTTCGCAAAAATTCGGCAAAAAAATCGGCCAAAAAATTCTGTGTCAAAATATCAAATACCAGCCATCAAATATCACTGAGCAAACGACAGAAAAATCGCACATTGCAACAGTCAAAAAGCGCCACAATTTTTTCCCGCACCGTGCGAAAAAAAAAGTTTTGACTGCACTGTGCAAAACTTAGAAAAATGAAAACTGCACAGTGCGAAGGAGAAATTTGTCAACATTTTGATTGCACCGTGCAAAAAATTGTCGCAAAAGTTGCACAATGCGACAAAAATAAAAATCTGCACTGTGCAAGAGCAAAAAATCGCGAAAATTTTCTCTGCACCGTGCAAAATTCGAAAAAATAAAACCTGCACAGTGCAGTCGCAAACTTGCACTAAAATTCCGAGCGCACCGTGCAAAAATTATCGCAAGATTTGCACTGTGCAAAAAGCTCCAAACCATTGCACTGTGCAAACCTCGGCATTTTTTGCACAGTGCAAAATCGAATTAACTTTTCGCACAGTGCATTTTTTGAGAGAAATAAAATCTGCACAGTGCAATCACAAATTCCCACTAAAATTCCAAGCGCACCGTGCAAAAATTATCGCAAGTTTTGCACTGTGCAAAAAGCTTCAAACTTTCGCACTGTGCGAAAAACTAAAATTTTTGCACAGTGCAAAATTTTATGAACCTTTTGCACAGTGCAGTAGACGCAAAATTGGTTCCAAATCTTAGTTAATCCTCCCAAACCCCCAAAAAAATTTTTTTCGAGTCCTAAATCGCCTAAAATACTCCCTAAACTAACAACTTTTTGCCAATTCTACCAAATTTTTAGTACTTTGCATGGAGAATCAAGTAAAACGTTTATTTTTTTTAGAATCCACGTATGAAAAGCCTTTTTTTGGGGCCTAACAACGAGACGAGAGGAGAGGGGCCTTCGTTTCCCCCATAGGGTTGTTTTTTCGCGTTGGTTCGCCACGTAGAAAACCGTCAAAGAGCCGCTATTCGAATCCAAATTATATTCATAATCGACTCGTGGGGAAAATTTCATGGACTGGGATACAAACGAAGGGAGAATTACATAGTAAATGAAAAAAAAATTAAAAATTTGACAAAATCTGGCAAAAAAATCTCAAAAAATGAGCAAAATTGCAAATGAAATAATTCAATGGTAAATCATAAAGGTAAAATACGCATTTTTTAATGACCAATCGAAAATGATAAAAATTTAATATTTTTAACAAAAAATCTCAATTTTTTCAAAAACCAAAAATAAAAATCATCATTTTCACTCATTATTTAAACCTTTACACCTATTCAAGTCTATACACAACAATTTTTCGACAAAATTCAAAAAAAAATTATATTGATTTAGGTATAAAAATTGAAAATTTTTACATTTTCTCATCGAAAAAACTATACATTTTTGTGTGACATGACACAATAAAGCTTATTCTTTATCGACAAACACATTACAGACATTTTCATCAAAAATATTTGCCAAAAACCCCAAATTATTACCTAAATTAATATAATTTTTTGCTCAAAACCCTAAAAATACTTCCAAAACCAGCTCCACAGAGCCTCAAATCTCCCAAAATGGTCCAAACATCCTATTAGAATGCACCAAACAATTATCAGAGTTCAGAATTCGACGTTAAGTAGAGGTTATTGCTGACGGAAAAAGAAATAACCTTCAAGAAAACGGGGCGACGCCATTAACGTCTTCGCCGATTTACACTCGGATTTTTTGTGTTTTCAGGTGGGATCAGTCGGAAAATTTGTCAAAACATTCGCCTCAACCTCAAAAATTTTATATTATTCATGGTGTCCGAGGCGAAATTTTGGTGTCAAATTGCAAAACCTGTTCGGATTTTTGGGCAAAACTAATTTTTTCAGACCTTATCCAACTTTTTTAAGTCCTTTTAGACCAGAAATGATCAAAAAATTTAACATTTTTTCCCCGACCTCACCTAAAGTAATATAAATTTTTTTCCAAAAACGCCTCAATTTTCTATTTTACTACAAGATAAAATATCCTTTATGATTCTAATCGCTTTAAAACTAATTTCAAGCCCAAAAATCGCTTGAAATCACCAAAAATCATCTAAAGTAATATAAAATTTTCTCTAGAACTGCAAAAAAGCCTTCAAATTCCAAATATTCTTGTAAAATACGAAGCTCCATAGCCAGCATGACCCATCAAAATCAATTTTTCACCCAAAAATTCCAAAAAAAAAATCAAAAAATCCAAAAATTTTCGTATATTCGATATAAACAAATGTCGAGGAGGAATAATCCCGAAATTCCCCGCACAAACAAAGATTCCCTTTCCGTGACTGGAGCCGGAAAAAAGGGGACTCTTTGGAGGGGCTTTTTGCGCTCGAAAAGCGGAGAAAAAAGCGAAGGAAAGGGGGGAGAGAAAGGGGAGCGAAGGGAAAAAATGAAAAGAGCCTGCAGATCCCGTGAATTCCAATGAATGACCCAGTCTTATTGTACGGAATACAATCAAATGTCTGTGGAAAAAAATATATTGTCCTTGGGAATGCAAAAACTCAAAATTTAGCCGATTTCAAAAGTGATTTTGATGAAAATCAAGGTAATAATGAGTCATAAATAGCTTACTAACCGTAGTGATACCATTGAAACTTCAAAATCCCTCATTTCAAATCTTAAAATCGACTTTGGAAAACCGCACAGTGCAGTAAAAAACTTTTGTCCAATGCACTGTGCAAAGCAGAAAAAATCGGAATTTTTTAATCCAAACCATCCTCACAGGTCCTAAATTATATACCAACGTCACTATCAGTCCTTATTCGGCAATACGAACTCAAAAAATGAATCACTTTTCCCATCGCACAGTGCAATTTCTAATCCTTCCGTTTGCACAGTGCAAAATTTAAAATTGGACAAACTGACCGTCCAAATCTATGCTCCAGTCCTAGGAGAAAGATTTCAGATCAACATCTACTTCTATCTCACAATAAAAGCATCAAAAATCATCATTGTTTCCGTCGCACCGTGCAATTTCTAATCTTTCAGTTTGCACTGTGCAAAATCAAAAATTTCATAAACTAGACTGTCCAAAACTATACCCCAGTCCTTGGAGAAAAATTTCAGATCAACATCCACTCCTTTCTCACAGTAAAAGACTCAAAACAAATCAATTTTCCCATCGCACCGTGCAATTTCTATTTTTTTTCGTTTGCACTGTGCAAAGACGAAAAAATCTTAATTTTTTAATCCAAACTATCCTCACAGGTCCTAAATTATATACCAACGTCACTATCAGTCCTTATTCGGCAATACAAACTCAAAAAATGAATCAATTTTCCCATCGGACCGTGCAATTTCTATTTTTTTCGTTTGCACCGTGCAAAGCCAAAAAAATCTGAACTTTTTAATCCAAATAATCCTCACAGGTCCTCAATTATATCCCAAGATCTTTATCAGTCCTTACTCGGCCATATAAACTCAAAAAATGAATCCCTTTTCCCGTCGCACAGTGCGATTTCTCATTTTTGCCCTCTGCACTGTGCAAACTCAAAAATTTGACAAACTGAATGTCATAAACTACTCTCCAGTCCTATGAGAAAATTTTGAGATCTACATCCACTCCTTTCTCACAGTAAAACTCTCAAAACTAATCATTGTTTCCACCGCACAGTGCAATTTCTATTTTTTCCCTCTGCACCGTGCAAAGTAGAAAAGATCCGTACTTTTTAGTCCGAACAATCCTCACAGGTCCTAAACTATATCCCAAGATCAATATCAGTCTTTACTCGGCCATATAAACTCAAAAAATGAATCCCTTTTCCCGTCGCACAGTGCGATTTCTCATTTTTCCGTTTGCACAGTGCAAGTCCTCAAAACTTCAACTGCACAGTGCATCGAGTCCTCTGATACCCAGTGAAGCTCAAGTGGAACCGAAACAAGGCAAACCCACAATAAAACAAAGTGAAAAACGGGGGGAAAACTTCATAAAAAGAACATGGCATTATACAATGACAATCCGGTCTCCGGCGGGGGGCTACTAATCTCTCCACGCATCGCACAGCCTAGCAACGTGTGTTCCACTTAACCATCCAACATATTCAATGATAATTCCATATCCGTAACATCAAAAAACTTTGGAATAATCGAACTTTTCCCGAAAATTTGGCTAAATCAAGGTCAACTTACAAAAAAAATTCGAACAATTCGATATCCAACTAAAATTTTGGAGACAATTCCGCAAAAAAGGGATGTGAACGACAAAATAAACACCACGGGGATGCGTTCGATGGGGCGCAACACCTGTGTAAATAGCAAAAAAAAGCGACGTTGGACGAATTAAAAACTGAAAAAACTTTGCTCGAATCTCCATTTAATATGTTATATGCAAGACAATGGACTCTTACAGACTACAGGGACCTCAAAAGTGACGCAAAAACATCAAAAATTAGACAAAATTTGGTCAAACATCATCTAAAGTAATATAAAAAAATCGCAGAAACATACAAAATTACCTCAAAATGGCTCAAAAAGTATCACACATTAACTAAAAATTCAAAACACCTCATATTTCTTCCAAAATCGATCAAATTTACCTAAGATAATATATAAAAAAAATCCCAAAAATCATACAAAATTACCTCAAAATGCCTCAAAAAGTATCACACATCCTTTAAAAATTCAAAACACCTCACATTTCTTCCAAAAATCGGCCAAATTCACCTAAAGTAATATAAAATTTACCTAAAGTAATATAAAAAAAATCCCAAAAATCATCTAAAACAATATCGACAGAGCCCAAAAAGCCCCAAAAAATATCGTAACTCCTCCACAAATCGCAAATCCACTTCAATTTTGCGAATATTCATCATTCCGAAGACTGAATTCGCATGATTCATATCGGATTCAAGTTTGCAGAAAAGGCGAAACTGGCTCTCCTGAAGAGTTCCCCAAGTCAAGAGTAATATTTTTGCATCTGATAAGGGGGGTTCTTCCCGAATCGGAGTCCTGATTCGAGGAGTCGATAACTAAAAATTCGATGCATGCGTTTTTAAGGGGCTTAAAAGGAGTGGAGAGGAGTCTAGAGGCTTGTTAATCAAGTTTGAAATTATGTGTAAGCATCTTCCTATGCGTCAAAACTCGATTTTTTATTTTTTTTTTTCTAATTTTTTTTGCACTGTGCAATGCAAAAATTTGCCGACCGCACCGTGCAGTTTTCGAAACAATCAATTGCACTGTGCATTTCTCAAATTAATAAATCGCACAGTGCAATCTCAAAATTTGATCGGTTGCACAGTGCAATCCAAAAAATCGAAGATTGCACAGTGCAATGAAAAAGGTACCGCCAATTCAAAAAAATCGATCGCACGGTGCACCGCGTTCCCCAAGTTCATAAATCGCACAGTGCAATCTCAACATTTGATCGTTTGCACAGTGCAATCCAAAAAAATAGAAGATCGCACCATGCAATCCAAAAAATCGAAAACCGCACAGTGCAATAAAAAGGGTATCGCCAATTCCAAAAAAATCGATTGCACGGTGCACCGCATTTCCCGAGTCAACAAATCGCACAGTGCAATCTCAAAAAAATAGAAAATCGCACAGTGCAATCCAAAAAAAATAGAAGATCGCACCGTGCATTCCAAAAAATCGAAGATTGCACAGTGCAAACAAAAAAATAGAAGATCGCACAGTGCAATCCAAAAAAATAGAAGATCGCACCGTGCAATCCAAAAAGCGAAGATCGCACAGTGCATTCCAAAAAAAAATCGATCTCACCGTGCAATCGTCCTCAACCTCCAAAAAAACAATCCAAAACGGCCGGAAAACGCTGTAACGGACGCCTCCCTTCGTCAGCAGCCCCCATTAAACCATAAACCCCCATATTAATCAGAATTCAAAGTATCAAGACGCTTCCAAACGCCGTCATCTGATCTAGTGCAATATCCAAATTTTACTATTTATTACTTATTAAAGCAAAAAAAAGAAGTGATATTAAGTGTGGAATGGCTTAACTCGTTAGCTCGACTAGTTTTTTGGCCAGCTCGGTGTTGAAGAAGTCGTCGTTGGCCGGATCATCCAGATGCCCTTCGAAGTCCACGACGCATCGATGAAGTCGTGATTGTAGGGCCGCCGAATAAGCTGCGAGGGCTTCTTCGGAGTTGAAGAGACTTGTACTAAAGATTGAACAATCAAAAGAGAAAATTTTTGAACCTACTTGACCTGTTTCCATTTGGCATTATCATAAGTGTAGGAGACCAAACATGAGGTATTTGAATTGGACGAGAGCTTCGTACTATCAATGCGAATAGCTACCGGTTGTGCAATTCCATCCGAATGGAGCTTGTCATGGATCAATTTGGCCCATAAATGATCTAGGCTGAAAATCGAAGAGGTTGTCATGGATAATATAAATTTATCTGCGAAGGAACAAAGCAATCAAACCAAGTTCTCTTCAGCACCCTCTTTAATCCTCAAAGCGGGCAAAATTCAATAATCTGTCGAAGAAGACCTCCATTTACAGAGAATATTATCTTATCCTTGTTCTAACGAAAGGACGGTTTTATTGGAGGGAAATTAAAATTCAACTTGACCAAAACCATATGGTGAGCTTAAATTGACCATAAACTAAATGCAAGTGGCTTTTGGTCCTATCAAAATCAAAGAAAACCTTCGAATTTCACCAATTTTCTCTACCTCCCATGGGTAAATTTCGCATTCCTCTCTTTCTCCTAAAATCGAAGAAAAACAAAGCAAAAGACTCACTTCGAATCGTTGGGTCGTTCATTACCAACATAACATCCGACAATCTTCAGCTTTTCCGCTTCGCAATACGCCGCAGTTTGTATTAGACAAGCTTCGACCGGTGGTGCCAACAAAGACCCGTGCAGAACTGGAATCGCGTCCTCAATCTCTGTGTCTCCATTGTTTACGCGTCCTATGAGGAGTCCTCGAACTGCACAATGTGGGTATTTGACAGCATGAAGGGAGATCTTGCAGTAGGCGACCGTTTTGACCTTGACCATACCTAAAACAATATAAGATAAAAAGTGAAGGTAAAAAATTAGCCAAACAAGGGTAAACCGTGAGAAAGGTGGGTGTAATCTCTTAGCAAACACACCAAAGAAAACTCGAGTAAAATCGGCCGCAAAATGGAAGGACAATATAGGCCGCAGCTCGCCATTTGTGATACTTGGACTTGAATGGGACATTTTATACGATCAAACCTATCTGGCAGCAAACTTTTATGCTGTAAAAAGTAAAAAAAACTTCACAAACAAGTTCCAAAACTTCCAAAAGTACTCTGAACTACCCATACTTATCATTTATTTACACGTATTTACAGGGAAACATCAATATATTATCATATCCAGATCAACTTTTCTTGGCTCGACCCGTTTCAAATCTTTGTACAGCTCTTTGATGACTGGATTCTCCACACCACTGCGGACCTCCGAAGGCATTCTTTCCATCACAAATCGTTGCCATTCATCTTTTTGTTTCTGAAAAATTGTATCGGCTTCGAAGCGATGTCGATTGAAAAGTTGTGTCGTTGAGTGTCTGAATCGATCCTTCAGCTCTTTAACAATCTCTGATCGGGATCTGACTCCAATCTGTTTGATTGCTTCGTCGCTGCGTTCATCGAGACGATTCGCATTCAACGTTTCGGCGTCGTTGAGGATTCGGACTAAAATTTATTCCATTATTGGCTAAAACTGGTGTTGATTGTAGAAAAAATAATCCAATCAAATGTTTTTCGATTCCATTTAGGCCTAAACGATCTGCTTTTCGTTCAAAATTACCGTTTGTTTACTGCACGGTGCAATTTACCAAAAAATCTCAAATCGACTGCATTGTGGAACAAAATCCAAAATTTTTTCTCACTGTGAAATCCCCTTTCATCACCTTTCTTTTCTGCGTTGGCCATTTTTTCCCAAATCCCCGCCGCACTGTGCAATTTATCCCCAAAATCCACCGCACGGTGCAATTTACCAAAAAATCTCAAATCGACTGCATTGTGGAACAAAATCCAAATTTTTTTCTTACTGTGAAATCCCCTTTCATCACCTTTCTTTTCTGCAGCGACCATTTTTTCCCTAACCACCGCCGCACTGTGCAATTTATCCCCAAAATCCACCGCACCGTGCGAATTTCCAAAAAATCTCAAATCGACTGCACTGTGCGACAATTCTCAAAATTTTTTCTCACTGTGAAATCCCTTTTCATCACCTTTCTTTTCTGCAGCGACCATTTTTATCAAAAATCCCAACCGCACTGTGCAATTTGTTCCCAAAATCCAACGCACTGTGCAATCGCTCAAAATTTTCACCGCACCGTACGAAAATAAACTTACTGGCTGTGATGGCGTTGGTACTTCGTTGTCGGATAAAATTCAGTTCTCTCAAAGTTTGACGTTCAATCTGCTCCATCAGTCGCTGACGTTCGGCGTGTTGTCGATTCTTGAGAGTCTGATATTGTTCATCATGACTGGCCATCATCGCCTTCATTGAGGACTTGTCCGTGAATGGCGCCGCCTTGCTGAGGTATTGACACACCTGAAATTGTCATATAACATCTGAATAATCCCTGATTTCTTGGGAAAGGCGTATTTTAAAACTTACAGTGGAATAAGCCAATCTCGGCTCAATTCTATCGATAACACTGGTATAATCGGCGGTTTTCCAGGGCTGTTGCTGTCGCTCGAGGTCTGATTTCCACCGTTTTATCATCTGGAAGCATTTGATCTCAATTTTGGGCAAAAAATTATATTACACTAGGCAAGGTGGATATCCAACTGCCCTCCAAACTTTCTTCAATCTAAAAACCAAACAAAAAATAGCAAGATCTCACCATTTCCTTTGTTGTCAGTCTTCTGCTGATATCAGAATGATCATACAGAGCGTAAATTTCATCCGAAAGTCGATCAGGCTGTAAGGATAAAATCGGAACCGCTGAGTCCGCTCCACTGCTTCGGCTTTCCTCATCTTGCTCCGGGGAGTTTGGCATTGAAGCTTGAGGGGTTGGTGACAGCCCAACGGTCAAGGAATTGTCCGCATCCAACGCTCGAGCCGGGGTTTCGCGGACGGCCGAACGTCGCGCCGTGCGCGGCCGTTTCGCGCTGCCCGCGTCCGCCGGCGACTTCTGCTCCTTCTTGGTGGTCTGCCGAGTACTGCTGCTAAAGTTTGTGTAAAAGTTCTTTTAAATTTTGGGGAAACTCTTATTTTTTAGAATAGATCTAGTTTATATCTAAAGTAAGGTAAGTTTCCGTGAAAAAATAGTCACAATCTGTTCCAATCTAGTCTAAAAAGAGGCTAAATCTCCGGGTGATCATATTAACAGGTAAAATTCCGCATATAACGGTCAAAAATCCAATATTTTATCTAACAAGGAAAGTACTTCTATGGGGTGTGGAATTACCGGTCGAGATATATATCAAAAAATTCGCAAAAATTTTTTGATTCAGAATATATATAAATTAGCTGCCTAATTTTGGTCTAATGACATGTTTTTGTCCTCAGAAGTTTTCTCGCGACACCATGCAAGTGTCTTTTTGACCGTGTTTTTAGCAATAAAAAAATTTTGTTTTGTGCTAAAGTAAATTCTGAGGCCTTGACAAGCCTTAAAATATCAAATTGGATTACAACTACACCTTAAAAGTAGTTCCAATGTAAAAAATGGGTTCTAGTGTGGCAAAAAGAATCGAACCCGCCCCCCTCGGATTTCCAATCTAGCGCTTTAACCACTCGGCCACACCGCTCTCTTCCGAAGGAAGAGACCGAGCGCGCTTTTGTTGCCGCAGATTTTTTTCCTCGAGAAAAACATTTATTGATAAAACTCGCTGATAGACCAAAATTAGGCAGCTAATTTATATATATTCTGAATCAGAAAATTTTTGTGAATTTTTTGATATATATCTCGACCGGTAATTCCACACCCCATAGAAGTACTTTCCTTGTAAAATAAGCCAAATTTTCCTAAAATGAGGTCCAAATTTTTGAAAAACATAATTTTTATCGCCGGAAAAGCTGAGAAAACTCGTAACATGCCTTCTAAAGGGCATTAAGCATCTTATGTTACTCCCATAGTCTCATTTCGTATTGTATTTTACCTAAATTTCGAACAAAACAACAAAAATTGAATACCTACCGAGTGATCCTTCCCGATGCTCCCCGTTTCTCGGTCGTTTTTCTTTGAGTCCTAACTGGCTTTTTGGGAGTTGTTTTGGCCTCTTTTCCCGCTGTTCGTCCCGGATCTTCATCCTCGAATTCATCTTCTTCATCTTTTGGGAGCTGAATTCGAAGAGGTGGAACTCGTCGGCCAGAGACTTCGTCCACTTCATCTAGCTGAAAATCGTAGAATTACACTTCAGACGGGCTAATTAAACAAGAATTTCCATCTTATATTGTTTTAGACACTAAATTTCAAACCAATTTATATTATTCATAAAAACTCACATTCGAATCCAGCTGGCCATCAGCTGAATCGTTAAGCTCTGGCTCCAAGTCGTTCCCTGCGTCTTCCTGACTCATTTCAGCTTCATCATCCTCAGTTTCCATTATTCCAGACGTATCTGGTTGCTCTTCGGGTGGTCTTAGTACCTCAGGTACTACTAAGGAGTCATCTGGGTCTTCCTTGAACTCGTAGACGTCCTCTGTGGCTGCTACTGGAGGTGGGTCGACTAATTGGTCTTCTCTGGAAAAGAAAAATCAAAAAAATGTTTTGATTGCACAGTGCGAAAAAATGAAATTCTGATTGCACAGTGCAGACTATTTTTCGTGAAATTGCACTGTGCGAAAAAGTAAAATTTTTGATTGCACAGTGCGAAAAAATAAATTTCGGATTGCACTGTGCAAAAACATAAATTTCTGATCGCACAGTGCAAAAAACTCAAACTTCTGACTGCACGGTGCAGATTATTTTTCATCGAATTGCACTGTGCAAAAACATAAATTTCTGATCGCACAGTGCAAAAAACTCAAACTTCTGACTGCACGGTGCAGATTATTTTTCATCGAATTGCACTGTGCAAAAACATAAATTTCTGATTGCACAGTGCGAAAAAATGAAATTCTGACTGCACAGTGCACATTATTTTTCGCCGGACTGCACTGTGCGAAAAAATAATTCTTTCGCACAGTGCAATCTACAACTTTTGGAAAGCTATCCAATCGTCGCAATTTGAGTCCATTATACAAAATTTGACTCCACCATAGTAAAATTGACTCTAATTTACAAAAGATATCCAATTAGAATATGATTCAACTTGATATTTTCCGCCCAAAAATAGCCGCAAAACATAATAAAAAGTGTGAAATCATCCCGCAGGACAGCGAGAAACGGGCTATAAAGCTCAGGATTAATCCGCCTAAAATATAATTCCGATTAAAAACAGCGCCGGCGCTCCCTGAAGGTATGTAGTTTTGTTCGTGCGGGGATTACGTCGATGCACCCGCGGCTTACCCCAGGTTGTCGATGACTTGCTCTTGAGCTACGACCAGCTCGGACCCGTTGGGTTGGTCGGGATTGTCGAGGGGCGGATCTTGCGACATTGGGGGCTGGAAATGAGATTTTTTGAGTAAAATACGCCATTCTGAGAAACGTATGTAATTTCGCGAGAATGAAAATACATCAGAATAGTGTTTAATTTCCATTTCAATTAGTTTCCGTCGAGTTTTTACTTGAAATCATGTCATAGGGCAAACTTATACGACCAAACATGTTTTGTCGTATAAAATGTCACTAAAGCGGTGTAATTTCACAAAAACAAGTTTATATGAACAAGAAAAACGTATTTTATGATATCTACATTAAATTTCCCTCTAACAGTTATTCAAAGACATTTTATACGACAAAACATGTTTCATCGTATAAAATGTCTCTGAACATGGGAAAACGCTCGGAATTGATGAAAAAGGCAGTAATAAGGCTGAAAATTCTGTAATAAGTTTTAAAAAGAGACATAGTACCGTAAAAACCATAGTTATTAGAAAAAATTATATTATACATGATAAAATGTTAAAGTAAAATAATTTAGCTTTTTTAATGATCCCGGACACTGTGAAAATAATAATAATGACAGTATAAAACCGCGAAACCGTATTTTACGCGAAATTTCTGCAGAAAAAAACTTTTTTCTTCCAAAAAAATTGTGTGGCATTTCGTCCGCGACGAAATGTCACTATTGATTGGCTTTCCTTGCACTAGCTTTTTTCGTTGTTTTTGGAATTTGGAGCGTTTATAAACATCAAACGCATATTCAACCCGGTTGTTTCGCATTGAATAAACGTCATTTTCGCTTATTTATTCACCTTTCTTTAAAATTACATCAAAATTAGGTATTAAATTCGTATTTCAGGTCTTTTTACGTCAATCATAGGGTCGGAAATGCCTTTAAAACCACATGGCTATCAATCCCGTCCAATAACGCGCACTTCCAATTTGTTTTCTCCTCGAATTAATTGATTTTGTCTTGTTTTTGCGGCCCCCGTGCCTTCAGAATCCCCTCATTCGCCGTGGGCAACGTAATTATAGGCTTGGGCGGCGGAGAATATGGCCGAGCGGGGTGTCCGGTTGCGTAGTTCGTCCGTATGTGTTCGGCGGTTGGATTGTTTTTCGTTTACCTTACTCTTTTGGCCAACGAATATTGTTTTAGGTGGCTTGGGATTTTTGGGAGAAAAAAGATGGTCATGTGTAATATGCTTGGGAAATTTTGAGATGGTTAGAGGGTCTAGGATGTTGTGATGCTATTTTTATTAATTTTGGGTTGCCTTGATTTGGTTTAGATATCAAATTTTATTGATTTAGCCAAGTACAATATAATCTCAAAATCTCGCGATTTTCAACTCGTAATACCCAAAATACCTCATATCCTTTCATTTCACATCATTTCCAACTATTTCCGCCTTGTCAACGTCTCAAAACTTCCACTTCCTTTCGTAGATAATGCAATCTTATCATGGATAATATAATTTCCCCCAAGGAGCTGACCAAAAACCTCACCCGAAACGTCGTATCGCCAAATCGATTATGACACGACCCACTTCCTAGTTTCAACCCCTATATCCATCGCCAGAGGCATGACTAATCGTCTCCATGAGCTGTGTTCCGCCACCTGTCGTGTGTGGAAGCGCTTTATCTCTTCGCATTTTTGAGGTCACACTATTAGAGACGACGTCTTGCTTCTCCAAATCTTCCGGAGACATCATTTCCGCTATGTTATCTAATATTTGTTTTGTGGCGGTTTTTAACTTCAATTCGGACTGCACAGTGCGGAGGGAATTTTGAAAAATTGCACAGTGCAGAAGGAGTGGGGATTTCGCACGGTGCAATGAAAGCAAAACAAAAAATTTTGTGCACAGCGCAAAATTTGGCGACATGAAATATTTTGCACAGTGCAAAATTTGGCGACATGAAAAATTTTGCACTGTGCAAAGAATTGCGGGTTTTTGCACAGTGCAAAACAATGAAACCTTGTCGCACTGTGCGTAAGAATCGATTTCGCACGGTGCAAGTTTTTTTGCACGGTGCAATTTTTTGAGAACCGACTGCACTGTGCGAAATCTGAAAAATCGCACTGTGCGTCGGATTTTTTGGCGATATTGCACGGTGCAAAATTGGAAGTCTTTTTTTTGCACAGTGCGAAAAGTTTGTCACCCTAACATTTTTTGCACAGTGCAATTTTTTCAAAAACCGGTCGCACTGTGCGAAATCCGAAATATCGCACTGTGCATCCGAGTTTTGGGAATTTTCGCACAGTGCAAGTAAATTTTAGCTCTAAAATAATAAAAATAGTAAAAATTATGGTATACCAGCCCTGCACAAGCGTATATCAGGGTTTATTTCACCGATTTTTTCTCCGAAAATTCTAGAATTATCCATTTTTTTATTAAAAATCACCAAAAAACACTTTTTTTTCTGATTTTCCCATTTCGCCTTCCGTTTTTCATTCAACCTGACTTGATTTTCGCTTTGATGACATGGAGAGGGCGTCAGATCGGGTTATTTTCAAGGTTTTTTCAGGCAACCGCGTTCCTTTTTTTGGATTTTCGGGGGGAAATTCGCATGTTTTTTACTCATACATATCCACATGAGCTTTTGAAAAGGTCTCCGTTTGATATTTGATTGTTTGGAAATGGATTTTTAGTCTTTATTTGCGATGAATAAGGTGGTTTTATAAATTTTTTTGGAGGAAAAGTGGTCTCAATTGAACTTGTAGGTAATTTTGATGGATAATATATGCAAGTTTAGGGGTAATAATGCTGTTTTATGTTTAAAAAAAAATTTGCACGGTGCAAACAAAAAAATTTTTTTTTGAAAATTTGAAAATTTCGATACTCAGATTTTAATGAAACTTGGCAAAAATTAAAATTAGACACTTTGAAGTTGTATTCCACATTTTTTCTCGCATTTTACATCAATCATCGAGATTTTTTGGTCCGAAATTTCAAAAAATTTCAAAATTTTTTTTGAATTTTCAAAACTAAAAAATGTCATTCTATTTGAAGTCCAGAGTAAAATTGTTCCACCAAAAATCATTTTTTTCCACCCAAAATTCGCTAAGATATAGTTTTAAAACAAAAATTTTCTCTGACCATCTCTTCATTTTCTGTGTTCTTTCGCCGAAAAAGATCGTTGAATATCTCCACTGTCCTTATAAAACGTGAGCTAAAATTTTGTGGGATTAATTTGTGGGCCATCTAGAGTGGGCTTGGCAAATTTGAAGGGAATCGGAGCATTGCACTTTGAGAATTCAGCGGTTATATTACCTTAGGTTGATCAAAAAAAAAATCGTTCAATATCTCGGCTGTCTTTGAAAATCGTGGGCTCAAAATTTTAGAAATTAATTTGTGGCCAATGTAGGGTATTTCTGCAAAATTTGGGGAAAATCCGTAGCTTTAATTTGAATATGCAAATTTTAAAATTTTTTAAAAAATTTGCAAATTTTGAAAAATTTTTGATTTTAAAATTGCCAGTAGGCATTGTTATGACCGTTAAAAAATTTTTGGCACAAAAAATTTGCATATCAAGTTAATTAAAAAAATTTTTTTTTCTTCTTTTTTTGAATACCTCAACTTTAAAGTAAATTGCCCAAAAAATGGATGTAAACACCCGCTATTTTAGCCTCATATCCGTGACGAAACCCAATCACCAATTTGATTACGTGTTTCAAATTTTTTCTTCGTTTTCTTTTTTGCCTCAGGCCATTTGTGTGTGTTTTTGGGAAGGAGGAGGCGAAAAAAGAGAACAGGAAGAAAAAAAAATGCCGTCGGCCGAAGGGAAAAGAGATAGGATTGTCATGGGCCCGGGGTTTTTCCGCTTTTCAGCGGGCCCTGGAATCTTTGTACTCCGAGGTTTGATGTATTTATGTATTTTGGCTTATGCTCCCAATGTTTTTGATATAATTTGATGTTATTTTGGGGATTTTACAATGATTTACTCGATTTTTGAGTAATTTGCAAGTTAATTTTATAATTTATAGCCTCTAAAATTCGAAAAATTTATAAAAATTGATTGCACAGTGCATGGAATTTGGAGCCGCACCGTGCAAAAAGTTGATGAAGAAATTTCGCACTGTGCAAAAAATTTTGGTTCCGCACCGTGCAAATTTGCGATGAAAGTTTATTGCACTGTGCTGTCAAATTGAAATTGCACAGTGCGGAAATCTTTTTGAAAGTGCACTGTGCAAGCTCTGCGACAAAAGTTTTTCGAAAATTGCACTGTGCAATAAAAATTGAAATTGCACAGTGCGAGTGGCTTTTGTTTTGCACGGTGCGGAAATGAAATTTTTAAAGACGCACTGTGCGAATCCTGCGACAAAAATTTTTGAGAAAAATTGCACAGTGCAATAAAAATTGAAATTGCACAGTGCGAGTTGCCTTTGTTTCGCACGGTGCGGAAATTGTTTTTTAGAAAGAACTGTGCAAGCTTTGCGACAAAAGTTTTTCTAAAATTGCACTGTGCGAAAATTTAGGGTCGTTTGAAAACCAATCGTGAGGATTTTGCGACAAATTCTTTTTCATTGCACTGTGCGAAAATTTTGCTTTTCACATTTTCCCAGCGCACAGTGCGGAAATCAAATTGTTGAAGATCGCACTGTGCAAATTCTGCGACAAAAGTTTTCAAAATTTGCACTGTGCGAAAAATAATGACTTTGTTGTTTGCACTGTGCAAAAATTTGATGTCTTTCGAAAACCAACCAGTGCGGATTTTGCGACAAATTCTTTTTGTTTGCACTGTGCAAAAAATGTTTTCTTGGCTGCACGGTGCATTTCACATTTTCCCAGCGCACAGTGCGGAAATCAAATTGATGACGATCGCACTGTGCAAATTCTGCGACAAAAGTTTTCAAAATTTGCACCGTGCGAAAATTTTTCCTTCACTGCACGGTGCATGAAAATGTCGTCTGCACAGTGCATTTTCGGGATTTTTCTTCTCGCTAATGATCGCTACTCAAAATTTATGGGTGAACCTTGAGCTGACACTCCAGCTGCGCACTGAAAACCGACCATAAAACCTGAAGAATGGGGAGTTTTTATTTTTATTGCGCGAAAATATCATCCAAAATTCAATTGACTGAAAAGGATTTTATTTTCATGCCGGGATGAGATTTTTGGAGGATGTTTTTGAGGATTTTTTGAAATAATATTTGCGGTTTTAGCCCTTTTTGGCCGTGTTTTGGGCCGTTAGAACCAAAGTGCACTCCGAAATAGCCTCAGGGCAGGATTTTCCATATTTTTGGAAGCCATAAATTACTTTTCTAACTCTCATCTTTGGACTTTTTCTTTCCATTTTCCATCTGCGAATGTGCGAAAAATAAAGGACTTTTTTTTGCACCGTGCAAAAGTTTAAGCTTCAAGTATAATGTGGTAAAGTGATATTTCTGGATTATTTATTGTTATTATGTTTTTTAATTTTCATTTCTTAACATTACGATATTGAATTTACACGATTTTTTCTTTGCACTGTGCAAAAAATCGAAAGGACTTTTTGGCACTGTGCGAAAGTTTAAACTTCAATTTTAATATTGTATGATGCTATTTCTGGACTCTGTTTTATAGTGTTCGATCTTCTAATAGCATATTTTAATTATTCAATTAAAATTTTTGGCAATTTTTTTCTTGCACTGTGCAAAAAATTGAATGGACCTTTTTGCACCGTGCAAAAGTTTAAACCTCAATTTGAAAGTTTTACAGTAATATTTCCGGACTTTGTTTGGTAGTATTATCTAGCATAAAGCACTATTTCTACTGTCTCATCAAAATTTTGATGACTTTTTTCTTGCACTGTGCAGAAAATTGAAAGGAATTTTTTGCACCGTGCAAAAGTTTAAACTTCAATTTTGGTATTGTATGATGCTATTTCTGGACTCTGTTTTATAGTGTTCGCTCTTCAAATAGCATATTTTAGTTATTCAATTAAAATTTTTGGCAATTTTTTTCTTGCACTGTGCAAAAAATTGAAAGGATTTTTTTGCACTGTGCAAAAGTTTAAACTTCAATTTTAATATTGTATGATGCTATTTTTGGACTCTGTTTAATAGTGTTCGCTTGTCTAATAGTATATTTTAATTATTCAATTAAAATTTTTGGCGATTCGTTCCTTGCACTGTGCAAAAAATCGAAAGGATTTTTTTGCACTGTGCAAAAGTTTAAACCTCAATTTGAATGTTTTACAGTAATATTTCCGGACTTTATTTGATAGTATTATCTAGTATAAAGCACTATTTCTACTGTCTCATCAAAATTTTGATGACTTTTTTCTTGCACTGTGCAGAAAATTGAAAGGACTTTTTTGCACCGTGCAAAAGTTTAGATTTCAATTTTGGTATTGTATGATGCTATTTCTGGACTCTGTTTTATAGTATACGCTGCTCTAATGACTTATTTTAACTATTCAATTAAAATTTTTGCCCCTTTTTTCTTTGCACTGTGCAAAAATTGAAAACAATTTTTTGCACTGTGCAAAAAAATCAAAATTTTTAGTGCACTGTGCAGAGCAAAGTAGTCAAATTCTAATGCAAAAAAGATTAAAAAAAGTTTTTTGGCGAATTTTGGATATAAATTTCAATATAAAACAAGACCTAAAACAATATAAACTTTATTGATTCCGCTTATTTACCCGACAACCATCCAAATCAGAAGTTAAAACCGCGTCAGCCCACTGAAAAAAAATCGCTTTGCTCGAGGGCTTTTCTGTTGTAAAAATGACTTTTTCTCCCCAAACCCAATTTTTCCGGTTTTTAGGCGCAATCATTCTTTAACAGTAGCGGAAAAACAGCTGAAAATGGTGGGTGGAGGGCTAATTTGAGGGGGAATGAGGAATGAGTCAGCCTGGAGAACGTAAAAAACGTAAATATTAAACTGTTCGATAACGAGTAAAGTTTTTGCGAGAGAGCGTTGAGTTTTGGGTAAATTTGGACAAATGCACCGTGCGGATTGGACTTTTCGGGGGTTTCGCACAGTGCAATGGGAGTTTGGAAAATTAATTTGCACTGTGAAAGAAGAGCGACAGGTTTTTGCACAGTGCAGTGTGAAGTTTTGGAATTTTCGCACAGTGCAATGGGAATTTTGGACTTCTTTGTTGAATGCACTGTGCAAGAAGAGCGACAGGTTTTTGCACAGTGCAGGCTCGATTTTTTTGCATTCTTTTGATTGCACAGTGCAAATTGAACTTTTGGTTTTTTTGCACAGTGCAATGGGAATTTTGGAAAATTATTTTGCACTGTGCAAAATGAGCGACAATTGTTTTGCACAGTGCTGTTCGAATTTTTTCTATTCTTTTCATTGCACCGTGCGGATTGAACTTTTTGGGTTTTCGCACAGTGCAATGGGAGTTTGGAAAATTATTTTGCACTGTGCAAGAAGAGCGACAGGTTTTTTGCACAGTGCTGTTCGCATTTTTTCTATTCTTTTCTATTGCACCGTGCGGATTGAACTTTTGGGGTTTTTGCACAGTGCAATGGGAGTTTGGAAAATTATTTTGCACTGCGCAAAATGAGCGACAATTTTTTGCACAGTGCAGGCTCGATTTTTTTGTATTCTTTTGATTGCACAGTGCAATGGGAATTTTTGCTATTTTTGCACAGTGCAATGAGAATTTTGGAAAATTACTTTGCACTGTGCAAGAAGAGCGACAATTTTTTGCACAGTGCAGGCTCGATTTTTTTGTTCTTTCCATTGCACCGTGCAGACTGAAGGTTTGGAATTTTCGCACAGTGCAATGGGAATTTTGACGTTATTTGCTGCACCGTGCAAGAAGAGCGACAAGTTTTCGCACAGTGCTGTCTGAATTTCTTCCTTTTTTCCGTTGCACGGTGCAAAATGAACTTTCCACATTTTTTGCACGGTGCAAAATCAACGACAAGTTTTTGCACAGTGCTGTCCGAATTTCGCGTTTTTTCCTTTGCACGGTGCAAAATCAACGACAAGTTTTTGCACAGTGCAATGGGGATTTTGGCTTTTTTTCCCTTGCACTGTGCAAGTTAAACTTTCGGAATTTTCGTAAAATAAAATGGGAATTTTTGCCCGCTGCGGGTAAACCCCCAAGCAAATCCTCTTTTTTCTCCGCTGATTGATAGTAAATAACAACTAATCTTTTCTGGTTTTTGATGCCTCGCTTATCTCAAAATTTTTTTTCAAAAAATTTTTTTCTTTTCAAAATTTACTTTTTATTTTTAAACATGTTTTTTATGACATCCCAACATGACTAACGATCTTTTTGATCTCCAGCAGACAAACCTTTTTTCGTTATCCTTCTGTTTGAACACAGATCCCATTATTAATATTTATCTTTCTTTTTCTCTATGATTAATCCAAAAAATGGACGCGTTAAAGAAGCGTTATTTCTATTTATTTTATCGCTAGATGACGCTCACTTTGTGAGGTCAACAAATTTTTTGTTGCTCGACTTTTTTCACCCCCTTTGAAAGCAAAAAAAAAAATTTTTTTTGCACAGTGCAAAGAAAATCGGCTTGTTTCCGAATGCACTGTGCGAAAAATCCGAAAAGGAAATTTGCACTGTGCAACGGCAAAAATTCGACGAATTGAATTCGCACTGTGATTGTCGCTCGTTTTAGTGCGATGGCGCCAAAAAATTTGAATCTGCACAGTGCGGGAAAACCGCCGCGAAAATTCCGACTGCACTGTGCAAAAATCAAAACGAATTGGGCCTGCCTGCACTGTGCGAAAACTTGTCGCTCTTCTTGCACGGTGCAACAAACAAGGCTAAAATTTCCATTGCACTGTGCGAAAATTTGTCGCTTGTTTTGCACCGTGCAAAAATCAAAAACAAAAATTGGGCCTGCACTGTGCAAAAAATTGTCGCTCATCTTGCACAGTGCAAAATAATTTTCCAAAATTCCCATTGCACTGTGCGAAAAATTTCAAACGTTTAGACTGCACAGTGCAATGCAAAGGATATCAGTCTGTCGGGAAAATAACGGCGGATCGTCGCAGCAAAATGTCTCGCCTCGCCGCTGTCGCGCACCAAATCCCCAGCCGCGGCTTTCAGTCGCAGAGCGATGGTGGGCGATTCCGAGGCGCGACGATCCGCCGTTATTTTCCCGACAGACTGATAAAAAAAAATTGGGCGGCACTGTGCAAAAACCTGTCGCTCATCTTGCACAGTGCAACAAAGAAGGCTAAAATTTCCATTGCACTGTGCGAAAATTCCAAACCGTCAGACTGCACGGTGCAATGGAAACAACGAAAAAAAATCGAGCGGCACTGTGCAAAAAATTGTCGCTCATTTTGCACAGTGCAAAAAAATTTTCCAAAATTCCCATTGCACTGTGCAAAAACATCAAAAGTTCAATCCGCACGGTGCAATAAAAAGAACGAAAAAATCGCATCTGCACTGTGCAAAAACCTGTCGCTGATCTTGCACAGTGCAAAATAATTTTCCAAAATTCCCATCGCACTGTGCGAAAACCCCGAAAGTTAGTTCTGCACCGTGCAACGGAGGAAAAAAAAGTCATCGCTCGTTTTGCACTGTGCGTAAAATGAAAAAGTTTGAGTTTGCACAGTGCAAAATAATTTTCCAAAATTCCCATTGCACTGTGCGAAAATTTGAAAATTTAATAACTGCACTGTGTAGCGGAGAAAAAAAAAGAAAAAAAAAGTTTGAGTTTGCACTGTGCAAAAGGGAATTTTTGCCACACATTTTTTTGTTTTGAAAATTAAAAAAAATTTTTTTTTTTTTTTTTTATTCTTCGCGGAAATTTTTTTCACCCCAAAATTCAAGTATAACATCCATTTTTCAGCAATGTTCGAGGACATTGACATCAACGAAAACGAGGTGCCAGTCCGCCGTCCCTCCGCCCAGATCCGCCAATTCAACCCCGAGCCCCATCTGGTTGTAATCAACAAGAATTTGAATGGTAAGCGAGCTTTTCCTTTGTTTTTCTGCAGTTTTACTGGATGAATTAAAATGGATTTAAAAATGTTTTTTGGAAATTTCTTTTTCCTATTTTTAGCCGACTTTTAAGTGGATTATGGTATTTTGAAGGGCTTTTAGGGGGTTTTTAAAACATTTGGAAGGGATTTGGGATAAAATCCTCGAGTTTTTGGAGTACCTAGTAGTCTCTTTTTGACTGCACTGTGCGAAAAAATTTATTTTTGAGCGCACGGTGCAGTCAAAAATTTTTTATTAAATCTTGCACAGTGCGGAAGTTTTGATATTTTTGAATAAAAAACGGCGTGAAAACGCTAAAATACGATTCATTTTTTACGTTTGTGACAACTTCTCATCCTCCAGAGGTTATCTTTCAATTTTTGAAATTTAAAAAAAAAATATTTTTTGCGTATAAAATGTCGCCTTTCTGTTTTGAATGGGTAAAATACGGTGTATCGCATCCGTTTTATTATTTTATATGCCATTATAAGTTATTTGTGATTTAAAAAATCAGTTTTTTATCAATTCTTTTCCGGTTGCACTGTGCAGTCAAAAAAAAAATTTCATTGCACTGTGCGAAATGTTTTTTTTGAAGAAAAATATGTTTAATAAAGTTAAAATACGATTCTATTTTGTATGCCGACATTTCATTTCGGACAGCGACAAGATTTCAAAAAAAAAAAAAAAAATAATTTTAATTTTTTTCGTATAAAATGACGACTTTTTTTTACTCTGGGTAAAATACGTCTTTTTCTTTGTTGAGTTACTCCTTATAATAAAAAAATTTCAAATTTTTCGACTCACATCAAAATCTCAAAAAAAAATTATCGTATAAAATGTCACCTTACACTAAAATCTCTCACAAAGTCTGATATGAGTTTTTCAGGCTTCGGATTCAACGTGAAAGGCCAAGTCAGCGAAGGTGGACAACTCCGAAGCATCAATGGCGAACTGTATGCCCCTTTGCAGCACGTTTCAGCCGTTTTAGAGGGCGGAGCCGCGGAAAAGGCCGGTCTATTGCGAGGCGATCGTATTCTGGAAGTGTAAGTTGAATTTTTTCTCTATTTTTATAGCGTATTTTACAGCTCTGAATCGTTTCTTTTTTATTTTATTTTGCACCGTGCGGTTTTTTCAAACTTGTCAATTGCACTGTGCAATCCAAAATTTTGGAAATTGCACTGTGCGAAAATTTTTTTTTGTTGTCACTGTTGCACTGTGCAGTCAAGAATTGATGAATTTTTTTCGCACCGTGCAAAAATCAAAAAAAAATTTTTTTGCACGGTGCAGTCCAAAATTTTAGAAATTGCACTGTGCGTCGATGAATTTTTTTGCACCGTGCAAAACTCAAAGAGCAATTTTTTTTGCACGGTGCGGGCCAAATTTTTGCGATGAAAACATTTTTGTTTTTAACGCACAGTGCAGTCAAAGGCGGATCGCAAATTTTTTCGCACTGTGCAATAAAATATTGTTTTCGTTCGCACGGTGCAGAACTCAAAAAACAATTTTTTTGTTTTGCACGGTGCAGCCCAAATTTTGGATTTTTGCACTGTGCGATAAAAAAATTTTTTGTTTTTAACGCACAGTGCAGTCAAATGCGGATCGCAAATTTTTTTGCACCGTGCAGTTTGTTAGAGATTGCACTGTGCGAAAAAAATTTTTTCTTTCGTTCGCACTGTGCAGAACTCAAAAAAAGAAATTTTTTGTTTTGCACGGTGCAGTCCAAATTTTGGATTTTTGAACTGTGCGATAAAAAAATATTTTTTGTTGTCACTGTGGCACTGTGCAGTCAAGAATTGATGAATTTTTTCGCACTGTGCAAAATTCAAAAAAAAATTTTTTTTTTGCACTGTGCGGTTTTTTAGAGATTGCACTGTGCGAAAAAAATTTTTTTTCTTTCGCTCGCACTGTGCAACCCCTCTGACTATATGAATCAACACACTGAACCGTCTTTCGGCATTTAATTGTAATAAAATTGGCTACAAAATTTGCTGTTACTATGGTAACTTTTTCGATTTTAATAAAAACAATTTTGGCGGGCATTGCGTGCCTTTTTTTGATGTTATTGCGGGTTTAATTGACTTTCTGCCTCGGGGTAATTGCCTCAGGGCACATGCAAAATAATCGAAATCTCGCCGAAAAGTTAGTGTAAAGTGGGATTACTGTAGAATTCAAGACAATTATGGAGATTTTTTGGATGTTTGGTCGGTGTAATGTGGCGTGGCTTAGTTTTTAGGCTACAATATCTTATATAAGCGAATAATTTTTGGTCTAACCCCTCAGGGCAAATTTCTTTGGGATTTTTGAAATTTCAAAATGCCATAAGTCCATAATTTCTTTGAATTAGGTTCTGAAATTCGGTAAGATTGTTTAGAAAATTAGAATCTTTTAGTCTTCTGGGTTGGAGCCAATTTGGTTAGGAATCAGAAATTTTATACGCTGAGACATGTTCGATCCTATAAAATGTCCCACAAACACGGTACTGAAAAACGGTTACTTTTAGTTGAAAAAGGCAACTTCAGGCTATCAATTTGCACATTGTTGAAGACGCGTCTCCATTAAGAATTTATACGACGAAACATGTTTCATCGTATAAAATGTCTCCAAGGCGTCCAGAAAGATTAAACCTTGCTGTATTTTGGTTACGTGACATTTGGCTGTCGTTTCTTGTAATGACAACACGACTGTGATAAGTTATACGATGAAACATGTTTCGTCGCATAAAATGTCTCCAAGGCGTCCAGAAACTTTAAACTCGCTGTATTTTGGTTACATCACTTTTGGCTGTCGTTTTTTGTAATGACAACACGACGGTGACATTTTATACGATGAAACATGTTTCATCGTATAAAATGTCTCCAACACCATTTTCTAATTTTTGATTTCAGCAACGGTGCCAACGTCGAAGGTGCAACACATCGACAGGTGGTGGAGCTGATCCGACAAGGAGGGGATCGTCTTCAGCTGGTCGTAATCTCCGTGACCAGCGACATGTTAGAGGAAGAGAGCTACGAAGACGAAAGCCAGCCATCTCTGAAATACGACTACACCGAGAAACGCTCTCTTCCGATCACTATCCCCACATATCAACGGGTGCAAACGATCGGCGAGGCGTTTATTGCGTTCAATTTGCACATGGCTGGAAGGCATTTGGGGAGTCGGAGGTGAGGAAAAAACGGGATTTTTTGAGGAAAAATGGGAGAAATTGGCTTGTTTCTGAGTCTAACACACACAAAAAATCAATTTGCGCTTTGCACCGTGCAAAATTAAAAAATTTTTTTGCTGCACGGTGCGGTCAAAATTTTGGAAAATTTCCGCACTGTGCAGTCAATTTTGGGGAAAACTGCACGGTGCAATGAGAGTCGGAGAGAAATCGCACTGTGCGCGGAAGTTTGTCGCTTTCGGAAATGATTGCACAGTGCAATTGAGATTTTTGTTTTTTGCACTGTGCGCGGAAGTTTGTCGCATTTCGGAAATGTCTGCACGGTGCAATTGAGAGTTTTGCTTTTTGCACTGTGCATGAAACTTATAGGAGAGTGCAAACTGCACAGTGCGGGGAATTTATGGCGAAATTTGAATTTTTGATGCTACTTTTTGAAATTTTGAACGTAAAAAAATTTCTTATAGTCAAAAAAGGTTGTAAAATTCATTTTTTTTCGAAAATTTATGAATTTTTAAAAATTAGCATAATTTAAAAAAATTTGCATATTCACCCAAAATCTCTCAAAATTGCCCACAAATCGCCTGTGGGTAATTTTGCGAATTTCTTATAGTCAAAAAAGGTTGTAAAATTCATTTTTTTTTTCAAAAATTTACGAATTTTTAAAAATTTGCATAATTTCAAAAATTTGCATATTCCCCCAAAATCTCTCAAAATTACCCACAAATCGCCTGCACCTCAATTTTAACCCTCCAAATTTCAGATACAGCGAATTCGTCACGTTGGACCGTCTTCTCAAAGAAGAATTCCCCGACTTCCAATTCCCCAAATTGCCCTCAAAATGGCCCTTCCACATGACGGAACAGCGGCTGGACGGGCGCCGCAGAGGCCTGGAGACCTACCTCGAAAAGGTCTGCACCATCAAAGTGATCGCGGACTGCGATATAATGCAAGAATTCTTGATGGAAGACTCCCCTCCCGTCCACAGCAACCTAAATGTCGCCCTGAGGGTCCTATTGCCCAATCAATCGGCCATTCAACTGAGTGTGAATCGAAATGCCGACACAATCACGGTGTTCGACATGGTCATGAAGGAATTGAGTAAGGAGTTTGGATATTTGAAGGTTTTTTGAATTTTTCACAGTGCGAAATTTATGATTTTTTTGCACGGTGCAAAATTTATGATTTTTATGCACAGTGCGAAATTTGGGGTTTTTTTGCACAGTGCAAATTTTTGAATTTCGCACAGTGCGAATTTACAATTTTTTTGCACAGTGCGAAATTTATGATTTTTTTGCACAGTGCAAGTTTTACGATTTTTTGCACAGTGCGAAATTTCTGGTTTTTGCACGGTGCAAAATTTATGATTTTTTTGCACGGTGCGAAATTTATGAGTTTTGCCCGGTGCAAATTTTAGAATTTTGCACAGTGCGAAATTTATGAGTTTTGCACGGTGCAAAATTTATGATTTTTTTTGCACAGTGCAAATTTTTGAATTTTGCACAGTGCGAAATTACAATTTTTTGCACAGTGCGAAATTTACAATTTTTTTGCACGGTGCAAGTTTTACGATTTTTTGCACGGTGCGAAATTTATGATTTTTTTTGCACAGTGCAGATTTTTGAATTTTGCACGGTGCGAAATTTATGACTTTTTTGCACGGTGCAAATTTTATAATATTTTTCGCAAGGTGCAATTTTTTGGTTTTGCACAGTGCAATCTCTTAAATTTTTTGCACGGTGCAACTGATTTGAAACTGCACTGTGCGATTTCCCAATTTTTTGCACAGTGCAGTCCCCTTTTTTGCGATGAAATTTCAAAACTTTGCACCGTGCAATCGCAAAATGTTGCACTGTGCGAAATTCAAAAATCCATTGCACCGTGCAAAATGAATATTTTTTTGCACAGTGCAGTCCAAAAAATTTTTTGCACAGTGCAATTTGCATCTTATAAAAACTTTTCAAACTTGCTCTAAACAACTCAAAATTCATTTTTTTCAGACTTCTCACCCGATGCCAAACGTTACTGCGCCTTGTTCGAGATGATCGATACGACGTTTGAGCGCAAATTGAAAGCGCGAGAATGCCCTCACAATATTTATATTCAAAACTATTCGTCGGCCGCTTCCTCCTGTATTCTCCTCAAGAAATGGTGTTTTGACATTGACGTGGAACGCGAGATTTGTCGGAAGGATGCGGGATTCCGAAGACTTTGCTTTCATCAAGCTGTAAATGATGTTAACATGGGCCATGTGGAGGTTAAAAAAGACAAGTTGTATCAATTAAAGGTGAGAATTGAGATGATTTTTCGTTGAAATGATGGATTTTTGACGAATTTTCCGGAGAGACATTTTATACGATGAAACATGTTTCATCGTATAACTTGTCACCATATAGTTATGGTTTATTTTGTTTAGCCTCTAAAAATTGATAAGTCAATGGTGTTTGATCATTTTTAGGCTTGTATTTTTATGCATTGAGGTCTTGGAGACGTTTTATACGATAAATCATGTTTCATCGTATAACTTGTCGTTTATTTTGTTCAGAACCCCTAAAAATTGATAAGTCGAGGGTGTTTGACCATTTGTGGAATTCTCGTTTTATGTTGAGGTCTAGGGGTGATTTTATACGACCAAACATGTTTTATCGTATAACCTGTCGCTAGATGGTTTATTTTGTTCAGAACCCCTAAAATTTGATAAGTCAATGGTGTCTGACCATCGGTAGACTTGTCTTTTTATGTATTGAGGTCTAGGAGATATTTTATACGATAAATCATGATTCATCGTATAACTTGTCGCTGCAGAGCTGATACAATAAAAAACACCTAGAATGATAAATTAAGAACTTTTCACAAACCCCTTAACGATTTTCAAAACTTTTTCATGTACAGGAGGCAACTTATACGATCAAACATTTTTTCCTCGTATAACATGTCTCCAAAGCTCCAAAATCAAAAAATGTGTTATTCACTATAAAATTTTCAGGCTCTACAATCCGAGGAGACGGCCGATCAATATTTGGAAGCCTTGCGGGAAATGGAAGGGTATTCCGAAGCCAGTTTCCCTCCAGCTGATTTCCACGCAAACAACCGAGTTGGAATTGTATATTTGCGATTCGATTTTGACAAAATGAACATTGCATTGAAATTCGCAGAATCTAAGAAGGTAAGAAATTTGGATTTTTTGCTTTGCGGAATTGTTTTTGGGGTTCGCTTTGACTCTTGACCCATGCTTTTCAGTGCTGAATATTTCGACCGCGCTTTGAGATAACGGCCTGAAATTTTCAGCGATTAACTCATAAATAAGCTAGTTTGTTCGTGGAAAATTTCAAGAAAATCCGACCGTTCTGCTTTGAGAAATTTGCATTTAAATTATATTGTACTAGCCCTTCTCTTTCCAGGAGAAACAACTCGATTTGGAATGGTCGTATCTTCAAGATTATCAATTGAGCAGTGACAACGCTTCGGTGATGCTTCGAATTCAACGAGACAACGTCGTTGAGCCCCTATTTATCAACACGGAATACGCAGAATACGTTTGTGACGTCATTGACCGAGTAATGTTCGAACGGGAAAAGCGAAACCACGACGCGCCCGAATTGAAAGCCATTGATAATATTGAGAACGCAGAGACTACTAAGGCATAATTTGTATAGCAAAAAATTTGTTTGCACTGCGCGAAAATTGAAAATTTTGAAAAAATGATCTGCACAGTGCGAAATTTTCAAAAAATGTTCCTGCACAGTGCAGAGCGGCAATTTTTTTTTGTAACTCCGTATTTTACATTCATTTTGAATGTTTTTTGATTGTGCGTGGTGTGCACTGTGCAATTTTTTCTCTGCACTGTGCAAAAAGCAAAATTATTTTGACCGCACCGTGCGAAATTTTCAAAATAGAGTTTTTGCACAGTGCAAATGCGAAGAAAATTCCGGATTCCGTATTTTACATCAATTTTCGATAATCTTTACATTCATCCAGCCGAATTTCCATAATTTTTATTTGCACAGTGCAAAGCAAAAAAATATTTTTTCGCACTGTGCAGATTTTTCAAAAAAACTTTTGCACAGTGCAGATGGCAAAAATTTGTCCTGAAATTGTAACGCACATTATTTTTCGGTATTCGTCGCTTGTCTACAGTTTCCTAAGGCCTTGTATTTTACTTGAATTCCATTTTAACCGGTATTTTTATTTTATTTTTTTTTTTTTTTTGAAAATCTCAAATTCAAAATTTTTAAAAAAATTGAAAATTTTTAATTTTTGAAGATGAAAACTTTTTTTTGAGATTTTCTAAAAAAAATTTTTTGAAATTACAGTAACCTTTAGTCGAATCTCACCGTAGAAATAGCCTCATATCCTAGATTTTTTCAATTTTTTTTTCCTAAAAAACACAAAGAAAACATCCGAAGTATCACAAAAATGCTCAATATATATTCTATTATTACGCATTGTACATGACATGTATAATATTTTTTTTTATTTTTCAAAAAAAAATTTTTTTTTATTAACCATAAATATTGTCTACAATGTAGTTGAAAAGATTGAATAAAGTTTAATATTTAGCTCAATTTTCTTGATTTTGATTAATTTCGAATTTTAAATGGTAAAATTATACCTAAATTTTCATTTTTAAATGACGTCATTGTCTTGAGAAACCCGTGAATTGGCCAGTCGAAGTCGCGATTTGACAATGTCCCAGGAGAAATAACAGCCATGGAGGACGCGAGGCACGCCCGGATCACAGTCGTAGGCCGAACGGGCGTGAAGAAGGCGCGTGTTGGCCCATAGAACCGATTCTCCTGAAATTTAGGGTTTTTGCACAGTGCAACAGGGTTTTTATAAGTTTTTCTTTTACTGCACAGTGCAGATCAAAGATTTGGGATTGTCGCACAGTGCGAAATAAGCGACAAATTTTTCTTTTGCACGGTGCGAAATCAGCGACAAATTTTTCTTTTGCACGGTGCGAAATTAGCGACAAATTTTTTTGCACAGTGCAGAATGATTTTTCCAATTTTTGCTTCCACTGCACAGTGCAGATTGGGGATTTGGAATTGTCGCACAGTGCGAAATGAGCGACACATTTTTTTTGCACAGTGCAACATAAGCGACAAGCTTTGCACCGTGCAAGACTATTTTTTTGTCCCACTGCACAGTGCAGGTCAAAGATTTGAGATTCACGCACAGTGCGAAATGAGCGACAAATTTTTGCACAGTGCGGGACGATTTTTTAAATTTTTTTCCATTGCACAGTGCAGGTCGGATGTTTCAGATTTTTGCACAGTGCGAAATGAGCGACAAATTTTTTTGTACAGTGCAGCACGATTTTTCTTTCTTTTTTTGTTCCACTGCACTCTGCGGGTTGAAGATTGGGGATTATCGCGCAGTGCGAAATGAGCGACAAACTTTGTTTTTGCACAGTGCAAGTCGGACTTTTCAGATTTTCGCACAGTGCGAGACAAGCGACAAATTTTGTTCTTGCACAGTGCAAGTCTTCCCACTTTTTTGATTGCACAGTGCAGACGGGACTTTTCGGATTTTCGCACGGTGCAAAATAAGCGACACGTTTTTTGCACAGTGCAAAAAGGCGATTTTTTGCGCACAGTGCAAATAAAAAATCCAGAATTTTTTGCACAGTGCAAAGTGCCCAAAAATCCTAGCGCACCGTGCAACCCAAACTTTCCAAAATTTCGCGAAATTACGGTAAAATACGAAGGTTTGAGGTCATGCATGGGAAATTTTCGTCAAAATGGAATTGTAAAATACGTTTTTTTATCGGTCTGTCGGGAAAATAACGGCGGATCGTCGCGCCTCGGAGTCGCTCATCATCGCTTTGCGACTGCAAGCCGCGACTTGGGATTTGGTGCGCGATAGCGGCGAGGCGAGACATTTTGATGCGACGATCCGCCGTTATTTTTCCGACAGACTGATAACTTTAAAAATTTGTTGACTCACCTTTTTTCATCTCAAAAACCAGTTGATTTTCCGGTCGATAACACAAGTCCGTAAATAGTTTTAGCGCATCATAAACCAGCTGAATTTCCTCTGGATCCGTTGCGAAGGCCCAACTTCTCATCGCATTCCCGAATTGGACCTTTTTCAGGGTCCCATCGCCCCTCAAACTGATCGTTTTTTGCTGCGACATCATTCGGAAATCGAATTTTTTCTCTTTCCCATTTTTCTCATGCATGTCGTAGCCAATCTCGATGAACTCCAAATAGGTCTTCGACAACGTCTCAAAGGCCCATTTGTGGTGTTTTCGGAGAATCTCGGCCACTTGGAATCCATCGACGAACATACTTTTTCCACCCACTTTGGCCGGCTGCGTCATGTGGAGGAATTGAAGTTGTGGGGGATCGGAGAGAGAGGGGAAGTCGGTGTGATACGGGAGCTCCTTCCCACTGGCGTAGGCCATGTTGCTAGCATCCGGCTTGGTGCAGACGGAGAAGATTTCACTGCAATTTGAAGGTATATCTACATATTACCTTTGCTATGGGTAAAAAACAAAAATTTTCTTGAAATTTAACCGTCGCTTTTGCTTCAAATCAAGCATACAGCACTCTGGATAGGCCAAATATTAGCTACTTTTGCAAAATACAAAATTTTATCAGCATTGCGACATGTTATACGATGAAACATGTTTGGTCGTATAAAATGTCTATAATGACTTCAGGATTTGCAAAAGCACTCCAGATGGGCCAGATATTAGTTACTTTTGGAAAATATCAACATTTTGTCAGCATTGCGACATGTTATACGATGAAACATGTTTGGTCGTATAAAATGTCTATAATGACTTCAGGATTTGCAAAAGCACTCCAGATGGGCCAGATATTAGTTACTTTTGGAAAATATCAACATTTTGTCAGCATTGCGACATGTTATACGATGAAACATGTTTGGTCGTATAAAATGTCTATAATGACTTCAGGATTTGCAAAAGCACTCCAGATGGGCCAGATATTAGTTACTTTTGGAAAATATCAACATTTTGTCAGCATTTTGACATGTTATACGATGAAACATGTTTGGTCGTATAAAATGCCTCCGCTTGCTTTAGAATTTTCAAAATCACTCTAGGTGGGCTATATATTTACTCAGGTATGTTCAAGGTAAGTATTTTGTCAGCATTGCGACATGTTATACGATGAAACATGTTTGGTCGTATAAAATGTCTACGCGTTTTGACTTTTAATTTAGCATGCAGAATCTCATTAGGCCATTAATCAATTTCCAAAATTTTTAGCTCACGCTTTCAAAAATTGCCTGAGATATTCGCCGATATTTGTTTGATCAACCTAAAGTAATATAGAGGCCAACTGCTCAGACCCCAGCTCTTAGAATTCCGTCAAATTTGGTCTGAATGCTCTCGAAGGATCATAAATTGAATATTGAAAATTTCAGCAAAATTACTTTTCATAAACATATTCAACTTACCCGAAATGCGTCTGATGAATCAACCCGATTCGATCTCCAATCTTTTGCACGACATTCTGGTGTTCTTCCACGTCAAGTTGAGGTCCATTCACCAACATTCCAATGCCATCTCGACAGACAGCGTCGAGAAATTTTTTCACTCCCGATTCTTCGCTTATAAACTCATTGTGATCCACTTTTACCGGCAATTTCTTGATTAAATTTTCATTCCAAACTACAGTATCCTTCAAATACTGAGATTTCCGTGAGCTCAGAACCTTGGAATCGCTCAAATTCCGGGATTTGAGCCAACTTGTTGGGTAAAAACTTTGATGCCCGTCACTCCAGGTGATGCCAAGCCCAGAAGATTTGACAGAATGACTACAAGGGGATACTGTAACATCAAAATCCTTCATCATGGGGATCCTGGCCCTCATGGCCGGCCCAATCGAGTAGTTTTTGGGATCCAAGCAGACATCTCGCAGCCAAACAAACGGAAATTTTCCTGATGAACCTAAAGTAATATAAGGTCAATACTGAAAAGTAGAAGGTTCGGATTTGCTTCAAATTTGGCGAAAATAGTTTATAAAGAACTAAAATCAATCGCTGAAAATTTGAGCCTCAGTTTCGTAGGATCAGCGGAGTTATGCCACAATGTTTGAAGCCGAGAGAGTATGGAAAATGAGGAGAGACGACGGAGAAAAAACGTTTTTTTTATTTTTCAGGGTACAAAGATCACCTCAATTTTCTTTATAGTATCTCTTACCATCTTTGAAGACGACTTCGAACCATCGTTTCGGATCATTTTTGGTTACACTGGACAAACGACGACGTTGGAGGAACATGGCTGACCAAGTGTAAGGTCGAAAAGAGGAAACAATTCCCGTTCTTATCAAGATTTATCGAAAACGAAGGCAATAAAATGACCACCCGACATACAATTCATGTTGTAATCTTTGCTATGGCACGTATTAGGCCCGTTTTAGCCGATTCGGAGATCCAATACCCAGTATAATATAAAATTTTTCCAAACCCCTTTTCTAAACCACCCAAAACCAGATCAAAAGCCGAAATTGGAAACGTTTTTTATTAAAAGCAGTCAACAAAGAAAAAAGTCAACGACGAACAAGAGATTTGACTATATAATAGAGGCTTTGGCTGCCAATAACAAGAACAACGGATGAAGAGATGGGATTGGACGGCGGCGTTCAAACATTGAAAGTTAGACAACAATGCCCAAACGCCGCCGTCGCGCCGTTCCAGAAGAGAGTTCATCTGTTGAGTCCGGTTGTTGAAATTGATTATTGGTGGGGCTTGGACAAGATTATATGGTCGGGATCACTGTTCGACGTTGACGGGGACAGGCTTACTTCTTTTGCTGTCTTCTCTTACGCTTCAGTCTACGCATTCTCTTCTTACGCCACTGCAAATAGAAAAATTAGTCATGGATAATATAATTAATGTCCTATAAAATTCTGGATGCTTCTAGAAAGAAGCTAGATGCTCAAAAGTGATCTATAGAGGCTAATTCAGCTCTATGATTCTTCTCCCGACTCAACTCTTTAAAATTTTTGTCTACTCTAACATCCAGCTTGTTCGATCTAAAAACCCAAGCAAACTAGAAAAAACTCTTACCTTAGCACGCATAGTGACGATTTACAACTGAGCGAGTGAAAAGGGAACCGAGTACGAGCTGAAATAGCAAAAATTAGATATCAAATCTAAAGTAATATAAATTTCCCGCGATAAAGTATGAAAACGCGAATGGAAACAATACAAATGGCTAGGAATACAATATTCAAGGTCTAAAAATATTTTTCAGCTATTAAAACTGAAATTTTGAGGAAAATTTTCCCTTTGTTGCCTAAAATTCAATCGATAATACGAGAAAAACAAAGAAAAAGAAGAAAATCTATGGAAATAAACAATTTCAAAACTAAAAAAAGCTTATTACTGTTCAACAATACTACTAGAACACTTTAGAATCAAAGTAAACACTTCCTACTACAAAAAATCACCTAACATTTACCTAAAACAATATAAAACTCGAGGAAAAAACACGACCTGTGCCTACGATCGGAGCCGAAAACTGATGGAAAAATCGAAATGAAATGCGAGAAAGGCGAAAACACGATGCTAACACACAGCGGGATACGGTAGATTTTTCGTGGCGGGACGCAGCGAGCAGTCCGATGCCACTATTTTTTGAGTTCGAGAAGAATCGAAAAGGATTTTTATCAGACAAATGGGGGAGAAAATGTGGAAAAACAAGCGTTGGCAAGGATAATGAAAGTCAAAGTCCAAACGTGTCAATATGTAAAAATTTTGAAATTTCAAAATTTTTTTTATAGATGGGATCTGATGTAAAATGTTAAAGTGCGAGTCTCAAAAAGCCAGAGCGCAAGCAAGGATTGTTATCGTTGCGGGACCCGGCGCGGCTGGTCTCTCTCGCTAAAAAATAAAAAATGTGTTTATTTGTTGTCGGAAATGGATCATGTAACGTGAAAGATGAATGAAGATAGCTGAAAAAGGTATGTTTTTTTGTGTTTTCTGATTTAGGGCAGCTCGGCAAAAATTTTTACGACAGCTGATCCAAGATTTTTTGTGTTTTGGGCGAATGAAGGTAATTTTGGACATTCCGAAGCATGAAAATGGGTGTAGCTTTCCAAAGAACCATCAGGAGTGATGTTGATCGAGTTTTTGCCAAGTTAGAGTCAATCCCTTCAGCAAACTACCTAGTATAATATAATTTTTTCCAGGATTTTGAATTGGAATGCAGCCAGATGGCTAAATTTCACCGCAAGGACTCGCTGAAGCCAGAAGAAGAGACGATACCATTCAAATTCCATGTGGAATGGCTTTTTCCGAAGCTGATGTCAACATCGAAAAGGTGAGTTTTTCTTGATTTTCATGTTTTAGGTGGGGAAATCCATTGCTCCTTGAGCAAGGCAATGGGTTTAGCTTCCCAAATTTCATCTTGAGCCACATCAGGCCCACTGTTGTTTCTAGTGTAATATAATTTTTACAGGTGAAAACGCTCCCCAACCGCGAAGCTTCGACGATGCGAAACGTCTGGAACAGCATATGGGCGATAAAGAATTTCTCATCGATGGCAAACACTGACGAGAACCGAATCAATTTATTATTGTAAAAACACACCAAATGTTTTGATATTTAATCATAAAATATTATACCGTTGACCTGGATATTGTTGAACCTGTCTTTACTGAGCTCTTTAGATGAGGCTGGCGGGCATGGGAGGCGAATGGGCCGGTTTTCCTGTAAAAATTATATTACACGAGAAACATTGGGTCTGATGTGGCGCAAGATGAAGCAACCGCATTCTAGATAGCATGATTGGGAAGCTAAACCCATTGCCTTGCTCAAGGAGCAATGGATTTCCCGACCTAAAACATGAAAATCAAGAAAAACTCACCTTTTCGATGTTGACATCAGCTTCGGAAAAAGGGATTCTACATGGAATTTGAATGGTATCGTCTCTTCTTCTGGCTTCAGCGAGTCCTTGCGGTGAAATTTAGCCATCTGGCTGCATTCCAATTCAAAATCCTGGAAAAAAATTATATTATACTAGGTAGTTTGCTGAAGGGATTGACTCTAACTTGGCAAAAACTCGATCAACATCACTCCTGATGGTTCTTTGGAAAGCTACACCCATTTTCATGCTTCGGAATGTCCAAAATTACCTTCATTCGCCCAAAACACAGAAAATCTTGGATCAGCTGTCGTAAAAATTTTTGCCGAGCTGCCCTAAATCAGAAAACACAAAAAAACATACCTTTTTCAGCAATTTTCATTCATCTTTCACCTTACATAATCCATTACAAACAACAAATAAAAAAAATTTTTATTTTTTAGCGAGAGAGAACAGCCGCGCCGGGTCCCGCAACGATAACAATCCTTGCTTGCGCTCTGGCTTTTTGAACCTCGGACTTTAAATTTTAGGCATAAAATGGGGTTTTTTACTGCCGAAATTGTGTGTTATAGAGAGATTTAGTCAAATACGACCTATTTCTCCATAAATTTCCTTGCTTTACCTACATTTTCCCATTGCACCGTGCGATTTTTCATGCACTTTGCTTTGCACAGTGCAGACGAATTTTCCATCGGTTTGCACTGTGCGCACGCCACGAAAAAAGTGGAAATAGGGAAATTCGCGGGAAAATGTTTTCGACATTTCATACGCTGAAACCTTTACAAATAAATAACAAAAATGATTCCAAAATTCTAATAAACAACAATTTACGTGTGAAACCGGCGAGATAGCATCGAAAGGCATCTAGAAGGTGCACCCCGAACTTCTTAGATTGATCGAAGAAGAGAAAGGAATTATATTGTACTAGGCAAAATTGGATCAAAATCGATGAATCTGACCGAATTCGAGCTCTTCCGAGGTTTACAAGAGTAGCAGGGCTTTGATCCTGCTACAACAGACCACTACTAAATTGAAATTCATCAAATCTTCTTTATTTTCACCTAAACATCAAACCAATAAGAATAATTAAAATTACATAAATTTTCGACAATCCATCGAATTTGTCGGATACAATCTGAACTCGGAATTCAATCTCCACACCCATTGGTACATTATGCTGGCTTTCACATTCTACTTCAACATGGACCGGCTGAAATATCAATTATATTATTTTAGGTATAACCAGAGAAAATTATTGGCTCAATGGCCTAAAAACAAAAAATCAAAAAGGCAACGTCACAAACTTAACTTGAAATGTTCTAAACGTCGTCTGCTTCCTCTGATCCAGCTTTGCTCACGCCTTCTCCAGTCTTTTCTTGCGTTTCTCCGTCAGTTCCTGCAAAATGATACAATAATGATGGAACAAGTGCCCTTTTTCGACAACAGAATTTCCCGATTTCTTCTTTATAACGTCCGCTAGGGTGTCTCACACAACACCACATGGGGATTAATCTATAAACTGAGCACAAAAAGAGAAATCTTACATTTTCTGAAGACACTTCCATAGCTGGTAAATCAATGTTGGGGTCGGAGCGCGATGTGCTGGGTTCCATGGATTCATCCATTACATTCAACGGAACCTTCCTGAAGTTCTCAGCTAGCTTTATGTTGATTCTCTTCTTCTGGTTCCGGTTTTCTCGCGCTTTCTCCAGTCCTTTCTTGCGTTTCTCCATCGGTCCCTACAAAATGATGCAATAATGATGGAACAAGTGCCCTTTTTCGACAACAGAATTTCCCGATTTCTTCTTTCCAACGTCCGCTAGGATGTCTCACACAACACCACATGGCGATTAATCTATAAACTGGGCACAAAAAGAGAAATCTTACATTTTCTGAAGACACTTCCATAGCTGGTAAATCAATGTTGGGGTCGGAGCGCGATGTGCTGGGTTCCATGGATTCATCCATTACATTCAACGGAACCTTCCTGAAGTTCTCAGCTAGCTTTATGTTGATTCTCTTCTTCTGGTTCCGGTTTTCTCGCGCTTTCTCCAGTCCTTTCTTGCGTTTCTCCATCGGTCCCTACAAAATGATGCAATAATGATGGAACAAGTGCCCTTTTTCGACAACAGAATTTCCCGATTTCTTCTTTCCAACGTCCGCTAGGATGTCTCACACAACACCACATGGCGATTAATCTATAAACTGGGCACAAAAAGAGAAATCTTACATTTTCTGAAGACACTTCCATACCTGGTAAATCAATGTTGGGGTCAGAGCGCGATGTGCCGGGCTCCATGGACTCATCCATTATACTCAACACTTGAAACTCAAAGCAACGTAATTTTAAAGGTAATATACATCCCGAAATTGTTCCAAATTCCAGAGTTACAATACTATCTAACACAATATTCATTCCATCAAAAAATCAAGAAATATTGGGCGCAGCTCGAAATCTCTATTTCCAATTTTGCCTTACGTTTTTCGTGGCGTGCTGTGCGGGAAATTGGGAAACTGCACGGTGCGAAAATTTTAAAATAGCGATATCTCTGTGAATAGTGGGTGAAAAAAATTGATTTTTGGTAGAAATGTTGTTCTTCTGATGTCAAATTGAATCTCAATTTTTCAATTTGAAAATCGCCAAAAATTTTACCTACTACAATATCCAATACAATCAACAAAATAAATTTATTGCCAGATTTTTTGTATAGTTCGGATTCATTCACAGAATCAAATTGTCTTTTGTAGTGTAGAAAGCGTTTTTGTATATGAACTGAGATCATTTTCGTATTTTAAAAATCGAAGAATTTCAATTTTCCAGCGGACGGTGGGTTTTCATGTGGCGATGGAGGTTGCCGGATTGGCTGAATCGCATCAGACACAAGTGACAGCCATAGGGTTTTTGTCCTGAAAGTAATTGTAAAATACGTTTTTTTTTTATACGATGAAACATGTTTCATCGTATAAAATGTCTCTGAATGTTGATAATGAAGTAAAAGATTGTGAGGCCGTAGGGTTTCTGACTCAAAATTAGTTTTAAAATACGTTCTATTGCTTTTCGATGTCATGGACATTTTATACGACGAAACATGTTTAATCGTATAAAATGTCTCTGAATTTAGAAAACATAGTAGAAACTACTCTAATAACTGAATTACAGTAGATTATTCATGAAAATAATTTCTAGCTTGTATTGTGCGTCACCGGAGACATTTTATACGATCAAACGTGTTTTGATCGTATAAAATGTCTCTGGATGTTCAAATCGGTGAAAATCAAATTCCACCGAGCCTGGTGTCATCTAAATAGCCAAGAACTAATATAAAAGTCGACATACCCGTGTGAGTTCTCATATGCTTGGTCAAAGTTGAGGAGTCGGTGAAAGACTTACTGCAATGTCGACAGGGATAAGGTCGTTCGCCGGTATGGGTCCTAAAATTAATCAATTAGTGTTTGTTGATACAACAAACGTCTAATTTTTCAATGGGAATAAGTTTAAAATCGAATTTCAAGGCGAGATTTTTTTAAATTGAATTCAATATATTTCGAATGTTTCTGCATAACGCGGTCTGAAATTTTCTGAGATTTCTTTTTGGACCATAATCCTCATTTGAGTAAAATTTTAGGGAAATCGGAAGGGTTTTGGATGGGGTACTGTAAGTTCGAAAATTACAGTACATCACCAAAAATTTTTGCTTTTTTTCGATCACGTGGGTGTTGGTAATCCACTGTACAACTGTTCATTGGTATTGGCGGGTTAATCTTATCACACCAGCCAAGAAAATCCGAGCAGAAAGGCTTCGGAAAACTTACAAAAGTCCGTCTGTTTGGTTGTTTTGACTAATTCAAATATTCCAATTAAAGATTAACTTTTACATTGGACTTTGATGATGAGATTTGGTGATTAAGGCTGTTACATGTGGGTGGAATTATTGGAAAATTTTGAATATGCAAATTTTGGGAATTATTTAAATTAAAAATTTAAATATTCAAATTTTGATGAAATTTGGCAAAAATGAAGACTGATGGTCTATAAAAGGATTTAGAAATTGTTGGACCGGTTTTTTGAGAATCGGCTAAAATACGAAGGTTTTAAAATCAAAAATTTAATTTTAAAAATCTCATCGTATAAGATGGAATTCGATGAAATAATATTAGAATTTGAAAGTAAAATGGTTTAAAATGATTATTGCCGCAATGAACCCCAAAATTTGCGATTTTAAAGCCATAAAAATTGAGTTATATTGTCCATGAACTCACCTCCGATGAGTGACCAACGAAGAACTTTGAGAGAACGGCCTCAAACAAACCGAGCAAGCGAACGGCTTCTCACCGGTGTGAACTCGTTTATGAGCCGTCAAGTTGGCGGCTTGAGTAAAGGTTTTCCCACAAACCTGAAAGAAATATATTGTACTTGACATCTGAAAGTTTGATATAAATAACAGGGTAAAATACGCGGCTTAGTCCTCATAAAATGTTTTCTTGAGGTCTAATTAGCGATTTTAAAAGTTTAAATATTTTTATTACAGTATGAGATACTTTATATTTTTATATTCAAACATATTTCATCGTATAAGTGTCTTCCCGAAGCGATAAAAAGCAATAATGTTGTCTTATTGGCAGCCTAGTCTCTTTACAGAGACTGTCGCTTCAATTTACAAGATTTCTGCCAAATTAGTGACATTTTATACGATGTTATACGATGAAACATGTTTCGTAGTATAAAATGGTTTCAAAAGCCGTGGTTTGTAAGAATTGCAAATAATTGGCTACGCGATATACTGGTAATGTTAGTCAATAAGTTTTTTAGCATTTTTTTGCTTCAGTGACATTTGATACGGCAAAACATGTTTCATCGTATAAAATGGTTTAAAAAGGCGTAGTTCCCAAGATTTGCAAATCAATTATTCCACGATATACTTGTAGCGTCAGCTAACAACTTTTTTCAAATTTTTGTCACTTCTGTGACATTTTATTCGACAAAACATGTTTCATCGTATAAAACGCCAATTCATCGAGAAGCGTCATCTCTTTACGGCTTCATATCTGCTTACATGACACATGAACGGTTTGTTCCCCAAATGTTGTTTTATATGCGACTTGAGCGTGCTTTTTCGGCAATACTGTTTCCCACAAGTGGGACATCCATAAACTCTCTGCCGTCCTTTGCTCTCCTCATGGCTTTCGATGTCACTATTGCTTGGTGTATTCGAATCCAACGTCATATTCGGCACATTTGACTTGAAAATTCGCTCAGTTGGCCAAATCGAGGAGCTCAGATTCACCGATGAATCCGTCGATTTTAGGGTCGTTGTAGCAAAGTCACTGTAGTCGAAAGGGTTCACGGATGTTGTGTAGGGACTGAAATACCGGTTTTTATTTTGGTTTTGCAAAAAAAGTTCAATTTTGTACTAAAAATCGCGAAATTTGAAAATTTAAATTAAATGCCCTTAGGGTTTCTAAATTTTTTTGAATTTTTTACCAAATGAAGGTATCGATTTGTCAATGAATTCCGCAAAATTTCAAACCGCGTTATGCAGAATTACCGGATTTATAAAAGTTTTCATTTCAAAAAATCCCGTTTTGTCGAGTGTCATGAAACTTGGCAAAAATGGGAATCACGATTCTCTAAGACATCCGACAAGTTTTTGGACCGCGTTATGCAGAAATAGCAGAATTATGAGCGAATTGATTCGAAAAACTGGGAAAAATGCCAAACTAAGGTTAAAATCGACTGAATTGGCCTCGAAAAATCGTGGAAACTGAGGGAAAACTGCTAACTCGACAAAAATCCGTGATGCATGAACGAAGAAAGGTCTGAGAGGTTTCAAGAGGTTTAATATTGGCTTCTAAGTCGTATTATCGCAATAAAGTTGGTTACTGTACTACGTTCGCTGATGTGATGTATGAAAAAATCATTTTAGCGCAGTCCTTGTACTGCCAAGAACCTTTAGTCATCAAAAATCAGCAAAATTCCATGGAAATTTCCGATTTTTTGGGGGAAATTTACGAAATTCCAGAAAATCCGTCATCGTTTGCTCATAGCGGACAGATTGGTTGGATTATTGATTTGAAAAATTTTTAGTAGTATCTGCATAATATATGTAATAGATTAGCTGTAAAAATTTTGAAATCAAAGGAGCCATTAAACCTGTCATCATGACGGATTTTCTGGATTTTTTGAAAATGCCCTGGAAACCGGCTAAAATAGCAAAACGTGCCTCAAAGATGAATGAACCACCCTTGAATCACAAAAGATCCCTCTTTTTCACTCAATTATCATCATTTTCTCATCAAATTATATTGTACTTGACATCAAAACCAAAACTTCTTAATCTTACACTTGATGATTGCTCTCCGGCCATTGTTGTGGCGCTGTAGGCTGATAGAAGTGGATTGTCGGCTGGACGGGCAGCGCCGTGTTCTCGGTGGGATAGGAGAGCGTTGAGAGATCGGGATTTGGGTAGTAGGGTGCTGATTGAAAAGCCAGCATCTCAGGGCTTGCAAATGCATTCTGAAAAATGGTTTTTATGAACAATCGAATCTATAATGAATACTTAGAAATAACCAAGGTAAAATTTTGGATTTTGAAAGAGCTAGAGGCATTTTATACGATGAAACCTGTTTGATCGTATAAAATGTCGCTGAACCTTTCTATTCATAAAAATTTAGCTGTTTGGGTTGCATAACCCTCGATTGAAGATGATATAATCGAATTTTCGGATTTTCAGCGAGTGGAGAGGTTTTATACGATGAAACATGTTTGCTCGTATAAAATGTCTGTGCAATATTATTTTTGTACAAAGTTGGTTGTGAAGTGTAAAATACGGGTCATTAATTCATGTGCTGAATAATTTTTTTTCTTTCCAATAACTCGACATTTTATACGCTCAAACATGTTTTATCGTATAAAATGTCCCAAAATCAACTGAATCAAAAATTGAATAAAATAAGATTTAGGCTTAAAAGTAACTCACTTGAAAGTCGTTGTAAGCGGCATAAGCAGCGGCGGCGCTTTCCATTGGCTCGGTCATGGCTGTCATTGAGAACGAAGAAGGAGATTAGCGGCCTCTACTGTCCAACCATCCCAAAATATGCTGTTTTAAGTTTTTTGAATAACACAAAAGATTTTAATCATAATCACGAGGGACACAATACAGTAATTGGACAAAAATTTTGAAAGATTTTTTTTTTGCATATGGATAATATTTTGATCTCAAAAATGAGATAAAAATACGTTTGTTATACGGTAGAAGGCATTACAATACATTCTGATTAGTTTTTTTTATTAATTCTCCAACTTTTTCCGCAAAAAAAATTTTTTTAATTGCACGGTGCAGACAAAAAAATTACTGCACAGTGCAAAAAAATGAAGTTCCGAAATTCCCAGTGCGTTTTTCCCGCACTGTGCGGGAAAAACGAAAAGTCGCGATTTCGACTGCACAGTGCGAAATACAAAAATCGACAATTTCTCGCGCTGTGCAATCGGAGTTGAAATTTTTCTTTTGCGAAACGCACAGTGCAGTCAAAAAAAAAGTTCGTTTTGCACAGTGCGGGAAAAAAAGAAAATTCGCGATTTCGACTGCACAGTGCAAAATGCGAAAATCCGAAGCCTGTGCGATCGAAGTTTTTTTTTTATGCACGGTGCAGTCAAAACAAAAGTTCTTTTTGCACCGTGCAGAAAAAAGCAAATCTGCGATTTCGCGCACTGTGCAATCGGAGTCGCAATTTTTCTTTTACGTAATGCACAGTGCAGTCAAAATAAAAATTGCACTGTGCGAAAAAAAAGAAAAGTCGCGACGTTGACTGCACAGTGCGAAATACAAACACCAGCGATTTCGCGCACTGTGCAATCGGAGTCGCAATTTTCTTTTACGTAATGCACAGTGCAGTCAAACCAAAGACTGTTTTTGCACTGTGCGGGAAAAAGGAAATGTTTTCAAGCGCACAGTGCAGTCAACTTTTTGACTGCACAGTGCGATGGGCAAGTTGGGGAAAAATAGTGGGAAATTGGGAGAATTAGTGGGAAAAATGTTGGGAAATATTTTTTAAGGTAAATTTACGAGATTTTTGGCTATATTGTACATCAAATTTCCGCAAACAAAAATAAAAATTTTTCATTTTCTCAAAATTTTTTGTCCAAAATCCTCAAATTCAGTCCAACTCCCCGTCCGGATCGATAGAAAATTTCGCGGCGGCAGCGTGAAGTGACGCAAGATTGTCTGCTCCGATTACTGTGGCCAACTCGCCCCGAATGGCCGAGAAATGAAAAGTGGGCGGAGCCTGCGGAATTAATTTGTGTTTGGCATGAGAATTAATAAATTTCTCGGCCGTCTCCATGCAAATGATGATCTCTGCGAAGGGATTTGGCGATGGTTTTGTAGGGCTTCGGTGGCTTCGAAGAATGGGGCCAAGAAGATGGCCAAGAACAAATTTCGGCGTAATTCCTCGGATTTTATTTCAATAAGACATTGAAATTTGAGTGAAAAAGACAAAAAAAATTTTTTTGTAAGTTGTAAAATACGCTTTCTCGAAAAATTTCCAAAAAATCCGTCATCATGACATGTTCAAATTGATGATTTCCATACTTGTGGAAGGCAAAATAAAGAAGAAGAACCTTTGCAAAATACGTGCAGCCAACTATCCCCTTAATGTTACCGTAACAAGGCGTTTTGGAGACGTTTTATACGATGAAACATTTTTAGTCGTATAAAATGTCCCCGAAGGCTACAAAATCTTAAAGAAAGAGTGTTGGGGTTAAAACCAAATTTAGCGATCTATGAAAACAACTTTTTTTAAATCGTACCGCGTTGGGTCATTTTATACGATAAAACATGTTTCTTCGTATAAAATGTCATTGAAGGCGCAAAAGTCGACTAAAAGTTGCACTAAGGCTTTTTTAACCATTTAGAAATCAGTGAAAGCAAATTTTTTAAAAATTCTGCTTTTTAACATCATTTTATACGATAATACATGTTTGATCGTATAACATGTCAGTAAAGTCACAAAAATAAACTAAAAACAACATAAAGGCTTCTTAATCAATTTAGAAATCAGTGAAAACAACTTTTTTTAAATTTGGCCTCATTTGGGCTATGTTATACGACAAAACATGTTTCTTCGTATAATAAGCCACAGAAGTCACACAAGTCAAGTAAAACTGCACAAATGCTTTTTCAAAAAATTGAGAAATCTGTGAAAGCAATTTTTTAAAATTCTGCTTTGTAATACCATTTTATACGATAAAACATGTTTTTTCGTATAACATGTCTCCAGGTTCTTGTCCCAATCTTCGGTCAAGACCGTTCACAACGATTTCTTTTATTGAAAAAATTATTGGATTAATCGCAATTTCGAAGGGCCCTTCCATAATTGTCATAAGCGGATCACCTGTTCGAAGAAGGGCGACATATGTTGCGTTGGGATGAGAGGATTAGCCGATGCAATGTATTCATCGCATCTCCTAGAAAACGGGATGTGTTGGAGAAAGATTAATGATGATAAAAGGGGTTGGAGACAAGTTATACGATGAAAATGTCTATGAGATTTTTTGAAAATTTAAATGCCCATATTTTAGGGAATTTTGGAAATTTTGGGCTGAAATTTTTTATGCTGTCTTATGAAGTGTTAGACTTACTTTTTGCCAAGTTTGGGCCGAATTGGAGCAAAATGAATTTTTTGATTTTAATTTTTTACTTTTGAAATTCGAATATTCATAATTTTTAGACCTTTAAAAATCATCGAATGCCTTTTCATAACAACAAATTTATCAACAACTAGTCTCCGGAGAAATCGCCGGCCAAGATTTGAATGTTTTTTTGCAATTCTTCCAAAAAGATTTGCGTATTTTTGTCGGAAGTCGCGATTGCCGCTGCCGCCTGGGTCTTCAAGAATTCAGCCAGGTCAGAGAGTTCGGGCTGAATTTCGGACAAAATCTTCTCTTCAATTGCGAATTGCCTCAGGGCAAGGTAGACTCGGACACACTGAATTCGAATACTCCAATCGGGAAGTTGCCGCAGACATTTTAGAAGGTGAAAGTAGTCACTAAAAAAATTTAATAATTAATGGGAATGTAAAATACGTTGTAATGGGATATTTTATACGATTGTGGTGTAGGATCAAAGGTTTATAGATAGAGGGAATGGTAGACACGAGATTAGGAATAATGGTTTATTGCAACCGCACACAGGGAAAAGAGAAATGAGATTAATGATTCTAATTGGTGACGAGACGTTGCTTTTATATGACTTGGTTTATGCTAATTTCTGTGGGAATTGTGGAAGCTTTTGAGGCTCCACAACATGTCCGGCTCTTCCTTCTGGGTCGGGTTGGCATGGGGCAGGTAGCAGTTGAACTTCGCAGGGCATTTCCAGGGAACTTTGGGGCTCTTGGTAGGTTCATAATCGAGGGGAAGTTCGGGTTCCGTTGGTTTGTACTTGCATTTGATTCGCCGATTCACGGGCAAATCACTTGGTGGCAGGGGACGAGAGATTATAGTAGACGGGTTGGGGAGGGAAATCGAGATGAATTTGAGGTTTGGACCTCGAGTAGGCTTCTGCAATAGATTATTGCCACACGGCAATACATGCCCAACCTCCACGGCGGGTTCACAATGACCGGAAAACGGCAGGGAGTTCACAATAGGATCCGGTGACTTTCGAAGTGGATGACTATACGAGTTCACAAAGTCAGCAGCATTTTCCACTGGACAGATAATTTTTGGAGCCACAGGTTTCTTCTTCTTCCTATTCGCAAAAAATGTGGATTTTCGAATCCGGCAAAAATCGATTGGGGAGTCTGAACACAATTCGTTCAAGTTTTCCGAGACAAGAAAATGACCAAAGCGACAAGATATGACTCGAAGTCCATCTGGGGTAACGTGGTTCGAACTTTGTATTTCTAATTTTGCGAGGCAATCTTGCCCGAGAACAATACGAATCGGCACTTGACCAAAATCAGCCGGCTGGCCCGTGAAAAACTCGTGGAGATTTTGAATTGCGAGAACACGGAAAGCAACCGGTGGGCCAGATTTGGGAACAATAGACACCGATGTCTTGAATGTTTGGATCGATTGAACATTTCCACCAACGGGGATCACTGTGCGGACAATGGGAGAATCGAGAGGCAATTGGAGGGAACGACAGAATCCAAGGTCAGCAAAGGAAACCTGAGAGCCCGTATCGATACAAGCTTTCACGGGATCACGAAATCCGCTCACTGTCACCATTGGAGACATAACCTCCTCATTTTGGGGCAAGGAAATCGCTCTCATCTGTACTGGTGGTCCATTGGTTGGTTGCATGGCCGGAGGATTGGATGGAGGAAAACTGGAAGCCCGAGGAGTCTCAAGATTATTCGGGAATGTCGAGGATAACGGAGGAGACGAGTGGGTCGACTGACCAAAGAAAGACCGATGGGGTTGATTAAAGTTAAAGTTCGAAGAAGGGAAAGCCTGAGAACAAATCGAAATGTGATGATCACCTTGGCACTGACTACACATTGGAGAACGACACTGTGAGGACACATGACTTCGACAAAGACAACGAGCACATAAATTCTTCTCACGAATCACCTGGTGTCTCCTGGAATGATCTGATACTGTCCGGCAATCCTTTGAACGATGGCTTCGATCACAAAATGCACACATCTCTCGATGAAAATTCGAAGGATTGGAGAACTGTGGCGAGCGAAAGTGAGAATCCTTGTCCCGACTCAATGAGAACCTTTCACGCGAACGGATAATACTGTCAAGGTAGGATAGGATGTCATCGACCGTGGGAACGATAGCGGAATGCTCAAAATGCAGCTCAATAGATCGATGGATGTCTTCAGGGAGCGACTCGAGGATGTGGGAGATGAACAACTCATTTTCTGACAATAGACCGGGAGAATGTATATTCGAGAGAGAAGGCGAGGAAACGAGAGAATCACGCATGATCATAAGTCGATAGTACCAGTCCTTCAATTCGGATGGCGTACGAGGAACAGAATATTTCTTGTCCTTTAATTCCTTTAGGAGACGTTGATAATGCGCTCTTTTGTCTCCATAGCGTCTCTGAAGAGCGTTCAGAATAAGGCGCAGACTTCCTTCAACGATCGGAATCGCCTGAATCATCTCAAGAGGCTCGCCGGCCAGAAGGGAGAGAACGAAGGTTATCTTGCTCATTTCCGAGTAGTGAGGATTACTATCCAAGGCATTCGTCAAAACGCCGAAAAACTGGGAAAATTCCTCCGGTTTACCAGAAAATTTGTTGATCCGAATCTTGTGGAGATCGAGGAAAGTGGATCGAGGGGACACTGGAGACGAGGATACCGGATTCAAGTTACCTAATTGAGGAGAGGCGAGAACACTAGATCTAGACTGACTATTCTGCAATTCAACCCGAGCACATGCTTCTTGACATCGTTGGATAGCGTCCATGGAACTCTCAATCCAATAACCGAGCATCTCACTGACCAAAGAACACGACAAAGAATTGACATAGAGCTGAGCAGTGGCGAAGGGGACTTGATGAGAAAGTTCTAGATCCTCTAGATCGTACAATGCAGTCCGGAAGTCGCTTTCAACAGTCTTGAGGGCCTCCAAGATCTCACTGAACAGCTTCAGGGTAAACGATGGAATATCCGAGAGGTCGGTCAGGCGAATCAACGGATTTTCTAAACGGCTGAGGATACGAGCGAAGTCGAAGGTGATCAAGGTGTAGATGGTGCGACACACGGCTTTAATCTCTCTATATGTGGTTGGATCGTTGACAAATGTTGCGAATACGGTCGCAATCTGCCGGTTGTTCTCGGGGGTCGGACGGAAACCAGCGATGATGGCACGATGACGAGCGTGCTCTTCTAAAGAACATCGAGGTGCTGCTGCGATATCGGCAGGGTTGAAAAGGGTAACGGTGGGCGCCGAAGAGAGGTGAGATTGATTGTTAGCCGCGTCCGAAGGATCAGCCATGACGAAAAAAGCGAGTCCGAACACGAGAGAACGTCAAAACTAAGAGAAACGCTGATAAAGGTGGGGATCTAACCCAAGATGTGGGGATTTAACCCAAGGAACAGGGGATTCTAACCCAAAAAAAGGCGGGGATCTAACCCGAATGAAGGGGATTTAACCCAGAGAAATGGGGATCTAACCCAATAAAAGGCGGGGATCTAACCCGAATGAGGGGGATTTAACCCAGGAAAAGGCGGGGATCTAACCCGAAAATATACAACACGGAGGGAACTACTGCCCTAACACAAAGAGAACACACAATTTGTACGACGATGATCGTACCGAGCCACTAATAATGAATCTAAAGACAGACACTGGTGTGGCTAGTACCAGTGGTAACAAAAATGCGATTGAACAATACCTGGAATTGCTCCAATCCAAAACGGTTCTCCGGGATCTTCCTACACCAGCGCAGCCCCCATGTGGTGTAGGATCAACTGTGGATAGGTAGAGGGAATGGTAGACACGAGATTAGGAATAATGGTTTATTGCAACCGCACACAGGGAAAAGAGAAATGAGATTAATGATTCTAATTGGTGACGAGACGTTGCTTTTATATGACTTGGTTTATGCTAATTTCTGTGGGAATTGTGGAAGCTTTTGAGGCTCCACAACAACGATGAAAAATGTTTGATCGTATAACATGTCTCCGAAGACGGAAAAATAAAAAAATTGTAGCAATGAGAAGGTAATACTTTAGAAGACCCTTCACAATCTTTTTGTTGCCATTATACCACTCCAAGGACATTTTATACGATGAAAAATGTTTGATCGTATAACATGTCTCCGAAGACGACAAAATAAAAAATTGTAGCAATGAGAAGGTAATCCTTTAGAAAACCATCAAAATTTTTTTTGTCACCACTCCAAGGACATTTTATACGATTAAAAATGTTTGGTCGTATAAACTGCCCCTAGGCAACAAATTTCGCAACATTTTCGTCCCAAAGGCCGATGAAATCATTACCATTATCATAAAAAAATAAAAATGCTCTTACCAGACCGGGGGACGTTTTATACGACAAAACATGTTTCGTCGTATAAGATGTCTTCAAACGAGCCAAATTCAAAAACCTTGTTCTAATATTTGCCTAACAGCTTATTAAAAATATTTGCGATATCCAAAAAATGTCAGTTGCCATTTTATACGATCAAACATGTTTCATCGTATAAAATGTCTCAACTCCAAAAAATGACAAAAAAATCTTACTGCACAACTTTGACGAGTCCAGTAGGTCTCCAATCCACCGAATTTTGGATAAAATTGATAATGGCAGCGGCGAAATTTGGGTCCATTTTCGCGAGGTCCAGCTTTTGGATTTGCCCAAAAAATGGGACCAAAATCCATCGGACCGTGCAAATTGTGGGTCTTACTGTAGTCTTCTGTTGTTGGAGAGTAATGCTTTTTCGGACCACAGTTCCTATCGTCTTCTGCTTTGGTCTGACGATTTTTCCGGGGATTTTTTCCTGTAAAATTCAAAAATTATCAGAAAAAAGAAGGAGAAAACTTACATCAGTGTGTAAAATACGGTCCATGACATCGTTGAGGACAAGTATGATCTGAATTTTTTTGGAGACAACTTTTTGAAAGTCCAATTTGGCCAAAAGATCAGGAATTGCACTGAGGTCCGAATAAATTACTTGGACCAGATTTTCGGTCACCATGGTCTGAAAAATTTAGATAATCTAACTTGTCCGTATTTTACACTTAAAAATCGATTTCGTAAAACAAAAAATGAAGTTATAGTTCGAATATAGCATCGAAATTTCGTCAATTCCTTCGAAAAAAATCCTACTTTTCATATTTTCTCATTTCTTTCCAAAAATTTCAGCAATAGGACATTTTATACGACGAAACATGTTTAATCGTATAACATGTCTCCATCGCATCGCAATCACAAAAAACTAATTTTAGGCCATCAAGGAAGGTCTCTTAATCAATATCCAAAACAAAATTTACCAAAAAAATGTCTTGGAGACATTTTATACGAAGAAACATGTTTGATCGTATAACACGTCTCCAAGACATCGGCATAATCAAAAAGAAATATCAGATGGTCCAATAAGACCTATTCTTGAACACTAACAACAATTCTATGACTAAAATAACTTAAAATACATTTTATACGATGAAACATGTTTCATCATATAACACGTCCCTCTCTTGAAATTCAAAACTCACATTGAATCCCTTGATATGATTAGTATTTTCGATGATATACAACGTCTTAATTAGCTGATGGCTTTGTGCTTTTATCGCATTTCGATTACTTTTTGCAAACTTTGGAAACAATTTCAGCGCCATAAAAGTTTTCTTCCAGTTTTCTCGCTCCGTCCAGAAATTACAGTAATCCTTGAGGGTTTCGGGGCCTTCTTTTTGATTCAGAAGCTCCAATTCTTCTGCATCCAACTGAAATTTTAATAAAATTCAAAAAATTACAGTTAAAAAATTTTGAAAAAATAAAAAAAAATTTGCATAAATAAAAAAATTAAGCCCCAAAATTGATGCAGCAAGCCAAAAACTCACTGAAAATCCCGATTTTTCGTCATTTTCGCCACTTTTTTCCAATTTTTTCTTCATTTTCAAATTTTCAAAGAGTTGCGAGACCAGATCATCCGTCTTCTCTGCCTCATAATCCATTTTCAGGATATTTTGACCATCTTTGAAACAGAGTTTGGTCAAAAAAGCCGCAAACTTCATGGCCAATCGATGAGAAAATGGGTCTAAAGTAATATATTGCAAATTGAGCTCCGAATCTTGCCTGAAGTGGACTCATCAATGTTGAGAATGGGAATAAATGGAGCCAGAAGTGATACGTCGTCTTCTTGGAAGGTGTCGGGACTAAAATACGACTTCGTTTTTGGGTCCCAACACGAAAATTGGCATTGTGTTCAAATAACTTTAAAAGTGGAATTGGGATAGAAAAGGAAGCCTAAGGGCTTGATAGACAACACTAATTACTGTAAAATTAATATTTTCCTAAAATACGACTTCGTTTTTGGGTCCCATCACGAAAATTGGCATTGTGTTCAAATGAGTTTAAAAGTGGAAATGGGATAGAAAATGAAGCCTAAGGGCTTGATAGACAACACTAATTACTGTAAAATCAGTACTTTCCTAAAATACGACCCAAATTTTAGGTCTCAACACGAAATTTGGCATTGTGTTTAAATCCGTTTAATAGTGGAAGTAAGGCAAAAGATAAAGCCTACGGGGCTAGATAGACAAGACTAATGAACTTAAAAGTAATTTTTTCCTAAAATACGACTTCAATTTTGAATCCCACCACGAAATTTTGGCATTGTGTTCAAGTAGCTTATAAAAACTAAAATAAGGTAAAACCTTACTAGCTGAAGCTGGAAAAGCAATTTCGGACCCACTTTGACTAATTTCCTTCTAAAATACGACTTCATTTTTGGGTCCCACCACGAAATTTGGCATTCTGTTCTTTCCTCTTTAAAAGTCATCAAACTCTTTGACTTACTCAATAAAGCATCCAAAGTCCACCACAGCGCTGACTTTTTGGTACAGCTCGTCAAAGGAGCCGCTAAAATTCTCGCTGACGTATTTTAGGAGCTCCATAAAGGCTTGACGCACTTTTTCTTGACCAAACTTGTCGACGACTTGCGCAATTCTAAATGATATTCGATTCTCTTGGAAGGGTTGAGGCTTGTAGATCCTTTCCATACATAAATGGGTTATTAAAGTGTTCCATATTCGCTTATTTGTTACATCATCCTTGAGAATTTGCTAAAAAAATGGAAACTAGCAAAAATTAATAAAAATTATTTTGAAAATAGTATTAAAATTTGGTTTAACACTCAATTTTGCAATTTAAAGTGAATTATTTTAAATTTACCACCAAAACCAACCAAGAGGAAGACTTGACCCAAAGTTACCCTAACTTGGGTCAAGTCTTTCCCTCATCGCTTTTTAGCCGAATTTTTCGTCGAAATCACCAAAACTCACATAAATATCGTCAACAGAGTCGTTTTCTTCGAACAACCGTCCAAGAGTTGTCTTTAATTCGGAATCCGAGAGATCAGTTATATTCACCATGAGGAAGAGACCTAAAACAACCAAAAAATCGCAAAAAAATCAGCGAAAAAATGGTGAACTAGCTTCTAAATCTTGAAATACACCTTGATCTTCAATTTCACACCAAAATTCCAACAATTTCCAACAAAAATTTTCGAAAAATCTCAGTTTTTGTCAAAAAATCGGGTTTTTTGCTAAAAAATCCTCAAAATCTTTGCAATTTTCGATAGTATTTCGATGAAACATACTTTAGACGACACAAGAATTAAATTTCACATATATTAGAACGTTTATTCTTTTATATTGCGTCAATTTTTCAAGCTTTCTATCAAAAAATACGTGAAATCAAGTGAAAAACAAGAGAATCAAGTTTAAAACGGATATTTCTCCTAACCACCATGCATTTTCCAGACAGTAGAACTCATGAGCTTTCTTTTGATACCAAAATCTCCCATTCTACATCAATTTTACCCACCGAAAATTCGAGTTTTTCATGGGTGACATCAAAAATCTCAATTTTTCCGCGAAAAATCGTTTTTTCTTCGCAAAATCGCCAAAATATCCGTTTCAAAAGTAATCACACAGTAAGAGGGCACTATAACAATTAAAAATACATTGGTTTCCCTCCATTACTTCTTCATTTTCTTCAGTTTTTCCTTGAATTTCTCAATTTCCGCCAGTTTTTTTCGGTTTTTTTCCAATTCTTCGGCCGATTTCGGGTCCACCCGCTTGATTTGTGGTTTTTCTTCGGTGAGATCAATGACGTCATGATTTTTGCGTTTTCTCGTCGGTTTTTGAGCCAATCGCTCGAGGGCATGAGTCGCTTCTTCGAGGTTTGGATCGTGTTGGAGCGCTTTTTCGTACGATTCCTTGGCCAAACTGTTGTCCAATTTCTCTTCCGCTCTACAAACAAAATTTCACACCTTATTTTAGCCATTTTTGGACAAAAATTTAAAAATTTCAAAAAAATTTTTTTTTCGAAATGAAACTCACTCTTCTCCCTTCTCCAACAGAACTTTAGCCAAGATTTTTTTTGCTCTTTCGTGATTTGGTTTCGTTTCCAAGACCTTTTCCAGGTCGATTATGGCACTCACAATATTATCCATGTTATGGGCTCTGAAAAATCAAGAAATCTCTTTTAAAAATCAAAAACAATATTTAAAAATTCTTAACACAGCATCAGCAACCCACACTTCACCTTCAATTTATCTTTTCAAGAGAAAAATTTTTTAAATTTACCTTATTTTAGGTATCAACTCTCAAAAAATCGCATTTTTTGACAACAAAAATAGTTTCAACATAATCTATCATGTACTCCAGGCTTTTAATCAACGTCTAGTTTCCTTATACGTCTTTTATTTTCCATTCACACCCAAAAACTCCAAAATTTACTCTATTTTAGGTAACAAATCCCAAAAAACAGCAATTTTCAGAATCAAAAAAACACCAGAGCCCTCTAAAAAGTCCTGTCAACACCTAAACCCACATCTATTTCCCCTATTCACCTTGTATTTTACATCTAAATCATAAAAATTTCAAAATTTACCTTATTTTAGGTAACAAATCCAAAAAAATTCAAAAAAATCATTTCAAATCCCAAAATTACCCGCCAAATCGCCCCTCAATTTCCCACTTACGCTATTGCTCTTCCCAGTAGAGCATCGGTGTTGTCTGGTTGATGCCTTAGGGCATTGTTACAGGCCTGAATTGCCTCAAAATTGAGTCCCTCTTTAATGAAGGCGCCAGCTTTGGTGATCTGACCTACGGCCAACTCCGACAACTGTCGTTCCTTCAGGCTCTCTACGGATTCATTTTCCGGCCGTAGACGTTTTCCTTCGAACACTTTCAAGGCCGTGGAATCCAGTCTTCGCGGGAAGCCCAAGGCATAATTTGCGGATGGATTTGCGATCATTGCGCGAACTTCTGGGTATTCATCGAAGCGCTGAGGTTTCTCCGACTTCTCTTCGCCTTCTTTTTGCGGAGCTGTGGCCTTTCTAAAGCAAAAATGTTATTTTTTGCGCCAAAAACAGCATTTTTAGCCTAAAACAAGGTCTTACCTGTAAAAAGATGGCAATTCGGCGGTTTTAAGGGGTGCCTCAATTGGGAAAATGATTAGTAAACATCAGTAACAGAGTACAACAACATTTTTTACAAAAAATTTCGAAAAAATAAAAATTTTAGGTCTCGCCACGAAAACCTGAGAAAGCTCAGAAATGGTCAAAAATGGGCTAGTTGATCTCTAAAAGACTTCCTGGCCTTATAAAACAACCAAAATTTGCTATTCTCAACGACTTTAAAAATTTTGGGTACCGCCACGAAAACCTGATAAAGCTCAGAAATGGTCAAAAATAGACTATTTGATCTCTAAAAGGCTTCCTGGCCTTATAAAACAACTAAAATTTGGCATTTTCAACGATTTTTCGAAATTTTCGGTCCCACCACGAAAACCTGAGAAGTCATTTTCTGCTCACAAAACCCCTCTCAGATCTTTTATTAGCCCCTAAACCTCTCCTAAAACCATCTTGACTCCCAAAAACACAAAATCCGGTTCAAAATCCGTACTATAAAAACTACCGTAACCCAAAAAAATTAAAAAAAAGTTCTCAAAAATCCACTTACCCTCTCCGGCGGAACGGACAGTTTGATTTTTTGGGGTGCATCCGGCTGATCGACAAAGGTTTGGTCGACGATCACTGTGAAAAAAAGTTTTGTTGATACTGTAAATTTATGTTACACTACCTTCAATTAGGTCATTCGTGTGGTACGCGTATTCCGTGCGGTCGTGCATGATTTTAAACTGAAATTTCAAGGTCAGCAAGGTAATGCCCAAAAATAATCTCGGGGCGACATTTTATACGATGGTTTGGGGTCTTCGTATAAAATGTCTCCCGCAGTCTGCGCCCAAGGAAAAATGTTTTGAAAATTTGCTAAATTGAAAATTAAACATCATACGTGTCAATATTGATTTTTTAGAGATCAAATTTAACTATAGCTCTCGATTTTTTTAACGTTTTTAATCTCCGCAGCCTGCGCCCTGACAAAATTCAAAATCTCCGTATTTTAGCCGCAAAAAAAGGTAAAATGAGCCCATACAACGCCTAAGAACACTTACTCTTCCTAATCCAGCCTCACTGAGGATTCTTCTGATCCGGTTCATTGTGCAAAGCAGCTCCACATCCAACATGATGGCATTGGCTGTGCGTACCCTGGCCAACAGTCGATCTCCTGGCCGGATATCTTCATAAAATCTGTTTTGCATCTCCTGACAGTCTAGATGTCCTTGGGCGAGTTGCTCAAACAATGGGATGTTATTCTTATCAAACTCTACTAACGGCGGTTGAGAAGATGCCTGAGGCAGTGCGTCGAAGACTTCTTGAAGTGCAAAGGGCACTTCAAATGGTCGGTCTTTATCTGGTTCACTAAAAAGAACAACAAAAATTACTTCAGACCACGTCATTTTGAATTTCCGGACTGAAAGAAAGACTTGACCCAAAACTGGGTCATCTGTTCCTCTCAGTCAAAAACTTGAAAAACAGCTATCGCAGGGCTAAATTCAAATATTTCTCGAGGTAAAAAGACATATGAGACCACTTACGACTTAGAACTCGACTTTCTGGAGCGATATTTCTCGTCTTTATGCGAGTTTCGACCATTATGCCTTGAACTGAAGCTTTCGTAGAGGATTTCCGGTGAATCCCCGGCCATATCTGCAAATCTTCAATTATTCTACTATAATCCGCCTTTTAGCACCACAAATGGTCAAAATAAAAACAAAAAATAACGAAAAATTCACCAAGTATAATATAAAAATATTTTCAAAAATTGCTTCAAAAGCAATTTTCAATATTTCCAGAGTGCAAAAACTCCATTTCCAACACTCTCCAACCACCAAGACATCAAAAATTTATTCAAAAAAACAATTATATCTAAATCAATATCAGATCAAAAAAAAAATAAAAAAAATGTAAAATCACATCAGATATGAGTGAAATCAAAGAATCCTGAGGGCAAAACGCTTGACTAAGTGCACTTTCATCAATGGAATGGCAAATCGGGGCCGGGAAAAACTCAAATTATATTACACTTGAGCTGAACTCTCAAAAAATCCCAAAAAATCATATCAAAATGGCCAAAAACTAAACAAATTCTATTTGGAATAGACAAAAGAGACCTTACTCTATCTAAAAATACTAATTTCGACACAAAATAAAGCTAAAATCATCAAAAATTTTCGAAAAAACCTAGAAAAAATCAGTTTATGGAGATTTGGGAATCACGACCTTGGCTTCCGTAATTTCGGCCTTAATGGTGTTTCCAAATATGCAGTAAGAGTTGTAGATCAGTCTTGCACCGAGGGCTTCCTTTTCTCTTTGGGTGAAACGATCAGTCGGGGGCTTGAAATCACCTCCTCGGATATTGCTTAGATTCGATTTTCCTGAAAAACTCTTATTAAAACCTGCAGTAAAAAGCAACATACTGACGTAAAATAGTCTTATCTTTCTTTTGAGATGCATATCACATCACAAACCCCCCAAAAACCAATACTTTTTGGCAATTTTTTATATTACACTAGGTACATATACCCTAAAAATTTCATTTTTCTTGCCAAAAAAACACTCCATGGACAAAATGAGGCTGTCAAATAACCTAATCAACCCTTTTTCCTCCTTAAAACCCCCAAAATCCTCACGTTTTCACCACTTTTTACATTACACTACCCATAAAATCCAAAATCTCACCAACTGAAGCAATAATTGCCCCCTCATATATCAGAGCATGATCTGAATTGACGTTACTGAACGGATGAAGTACTATGACGCCTCTTCCGGCGTTCCAGATATCAATAATCCGCTGGCATTTCCTGTTTTCTTTGCCTTTAGGGTCATTTTTAAATTTAATCGCTTCATACAGATGGAAATGCGACCTCGAATTGATTCCTTTGCCAATATAAAATACAGAGTCCACAAATTCCGAAAATGTGGGGCTTTCGTTGAGGGCTCTTGGGTCCAGGAGGAGGTAGACGAAGTAAGTTGAGCCCGAAATTTGGGCTTTCTCGAAGAAATCGTTGACAATCGCCAACTCTTTGAGGCCAATGTCCATCGTCGCTGGGTCATTTAGATTCAGCAATCGTTCTAGTTGACGACTGTACTCTAAAACGGGGGGAAATTATGATTTCAGACTGAAATTTATATTATTTTAGACATCAAGGTCAATTTTGAAATAAAACCCGAAATTTCTTAAAATTACAACATCGTATCTCGATGAAATTTCGCATCCATACAGGACATACTATTCTACAAACGACTGTACTCTAAAACGGGGGGAAATCGTGGTTTCAGACTGAAATTTATATTATTTTAGACATCAAGGTCAATTTTGAAATAAAAACCAAAATTTCTCAAAATGGCAACATCGTATCTGGATGAAATTTAGCATATATACAGAGCACATTATATTACGAAAATTTGGAAAATTTCAGACCGCGTTATGCAGAAATAACAAAGTTATGAGACAAAAAAGGTTAAAACTCAACTTTTTCGACGTAAAACTTCCATATCTCAATTATTTCTGCAAAACGCGGTCTGAAATTTTTACACACTCACTATTACTCTCTACTCCTCATACAATCAAAATTTTATAGCAATTCAACGACCAACTTTCGAGAAATTCCCTTTTTTCCCCTCAACTCCACCCTATTTTAAAAAAAATTTCACTTACTCCCTTCCGAGACCGTCACATCTCCAAATTTGTCTTCCAAACAACTCAAATCTTCTTGTTCTTGCTTCAACAACACTTTGGCCAACTTCTTTTCGTATAGATATCGGTTGCGGGTATCCAATGGGCCCACCAAAACACCTTCTTTTAGCATTCTTGCCCTCAATTCATGAAGTGGCAAAGCTTTGAGTTCTTCAACCTTGGCATTAAAGAGTTCTTCTGTGTTGTCAGTCTGATTTGGAAGATTTCTTGACCTTATTTTAGGCAAAATTTTTGCGTAAACCGGCTCCAAATTTTCTTCATTATCCGCTTCCTTTTCAAAATCATTCTTCTCGTTCTTCTGACTTCTTTTCGTGACATTTTTATCCAACAGACTTGCATTTCTCGGGGCTGGAATTGGGGTTTGATCTCCTTCCCCATTATTCACTCTGCGGTTGGCGATAGGGGTAGCGTCGGGGGAGAAAGGTGGTGCAGTTGGGACAATTCGAGTGTGGTTCGCTTCTTCCATCTATAATCCACAACTTTATTCATCATCCAGGGCATTTTCCGACCAAGAGGAAGACTTGACCCAAAAAGGTCATTTTGAGTCAAGTGTTTCTCTCGGCTAAAAGTGACAGTAAAACAATATAAAAACTTACGGTAATGTTCGGAGAGGCTTCGAAATCCAAAAATACAGGATTCTGATTCAAAACCACCGAATTTCTGGTGCTCTGCGGAGCCGAAACAAAAGATCTTTCACTGGCCATGGATAAGGTCCTGCCCCTTCCTTCGGTGGCCGTAAAGAACGTACGATCGCTTTGATTGGACGTTCGCTCATTGCGTTTCGTAACGGCCGTGAAGACTTGATCCGTTATCGGCTCTTGTCCATCTAGGCGTGAAAAAAACGAAGGAGGCGCTGATGGCGGACGGGCCAATTGTTTGGCCGGCTTGGTCTTATGGGGTTGGAAGACATGCCTGAAATTTTTTTATCAAATTCTTCAGATCCTAATCTTCGTATTGAGAAGGATTTCCACATCAAATTCAGAAAAATCCGAAAATACCGGCGATATAAAGTTAGTAGATGTTTTAGTGAAAGTCTCGAAAATCGACCGGTCATTCCTCCCAAAATTGACTTAGAGCAATCAGGAATTCCCTAAACTTCAATAACAAACAAAAAAGATCAACTTACCTTATGAATTTTAGGAGTTTTCGCTGTTTTTTTCTGTGTCCACGTTTATTTGAAAGCTTTTGCAAAAACTCTTTGGATTTTCCGGTGGCCAAGTCGACTGGGCACTGATCATCACTGCTGAAGGACAAAGGGTTTGCTCCATAATGTATGAGGAGTTGACACATGGCCAGGTTGTCCCAATGAGCAGCAATATGAAGGGGGGTTAGGAGATCTTGACTTTCTTTAAGATTAACATCGAATTTCCCAACGTCTAACAAATATTTTACTGTCTCCAACGCCTTTGGGGACTTGTCGTAGGCAAGGAAATGAAGAGTGAGACTCGGATCTTCGAGAAATCCAGTGAGATCAGGCGAGGTCATGATGATCTAAAATAATATAATAACAATCCTCGAAACAGAACGAAAGCTTCATAAAATACTCCAGAAACAATATACGTAAATTTCGCCCCCATCTAAACCCATAAAACGATAATAAACAATAAGAGAAATGGATCTCCTATATTATTCATAATGTTTATCGAAAGTGATTCAAATTAACACAAACAGTATCCGAAACTGCAAAGAATTTTGCAACAGCTCCGTTATCAACCTCTCCCACCGTCAGCAAACAACTGACTTGTACGAACGCCCAAAATTTTGAATTTTATCTTGTACATGACCCACACATTAAATTTGAACCAAAAATAACTTCTGCTTCCAAAAGAATATGCGATATAAAACCATCTAGCTAGTACAAAGGCTGTAGAAGATGATACTACAGTAAAAATTGATGGAACATTACTTTAGACACCTTACTCTTCCTAAAAACCAAAAGCAAAAGAAAGAAAAGATAACTCACCAAAAAAGTACCCGTATCCTCCTCCGAACTGGATGACTCAGCAGTTAAACACTTCTAATTACATCGGTGATTGATAGCAATCATAAACTTGTCATAAAAACAAGCAAAAGCCAGGATTGGACAACTCTTCCGCTACCGGACTTTGTTTGCGTCAAGTGTTTCCCTTTGCAACGAAATGCCAAGAAAAGTCAATAATTTTGTGAAATATCGTCCACACACGGTGAGAGGAAAATTATTTTCGCAAAATTGATGATATTGGGTGGAACACCAACTTTTGGTCGGTTCTTTTGAGTTTTGCATCGAAATTTTACATCTGTTTGGATCTCGTGAAATGTAAATTTTAAAAAATTAAAATTTGGGTGATTAATACAATGTACCGTCGTTTTAGTTTGTTATCCAGTCTAATATTTGCTGAACCTCGGGTAAAACATGGACAAGAATGCTTCAGCCGCTCCGGAAAAGGCCAAAGAGCCAGAGAAAATGGATGTTGAACAAGAGGTAAGAAATTCTTTCCTTGCTGTTGGTCTTTAGATCTTTGGAGAATTTTGCAATGTCTAAGGGGTCGAATGGACCTAAAATTGCTATGGATTGCTACTACGTTCTTCTTTTACTCTTTTTGATCAATCTATGGCAACTTTTTGATATGAACGTCATGTGTAATATAATTTATTGCAGGAGGCCCTTGATGAGGACGTTCTTCGAATGAGTGCTGATGATCTCAAGTCCAGAATCCAGCTTCTGGACAGTGATGTGCGAATTATGCGTAGTGAGGTTCAACGGATCAACCACGGATGTCAGACCTTGAAGGAGAAGATCAAGGAGAATACCGAGAGAATTAAGGTGAGTTCTTGACATGTTTTGTTGGTTTTTAGGCTGAAAAGACTTGTTCTTGCTCTGTCGTAAAAATGAGAAGCGTCTGAACGCTATCAACTTAGCTATGAGCAGTTTTCTTCTCCATCATGGATAATATTTGCAGGTGAACAAAACTCTGCCTTATTTGGTGTCCAATGTGATCGAACTTTTGGAACTCGAAGACACCCAGGAGGACGAAGGTGCCAACGTGGATTTGGACGCCCGAAAGACCCAATGCGCTGTGATTAAGACCTCCACCAGAGCAACTTATTTCCTTCCAGTTGTCGGTCTTGTGGACCCCAAAGAATTGAAGCCCGGAGACTTGGTTGGTGTCAACAAAGACTCATACCTTGTCTTGGAGAAACTCCCAGCCGAATATGACAGCAGAGTGAAGGCTATGGAAGTGGACGAGCGTCCAACAGAACAGTACAGCGATATCGGAGGTTGTGATAAGCAGATCACCGAGTTAATTGAAGCTGTGGTCCTTCCAATGACCCACAAAGAGCGCTTCATCAATTTGGGAATTCATCCACCAAAGGGTGTGTTGATGTATGGCCCACCCGGAACCGGAAAGACCATGTTGGCCAGAGCTGTAGCTGCTCAAACTAAGAGTACCTTCTTGAAGTTGGCGGGTGAGTAATTTTTGATTTTTTTTTTGTTGGTTTTTAGGTTCGAAGGGATTGAAGAGGAAGGCAATGGCAAGGTAGATGTTTCTAGAGAATATTAGAAGGGGAAATTATGTTTTTGATTCGAAAATTTCAAGTGCATTATATTACTTTAGGTGGTGAAGGTAAAAAAAACTTGATTTTTCGGTGGTTTCGGGCTTGAGATGGCTGTAAATTGTAGAATATATATTGTGAAGACATTTCTGAGCTTTTGAAAAAGAAAGTTTGATGTTTTTAGGTCAAAAAATGAGTTATATTACTTTAGATTCAGGTCTGAAAAAAAATCAATTCTTGTTATTTCTTGGGCTTAAATTTAGCTTAGGCGGGGTGTAATGGTCTCTACTGGAATTTAGAATGCTAATAAAACCAAAGCGAAGTTATTTTTCAACATGTTTTTTGATCAAAATACCAAGTGTATTGTTTTAGGTCCCCAACTCGTCCAAATGTTCATTGGAGACGGTGCGAAGCTTGTCCGTGATGCGTTCGCCCTAGCCAAAGAGAAAGCACCCGCCATCATCTTCATTGACGAGTTGGATGCCATTGGAACGAAGCGGTTTGACTCGGAAAAGGCTGGTGACAGAGAAGTACAAAGAACCATGTTGGAACTCCTCAATCAACTAGATGGATTCCAACCCAACGATGATATTAAAGTTATTGCCGCCACCAACAGAATCGACGTCTTGGATCCGGCCCTCCTGCGATCGGGACGTCTGGACAGAAAGATCGAACTTCCTCATCCAACAGAAGAGGCCAGAGCCAGAATTATGCAGATCCATTCGAGAAAAATGAATGTCCAGTGAGTTTCTTGGGGTATTTGGGGCGCATGTTAAAAGTTTGAAAGGAGATGGATGAGCTTTGAAGAAAAAATTATATTACACATGAGGGTTTAGAGAATTTTGTGGAAAAAGTCGATGTTTTTGGGAGTTTCGAAAGGAGTAATGGGTATTAGAATGGTTTAGAGAAGTAATGGAAGAACTTAAGCCCAATTATGATCTAAAATACGAAAAAAATATATTACACGTGGCAAAAATTTTTTTGATTGGCCGAATTCTTGATCTTTTTGGAACTTTTAAAGCTTAGTGAGATGTTCCATGGATGAAAAAAACAAATTGAAGCGGTTCTGAGCAAAAAAAATATATTACACATGGTGGATTAGATCAAAAAAAGTAATTTGCGTTAAAAACTTATGTTATATAATTGAATTTCCCGCGTAATAATTGCAAATCAAGCGCAACGGCATGCAATTTTATGCTTTTGTCTCCGAAAACGACGCATTCTTTGATCCCGCGAGCTCGGTCTGCGCCCTTTTTTCCATTTCGAAGTGGTTCTTTAGTCGAAGAAAAGGGTAAGAAAAACGTATTTCCAAAATATTTATCGTTGTTTTTGAGTAGTAAACAATATCTTTGGGTTGTTGGTGGCAAAAGTGTGTATTTTTGAGCTTTTTGAAATTGATTTGAAAGCCCTGAGGGCTTACGGGGGAATTTTTAGGGGTAAAAGGAATTGTGGGAGAGATTTAGAGACGCAGACTTGATCCAGAGGCAAAAAACGTTCCATTTTGCATCCGGGAAATATCAAAAACGCAACAAAATACCTCACTCTCCAAGTGAAAAGACTCCTTTTTTGAGTGAAAGGACGCGCCCTCCGAAAGGAGTCTTTTCTGTGTGAGGTATTTTGCTGCATTTTTGATACTTCCCGGATGCAAAATCGCACGTTTTTTGCCACTGGATCAAGTCCGGCCCTCTAAATCTCTCCCACAATTCTTTTTACCCCTAAAAATTCCCCCGTAAGCGCTCAGGGCTTTCAAATCAATTCCAAAAAGCTCAAAAATGCACACTTTTACCACTAACAGCCCAAAGATATTGTTTACAACTCAAAAACAACGATAAATATTTTGGAATACGCTTTTCTTACCCTTTCTTCGACTAAAGAACCACTTCGATATGGAAAGAGGGGCACAGACCAAGCTCGAAATAGCTACTTTAGAGGGATTTTGGACGATTTTTTGCGGGAATTTTTAAAATTATGTTGTTTTAGGCCGTTTTTTTTTGACGATTTTTGAGAAAATTTTGAAATTTTTTGTGGTTTTTGAGCTTGTTTTCGCTAATACGAATCGATTTCAGCAAGGATGTGAACTTTGACGAGCTCTCCCGCTGCACCGAAGACTTCAACGGCGCCCAGTGCAAGGCGGTGTGCGTCGAGGCCGGAATGATTGCCCTGCGGCGCGACGCCACCGAAATCATGCATGAAGACTTTATGGACGCGATCCTGGAGGTCCAGGCCAAGAAGAAGACCTCCCTCAACTATTACGCCTAACTCTGTACCCCTTGACCCTAAATTATAAATAAATTTGAACTACTCAGATATTGTACTAGACCAGCCTAGTAAAATTGCTATATTATATTGAAAACACGGAAAGATTGGGGAAGTTTTGATCTAGAAGTATGTTGTGGGCTATGTAGGAGATTTGAGAGTAAGTTTGGAGTAATTTTGAAGATGTTGAGATATTGTACTAGGCAGTTTTAGCTGTTTTTCGGGCTGAAAATAACGATTTTTGGGGGTTTAAAGGGCTTTAGATACTATTTTATTGTGTTTTCATCAATTCTATGGGATTTCCAATGATTTCGAATTGATTTTTTGCCAGAATAAACCAGCTCGACCCTAGTGTAATATAAATTTTTTTGAGAAATTGTAAATTTCATACTAATATTTGACTCAAATTGAAGGAAATGGGCTAAAATTGCATTTTCAGTTAGTTTTGAACCCTGTCACGACAAATCGACCGGTCGAATGCGTGCGAAACATCAGCAGATAAAGGCCCGATAAAATGACCTCCTCCGATTATGAATACCCTTTGGAAGTTGAAAGAGTAGGTTTGAAAATGAGCTAAATTTAATTCTACGTCTTTTGAGGGTAAAGTTGAGGGCTTTTGGAGGGGATAAAATAGGATTTTATCCATTTTCCGACGATTTTTTGATAATATAATTTTTTTTTGTTTTTGCGAATATTTTTTTAAATTCAAAGGTTCAAGTGGGTCAAAGAGGCCTAGAATTTAATTTTCCATCTTTCAGAAGCAGTTGCATGTAATCGAATGGAACCATTTGAACCTGTACAAGTTCTACCCGATGGCCCTGGCCACTTCCTGGTCGGTCCGTTGCATGCTCTACCCGATGTCGGTGGTCAAGTCCCGACTACAGCTGCAGAAGAAGAACAATGTCTACAGAGGCATGACTCATGCATTTCGAACCATCTTGAAGAATGAAGGGATCACCGCACTTTATCGGGTGAGTACTGGTGGGATAAGGTAATGAAACGTGGAAACATGAAGAATTTTGAGATTAAAGGGAAGAAAAAGGGTCGGAAAGGGCTAACGGAAGAGCAGCTGGGCAATATTTTGAAGTTATAAAGAGTTTTGGCCAAGTTCTGACGGAGGGGAACACTTGACTCGGGGTCGAGTTTTTCTCTTGGTACCTTTTGATCAGGGGTGGCAAACGGGCCTCTTTTTCCAAATTTCAGGCCCGGGGCCCGGCCCGGCAAAATCCCAGGCCCGGCCCGGTTCAAAATTTTGCAGGCCCGGCCCGGCCCGGTAGAAATCAGGCCCGGCCCGGCCCGGTAAAAGCCCGGTTAGGGCGCGAGCTGGAAATTTTCCTTTGATCTTACCGCCTCTGTAGTGTGCTAAAATCTGCTAAGAACTATCCTATATGTATTATATGTTCTAATTTGGACCTTATATTATAACATATATGCAAAAAAGTACTATAAAGTAGTAAACTATTGTAGAACTTGATATACTAAAAATACAAACCTATCCAAAAATTTTTCCGGCGCGAAAACATTGAATGCCAAACGCTTGGCATTTCGACAAAACCGGGCCGGGCCGGGCCTGAAAATGGCTCAGGCCCGCGGCCCGGCCCGGTAAAAAGCAGGCCCGGCCCGGCCCGTTTCAAAATTTGTCAGGCCCGGCCCGTTTAGGCCCGGGCTTCGCCGGGCCGGGCCGGCCCGGCCCGGTGGCCACCCCTGCTTTTGATGATTCCAAAGATATGAAGGCTTAGTAAAGAGTAGTAACTGGTTGAAATCAACCTTTTTTTTGGCTTTCTGCTTTTCTGGGAAGCTTTATCGTCTAATTTGGGCGGAGAACAACACTTGACCCCGAGTCAGTTCTTTCTCTTGCTACTTTTTTGTAATTTCAGGGGTATGAGGGCTTAGTACACTATTATAAGCAGTAAGATTTGCTTGATATCAACCTTTTTGTTGACATTATGGTTTTCTGGGAAGCTTCCCTGTCTAACTTAGGCAGAGAGGAACAGTTGACTCCGAGTCAAGTTTTTCTCTGGGTACCTTTTGATGGATTCGAGGGTATGAGGGCTTAGTATACGAATGTAAAGAGTAAAATTTGGTTGAGATTAAACTTTTTTTGGCTTTCTGCGTTTCTGGGAAGCTTTCCCGTCTAATTTAGGCAGAGGGGAACACTTGACTCGGAGTCAAGTTTTTCACTACTGAGTTACGGCCAAATTTGAAAGTAAAGAGACAAAGTACGGACTGTAAGCAGTTAAAAACTCCTGTTTTGTCCATAGTTTTGAATTAGAAGCCGTTGAAATTTAGAAAAAAATCAATTTTTACTCATTCGGCACGCCACGAAAAAAGTGGAAATAGAGAAATTCGCGGGAAAATGTTTTCGACATTTCATACGCTGAAACCGTTACAAATAAATAATAAAAATCTTTCCAAAATTCTAATAAACAACAATTTACGTGTGAAACCGGCGAGAAAGCATCGAAAGGATTCTAGGAGGTGCACCCCGAACTTCTCAGATTGATCGAAGAAGAGAAAAGAAATTATATTGTACTAGGCACCATTGGATCAAAATCGATGAATCTGACCGAATTCGAGCTCTTCCGGGGTTTACAAGACTAACAGGGCTTTGATCTTGCTACAACAGACCACTACTAAATTGAAATTCATCAAATCTTGTTTAATTCCACCTAAACATCAAACCAATAAGAATAATCAAAATTACATAAATTTTTGACAATCCATCGCATTTGTCGGATGCAATCTGAACTCGGAAATCAATCTCCACACCCTTTGGTACATTACGCAGGCTTTCACATTCTACTTCAACATGGACCGGCTGAAATATCAATTATATTATTTTAGGTATAACCAGAGAAAATTATTAGCTCAACGGCCTAGAAAAACAAAAAAATCAAAAAGACAACGTCACAAACTTACCTTGAAATGTTCTGAACGTCGTCTGCTTCCTCTGATCCAGCTTTGCTCACGCCTTCTCTTCGCGTTTCTCCATCAGTTCCTGCAAAATGATGCAATAATCGATTGACAAGTGCCCTTTTGCTATTGTCAAATTTCCAGATTTCTTCTTCATAACGTCCGCTAGGATGTCTCACACAACACCACATGGCGATTAATCCCTAAAACTCAGGACAAAAGAGAAATCTTACATTTTCTGAAGAGACCTCCATGGATGGTAAATCAATGTTTGGGTCATAGCGCGACGGGCCGGGCTCCATGGACTCATCCATTACGTTCAATACGATCTTCCTCCTGCTCTCCGCTAATTTTATCTTCATTTGCTTCTTCTGGTCCAGCTTTTCTCGCGCTTTCTCCAGTCCGTTCTTGCGTGTCTCCATCTGATCCTGCAAAATGATGCAATAATCGATTGACAAGTGCCCTTTTTCTATTGTCAAATTTCCAGATTTCTTCTTCATAACGTCCGCTAGGATGTCTCACACAACACCACATGGCGATTAATCCCTAAAACTCAGGACAAAAGAGAAATCTTACATTTTCTGAAGAGACCTCCATGGATGGTAAATCAATGTTTGGGTCATAGCGCGACGGGCCGGGCTCCATGGACTCATCCATTACATTCAATACGATCTTCCTCCTGCTCTACGCTAATTTTATCTTCATTTGCTTCTTCTGGTCCAGCTTTTCTCGCGCTTTCTCCAGTCCGTTCTTGCGTGTCTCCATCTGATTCTGCAAAATGATGCAATAATCGATTGACAAGTGCCCTTTTTCTATTGTCAAATTTCCTGATTTCTTCGTTACAACGTCCGCTAGAATGTCTCACACAACACCACATGGCGATTCATCCCTAAAACTCAGGACCAAAGAGAAATCTTACATTTTCTGGACCCACATCAATAGGTGGAGAATCAGTTTTTGCGTCACAGCGCGATGGGTCGGGCTCCATGGACTCATCAGTTATATTCAAAACTTGAAACTGACAACAACGTAATTTTTGACATACTATTCATCCCTAAATTATTCCAAATCTCAAAGTTACAATACTATCTAGCAAAATATTCATTCGTTCAAAAAAATTAAAAACATTGGGCGCAGCTCGAAATCTCTATTTCCAATTTTGCCTTACGTTTTTCGTGGCGTGCATTCGGGGTCAAGTCTTGTTGAGTCCCGAGACGAAACCTACGACTACGTTATTGGCATTCCGTTTCATTCGAAGCTTCTCGAAGCCTAGAAGAAAAGGGAGCTCAGTTGTTACATATTATTCAGTGAATGTTTGGTGTTACGCTACGTTTTGTTATTATTATTCTGTAATAAACCTCTCTATATTTGTTACCCTACATCTGGCTGACTACATACCTTCACAACTACACGTGAAGATACAACAAGTCTTCCCCTGTGAAGATTTGAAGAAATTTGAAGGGTTTAGAGCAAATTGAATGTTCCATGGGTGCTATAACACTAAAAACTGCTATTTTCAGGGATTCTGGGTGACCCTCCCGCAGCTCAGCGCCTCCTTTGTGTACTCGTCGGTGTACGAAAAACTGCGGAACGTCATCCGCGAACACACCCGCCTCGAGTCGCCGCAAGTGGTCTCCGCCTTGGCAGGCGGCACGGCCAGCGTCTGCACACAATTTGTGTTCGTCCCCACCGACATTGTCGCGCAGTACATGATGGTCCACCACAATCCGAAGCAATTCACCGGAGGGAATCGGGGAAACGCGTGGGTTCTGGACATTCTGCATCGCGACGGACTCGAAAAACGATACACATTGGGTAAGGGAGTGATTTCGGAGCGGTTTGGAGGGATTTTGAGGGAAAAAATGTTTTCGTCCCGGGACCCGGAGAGGGGTGGGATGTGGAAGAGTTTTGGGATTTTTTGAAGTAGAGAGTTGTAGAAAACGAGGGAAAAATAGTTATTATGATGTTTGAAGGCGTTAAAAATCATTTGAAATAATTTTGAAAAAGTTTCCTTGGGTTTCAATTTTTCGTGGCGAGACCCAAAGAAAATTGATTTTGTCGAAAATTTTGGGCGTTTTGGCCTCAGGCTAGGTTTAGAAATCAAGCCAAAATCTTTTTTGTAGTTTTCAGAGCCATTTTTTCACTTTTCTATCAGTTCCCCTGATTTTCAGGCATTTCGTGTCGGCACCCAAAAATTGATAATTTTGAAAATTTGAGGCATTTTATCCTCAGAATAGGCCTAGAAATAAAGCCAAAAGCATTTTTTTAGTTTTTCGGGGCCATTTTTTCACTTTTCTATCGTTTTCCCTGATTTTCAGGCATTTCGTGGCGGGACCCAAAATTGATACTAAATCTCGTATTTTAGGCCTCAGAGTGATGCGAGCGGTCTACAAAGCCGACGGATTACTCGGCTTTTACCGCGGATTCCTCTCCTCTCTGATGATGTACATCCCATCGTCGATGGTGTTCTGGATCGTATATTACGATTCGCTGATACGAATGAAGAAGGCATACACTCAAATCATGTCGAACGGCGAAACTGCCGACTTTGCTGACCTCCCCAAAGATCAACAGAACTTGTTGGCCCTCCAGGCGACCGCCGGCGCTTGTAGTGGACTTGCAACGGCCGTTGTAACGAACCCATTGGAAGTGCTGAGGATAAGAATTCAGGTGAGGAATGGGGCTGGAATGGGTTGATTGGGGAAGATTGGGGCATTATAGAGTGGAATTAGTTGGGTTGGAATGGAGGTTTGGCTGGAATATTGTTTTAGGATAAAAAAATTTTTGATGGTGGTATAATATAGAATAAGGTGAAAATTGGTGAAACTATGGAAATATGTTCGTGGAATAGGCTGAATTAGATAGAATAAAGTGTGAAAGGCTTGGAATTGGGGGGATTTGACATATCAGAGGTCAAGATATTGTGTAAAATGTATAATTTAACATTGATGTCTATGACCTAAAATAAGGTGGAAAATGACGGAAGTGATGATAGATTGTAGTTTGAATGGGCGTTTGGTATATTTTAGGACGTGGTTTGCCTGAATTTGTTGGAAATTTTTAGCTAGGGAGGTCAGAATATAGTTTTAGAATGATTTTTAATTTTGATGACAATACAGCTAAAATAAGGTAAAATTTCTTGAAAATTTATAAGTTTGTTAATGTAAAATACGCTGGCTTTTATTTTGGTTTAATTTCGTAACGTAATCGGAGAAATAATTGTTTGATTTTACCAAAATTTTGAGATTTTTATCAAAGTTTTGACCTAAAATAATATAAAATTTTCGTTCCAGGTCCACCGAACGAACTACTGGGACACGATCCGCCGCATGTACCGCTACGAAGGCGCAGCTGTCTTCACGAAAGGCCTCCCGCCACGCCTGATCAACAGCGGCATCTACTCCTGCCTGATCATGATCGGCTACGAGACCGTCAAAAGACATTGTGTACTCCCCGAGTACGAAAGCTCGATAGTATGGTAGCAAAAACTAATTTATCACACCGTCATTCCACTTACTTTCAACCAATTTTGTTTCAAATAAACACTAAAAATTTCAATTTTTGGAAATAAGGATTTTGCACTGTGCGAAAAAAATTTGCTCTTTGCACAGTGCAAAAAATGAAGACACTTTTCGCACGGTACATGTAAATTTGAGGAAATATCGCGAAATGGATTTGCACTGTGCGAAAAAAATGAGAATCTCGTTTGCACTGTGCGATATTTTTGAAGATTGCACGGTGCGGAAAAAATCGAAGCCTCATTTTGCACTGTGCACAAAGATTTTTGATTTGTCGCAGGTTTGAATTGCACTGTGCGATATTTTTGAACACTGCACGGTGCACCGCGGTGCAAAGCCTTTTTTTAAAAACGCACCGTGCGGAAAAATTCGATATTTTTGAAGATTGCACGGTGCGGAAAAAATCGAAGCCTCATTTTGCACTGTGCACAAAGATTTGGGATTTGTCGCAGGTTTGAATTGCACTGTGCGGCAATTTTTAAGACTGCACAGTGCGAAAAAAGACTTTTTGCTTTGCACGGTGCGGAAAAAATCGGAGTTTCATTTTGCACTGTGCACAAAGATTTTTGATTTGTCGCAGGTTTGAATTGCACTGTGCGGTATTTTTGAAGATTGCACGGTGCAAAACCTTGGTTTAAAAACGCACCGGGCGGAAAAAAATCAGTCGCATTTTGCACTGTGCACAGAGATTTGGGATTTGTCGCAGGTTTGAATTGCACTGTGCGGTATTTTTTGAAGACTGCACGGTGCGAAAAAAGACTTTTTGCTTTGCACGGTGCGGAAAAAATTGGAGTTTCATTTTGCACTGTGCGCGAAGATTTAGGGTTTGTCGCAAGTTCGAATTGCACTGTGCGGTATTTTTGAACACTGCACGGTGCAAAGCCTTTTTTAAAAACGCACCGTGCGGAAAAAATCGGAGTTTCATTTTGCACTGTGCACAAAGATTTAGGATTTGTCACAGTTTTGAATTGCACTGTGCGGTATTTTTGAACACTGCACGGTGCGAAAAAAGTTTTGCCTTGCACGATGCGGAAAAAAATCAGTCGCATTTCGCACTGTGCGCGAAGATTTGGGATTTGTCGCAGATTCGAATTGCACTGTGCGGTATTTTTGAAGACTGCACGGTGCGAAAAAAGTTTTGCCTTGCACGGTGCGGAAAAAAATCAGTCTCGTTTTTCACTGTGCACAAAAATTTGGGATTTGTCGCAGATTCGAATTGCACTGTGCGGTATTTTTGAAGATTGCACAGTGCAAAACCTTGGTTTAAAAACGCACCGTGCGAAAAAAAAATTCCGTGTAATCCCCAATGTTCGGACAAACAAACCTAGATCAAAAATTGGTTTTTAAAAAAAACAAAATGTTCTTGAAGTACGATCGATCATGAGCTACATAAGATTTCCATAATTTCCATAATTTCTCAAAAAATGTCCGGTTTTTTGGAAATATAAAATTGGGATTTTTGACGGAAATTCCACTTCATCCTCTTCGTGATGCTGACAAAAGTTGTGTTAGATCTTACGGTACTTGCGAATGCAGTGAGCTGTCAGTTCAACGAGACTTTTGCCAGTCAAAAGTCGATTTTCATCGCGATCGCGGCGGATTCGCCCTTTCTTCTGGACAAATGTGTGGAAAGGGCGTTCGATGACGGGAAAGTGAGGAGTATTTTTGAAGAATTAAGGGCTAATATTATCTGAAACAGCTAATTTTTCGTTCAGACGACACTACGAGCCACTGCCGAATGTGGCCCATCGCCAATCGAGGCAAAAGTTTGCTTCGGATTTGTGGGCTATTCGCCGAAACAAAAAGTCATCTATCTTGGCTACAGGTTGGTAATATGACTGCCATGAAAGTGACGTCACAAAAAATAATTTTAATTTTATGCACGGTGCAAAAAATCGAAGTTTATCTTTCGCACCGTGCGAAAAATTTCACTGTTTTTTCTGCACTGTGCAACTGAAGTGTTAAACTAAAATCATGTTGACTGTCCAGAAGGAGATGAAAACAGTCATTATCAATGACAAAAATAAGATTTTTACTTCATTAGAACCCTAAATTTTGAATTTGTTTCTATGCACTGTGCAAAATTTAAAATTTTTGATTCTTGCACTGTGCAGCAAATTAAAATTTTTTGTTGCTGTTATTATAAAAATTTGTGGCAATTTTGACACCTTGATTTTTCAAATCATAGATTTTTTACATTTAATTACTTTTAAAACCATCTCCAAATTTTGCACAGTGCAAAAATAATTTCCGCAATTTCCACTTTCCAGAGGCAGTGTCAGCGTAATTCAACTGACTTATGAAGCCTATCGCACCGTATTTGAAGAACAACACGACGCCAAAATTGGCGGCAAAATCAGCGCCTACTTTTCCACGGCCTTCAACAATTTGAGAAGTGCCGGAATTAACGCCGAGGTGGTGAGATTGGCCCAAAAATATCCAGATTATGAAGTTTGGGTCTCCGGACACTCTCTCGGGGCGGCATTGGGTTCAATGAACTTATTGTGGTCGATGGAATCGAGGCGTCAAAGGTAAAAGAATTTGCACTGTGCAAACCAAAGTAGCCTTCATTTTGTACAGTGCGACAAAAAAAGCGACAAAATTCGTAATGCACTGTGCACAAATCAACAAAAGCCAAAAATTTGCATAGTGCATGCAAAAAAACGGAAAGTTTTGTGCCGCACAGTGCAAAAGCAAAATAGCCTTTCACTTTGCACCGTGCGACGAAAAAGCGACAAAATTCGAAATTGCACTGTGCGAAAATCAACAAAAGTCAAATCTGCACAGTGCACAGCAAAATAGCCTTTCATTTTGCACAGTGCGACCGCAAGAGCGACAAAATTCGTAATGCACTGTGCGAACTTTTCGACAAGAGGCAAATCTGCACAGTGCAAGAGAATTGCTGCGCGTTTTGCACTGTGCGACCGCAAGAGCGACAAAATTGGTACTGCACTGTGCACAAATCAACAAAAAGCCAAAAATTGGCACAGTGCAAGCGAAAAAACGGAAAGTTTTGTGCCGCACAGTGCAAAACAAAGCAGCCTTTCATTTTGCACCGTGCGACCGAAAGAGCGACAAAATTGGTTCAGATTTTTGGCTCGCACAGTGCAATGGAAAGAAATTTGACAAGTTTTGAACGGCACTGTGCAAAACAATAGCAGTTGATTTTGCACTGTGCAAACCCCAACAAAAGTCGAATCTGCACAGTGCGACGTCCAGAAAAGTTCGTTTCAGATCAAACTCATCACTTTTGGAGAGCCCAGATATGGTGATTTGGAGTATGCGGAAGCCTTCAACAAGCTTGTCCCCTATTCTTATCGAGTCGAGAACAAACGCGATTTGGTCACTCAAATTCCCCCGTACAAATTCGAAAATTACACACATCAGAAGGTGGAAGTCTGGTACCCGGATGCAGTGAAGGTCGGGAATCGCTACAAGGAATGCCCCGCAACTGAAGACCCTCAATGTCAACTTTCGGTGAACCCATTTCTCGATGCAGAAGATCACTTTTTTTACTATTACGATATTGTCGCAGCTGCCGCAAGTGGATGCAAAATTTAAAAAACAAGATTTTTTTTGGGTAAAAATTTATAATCGAATAAATTTTAAAGCGACAGAAAGTCGAATTAAAAAATCTGCACAGTGCAAAAAAATTGAAATTGAAATGCACAGTGCGAACAAATGGGAGTTTCCTTTGCACTGTGCAGGCGGTTTTGAGGATTCATCGCAATTTCGGATCGCACTGTGCGCAAAAAAATTGAAATTGGAATGCACAGTGCGGTAAATTTTGGATGTTTTGCACAGTGCGGGCGATTTTGAGGATTTATCGCAATTTGGGATTGCACTGTGCAAAAAATAAAAATTGAAAAGATGCACAGTGCAATGAATTTTTGGCTTTTTTGCACTGTGCAGACGATTTTGGTGATTTGTCGCGATTTTGGATTGCACTGTGCAAAAAAAAAATAGAAATTGGAATGCACAGTGCGGTAAATTTTTAATGTTTTGCACAGTGCAGAATTTAATAAAACGCACTGTGCAACAGAAAAATTACTCGATTTTGGAATTTTATTTTTTATTTTATCACAATTTGAACATATAAATAGCATGAATTGAGCAAAAAATACAAGGCTTGTATAAAAAAATCAAAAACACAATAAAAAAAGTATTACTGGATTTTTGCGAATGAAAAACTAAGCTTTAAAGTGCGAAATACGCGGTAAAACACGAACAATCAACATGCAATGGTGAATAAAATACGGATTAGTCGGCGTTGGAGTCGCTGAGGTCGTTCGGTTGGGCGGAGGCGTTCAGCTGGGCCGCCTTCTCCATCAACTTCCCATCGGCGGCCACGCCCTCCACCGACTCCTTGATGGCCATCATTGTCGGCCGATCGTAGCGCAGGTCGCGCGCCACCAACGGCTTCATCGACTCGGCCATCAGGTTGGGTGTGGATCCATGGGCTCTGCAGGGAAATTTTTTGGGATTTTTGGGGGAATTTTTGGGAAATTTTTGAGATTTTTTGGGAATTTTTTTTTTGTTTGGAAAAAATGGATTTTAAAAAAAATTTTTTTGGGGAGAAAAAACGATTTTTTGAGGGAAAACATGAAATTTTTGACAATTTTTTTGATGAAAATTTGAGTTTTTTTTAGATTTTTTTTTAAAAAAAGTGGATTTAAAAAATTTTTTTGAGAGAAAAAACGATTTTTTGAGGGAAAACATGAAATTTTTGTGATTTTTTTTCAAAAAAAATTTTTTTTTGAAAAAATAAATTAAAAAAAATTTTTTTTTTGCGAGAGAAAATGACGTTTTAGGGGAAAGAATAAAATTTTTGACAAATTTTTCTCATGAAAATTTGAAATTTTGAAAAAAAAAAATTCCAAAAAAATTTTTTTCACTTACTTGAGGGTACCATTCGCAATTTTGGGTACCATTCCCTCTTCGGCACTCTTGGCCGGCTTCTCTGTGACTTGGGTTTCGGCACTACTCGGAATCGGCATCGATTTGCGGCGATCTTTTTTCTCCTCCCTTTCTTTGGCCGACATTCGGCCCGTTCGGAGGTTTATGTACTCGCGGAGGGCGGCTTGCGCGGCCTGAAATACGATAAATTAATATTTTTTTATTTTTTGAAATCGTATTTTAGAAAAAAAAAAAAAATTTTTAATTAAAAAAATTTTTTTTTTTTTTCAAAACTCACTTCCAGCATTTCAGGATCAGCGCAGGACACTTTTAACGAGCCATCGTTGCCAGTTTCAATGGTAACATCAGGCCCATCTTCTCCATCGTCCTCTTCTTCTTGCTCGGACGCCGGCTCGGCTGCTTGAATCGTACTTGTTTCCATCTGAAAATAACCAAAATCAAAAAAAAAATCAAATTTTCCAATTTTTTGTGCGATTTACAAAAAAATTTCTTTTTTGCATTGTGCAATCAAATTTTATTCATTCTGCACAGTGCAGTCCGCAAGTTTGTTTTATCGCACTGTGCAAAAAAATTTTTGTCGCCTTGCACAGTGCAAAGTTTCAATCAAAAATTTGTCGCACAGTGCAGTGGACACGTTTGTCAATCCGTCTGCACTGTGCAATCAAAAAAAATTTTTTTTAATTGCACAGTGCAGTTTTACGGCAAAAAGAAAGAAATCGCGCAGTGCAAGGAAATGTCGCTCCCGCACAGTGCAAATTTTTGGAGACTTGCCGCACAGTGCAAAAATATTTTGGATTCGCCGCACTGTGCATACTTTACGGAGCCGTCGCACCGTGCAAATTCAAGGCGATGTTTTGCACCGTGCAAATTCTTGTCTTATCCCCACCCCAGAGTGCAGAAATAATTTTATTTTGCCGCACTGTGCTAACAATAAGATAAACAGAAAATTTTGCACTGTGCAAATTTTACGGATAGTCGCAAATTCGAGGCGATATTTTGCACTGTGCAAAACAAAAAATTTTCCCTTCGCACAGTGCAATTTCTCGTCTCATCTCCCGCCGCATTTTTATGGTTTCGCCGCACTGTGCTAAGACAGAAGATTTCGCACTGTGCAAATTTTACGGAGCGGTTGCACTGTGCAAATTCAGAGCGATGTTTTGCGCAGTGCAAAATTTTTTTTTCCGCTGCACCGTGCAATTTCAAAGCGACATTTTGCACAGTGCCAAAGCAAATTTCTCCCGCCGCACAGTGCAAATCCAAAGCGACATTTTGCACAGTGCAAAAAAATTTTTCCGCCGCACCGTGCAAATCCAAAGCTACATTTTGCACAGTGCAAAAAAAATTTTTCCCGCCACACAGTGCAATTTCAAAGCGACATTTTGCACTGTGCAAATTTTACGGAGCCGTTGCACTGTGCAAATTCGGGGCGATGTTTTGCACGGTGCAAAAACATATTTTTTCCACCGCACAGTGCAGTTTCTCGTCTCATCTCCCGCCGCACAGTGCAAAAACCCTTTTCGTCCCAACTTTCAACCTACTCTATTGGGCGATACATTTCGTCTAATGGTCTCTTCGATGAGTCGTTTCGCATATTGGATGCTCTCGGGGCTGCCTCCGCTGATGGCCAGGATCCGATACTTGCTGTTGTGGTCCACTTTCTGGAAGCTGATGATCGTCTTGCTCAGCTCTTCCACCACCGCAACTCGGCGTCCTTTCACTCCCATTACTGTAATTTTTTGAGTGAAAAAAATTGAAATTAAATTTTTGAAGTCGTTGAGATGTTATTTGCCAAAATTTGCGCAAAAATTATTCAATTTGAAGAAATTCTGTCTTCCGCACAGTGCATCGTAAAAAATCGTTTTTAAAAATTTAAAAAATTTTCGGTCTCGGTTTTTTCATGCATCAAAACAAAGGTAATGAGGTAGCCTTTCTATCGAAAAAAAAATTTTTAGATTCCCCAGTGCGCGGTCCAAAAATTGGAAGTTCGAAAAAACCGCACAGTGCATCGTCAAAAATCCTTTCCAAAAATCTCAAAATTTGTCGTTTTCGGTTTTTGCATGTATCAAAACAAAGGGTATGAGATAGCCTTCGTACCACAAGAAAAATTTTTTATAATTGTCCTGCACGGTGCAAATCCGGAAGTCCGAAAGAACCGCACAGTGCAATGGAAAACGGCCTCTTTTTTTGCTAGTTGTCACCAATGTAAAAAGTTTTCGCATTGTCTATGGCTATCTACACCTCATTTGGAACAAAGCTTCGTAATTTTATCCAAGTGCGACATCCGCACTGTGCAATAATTTGAATTTTAAAAATTGCACTGTGCACTCGATATTTTGGTCTAAAATACGCGACTTAACCGAGTTTTTGTTCAAAAAATACTTCTACATTACCGCCAAACACTTACTCTTTCCAGAATCCGCATTTTTGATAGTAATCTCCTCCCTTAATTGGGCCGTTTTTGCGGGTTTTGGTTGAAATCCATCCAAATTGAAATGAGCGCCAACCGCCGCCGCCACCGGGTTTTGACGCAGCCAGTTCGGCGGACGCATAGGATGTTGAAATGGCGACATTATGCCAGGTCCCATCATTTGCGGACTCCATGGGGCATTTGCTGGGATCAAAAAATAGCCGGGGCCTGGGCCCATCGGTTGCTGCTCATACATTGGCTGAAACGAGGGGTTGTGATAGCTCGATTTGGATAAAATTTGGCATAAGTGAGGTTTGGGGGTTCGTGATGCTATAGCCAAAATCTAATGACGATACTTTTTGTATACCTGAGATATGGGACTTTCAATTTCAAAGAGGTTTGACCCAAAAATTGGCTAAAAAAATAGTTCATACTTTTGCATTTTGGATAAAATTTGAATTGTAGAACCTCCAAATCTTGGTAAAACATAAGCAAATTGCTATTCTTGACTATCCCAAACCGGAGACATTTTATACGATCAAACATATTTCATCGTATAAAATGTCGATACCTCAAAATATTGTAAAATTTCGAATTTCACCCTCTTCTAACATGTTCAGCCGACAGAATTGACTGTTCACTTTGTCCAAATTCAACCTACCTGTTGCGCAACAAACGACGGAACAAAAGGCGGTCCATAATTTGGCTGATATTCCCGCGCCGGCGGCGCCTTATGCGCCGGAACCGGTGGCGATCGATTCTCAACCACCTCTTTCTTCGGCTCGTTTCGGGTCTCCTCGGCCTTGTTTATGTAGTACTGACTGTGCGCCATATTCGGACGCCATCCCATAGCGCGCAATTCGATTAATTCCATCACTTTGAGCCGACAAGGCGTTCCCAATTGCCCGTTATCGCGACATGAGGCTTGTCGGAGCGACACAAAAACCTTATTCAGTTCGGCTGGAAAGCAATTTGCTGTGAAAAAAGATAATAAAAATTTTGCTTTGCACTGTGCAGATTTTCGAAAATTGCCCAAAAATGAACAAGATAGGTTTCAGTTCAGGAAATGTAATATATCGCGACAATGGTGATGATTCAGAAACCCCTTCAAACAAAAATTTTTTCAAGTTCTGACTGCACAGTGCAGAAAATTGAAGTTTCTTTTTTCCTGCACAGTGCAGTACAAAAATTAAAAAATCTTGGCTTTTTGCGATAATTTTGACTGTCGCAGCGACAAAAAAACTTGATTTAGCACTCGTATAGACCCCCACCTTTGTGTGTTTGCTCCAAATGTTGTCCCATTGTCTTCAATTTCTGGCACAATTGGAAAATATTGTTGGCCAAATGAGTGCCAAAGTCGCCATTTTTTACTGCCGCATTCACTTGGCTCATCAGCTGGATGAGCTGCTCTGAAAATACAGTAATCTTTATTTCATCGCACTGTGAAATTGCAGGTCTTTTTGCACAGTGCAACCTGAAAGGGTGGCTGCACCGTGCAGTCAAAACTTTGTGTTGACTGCACAGTGCGGGGTCAGCGACAAAATTCTTTTCTTTTTTGCACAGTGCAACCTGAAAGGGTGACTGCACTCTGCAGTGAAAAGTTTGTGCCATCGCACAGTGCGGGATCAACGACAAAAGAATAGTCGTTTTTGCACAGTGCAAAATCAAAAAAAATCCGTGCAGAAAAAAATTTTTGCACTGCTCAACGTTTTTTTCTCATCGCACCGTGCGAGCGCAGCGACAAAAGAAAAGTTTTTTTTGCACAGTGCAAGCTCAAAGGATGACTGCACAGTGCAAAAATGAAAGAATCACTGCACAGTGCAATCCAAAGTTTGGGTTCGCAAAGTGCGGAGATCAGCGACAAAATTATTGTTTTGCACAGTGCAAAATCAAAAAAATCCGCGAATAAAAAAAATTAGCACTGTGCAGCTCAACGTTTTTTTCTCATCGCACCGTGCGAGAGCAGCGACAAAAGAAAAGTTTGTTTTTGCACAGTGCAAAGAACAGCCATCGTCTTCTTGCCGTCTCGCACAGTGCAAAATTTTTCGTTCGTCTGCACTGTGCAAAAAAGCTTCATTTTTTGAGCGCACTGTACGGGTGCAGCGACAAAAGAAAAGTTTGTTTTTGCACAGTGCAAAGAACAGCCATCGTCTTCTTGCCGTCTCGCACAGTGCAAAATTTTTCGTTCGTCTGCACTGTGCAAAAAAGCTTCATTTTTTGAGCGCACTGTACGGGTGCAGCGACAAAAGAAAAGTTTGTTTTTGCACAGTGCAAGGAAAAACTAGCCATTTTTTGTGTTTTGCACGGTGCAAAATTTTTGGGACGACTGCACTGTGCAAAAAAACTTTATTTTTTGATCGCACAGTGCAGGTTGTCCAAGACCATTTTGCACCGTGCAAAAGCGACAAAACCTCCAAAATCTTCCCGCACCGTGCAAATGGATGCCCTTTCTTCTTCGGACAGTGCAAAACTTTTGAGAACTTTACCTCGGTCATCCATTTTCAGCTACTTTTTTCGTTCGGAGTCGAAAATCAACAGCCAGCCGCTGCCCGGAGGCACTTGTGGAAATCGATGGAAAAATATTTTTCGCTAATTTATGCACACTTCAAAACTTGATCCGTGAGAACGTATTTGAAGTTTGGAGAGTGGCAGAGAAAGATTATTGCCTCAGGGCTTAGACTTAAAAAACGGATTTTTCGAACTCGAAATTTTAAAAAAAAACTTTGAAAAAATTTTGCGCCCAATGACAAAATTTTTTTTTAGGTTTATCGATTTTTGCACTGTGCAGAAAAATTTTTAGCCTTAGCCCATCGCACCGTGCAATCAAAAGTGAGAAAAAAACCGGCCGCACAGTGCAATGGACCAATTTGGAAAAACGCACAGTGCAGTCTCCTCAAAAAAACTTTTGCACTGTGCAAAACCCAAAAAATGATTTGAATTTTGTTTTGCACAGTGCGGAAAAGTTTCTTTCTTTGTCGCTGCAGCCGCACGGTGCGGTGGAAAAAAAGCTCAATTGCACAGTGCAAAGAGTCTCAAAAAAAATTTTTTTTCTCTCGCACTGTGCAAAAAATTTTGTGGTACTGCACCGTGCAATCAAAAGTGAGGAAGCCGGCAGCACAGTGCGAAAACGTTTCTTTCTTTGTCGCTGATTCCGCACGGTGCGGTGCAAAGCAGCAGGCTCGGCTGCACAGTGCATTTGATTTTTAACGCACAGTGCAGAAGAATTTTTAAAAATTTTCTTTCGCACGGTGCGAAAGAAATCTTTTTCCATTTTTTTACCGTGCGGTAAGTCCGAGAGTTTCGAAAAAAGAGAGGACACTTGTTTACTTACCCACACTTTTAATCTCGGCCTGTGATTGAGGTGCGTTGCCTGAGGCGCCGTGGAAATTGGATCGAGATTGGGGTTCGTTCGCTTTGTCTGAGTGATTTTTGGGTCGTCGGAAACTCATTTTTTGTGGGTCGTTCGATATGGTGTTGAGAAAATTCTGAAAAAAATTTTTTTTCACTTTTTGATAGTTCGCACTGTGCAGTCAAAAAAATGGTTTGATTGCACTGTGCAAACGAAAAAGCTTTTACTGCACTGTGCAAAAAAAATTTCTAATAATTTTCGCACTGTGCAAGCAAAAAAAAACACTTGCACAGTGCGGGAAATCGTTTCTTGCAGTTTGCACCGTGCAAACGAAAAAAAGTTTGATTGCACAGTGCGAAAAACACTCACTTTTTGATAGTTCGCACCGTGCAGTCAAAAAAATGGTTTGATTGCACTGCGCAAACGAAAAAGCTTTTACTGCACTGTGCAAAAAACATTTGCTAATAATTTTTCGCACCGTGCAAGGGAAAAAAACAACAATCGCACAGTGCGGAAAATCGTTTCTCGCAGATTGCACCGTGCAAACGGAAAAAATTTTGATTGCACTGTGCGAAAAACACTTTTTGATAATTCGCACCGTACATTCAAAAAGTTTTGATTTCACTGTGCAAACGAAAAAGCTTTTAATGCACCATGCAAAAAAAATTTTTCTAATAATTTTCGCACCGTGCAAGCAAAAAAAACAACAATCGCACAGTGCGGAAAACATTAGAGTTTCTCGCATCACCGTGCAAACGAAAAAAGCTTTGGTTGCACTGTGCGAAAAAACATTTTCTGACAATTTGCACTGTGCAAAAACTAAATCGTTTTCCGCAACTTGCACAGTGCGAAGCAGATTTTTTTTTTGATTGCACTGAGCGAAAAATATTTTCCGATGATTCGCACTGTGCATTCAAAAGAAAGTTTTGGCTGCACTGTGCAAAAAAAATTTTGGGCTAATTCGCACTGTGCAATTAAAAACAAGTGACTGCACCGTGCGAAAAAATTCGATTTGCACCGTGCGAAAAAATAAAATAGTTTCTCGAAATTTGCACCGTGCAAACAAAAAAAAAACACTTGCACAGTGCGGAAAATAGTTTCTCGCAGTTTGCACCGTGCAAATGGAAAAAAGTTTGATTGCACAGTGCAAAAAACACTTTTTGATAGTTCGCATCGTGCAGTCAAAAAATGGTTTGATTGCACTGTGCAAAAAACATTTTTTGGGTTAATTCGCACTGTGCAATTAAAAACAGGTTTTGATTGCACTGTGCAAACGAAAAATCTTTTACTGCACTGTGCAAAAAAAATTTTTCTAATAATTTTCGCACTGTGCAAAAAAAAATACTTTTCCGAAATTTGCACTGTGCAAACAAAAAAAATACTTGCAAAGTGCAGAAAAATTTTGTGCGAATTACAAAAAAAATCAGATTAGAAAAAATGTTACAAATTTCAGTAAAAACAACCCCCCTAATTACCGCACTCTCAACATGACTCACCTTTACAAATTCGATTACTTTTTGGAGAAGCCTGGGAAAATTGGAGCCAGACCTCAATTTATGTGTCGCATATGCTCGAGGACTTTCAGGGGTGGTCGGAATTCGCTCTCCGACTGTCGGTTTTCAACTTTTTTCTGTTGATTTTTTCCTCGAAATTTGCGAAAAAAATGATTTTGAAAAAAAAAATAAATAAAAATTTTATTGAATTTTTGTAATTATGATGGTAGAATTTGAAAATTAGATAACTCTCAACGATAAATAAGGTCGTGGTGGTCGTATATCACTGAAATTTGAAGATAAAATACGAAAATTTTGAAAAAAAAAATGAAAAATTCGCGAAAAATTGACGAAATTTTGAAATTTTTTTTGATTTTACAGTATAAATAGAAATATAAATGTAACTAAAATTATCTACAACACTTATTTAACAATTTTACAGTGCTATTTAGCAAAAAATTTCAAAAAAAAAAAATATCCGAAAAAAATCTCGAAACTGTTGAAGCAAAAATTTTCGAAACATCATCGAAAAAATGGCGAAACTGAATAAAAATTAATCCAATTAGATGCACTAGGTTCTTCGAGAGATCTCGGAGAGGAGTTTTAGTAAAGTTTTCGAAACGAGTAAAGTGAAAAAAACGGGTCAAAGGTCGGTAAGCCGAGAACTTTCTGATCGGATTTCACTTTGAGCAAACCTTTTCCACACCCAACAAGCAGATTTTTATGGCCTAAAAGTTTAAACAAATTTTGTTTTTGAAAAAAAAATTTTTGAAAATTTGCACTGTGCGAAATCTTTTGGGTACTTTTTGCACTGTGCAAAGAAAGTTTTGAGGTAAAATACGAAATCATGCAGCATATTATGTCTAATCAAGCAAGTGACAATCAAAACAAAAAATTGTTTTTCTTTTGAAAATGTTTAAATTCCAGTTTTAATAATTGCACTGTGCAAAATTTTTTGGATCTTTTTTGCACTGTGCAAAGAAAGTTTTGAGGTAAAATACGAAATCATTGACTGTATAATACCTAATCCAGCAAGCGACAATCAAAAAATTTTTTTGCTTATTATTTGAAAATGTTTAAATTTCAATTTTAATCATTGCACAGTGCAAAAACTTTTTTTTAATTTTTTGCACTTTGCAAATAAAATTTTGAGCTCACTGCAAAATAGATTGTTGAATTAGAGCTCACACACTTATGGATGACATATTTTACACCTTTAAATATTAGTTTAGTGCATTAAAATTCCAAAGGAACATTTTGCACAGTGCAGCAAATAAATTCGAAGTTTTCACACTGTGCGGTCAAAAAATATTCGCATTTTTGAGTCGAAAGTGTAAAATACGACTATTCCTTATATTCTGGAAATACTATGTAACTTCCGTATTTGGAAATGACTTTACAATGGTTTGGAAAACCGCACCGTGCGGCAAAATTTCTGAAATCTGCACAGTGCAAAAAAAGAAAACCTCTATTTTTCCCCAAAAAAACCAAGAAGTGTCAAGATTTGGAGTGAATCCTCAAATTCAGACAAGAATCAAAATAAAAAAGCCATAATATTTTTCCAAACGTCCACATTGACTCATATCAGTGATAATCAAATAAATCAGCGCCCATCTTTCGGCCAAAGGTCTGAGGGAAGAGCAAGTGATCGATCTGTTCCCTCTTCTCTCCCTCCCCTTGTCCCACGGAACCTTTTTTAACAATCGGACAAGCTTTTATTACAACATGGCCTCAGGGTGAGTAATCGAAATCCGTTTTTTGGAACTCGATTCAGGTTTTAAACTAAATTTTTGACCATTGGAAAATCTAAATTTACATATAAAAATTTTACAACAACTTTACCATTGGATTACGGTATAATTGTCGCAAGTGGAACAGTTGACCCAAACTGACCATTGTGTCATGTCTCTCTCTCAATTTTATTTTTTTATCTAACTGAATTTTCACTCGTTTCAAGCGCAGAAACTCGTCAGATTTATGGAAAGCACGCTGCAATGGATCAGTCCATGTTCAATCCGTTGAATTACACTAACGTTCCGCATTCAGAAGGTCCGTTTTTACGAGGTGTTTATATTATCCTTGAGGTTTAGTCGATTGGGCTTCTCTGGCACAAAGATGGATCCAAACCAAGTCACAAACGGAGGATAGAGTGCCGGCTGGAGTTCCACCGCCTCCAGGCCTCCCTCCGAGAAGTCTTCCGCCCGGTGTTCCACCACTTGGACCTCCAGGCGGATTTGGACCCAGGCCGCCGAATGGACCAGGTAAGCGACTTAAATTTATGTTTTTCTTGACGTTTAGGAACTGGATAACGGTTGAAAATGGGAGATTTTTGTTTCGGGACTATTTTCCTTTGCGAAATAATAAAAACATTATTTTAGTCTCAAGTGTAATATAATCTTGCAGAATTTGAAGTTCATTTTTGGTTTTTGCGACTTAAAATTGTTTTTAAAGCAAGATTATGATAGTCAGCACGTATAATGCTGTTTTTGGCCATTACTCTTCTGTTTGTAAAAATTCATGGCCCATTTTTTATAAGTGTCTACAACAATATAAAATAAGTTGATATTCTAGGATATGGATATCCACCTCGTCCAATGCCACCCGGGCCTCCTTTCGCTGGTCCTCCTAGTCGCTTTCCTCCTCAAGTACCCCCATATTACGAGCAACGACCTCCAGCATCTGGCGGTTTCTTCAACCGTCCCGATTATCGTCCCCAATTTTTCAATACTGCCCAAAGGCCGCCGCGACCGCTTCCCCCACCTCATACTGCTCCATTCCCTGTTCCTCCAATGCCGTTGCATGGTGTTGGGCCGATTCCTCCGCCTGAACCAGTCCCGGTTCGGCCGCTTTTCCAGGCGGCGGCTGCGGCCGCGCAGACCTCCAATTTCGCCGACTCAAACCCCGCTCCACCGGAGGAATTGGACCTGGATGGAGCCATGGCACACTGGATGGACGATATGAACAATGATCCGGCCCATTGGACGGATTCCAGAATCGATTTGGCCAGCAGAAAAAAGTTGCCTCAATGGATTCTGGAAGGCCTCGAAAAAGCGGAAAAAGAAAAGCGAAAGCAAATGGAAAAAGAGCAGCAAGCTAAACAAGAAGCCCAGAAGGAATTGGAAAGGGAAGAACGGCGAAAGGCCAAAGGAAAAGGCAAATTTGTAGGTTTTTTTGTCATGTGTAATATAATTTTTTGTCAGTTTTTTATTGAAAATGACATTTTTAGGACTCAGACAGCGAGGACGAGGATATCGATGGCAAAGCGCTTGAAGCGAAACCCGCTTTCGCGCCAGATTCACTTATCGGAAATAAAGCCACTTATGTCAAAGAAGAATTTGATCAAAATGAGGTGACTTTTAATTTGTGTGTTCTGTTTTTAGGTTAATCACACTGTCTACGACACTGGCAACAGGTTTTGGAAGCAATCTCTCCTGTTCGCAAAAAAATTTATATTACTTTAGGTCATTTGTTACCTATTTTAATTTTTTTTGCAGACTCGAGCGGTTAAACGACTCATGGTGTCGGTGTTGATGGAAGCCTCGGATATTGCCATCCAAGACCAGGTAAATCGTCTTCTAGACAGGTTCAAGAACCATGGTGAGCTTCATTATCAAAGATAATATTATCCATGTTTAGGAAAGAAGGTTATCGCCTCCACCTCCGCGCTACAAGCTCTTAGTGCCCTGGGTAAGCTTTTAAAATTATTGTTTTTATATTTAGATCAGAAGTAGAGGCTATATTATCCATGAGATATCATTTGATATCAAGTATAATATCGGATGGTAAAGAATGAAGTCTTGTGTTGTTTGTGGGCTAAAAGAAAGATTATGGCGTGAATTTGATATGTTGAAAATTTTAGCCCAATACAGCGACGATGAAGAGACCACCGACGACGATTCGGATCGACCAAAGGCTGATCTCAAGGATAACGTAATGGAGGAAAGTGGGAGAGATAAGGAGGGGTTTAAACATGGCCATCACAAAGGTAACATCATTTTACTGCTTTGTGCCTGAGAATTACTTTGTTTACAAGCTTTATTAGTAATTCTTTTACTAAAATACCCGATATTTTACCTTGATTTACATTTTTTTCGAAAAATGGTATTTGGAAGTGCTTTTACACGCTTAAAGTCGCTTATAATCTTTGTTAGGGCACTGTGGACGTATTTAATTGGATTTCTTGTTTTCAGACGATCGCGGCGATACACAACGAACAGGTATTTTGAAGAGGGAGGCAGGTAAATTACGGTAATTTAGGCGATGATCGCGATGAAAATGAGAATAGAAAACACAGTAAGGGGCAAAGAAAGAGGTAAGCAACCAGAATTTATTTGATTTTCAAAATAATTTTGGAGAAAATTGAAATTTTTCAAAAAATTATATTATTTTAGGTAAATTTTGATGAAAATTGATCGAATTAGCGGATATTTTGAGGGGTTATGGGTTGATTAAACTCTATATGAGATTATTAGTATATAACTTTCAAATTTAATCGAGGTTTTCCCTTAGATCGCGCTCAAAATCCGAAGAATCCCAAAAATCGCAGAAGCAAAGAAAAGAACACAGGGAACGAAGAGACTCGACAGACAGCCGAGGGCATCGCAGAGAGTCCATAGACCGTCGCAGAGACGACAGAGACAAACGAAATGAGGAGAGAGAGCACAGGGAACGAAGGGACTCCCAGAGAAAAAGAGACCGAAAACATGAACGACGGTCGAGGAGTCGGGAAAGAAAACGATCCCGAAGAAGTCGGTCCTAAAGGTACGTCATAACGATTGTTAGCTTTGCTTATTAAATAAAGCTTGAGAAGTTGTTTTTTTGGGATATTGTACTTGATGTTAGTGTACAAACGTGGCAAAAAAGCCAACACAGAAGTCAGGCGGCTGTTGACATATGCGAGGTCTATTTCAATGTTATTTTTGATGTTCTCTGATGATGTAGAAGAGAATTTACCGTGTTTTAGATCGATCCAGTATCAGTTTTAGTCATCAAAAAATTGATCATGGATAACATAAAATTTTTGGTTCTATAGGGGATTTAATGTCTGTTCGGGGTAAAATAGAGTGTTTATCATGTATAAACCTCCAACACATAGAAATCCGACTGTTTTTGACGTATTCAAAGTTCATTTCAATGTTATTTTTGATGCTCTCAAGTATTGGTCATGATTAATATAAAATTTTGACGTTCAGATGAGAAGCAAAAAGTCTTGCGACGTAGAATGCCAAAAACACCAAATTCATGCCATTATTCTTCCATTTTTGACCATTTGGTTTCTCAGCGATGATCATGGTTACTCTCTGTTTTGACCATGATGATCATTTTTGAGATATCGAAATGGTCAAAAATGGAAGAATAGTGGCATGAATTTAGTGTTTTTAGGCATTCTACGTCGCAAGACTTCTATTCCGTGTGTTTTAGCGTTTCTTTCTCATCTGAACGTCAAAATTTTATATTAACCATGACCAACACTTGAGATCATCAAAAATAACATTGAAATGGACTTTGAATACGTCAAAAACTGTCTGATTTCTATGTGTTGGAGGTTTATACATGGCAAACGCTCTATTTAACCCCGAACAGGCCTTAAATTCTCCTTTAGAACAAAAATTTTATGTTATCCATGATCAATATTTTGATGACTAAAACTGATATTGGATCGATCTAAAACACGGTAAATTCTCTTTTTAGAATAATACAAGGCTACAAACTTCATATTCCACTAATTTCTAGTCCTGTTTTCCCTCAAAATTTTATATTATTCATGGTGATTACCTTCAGTTCAAAAAAGAAATTTTTTCACAACAAAATAACTTTATTAATATTAAAACAACAATAGTATCATTCCGTACAACATCTGGGATCATCATGGTATTAAATGTATAACAATAACAATGGTAAAAATGCAAAATATTATATTTTTTCCGTCAAGTTCGGCGTTTCAAACGCATTTCGTACGTTGATTCGGGTCTGGCGTCCATCCAGATCCAACATTCGACGGGCATGTCGATGGAAAAGTGTTTGAGACAAATTTCATTGGCTTTTAGGTCATTTCCATCAATGTTTTGATGCCTGAGGGCGAGTTCGAAGAGGATTATTATCGGAGTTTCGGGTTCCCAAAGGCAAGAAAACGAGAATTCGGTTAGTTTGTCGTCTGGCTCTTGGATTTTCACGATGAAATAAACCTTGCAGCCGGATTCGAGCTGAAAATTCGGAAGAATTAGGAAAAAATTTGCGATTTTTTTTGAATTATTACCTAAAATAAGATTAATTTTTTTTTAAAAAACCCCTTAAAATTCAGCCAAGGCTTGTCTGAAATTACTTACCAAGCCCAAAAAATGCTATGAAAACATAAGAACCTAAGATTTGCTCTTACAACCCGGTTTATGTACCAAAACTGTCATAATTATACCTAAAATAAGGTAACACAACAATTAATCTCGCTTGCAGTCTTTTGTCTCACCACGAAAATGAAAAGGGGTTTGGCATTCTGCAAAATAAAAGAATTTCCAAAGAATATTTTTTTTTATAAAAACGATTTTCTCGCCTTCCAAGTCCCGTTTCCTAGCCAAAAGTTCCTTTAGACGTCGGCAAGTTGCCAAATGACATGGGTATGAACCATCAAAGTCTAAATTATTACATAAAGACACTATAATTGATAAAATATATAAATCTTCATGACTTTTTTATATTTATTTTTCCCATTTGCAGAATGCCAAAAAGCCGGGAACTGATTTTTGTTATGGGGAAAGATTGATGTATAACTCCTCAGCCGAGTAGTAAATGGCCGCGATTTTTTGCATACTGTTTGATAAGAATGTGTCAATGTTGACTTCCAAGTTTCATGCGATTTTTCGTTATTATAAGTCGGTTAGACCACAGGAAAGATTGCAATTGTTGAATACTTAAGGTGGCTATATCTTGCAAACGGTAAAAACTGCAAAAATTATTTTAGGTGGTGCAGATAGAGTTCTATTCCCTCCTTCTTATTTACTATTCACCCAATCACCCGATGTCCTCAAAAGTGAGAGGCGATAATATTTGTTGGACCGTGTTTTTGTAACGAAGTGTTCAAAAATTTCAATCAATAATTGAGAAGATTAGCTAAAAAAGCGCTTTTCAATTGGGATTAATTGTTGTGTAAAATTTTCCTCCATAACATAACGTTCATATCAAAAATCGTTTATTACCCCTGAAATCCCATAAAAACAGATTATTTCCCTTTTAAATTCACTCTGGTTACCAAAATAAGCCAAAATTTACGTCTGGACACCTAAAGTAAGGTAAAATTTTCCTCCATAATACCAAATCCATATCAAAAATCTTTGATTATCCCCTGAAATCCCATAAAAAACTATTATTTCCCTTTTAAATTCACTTTAGACACCAAAATAAACCCAAATTTACGTCTGGACACCTAAAGTAAGGTAAAAATTTTCCTCCATAATACCAAATCTGTATCAAAAATCGTTTATTATCCCCTGAAATTCCATAAAAAACTATTTTAGCCCTTGTAAATTCACTCTAGTCACCAAAATAGGCCAAAATTTACATCAAGACACCTAAAGTAAGGTAAAAATTTTCCTCCATAATACCAAATCTATATCAAAAATCGTTTATTATACCCTGAAATTCCATAAAAAACTATTTTATCCCTTTTAAATTCACTCTAGTTACCAAAATAAGCCAAAATTTACGTCTAGACACCTAAAGTAAGGTAAAATTTTCCTCCAAACACTCTAAATTTACTGTAGCCTGATCCAAAATGACTTTTCACCGCTCAAAATACCCTCTGAAACCCCCAATTCAATCAGACACGCTTACCAAATTCCTCTCCCATTCCTTTGGATCGATCCCTTCTAGAACATTAATCTTCATTTTTTGTGGTATCAACGACGGCCAATTGTGGAATTCTTCGTCGGAACTGGAGCTACCACTCTCATTGGCGTCTTCCAAAGTGGCCTCACTCAAATCTTCGGCCAGATTTTCTTTGTTCAAAGCGATTTCCCAGGCGTCCAATGATTTCAATTTTTCTTCATTTTCCTTGCTGCCCTGAGACGAAATTCCACTCAATCTATCCGAAAGATCATCCTGCTCAGCTTCTTCATCAATTATCTCGTCGTTTTCATCAATTTTTTCCAATTCTTCACCTTGTTTTAGGTCCTGATGTGGAATATTCAGCAATTTCATGAGAGCTTCGGAGGAAATATCGCCGGAATCGTTTTGTTTCCTCTCCTCATCCTCTTTGGCAAATTCCTCTGCCAAAGCGGCGGTCAGAAACTCGTCATTCCAGGTGTACACATTGGTTTTATTACACTTGATGGGCTCGTCAAAATTTTCGTCATTTTCGGTGATTTCACGTTCTTTTCGGGATTTTTCCGACTCATCTTCAACTTCTGGCACTCCGGCAACTGCTTTCGCCGGCTTTAATCTCCATAAATCGGCCAATCCAGCGAAATTTGGGGATTCTCCTGGTTGAAAATCGTCGTTCCCCCAAGTTCCAGTTGGCTTGAGGTCCGAATTGGAATAACATGCCTTCTCTCCAGCTTTTTCATCTTCATCTTTCTAGAAAAAATAGAATTTTTACCTAAAAACGACAAAAAATTATAAAAAATCTTACAAAATTGGAAAATTCTTCATCCAAACACTCCTCGGCCATTCGTACTGTCATTTCCGACATATTTCGATACCCATCATTCTAAAAATCTCAAAGTTACATCAAAATTCGGGAAAAAATTATATTACACATGACAAAAATCGCTTACAAAAGTGACTTTCTCTGACAATTCTTCTGAATTTTTTTGTCCCATATACCCTTCGGAGTTGTGAAAACCTCTTTGACTGTGACCTGCACAATTTGACCCATTATTTTCATTGTTTATTGAAGAAGTTGATGGTGAAGATAAATTATCTCTTCCTTCGGCTCTAATTTGATGTCGTGGTCTTCGGGAATAATTTCCGGGTTGCGAATGACCTGCTCTTGCGTTTACAGAAGCTGAGTGAGCATGTAGGCTAGATGAAAATTGAGGTCGAGGACCTTGTTTTAGATGATTTGAGGAATAAAATCTTTGACTCAGCATCGCAGGAAGCGCTCCATACGTCGTGTCTGGACAGGTCGTAATAACTGGACGATAATTTTGAGGATTTCCCGCTAAATTAAAATCTTTTTCAAAAAAACACAAGCAATGTTAAAGGTCCCAAAGAGCCTCAAATGTGCACAAACCCAGTGAAAAATTTAGTAGGATCAAAAAAAGTTACATATTTTAGCCAACAAGGTTAGTTTCTGAAAAAAAGCAGCAAGACTTTGGCGGAAATTCAAGAAATTACATCATTTTAGGTAACAATTTTGGGAAAGATGCCGTAAATCCGTATAAAGTTGCCTAAACACAAACAAAAAGTAAAGAGAAATTGCATACCTTCTCCAAGTGTTTGTTGACGTTGATTTGAGGCATTGTTGCGTTCATCCATTGACCTTGCACCACCTGAAGGAAGGATAATATAAATGAGCTTGAAACGAATAAAAATTCATAGCAAACAGTCGGAAATTAATAACGTCAGCACGAACATGTCCTACTAGGATTCCGACGAGTCAAAAAAAACCAAAAATTTCTTGAACAAAAACGAAAATGCAAATTTTAAAATTTGCATGAAGAACAAAGTGATGAAAAGTCAGTTTCAAACGCAGTCTTGTAAATATTTCCCCCCGCGTGCGGTTGCCATCTTCCCCGTCGATGATTGCACCATTGGAGGTCGGCTTTTACACGGAGATTATCGGGTTCCTGCAGTGTATCAAGCTCGAGGACAGCTTCCAGGGAACGAAACCAAATGGATTTGAGATCATAACCCATGATCATGTTCCGCACGTAGGCCTCGTAAACATCATAGAATACCGATACAACTCATTTTCGAAAAATGTTACGTAAGTTTATGCATTGCGCGTCAAGCCCATTAGATAAGCTAAAACGATCCGGAATGGATTGAGATTCGCCAAAAAGACGCAAAAAACTTCGCCTTTTGTCGGAGAAGAAATGGGGAATTTTTGGGGCGAGAGAGCACGGTTTTGCGCGCCTTTTCCCTGTCTTCTCTGCGAAACCGAGACGAAGTGTAAAAAACCGATAGCGAAGTGTCTATTCCGCGGAATATATTCCGGTCTCCGAACTCTTCGGTTTGACCTGCATTGCACACTAAATATTTTCAGCCGCCGGTTGCTGGATTTGGTCGATAAAGACGGTCCGGCTTACCATAGCTACCGAGTCCTTTTGAACCAGGTTGGGGAGGAAGTCAAAGTTGGAGTCACAGGATTAAATGGCGGCTTGCTGTAAGTCGAGTGTGGGGGAATATATTAATTCTTGGCTTCAGCATACCCCGGGGCCATAATCTCAAATATTTGTGTTCTAAATTTGTTTTAAAATGCCGATTTCAGTGTTTGTGCTATATTTAACAAGCAGGAGAAAAATTGCTGGAACAGACTGACTGTATTCTCTGAACTCCTTGGTTCAAGCATGGCCATTATAGGATGTACGGTGAAAGAAAGCCGGATGAATGTATTATACTCGCCTACTGGAGACAATGCAACCTCTTACTATCCGGAGACGAAAGACAACTTTTATTGCAACAGTACGCTGGGTGTATTTGAAAAGAAGTTGGTGTTATGAAACCAAGGATCAGCGGAGTGTAAGCAGTTGGATTGGGAAGGCACAAATGGGATGCATCGCCTTGTCAGCCAGTGGAGTACAAGCTCACTTCTTCGGGTCGGCTCTTGCTGTCTTTGGTAAGCGTGAGAAGACTGTATAACCAGTTTCAGAACTACCTGATTGCAAGGTTCGAGACTCCCAATTGCAACAGGCCAACTCAACTCTCGCCCCAATTCTTGGACAACACCTATGTCGAGTTTATCTGTAACAAAACGTAAGTTTGATTTTTTAGTAAAATAGCCGTAGTCTAGGCCAAAAAACTTTCAGCGTTCGTTCAATTAACCTTTAAAACTATATGTTTATACATTTTTTAGAACGGAACCGACCGTATCGAAGAGCAGCCATTCCAATTCTCCAGCCATATTCATCTTAACCTCAATTTGTGGGCTCCTTATTGGCCGTGTCCTTGGAAATTAAAGTCGATACATGTATCCATTTTATATTTTTAACTTTGATTAGTAAATGTCGTATTGGGGCAAATAAAATTTGGTAAAAGTCTGTTGTTTCTTCTTGCCGAATGGTTCTGGAAAGGTTTTCCCGTGCACAACAACCGTGAATAAGAAAAACCTTTCCCATTCACTTTTGAGTTTCGTCCAAACGAAGTGTCAAAATTCCATGCTTTTTTACCGCCTATTTTTTCAAATTCGGCGTTTTTTACAGTTTTTTTCTGGCTTCCACCGCGAAAGATTGGAATGCCAAAATTTTCTTGGCATTCTGTTTATCCATTGAAAAATAATTTTTGGACGTTCTCTCGACCAAAAACTCGTTTCTCTTGCTCAGATTAAGCATAATTCCGCTAGCTTTAGTTGAAATAACCTAGAAATTTTATCCATTATATTATACATGCCTTCAAAACGGAAATTTTTTGTTGATTATGACCTAATTTTAATGATTTACTGATGTAATTTTGTTGTTAAACAAATGGTTTTGCAATTTACGATGGGTTGAGAAGCGATTTGAACGGTTTATACACCAATATTTTTAATTTTTCATCATGGATAATATAATTTTTATCATGGGTAATATAATTTTTGTCGAATTTTTAGTCGATCTCCCTTGTAAAATGTTTGTCGTCGACGAGAAGGCCCGAAAATTCATCGACGACTTGATTAAAGATCTCGAAAATCGGCGCGAAATTGAGAAAATCCTCGAAAAATCGCAATTTTCCACCGAAGACTTTGATCAAATCTCCGAGTTATTGCCGGAAAATGTGGAGTATTACAAGTTCTTGATGCTGGTGAAGCCGAAAGAAGTGAAAGAAGAGCGTCCGCCGCCAACAAAAGAGTATTTGGACAGAATTGAGAGGCTGAAATTGGAGGCAGAGAAGAGGGATTACGATCAAATGGTGTCGTCGGTGGATTCCAGTCAAAATTATGGGCATACGGCGTTCTTCAAGGACTTTGGAAAGGTAAATTACCAAGTTTTGTGAAAGATTTTGTCATTTTTAGATCAAAGTTTTAACAAATTCCAAAAAATATGTCATGACTACGGATTTTATGAACAATTTGGGTCATTATGACGAATTTACTATCCGTTCTATACCCTGAGGACTTTTTTACAACCACTTTTTAGATTAGAAAGTAATAAAAGTCCCAAAATTTGCACAGTGCAAATTAAAAAGATTGATCGCACAGTGCTGTTTTAGGAAGATTTTTTTGCACGGTGCAAGTAAAAAATGGATCGCACAGTGCAAGTTTTTATATTTTTTTGCACTGTGCGGTTTTGAAAATTTGTCTGCACCGTGCAGTTTTTGATAGTATTTTTTTCGCACAGTGCGTTCCTTTTGTCGCTTTGAGGGTTCCAAAATTTGCACGGTGCAAATAAAAAATGTATCGCACAGTGCAGTTTTTTGAAAATTTTTTTCGCACGGTGCAGTTGTGAAAACTTGTTTGCACTGTGCAGTTTTGAGAAAGATTTTTCGCACAGTTCAGTTTAAATAAAAAAATTTTGCACAGTGCAAATAAAAAGATGGGTCGCACAGTGCATTTTGGGTCAAAATTTTTTTTTGCACAGTGCAGTTTTAGGAATTTTTTTTGCACGGTGCAGTTTTAATAAAAAAATTGCACAGTGCAATAACGCGTTTTTGAAATACTGATTTCAAACACTTCCAGGAGCTAAAAGAGTCGAATCGGCACGTAATCGGAATCGTGAACATGATGATCACCGTCTTCGGAGGCTTCATGTTCGGTTTCTACGGCATCTCCATGGCCTACCCGGCCTGGAATTTGGACTCAACCACCCGAACTCTTCTCGGACTCGGAATCGGCACCATTTTCTTCTTCGTGGACCTGTATTTCTTCGTCAAAACACTGGACGAAGAGAGCAAAGAGCAGGCCAAAAATGATCCCAAAGTTTTCTCGTTGAACACCAAAGGCGTTGGCCATGAGAATGTGGTCGAACACACAACAAAAGTCATCAAAAACACGGGAAAAGCAAAGAAAAAGGCGAAAAAATTGGATTAGAACGAGATTTTTTTTAATTTTTTGAAATTGCTTTACTTAAATTTAATTCTCATGACGTCACTTTTATTTTTGAACCCTCTGTGATATCTCAAAATAATTTTGGAATCTTTTATTTATAATAAATCAGGATATTTTGACGATTTTTGGCCATTTTTTGTGGAAATTAAACGCACAGTGCGATCATTTTTAGTTTTCGCACTGTGCGAAAGCTCCAAAAAAAGATAGAGGAATTTTGCACAGTGCAGTTTTGATTTTTTCCATTGCACTGTGCAAAAAAAATTCGAGAAGAATTTCGCACAGTGCAAGGGAATTTTGAAAGAAATCTGGCGCACTGTGCAGTTTGTCGCGACACAGGAAGATGAAATGTTTGCACGGTGCAATCAAAAAGGTCAAAAGGTTTTGCGCACAGTGCAAGCTAAATTTTTTCGCACAGTGCAACTTTATTTTTTTTGGCGCACCGTGCACTAACTTTTGCGTTGACTGCACAGTGCGATCAAAAAGTAAAAGTTTGCTCGGCGCACTGTGCAATTTCGAAAACTCGAATTTCTGCACTGTGCAAGGGAATTTTGAAGCAAATCTGGCACACAGTGCAGTTTGTCGCGACAGTGCAAGGTATATTTTTTGCACTGTGCAAATTTACTTTTTTGTCGCACAGTGCAATGACTCCTCTGTTTTGACTGCACAGTGCAATCAAAAAATGAAATTTTGCTCCTTGCACTGTGCAATCTTGAAAATTCAAATTTTTGCACTGTGCGCGGAAAAATGTCGACATTTTTGAGAATTTTGGTCTTATTTTTGCGAATTTTTCTCGGAAAAAGTTGATTTTTTGTGGAAATATTCTACTCTCGACCTCGAATGTCCTGTCATATTTTTGCGACTGAAAAATAAAAATAAATTGTGGATTTTTGGCAATTTTAAAGGAAAAAATCTCGATTATTGATGGGTAATGCGGGCTAATTTTTTTGAAATTAATTGTAGAAGACTTTATTAAATTTTTTTGCCAAGTTTCATCGTTATCTGAGGACTTTTGAAATTTAAATTTTTTTTTTAAATTTTTTTGAACTTTTTGATTTCTTAATTTTTGACATTTACATCGCTATACAATCGAGACATTACGATCCAAAAAAACATGTCTTTGTCATTGTGGATTATTCATATAAATTATACAAATTAATCGTACTCCTTTCGGCCTCCATTTATAACAATCTTTTTCGGGGCTTGAAACCGCCTCAGGCGATGATAAAAGGGACCCGAAAATGGTGGGGGAAAGGTGTGGCTTCGCGTGTATTCCCCTCTTCCGGGGCCCTCCGATCAAAAGACGGGCTGAGTCAGCCCCGCCAACCGCCATATATACGAGAATTCCAAGGAAATTTGCGTCTGTACACCAGAAGGAAACAAGCCTACTTCTCCTCATGACGGCCTGACGGCCTTTCCGAGACGTAAGTGAAAGTTTAGGGGAGATACAGTAGGAAATCGGAAAAAATTGGTTTTTTGCACTGTGCAGGGGAAGATTAGGTCGGCCGCACAGTGCAGACAAAATTTTTTTATTTTTCGCACAGTGCAGTCAAAAAATTTTTTATTTGTCGCACTGTGCAGTCGACCAAGTCTTAATTTTTTGGTTTCGCACTGTGCAGGGGAAAATTAGGCAGGCTGCACAGTGCAATCAAATATTTTTATCTTTCGCACAGTGCAGTCAAAACTTTTTCTTCATTTTGCACAGTGCAGTCAAAAAAAATTTTTTATTTGTCGCACTGTGCAATCGGTTTGGTCTCAATTTTTTGGTTTCGCACTGTGCAACGGAAGATTAGGCCGGCAGTGCAGTCAAAATTTTTTTATTTGTCGCACAGTGCAACTGATTTTTTTCGCGCACAGTGCGGTCTAAACTTTTTCTTCATTTTGCACAGTGCATTCAATCATTTTGAATTTGTCGCAAGTCTCAGTTTTCGCTTTTGCACTGTGCAGCAGAAGATTAGGCTGACCGCACAGTGCAGTCGAAGTTTTTTATTTCTCGCACAGTGCAGTCGGCCAAGTCTCAATTCTCGCAGTGCTGGCCGCACAGTGCAACCAAAACTTTTTATTTGTCGCACAACGCAGTCAATTCTTTTATTTTGCACGGTGCAATCATCAATTTTTAATTCGTCGCACAGCGCAGTCGACTAGGCCTCAGTTTTTTGGTTGCTGCACTGTGCGGCAACGAGAAATTTGCCGACTGCACTGTGCATTGAGAAAAAAATTTTATTTATCGCATAATGCAACTTGCGGAATTCTTCTCTTGCACAGTGCAACTGACAAGTTTTCCTTCGCACTGTGCGGCGGTGACAAATTTGCCGACTGCACTGTGCATTGAGAAAGTTGCTTATTTCTCGCACAGTGCAGTTTCCAAATCTTTTCTTTTGAATTTGTCGACTGCACCGTGCATTGGAAGGGCTTTCATTTTTGTCGCGCGGTGCAGTCACTGCAATTTTTTGCACTGTGCAGTCACCGGTTTTTATTTAGATGGATCGCACAGTGCTAACTGATCAGTTTTTTTCACGGTGCACTAATTCAGTTCATTTTGAAAGGGAAATAGCCAAATTCTAGGCGAAAATCTATTAGCTCCTAGAAGTTGCCAATTTATAGACGAGGCATCGAATTGGCGGGTGTGTATTTAATCGCAAGGGGAATTGACGCAAAATACTGATAAGCTCACCCACAATTTCTAGCCCAAAAAATGAAAGGTTACGTGGAAAAAAGATTTATTGAAAAAAAATAATTTTTTGAAATTCCCAAATTTGTTTTCTTATTTTTTACATCAAAACGATTTTAGCGATAAGAAAATCCCCGGAGGGCCTTTTAAATAAATTTTTTATCCTTTGTTATTATCGGACGTTTATATTTCATATTCGATGCGAAATCCAATTGTGCACGGTGCGAACAAAATAAATTCCAAAAAATGGGTCATAATGATGGATTTTTTTGAGAAATTTGGATTTTGATGACACGCTTATCGTATAATTTGTAAGATATTTTACTTTTACAATTACATTTTTGTCAGGAAGTAGCTCAGATTGATTTTTTTTTGATTTGCACTGTGCGGAAAATGAGGTTTCAGAGAACAGATCATGATAACATATTTACTCAAATATTTTGATCACGATGATAAATCTACGGTCTAAACTTTCCAACCATAAAATTTTACATTATCTTTTTTCACTAAAAAGTGTAAAAATCCAATTTTAAAATCTGTACGGTGCTTTATTGTCAAAAATTGGCATTGTGTAATGATGAAAAATTTTGCACACTTTTTTTGATCCATTTTTAAAACGTTTAAAAACGGTTTTATCGACATGTTTATATCCAATATTATTTATATTACTATATTACTACTACAATATTTGCTACCGTAATAACAATGAATTTCGGCTGGCTTTTGACCATTTCCTCATATGTTGAACAGGCACCGCTTCCGGCGGTTAAACTTCATATAGGAAATGCGTCACAAGCGATTCGATCCCATTGTTTTATTTTCATGACGTCATCGTAAGTTTACCATTGCCTGAAGGAGGTGGCTGCACCGAAGAAACAATTCGACTGGTAGTCCACATCTTATCCCCTGTTAATACGCAAAGAACTCTGATTGGTATGCTACCTATGAGATACGACCGAACTTCGCGGCGACTATGACTGAAGGACCAGTGAACCCAACCCGCACATTATAAACAAATTTCGCACTGTTCGGTTCCAAATTTATTCATTCACAAACTCAACAGGTAGGATGATTTCCGGCCATCCAAGGCGTCGCATCAGTTCTTGCGTCCACCATCTCCATGACGTTCCATGATCCTCATCTATCCATGAGCGATGGGTGTAGGCTTGGCCGGCCAGATGAGCGAGCACATGGACCCACGTCGGCACCAGCGTTGCGACAGATTGTTTCAACACCGAAGTGAAAAAAACCAATCTGCGATCTGGTTCCACGCACATGCTCGCACCACTCTCCCTCCTCCATTCGATTTCCTTCGAGAGCTCCTCGCCGAAGGCGATACGCTGGAGCGTTATTGCTAACTCAACCAGTGTACGCTTTTTTCAGCTCCGCGATGTCTTGTAGAGACGACCAAGAAGATTGTAGAGGGCGAATATATCCGCATCATCTCTTCCAGTCCCATGCCGTATCTGAAACATAATTTTTTAGAAGTTCACACCAAAAAAATCGCAAAATTTTTCTGACTCAGAGTATGTAAAAATTAGCTGCCCAATTTTTTTAGGACTTTTCTCGCAACACCACGAAAATGCTTTTTTGACCAAGTTTTTCGCAATTCAAAAACTTTGTTGTGAGCTAAAATAAACTCTGGCGTCGAAGAAATCGAACCACCGGCCCCTGATTCCCAATTTCCACAAAAAAAACCAATTTTTCCGCACGAAACTAGCAAAGTCATGGCCAAAAAGCGCTCTTCTCTCCGACCGCTCTCCGCATTGCACGTACTCTCCCAAAGACAGAAAAGATCGTTCGATATCTCGGCTTACAGAAAACCTGAGCGTCGCGCGAAAAACATAGACGTAAAAAAGTACTGATTTGATCTCCAACGCAGTTAGGCATCAATATTCTCCAAAGTGAGTTAATAATTTATTACAATTCCGTTAACAATACAGATACAAACAATGTTAAAGCACTTGGTTTTCTTTTTCGGGTAGAACAATGCATGAGGGATGAAAGAGAAGGTCAATAATCTCAAAAATAAGCCCTCATATATCATTCTTAAACAGTGGGATAGTCAAAAACTCAAAAAATTACCTTATTTTAGATATATCTTTAGTCAAAAACTTGAAAAAAAACTCAAAGTTTCAATCTTAAAAACTCAAAAACAAATGAAAAATTCAGTTTTCATCTCCAAAAAAGTCTAATTACCAAACAAAACTACCTAAAACACCTGTTTTTTCAATAAAAAATCACCATCTGATATGTTTAATAAAAAAAGTTCTGTGAGATATAGTAAATATTGACTGAAAATTACTGCAAATCAACTTTTCTCTACCTAAACTCCCTCAACATTACGAAAGACCCCTTTTAGGATACAAAACATCAATCTCTTATATTATACTAGGTAACTTCACATGAAAATTGCTCAAAACTCCATTCAACGCCAAAGCCGGAGCTGTTCACTGGGCTCATCTATCCACTGGCTTCATGAGAGACTCTTCGGACTCTTGTGGGTTCATCAAAATCCTTTTCTATCACCCGATTTTCCACATCTTCTTTAATGCTGGAATGGTTCGTAGACGCCGATGAGGACGAAGAACTGCTGGTGGATCGACTTGAGGCCGCAGATGAAGTCGATGCGGGTCTTGCAGGCCTTTCTTCGTCTTCCTGGAAGCAAAAATATTGGTAAAATCGGCTTTTTGAAAATTTTGATATCAAGTGTAATATAAGGTTAAAAAAAGTTCGGAAAAAATCGTCAAGACTATTTACAAACATTATATAAGTCTAGTTACCACAAGATCTTTACAAATTACACTAAATTAAATCCATTTCCATTAACTTTTTTTTCAATTTTAATACATAAAATAAGGTAAAACCCCCAAAAAATATATTCAAAATCCACGTCAAACGTCTCAAAATTTATTCTACAATACTCCACGACACTTTTTACTCTAAAATGCCTCCAAACCACTCAAGATTCCCCCATTTCCATCAAAATTTACAAATTTTATACCTAAAATAATATAAAAAACCTCCAAAACCCCTCTTACCGATTCACTGCTAATTTCCATAGGACTACTTGGTTTTTTCTCCTCCTCCACATCCGACTCCACTTCATTATGCTCTTCTTCACTGCTTTTTTGACCACTTTTTCCTTCATCTTCACTATCCGACGAAATTCGTTCCGGCTCCAAATTGGCCGGTTTCGCCGCGTCCGAATCGCTGTCCGACGAGATTTTAGCGGCTTCTAGGACCGGTGGTGATGGTCGTTTTGTTTTTGAGGACGTTGACTTGACTTTTTTTGATGATTTAGAGTCCTCCGAAGAGATCAAAGATTCCACGGATGGGAATCGGCGCTTCGGTTTTCGGCGCTCCACTGACCTAAAATGGGTTTATTTATTCATTATTTTCAACATTTTTTCATTTCCCGAGCTCCAGAGGCCCAAAACAAAAATTCAGGTTTTCGTGGTGGGACCCAAAATTTTGTCCAAAATCATCAAAAACAATGTCAAAATAGTGTAAATTACGTTAAAAGACTATTTCTACCCCCAACACCTCATACACAACAATTATCAACTATTTTCAGCCAAAAAAAATTTTCAAGTTTGTACCTAAAACAATATCCAAAAATATTTTTTTAGGTCAAAGATTCTCTCCGAATCTCCTCAATAGCTCTGAAACATCCCAAACAATCCTTTTTAAGCTTCTTCTTTCCCTCTAAACCTACTTAAAAGTCGATTCCGAAGATGCCGAAGAGCTTGAAGAAGATGAACTCGAGCTCGAGCTGGACCTCGTCCTGGACTTCTTGGGTCGCCTCGGTGGTGATGGGGTTCTATTTACATGCCGTCGGTAGGCCAGAGGCTTTTCATGTTCCTTGTCGGCGAAGAATTCCTTGACCTGATCTTTGGTCGGGTTTTTACTAAACCAATAAAAAATAAATCGAAAAAATCTCGTTCTTACTGTGAGAAGGCGATGGGGGTTGAAGATCGAGAGCTAGTTCGAGACCGGGAGTTCGAGCCGGACGGGGATCGGCGTCGTTTTTTCGGGATTCTGAAGCTGGACAGGTCGGCCAAGGCGGGGTCTCGGTCCGGGTCCGCCTTCGCATTTTTGAGGCTTTTTCTCACTCTAAAATACGGCGAGTCATATCCAAATTGTTTTTCACTCATTGTATACTCTCTAAACATCAATCAAAAACTCAAAAATCTTACGGTGAGGAGGGTCCCGAGGGAGGGGAGGGGGTTCTTGTTCTGTAGGACGAGCCTCTACTATAAGGTCTTCTTCTTTTATTTTTGCGGTCCTCCGATGATGATGACGCTGATCGCCGACGTCTACGGGCTCGTTCCGAGTCTGAGGAGGAGGCGGACGAAGATCGCCGATGTTCTCTGCTGCCTCGATGCTTTGTGCGGTCTTTTCGGAGGGGCTCTAAAACCACGAAATTTATTCAAATTCAGAAAAATTTTGAAAAATCAGTGGCTTCAAATACTTCTAGAATCTGTAATATACTATTTACAATCTATTCCACTCAAAATTTCGAGCAAAATCCATCAAAAATTTGGGATTTCATACCTAAAATAATATAATTTTTCACAAAATTTGGTAAATTCCTCAAAAAATCCGATTCAATTTTCTTGAAAATATCCCAATATCACATGATCTAGCAGTCTACAGCCATTTGACATCAATTTTCCCATCAAAACTTCAAAAAAAATCATCTTTTTTCTACCTAAAATAAGATAAATAACTCCCAAAAATTTACCAAAATTTCCATTCTTCATGCCCTTATCGCTTCGAACGCCCAATTTCTTCTTCCAATGTTCCAATTCGTCGCCTTTGGGATGGCGAAATCGACATCCATCGGACCATGTGCAATTTCCGCGAACAAAAAATTTGCATATCCCGGAATCCTCGGGCCGATCTGATTTCCGATTGAAAGATGGTCGACGATCCGCATTGCCATTCTGAGCCCGAGTGGAGTCATAAAGGGACGAGTCGAAAGTGGGCGGAGTCTTTGGAATGGGTCGACTTTCGACGACTGTTGAAGGTTCTGTGTCGATTATTTTTGACTCAGCAACTTCCACAGAGGCTTCTGGCTCCGAATCCGACTCCAGCTCACCTTCTTCCAGCTCTCCCTCCTCTCTTGGCGACTCATCCGAGGACATGTCTGGAATTTGGAGGGTCAAGTGTAAGATAAGGTCAAAAATGGATGTTAAAATAGATTTAGAATAAAAATTTTGGTCTAAATAGAAAGAGGAGTGCAGATTATGTCAGAAAAAATTCATTCAACAGTAATCTTACACTTCATCCTTTCAAAATTTCAATTTTTCATTTGATGTCAAGTATAATATAAAAGGCTACCTCAAACTTGATTTTTCTTAATGAAATTAAACCTAGATCATGAATGAACCATAAACAGCAATAATTGGCTAAAAACACCGTCAATTATACATCAAAACATATCAAACCCCTCAATTTTTCATCTTGATACCTAAAGTGATATAAGTTAAACCCACAAAGTCATATCGGCGTGATTAATGGATGCAAAAGCAAACCATATACAACCCTATTCAAATTTCGAAGTCGTACCCTCAGGTCCTGGGAATAAACAGCGCTCAAACGGAGAGGAAAATGGAGCGAAGAAAAGAGGGGAAAGGTGCGTTGGCAACCAAGATTCGCGGGTTCGGAAACGTTTTTTTTTCTTTTCGAAATGAATTCAGCGCATTATACAGGACCGTTCTGAAGACCCTCAACAAAGAATTTGCCTGCATTTTCAGGATTGAAAGATTTTAAGTAAAGCTTGGAATTATCAATTTTAGATGGTAAAATCAGAACAATGGTGAAGGCAAATACTAATAAACAGGTCAAGAAGATCATGTACGACCTGTATTCATCATAACTGAAGGGTTCAACCAAGAAAAACCACCACAAAATCAAAAATTTATATTGTACTTGATGCCTCAAATAAAAAGTGCTATATCTCAGAAGCTAACGCGCGGCATGCTACCGTATTTTAGAACAAGCATTAGAATTTCAATACGCTGCCCCATGAGAAATTCCAGCCGATTTTGAAAATCCACTTTTGAGCTACAGGAATATCTTCACCATCAAGCTCATGGATAAGATAAATTTGTTACAAACCCAAATCACAACCAAAATCTTTGACCTAAACGTGAAGAACACAATAGAGTAGATAATTACCCACCTTTTTTCAATCGATCAAGTCCACGTTGTTCCGCTCTTGGCTAACGATGCGTCCACTGCGCACGAGAACACCTAGAACCAAAAGCCTGGAGAAAACCGTAAGGATGAGGCAGAGCAATGATGTCACAATAAACAACAAGGAAAAACATTTATCAATACCCTTACGATCTGCTTTTCGGGTGAAGGTCGCCCCTTTTATTAAACATAGTAAAAATTTGGGGGTAAAGTAACATATTTTACAACATTTTGAACATCTTGCCGCGTTTCCGACCAAGATGAACGAACAAAAAGGCCGTACAGTGGAGGTGTACGCCTGGAACTTGCGGTGGAACCACGTTTTCGGTAGCATGGAGATTATTTGGGGATGGCGAGCTGCGTCCGAGACTTCTGCAGACTGCGGCGGGAAATTGCGAAATTGTATACTTTGGAGTAAAAAAAACAGATTACTGTATTTTACCGATTTAATTGAAGTCTATTACATCAAATACCCATCGAATTAACAAATTTCAGCAAAATTTTCAACAAAATTAGCTTAATGTCAAGTACAAGGTCGGAAAGTTTATTTGGTCCCTTATAAATCAACGTTCGGTAGATCAGCTTCATCATCGATTGTCTCCACGTCATCTGTCTCGTAGATCTTGCACTCAGCGTCCTTTATGACCACACGTTTGGCCGTTTTCTTGCTGTGAGTTTCGCCTCTGGGACCTTCTTCATGGCGGGACGGTATTTCCAAACCTTCGCGATTCATAGCCTCCATATCCTTATTGATCTTCAAATCCAGACTTCCAAGGTTCTGAAATCAACCAATTTTCAAATTTCCAACCGTTTCCGGCGAGAAATTTCAAAATCAAGTTTTCGTGGCGGGACCCAAACTTGCTGCCAATGAATGCAAAAATAACCTCGAAAAAAGTCGAAAACCCTACCTTGAGTTTCGTGACATCACAGATAGTCTCTACTTCTTCATCATCGCCTTCGGTGCCCTTCGTTTTCTGCTCCTTTCTGTCACCTTCTGTCTTGCCCTCACTGTTCCTGGGTTTGGGCTCTTTGCTGAAAAACAAGTGGATAAAATTCGATGGAAATACAATTTACTGGCTCTACAGGTCTCATAGTGTAAAAATTAACCAAAAAAATTTGTGAAATTTTGCTTGAAAAGTGAAAAATTTCCAAAAATCATCGAAAATATCAAAAAAGTCGCAAATTTTTCAAAATTTTTCAATTTTTTCAAAAATTTTACTTTTTAGAAACAGTCAAAAATATGTTACACAGGTCCTTTAGAGTTTATGAAATCATAATCCATCCAAATTTGTTTGAAAATTTAATTTGAAAATTGAAAAATAACCAAAAATCATGAAAAATCTCCGGAAAATCGTAATATTTGTATTTTTTTCAAAAATTTTAATCCCAAAACTTGGCTAAAAATGCAACCCACAGGTCCTCTAGGTTTCATAATCGAACCAAATTTCTTTGAAAATTCAGTCCAAAACCCCAAAAATCCGCGAAAATTCTCACCTTTTCTTGTCTTTTTCGTCGGATTGGGTGGGCTCCTCGACTCTTTCACATTTGACTTTCGGTGGTTCCTTGAACTGCTCTGTAGCACTACTTCTCATTGGGGGCAACGGCTTGGCCGTCCGCACATTCAAGCGTTCGGAGTTTGGGGGGATTGGTCTGATTTTGTCCTGAAAATTGTTGGCCATAAAGTCATTGGATTTTCGAAATTAAGCGACGCTCAGATTTTGATCAAACTTGGCATAAATTTATAATAATTTTCTCCAAATTATATGCGAGAATTCTAGCTCGCGCTTTGCAGAAACAATCGAGATTTTTAGATCAAAAATCGGCCAAAATGTGAGACTTTTTTGCCGAATTTCGGCACGAAAAGTTCACATTAGGTAGAGTTGGTAGGAGAAAATTTGAAAAAAATCGGAGATTTGAATTTTTTGATTTTTTCGCGTCCCGAACTTTCGGGTCGAATACAGTCCGGGTCATCAAAAGTCGATTGATATGAGCCGTAGGGCAGGTGGACACCCAAAAAAAGATTGTAGGAAGTGCCTACAAGGCCTGGCAAAGCCGTCGAATAGTCGGCGAAGGCTCGGCGGAGACTTGGCGGAGACTTGGCAAAGGCTTGCAATACAATGGCAGACCTGATCCAGTAGCAAAAAGCGTAGCATTTTGTATCCAGGAAGTACCACAAAATGCAGCAAAATACCTAACACTCCAAGTGGAAAAACTCCGATTTCAAAAGCGCGCCCGCTCTTTTTGCGAGGGCCCTTCAAAATGGAGTTTTTTCACTAGGAATGGGAGGCATTTTGCTACATTTTTTCATACTTCTGGGATGCAAAATGGTACGGTTTTTGTCCCTGGTTCAGGTCCCTCACTGTATTGCAAGCCTTTGCCAAGTCTCTGCCGAGCCTGCGCCGACTATTCGACGGCTTTGCCAGGCCTTGTAGGCACTTCCTACAATCTTTTTTTGGGTGTCCACCTGCCCTACGGCTCATATCAATCGACTTTGATGACCCGAACTGTATTCGACCCGAAAAGTCGGGACGCGAAAAAATCAAAAAATTCAAATCTCCGATTTTTTCAAATTTTCTCCTACCAACTCTACCTAGCGTATATAATAACGCCCCGAAAATTTGAGGCGATTCCTCGAAGCCGCAACGCACGGGAATAGAAGAAAAAATTTCCCGCCCCTTTTTGGTGATTCGTTCAAAACGAAATGTCACTATCGATGAAAACGCATTTTCTTATCTTTATCCTTCCTTTTCGAGAAAAAACAATTATTTCGGGCGAGAAAAAGGGCCGATAATTTCGCGACATTTCGTCTCCCTTTTAAATCAATCAAAACGATAGGAAGTCCCGAAAAGGTTCAGGAAATGCCCTGGATTGACGTGTGCGGCCCAATAATCGCCTGCTCTCACCTTGTCCGCTGCACTCAGCGATGAATCCTTTGCTTCGATGGTCTTGCTCTTCCTCCCCGCACTCTGCTCTGCGAACGGCGGCCGATACGACAACGACTTTGATTTGGACTTGCCCTTCCCGCCGCACAGCATCAGAAGGATCGATGTGAACAGCGACGATGCGGCCACAACACACCACATCTCCAAGGTCCCGGGCCAACAGTGGAGCAGAGACGCCGGCACTCGATGATCGCCAAATTTCGTCGCCCTTGACACGTTAATGGGATCGTCGAAGAAGAGGAGGCGAGACAGCGGGACCAAGTCGACCGCCACGTTGATAGGGAGAATTGAGAATGTGAGGATTCCCTTCGCTCGGAATGAAAGCGGTCTCCATGTGACGAAATTTCATGCAAATTTATTCAAATTTTGCGCTTAAAGGGCAAGTTATGAGATTTCTAGTTTTCGCTTTGCATAAATTACCGAGATTTTTACCTCGAAAATCGGCAAAAATACGAAATTTTTTTTTGCGAATTTTGTCATGAAAATTTTCACGAATATTTCTACCGTAGAGAGTAATGTTTCCACAAAAAATCAACTTTTTCCGCGCAAAACTGGCAAAGATACGGCCAAAAAATGGTTTTTTCTCTGACCGGTCTCCGCATTTCGTGTACTCTCTCGCTGAAAAACGAAAATCTGAGCGTTGCACTTGAAATCTCTCCCTTGTATATGGAGAAATTGAATGTAGACATTTATTTGGCCCCTCATAACACACATTTTCTTTTACTTTCTCAAATTTGACAGTAATTACTGTATTTCCAAACAATCGTATAAGATATCCCCGCAGGCTGCAGTCCCAAAATTTACATCGGGCGCAGCTCGCGCAATTAAATTGCATGGGATATTTTCCGAAAACTCTATCGTCCATCAAAATCAGGGTGTTTTCACGAAAGAACGAGCTTTTTTACACTGCTTTGACGTCCTTCCCTCTAATCGATCTGACTTTTACAATTTCAGCAACATGGATCAACTTTTGGACATGGAGCAGCTGAACAAGCTGACCCCCGAGCAGCAAGAGAAGGTCATTCAAGGTGTCCGGCAACAAGCAGCCATTGTTCATGCCCAAAGTTTGATTTCGGTAAGGTTTATACGGTTGTTTGAATTGAAATTTAGAGTAAAAACACCATTTTATCTTACACTCGATTTGAATCGATGTGTAATAGAAAATTGTAAAATTTGAAGCAATTTCGTGCATAAAACAATGTGAACCCGCAATGTACCGACGGTTTCTTTCAGGATCTTTCTGACAAGTGTATTGCCAAGTGCATTCCGGCCCCAGGAACTTCGCTATCGGGCTCGGAAAAGCAGTGTCTTCAACGGTGCATGGACCGGTTCGTGGAGAGCTGGAATCTCGTCTCGCAGACGCTGCAGAAACGTCTTCAAGCCGAACTGGCCGCCAACCATGGGCAGAGCAGCTTTGGATCCTCAAGCTATGGCGAAGGACCATCGTTCTCGTAAATTACGGGCAATTTCACAATATTATACTAGATGAGCACGATTTGAATTGTTTTTGTTGAGAGAGTCGTTTAATAAAGCCGATTTCTTGATTTTTCGTGAGTTTATAATGTTTACAATGTATTTTATAGACGAAAAGTTTGGTTTGACATTACTTTCTACATCTTTGATCGATTATATAACACTAGGTCTAGTACAATATAAATCTAGTGCAACACCGATCCAAATCAATGTTTGATAAAGAAAGCTCTTATGGCCTTCTTCAAGTCCTCTTACTGCTTATGATCATAATTTGATCGATTTATTCACATAAATATACCAGTAATAATCTAAACCGTAAAAACATCAAGTACAATATAAAATTTACATTTTTCTCGGTCCTCTCCCCCTTCTAGCTGACTTGATCCGGCGAGAGTTGATCCATAAAGCTATCGACTCGCTGTTTCAGATGCGTTACGGCATCTCGATCCACCAGAATGTGAGTTTCGTCCAGTTGTTTTATAATGAATTTGTAGGAGAGTTCCTGAGTCTTGTCCATGTGTCGGATTAGCTGTAGCATGGCTGGATCACAAGTGATCAGGGTTGCCATCTTCATGTTCACCATGTTTACGGAATTTTCTGCAATTTCAAGGTCAAATTGAAAGTTAATTGAAGCTAATTAAAGTGTAACAAAAAAAATAAAAACAATTATGTTGCTTGCACATGGTAGAATACAAAAAAAGGAAGTTTTACCGTGGTAAAACCTTCCGTGTTTCTGCTGCGGCGAAAACAAGATTTCGCGGGCTGCGCCCACACTTCCTGCAGCCTGCAAAGTGCACTTACGCAGTTTGCGCCCAATTATGGAAAAAAACTTGATAAAATTATACTCTATTCATTTCTCAATGATTTTTTTACTTGATTTCCAGTTATTCGAGCATTTTATATACATTTTCAGCAATTTATTAGCCTTTACCTTAGGTACAACAACAAAAAATGCCAAAAAAACACTGAATACGAAAAACTTTGAACGATGAGAAAAATAAATTATCATTTTAACCGCTGCATAACTTTTTGTGTCATTTCAGCCAAAAAAAATAAAAAAAAAATCGAAAAATCCAAAAAATTTCATTTTTTAAATTAATTATTTTTTTTCCAAATTCTAGTAGTTCATTACACAGTGAGGTTCTACAAGGCCACAAACAGTTGAGAAGTTGGTGTTTGAGGCTAAAAATCAAGGGTTGTGGGCCAAGTATGGGCGGAGAGTTGGGATGGCGGGGGTTTTAATTGTCTGCGGAAGGGGCTGCGCCGTGAATGCCTTGCGGGGATTTTGGGAGAAGGCACTCATCGGGATCACGGTGAGCTGCTCGCCGATCATGCGGCGGGGCGATAGGGTGGTGGCCGTCACTTTTGGGAGATTCCTTATGGCGACTTGGTTCTGAAAGCAAAAAAATTTCCAATTTTCAATAGCAAAAAATTTCATTTTTGTCTCAAAAAGAAACCTAGACCCATCTCGGGCAACATAGATCATTTTTAGATACTAAAATCCAAAAAACAGTCCAAAAAATTTAATTTTATACCTAAAAATCATCAAAAATCTTCATAAACCCCGAGGCGATTTTCCAATATTCTTCAAACTTTGTCTCAAACCTCTATCTAGCCCACAAATCAATCGTTGAAATTTTCAGCTCCCACCTTGCGTTTACAATCGAAAAATTCAAGATTTTTCCGACAAAAACCCGAAAAATAATGAGAAATAAGAGAAAAAAATCCATTTTCTGTCTATATCTCATCAAATTCCACTCGAAACAAGATAATTTCCCACACAAACATTCTACTGGTCACTTCTATCAAATTCGAAAAGGCGTCATCCAAGTTTTCAGCAAAATTTCTTAATACAGGGTGTTTGAAGAAATATTTCAGAAAGTTTTTGCGAATACCTTTGTGCTCTTTGCAGATATCCAAGAAGTTTAAATTGATTTTAAAATTTGAAGTTGGGCGATTTTTGAATACGCGAAGCAATTTTTTGTCGCGTCGGCGGAGAGGCCATTTTTCGGCGGAGACATTTGACGGCTTTTTTTGAAAACTACACCTTGTTGCAAATCCCAGACAAGATTATATGCATCCTACCAGATGTAACAGACCTAATTTCATCCGTACTTAAGCTGTCTGGACTTTGTAACAAGGTGTAATTTTCAAAAAAGGCGTCAAATGTCTCCGCCGAAAAATCGTCTCTCTGCGACGCGACAAAAAATTGTTTCGCGTATTCTAAAATCGCCCGACTTCAAATTTTTTAAAACCAATTTAAACTTCTTGAATATCTGCAAAGAGCACAAAGATATTCGCAAAAACTTTCTGCAATATTTCTTGAAACACCCTGTATGAAAAAATTTCGCTGAAAAAATCGATGAAACCTTTTAGAATTTCATAGAAGTGGCCAGTAGAATGTTTGTGTGGGAAATTACCTTGTTTCGAGTGGAATTTGATGAGATATCGACAAAAAATGGAATTTTTCGCTTATTTCTCATAATTTTTCAAGTTTTTGCAGGAAAAATCTTGAATTTTTCGATTGTAAATGCAAGGTGGGAGCTGAAAATTTCCGCGATTGATTTATGGGCTAGACAGAGGATTGGGACAAAGTTTGAAGAATATTGGAAAATCGCCTCGGGGTTTTTGAAGATTTTTGATAATTTTTAGGTATAAAATGGATTTTTTTTTGATTTTGCTCGCTTTTATCTTGATAGAGGATTGAGATAAAGTATGAAGAATATTTGAAATTCTTCAAACTAACACTATTTCTTGAAACTCTCTGTATGTTCAAAATTAAAAAAAAAAAAAAAAAAAAAAATCCAAAAAGGTCTCCAAACCCCTTCCAAATCGTACCTCTTTGACTTCTGGGTTAGTGGGATGCATTCTCTTGACGAATCCCTCGGCTTTGGCTATAAAAAAATTGTTGTAATAGCTGATCAAGTCCACAAAGATCTGTTCCGGGGGTTCTGGTGTATGAGAATTGGATCCATTAGTGGGGCAGGCACTCCCACTCCGGAATACCCGCTGATTCGAGGACGAGCCGCGGCTGGCCGAGTCGTCATAATGAGCTGATTGTTGCTGGGGATGGGCTTCCATGAGGACCTTGCGATAGATGCGGCTGTGGGCCTGTGGCTGATTGCGGTATTCGTCGATGATGGTGTGGAAGGAGGCTTGTGTATTGATGAGTTTCGAGACGATATAGAGGCAGCACATTAGGTTCTGGTCCAGGTGTCGGCCGGCCATGAGGGTCGTATCGGTGCGTATAATGTGTTCAAATGCGGTCCAGGCGCGGTTTCTTGACGCCTCGTCCATTCGAATTCGGTCGGCCAGGTCGGTCATGCGGATCGCGGCCAGGTAATAAAACTAAAAATAAAAAAAAAATTTTGAAATTAAAAAAATTTTTTTTTCAATTTCAAATTCAAAGGCCTAAAAACACTTCTCCAAACTGTATTTTACCTTTTACAATCACAAACATCCCAAAAAGTCACAAATTTTTTCCCAAAATTTCAAAAAATCATCAAAAACCTCAAATTTCAGCCTAAAACAAGGTAAAATTGATAAAAACCCCCTAAAAATCCCCAATTTTCAGCCACCATCTTTCATATTCTACCTTAACACACCATGAAATTCCCTAATCCACCCCACTTTCCTTCAAAATCACCAAAAAAATCCAAAATTTCCATAATTTTACCTTTCGGAAGAACAAACTCATGCCGGATGGCATTCCGTACTCATCGGGACGGCGTTTTTGGGGTACTCCCTCCTCGTCGGCGAACTCAATCTTCCTTTTGGCGCTCATCCGGTCCAGCGGCTTCATCGGCGAGGGCACGTATCGGCTTTGCATTGGGAGCTGACCGGCCAGGTCCTGTAAAACCGCGTCGCACGGCGGGATTTCGGGGCGTTTCTGGAGGGCCTGCCACAACGGAGAGTCGAACTGCCATGCCAGTTCGTCCAGGACCTTTTCCTCGCAGCGGTTGAGGTGTTTGACCATGTCTCGGGAGAGCTCCGGGTCAGCTCGGATGATCACCTAAAATAAGGTCGTAACTCTTCGATATGGTAATAAAGATATTCAAAATTGAAATAAAATGTCTTCTAGTGCCCTAACCAACACTTCTCAATGCAATTTTCATCATAAAAAACATTGATTTTGACCCCGGGATCAGCTCGGACGATCATCTAAAATAAGGTCGTAACTCCCCGACATCGTGGTAAAAATGTTCAAAACTAAAATAAAATGTCTTCTAGTGCCCTAATAAGTATCTATGGATCCAATTTTCATCATAAAAGACATAGATTTTGACCCCTGGATCAGCTCGGATGATCACCTAAAATAAGGTCGTAACTCCCGGATATAGTAATAACCAGAGATTGCCACGGCTCCGGAGCCGGCTCTTGGCTCCGGCTCTGAGCGGCTCCGGCTCCGAGCCGGGAGCCAGAGCCGGAGCCGGAAATTTTGGGGTCGGCTCCGGCTCCCGAGCCCAAAGTCGGAGCCAGGCTTCCCAGCGGTCAGAAAAGTAAAAATTTCGTGATCTTGTTAAACCAAATTGCTTGAAAAAACACTGCGGAGGATGTGACTTGACTGCAGAAACGTTGGCTGTATGATCTCTGGCACTAATAACTTTTATTTTCGGAAAAAATTTTTAAAAAAACATTTTGCATAAGAGCCGGGATTCGGAGCCGGAGGCCTTTTTAAATTTTGCACGGAGCCAAGAGCCGGAGCCGGAGCTGCAAATTTGGCCTCGGCTCCGGCTCTGGGAGCAAAGAGCCAGAGCCGGAGCCAAAATTTTGACCGTGGCAATCTCTGGTAATAACAATATTCAAAACTGCAATAGATTATCTTCAAGTGACTCCAAAAGTACTCTTCAATCCAATTTTCATTAGAAAAAGAGCGGATAACAACCCCGGGATCAGCTCGGATGATCACCTAAAATAAGGTCGTAACTCTCAGCTATGGTATTAAAAACTTTCAAAACTGCAATAGACTGTCTTCGAGTAATCTAATCAACACTTTTCAATGCAAATTTCTTTATAAAAAACATGAGTTTTCACCGCGAGTCAGCTCGGATGATCACCTAAAATAAGGTCGTAACTCTCAGCTATGGTATTAAAAACTTTCAAAACTGCAATAGACTGTCTTCGAGTAATCTAATCAACACTTTTCAATGCAAATTTCTTTATAAAAAACATGAGTTTTCACCGCGAGTCAGCTCGGATGATCACCTAAAATAAGGTCGTAACACTCCGAAACCGTAGTAAAAATGTTCAAAACTGGAATAAAATTTCTTCTAATGCCCTATTAAGTACTTTTCAATCCAATTTTTATTAGAATAAGCAAGGATTTTGACCCCGGGATCAGTCCAGATGATCACCTAAAGTAAGGTCGTAACTCCGACACGGTAAAAAAATATTCAAAACTGCAATAGACTATCTTCTTATGCCCTAACCAATATGTTTAAATACAACTTTCGTTATAAAAAACATTGATTTTGACCCCGGGATCAGATCGGATGATCACCTAAAATAAGGTCGTAACTCTCCGATATAGTAATAAAAATGTCCCTACCGTATTTTACCATCTTACTATACCCTTCTAATTGAATTTTTCGTTCAAATTCGCAAAACATTGCAATTCGTTCTGGGTCCCACCACGAAAACGCAAATCTCAAAACCTCTGCAAAGCCCTCGGAATTTCTCTAATACTGTCGCCAAGCCTCTCATTACTCTATTCCAACACCAATCCACCCTATATCTACTCAAAGAACCATCAAATTCACCACTTAACCTACTTCAATATAACTTTACCTCAATGATCTTATAAAAATTGACCGGTGCCATTTTGACCGTTCTCACGGACCACGGGAACTCCCTTTGACTGTCGTATGCCATTGCCACCAGCTCGAATGAGGCCACATATAGGCCGCGAATAAAGTCTTCTTTCTGTACAATGGAGGTTAAATCCGAGGTGTCAGCACGTGGATTTCGCGCTCGATCGTAGAGGATGGTGGTTTGGAGGAGGCGGTAGAAGAGTTGTTCCACTTGGGCGAGGTGTTTTTGAAGGTCGACCACGAATGGGGCGTCGAATTGAGGGCCGAAAGCGGCCGTCTCCTCTTCGCAGCGGCGCGCGACCAAATTTTCGAGTCTTTCCACTGGAAATTAATTCGATTACTAGTCGAATTACAAATTTTTATGGCCATTACGATCCATTTTATCAACTTTTGATCGTCACAGACCAATTGCCAATGTTTTTGAATTTAATTTATATTGTAGTAGATGAGCTGATAAATTGAGATATTCCCTTGAAAAAACAAGGAAAATTGCCTTATAAATCAAGTTGTTATGCCTTCTAGACTACTTCATTCAAAATCCCCAAGCTTCTATGTCAAATTTGAGATTTCAGGTTTTCGTGGTGGGACCCAAAACAATATGTGATTTTCCAAAATTCAATCAAAATTTTTAGACGGATAGCACCCAAAAATATGGTTTGTCTCAATTTTAATCTATTTAACTCTCAAATTTGAGATCTACGACCTTATTTTACATGATCACCTGATCTCATAGCAAATTCAAAATTTTTGTATTTGGTGAGAAAATTATAGTGAAATATATGACATCTAGTTTCTAATTTATGACAAAGCCTTCCAATATCAACCCTAAATTCCAAAGAAAAAAACTTTTTTCAAAAAATCCGTGGTCCCAATACAAAATAGTTCCAAAAGTAAATAAAAAACGTAAAAATCCCCTCCAAATCCATTCAAAAACTCACCAGCATTTGCTATATGGGCTTTGACATTCTGCTGGCAATGAGCGATGAGTCTGTCAAACTCTCCATCGCTGTTTTTGTAGTCCTGAGTTATTAACTCGACCAATTTTTGAGATTTATGCGAAGCGCCCGAAACCGGCGTGTTGGGGACGAACTGTTCCGAGGAAATGATGTAGGACCTCGCCGATAACGGGGTGTTCAGTGGTTTTGCTTGCAACTGGACTTTTTGGAGACAGCTTTGGGTGGACATTCGGAGGAGGAGGTCCGCGTCCACCGCCCATTGCGAATTCAGGTTGCCGCGGCGCAGGATCGTGATCGCACTGTCTGAAATACAATGAAATAGACTAATAAAACTCTTGGCAACTCTCTCAGTAACATTGTAAAACCAAACAAAATCTTGGTTTCCAATTTTTTACATTTTTTTGAAATCCGCACAGTGCAAGGCCAAAAAAAGCCTAAAAATCGGTCCGCACCGTGCAAAAATATTTCACACGGTCTAAAATCCGATAAATGAGACTCTTGACAACTGTCTCAGTAACATTAAAACATCAAAAAAAAATTCTGTTTTCAATTTTTTAGAACTTTTTGAATTCAGCACAGTGCAAGGCCAAGATTAGACATGGCTGGGGGGCCGGGCCGGGCCGAAAATCGCGGCCCGGCCCGGGGGCCGGAAGAGGTCGGCCCGGCCCCGGCCCCCTTCAAATTTTCTCGGCCCGGCCCGGCCCGGCCCCCAGGGGGCCGGGCCGGGCCGGGGGCCGACCGGGGGCCTAACTGTAAATATAAATACTGCATTCATTACGAGATATAACACATTTTTTTGGGGCTTTGGTAGTTCAAACCCCCACTGTTTTGTCCATTTCACACACCCCATAAGTAAAAAATTAGAATAATACAAAAAATGGAAATTAGAGTAAAATGACCCCCGGCGTTTTAGCTGAGACCCCCAGTTACCGTCCAAATTCGTTCTTGTGGTTCAGGCAACGCTGACCGTAGCCGAGAGAACCCAATCCCGAGTAGGCGCTTCAGATTGGATTAGGGGGCTTATACTGGGTCAAGGGGGGCTGAACTGGACTGGCGGGTTGTACTACCTTAGCCCCCATTTTTTGTTATAAAAATCGAAAAAAAAGTTTTTGAAACAAAAAATTACCAACCATTGCCATGTATATACTTCAAAAGACCCAATCGGTTCTTGGCTCTGCGTTTTATTTTTATTGGCAAGCCTAATTTTCGCCTTGAGACTGGGAATTTTAGTCATTGGGGGCCGATTGGGGGCCTGGCGGGGCCCCCGGCCGGCCCGGCCCGGGGGCCGGAAGAGGTCGGCCCGGCCCCGGGGCCTTTAAAACTCATTCGGCCCGGCCCACTAGCCATGTCTAGCCAAGATAAGCCTAAAAATCGGACCGCACCGTGCAAAAATATTTCGCACTGTCTAAAATACGATGAATGAGACTAATGATGCTCTTGGCAACTCTCTAGGCAACACTAAAAACCTAAAAAAAAAATTTTTGTCTCCAATTTTTTGAAATCCGCACAGTGCAAGGCCAAAATAAGCCTAAAAATCGGATCGCACCGTGCAAAATATTTTTTTGGGGGAAAAATCTCAAAAGTTCAGCAAAACGTTGATCCAAAATTACTGTCAAAATTTTTTTTGAACGTCTAAACATCAATTCAAAAATTTTTTGAGTTATTCTTACCATCCAAACTTTCATTGAAGACCATGTCCACATTGTCGATGACATGCGAAATGAAGACTCTTTCGTCGATTTCCATCTTTTTCAGCATCTGTGTTTCGTAGAGTTCGTTCAGATTCTTCCTAAAATTTGCAAAATTATCCAAAAAAATCAAAAAAATAAAAAAAAAATTTCAAAAAATTCCAAAATTTTTTTTTTTTCAAAAATGCCCATTTTATTGTCTAAAAAGCCCTCAAAAAACTAAACATGGCCAAACATACTTATTCTCCTCAAACGAATCCAAGATTTGAATTGGATTAACGGAATTTGGCAATATTAAAGTTCCTTTGGTCTCTAGCTCCCGAATTGCCGGTAGGATCCAATAAACTCTCATGTGTTTGGCATCCAGCTCCACTCCTTCGAACTGGCGACACATGAAATCTAAGGGAGAATCGTCGGGATTCATTAATTTTACGAATTCCGGATTTAGAATTGGACTTTCGGCTTGCCGCAGCTCGCTGAAACAGATCTCCACCAACGAGATGAGAAGGTGATACGAGCTCATCAAGTCTTCCATGCCAGCTGGAAGGCATTCTGGAAAGAAAAAATGGTCAATTCTGGAGTTTTTTATTTTTGAAAATTCGCACAGTGCAATCAAAAATTTTTGCTATTTTGAGCATCGCAAATAATAAAAAATGAAATATTGCCTCAGGAAATCATAAGAAAATGTAGAATCAGTGATCTCAACATTTTTTGGAATTTTTCTTTGCCCTCTTGCACTGTGCAAAATAAAAAATTTTTGGTTGCACAGTGCACCGGAATTTTTTTGCGATTTTTGGAACTTCAAAAATCGAAGAAGCAAAAATGACCTCAGAATTTGAAATTGCATTGCAAAAAGATCCTATATACAACTTTCCAATTCATCACGACATCATCTTTGTCCCTAAAAACGAAAAATATTTTGACTGCACAGTGCAGTCAAAAATAAAATTTAAAAACATACTTTTCAATGCTACCAAAGCAATCCATATGAACTCAAATAGCTCCGCAGTTGTTACACTAGTGATTGGATTCGAAGTTTTGGTTACTGGATGAATTCTAAAGACCGCTCGAAAGATTCGGAGGTACTTCTTGTAGATAACTGTAGATACGGAAAGAGATGCTTCCACGCGTGCGGCGTGATCTTGAAGACGTCTGGAAGCTGAGATCATGTCCAGCCAACGGCTGAGTTTGTTGAAGAACTCGAGAACACTAAAAATTCTCATGGATAATATCGGAGGTCTTTTATTTTAGATTTTAATCATCTCTAATTGATGAAAATAGAAAGAACAAGGATCGTAGAGCAATATTCCAGCTTTTTCTTTGATCTAAACACCAAAAACAAAAGGGAATATCAAACTCTTACCTGACATTACACGTCCTCAACAATTTCAACAACGAATATGTGTAAACTGGATCCTGCCCGTACGGAGTGGCTTGAAAACTGTTGGTGTAGAACGCACAAGCCATCCACACCTTCTCATTGCCCTCCAACAAGACCTGCTGTTTGATTTGATCGTATTGTTTCCACGCCTTCTCCAGCAATAACCCATCAATCTCGCTGTCGAATTCACGGAAAAGCTCAATAAATTCGTTGCTCACTTCCATTGGGGGCTCATCCAGACTCCTCAAGTCGAAGGCCTCCTCCGTATCTTCGGTGCGTTCGACGACTTCCGCCATTGGACTAGATTCGTTGGGCAAAACGCCTAAAAATTGGAGAAAAATAAAGTAAAAGAACCTGATTTTGTCTTTAAAACGACGATAGGGGCATAAACCTCGTCTTCAACGCGTATCAGACATAAAGCGACCGCAGAACCACCGAATTTTATATTGTACTAGGTAGTGATACCTAAAAATCTCCAGAAAACAGGAAAGAACAGACGAAAATCATCAATCTTCCCTTCTAAAATAAAGGTTATGTGAAAACAACAATTTCGAACATCAAGATTGCAGAGAAACAAGGACTTTCAGACAGAATATTGCACTTTACATCAGATAATCTAAAAGTACGGTTCTTGGTAAAAATGGAAAAAGTAAGGGCCGAAACTCAATCAACTAGCTTCTAGAGCTTTTCAAAAGACCTGACATCAAATTTCAGATCAGATTTTCGATCAGACATCAAATTATATTATCCATGAGATCAGATGTCTAAATTATCAAAATTCAATATTTTTCAAAGAAAATAGCTAAGATTGTATATTCAGATATTACAATCACATCAAGCCAAACATTTTAAGACCAAAAATTCAATGTTTGATCTCCATTTCACCCATGTTTTATCCATTCCCCGCAAAGAAGCGGGCTGAAACAGAAAAATCTCGATAAAAAGGCTTCAAAAGTTGTGTAATGGCATAAACGCAATAGCAGAAATCAACGCCCAGCCATCGGATGTCCATCGGAGCCGAAGAAAATTTGTTCCCCGACCTTTTTTCCCACTCGCCCGCCATTTTTCGGTCTTTTTTTCCCTCCCAAAGAAATGAGTGGCGCTTTTCTCGCGGTTCTTGCCGCGAAACCGTTGGAGTGGGTCCCTGATTTTTCAAAAAAAAGATGTCGAGATTTTGACCCAAATTTACTGACTTCAAAATTTATTTGGTTCTTCTAATTGCACTGTGCAAAAAAATAAAATTCCGCACTGTGCGGGAAAACTTGAATCGACTGCACAGTGCAAAATAGACACCCTAAGGGCAAAATAACGATTCAGAAAAGAGATCTCGAGATTTTGACCCAAATTTACTGACCTGAAAGAAAATCTGTTTGGTTCTATAAATTGCACTGTGCAAAAAAAATCTCAAATTCCGCACGGTGCGAAAAACATATAATCGATTGCACAGTGCAAAGTAGACACCCTAAGGGCAAAATAACGATGAACACCGAAACTTCCAGTTGTAATGACAACGGAGAAGAGAAAAATTACAATCAAAATCGCACTTGACGACTGGAGAGAGCGAAATCAAAAATTTCGCACAGTGCAGAAGCAAGAAATCTCGAAAAATCTCAAATTTCCTATATTTCTTTGGATGAAATAGAGGAAACAACTACCTAGAGGACAAATAAAGCCTAGAGAAGCCTTCAAAACCCTATGAACAACCAAAAAACCTTCAAAAAACGAGTAAAAAGAACTAAAGTAACATAAAAAATGCCAAAACACAACAAAAATGCCGAAAACTAATGACAACGGTTTATTTCCAAAACGAAAGATGGTGATTCATCGTGATGTAAGGTGAGACGATCCAAGTTACTTGGGGCCGAGGTAACAGGAGACGTCGGAACGTTGCTGTGGTGCCGAGCTGCCACCGCTGGAACCACCGCCCGAAGATCCGGAAGAGCCGCCGGACGAGCCACCGAACGCGTACTCCTCGCGGACGTAGCCACCACCGCCGCCACCGCTCGATCCGCCGCCGCTGTAGGCTCCCATGTAGGCGCTCTTGTCTCCCATGGTGTTGTTCTCGGTTCTCGGGGCCACCACCGAAAGCAAAGTGATGGGAAATGAGCGCCCACCTCTCCTTTTATACCCACAATGGTGCTCATGCAAAAATCGCACAAGAAATTTGAATAAAATGGGCGGAAAATGCAAAATTTTTGGAATTGTTACCTATTTTTGGACGATTTTTTACTTTTTTTGCCCAAAATTCGCTGTGTCGGTGGGGAAATTGGAAAATTCGTGGGAGATTGAGAGATTATTGTGTAATAGATGTCTTCTACAAAGGCCTGCTTCATAGTCTTCCTACTTTTTATATTATCCATCAAAACTTCCACTACTCCTATCAGATACGATGGAGCCAAAATCTACCAATTTGACTGCCCAAAACAACTTTTAGAAGTCTTAAAAAGAAAAATGAAGACCTCTGTAAGTTATGTTTCGTATTTTAGAAACGAAATTTACGAGATTTTCCATTTTTTTCGTCATTTTCTAGCCTACTACAAGGTCATTTGAAATTTGGAGTCTGCGGCCCGGAAATTCCATGAATGCCATCGCATTTGTCGCTCCAGAACAACAAAGGCGATTTGAGAGGTTGCTGAAAAAGTCGCGGTTAAACTACAGTATCCTCAACCGGAATATTCAAGCGTAAGTTTGGGACTGCACGGTGCGGAAAATTTTTAAAAGTTTTGAGTGCACTGTGCGGCCAAGCTTGATGTCCATAATATAAAATAGAGTACCTAAAATGTTGCTACGTATTTTGTCTTATAATCAGAAGTGTATTTTTTTGTATTTCCGACGGTAAAATTCTAGAAATTCCGATTTTTTCGAAAATTTTTGAGATTGCACTGTGCGAATAATTTTGTCTCTCCCTCTGCGATCGTCGATTACAATATCGAATATGATTTTTTCGGTTTATATAGCCCATACGGCTCACTCTTTTAGATTTTATCGAAAATTTGCCCTGAGGCTATCGCGGATGCACAGTGCGACCGGATTTCTTTTTTCCGCACTGTGCAGAGATGCAAAAGTTTACTTTTTAGAGCCCACGACGCAGAAAAGGCCGAAATGACAAGACGTCGGAGGAAATTGATGTCCACAGAAAAAGGTACCATCTCTGTGGACCAATACCATACTTTAGAAGAGGTATTACGGTAGTATTTTTTTCCAAAAATTTTTTCCAATTTTTAGATGGAAAAGTATCTAAAAGAGGTCGCTGAACTTTTTCCCGAGAGAATTCAACTGTTCGAAGCTTCGAAAACCTATCAAGGCCGCAAAATTTACGCATTGAAGGTAACGTCATCATGGATAATATAAAATTTCGAGCTTTTAGATCTCAAATTGCATTAAATGCCCCTCAACAAAGCCCTCGGCCCTCGTGAACGCCGGATTTCACGCGAGAGAGTGGATGAGCCATGCTAGCGCCATCTACATCATCAATGAGTTTGTCCACAACTCGAAAGACCCCAAAATAAAGTGGCTTTTGGACCGTTTTGACTGGTATTTTGTCCCGAATGCGAATCCAGACGGCTATGTTTACACTATGAACGAGGTAGAAAATTAATTTTTTGATGGATTACTGTAACTGTGGGGTTACGGTAGATGGCAAAAATCCGTATTTTAGGACCGATTATGGCGGAAAACAATGTCGAAACATAAAGGAGGAGTGGGTGTGGACATGAACAGAAATTATGGATATCATTGGGGAGGTGGGTGGATACTTTTTGATACTTTTTTGAAATTTTTTGGGATTAAAACAATTCTGTATGTTACAGTAATTTTAGAATAAATTATGCCTGAAATTACCGGGAGTGGCCTGATAAATGAATTTTTAGAGCTATCGCAAAGTTAATTGGATTCTTTTTGATACTTTTTGCACATTTCCTTCCATTTTTGCTAATTTTTTACAAAAAACTTGCCGATTACTGTAATTTTTTTCAAAAATAGAAGCTAAAAATGGTGTCGGAAGACGAGATAAGCTCTCAGCTTTTGAACAATACCATACACGGTTAATGTTTGGGTCATTTTAGAAGAGAAAGAAGCCAAGGACCCGGCCGAGGAAGTGTTTGCCGGAACTGGCCCATTATCAGAAGTAGAAACAAAAGGACTCGCAAAATTTGTTGATGAAAATGTCAAAAACTTGACTATCTTCTTTGATATCCATGCATTCATGCAGTCGTTCCTCTTACCCTGGGGCTATACCAAGGAGAAGCCAAAGCACTTTGGATACCTAATGGATGGATGTACGCGAATTCTGGAGGCTATAAAGAAGTTTAATGGAAATAAATACAATTGTGGAACTCCTGTAGAATTGTTATGTAAGGATTCTTTTGATTTCCGCGAAGTTTTAACAATGAAGGGAACAGTTGACACATCCGGGTCAAGTCTTCCGCTCTATCAGAAAACGGTTACGAGAAGGTTTGATGAAAAATTTTGGGAAATGCTAAAATAAGGTGTTTCTACTCGATTTTTACTGCAGTGAGTGTAAAACAAGTCTTTTCAGATCCAGTTTCGGGCAGTGCAATGGATTATTATCACTCAAAAGGGGTACCCTTGAGCTATTCGGTGGAAGTTCGACCATTCTCCAAAGACAATGAAATGTCAGATAAAGAATTCTTGGCCTCGATGTCAGCTCCAGCCAGCATGATAGTACCCACCGGCCAAGAAATGCTTGTTTCTTTATATGAACTAGGTCAATATTACTATAGCCCAAAACAGTAGTTAATTTTACTGTAGATTCGTTGGAAATGAAATAAATAGCGTCTACTAACTTTCTTTGCTGATTTTTTTTTTCAATTTTGAGGTGGTTTGGAGAGTTTGTAAAAAATATCAATAATTTTGTGACACTTCGCAACAAAAGTCAATAATTTTGAGTAAAATTGAAAATAATTTTTCTCCGATTGTCGAATGGATTTCGTTGAAGGCTTTTGGAAGATTATGAGTCGCTGTCTTGTTTTTGTTGGAGTTCACCGCGATTTATATTATCCATTAGATTGATTTGATCCAAAAAATTTTATTTCGATGAAAACTGATGGAAATACAAGGAAATTGGGCTAGATAGTGTTGTTTTTTCTCTAGTTTTACTATGTTAGTTATCTGTCTTATGAAAGGTTTTATTTTCAATCGAATTTTAGAGCTTATATTGAACTTGGTAGCAGTAGATGAAAAAATTGAAATATTTTTATGTTATTGATGGAATTGTTGGTAAGATTTACATTTAATATCAAGAATAGGTCTCGATAAGTCTACTGAGTAGTTGTGAAATTAATTTTGATAATAGGTTTTATGAAATTTTGAGGTTTTTCGATTTTCGTAGCTTTGATGTCAAAAGAAACAATTTTTTCGATTTTTAGCTATTCTCCCTTAGGCAATGAAATTGAAATGTGATTCAGAAGTTTGTCAAGGTCTTCTGACGTGGTCTGAGATAGGTTTCGAATGTGTTTTTATCAGTTTTTGAACGTATATTACACTTGATATCAGTTGACGTTAAATGTGGAATATCGTGGTATTTTTGCGAAAATTCTTGGTGAATTTGATGTCTAGTAGAAGGACAATGATGCTAGGAGTCTAAAAAATTCATTTTAGCTCTAACATAAACAGTAGATTTTATGAAATTTTCAGATTTTTCAAAATCTCCTCATTTCTTCCTCAAAAATTTCGTTTTTCCCATTTTCGCTCCCAAATCCCCTTAGGCGGCGCTCTTCAAAAGTGGCGTACAAGATGTCAGACGTCTGCAGACTAATTTTGAACCGCATTCCGAAGACATGGAGACCCGAAACGGCGTCGAAAATCAGTCAATTTCTTGATTGGATCCGATCTTTTTTTTGCGAAGAATGGGATTCTCTCCGGTTTCAGCGAGACTTTCGGATGCTTCCACCCGCTTTTTTCACTTTTTTTTTTGTTTTCTGCAACGGGATATTAATTCCTGGGTATTATGATTCGGTGTTTTCTCCGATGGAATCCAGGATTTGGCGGATTCCACGCGTTTTGTCGTCAAATTATTAGCGTAAATCGCGATTTTGCACTGACTGTTTTGTGCATTGCAAGTTGAGGTTACTGTGGTTTTCGAATGCTCTCGGAAATTTGGAGTAATTCGCAGATTTTGACGAATTTTCGTTTAAATTTTTTAAAATTTTAAGATTTTTTGGCTGTTTCGGCCTATAATATGGGATTTTCAAGAAAAAATCGGTGTGAAATCAACCCAGAAATCTTTATTTTCTTGTATACCGCCTTTGGAATTTTCAAATCTCATTAATTTTCCACGGTGCAATTTTTTGCTTCAATTGCACTGTGCGGAATTTTTTTCGGACCGCACTGTGCGCCCGCTAAGCAATTTATTGTAAATTGTTTTGCACAGTATAGATGGGGACAGCTTCACACGTCTCCAGACGGAGCCATTTTTTATTCGCGGAAACGCGGACTGCACTGTGCGAAGTTCAAGTTTCATTGCACAGTGCGAAATGAATTTTCAATTGCACTGTGCGTGAGAAAACTGGGATTATGGGAGGGATTGGAAATAAATTAGGGTATAATGGAGTTTACCGTGATTTAAATTTTATAAATTTTGATTTTCAGCCTTCGTAGGCCAAGTTTATCAAAAAAAATTCAATTTTTCTTAATTTTTTCCAAGTTTTGAGTAAAAAATGTCAAATATTTTAAATTTTTGGACGTAAAATACGACATATTATCTATGATTACCCAAATTATGAAGTTTAACACCGTTTACGAGATCTTTTTTATATTACTTTAGATATATTTTTTCTAAAATTTTTCCTCAAAAAATTCCAAAATTGACCTTTATGGTCCACTCTCTTCGTATCTGCGATTCGAAGAAGAAATAGAACGACAAAAAACGAATGGAATGAGCAGAAAAAAGAGAGAGATTGACTTCCATCGCGGAAAGAATGGATAAGTTGTTTGAGAGGAAGGAACGTCACAACCCGTTTATTGGGTCGCGTTTCCTGGTCCTCGGGTTGTTCTCGCGACGTCCGAGTGCAATGTGATCGGGTTTTGGGTGGGAATCGAACCTCCGCATCTGATGTGTAATATAAAATTTAATGGAAATCTGGAAATTTTGGGTTGAAAAGGACTTTGTTTGATGTAAAATACGCTGTGGTGACCTTCTACATTAATTTTACCATGTAATTTAAATTTTTAAATCGAAAAAATCAATATTAAAAAAAATTAATTTTTCGATTTAAAAATTTAAATTGAATGGTAAAATTAATGTCGAAGGCCATCACAGCGTATTTTACATCTAACAAAGTCCGTTTCAACCCAAAATTTCTAGATTTCCATTAAATTTTATATACACATCAGCTGCGGATGTTCAATTTTCCACCCAAAACCCGGCCACATTGCACTCGGACGCCCCGAGAACAACCCGAGGACCAGGTAACGATGGCATATGCCTCAATAAACGTCTTTGATACCGTTAACATCAGTCTACGACAAGTCAAAATAAGTTTTATTTCTTTTCTCTCCAAAAATTTGTTGTTTTGCCCACGCAGCCTCTCCCTTTGTCAAAGATAAGGTCCAACTTATCAGCGAAAAGAATTTTAGCTCACTAAAATTAATTTTATGCTTGTAAACATTGAAAATTTTATTCATTTCCCAGTGGAAACGAGATTTTAAAATTTTTGCACAGTGCAGTCCAATTTTTAGGCTTTTTTTGCCACTGCACAGTGCAAAAATTTTTTTTCGAATTTGTCTCGAAAAAAATTATGCAAAAAATTTTGTAAGGGTTATTATGACGCAATCTCAGCTTTCTGTACATTTTCGCGACCAAAAAGGTCTACTTTTCGGGGCTTTTTTAACGCGCAGACAGCCGTTTTTTTCCTTTTCTCCGACCTCGGTCTGAGGTGGAATATTCCCGTCACTAATCGTGATCTGAGCGGCTCTAAGCCCTTCTCAGACGTTTGTTGCGACGGTTTTTGAGCTACTGTAGAGACGCGCTGTGAAATAAAAAAATCAAGGGTTTTGCACTGTGCGAAAATTTTAAGTCGAAATTTTGCACTGTGCAGATGGAGAAGAACTATAAATTGTCGTGTGTCATGAAGAATGCAGCGCATTCGACCAGTCGATTTAAGATTTTTGACTGTTTTAAAATTTTATGGCTTTTTGCGGTGAGAAATATTTTTCGCGCAGTGCAAAATTTCGAAATTCAAATTTTGCACTGTGCAGATAGCGGAGGTCTGCAAATATTTTTTATTGCGAAAACTGATACGTTATCCACTTGAGGATAACATATTTTCTTTCTGTTTTTGGGTCTTACGCCCTTAGGGAACGGTTTTTACCTCTGCACTGTGCAAAATTTCCGATTCAATTTTGCACAGTGCAGATGAGATAAAAAAAAATTTTGATGTCGTTTTCCGAGTTCATTGCTGTCTAATTGATCAGTCAACAACGTTTTATGATATTTTTTCAATATTATGCCTTAGGCGATCATTTTTATTTTCCGCACTGTGCAAAACTTTGGAGTCAGTTTTGCACAGTGCAGATGAGATAAAAAAAATTTTGATGTCGTTTTCCGAGTTCATTGCTGTCTAATTGATCAGTCAACAACGTTTTATGACATTTTTTCCACCATTATGCCTAAGGCGATCATTTTTACTTTCTGCACTGTGCAAAACTTTGGAGTCAATTTTGCACAGTGCAGATGAGATAAAAAAGTTTTGATGTCGTTTCCCGAGTTCATTGCTGTCTAATTGATCACTCAACAACGTTTGAAGATATTTTTTCCAATATTATGCCTAAGGCGATAATTTTTATTTTCTGCACTGTGCAAAACTTTGGAATCAGTTTTGCACAGTGCAGATGAGATAAAAAAGTTTAGATATTTTTTTCCCAGTTCACTACCCTCTAATTGATCACTCAACAACGTTTGAAGATATTTTTCCCAATATTATGCCTTAGGCGATCATTTTTATTTTCTGCACGGTGCATTATTTTTTTTCAAAAAGATCACGGCTAATTCGAATATAACTGAAAAAGTTGTGATGTATGGGCTCTAAAATGATTGATTCCGGCTAAAAATACAAAGCCCAGCTCACACGTTGAGCCCCATCTTCTCCTTGCTTGATCAAACAAATTGCTTTTCCTTCAGCCCCACCAAAAATAGACAGGTGGACGTTTATAACAAATTGTTATTTATGGAAAATTCGTTCTCCTTTTTCTCCCCCCGTTTTCTCCCATCATTTCGACGTTGGGCGACGCGGCGAACGTCGGGTTTTCCCGAAAGTTTTTGTAATTTCCGGCCTCCTCCGCCCACGATTTGTCGAACAACGGGTAGATTATGAGGCAGTGGAGTGGTTATTTCCTGGTTTGGAGAAATTCGTCCGATAAATTGACGTATTTTAGAGAAAAAATCTGTTTTTTTTTTGTTAAAATAAGGTCGAAAATCGTTTTTTCTTCGGCTTAAAGGATGTTTAAATTTTTGTAAAATACGATTAACTTAGATCTTGGCTGTTTTACAATGTTTTCTGAAGTTTTACATCGATTTTCCGCGAAAATTTTTGAGATTTTTAAATTTTCCACAAAAAATTTTTTATTTTGCAAAATTTCAGGTCCTTGGGCTGGGTAGCGGGTCACCATAGCAAACACAACATTCCACATGAACCATGGCCGAAGCCGGACCCAGCGGACTTCCCTTAGGCACCTATGAACTGAAAATTGGCCAAAGTTTCGCGAAATCGCGGAAAAAAGTGGATTATCATACTTTGCGATGTGAGTTTTTAAAAAATTATTGTCGAAAATATAGTGTAAACATAGTGTAATTGCATTTTTGAACGAATTTCGATGGATTTCCACCGAGAGGAACAGTTGACCCAATTCTTTCCATTCGGGTCAACTGTTTCTCTCGGGCAAAAAGTGGTGTTATACGAATGGGAATGGCTGGAAAATAAGGTGTATTTGATTTTCAGACGATTTCAAACCCAAATCCATCGGTGGCGAGACCGAAACCTACGTCTCCATCAACAACAACGACGATGTTCAAATCGCGATCGCCAGCGAAGGCCGCGACGACATAACCATGTACAAAGGTGCCAAGAAACCGATCAAGGACGGCAAGGAGTGCTTCCTGATCTTTGACGAATCCACCGGTGAAATGCGTCTGGAAAAGATCTCATCCAATATCAACGTGAAACAGACTAGGTAAGGATGGATAATATAAAGCATTTTTGGGGTCGTTTGTTGAAAGATTTTACTGAAATTTGAGATTTGAAGTAATTGAAGGAGTAGGAAAGTCTTGGAAAAGAGATTTTTAGATGCCAAGAGCTTTGCAATCTTTCGTGGTCGGACCCGGAATGAAGGTTTTATCATGGATAATATAGGGAAGATCTTGATGTAGAGACTTGAAATTTTGCATTTGAGATGACTATTCAGCTAGAAATATGAGGCAAACTGAGTTTTGACGTTTTGAAGACTTTGCAATTTTTCGTGGTAGGACCCAAACTTGATATAAGTGTTTTGAAAAATTGATAGAATAGAGTGGGAAAATGATCTAATTAGATGAAATAAATCATGTTTTAACAGTTTTTATAAAAAAATTTCCAGAAGAGCCGACGACGATGCGGATAAATTGCTCCGGGAAGAGGTCCGAAAACTCCGCAAAACGAAAGGTGCCTCCAAACCCATCCAACCCGATCCCCTACCAACTACACCCTCCAATCGACCACCATCACCGGTAAAAACGAGTCAACCGATAAGTCAACCAATTTCGTCCCCGAAGAAATCGGAGAAACCCCGTGAGAAACGCCCGTCCGAGTCCAAGAAACACAACGATTCCCATATGAGCTCGTCCAGCGACTCGTCCGACTCATCATCGGACTCTTCGGATTCCTCGGACGAGTCCGAGAATGAGGAAAATTCGAAGGTTTCGGTCGAAAAATCGCATCGGCAACGTCCGGAGTCCAGCAACTTTTCCAGCGATGACGAAGGTAAGATTTTGATTTCTTTTTTGGAAATTTTAGGCATGAAGATATGAAATTTTCTCTGGGCTAGCAGGATTTGTCGAAAAAATTTTAAAAATGAGTCTTTTCTACCGTTTACCGCATGAGAGAAAGACTTGACTCAACTTGACCCAACTTGGGTCAAGTGTTTCTCTTGCTGAAATACGGCGGATTAGACGGCAGGAATGGATGTAAATTGTAAAGAAGGGGCCCATGGAAGATACTAGAGGACTTTTTATTTTTTTTCGAGTTGAGATTTGACCTAAAATACGAATTTTCAGCGGCTCTTGAGAAGCATTTAAACGCCAGCGGCCCCTCATCCACCAACTCCTCGAACCCGGTGAATTCCTCAAAATCCACTCCTCGCGATCCCCCTCCCACCTCCATCAAGTCCCAACAGCAGGTGGATCAGCTGTTTGATGATATGGATATGCCTAACTTAATATCCAATCCTCAACCCCAACCCACCCAGAAGACCCAGCCGGTGAAGAAGATCGAAAAACACAGCCAAATGCTCCTCCAGAACGACCTGGACCTGAGCGAAAGCTCGGATGAAGACTGATTTGGCACAATTTGCCCTAAGGGCAAATCGCCCCAATTGCACCGGTCCAACTCAAAGATTACAAAACACACCTATCCGGGTCTCCCTTACTCTCTCTACACCCCCTATTTATTGTTATACCAAGATTGTGAGCTATTGTTTGACTGAAAGGAATAAATGAACCTAGTACAATATAAATTGATCAAAATTTTGTGGAAAAACTTGGAAGTAAAGGTGGAATAGGATAATAGAAGACGTAAAATTAAATTTGAAAGCTATTGTAAGTTTTGGGATACTGTAATTTTTCGGGGTTCTCTATTTTTTGGCAAAAATCGGAAATTTTGGTATTTTCAAGTTTTTGATGCCTAAAAAGGCTATTTTTATTGCTGAAAATCATTCCCAAGGCAATAATCTGGCAAGACAATGGATTTGCCATCAAAAAAACTCTAAATTAGCTCGAAATTTTTACTTTTTTCAAAATTTTTTGACAAAAACACCTAGTATAATATAAATTGATCAAAATTTTGTGGAAAAACTTGGAAATCAAACTGGAATAGGCTAATAGAAGATGTAAATTTAAATTTGAAAGCTATTACAAACCTGGGGATACTGTAATTTTTCGGGTTTCTCTATTTTTTGGCAAAAATGGGGAATTTTGGTATTTTCAAGTTTTTGATGGCTAGAAAGGCTATTTTTACTGCTGAAAAGCATTCCCAAGGCAACAATCTGGCAAGAGAATGGATTTGCCATCAAAAAAACTCTATATCAACTCGAAAATTTAACTTTTTTCAAAATTTTTTGCCAAAAACACCTAGTATAATATAAATTTTGAGGAAACCCTCAATTTTAAGCAAAAACATCGTATATCCGGGATTCCTACGAATTTCCTAGTGCATTAGAGACTCGGGTTGCCAAGTTATCCGAGATTTTTCGGCCGGGAAAACAATGAAAAAAGCGAAACGAAAACTCCACCCGAAACTGCACTGTGCAGTCGTTTTTTGGCTCGTTTCGATGTAAAAAGTGAGCCGAAAAAGATAAAAATTTCCTAAAATACGATTTCCGGCTTTTTAAAAATCATGGATGAGAATCCGCCGGAGGTTTGCGCGATTCGAATTTTGAAGCCAACATTTGCGTTTTTGCTCAGCATTTCGCTGCTATTTGTTACGATTGCAATGTTCACGAGTAGTTGGCACTACTTCCCGCGGCACGGAGAGCGTCTGGGAGTGATTGTGAAGGGCTGCACACAGGTTACTTGTCAGGTTTATTGGGATGTAAGTCATGGTGAATATAATTGACATTGTAAATATTTGAAAATTTGATTATTTGAAAAAAAAATGTTGTCATCAATTTGAACTTTAAAAATTCAATTTTAATCAATTTCCCGAGATTTTTATCCGCGAGGGAAAGACTTGACCCATTTTGACCTAAATGAGTCAAGTCTTCCTCTCATGCCGAAAATGGCCGTAAAATTGCCAAAAATCATTTTAGATAGTAAATTTAGTCTCCAAGCAGACTAAAAATATTTTTTTTACGAAATATTTCCTTTTGAAACTATCTCAATCTCCAAAAATTCAATTTTCATCAATTTCCCGAGACTTTTTTCAGCGAGAGAAAGACTTGACTCAGTTTTGACCTAAATGAGTCAAGTCTTCCTCTCATGCTGAAAATGGCCGTAAGATTGCCAAAAAACATTGTAGATAGTAAATTGCATCTCTTAGTTGATTAAAAAATAATTTTTTACCTAAATATTCACCTGTAAAACTATCTCGAATTTTATAAGTTCAATTTTCATCAATTCACCGAGACTTTTGGCCGCGAGAGAAAGACTTGACCCAGTTTTGACCTACATGAGTCAAGTCTTCCCTTCATGTCAAAATCGCCATAAAATTGCCAAGAATCATTTTAGATAGTAAATTTAGTCCCAAGCAGAATAAAAAATTATTTTTTTACCAAATATTTCCCTTTAAAGCTATCTAAATCTCCATAAATTCAATTTTCATCAATTTCCCAAGACTTTTTGCCGCGAGAGAAAGATAAGTGAGTCAAGTCTTCCTCTCAGTCAAACATCGCCGTAAAATTGCCAAAAATCATTGTAGATAGTAAATTGTGATTCTAAGTTGAGTAAAAAATAATTTTTTTCGTAAAGGTATTACGAAAACCTATGAACTATGTCGAACTTCATAAATTCAATTTTCATTAATTTCCCGAGATTTTTGGCCTCGAGAGAAAGACTTGACCCATTTTTGACCTAAATGAGTCAAGTCTTCCTCTCACGCCAAAATTGCCATAAAATCGTCAAAAATCACTGTAGATAGTACATTGTTTCTCTAAGTTGACTAAAAAATTGTTTTTTCACTAAATATTCCTCATGAAACAGCTAATTTTAGTCCCGACCGGAGTGGGAAGATACCGTAGCCGTGATGCTATGGATCGCGTTCCTGATTGGAATCGTACTGCTAACATGGACTGTAGTCGCATATTCTTGTCTATTTACTCCCGGATTTTTCGTTGGCACCACGATTTTGAGCGCTTTGGCCACGATCTGTCTGCTCATTGGGGTTAGCCTGTTTGGTGCGAAAAATGGAAGCGAAACGGGTAAGAACGATCCAAAAAACAAATATAAACTACACTTTTACATTGTTTACAATCTGTCGAATTTGATTTTAATTGTTTTCGAATTGGATTTTGCACTTTTCTATCAAAAACATTGGATTTTCCACAAAAATCCGGATATTTTCGAAATTTTCGTCGATTACAGTATGAATCTCAAACTTTTGACCTTTCCAGTCACCCACGCCGACAATACGGACTGGCTAACGAGCGTCGGCTTCAGTTTTTGGTTCGCGATCACGGCGACAGCCCTCTTTTTCGGCACCACAATATTATCCTTGACCGCTGCTGTTGTTTTCTATTCTATGAAGTTGTATCGATAAATAACTGTACAAAAACTAGTCCTATTCGAGAGCACAGACTCTCAGCTTTCTATTGCTACCACTTTCACCCCATTTTACAGAGCAATTTTGGTTGAAAAAACGATTTTTCCAAAAATCTCGGAGATGTCTAAATTAATAAAAATTTATTGTCTGAAATGAATCAAATCCGGATAAATTACGGTAACAATTTGTAACGGGGAGAACTACGGGAAAAATAAGACACTTGGGTGTTTGTTCCATCGATAAAACAGTTGATAAAATCGAATGCGGGCTGTTCGAAAAAAACCTGTGATAGTTACCTAAAAAAAAATAAAAATTCTTGTGGATTTCGAAGTGGAATCTAGGAAATTTTGGGGGATATCGTGCTCTCATCTCATATTTCATCATGTACAAGCTTTTTTCTCCAAAAAATCTATTAAAATTTTCAAAATTTCAACTTTTTCCTCCAAAAATCTGATTTTTATGCCTAAAACCTCAAAAAATCTCAAATTTCTTCATGTTACAGTAATCCTTTTGCCTCGAAATTTCTAGCCATGCTTAGAGAGAGCCCTTGACTACCTAAACCATTCAAAAATCCAACAAAAAATCTCAAAAATCCGCTTCAAAATCGAAAAATTCCAAAAAAAACCATTGAGCCGCTGAATAGTAAAATTTAGAGCTAAAAAATGTTGCCGGAGGCGGGGGAAAAGACGACGCACAATCTAATAGACATTTTTTTACCCAGAAATCACAGTTTCACACGCGAATTTGGTGTGGGGGATAGACATTTGGGTGGGTTTTTGCATGGATAATATAATTTTTGAATAAATATTTAATATAATTAGAAATATGGGGCTAGAAAAGACAGAGAGGGGTACAAAAACGGGCTGTTCATGTCGGTTGGGGTCCTCGCAAGGGGTTTAGCTGTGGGCGCCGACCTTGCTGCCGTTCTTTTTGTCCTTGGGGGCGTCTTTTTTGGGCTGGCGACGGCGCGGAGCGACCACATTGGTGCCGCCGAGGCCGCTGAGCCCGCTCAGGATGCTCTCATCGATGCCTTGAGCTTTCAATTGTTCGGCCAGGACGCGTTGAATGTCAGCCAGGGCGTCCAGGGAGATTCCTTCGGCTTCCATTACAATTCCGCCGGCTTGGGTTCGAACTTTCTCTGAAAAAAGGGGGAAAATTAATTTCAAACCTCTCAAAAACAATTCTAACATCAAATAAGACCCTTCTATGTTCTCTAAAAACCAAAAAACCGCAAGTTTTACCACTTTCCAAAATCTCCGTATATTATCCATGACAAAAAATCATCTTCAAAGTGATCAAAATCAATTTTAATGACCTTAAAAAAGCTTCTAAGGCCTTTTCAAGTCCATTCGCAGCCTCTCCACAGAATTTCCAACCACTTTTTATATTACACTAGACATCCCTTATATTAAAAATATCAAAACAAACCCCTAAAACCCAGCAAAAAATGTTCCAACAATTTTTTAAGCCTCTTTCCACTCCATTAGCAACCTTTTTCCACAATTTCCAACCACTTTTTATATTACACTAGACATCCCTTACATTAAAAATGTCAAAAAAAAAGACCATAAAGCCCCGCAAAAAAGCCCCAGCTATTTTTTAAGTCATTTCCACTCTATTAGCAACCTTTTTCCACAATTTCAACTACTTTTTTATATTACACTAGACATCATTTACATCAAAAATATCAAGAAAAACTCCCTAAACCCCTGCAAAAAATGTACCAGCTACTTTTCAAGCCATTCCCATTCTATTAGCACCCTTTTTTCCGCAATTCCAACCACTTTTTTATATTACACTAGATCAAAAATAACAAAAAAAAAATCCCCAACCCCTCCGCAAAAATGATCCCAACCATTTTTACGCTCCTTCCAACTGTATTACCACCCTTTTTTTTACAATTCCAACCATTTTTTATATTACACTTGACCTTTCAAAATTTACCTTGTTGAGCTCCAGGGCTGACCTGACCCAATCCCGAGTCCTCCGAGCTGACCAGACTAGACTGGCTAGTTGAGATTTTCTCAACTCCATTGGCCTTCGCGACTCCATTCTGTTTCTTCTCCACCTTATTCTCGGCGGGTTTTGGCTGTCCATTAGCTTGCGGCTGTTTGGTAGTTGGCTGAACTGGCGGGACCGGTACACTTCCAGTTTGATAGACTAAAAAACATTGATTTAGAGGTTCTGCCATCACTCTTTCTACCTAAAATCACCAAAAGCAAAAAGAAAAAAAATCTTACCGGAGCCAAATTTTCCGATGCTTCGAAGTGGTGGGTTCTCATCAAAGGTGTAGGGGGAGTTGAGAATCTGTTCTAGGGAGGCGTTGCCGGCCGTGAACTTGGCGATGTCTCCGTTTTGAGCGGACTTTTGGATCTTCTCCAACAAACTCCTTTGTTTCTGAGTTTGTCGGTCCACTTCGGCTCTGACGGCGGCCAATTCAGCGTTCAATTGGAGGTCACGTTGTTGGACGGCGGTGAGGATGGCTTGGATCGCGGCGGCCTTCTTCTCCTCCGCCTGGATCAAGGTTCTTTGCAATTTTTGGACGGTTTGATCCAAATCCTTGGCCAATCTGGCGACTTCTTCGGTTCTGGCCGAGTCATCCAAGCTCTTGAAGGTCTGGACGGTCTCATTCAACTTGGCGGCATCAACTTTGGGCTTGGGTGGCTCCGAAGTGGTGGGTTTTGCTGGTGCTGGAGTTGGCTTCGATACCGGAGCAGTCGGTGCGGTGCCGGTCGATGGCTTCTTCTTGTTCTTCTTCTTCTTTCCGCCAGTACCGTTGGTTTCCCAGTCTCCAAGAGCAGCGTCTTTGCCTAAACTTTCAACAATTTATATTATCCATGATGGACAATACAAAAAATAAAAAAAATCGAGCTTACCCTCGGTGAAAGCGTTGATGGTGCGGTTCACGTCCATGTCAAAGTTGTGAAGGGCGAGGATGATCTCGGTGTTGCTGGCGTGGCGCACCACTTCGCGGACTTCGGCGATTTTCGCGTCCAGGAGGGCTTTCTCGCGTTTCTGTTGGGCCGACATCTTTTTTCTCTACGGAAGCAGCGGTAACTACAAGCAGAAGGGAGCGGGGAGGCGTGGAGTTTCTAACGGCAACCCGTTTTGGTCAAAAACTGCAAAATATTGAGCATTATTTTTGTTGTGATTGATGGGGATAAAACACGTTGAAAAACAAGTGAAATTCGAATAAAAAGTACCGTAAACCTTTTCATTCTTCCTAACCAAAGATAAAAACATCAAATTTTCAATATTCGCGACATTATTCAAATCTTCGTATATTACACTAGACTTCAAGATAAAAAATTTTAAAATTTCCCCTTTCAAGACTATAAACCTTCCAGGACGACAAAAGAAAAACAACTATTTCATCAAAATCACAAGCCGGATATCCGATAATCCCCCCAAACCGACAAACTTTTCGTCAGACACCGGCAATTATCAAATTTCTCGGCCAGAAAGACACTCCGCTTTATCGGCAGACACGGAAAAACTAATTTTACGGGCTGTCAATCGAGGGGAATGATAAAAATCACTGATACGGGGGAGTTTTCTGATCAGAACTAGATCAATGCCTACTACAATATAAAAAAGTTTCAGTTTTGCAATTTCCTTGCTTGACACGGAACAAAAGCGTCATGAATGCTCATGAATAGTAAATGAAACCGCTTATGAATCGGATCGCACACGACTGCGGGGAAAGGGAACTGATTCAAGGCCGAATTCGAAAAATGACCGAAGCCACCGAAGAAACCAGCATTTCTCGCGGTTTTTTGCGTGAAATAGTTCTCACAGACGTTTAGCAACTAATCAAAGACCAAAAGACTCAACATTCCGACGATTTCCATCGAAAAATTTGTGGATTTCTCCTCGGAACCCGAGAAAAATGGGGTCTGTTGACAAAAACGACGCTAAAGCGCCTTGGAACAAATAAACAAATCGTAAAACGAAATTCGAATAAGACTACGGAAGTCTCGCTTCCATTTTCGTCCAGAAACTCGACCTTTAAACTAGGGATGAAAAAGTTATGAGCGATTTTCTAAGAAGTCGACTTCAGATCTCATGGATAACAACAAATAGGCCCAAACTGGGGAAAAAATTATTTTCCAGTTTGAAATTTCGTAATAGATATAATCTGCAGATCAGATCGTATCGAAATTACTGGGAAGTATTGAAGTTGCATCAACGGGGAAAGAGTTTTCACCAATTTAAAACAATGAAGTCCGAGAGGGAAAATTAGCCAAAAAATGGAAGAAGATCGAGGGCAATTGACGAAAACTAGTCGAGAATAGAAAGAGAAGGTCATATTCTACAAGATGCAATCAAAATCAACCTCGACGACAGCTTAGAATCGGATTTACAAGCGATTTTGTCAAGTCCAATATCAACTGATCCCCAAATTGGGAAAAATCCAATTCCGACGAGGAAATCCCAATTTGGCCTGATGAAAACAGTACCATTAGAAACTACATGTCATGTAGTACCAAAAAAGTTTCGATTAAGAAGCGAGGTGACCCCGCAACTCCGATTTACAAGCGATTTTTTCAAGTCCAATATCAACTGATCCCCAAATTGGGAAAAATCCAATTCCGACGAGGAAATCCCAATTTGGCCTGATGAAAACAGTACCATTAGAAACTACATGTCATGTAGTACCAAAAAAGTTTCGATTAAGAAGCGAGGTGACCCCGCAACTCCGATTTACAAGCGATTTTTTCAAGTGCAGTATCAACTGATCCCCAAATTGGGAAAAAATCAAATTTCGACGAGGAAACCTCAATTAGGCCAGACGAAAACAGTACCATTAGAAACTACACGTCATGTAGTACCAAAAAAGTTTCGATTAAGCAGCGACATGACCCCGCAACGGCCCGCTTCATCCCATTTCCTTCGATCAGACGGCTTTTGTAGAGAAGGCGGACTGAACGGACACCCCCGTCGCTCTCTCCCTTCCTTCCTCCTCTCGAAGGGCGGCTGCCAGTGCAACGTTGTGACGTGGCCCTCTCCGGTCGCCCACTTCTCACTGCCCTCCGCCGCACGACGCTCCCATTCCACCACAGCCTTGACATTAACCTTGTTTCGGGAAATGATCGGCAAAAAAGTGCCCGCCGCACCAATCAACGAAATCTCACGGCCTAACCGGAGCTTACAAGTTGGTCTTTCGCTATGAGGAACAAAAAGTTTTAAGAATATTTAAATTTTAGGACAAATTTTCAAAAAGTTTCGGAGATACGTGCGATATACAAAAATCTCGTAAATTTTACAGTTTGCTAGCAAAAAATAAAAAGAAAATTGTTATAAATTGCAACAGAAGGAAAAATATTACACCGTAACTCGACCTAAATCCCTCTGCCTTCTTTTATTTCTGCAGAAATTTAAATTTTTCAATCTTCACTTAGCTCAACCAAAAATAATATCCCAAAACGTTGAAAAAAAGAATATTCGCAATTTGCACGACTTCTCCTACAAATTACAAATCCCTGAGGAACCATTTGGCCCAATTCTGCATCAAATTTTCCACAAAACACCCAACTACGTAGCAATTAGCCACTTGCAATGTTTCGCAACATCTTGAATAATATTTTCAACCTAAAAACCAACAAGAAATTGCGCCGAATAAACTTACAACAACTGATTGGCGAGAACGGATCAAGTGCAATTATTCTTTTGGCATCTCAAACTGCGCCCGACTTTCCACCACTGCCGAATTCGAGTCTCGCCACGAAATTGGCATTGTGTTTTAGGTACGGTAGACATGGGAATTCTTCCTCAAAATTGTTATTCCCATTTATTTTCTCTTCTTTTATTCACGTTTTGACTTGTTTTTCGCAAATTGACGTGTTTATTTTATCAAAATATATTATCCTTGACATCAACTATATTATCTACTGTTTTCAGGGTACAAAATGTCCAAGATCAGTCGTGAAACTCTGAACGAGGTTGTCGTCGAACTCCTCAAGGGCGCCCAGGAGAAGAAGAGGAACTTCCGTGAGACCGTGGAGCTCCAAATCGCCCTGAAGAACTACGATCCCCAGAAGGACAAGCGTTTCAGCGGTACCGTCAGGTGAATTCTTGAATCTTTGTGGAAATTTGCGATGCAACTGACGGACCCGACCCAAGGTCTTTAAATTTTGGGGAGGAGGGCCAGTTCGCTGGTCCTCCGACAAAACTTGGACGTAAAGACCTTGGTGAAGGCCGTAAGTTGAAATTTTTTTTGTGTTTTGTTGATTTTTAGGTAAAATAAGATAGAATAGATGCTCAATGATGTTTAGCAGCTTATTGGGAACTTATCTTTTTAGTTATCTCTCTTGTCGAATAGAAACTTTGAGTTTTTGTTTTTTAATGCATGGATAACATAAAATTGTTTATATTTTTGAAGGTATAGGTCAGAATAAGTTCAGGGCGCTAGTAATAGAAAGAATAAGTCTTAATCCTCCCTACAACCTTTAACTTGGCCTATTTATAGACTGCGTAACATCCCTCGTCCCAACATGAAGGTCTGTATCCTCGGTGACCAGAAGCACTGCGATGAAGCCAAGGAAGCCGGTCTCCCATGCATGACTGCTGATGATTTGAAGAAGTTGAACAAGGACAAGAAACTTGTCAAGAAATTGGCCAAGTCTTATGATGCTTTCCTCGCTTCCGACGCTCTGATCAAGCAGATCCCCCGTCTGTTGGGTCCCGGTCTGAACAAGGCCGGTAAGTTCCCTTCCGTCGTCACCCACAACGACTCCCTGACCGCCAAGGCCGACGAAGTCAAGGCCACCGTCAAGTTCCAGATGAAGAAGGTGCTTTGTTTGGCCGTCGCCATCGGCCACGTTGAGATGACCCAAGAAGAGCTGGTCGGAAACATTTCCCTTGGAGTCAACTTCTTGGTCTCCCTGTTGAAGAAGAACTGGCAAAACGTCCGCGCTCTCCATCTCAAGACCACCATGGGCAAGCCTCAACGTCTCTATTAAATCTTGTTTTATTATCCTTTCGAGGGTACTTGTTGCTTTTTATGGTTGATAAATGAGTGTTACCTTATTTTGGTCTATTGTTTTGTAGTTGAAATTGATGTTTCTTGTCCAATTACATATACTCCCCGTACAATGTTTTGACCCCCCTCCTAACTCCGTCCAAAGTGTACTAATTCGGACCAAATTTTGTATGTAGTATACTCACAGGCTAGTAACAAAAAATAACATAGCTGGACCTAGCTTATAGTTGAATATCAAAATCTATTGGCAATTTTCAAAAATCACCTTAAAAAATCGAGGAAAAAGTTTTGACCCCCCTTAAAAAACTTTAGATATCGCCAGCGGATGCCACGCAAACTTATTGTAATCGACGTCCCATACCTGAATACAGGTTAATATATGGTTTTTCGTTGAATGCTTCGTTGCATTTGAGTATTCAACGCGTTAAACCGTTTTTGATGTATAGCTGCCCAAAATTGTAAAAATCTTGCCCTAGCGCTTTCCTAGAGCTCTAAATTGGGTTTATATTATGTGCTTTAGACCTGTATTTACCTTCTCCTTTCAATAAAAGTGCATGGTGGCCTGGCGGTGTAGATTCGGCAGATGCCCTCTTGTCATGCCCAGCCTTAGTGAGCCATTTGCTCTTTGACTCAAGGTCGAGATGTGGTCGTTAGGTCCTCAATGTAATCCTGAGACTCTTAGTTACTCTCAAACAAAGAATAAACTCCGGCTGACACGATATCATATGGTTTGCAGGCGCAACTTCGCCGATCTGCGCCTTAACGAAAACCCCGAGTTTTTCAAATGGATTTTTAGCCACCAAAAACGGCTTTCATTTGATGGACCAGGTAATTTAAGACGCTACAGCACCCACCATACTCATTTGAGATGTATGAAACGCCAAATGGGAGGTGGGGATGTCATCGTAGTCGGGGTCATCTGCAGTAACGGCAAACTTAAGATTAAGGTGAATGAAACCCATTACAAAACGTGTCAAATCAAAACATTTTACATTACTGAGAGTAAATAGGAGTCTCAGGATTACACTGAGGACCTAACGACCACATCTCGACCTTGAGTCAAAGAGCAAATGGCTCATCAAGACTGGGCATGACAAGAGGGTATCTGCCGAATCTACACCGCCAGGCCACTATGCACTTTTATTGAAAGAAGAAGGTAAATACAGGTCTAAATCACATAATATAAACCCAATTTAGAGCTCTAGGAAAGCGATAGGGCAAGATTTTTACAATTTTGGGCGGCTCTACATCAAAAACGGTTTAACGCGTTGAATACTCAAATGCAACGAAGCATTCAACGAAAAACCATATATTAACCTGTATTCAGGTATGGGACGTCGATTACAATAAGTTTGCGTGGCATCCGCTGGCGATATCTAAAGTTTTTTAAGGGGGGTCAAAACTTTTTCCTCGATTTTTTAAGGTGATTTTTGAAAATTGCCAATAGATTTTGATATTCAACTATAAGCTAGGTCCAGCTATGTTATTTTTTGTTACTAGCCTGTGAGTATACTACATACAAAATTTGGTCCGAATTAGTACACTTTGGACGGAGTTAGGAGGGGGGTCAAAACATTGTACGGGGAGTATACTTCGAATCAAAAATTTTATATCGAGGCAGGTATTAGGTCAAAAATGGGGGATCTCGGATATTATACATGATATTTTTGGTAAAAAGTGTGGTAAATTCATCTTTATTCAACTAATGATCTGAAAGTTCAGACATGAAAAACGCATAAAATTTTCAAAATGCCGCTGGTAATGGCACATTGACCACCTCAAACAATTCTTTGATCGCAAGACCGACCAAAAATACCCAAAATCGAATTACGACTCCTTGCCAGATACGATGTAAGAATCTTGCCTTTGAGGATTCAGGTTTTTTGTTCACTGCATTGGAATTCAATAGGGTTAGGGTGGGCTTTCCATCGGAATATTCCAGTAGGTAGTCTTCTTTTCTGCCTTTTTGCTCCAATTCGAAGACATGGTTTGATTTGCGAGTGATTTTGACATCTGAAGAGACGGAAACATTTGTCTGCTTGAAGCGAAGATTATCATTTTCCATCGAAGTCACCTGAAATTTTCATAAATTATATCAAGATTTTTTGAACTTAAAACTGTCATAAGTCTATGGGATATTTTAATTTCGTCCTGAAAATATCAAAATAGCATTGTTGAACCAGGAGCTGCATATATTCCAAATTTCAGGCCAATCGGACATTCCTACATGCTATTACAACCATTTTTTTGTATCAATGTCATGTATAATATAAAAATTTTCGAAAATCCCCAATTAAAGGACTTTATAGGTCGAATAGACTCTAAAAACTGACCCCAAGATAGGAATCGCGGCTGAATACAAACACGCCGTCATGTAGATGACATGGACTATCAATCCGATAGTTAGCGACATCCTCAAATCTCTGTTTGACCTTGTAAACCTCAAATTTCTTCTCCCCAACAACCAGAACCCGATTTCCAATAGCCTGCATGTGTTCAATGTCGAAATAGACTCCCTTTCGGCGCAGAATGTTCTCCTTGACATTGTAGTAGACGAGGAAGTCCTTATGCGAGCGAACAAAGATGTTCTCTCCATCGGCCGTGATTTTTGGCGGAATCCGGTCTTCTCGATGGTTGCGGGAGGTAAAAAGCTCTTTAGTGAGTCCGGTTGTCAAGTTTTTTAAGTAGATCAGTTCACTGCAGTAGTCTGGAGAAGCATTGTCGGGTTTTTGGATCAGGTAGAACAAGGTGTTGCATGGCTTGTCGAAATAATAGGCGTCCGCTTTGGGAACTTTCCCACATACTTCCTGAAAGGGTAAATTTTACTTTTCAAGGCCATTTATAACGACGGAATAGTCTGAACTCCTTATTCTGCACCATCCAGATACATGGTCTACTATTAAACTAACAAGGGAAGTACCCGAAGTGCGACGCTCAGATTTTTATAAAAATTGGCATAGATGGAGATTAGAATTTTCTTATTCGATTGCGAACATCCTAGCTCGCGCTTTGCAGAATCCGCCGTGAAAGAAGGGCCGGAACATCGAAAAAAATCTTCAAATGCCGATGAATTTCCCTGCAAATTCTCTTGATCTTGGCATTCCGTTCCAAGAGAAAAATATTTTTTCTCGCAAGAAATTTTTTCTTGATAATGTTCAAGACTATTTTGTTGCTTTTATGTGGAATATTGTGTGTTATTTTCACTTTTTTACACTCTGGACATGATTCTAGCGCTATTAATTGGATTGTCGCCATCCGAGAGGTAAAATGTTTCGTCCTTTGACGAATTTATACAGTTTTTCCTCTGCTGATGGGCAAACCACTCTAATAGTTGCTTTAAAGCTGTTTAGGAGAGACGCAAACTTTCTATGGTCGTGTAGGAACGTAGTCATAAGGTAAGTGTTACAAAAATTTTATTTTTTCACTATTTTTCCGTTTATGTCATTTCAGAAAACAAAGTAAAGGTCCCAAGGAGTTCCGTCAGTGTTCCGATGGTGTACATTCGCTCTTGTTGTTGTTCAGAATTTGCTCACTGAAAAATAATAAAGTTTTTGTAACACTTACTTTAAGATTATGTTCATACACGACCGTAGAACGTTTGCATCTCTCCTAAACAGCTTTAAAGCAACTATTAGAGTGGTTTGCCCATCTGCAGAGGAAAAACTGTATAAATTCGTCAAAGGACGAAACATTTTACCCCTCGGATGGCGACAATCCAATTAATAGCGCTAGAATCATGTCCAGAGTGTAAAAAAGTGAAAATAACACACAATATTCCACATAAAAGCAACAAAATAGTCTTGAAAATTATAAAGAAGAAATTTCTTGCGAGAAAAAATATTTTTCTTCTGGAACGGAATGCCAAGATCAAGAGAATTTGCAGGGAAATTCGTCGGCATTTGAAGATTTTTTTCGATGTTCCGGCCCTTCTTTCACGGCGGATTCTGCAAAGCGCGATCTAGGATGTTCGCAATCGAATAAGAAAATTCTAATCTCCATCTATGCCAATTTTTATAAAAATCTGAGCGTCGCACTTCGGGTACTTCCCTTGTAAATATATTTTAACTTATTTTTTGTGACACCGAAACAGAATGCCAAAGTTAGCGAGAAGTTGAAATTTCAAATAGCCAGAAGATCGAACCCCCAAAATTAGATTGTTTTTGGTGCTTTTCATAGCCTTGCAACAGTTTTTCATATAGTCAGCCACTTCTAGTTCGCGTAAAACAGTATGCCAACTTTGGCGGGAATTTAAAAATTCAAAAAATCTTAAACTTTGAACTTACAAGGGAATAGTCTGAACTTCCTCCGGCATTCGGGAAAATGACTAGTACAGGTGGATATAGCAGTTCAACTTTGGTAAAAAAGTCATTTTCTGATATTAATGACTATTTTTACCAAAGTTGACCTGCTCTATTTACCTATACTAGTTATTTTCCGGAATTCCGAGGGAAGTTCAGACCATTCCTTGTAAGTTCAAAATTCAAGTATCTTTGAATTTTTAAGTTCCCGCCAAAGTTGGCATTCTGTTGTAAGCGGACTAGACGTAGCTGACTGTATGAAAAAGTGTTCCAAAGCTATGAAAAACACCAAAAACAATTTGATTTTAGGGTTTGACCTTCCGGCTATTTGAAATTTCAACTTCTCTCAAACTTTGGCATTCTGTTTCATGTCCACTAAAAATACGTAAAAAGAGTTTATAAATATTCAGTAGTAGAACATGCGTCTAGATGGTCCAGAATAAGTATCTTTGCGATATATGTTATGTTTTACCACTCTGCAATTGTTTGAACAAAATGCCAAAAATGGCGGGAAATTTGAATTTCAAAATTCTACTTGTAATTTTGAGACAGAATTCGAGGAAAACAGAAATTACATTTCTTTTTTAGTTTTTTTTTTGTTTTGTTCAAATAAATTTGTAAAATCCTGAAAGATCGATCGCACTGTGCAGTGGCAAAAATAGGCTAAAAATGTAGATGCACTGTGCAATCAAAAAAATAAATAAAAAGGACAAAAAATCACAGAAACTGACTAAAAAATAGATTAGGAGCTATGTACTCACGCAGGCTTTATAATAAAAATTGTAAAACCCTTACCTTCAACTTGTCGACCGCCTCTTTTTCTTCGCGCACATCTTTGAGGGCGTTTTCGAATTTGGCCGGTAGTTGCTCCAGTTTCAACGATTCGTTTTCCTCTATCTTCCATTTGATCGAGATGATAATCAAACAAACCAGAGTTTCATAGAAATGCCAGCTTTTTACATTCAGGAAGTACCCCACGATTATTGAAAAAATACCAATCATTGGCAGAAAGAACGGACGAATTGATGGAGCAGCCATCTTGAAGTGAGGGAAATGACCAGAATGAGGAGAAGAGGGGATGTCATCGCTTTTAAAGGGGAATATAACAGAAAAATTACGTTATATTACTCTAGGGCCTAGTGTAATATAAATGATAGCAGAAAAGTTACCTTTGAGAGAATATATAGGCTAAAGCACAAAGATATCGCCGATTTATGACGTGTTGCATTGATTCTAAACTCAATTTTCGATCCAAAATACAGTAATCCAGCATTCTCAACCATTCGTATAAAATGCACCCGCAGTCTGCAGAAGTCATGGGCGCGAATCGCCAATCTCGAAATGGCTATTTCCAAAGTTTCATGTTTTCTCGAAGAACTCTCGACTGTTTCAAATCGTAAACAACCCCCCCCGAGAACTCACTAATTCCCCCATTCCGATAAAACACGCACACAGAGCAATGGCGGACGTTTATGGAGTTGGTTATGGTGCACTGGTGACCCTCGGTGGAGTAATCGGGTTCCTGAAGGCCGGAAGTTGGCCCTCATTCATTGCTGGTGCCGGTTTCGGACTTGCCGCAGTTTACGGAGGATTGAACCACAATTTCGAGATCCTTGCTGGTGAGTTTTCGATGTTTTTTGCATTATCTTTGTTGGTTTAGGTGTCTCCGGACTTTTGTCCATTTTAATGGGTCTTCGCTTCTACAATTCCGGGAAAGTGATGCCCGCTGGCCTTGTGGCTTCTTTGAGGTAGGTGATGAGATATTTTTCGACTAAATTATCCGAAGATGGACCATCTTTTTCACCCATTTTCATCTGATGTCATGGATAATATAAAAAATGCCAAAAGTGCTAATCTATTCTATTTTAGCATCATAATGTTCATCCGCACAGTACTCGTCTTGTCTTCCCGTCGCTAATTTCGATGGAATTGAGCAGCCTAGTCCAGAGAGAAGTTTTGAAATTGTTATTTATTTTGTACCTCTCATATCACTTATAAGTATTGAAATAAAAATAAATATTTTGAAAGGAAATTTTTGTTTACTCCTTCGACACAATCTATTGATGATAACGAAGCCATAAGTTTATGAAATCAAATAATGTAATCATGATTTTTGCTTACTGTAGCTTGATTACTCTGACATGTTTTAGCGTATAAAATGTCGCTATGCGGGAATTTTTCTTGACAGCAAAGTTATTTTTACTCTGTTGCGACTGAGAATTCCTGTGGTTGATTAGCACGACGTATTTCACACCCATTGCAACCTTTTTCAGCGCTTCTTTACCTTTTTTCCGGCTTCTTACACCTGATGTCAAGTATAATATATTTTAGACCGTGAATCCTCAAAAATACTGTTCCTTTATGTCAGAATAGAGCCAAAATAGCTTCTACTTGCCAGTTACTGTCGATCTACTGCATTTTACTCCAAAGTTTTGAAGTTGCACCTGGTTTTTGCAATTTTTCCGTATCTGATAGGTGTTTTACTTTTCCTCCGAAATTTGAAGGAAATTTTGTATGTTTCTGGAGAATAAGAGTCCTTCTTTTATTTTATTATTGCTTGAAGCAAAATCGTACGATTATTAGATACTAAATTTATCAATTCATTTTACCCGTTAGATGTCAAGTGTAATATCGCTGAAACTCCCTAATTCCTTTTGAATTTCGATGTATTTTTTATTTTATTTTGAAAAATGAGAGTTGTTCTTCGTGTTGATTCCAAATTCACCTTGATTTTCTCGGTTTTATTTTTTACATTACCTTATTCATGTTGCAGATATCAGCTAACCCTAACCCTAAAAATCTAACCAATATAATGAACACAGAGCTTCCGAGTGACGAGAGACCCAAGAAGAAGGCGGTCCGGTCCAAAAATAGCTCAAATGAATCGTCTGCCAGCACCTCCAACAACAAGTCAACTGATCTCAAGGATAAGGTCGAAACCACCTCTCTGCCCTCCAACCCGACTCCCAATCAAAACCATATTGTTGTAATTGGTGATAGAGAACTAAAATTTTCGAAAGAGTTCATTGATCGGTCGTTGGCGCCCGAGGATTCGTATAGTTCCCAGATCCTGGTCAACATCATCGAAGATGGTCTCAGATTTGTGTGTACGCAACATACTGTCGGGATTCGAACCAAGTACTACACACAAAATGTTTTTGTCACCAGCTTCAATGATTGCGAGACTTTTTGGGCGTGGCTGCGGGCAGTCAAGCGAGTTCCTCAGTGCATTATTTTTTTGGTCGATTTTTTCGACACTAATGGACATTTTGAAACCGAAAATGATCTAGAAGGGATCGCATCGAATCAGGCTCTCATGCCCACCGAGAAGGTAGCTATTTTCCATTAGTTTTTGTTATTGTTTTAGGTCAAGTGTAATATAATTGAGTTTATGGTTGAAACTCTGTAATATCGTTTCAGATTGTCGCCATAAAAGGAGAAGCACCGACTAACGATCCATGGAGAGAGCGTTTGCAGAACATGGCTCGAGAGCATTACATGGCTTTAGTCACATTAAACCCGAATGAGGCAAGTGTAATATAGTATTATTCTTTTGATTTTTAGGAGTTTGCTGTTGGAATAGTTGCAAAATGGCATCAGAGACCTATGTGCAAAATTTGATTGGGTTCAGGAGTAGTTTAGTAGCAAAATTTATGTTATCCATGGCACAGATGGATAGGCGAATTTCTCACAGTTTTGAAGGTTTAAATTGGGGATTTTTTTCATTAAGTTACTCCTTATGGTTATTTAGAGGTGTTGGTTAAATTTTGGATTAATTTTGAAAGAAAAATTATATTACACATGAGGTTTAGATTAAAAAGTCGTTTTTTTGTCAATTTTTTGGGGGAACTGATGTCTCAAGGCCAAGATATTGGCTTGTTGGTTGTTTCATGGTCGAATTTTCATTGCTTTGATCTACTTTTAAGCCTTGTTAATCGATTTTTAGGAATTAAAAAAATTTTTTTCCAAGTTGGTGTCGCTAATGGCTTCTAATGTTGATCATGGATGAAGAATTACTTGTCATATACCGCGCCGCGTTCGAGAAATTTTTTCGGGAACTGTGCGCGGTATAATTTGATATTTTATATTATCCATGGCAAAAAATATGGCCTTTTCTTTCAGGACGACCGTGAAGAAGCCGCCAACTTTTCGGAGCTCCTTTCATACGAACGGATCTACGAGTTGGTCACCCTTTGCGAGTGGAATTCTTCGGACTCTTCCAATTTGTTGACCGAAGCCATAATTGAAGCCAAGAATCTCGGTGGCGTCAAGGAAATTGTCAGTCAAACCATTGGAAAAGACAAAGAAGCCGCTGAGTCACCGCGAAGCCGTCAAAAACCCCGGAACAACATGCAAGACGGAAATTTATGTGTAGGTCGCCTAGTACAATATAAATTTTTTCATTTTTTAGGGAGTCGAGGCTGAGCTGATCTCCAGACTTCAGAATATCAATGGTAAGAGCATAGAGGATGTGCTGTCGGATAATGATGAATAAATTATCGATAATTTGAATATTTTTGATATTTTTTTTTTTAAATTTGGTGAGAAGAAAAAGTTGAAGAATTTGGAGGAGAAATGGAAATAAAATGAAGAGAATGGACTGTAAATTGATGGACATTTTCTATTTTTGGTTTTTTGATTGAAAAAATTTTTTTGAATTTTGAGATTTTTTGAAAATTTTTGGGTTTTAGGCGAAATTGATGGGAAAGATTTGGAATTTTGGAAGAATAGTGGGCTAAAAAGAATAAAGAAGCTATTGAAAGAGATTTTAAATTAGATTTTTGGAGTTTACGCTCCTTTTTTTGATCAAAAATGTCATGGATAATATAATTTTTCTCGAATTTTGAGATAAAATTTGATCAAAAGCCATTGATTATGTCTAAAATTGATGTAAAAAATAAAAAAAAATTAAATTGATATCTTTAAAATTGATAATTTTAGGGGTGATGAGCGTGTTCGGCCCCCAAGTCAAACTCCGCCTTCAGGACACCCAAATGGAAGAGGAATTTGAGACGGAGATGCAAGGAGTTGCTCAACAACGCCTCCAAAAGATCTGGAAAGACTGCTACGATCAAAAAGCCCGTGCCATCATTCGTCAGCGCCTGGTCGCCGACAAGATTCGCCGGCTGGAAAGCGAACAAACGGCCGAGTTTTTCGGCAAAGCCGGACGCAGTTTGAAACTCGAAGAGTCCACCAAATTGGCCAACAAAACGATGGGAAAAGCCTCTGGAGAGGCGCTAGAAACCATCAGCTTGAGATTCAAGACCAAGGAAGAGGTTGAGCGCGAAAATTTGGAGGAGAAACATCGGCTGGAAAGGGAGAAGACCCAAATTTCTCAACCCACCCCGCCCAAAGAATCCGAATCAAAGAAAACGGAACAGAACAGAAAGAAAAAGGAAAAGAAGAAGGCCAAGAAGCTCAGAGAGAAGGCGGAGCTCGGCAATGAGGAGAGGGACGAGGCGAACAAGTTGAAGGAAGTCTTTGATAACATAAAAAAGGTGGAACCCGAGAAATTGGAAGGCAAGGACATGAAGGAATGCTTGGAAAAGGTGGGTTGCAGGTTTTTTGAACGAAATTTTATTGTCGGTTTTTTGAAATTTTGAATTTCCGCAACTTTGATTTCGCAGCCTGCAGAAGCGTAGGGCGCAGACTGCCATTGTGAAATTGTTGGAAATGGCCATTAATGGGTGTAATTGAGTGGGAAAAAGGTTTTAGATGATGAATTGAAAAGCTGTGTGATAAATTAGAGCAAGTAAAAAATTTTTTTTTTCGTTTTGAGATTTTTTTATATTGTAGTAGATGGTTGATAAAAAAATTCGAAATACTTGGATGAAATGGCTTTTTTTAGAAAGATTATGAGTTATAAAAATTTCTTATATGAAAAATTTGAGTTTACTGCCATTGTCAGCAATTTTCCGACGAAATTTGAGTATTCCGACCTGCGCCCGACCCTTCTGCAGCCTGCAGAATAAAAGTTACAATTTGACCGCGCAAAGCGGTAAAATAACTAATAATGAATTGAAATTGCAGTGGAAGAAGGTGGACAGCCTGTCGATCGATGAGAAAGTGGTTGTGGCCGCGAATCTCGCCAATAATTACATCAAAAACAACTCGAACGAAGTCGCAATTCAAATCGAAGAACCCAAAAACCCGAAGCAAAACGAGTCAAAAAAGGACAAATGAGGTACTAAAATACATTTTTTTCGTGATACTACAAGTTCTTTCATTGATCTTTACCTTGTCTACGGCTATTGTTGTTTTCAAAAAATGACCAAGATGTTAATAATTTTTATTTTGTTATTTTGATGCATAAAGGCTACCTTGACATCAGTTTTATATTTTTTCGACGTTATTGACGCCTCAGGGAGCTTAAACATTAGTTTTTGTTATCCCGTGTTTTAAATAATTGGGCTAATACGACACTTTCATCAGTTCATACACTTGATGTCAAGTCCAAGGTAAATTTTCCGAATTTATTTGCAAATAAATTAATCATTGTCGGAGCTGCTGGATTCCGACGAGCTCTTGGCACTGCCCTCCTCCTGTTCGGACTCCGAATCCGACGTGGACTTGGATTTTTCGGGCTTTTTGGCCTCGGTTTCTGATTTCTCCTCCTCCGAATCCGAGGAGTTTTCTTTTTTCTCGTCCTCCGAGCTCGAATCCTCTTCGAATACGCTCTTTTCTGGCTTCTTGGGTTCTTCAGGCTCTTCTTCGGCTTCTTCTTGTTGCTCTTCCTCCTCCTCTTCTTCCACTTCTTCCTCCAGCGGATCCAATGGCACCTTTTCTCCAGTCTTATATTCGTCGTATAGGCGGCGAGAGCGGGTCTCCTGGAATTCAAATCAATGTGAAATGGTCTTATTCAGCTTTATATGGCTTTTTTTCTCTTCTAAACCCTCAAAAACATCAAAATTTGATCTTACTTTTGTCTAAAATAATATATTTTTTCAAAAATGGATTCCAAAACGCTCTAAATACATTAAAAACATAGCCATACAACTAATTTCAGCATCAAACTCCACAAAAACGTATGAAAAATTCAAAAATTCACCTTATTTTAGTCTAAAATAATATAAATTTTTTCAAAAATGGATTCCAAAACGCTTGAAACAGACTAAAAGCGTCATGATACAACTAATTTCAGCATCAAACTCCACAAAAAAGTATGAAAACATCAAAAATTTACCTTACTTTAGTCTAAAGTAATATAACCCCCCAAAAAACTTCTCTATAAACCCGTTCATCTCCCCCTAACCCCTCTCAAATTCCCTTACCATGGTCTTCATTTCCGCTGGTGTCAAATCACGGTAAGTGTAGATCATAAACGAGCCCTCTCGACTGACTCCGCCCACATTCTTGGCTCTTCTGGCCAGCTTGATTTTGGTGTCCATTTCATTGTAATAAACCACTCCATCACGCTCGGCGAAGAAGTAGAGGTCCAAGGAGGATCCTTTGGACGCTTTCGTCGTGATTGTCCAGTTGTATTCACGGGCTAGATCACATTTATATCTGAAAAAATGCTCTAGTAAACTTTTTGAAAAAAATCGAGAAAATAACTGGTAAATCTAGATGAAAGTTTGGTAAATATTATCTCAAATAAATCTAGATTCTATTACACATCCGATCATGTCTTATTCGCCTCAATAATCAACTTTTTTTGGCCTCAAAATATTATCCATCTGATCATGAGTAAGGTCAAGAAAAAAATTGACCTTCCAAGTGAACCAAAGCTTCAAAAACCCCCAAACTTCGACAGCATCTTCCTCATACCTTCCTTTATCTTGCCTAAAACTCAAAAACAAAAAATGAAAAGACTTACTCGACCTCCTCATCTTCTCCATGTTCCTCTTGCATTTTCTCCAAAGTCTCGGCGGTCGGGACGAAATACGCGACAAACTGTTGATTATTCTCGTCAGCAATACCTCTAGAATCCGAAAATAAAATTTTCAAAACACCAAACCCACTTTATAATAGACTTTTCCAAAATTTTTTCGTTATCCTTAATGTGAGGCAACGGATCTCCGTCAAAGATAACTTGTGCGTAACTGTGCTTCCATTCCTCCTCATCTGGTAGGATATACATCTCTTCTACTGGGTAGACATCCTTCTTCGAGTAGTGTCGCTTTACTGGTCGATTTGTCTGAAAATTTGAAAGATTGGCCAAAATTTGGAGAAAATTAGAAAATTTTTAAAACTTTTGGTCTATAATATTCTGATTTTTGTTTGTACCTGCAAGAAGACAGCCTAAGCTTTCTAGAAATACCACTTTCTTCCTATATAACTCTTCAGATTACAAAGAAATAACCAAAACCGACAACAGCTGTCTAAAGTAATATAAATCTTGCCAGAAACATCCCCTAAAATCAGAAATACCACAAAAAAATAAAAAGACATACCTTTTCAAAGATTTTCTCGATGGCCCGGATTTGACTTTCCGCATCTCTGTACAAACTATCGCTCTTTCCATACTTCTTCTTGATGTTATAACCAATCTTATTTTCACTCTTTTCCTGCGTCACACCGAAACGATTGAACTCTGTGGAAATGTATTCCGTCTTTCTCATCCATGGAACAATTCGTTTGTGTTGTTGAGATCTGAAATTCCGGGAATTATCAACATTATCCATGTTGATATCAGAGATCAACAAAAAATTGAAATTTAAAGTCGACAGAATTCGAATTTTACGTTGTAAATGGTTATCACCTAAAGAACAAGAAATAAACATCAAATTCTTACCGTTTTGAACTTTGCTGATTGCCGAAATCGTCCTCCAAAAGGAGCGCATCTAATGGGTCAAACTCAATTTCCTCGGGCCGTTTAAACACACTGATGTCAACCAAAGGCGGACACAGTTTTAAGATATCTTCCGGCACAACTTCATAAGTGTACTCCTCTTCCAGCTTTGAGATCTGACACTTGGCGTGTCTGAAATCATCAAAACCATTATATTACCCTTTAAGTCCTAAAATCGTAACAAAAAATCCAAAATCTCACCGTTCCAAGTCGTTGAACTGCATTTTGAGAAATTTGGGAGGTATGGAAACATCTGCCATGGGCACATCGTTCGTGTAGACTCGCCTTGAGATAATGCCGGCTTTTAATTTCCTGAAGAGAGCATGGGTAATATAAATTGATATAGGGCATAAAAAATTAGTCGAAAAAATTGTAAAAACTTACTGATCGGCCATTGTGAGTGTTCAACAACACAGTAGACCCACAAAGGCTTCGAAAATCGGCGGAACAAAAATAATTTTCCTTTTGCAACACTATGCCAAAATCTTGTTTTCGTGTCGGGAGAGAGAACCAAATCAGGTTTTGGGTAAAATACGACAATCTTCGCAAGATATACAAAAGCTTCCACCTTCTCACAAAACCCCAAAAAATCAACAACTTCAAACTTTATTTTACATTATGCATGGTCAAAATGTACAAAAACAGCTACAACAATCTAAACAAGTGCTATTTACAGAGATTTCTTGTGGCGATCTCGATTATGACTAGATAATTCAGCCAACGTGAGGCGTTGCGAGCAGCATAGAGCAGTTGTTTGCAGAGAACCATCAACCAAAGTGCATGATAATCGAATATCCCGATCATTCTGATGTAATTGCCCATCGAAGGGCGTCGTCAAGCCATGAATTTTTCTTACGTGTTCGTGGACTGAGCGGAGTTTCTCGAAGATCGCGCCACATTCCGTGCATTGGTTGCTGTAATCAAGTGGAATAAAACTTGATGGCTAAAAAACTTCAAACCTAAATTTTAACATAAAAACTTGTAAAAATAAACTTACTACTTTTCATAAAGGGTCCACGAGGACCTAATTCTTCATTTTCAATCAAAATTTTAGAAAAAAAACGAAAAAATTGGGTTACTGTAACAAAAATTTTTGAAAACGCTACAGTAACCCAAAACACAACTCGAATAAAAAAATCCATACAATTCACAGACTCATCATGACAATCTCCATCAATTTTTGTTACTTGGATTACTGTAACACAGATTTAAAAAAATAATGTTACAGTAACCCAAAAAAAATTCCAAACAATTCCAGAAACACTCAAAATTAAATATCTAGATAAGTAACTACTATATAATCCAAAGACGTCCGTAAACCTTCCATATTCTTCCCCTTTTCTTACATTGTGCATGCCATATCTCCATGACTAACCAAAATTATTCCAAATCTCAAAATTGGTGCGGTTACTGTATGAACAATTGACAGGTGTCCATCCAGGACCTCCTTTGATTCGTATATTGTGTCACAGACATCGCATTTGTATGCTTCGGGTTTGTTTTCGGGGTGAGAAAGCTGTTCATGATAAAACAGGATGGCCTTGCTTGTGAAGGTCAAATCACATAGTTCGCAGGTCTGTTGGCTGGTGTACTAAATGTCAAAATTATTCTCATGGCTTCTTCTTTGCACCACTGTGATCAATTTGTCTCAACATAGGCAAATTTCTTTGTTTTGAGGACTTTTATCTTCACCTTGTTTTATGTCAAAGGTCATGTAAATTTTAGTCAATTTGACCAAAAAATCGAGTACGCCAGGGTCTCAAAAGCCTTCCATATCTTTTTCATAGCGTACTCTTTCATTTTACATATCAGAAACGCCAGGCATGTTACCTATACCCAAAAAATTTCGAAAAATAAAAAAAAAATCCCAAAAAATCGAAAAAAATCTCAAAATTTTCGCCAGGAAAGGTAGTCAAAGCTACTCAACCTCCCCCAAAATTTCCTCCAAACTCCATTACATCTTCTCCTTCCCAAATCTCTCCATTTCTCACCATTTTTCCGTATTTAGTTTCCATTTTTTCCCTGAACTTTTCGTTCGCTTCATGAATTTTCTGATGCCTTCTAACCGCCAATGGCCTTGTCGTATCCAACATGAGTCCACATTTTCTACACATATCCTCTTCATTCTCTTCCAATTTCTTGTCATTTCGAGGAATGCTTGAGATCTCTTTTTTGTCCAGAATCCGAGCCCGAGAACCGGGAGTTTGATTAAAATAGGCCCAAATTCTCTGTATCCGCTGGATCAAAATCATAATCTCGGGCATACGGCCATTGTGTTCGTCGAGGCCGTGCTTCTCCAGCCCGCTGCAGGTGAGGTAGAGCTTGTTGCAAAAGGGGCAAGGGTAACATTCCATTTCGGTCGATTCTTCTGAAAAAATGGTCGATTAGGATTCGAAACAATTTAAAAATCGGCAAAAAACATTTTACTGTAATCTTTCAGGCTCTAGCAAGTAATTCAGATATATAATTTTTGGGATTTGGGACAACTTTTTTATAATTCTGAGTCCCACCACGAAAACATGAGACATCATTCAAACTAATCCAAAAGCAAAAATAATCGAATAGAAAGCATCCACAACTCTTCTCTGACCTTCTCCAGCCATTATCTTAACGTATCTGTCCAATAAAAATCATCAACTTTGGTCCCGCCACGAAAACTTGAACTTCCTCAAAATCGAAAAATAACCGTTCAAGAACCTTCCAGCAGCTTCTGGACCAAATTAAAATTTCCCGGAAGGCCTTTTACAGCTTTTCCAACCACTCCTCTGACCTTATTTTATCCATCAATAGCATCAAATTTTGGTCCCGCCACGAAAACTTGAACTTCCTCAAAATCGAAAAATAACCGTTCAAGAACCTTCCAGCAGCTTCTGGACCAAATTAAAATTTCCCGGAAGACCTTCTACAGCTTTTCCAACCACTCCTCGGACCTTATTTTATCCATCAATACCATCAAATTTTGGTCCCGCCACGAAAGTTCGAAACCAGCCAAATTGCAAAATAATCATTCTAAACTCTCCCAAATGTCTCAAAGATCCTCACCAGGCACTAATTCCACTTCTCGCTCGATGGGGAGCTTCAGAATGATCGATTCGGGGGCTTTGTGGGCAATTCCGGCGTGAACAATGAGATTCTTCTTCAGCTCCTCGTCAACGTCCGGAATCGGATGTGATTCTGAAAGACACTCATATTAGACACGTTAAAGCATCTATGAATACGAAAATCGCTGAGAAAATCCTAAATCTTCAAGAGGTTTTTCGCCAATTTACCTGATGAGTCGGCTTCCAGTTTGAGATTTTTTCTCTGCATAATCCTCGGTTTCTTTCGGCCTTGTTTGGACATCCTGCAAAGAAAATCATGTGATAAGCCTAATACAACAATTCACGAGGTATTTTATACCATAAAGCGCGATAAAACATCCAAAATATTATACATGATCATCTGCCAAAATTTCGGAGAAAAATCGAAATTACAGTAATCCTGCTGACTAAATCTAATAAAATGTGCTGTAAACAGGAAGCTAGGGGCATAATAGACATAACCATAACCTCTAATATTATACTACAACATCAATTTTTCAAAAAATCGACAAATTTCAAAGTACCCACCAAAACTGATGTTACCATTGAAAAACTTGCCAAAATCGGCATGTTACAGTATCCCAATCGCAAAATTTCACTCTCCAAAATGTTGAGGAGTCTCTTCTTCACCAAATTGATCAACATTTCCCCGGAGTTCGACCCATTTCAACCGAAAAATCGACCAATTTCCCGGGCCGACTCGGCTGAAAATTGAAAATTTGCATAAATTCCTGCACTTTTTCGCTTTCCCATGCGGCGGGGTATAAAAAGCGGCGCTTGCCGGTTGCGGCGGTTAGTTTGGGCGTTTCGTTTCCCGTGATTCGGTGGTCAAGACTTCGCTCTCGTACAAGGACAACAACCTCATCATGACTTCGGCCTACTTTGGTGTGGGTGGCGGCGGTGGCGGCGGGGCGCAGTCCGCCTACTTTGGTGTGGGCGGCGCGAAGCCCGGAGGCGGCGGTGGCGGCAGCAATGTGCCGCAGGGCGGCGGTGGTGGCGGTGGCGCGACGTCCGCCTACTTTGGGGTGGGCGGTGGCGCGCCGGGCGGTGGTGGCGCCCAGTCCGCCTACTTTGCGGTGGGCGGAGCGCCGGCGGGTGGCGGCGGTGCCGCTGCGCCTCCTCCTCCAGCAGCCGGAGGTGAGTTGTGAATTTTTTTTGGTATTTTTGATCTTTTTTTTTATCTTTTTCATTTTGACATCTGTATAATGTAACTTTCAGGTGCTGCCTTTGGCTCCTCGACCATGACAGCCGTTGGCGCTCCAGCCGGTGGCGGAGGAACTTCAACTATGACTGCCGTTGGTGCCGCTCCAGGAGGAGGTGAGTTGTTTGGGGTAGTTTTAAGAGTAGTTAATTATTTTTGCATTGGCATTGATTTTTGGGGGTTTGACCCGGTTTTGCTGATTTTTTTGCCTAGTGTAATATAATTTTTGGCCGATTTTTCAAAATTTATAGGTCTATTTTTGTCTAACAGGCCTGTTATGACATGTTCGTTGCATTTTTTAGCTAATCATTTGTCTTTTTTTATCTGAGCATTTTTGTCTAGTACAATATAAATTTTTGGCCATAGCTTTCAAATTGATGGGTTGATTATAGTGGAAAAAGCTTTATTATGATCTTTCTGGTCTTCTCTTTCATTAGCCAAAAAATATGGATTCCTTTCGAATTTTGACTACTTTTTCTCAAAATTTCACCTAGTGTAATATAAATTTTTGTTCTTTTTTAAACATAACGGGGGCTATTATGACTGCAAATTTCCGGCCTAATCTTTATGTTATTCTATTCCAAATTTTTGATGACTAAAATTTTCAACCAATTCATTTTCCCGTTCCAGGTCGTTCCACTATGACCGCCGTTGGAGCCCCACTTGGTGGAGGCGGTACCTCGACCATGACAGCCGTTGGCGCCCCTCCGGGCGGCGGCGGAACTTCAACTATGACCGCCGTTGGCGCCCCCATGGGTGGCGGTGGAACCTCGACGATGACCGCTGTTGGCGCTCCCATGGGTGGAGGAGGAACTTCGACCATGACTGCTGTTGGCGCCGCTCCCGGAGGAGGTGAGTTGGGGGCAGTTTTTTTTGTTTTTAGTATTTTTTTTATTTATGAGCATTTTTGCCTAGTATAATATAAATTTTTGGCTGTGGCTCTCAAATTGATGGGTTGAGTGTAGTGAAACAAGTTTTATTATGATCTTTATGGTCTTCTCTTTCATTATTTAGCCAAAAAATAGCGATTGTTTTCGATTTTTGGCCATTTTTTTCAAAATTTCAACAAGTATAACATCAATTTTTGATGACTCAAAATTTTCCATTCCAGGTCGTTCCACTATGACCGCTGTTGGAGCCCCACTTGGTGGAGGCGGTACCTCGACCATGACCGCTGTTGGCGCACCCATGGGCGGAGGCGGTACTTCAACCATGACTGCCGTCGGTGCCCCCATGGGCGGAGGTGGAACCTCGACGATGACTGCTGTTGGCGCTCCCATGGGTGGAGGAGGAACTTCGACCATGACCGCTGTTGGTGCCGCTCCCGGAGGAGGTAAGTTGTTGGGGTTATTTTGGGGGATTTTTACCCGATTTTGTTGATTTTTTTGCCTAGCGTAATATAATTTTTTGTTGATTTTTCAAAATTATAGGTTTATTTTTGTCCATCAGGACTTTTATGACATGTTCGCTGCATTTTTTTGCCAATCTTTTGTCCTTTTTTTGATTTATGAGCATTTTTTGCCTAGTATAATATAACATAATTTTGGCCGCAGCTCTCAAATTGATGGGTGTATTATAGTCGAATGGGCTTTATTATATCGAACAGTCTTACCTGGTCTAATTTTTGCATTTTTTTTATTCCAGGTCGTTCCACGATGACCGCTGTTGGAGCCCCACTCGGTGGAGGCGGTAAATTAATTTTTGTATTTTTTAATGGGTTTGATGGGTTAATTATAGCGGGATAGGCTTTTTTATGATCTTTCTGGTCTTCTCTTTCGTTGTTTTGCCAAAATTCGAAAGAAATCCCTATTTTTTCCATCTTTTTTTCAAAATTTCACCAAGTATAATATAATTTTTTTGGCCGTACTGGACCAACAGTCTCTGTAGCCATTTTCTGGCCTATTTTTTTCTAATCTTGAAATTCCAGATCGAAAAATTAGGAATTTCTTTCGAATTTCGAATCATTTTGTTTTTCAAAATTTCACCAAGTATAATATAATATTTTTGGCCATAGGTCCCAGTTAGAGCCCTTTTCTGGCCTAATCTTTTAATCTAATGCTTTTTCTAATCTTGCTGGCCTAATTTTTGCATTTTTTCCATTCCAGGTCGTTCCACTATGACTGCTGTTGGAGCCCCACTCGGTGGAGGCGGTACCTCGACCATGACGGCTGTTGGTGCCCCCATGGGCGGTGGTGGAACCTCTACCATGACTGCGGTTGGCGCCCCCATGGGTGGCGGTGGAACCTCGACGATGACCGCGGTTGGAGGCGCACCCGCTGCTGGTGGCGGCGCTTCGACGATGACTGCCGTTGGAGGCGCTGGTGGAGCGCCTCCCCCGCCTGGAGGTCCGGTTGGCGGTGGTGGCGGCGGAGGCGGCGGTGGCGCCACCTCGGCCTACTTTGGAGTCGGTGGCGGCGGCGGTGGTGGCGCACAGTCGGCCTACTTTGGTGTTGGCGGCGGCGGCGGTGGTGGCGGCGGTGGCGGTGGTGCCAAGCCCCCAGGGGCCGCCCTTCCCAATCAATCGGCATACTTTGGAGTCGGCGCGACTGGAGCTGGCGCTGGTGGAGCAACTTCGGCCTACTTTGCACCTAAATAAGTCTAATCGACCAATAAACTTGTCGAGAAGCGATTGTCGGGTTGTTTTGTCTTCTTTTTTTTGGTTTTTGGATCTTTTTTTGTATTGTTTTAGCCATTATATTGTACTAGATTTTTTTGGTCTTGGAAGGCAGAAAAAAACTCGATTAATAGAGTTCTTTCTGCTTCTAAACCCTTGATTTGCCTTCTCAACCATTTTTGAGACCGTCTTTATGTTGTATTAGACATTTTTTATATTACACTTGACATCAGATATTCGCTAATTTTTGTAAAAATCCCTCAAATTCGAGGTCTATCTTCTATTTCTCAACCTTTCTCTGAATCCACTTTATAAAATCCCATTTTTTCATTTTCAAAATGAAAAATTCGAATCTCCTCAAAACAACCGCGAAAAATCTCAAAATCTAGATAGCGCAGAGGTTCAAACCATTTGATTTTTACTCCAAATTCATCTCACACTCCATTTACAACTTTTTTTTATTAATTTCAAACTTAACAACTGGTGAAAATGTAGAAAACGTTAGAAATCCTTGACTCCCTGCACTTTGACCTTGGTTTTTCGTCGTTTCGGCTCTCGTGCTGTCTCGATTATGATGTCCTGCTCCTCTCGAGGCTCCTCCTTGATGTCCAGTGGTCGTTTTCGATAGGAGTTGAGGGTTTCGGCCATTTCCCGGGCTGATATTTCTTCATCGCTGAGCTCACCTTCCTCTAGACCTGCGCTCTTCCGTTTCCTTTCGTGCAGCTCCATTAATGTCTGAAAAAATGAATAAAATATGTTCGTATAGCACTATCAAGCTCTCTCGAATGTATACTTCAAATTTCAACGCTTTTCATTTCCGAAAACGCACATTTCTATCGATTTTTCAAAATCTGACATCAGATCTGATGGTTTAGATAAAAAATCGCTGACCAGCACTTCAATGTTTCGCCAGATGCTCTCAAAATACTCCACAGACCTATTGACATCTTATATTTCACTTTCTTCCACCTTGAAGTCTCAATTCAGAAAAGACAATAAAAAATTTCGCTCACCTCAACTTCCGGATTTTGACCTCCAAATGAGAACCGTCCAAAGCGGAATTGATCAACTTTTGTGAACCGATCATCAACTGTGATTCCATTCAGGCCTCTGAAAGACTTAGACATCAATTCATCAATGAAAATTATATTGTACTACACGGTCACACACTAAAGTCCAAACAATTATGTATAAAATCTTACTCCACAGGATCATCATCGAATCTGAGTGCAGTTGGGAAGACTTTTATCTTGTTCTTCCTCATGGCCAGTCTGTCTTTGCGTTTCTTTGCCATCTCCACCTGATTGTAGGTCTTCTTCATGAAATTCATCTGCAGCACACTCTCGGAGATCTTGTGTGCCAACTTTGTATCGATCTTTTTGTCGCCGAAAACCCCCTCATCTTCCTCCATTATGCCTAAAGTACGGAGTTTGGACGAGAAAAGAAAATCACGAAAATGCATAAAATTTGACGTTTTTTCTCCATAAACGTCACGTTTTTACTCATAAAACGACAAAAACAGTATCCAAAGGGCGGGAAAAAGTCAAATATAGATACTCATGGTTTCAGAACCCCATTGGCAGCACTTTTAACAACAAATAACCTAGAATTTATTCAACAAACACCTGTTTCGGACATTCAAGTTCATGGATAATATAAACAATATAACAGACAGTTGTTTATCACCGGCAAGACGTCTAGTAACAATAACAGCGATATGATCTATTCATGGATCGCCTGCGGGTTCGTGTATCGGTAATGGGCAATACGAGCCAGCTGCGCTAATCCAGTGAGACCAACGAAGAAGTTGACACCTGACAAATAATAGTTGACTGGCTTGATCACCAGGCAGAACCGCGTCCAGATCAACCCAGTGGCAGCTAGAGCAACGTTCTAAAATTTTTCGCCAATTAAAACGGATATATTTTACTTTAGACCTTGGGTTCGGAGTTTCACCGACCTCCTCTAGGAAATTCGATTAAAAAAGAGTAAAAAGCCTTGTTTTCTGGGACAAAATCGATTGTAAAACGTTCTTCAACCAACGCTCATTCTTTTCGACGGCTTTACCAATCAAATTCACCTAAAACCCAATCAAAAATCGAAAATCTTACCTGAGAAACACTCAATTTCTCGGCAGGCCGCGCCAAGTCGGCAAGTCCGGCCGCGACCAGGCACCATTTTATCGTTGGAGCCCAGAAGAAGACAGTTTTCGGTCCGGCGGGATGGTTCCAAGCGGGTTTCGCGAAACTCGGCAGTATTGGATACACGACCTAACATGGATAATATAATAAAAAAAACCTGTCTTACCTTATCCCCCGCTCGACAGAGAGCTTTGTACACGACGGAGGACATTGTTCTCTGATGCCAGAAGGGCGATAAGAACGAGTCGGACGATGGAGAAAGTTCAGAAAAATATTTACAAAATTTCAGGGAGTCCGAGCTGCGCCCTGAGCATTTTGCAGACTGCGGGGGACATTTTATACGATGGGTTGGAAATACCCGGGAAAGTGGGAATTTGAATATGGAATGGTATTTTATAATTACTGATGATCCCTTTAGGCTGGATAGTTTTATTTTTGACCAAATCAAGCCGTCAATTTAATCAAAAAATCAAATTTTCACAAAAAAAGCTCTAATCTCAAACATCTGGCCAATTAAGCGCTAAAATTAATGGCTAAAACGCCTGAAACTTCCTTCATCCTTCATAATCAACCTCGTATGTCTGCAGGTCTCTGTTTCTGACAGTTATTTGCAATGGAAATCTGAGAATTCCCCCGATTTTATGATCTATTGTAATGTTACAGTAAACCGGGTGGCGAGTGATAATTACCGCGTCAAGGTCGCGAGGTCTTTTGTTATGACGTTTTATGCAAATTTTCGGAAAACGGGACTGCGGTGCGTCGATCTGATTTTGCGCTCGCTTTTTTCGCATTGAAATGGCAAAAAAGAGGGGCTTCGAATAGCGAGTAGCGTCCAGTTGGCTGGCTTTTCGATTTCCCTGTCAGATTCTGCCGTTTTCGATTATTAATACCCGTTTTTGGAGGGATTTCTGGGATTTTTTTATATTATACTTGATCAAGTGTAATATAATGTTAACTTATACCCAAAACAATATGTATTTGGTCTAAAAACACTTCTCGTTCTCTATATTTTATTGTTTTCAAATTTTTATTTTATTCAATTTACCCTAAGGGCATTAAAAATGCCTTTTTTCCAACTGCACTGTGCAGTTTTCGCAAAGATCCCATTGCACGGTGCAAACAGAAAAATGAATGCCGCACTGTGCAAGAGAAGTAAACAAATTTGTCGCTTCACTGCGCCGTGCGCCAGATTTTATCAAAAATTTATTTGCACGGTGCGAAATCCTTTCCATTTTTTCACTGCACAGTGCGATGGAAAATGTCTTGCTGGTCGCGTAATTTTTGTCGCGATCTTCGCACGGTGCAAAAGCAAAAAAAAAAGACTGACAAAATCTGGAAGTGCACAGTGCAATCAAAAAGTGTCTGCACAGTGCAAAGTCACTGAATTTTTTGTCGCCTTTTCGCACGGTGCAAAAACAAAAAAACAGATTTTGCCAACAATCTGTTTGCACTGTGCGATTTTTTTTGTTTTTTTTTCACTGCACAGTGCGATGGAAAATTTCTTGTTGCCGCACAGTGAAAAGCCACTGAAATTTTTGTCGCGGTTTTCGCACGGTGCAAGAACAAAACAAGTCTGAATGCATCTGGAAGTGCACAGTGCAATCAAAAAGTCTTTGCACAGTGCAAAACAATTTTTTTCTGAAGTTGAAAATTGCACCGTGCAAATCAGAAAAATTACAGTAGCCCTCGTCATCTTTCACTTCAAGACTTTTTGGCCCCAAAATAAACACTCCGAAAATGGCCAAGGTGAGCGGCGGATATTTTGGACACATAAACATTCGGCTTGGCCAAACATTTGGCCACCCGCAAGACAAACATTCGACAAATTAATTTTTTCATACTTTGTCGCCGTATCGAAGAATATGGAGTCGAGAGTTTATGCGTTTATTAGCTGAATATTTTTCGTCGAGTCCAATGGGAAGGGAAAATAAAGTGGAAAATGGGATTTTGTGAAATTAAAATGCCCATATCTCGGTTGTTTCTGCATAACGCGGTCTGAAATTTTTAGCCATGGATTTCAGAGCCAATATTTTTATTTTTACAAAGTTTTGTTCAGATCTGGAAAAAAGGGATTTTTTGATTTTAAAATGGCCATATCTCGATTGTTTCTGCATAACGCGATTTGATTTTTTTCCCGCAGTTTAGAAAGCCATAATTTTTACTGTCACAAAGTTTTGTCCAGATCCGGAAAAACGGGATTTTTTGATTTTAAAATTCCTATATCTCGGTTGTTTCTGCATAACGCGGTCTGAAATTTTTATCCATGCTTTTTATCACCCTAATCGTCATTTCTAGAAAATTCCATCAATTTTTGAAAAATCAAAAAATAGGAAGTTTAAAATTTTTTTTGCATGTTTAAATTAAAAATTTTAAATATCACCTCTGTGACGTCCAAAATATTCACTCTAAATTCTTGAAGCCCCCAAAAAATTTGTAACTTATTTTTTCACCTACTACAATATAATTAATCCCAAAAATTTCTTCAAATCTCAAGAACTGCCCTCTTCATTTTTCGCCTCCAGCGAACGACATTTCAATTATTCAAATTCCCCAGTGATCCAATTTCGGGACATATGTCAGCAGGGAGCCGGCGATCCTTCCATCAAGTCCCGCCGCTCGGCCGTATGTTGTTACACATTGGTCATTTGTCTCCGGGGTCCACTCTCGGGCCCCCTCTTTTGTTTATTCAAAGCCGGTAATTGGGATTGTAAACTTTGACGGATTTAAGGGCGATTTATGTAAGACAACATTCTGCGCTCGCACCGTGCAGTCAATTTTTTAATTTTTTTGCACCGTGCGAAAAACTCGGACTTTCGCACGGTGCAATTTTCCCTATAATTTTTTTTGCACAGTGCAATTTTTAACTTTTTTTGCACAGTGCAGTGAGACAAAGTTGAGAATGCACGGTGCAAAAAAATTGGACTTTCGCACTGTGCAATTTTTTATTTTTTCGCACGGTGCAATTTTAAATTTTTTTGCACTGTGCAGAAGGACAAAATTGAGAATGCACAGTGCAAAAAAAATTGGACTTTCGCACTGTGCAATTTTTGATTTTTTCTAATTTTTTGCACAGTGCAATTATAAATTTTTTTTGCACTGTGCAGACAGACAAAATTGTGAATGCACAGTGCGAAGAAACATGATTTTTTTGCACCGTGCGAAAAATCGGACTTTCGCACTGTGCAATTTTTTATTTTTTCGCACGGTGCAATTTTCACGATCATTCTTTTGCACAGTGCAATTTTTTATTTTTTTTTTGCACAGTGCAGTGAGACAAAGTTGAGAATGCACAGTGCAAAAAAATCGGACGTTTTTGCACCGTGCAATTTTAAATTTTTTCGCACGGTGCAACTTTTTAATTTTTTGCACAGTGCAATTATAAATTTTTTTTTGCACTGTGCAGACAGACAAAATTGTGAATGCAGAGTGCGAAAAAATCTGACCTTTTCCACTGCGCGATTTTTTGTATTTTCGCACAGTGCAATTTTTTATTTTTTTGCACCGTGCAGAGAGACAAAATGCACAATGCGGAAACTCGGACTTTTGTTTTTTGCACTGTGCAATTTTTTATTTTTTTCGCACAGTGCAATTTTTTTATAAATTTTTCCGCACTGTGCAAAAATAAAAAAAAAAACAAAAAAAATCCTTGCGCAACGTGCTCAATTCTATTTTTTTAAAAATTTATCTTCAAAAAATTGTTTCTAAAATACGACTCCCATCATCGCAATAAATTGTAAAAAATTTAGATGTAAATGGAGCACCTTTACAGTGGATCGCAAACCCTTCCACGACAATATCGCAGCAGTAAAATCTATTCTTCACCCATAAATGTCCCGCTTCTGGAACATGTGGTCTCGACGGAGAAGTGCAGGTCAACCACCATGGATCCACCGCTGTATTCGGAGGTCTGCGGAACCAGTGAGGCCAAGGAGAAGGTAGGATATATAAAGAAGCAAAATAAAGACTGCACAGTGCAATCAAAACTTTTGATTTTTCACTGTGCAAAGGCTGCGACAACTTTTTGGTCGACGCACAGTGCAACCGAGCAACTTGTTTTGGGAGAAACGCACAGTGCATTAAAAATTTTTGCTTTGCACTGTGCAAAGGACGCGACAAATTTATCTGATCATCGCACAGTGCAATCGATTTTTTGGCTGTTTGCACAGTGCACTTTTTGGGGGTGGAAGAAGAAACCGCACAGTGCGATCAAAGAATATTTTTTTTGCACTGTGCAAAGGAAGCGACAAATTTCTTTTTTTGATCATCGCACAGTGCATGTTTTGGGGGTTGGAAAAACAAATGCACGGTGCATCAAAAATTTTTGCTTTGCACTGTGCAAAGGCCGCGACAAATTTCTTTTTTTGATCATCGCACAGTGCAATCGACTTTTTTGGCTCTTTGCACAGTGCATTTTTTTGGGATTTTTGAGAAGAAAACGCACAGATCAAAAAATATTTTTTTTTGCAAAGGCTGCGACAAACTTCTTCTTTTTCTGGTCATCGCACAATGCAATCGACTTTTTTGTTCCTTCGCACAGTGCACTTTTTGGGGGTGGAAAAAGAAACCGCACAGTGCAATCAAAAAAAAAATATTATTTTTTTTTGCACTGTGCAAAACAAACCTGTTCCTTTCGAAGATCGCACTGTGCACGCGTCTTTTTTTGTTTTGCACAGTGCAACAGTAACCTACACTTGTTTTGGGAAAAACGCACGGTGCAATCAAAACATTTTGCCTTGCACTGTGCAAAGGAAGCGACAAATTTCTTTTTCGAAAATTGCACAGTGCATTCATTGGGGTTTGAAAAGAAAAATGCACGGTGCAATCAAAAAATATTTTTTTGCACAGTGCAAAAATTTCCCAAAAAAATGAAAAAACTCCAATTTTCAAAGTCAAACCGCAGTTCAAAAACTCTTCAAAATTTCCTAAAATACCTCTTTCAGCTACGCCTAGCCCTCCACTCCCTTGGATTGATGTGTTTCATCGCTGTTTTCTTCTCCTTTGTCAGTCTAAATCGACTGGATTCCTGGGAGAAAAGAGCCCTGAATTTGACGGTGAAATCGCGAAATGACTTGATCTTCGTGGTCTGGGAGATGAGTATGTCCGTCACTTTGGCCATGGTCCTCTGCTCCTTGGCCACATTCTTCGTCGCTTCAATTCAACTGTTTTTTGCGCTCAAAATCGCAAAAAATAATGTCAAATCACCGGAAGTGTAAGTTTTTTTGATTTTAACTTTATTGCCTCAAGGCATTTTAGTTATTTTTTGGACAATTTATGCGAAAAAAAGAAAAGAAAAATTTTTTGATTTTTCCGCACAGTGCAATGAATTTTCGAAAATTTTGCACTGTGCAAAAATAATCTCTATGATTTTTGCGACAAATTGCACAGTGCAAACCGAAAAAAACCGCCTTGCACCGTGTAAAAACAATATTTTTTGATTGCACTGTGCGTTTTTCTTCTCAACCCCAAAAAATGCACTGTGCAAAGAACAAAAAAAAAGCCGATTGCACTGTGCGATCATAAAAAAAAAGAAGTTTGTCGCGGCCTTTGCACAGTGCAAAAAATTTTGATTGCACCGTGCGTTTTTCTTTCCAACCCCCAAAAAATGCACTGTGCAAAGAACAAAAAAAAGTCGATTGCACAGTGCGACAACCCAAAAAAAAAAGTTTGTCGCGTCCTTTGCACAGTGCAAGGCAAGAAGTTTTGATTGCACCGTGCATTTTTCTTTCCAAAAAAAGTTGTTTGTTTGCACAGTGCGATGATTAAAAGGTTGTCGCGGCCTTTGCACAGTGCAAAATGAGAAGTGTTGATTGCACTGTGCGGTCTTCAATTTGGAAAAAAATTACCTCGCACCGTGCAAAAGCAATTTTTTCTTAAAAAATGCGAAAATAAAGGGGTTTTTTGGTATTTTGCCTTAGGGCAAATTTGTCAAAAAATGCAGTAAAATTAGTTTCAGAACATAAAAAAATTTTGCTGACTTTTAGGGCCAAAAATTCAAAAGAAATTCAAAAAAATTTAATATCAGATCTCGTCTACTACAATATAAAATTTTATTTCAGAGCCCTTCGATACCTCCACGACGCCAGGACAATCCGCTTACCCACATTTTTCATGTTTTTCATCTGCTCTTTGACCTTTCTGATCTCTCTTTTGGTCTCTTTACTCTTTCTCCCTTCAAATTATGGGCTGATTCCTCGAGGCATTGCCGGCCTAATAGGCGTATTTTTGGTTGTATTCTGCTCTCTGGCCGCTCTCCACTCCATCCATTGTCTTTTGCGGATCGAGACGGATTCGAATTCGACCATGTCCACGCCGAAAATGACCCGATTTCCAGCCCGATTTAGTACGTTGGTATAGCTGATGTTTTGACTGTAGTATTTCAAGATGATTATAGAGAAATAAAGAGTAATTTACAGCGAGTTTGAGAGTCTCCGATATTTTCATCACGTTTTCGTCGAGAATCAAAGCCTCAGCTGGCGGAGTGAGCAGCTCGAAATTGGCGATATCTAGTTACAGTAGCAGACCTGATAGTAGCTAAAAATGTACCATTCTGCATCCGGGAAGTATCAGAAATGCAGCAAAATACCTCCTGTAAGTTAAAAAGACTGCAATTTACTAAAAGGCCCTCCCGCTCTTTTTGTAAGGCAGCCCTTCAAAACGTAGTATTTTCACTTGGTCAGGGAGGTATTTAGCCACATTTTTTGAGACTTCCCAGATGCAAAATGGTACGTGTTTTGCCATTGGATCATAAAACTGGCAGGCCAGGAGAAGAATTGGAGTTGAGGATCGACCGGTTGAGGAAGACGAGAAGACCAAGAGAAGGAGTCTTTATTGGACACACAGAAGGGAAAAGTGATTATAAAATGATGAGATCTGTGCCTTTTATAGTGGATTGGCGAACTTATGCAAATTTGGGGCTTAGCGCCAACAGATCAGGTTGGCTATAGTAGTTGTGGAACTTCAGGTCCAAAAAAAGTTTATTGAGATTACTTGTGTCAAACAGTATGTATAGACATAAATACCACACCAAAAAAGGGTTATTTCTATTTCAAAAGTCTCCTATTTCCTTCCGATTGGAATTGGCGCGACTTGGAAACCACTGGGTTGTGCGCCCGGCTGAGCGTATCCTCCGGGCAATGCATAGCCTCCGGGTAGGGCATACCCGCCATTTTGCGGATATCCCGCGGGTTTGTATTTGGCGTAGCTTCCGACCGGTTGGTATACTGTATTCACTCGGTATCTGGTGCAGACGTTCAATTCACATGGGCAGGTGCTAAAGTTATTTTATGTCATTTTCGCTTCAGTGGCGCTGCACAGTGCAGTTTATTGCTTTTGGCGGACCGCACTGTGCAAAACCTTTATTTAGGAGCCGCACAGTGCAGTTTGTCGCCGAATTGTTAATGGAAGCACTGTGCAGTCATTTTTTGTTCTTTTGCACGGTGCAGTTTGTCGCAATTGCACTGTGACGTTTGTCGAGAACTGCACTGTGCAAAAACTTTTTTTAGAGGCAGCACAGTGCAGTTTGTCGCTGGACTGTCAAAAGAAGCACTGTGCAGTAAATTTGTTCTTTTTGCACGGTGCAGTTTGTCGCAGTTGCACTGTGACGTCTTCAGCGGGCCGCACAGTGCAAAAGCTTTCCTTTGAGGCGCACAGTGCAATTTATCGCACAATTTTTGACTGAAAGCACAGTGCAATCAATTTTTTTTCATTTTGCACGGTGCGGTTGCACTTTTATTCTGACAAACGCACCGTGCAATGAGAATTGGACCAACTGCACAGTGCAGTTTGTCTTTTCCCGCCAAGTGCACTGTGCTGTTTATTTTTGCACAGTGCAAAATCCAAAAAATACGCACTGTGCAGTTTCAAAATAATTTTTTTGCACCGTGCCTTTGAAAAAAATTATAAATTTACCTTGTATACGCTTGTCCATAGCCTCCATAGCCACACTGATTGCACCCGGGACAACAACAGCCCGTATTACAACATGGATTTCCAACATAATGCGAGTTTATCGACAAGATTAGGCATGAAAATACGATAACATGGAGGATATACATGATTACTGACAACTACCGACAAAAAATGATCGAAGTTCTGTTTTATATAGGGACTTCTGTCCACTAAAGTCCATTGTTACAGAATAAATTCCAGCCGAATTAGTCATCAAAACAGAAAAAGACGTATACGAAAAGCGTGAATACGACAAAAACACTAGTGTACACTGCTGTTGGAAAAAGGTTTGCACTGTGCGGCGAGAGAAACTTCTGATTGCACGGTGCGTTGAGCAAAAAGTGCAAAAAGCTCTGCACCGTGCAAAAACTTCGAAAAACATCATTGCTCTGTGCAGGCAAAAAAAAAAAATTTTTGTTGCACTGTGCAAAATTAAATTTTTGTTTTTCAATCTGCACTGTGCAAAATTAAAATTTTTATTTTTCAAACTGCACTGTGCAAAATTAAAATTTTTATTTTTTAATCTGCACTGTGCGAAATTTCTTCTAGAACATTTAATTTCTCATCCAATTTGCTCTTCCAATTACGCTGTTTAGGTCCCTAATGGGCGCCTTCTGCAAGAGTTTGCGTCCCCACTAATTGTATTCTCGCGCGTCGCCCGCGACGTGTAAAGTTTGTTTTCATAGAGCGCAAATAAAACGTTCAGTGCGCGCGCGCGTCTTCTGTTCGCTTGTCTTGCCGGAGGCCAAGTTGTTTGGCGACGGGGGGTAAGTGGGGATGAGGGAGGGGATCAGAGTTGTTTATTAGTATACTAGAGCCGTAGGAGATGATATTGGGGCTTGGAATAAAAATAAAATGGGTTTTTGGGATGTTTAAAAATAAGTTATACTATATATATAGGTAATAACTTATTTTGTAAAGATTATTTTTTGAAAAAAATAAAAAATTTTTTTTTCAATTTTTCATCTTAAAAAATGGGAGTCTTCTCGAAATGGTTGAGCCTGAACTCTACCCCTTTTCTGAACTTTCCCCCAATCTGAACTCTACCTGTTTTTGAACTTTCCCCCTTCAGAACTGTCCCCCTTTTTGAACACTCCCCCTAATTTTGAAAATTGAAAAAATGAGGTGTGACATCTTATACGATGAAATTTTTTTTTTCTAATTGAAAAAATGAGGTGTGACATCTTATACGATGAAAATATACGGTGAAAAGATGTCACACTTCATCCTTTTCAATTTGAAAAAAATTTCCATCGTATAACATGTCACACCACTTTTTTTCAATTTTCAAAATGGGGAAGTGTTCAAAAAGGGGGACAGTTCAGATTTTTTGGCGAAAATCAAAAAAGGGGTAGAGTTCAGCCTTTTTTGGGGTAGAGTTGAAAAAGGGGTAGAGTTCAGATTGGGGGAAAGTTCAGAAAAGGGGTAGAGTTCTGCCGCAACGTCTCGAAGTGTATAGTAAAATATTTCCACCAAAAATTATTTTTTTCCCCTCCCAAAATTTGCAGTTATTTGCAAAAACAAAGTTTTTTCTCTGCCCGACTCTCCACATTTTCCATGGTCTCTCTCAAAACAAAAAAAAAAGATTTGTCAATATCTCAGCTTCGACTGCAAGTTACGTACTAAAATTTTCAGAGAAGATTTTATGGCCTATCAAAAGCATATAAGCCAAATTTCGAAAAAAATTACAACATCATTCTTGAGATACCAAATTTTTTTTTCAAAAATATTTTTTTTTTGATTTTTTCTCCATTTTTGCCAAGTTTTTATCGAGATTTTTCCGTGTAAGATCAAGAATTGATGGTTACGTAAGAAACAGAAAGCCTCCCGCTGTGTTGACCGTAAAAGTCGAATCAGCCACCACGCAGGGTGCGGTTTAATTACGCAATTGACCGCGTTGTTTGCTTTGTTGTTTTTATTTGTTGTGAAGAGTGCTGTAAAAGGATTTTTCTGGATTTCTTGAAGCAAAAACAAAAAAATCTGCACAGTGCAAAATAAAAAAAAAAAAAATTTTATTTTGCACTGTGGTTTTGCAAAAAATCAAAAAATTTTTTGTTTTGCTAAATTTTTTGCACAGTGCAAAACTAAAGTTTTTTGCCGTGCATTGCTTACAGAAGAAGAAGAAAAAAAAATTTGTTGCACAGTGCATCTAAAAAAATATTTTTTTGTTTCACAGTTCAAAAAAAAAATTTTCAACTGAAACTTTGCACTGTGCAAAACAAAATTTTTTTGTTGCACAGTGCATTCAAAAAAAACAAAATAAAAATAAAATAAATTTGGACTGTGCAAAACAAAAAATTTCTTGTTGCACAGTACATCTAAAAAATAATATTTTTTGCACTGTGCGTCTTTGCAAAAAAACAAAAGAAAGCAGATTTGCAGTGTGCAAAACTAAAGTATTTTTGTTGCACAGTGCATCCAAAAAAAATATTTTTTTTTCTTACCGTGTAAAAATTTTTTTCTGCACCGTGCGTTTTTGCAAAGAAAAAAAAAGTTTTTAAAAATTTGCACTGTGCAAAACCACAAATTTCTCGCTGCACAGTGCATCCAAAAAAATTTTTTTTGCAATGTGCGTTTTGCAAAGATTTTTTTTGTTTGAAATTTGCACTGTGCAAACCAAAAAATTTTCGCTGCACAGTGCATCCAAAAAAATATTTTTTTTTTGCACAGTGCAAAAAAACTAAAAAATTTCGCACAGTGCAATCTCCTCTAACATAAGAAATTCAAAAGGCGTCTTCCTAATTCCTCTCTCCCCTTTCCTCAGGCGTTTTTGGAGGCACTTTGTTTCGGTCGAAGCGAACTTTTTGTTTTTTTTTCGCTCCCATCGACGGATTTTCGCCTTTTGTTTTTCTTTCATTGAGCGATACATTAGGAAGGGAAGGGGTTTGTTCAAGGCTCAAATCCAGGAAATAAAAGTTGCTGTTCTGGTTGGGGGGTTGTTTCGGACCGATTTTTTGTCGATTTTTTTCCGCACAGTGCAAAAATTTAATTTATTTTTTCGCACTGTGCAAAAAATTAAAAAAAAAATCGCACTGTGCGGAAAATATTTTGACCAAAAATACGTTTTTTATGTCCAATTTAGTTTATTAAAAAAGATTTTACGATGTTTTGCAACCCTTTTAGCCTCTATATTACGTAATTCTTCATTTGGAAGGCGATTTTTCGCCTTTTTCTTGTTTTTTTTATTTATCACCCCTCTTTTTCCCGTTGATTACGCCTTTTTCGCAAAGAATCGTCTGGATTTTTTACGAAAATCAGAGAAATAAAGAGACATCTCGTCTTAATTTACATCAAAAATGATAAAAAATTGAAAAAAAATCCGTCATAATGACTAATTTTTAGAAATTTTTGTGATCAGAAGTAACCGAAAATTACTCATTCCTCGTTTTTTCGATTTTGTTACCCTTTCGACACGCCATTTTCCCGACCTTTCCACACAAAATAACTGGCCTTTTCTCTTGTTTTTTGACCATCCAAAAAGGTTGAAATAATGGCGAGAAAAGTGCGGGAAAATGGGAAAACAGGACCGTTTTTTTGTCTTTATTTTGGCGATTCTCTAACCTTGAATTTTTGCGGCAAAAATTTGCATTTTTAATCTCTTTATTTTCGCACTTTTTAGTTTTTTATTTTTGCACTGTGCAGTCAGTTTTTATTTTATTTGCACTGTGCAATCTCAACTTTCCCGATCCCCGCACTGTGCAATGAATTTTCGTCCACTTTGCACTGTGCGATTTGTCGCTGTTGCACCGTGCAGTTTGATTTTTTACGGGCGCACAGTGCAGTTTTGTTTGTCCGCACCGTGCAACATGTTTTCTGCACTGTGCATTCTAAACTTTCCCGACCCCCCGCACTGTGCAATTTGTCGCTGCTGCACTGTGCAATTTGATTTTTTACGGGCGCACAGTGCAGTTGTTTTTTCAAAGTTTTGCACTGTGCAATCTAACTTTTTCCAGCTCCCGCACAGTGCAATGAATTTTCGTTCACTTCGCACTGTGCAATTTGTCGCTGCGGCCCAGTGAAGTTTACAGAGGACCGCACAGTGCGAAAACTTTCTTCAACGCCGCACAGTGCAGTTTGTCGCTGAATTTTGGCCGATCGCACTGTGCGGTAAATTTCTGTTCATTTTGCACTGTGCGGTTTGTCGCTGCTGCACTGTGAGGTCTTCTTCTCGAAAACGCACTGTGCAAATTGACTTTATGCGAGCGCACAGTGCAGTTTGTTCTTTTCGGAGTTCCGCACCGTGCAACATGTTTTCAGCACTGTGCATTCTAAACTTTCCCAACCCCCGCACTGTGCAGTCAACCTTTGTTCAGTTTGCACTGTGCGGTTGTCGCTGCTGCACTATGACATTTACGGAGAACCGCACTGTGCAAAAACTTTTTCTAGGGGCCGCACAGTGCATTTTAGTGCAGTTTGTTCTTTTCGGAGTTTAGCACCGTGCAAGATTTCTTTTGCATTGTGCAATCTAACTTTTTCCAGCCCCCGCACAGTGCAATCAGTTTTCGTTCACTTTGCACTGTGCGTTTTGTCGCTGCAGCACTGTGAAGTCTTCTTCTCGGAAACGCACTGTGCAGTTTGATTTTATACAAGCGCACAGTGCAGTTTATTCTTTTCGGAGTTCCGCACCGTGCAACATTTTTTTGCACTGTGCGATTTGTTGCTTTGCACTGTGCAGGGAATTCCTCGAGATTGCACAGTGCAAATTATTTTTTTGCGACGATGAGGATGTCGTATATCCTTATTTGGCCCACAATATAATTAAATTGGCAAAAAAAAGAGTGAAAATTGTTTTCCTATAATAAACTACGTAGTGTATGTGTATTTTTGTCAGTCGTTTCTCATGATGAACCACCTAGTATAATATTATATAATCAAATCAAAAAAGAGAGATCCCATCGCGATCTTTTTTCGAAAGAGAAATAAAAAATTTCCTTGGGCCGTGGGGCCCTCGGCCGCCCACCTTTCCTCCTCTTTTTACGAAAAAACTTTGATTTTTATTGTTTGGGGCCGTCTCGGATCGGGGTTTTGCCGGAGGGGTTTTATTACTATTTATTTCTTTATAATTCGGATCCCGAACTTTAGCCGGATCTTGAATTTTTTTTGCGAA